GTTAACAGATGTCGTTAACTCCTTTTTCGCCTCTGTTGAGTCGCTTGGTGATGAAACTGCTCAACAAACGTGGGAAAGTCTGAAACGTGCCTTAAAAGATATCAGTGAAAGTTTCACTCGTGGCCTTCAAAAGCATAGACGCAACCGCCTCCAAAAGCTACAGCAGGAGCTTCAGCAATTGCTGCCTGCCGGATTTATCTCCAGCGATCTCCAAAATGACACACGCCAACAGGCCGTGATAAAGCAGCTGAACGATGCCTTAGATAAGGAGGCCAAGGACGAAATGAACAAAGTTTTACTTCGTTCCGCTACCAGATGGCATGAGCAAGGAGAACGAAATACCAAGTATTTCTATAGGGTTATCAAATCACGTCAAATGCAGCAGACTATTCATCACCTAAGATGTAGCGTCAGTGGTAAACTATTGGAAACCACGCCCGAGATTTTACAAGAGGCCCACCGGTTCTATAGTCATTTATATGCCCCAGAGGACATTGATTTAGCAGCAGTGGACACTCTTTTAGCCAATATACCAGAAGATGTCATCTTAGAAGAACAGGCTTCACATACTGTGGGCGCTGATTTCCCTACCGGAGAATTGCTAGACGTAGTGAATCATACTTCCAACCAGAAGAGTCCTGGCTTGGACGGTTTGCCTTTCGAACTTTACAAGTTTCTGATCTACAAATTCCCCAAGGCTAAACTTCTATTCTTGACCGTTTTGAATGAGTCCTTACATGGTAATATTCCTTTGTCTTGGAAACAAACTAGGATGATGTTGCTGTTTAAGAAGGGTGACCCTTTCCCCTTGATTAATTGGGGACCATTGTCACTTATCAATTCCGATGCTAAGCTCTATACCAAACTTCTCGCGAATCGTTTTAATATGGTTCTTCCTCAGTTAATCAACCCATATCAGACAGGCTTTATGCCACATCGCTTGATTTCAGATAATGAATGGGTGAATATTACATTGATGGATAGTTTCCGCCGTAGTTCCGATCCCCATGCTTCCAAAGCTGTAGCCGTCCTGCTCGATCAGGAAAAGGCCTACGATCGGGTGCATCCTCAATATTTCAGACTGGTTTTGTCACGGTTCAACTTTCCTCCCCATCTTATCTCAGCTCTAATGTCCTTATTTTTCTCAACGGCCATCTCTGTTTCAATTAATGGTTTTCTGGGAAAGCCTTTATTACAAGGACGTGGACTGCGCCGAGGAGACCCCTTGTCGCCTCTGCTCTTCAATCTGATGTTCGAGCCATTTCTACGTACTATTTTGGCCTCTTCTCTTAAGGGAGTGTCACTGTCACCTTTCTCAACACAAATATCTTTAATGGCCAATCCTCCAATCATTCGGCATCCGGATACTGGAGCAGACGACAGCCCTATCCAATGGTATCATCCACCGGTCTTTAAATTACTAAGCTACGCTGATGATTTGGAAGTTTTTCTGGCCTCACCTGATGAATGGCCCATACTGGAACAATTGTTGACTATGTACGGAGACGCCAGTAATGCCAAAATTAACATCGAAAAGACCGTCATTGTCTCTCTATCTGGGAATTGCTGTCCATGCTGAGCAGCTATAGCCCAATCTAAGGGGATTGAATACCATACCAAGCAAAGTGCATCGATTGTTCGTTATTTAGGATATTCCCTCTACTCATCACCGAGGCAGCTGAAATCTTACCTTGCGCGTATTACTAACATCATTAAAATGCATTGCAGTAAGTTGTAAGATCGAGGCCTTTCCGTTCGCGGTTTGTCCTTGGTAGTAAACCCTCAAGTTCTCAATAAAATTTGGCATTTGTTACGAGTAGTACCAGTACCAAAGACATGGTTAAACAGCATTCGAACTGTCGTGCGCAAATTTGTTCTCCCCTTCCGACCAGCTCCTTCTTGGCGGTCTATCTGTCTCCGCAAGTGTTTTGGCAGCTTGGGAATCATTGATATATATTAGTAACAACTAGCATTACAGCTTATCTTTGTTCACCGTATTCTTCATCTAAATGCAATAGTGATTTCGTTGCTCCCTTGATCGGCCATTGCATATACATATGTACTGGTTACCACTCCTTTTTGCCATGGCTGCAGCATCCTCGAACCTTCTTACCTCTCTTTAAAGGGCTCCCTACGTTATCTATTTTAACACGGCTTCTAATGGAGCTACCAGCACTAGTAGGACATACTAGCTGGCCTGGACGCTGGTACGCAGATACACCACTCCATTTTGCTTTGGTACCAGTCAACCCCGCGAACAATGAGGACGCTTATGACCTGTCTCAAATACCCTTGCGCTATACTGTGGCAAATGTCTGGGTCCTATTCATATAACATGTTCACTAATTACCTTCGCTTAGATCTCACTAACCTTAATAAGGTAGGTAAAATACTCCAGCTGCTTAGAAAAGATACTCCTCCCATTTACTGGCGCCCTAGACTCAAAAAGTTCATGCCGCGTGATTTTCGCTTCAATGTACTTTCGCCGACATGGCCATGTCAGAATGCCGATCAGCGAGCACACAAATTGTCACCCTATGACGCGTCTTCATGGGTTCCTCAAGGTGATCACTGGGGGATTCAAGTTGGTGATAAGACCATTCCAATTGCTAAGTTGACTCCGGCACTATTACGACAATATTGGTCTCAGCGATATCTCCAAGAGAAATTACCGGGTCCATTCTCTATGCAGGGCATCCCACAAGTACCTTATATCTGCCCACCCAGTTTTTTCCATCCTCGTATTTGGAAAGTCTTTTGGACGTTACGATTGCCACACAAGGTCTTTACTTGCTGGTGGCGGTTGCTGCGTGCATCGTTAAGATCAAGGTTATCTTTGCATAGTCAACGTCCTCAACGATGGCCATCACCCGAATGTCCACTATGTGTAGCACCCATTGAAGATGACTTCCACTTTGTCGTTGGCTGCCCTATCAAATGGTCCTTTTGGTCCGCATCTTTGGTCTACCTATTTCTATCTGATGTTCTACGGCCTCTAGATGAAGTCTGGCATGTTCTCCTCCAGTTAAAGCTTCCAACAAATACATACACTGAAAATTACGCCTTAGAATTAGTGGGTAACATTTTGAAGACCCTATGGCAATATCAATGGTATGTAGTCATCAACAATGGAGCCTGATCCTTAGCGAATGCATTACAGAGACTCCAAGCCTCTGTAACTTTAAGTATCACGTTACAGAATGTCGAAAAAGTGCCCCCACCAGACATAACTTAAACACTCTAATGAGGACTGTTCATAATATGCCTCTCATGTGCCTCTTCTAACCCACTCCGTTTTTTTCTCTCCTCTTATACCACTTGTCTTCATCCCTAATTTTCATCTGTCTTTCTGTCTTTCTGTTGAAATAAATCGCACATGAATTTAAGCAAAAAAAAATAAAAAAAAAAAAAAAACCAAAAAACCAAATACGACAATATGAATACTGAATCGGGTACTATAACAATAGGTATCAGTAGTCGTATCCTCAGTTGAAAACGAAATTTGGACGGAGGGGAGTAATAAAGCCATAGATCTACAATAAAACGTAAAGAAATGATTTTAGAACAACTTATGATATCTGTGCTGATGGGAGTATTCGTATAGCGCCCTATATCAAGATAAAATAGTTTGTTATCGTTGATCTGCATCTATCATTCTCAGTTTACTTGACAAGTGATTACATTTGCTACATATATAAATCAAATACGACAGGAATGGTTGTCTTATAGGGTAACACTTTCCTATCACGTAATAGCTGATGAATATGTTTATGTAAAGTATTGTATATTGAAATATCAGATAACGGATTTTTATCATCTATAAAGTAAGGGTAGGCTGTTAAAAGATAATCATAAAATTAAGTTTTCTTAAAGAAATTGAATAGATTAGATTGAGCAGCTGGCTTCTTCACGGGCTTCTTTGCAGCACCTGCCTTATTGGCAGAAGAAGGCGCAGCAGAAGCATCTTTTACAGATTTTGATGGTGTTGGCTTCTTCTCGGTGGTTTCTTCATCATTGACTTCTTCCCATTCCCAAACGTTCTCCGTAACTGTTTTAAACAAGAAGTCGATGATTCATCAGAATCAGCAACATTGCCTTTTTTTTCTCATTTAAGAGAGATATACTTTTTTTCTCATTTTTTAACTTACCAAGTAAACCACGTGCATTCTTGTATGTTTTCTTCTTGAGTACCTTTCTTCTCGTTTTTCCAGGAGTAGTAGTAGGGGTGGACGCCGCATTATCTTTCTCATCCTCATCCTCATCCATGAAATTGGTTATCTCTTCATTCTTATCATCTTTATCTTTGCTGTCCTCGATATCTACCATTTCGACGTCGTCATCTTCATCTTCATTTGGTGCGTCTTGAATAGGTATGCGAGTTTCGATGGCTGCGGGATTATCGTCTTCTTCATCCGAAGAAAAGATATCGGAAGCCTTAAGTGATGTTTTAGCCATGCGTTTTTCGATTTCATCTGTTCGTTTGCGAAAAAAAAAGTTTTGTTATGGATACAATGGCAATGAAATAGCAATTTTACAATATCTATCATCTGTACCAGTTTTTGCAGTTGGTTTTCTTTCATTGGTAGTTGCGGAACCTTTGGTTAGTGACGAGGATAATGTAATGGGTGATGGCTTAGCGACAGGATTCTCCTTAGGAGCATTAGTTGTTACTGCTTGCTTTTTGGTTGTTGTACTGGGGCCAAAATTGAGCGTGCCTTTTCGTTTCGTTCCAAGCGGTGTCGTTTTGCTCTTATTCGTAGTGGAGACAGATTGGTTCGTCAGCGTTTTAGGCGATGCGGGGATGCTAGGTTTAGGAGGTATATGAGATGATTGCTGTTGTTTGTTGCCTTGCTCTAAATGCACTGTAGGGTTTCTAAGAATCCCACATTTAATACGATCTTCCATTGTCAACTTGGGTGCATCTTTACAAGCTGCATAAAAGACAGAGAAGTCGGTGGGGACAAAAGAGCATAAACTGTAAACATGAACACCAGTAAGTTTTTTGTATTTCTTTTGTGCCTCTAATAATAGCAGCAAAAGAAGCAAGTGATATGAGTTAATGCTTCTACTGCTTTCCCTAAGTCCAACCTTTTTCGTCAGTACCTTCGACATCGGCATCTTTGACTAATTGTATTTTAAACTGATTATCGAGCGTCGTTCCAGTCAAACAATACACGGCATGAACATTAGAATGTTGCTTTGAGAATTCATAAAGAGCCCTACATTATAGTTTTTAAGTGCCTATGCAATCATGTATTGCGTGAATGCAAAGGACGAAACGTTGTTAAGCTTACTGTTTAGCCTTATTAACGTGAATGCCTAACGATCGAGCCATGGATTTGTAGGTCACCTGTTGAGCTTGAGTAAGTATATATGAACAGCCTTAAATATTCTTCAATAGTTTGCTTACAGGTTTATTCTCTTGCAGTACAGTTATGTTGAGGTATTCTTCATAGCCCATCTTGAATAAAAGCGCAATCAAAAGACGATGATCTGTATCTGATTCTCAGAAAGATCAACAAATCATAGGAAAAATTAAACGCGAATGAGTCTCGTCAGTGACGCGATCTGTAATTTTCCCCCTTTCTGTCGTTGTAAAAATGCTGGAGGCATCCAGTCTGTTTTTCTCATGTGTTGAGAAAATTATATCAAACTACCATGTTCTTAAGCAAGAAAACAGGTTCAATAATGCAGCGCATGAAAGGGTAATTCCATTTATAATTTTATTTTCTTTTGTCAACTGAATGTGTTTTGCGATTGGTATTGTTCATACTAACATGGACTGTTTCGTGACAAAGGAGCATCATTGACAAAAACAATCAAACAAAGACAAAGGTAAAGAAGGGGGAAAAAAAAAAGCACATACTAAATTACAGCCGTTTGCTTTTCAAGGCGTCTCATACAACGAGGAAAAATTTATACTCAAGTAGAGAATAAACGAGATTATGAAGTTATTCCTACAACAAACAGAAGTGAAACCTAGACATGATCGATTGCCTACTGCCAAATTAAGAGATACAGCTGATTTTTCCGTCTATTACAGTCCAAAGGAGAAAACACCAGCAGCGAAGGAATTGCCCATAGAACAACAACATCTATGGACTCTGGCGATTGCTTTATTGACACCAGATACTGAAGAAAAACAGTTGCTATCGCTTCGAAAATGGTACAGTCAATTAGTGCAGCCTGGTTTACAGTACTTTATCGAGAGAAATACAAAAAAATATCCTGACGATCCGTTTGTCAGTGTGTTTGCTCATTTGGTATTTGGACAGCGTCAAAAAGCAGCTGAACTGGCACAGCAGCAAAAGGATTTTATGTTGGGATTGTATATATGCCATTCAGAATTGAAAGATTTGAATTATATCATCGAGGAACAATTCCACAGTCTTAAAGATCAACCACAACAGCAACCGTCATCCGAGAAACAAACGAGTTGGCATCACATGTCGGTTCATCAAAAGAAATGTTGGTATTTAATTGCAGGTCAATTTGGATATAGCACAACCGATCATTTTGCTGTTACCGATGGTCTTTACTGGCAATTAATTTTGGGTTTGTACATTTGGTATGGAACAAGTTATGGGGAGCCTGTCGATTTGAACAGAGACTACAACAAAATGCTAGAGAAAGAAGCAGCAGCCAATGCCATGCTTGAATTACAACATATGCATTTGGGAGAAGCGTCATCCACCGAGCCTTCTTTACCCGATTCGGGTATTTTATGGTACCAACTGTTACAGTGGTGGTGTGGCGACAGTAAAATTGCAGATTTGCAGGCATGGCCGTTGGAATTATTATGGTTGCTAAGCTTATATAAACAGCCCAACAACATTGATCCACTATTTGCAAACTTGTGGATTGAAGAATTAGAGAAAGAAGATTTTGCTAATTTTGCTATCTATGCGTCGCTATTTTTACCAGAGTAAGTAAGTTTGGATCCTTGCCAACCAAACTTAGCAATGAATTAACAAAAACCATGAACTTTTGGATTTTCTCAGTGCTGAGCAGAAAATAGAACATATATTACGGAATGGAGAATGGAGTGATGAGGACACTCTTATCACCCAATATCATATTCCAAAAAGACTCATACAAAAAGCAAAGGCATTGAATGCACATGATGAATGGGACTTTGAGGCAGAATATAAGCACTTGTTAGATGGCCAACTATTAGACGAAGCAAAATTGGCATTGATATACTTTGTTATTCCAAAGCTTTTTGAGAGTAAGTTTATCCTTCCAGCAATATCTTTCTGATGGGTTATTCATATTTTCACTGTCCTTCTCTCTCTCCTCTTAGGCGCAGTATCCCATAATTATAAACCTATCTTATCCTTTATTGACTCATACCCGAACAGAGAAGATGAAGATATTCTCGCTCTAAAAAACATATTCATTTATGTCGCCTCCGCCAAAGAAGCAAAATCTTCCAAAGAAACATCATTCACCACTGCAGATGGAATTCAACAGCAAAAAATAAAAGAGGAAAACGTAACCGTAGACAAGGATATGCTTGTCGAAAAAGCACGACACATTCAGAACAAGTACGATAAAAATCATTTTAATCCGTTTTTCGAGAATTTAATACAAGAGATCACTTTGACAACTATCTAGTGATAAAATGCATAGTAGATAATAAAGCTGTAAAATGTAAATATGTAGGTGTTTTCCTATGTGGATCTGTTTGAACACGCTACCATGGTAATAAGAGTACACAAGCAATTTAAAATCGATATCTGCTCTCTGTATAACGATTATAAGCAAACACAAGAGCTACACCAGTAATAAGGCCTTTGTAAAAGTTAATGGCAGCAGGAGACGTCAAAAAGTTCTCGGCCTCTTGGATCTTTGGTCCCGCTTTTCGCTTCAATTCGCGCACGTCGTCCTTCAGCTTGTGGGCTTCCTCTTCTGTACGTCTTGCAGCTCTGTCCACATTTTCATTTTCCAACAATTCATCTACTTTATTAGAGGCAGCTGTCGCACCTTGCTTGACTTTCGATTCCATTTCATCTGTCATGTTGGAAACCTTTGCTTTAGCTTCGTCTGTACGTGACATTGTGTTGTTGTTGTTGTTGTTGGTTTTTTTTTTGGTTGGATTTAAGGAAAAGGAAGAGAAAAAACGACACGATAGAAAAAGGCTTTTGGCTTTATGAGCTCGAACAAAAAAAAAAAAAAAAAAAAAAACCAACAACCAAAAACCAAATGAAAGACAATTGTTCGAAACAGATCCAAGACTTTCATGCAAAAAAGAAATTGTCCGCTTTGGTATTGAATCAAGGTATGAATCAAAGACTTGACCAGCTGAAACCTTTCATTCGTAAATACTATATATTTTCCCATTGCAAATGGATTATACATGGTAGAATTTTTTATTACAGTCTATATACAGTTTGTTTGCTTTTTTGGCTGACTTTTCTTGTCGTTTTTTTTTTTCTTTTTTTTTTAAAAAAAAAAACTCTTAATGAACGTAATCACGCTTCACAATAGCTTCAAAAGTTTCCTTATTACAGGCGAAATCCTCAACATATTCAGCTTCCATTTCATGCATACGGGAGCCAATCAAAACAAGAGAGTGGAGAGGCCCACCAAAATCAACGTCCACCAATTCTTCCAAAGTACCAGCGACTATCTTTTGGGTATCTTGGCCGATACGAGCACAGCCGATAGCTAAAGAATCAGGCTTACAAATGCCTTCTTGACGCTTTTCTTCAATTTCTAAAAGCTGTTCTACTGCTTGATTGACTGTCATATAGCGAGGTGGTTCGTAGATCAATCGTCCTCTGCAAAGGAAATGGATGCAAGGGTAGGTTTAGTTACAGGAAGCTCTCTCTTTTCCACCAGTGTACTGTCGTTTTTATAACCGAATGAAGGCTAGCCTACCTTGCCATATTTTCTATACTTTGCTCTTTGACCTTGATGTCCAATAGACATAAAGTATGAAGACCGAATTGGTGGTTTTCCTTGATACGATCATAAAAACTATCGGGACGCCATGTCTCTGTAAAGAACACAATGGAAATAGTTTGACCAAAGTTATAGAGTTGTAAACCACAAGCGCCCACAGCATTCAAGATAGAAGCATTATGAATGACTTTGATAGGAATGCCCATTTCACGAGCACGGATAATAAGATCTGTATGCGTTGTGGCGCTATAAAGAAATGGATACGTTGAGTTAACCTCTTCCCGAACTCGGTCCGATGCAACAAAGACGTTCTTCATTTTTTACCCATAGGGATCACCGACGACTAAGAAGGATACGTCAATCTTATCAGCATCTTTTAAAATGGCATCACTGTCTGATTCAACCATTTCGCGGTCGGCAATAATGATATTGTCCTTTCCATAAAAGTCCTCTAATTTTTCCTTGCCGACGGATAAGATGGAAGTATAGGCTTCCAGGTAAACACGCTCGGACTTCTTTACGGCTTCCAAACCGGCGACTGTGATATCTTTTTCGTTATAAAGACCGAGACCGACAATGTATAACATGTTTGCTACGAATGCTGGTGCTGCTGCTGCTGGTGCTGCTGGTGCTGCTGCTGTTGGTGACGGTGGTAATGAGGAAAGTGGTAAAGTGAATGGAGAGATGTCAAGATTAGATCTTGGATGGCTGTCAAAAAAAAAAAAAAAAAATAAAAATAAAAATTTGGGCGGTCTTTCTTACGGAAAGCGAAAAATGCGGGAAAAAGCTTTCCTAAAAGAGTTACAACCAGTCACTTGATCATGACCATGTGTGGAGGGTATTTCTGTATCGTGTACCCTTCATCTATCAAGCACAAAAATCGAATCAGAAACTGGAAAAAAACCAGACTAAAAGCTCGTCACAAGGTTAGCCTATTAAGATGGTAACCAAAACCCTTAATTTATGTTCAAGTCGAACGATGTCATACTTTTCCAATAGAGGGTCCTGTTATCCTTTTTTCATTTCAATTGAGCGAAAGCAGCAGCACTCTTGAGAAGCACTTGAGGGGTGGGGGCAAACAGCGTCATAAAAAAGTATCTAACACGCAGGCCTCTCTGTGGCCATTATAATATGGCATGAAAAAAAAAAATCGTGACTCTTTCGTATCACAGACAGCTGTTGCACTCACCCGTCCCACACTACCCCCCTTTTTTTCTGAAATTGCCTTTTCCCGCATTTTTTGATATAAAAGGACTTTAGTCAATTTTCAGCCATTCTTCTTTTTTGCTTCTTTTTTAATATTATTCTGTATTACATTCTAAGTTGCGGTCATGTCTGAACCGGTGAAAGGACAAGAGCAGAATAGCACACCGTTGTTTGATTATCACCATATGAAGGCTATTCAGGATGTAAAAAAGAAAAAGATAAAAAAAAAAATGACCCGTTTTCTATCCAATCTTTTGTATTCAATGACCCAACCCTATAATGCCTTTTTTTACTATTGAAGCATGATAGCAAATTCCTGGGTCAAACCAACTTGCCCAAAGACCCACCAAGGGCGCGTTCCCCTTACTTGGAGGAAGAAGAAAAAGGACGTGACTGGGACAGATTGATGGATAATCGCTTACCGGTGATTCCTTTATCTGCTTCCGTCATTGATACACCACCGGATGGTAATGCTGCCTATAAGGGTAAGTGCTGAAAAGGACGAGGGAGGGGGGGGGGGAATGGAGGGCGCTATTGTATCAGAACGATGACCTAGGTTGGGTGCTTCTATAGATGAAGTGATCACGAAAGAACTACGTGAATTGTATTGCACGTTCCAGAAATGCCTGGATTTGCGTGAAAAATACATGGTACAGTCTCGCCAAAGACTGGAGGATAATCCTAAAAATAAAGACGACTGGGAGGTTTATCCACCTCCGCCTCCGCCTTCATGGCCTTTACCAGCACCTGAAGAATTGGCGCGCAGACGACAGAGGGAGAAAGAAAGAGAGGCAGACCCAATTGCTGCGGTAGGCAAGGACTTTGAAATCGATCATGTCAAAATACCTGGTGAACATGAGGTAAAGGGAAGAGCGAGCTTCTCTTTTCGTGACATCCGACACTAACGTAGGGCCTCCTATCACCTTGTTTTTTGCCACCCATAGTATGTGTATGGCATTGGAACGGACGGTTTCTATCAAGTGTTCAAGACGGAAGAAGGTACAAAAAAAAGGAGGATGTTGCATGAATCATTTGTACGACAAAAATAATAGCCCGCTAATCCAATCCACCCACCGATCCCCACTATAGACAAGAACAACCGTGAACCAGCTTACAAGATACCTAATTGTAAAGAATACTATGAAGATTTAGACTACATTTTAACTGCTATCAGTGATGGCCCAGCCAAGAGTTTTGCTTTTCGACGATTGCGTTATTTGGATTCCAAATGGCAAATGTACATTTTGTTGAACGAGTTTCAAGAGATGGCTGATTCAAAGAGTGTACCTCATCGTGACTTTTACAACGTTCGTAAAGTCGATACTCACGTACATCACTCCAGTTGTATGAATCAAAAACATTTACTACGTTTTATCAAATCCAAGATGAAGAAATCGCCTGATGTAAGAAAGGGCAAATAGAACGTGGCGTTCGTCAGCAGCAAAAAACATGGTATTCATTTTTATTCTCTCTTTTTCGCCCCCCCCCCTCCCCCTTAGGATGTCGTTATTTATCGTGATGGAGAACATTTGACGTTACAAGGGGTGTTTGAAAGTTTGGGATTGACGGCTTACGATCTTAGCATTGATACGTTGGATATGCACGCACATAAAGATTCTTTCCATCGTTTTGACAAATTCAACTTGAAGTACAATCCGATTGGTGAAAGTCGTTTGAGAGAAATCTTTATGAAGACAGACAACTTTATTCACGGTCGTTACTTGGCAGAAATCTCCAAAGAAGTGATTTCTGATTTGGAATCGTCTAAATACCAAATGGCCGAATACCGTGTCTCTGTGTACGGACGCTCTTTGGAAGAATGGGACAAGTTGGCTAAATGGGTGGTTCATAACAAGTTGTTCTCGCCCAATGTGCGTTGGTTGGTGCAAGTACCTCGATTATACAATATTTACAAGTCTTCTGCTCATGTCGACAACTTTGGAGATCTTTTGAGAAGTATGGGGGGGGGTTTGCAAAAGCAGATGGATGTGCCCATTGTTTGGCTATTTTAGAAAGGACAAAAAAAAAAAAAGAAAAAAAAGCTAACTCACCTCCTTTCGTGTTGTAACGTCATTTTCCATTAGATCTGTTTGAACCTCTCTTTGAAGTGACCAGGGATCCTTCCAAACACCCTGAACTCCACATTTTCTTACAAAGAGTCATCGGCTTTGATTCTGTAGACGACGAGTCCAAGATTGAGCGCAATGTCTATCGCGAAGTGCCTCTTCCGCGCGAATGGAGCGGCTCGATCAACCCACCGTACAACTATTACCTGTACTACTTGTATGCCAACCTGGCATCTCTGAATGCCTGGCGCCAGGAACGTGGCTTCAACACGTTTGTGCTGCGCCCCCATTGTGGTGAAGCGGGCGACACCGACCACTTGGCCTCCGCTTTCTTGACGTCGTTCGGCATCTCTCATGGTATTCTTCTCCGAAAGGTACCTGCCATGCAATACCTCTACTATCTTGCTCAAGTCGGCATTGCCATGTCACCGCTTTCCAATAACGCTCTCTTTTTGACGTACGAACGTAACCCGCTTCCTCAATTCTTCCAACGGGGCCTCAACATCTCTCTCTCGACGGATGATCCGCTCCAGTTCCACTTTACGCGCGAACCTTTGATTGAAGAGTACAGTGTGGCAGCCCAGATCTGGAAGCTGTCTTCGACGGACATGTGTGAGTTGGCACGTAACTCTGTCTTGCAATGTGGATGGGAACATCGTATCAAGAAACATTGGATCGGAAAACACTATACGCGACCTGGCGTGGAAGGCAACGACATGAGCAAGACGAATGTGCCCAACATCCGTGTCAATTATCGTTATGAAACGCTGTCGGAAGAACTCAACGCGCTCCGACGCTATGCCCCTGTGGATCAAGGGGGCCAAGGGGTGGATGTCAAGCACATGACGCAGCGAGACATGGTGGGTGTGGCCGGGCTGACCGAAGGCCCGCGTTTGCAGCAACATCTCATGCACCGTGTGCAACATGAACCCGCAGGAGATACCGCTACCAACACGCCCCAAGACTCGCCCGTGTTGAGTCCTTCTTTTCCCGCGGACGCAGGCAAGAAGAAGGAGGAGGAGGAGGAGACGAGTAGTGGCCACCGTCATCGCCAAAGTATGGATCACCAGTTTCATGATACGTTTGTGGGTGTAGGTGTCATGGCTGAAAGAGCTCACTTGTCAAAAAAGACGCAACAGCCCGAACACTAAGTAAAAAACAAAAGTTTTGAATAAAAAATAAAAAGGCTTGTTAAATGACGTCAGCTCTCTCATTGGGTTGTCCCAAGCAGCAGCCCAAAAGTGGAGAATTATTTTGAATGCCCGTTTCCCCTTGTTGCCTGAGATTTTTTTTTTTTTTTTGTTATTTTTGTGGGGAAAGGATGAAGGCACCTAAAAATCGTTATTGGCAGGTAGACTTTCGTTTGGTTTTTTTTTCTCGTTTCTTTTTTTTTTATTGTTGAATCAAATAAATAAAAAAAAAAAAGCATTCATTTTACATTCACAGAAACAATTTTATCGCCAACTCCCTTCTCTCAGCTCTCGCAACTCTTTTTAAACAAGGATGATTCCTTCAACAGCTATAAAACGTAACACTCTTTGCCATCCAAGGACATGATGGAAGTCCATCGACAACATGAACTCACGTCCATTCATTGTCTATTCTAGTTGTGCGTCACAATGTGGCCAACAGAATGATGACTGTAAATGTCGTATAAAAAAAAAAGAAGGAGAACTCGCATCGAGAATTCTCTTTTGTTACCATGTGCTCCTAATGTCCTCTTCTTTTTTTTTTTCTATAATTTGCAGCGTTCCATGCACGATCTTTCGATGAGACAGAAAACGGGTCAAGTCATGATTAAACATGGTTTAGGTGGAAGGTAGGGCAAGAGAGAGAATGATAATGATCGACATGACGCTTATAGTCACGTTTTTCATTTTATATAAAGATCCACCACCAACGGACATATTGCTACGGTCTTTGGTTGCACTGGCTTTTTGGGCCGATATGTTGTTAACCGTCTTGGTAAGAAGTGACTCTAGGGGCAGCTCCCTCCTTTGCCATGTGGGAAAACATGCCAATGACTGACGCTCTTTTATAGCTAGACAAGGTACTCAAGTCGTGGTGCCTTATCGTGATCCTGATGAAGCGAGACATTTAAAAGTCACGGGTGACCTTGGACAGATTATTCCTTTGGAATTTGATTTAAGAAATAAGGAACAACTGAGGGAATGTGTTCGTCACTCTGACATTGTTTACAACTTGGTTGGACGTGATTATGAGACAAAGTGAGCCCCAACAAGGAGACGAAAAAAAGCCCCCCCCCTTCATGAAACAAAAAGGCTAACTGTTTATACGCTTCCCGTTCTTTTACAGGAACTTTACTTTTGATGCTGTTCACGTAGATGGAGCACGTCAAATTGCTGAAGCCTGTGCGGAAAATGGAGTCGCTCGGTTTGTCCAGATGTCAGCATTGAATGCTTCTGAGGACTCGACGTCGAGATTCCTTCAGAGCAAGGCTTTGGGTGAAAGGGCGGTCAAGGAAGTCATTCCTGATGCTACCATTGTTCGCCCTGGTATTATGTGGGGTCATGAAGATAGATTTTTAAATAGAATTGGTACGGGCGATGGCTGGGAATTCTATACGAATGAAGGAAATACCAAGATCCGTCCTGTTTCTGTAAAGTAGGATGAAGGAGTTTGACATTGTCATGTGCATGATGGTTCTCATTTTTTTTTTTTTCTTTTGTTGAAACTATCCTAGGCGGTTGATGTTGCTCATGGTCTCGAAGTGATTTTTACAGCAGAATCCAGCATGGGCAAAACGTACGAATTTTATGGACCTAAAGAATATAAAGTCAAGGAAATCTTTGACTTGGCACGTGATATTACGATGAAACCCTTACCCATACGTCATATTCCCAACTCACTATTAAAGTAAGTGGCGCCTCTTTTTTTAGGGGGAGGTGGGGGGGGGCGGATAAGAAGCCACTGTTTTCTGATTCGATATTTTCTGTATGAAAAATAGATACGGTGCTGGTTTGATTGAAAAGCTTCCTTATAATCAAACCATTAGTGCTGATTTAATTGAAAGAGTAAGTAACGAATGAAAAGTTGCCTTTTTTAACACCATCTCATTTTTTTATTTTTTATTTTTTGACAACAATTTATTGAAATAGCGATCGATGGATGACAAGATTTCAGCTGATGCTTTTACATTTGAGGATCTATATATTAATCCCACTGAACTAGAACACGTTGCCATTCAGTTTATGAGAAGATTCCGTAGCAACGCTGTGTTTGATTTGCCTTACGAAAAAGGAGAAGGAAAAGTACAAAAAGGTGTATATCATTTGATCGATTAGAGAAAGTTTTTTTTTTTTTTTCCCTTGGGTTTTTTATGCTTGATTAAAAAAGAAAAAAAAAAAAATAATATAATAACTGAAGCTTAAGAAAAGAATAAGTTTATTTACAGAATGGGCGGGGGAGGGATGTACAGTGAAGTTTATAAAGTGTGCAGTGGAAGGTTGTGAGATGTAAAGGAGGCGGGTTGTTTTTGCAGGGTTAAATAAGGCAGATCATAGCAGAGATGGCTATTGTCTTGATCTGCAGCATCGTCCTCTTCCTCGTCTTCGTGGATAAAGAAAGTAGGCTTCTTTGGTGTCGTCGTGGACTTTTTCATCGGTTCAGAGGTTACTGCTGTGGTAGTCGTACAAGTGCCGTAAAAGGAGGCAAAAGAGACATTGCTATCTTCTGGTGAGGGTGGCATGTCTTCTTCAGAAGAATACGCTTCTTCCTGTGATGGATCTTGTTGTAGCGCACAGTTGTTATTGTCAATGCATGAATTCAACCATAGATGTTGTTGTAGTTGGCTTTGTTTTTCCTGATCCATGTCTTCATAGATATCCTCTCGTTCCTTTAAAAAGACTTGATCATCATCATCATCATCCTCTTCTTCTTCTTCTTCTTCTTCTTCGTCATCACAAAGATAATATTCGTCATAAAAGTCTCTTTCTTGTGCCAAATGATCTGGTTGCTGCTGTTGTTGTTGATGTGTGAGAGCATGGATCAATGTATTTCTGATCAAAACAAAGGAAAGTAAACTTGTAGACTTGTTCAAATTGATAGTTTCAAGCTTATCAAAAGATAATCGAGTATAATAATGATTCATGACTTTTATAAAAAGATAAGGGGGGAAAAAAAAAGTAGAGAAAATAAAGATTTATTTATAAACGAAATGGTGATTGTCCGTGTTATATTATTTATATTAGTTTCAGCCCCATGACCTTTTATCCCAATTTAGTGCAATTTCACTGCTAACCTTAAAAATAAAAACAAAGATGCAAAAACCAAGTAAAAAAAAAAAATACATTATAGAAGCCCCTTAAACATCATGGGGGGGTTTTTTTTTGTTGATAGAGCGAGAAAAAAGAGAGAGAGAGCGAGAGAAGGAAAAAGTTCACGTGAAATTTCCTTTAAGGGACAAAGCAAAATAATTTATTTTTTTCTTTTTTTTTTTTTTTAACACGGCCACGCAATCCCCTCTTTTTTATTTCTCGTTCCTTAAAAGACAGAATGATGTGATAAATATCATTTATTGTATTATTATATCATTGCATCCCACGATTTGTGGGGGGAGGGGGACACGTTGCGGTTTTAGCTATGACTAGAAACTATCAATACGTTGGAATGAGTTGCCACCACGAGGTTTGTCATTGATCTTTGGATTCAATTTAGCCAAAATATCTAGGGAAAAAAAAAAAAAACCATTACATTACATACGTCAGCATGCAATAAAGAAGAATATGGAAAAACAATTTACCTTTATCATTCTTTGCATGATCAAATGTACAATGGTGTTTGTCGGGGAAGCGATGAGTATCACAAAAGATATAATCACAACGACATTTGTTTGTTAATTGTTTAGCAAGAGGAATCTAGGAAGGGAAAGGTGTCAATAATGAACCCCATATCAAATGACAATGACTCTATAAAACAACCTACTTTTGAGCGACATTCAAAACAACGTCCTTTATTCTTTTGCACTGGTTTTTTAGGAGCATCCTTATCATCATTCGTGTCTTCTTTCGGCTTTTGTGGTGCTGTTTCTGTGATTGCTATTGCTGCTGCGGAGTCTTCTATCACTTTATCTTTCAAAGCTTCTTGTGGTGGTGGTGTTGTCAGTGCGGATGCTGCGACATTTGTATTTGTTGTAGCAGTTGCAGTTGCAGTTGCAGAAGGAGTGGAAATGAGTAAATTGGGAGTTTCTATCACTTTCATCTTTGGCGTGGATGTGGTCGTTGTATTATTATTGGATGTAGCTGTATGAACAATATCTATACAATGAAAAAAAAACCATTAGCTGAATTCATTCAGACCCACCGCTTCCTCATCTCATCGGTTACCCATTTTGTTTTGCGCTTCATGTTCTTTGAAACATTTCGAACACATGTTGTTGTAAATCTTGTTTCCATAAAAACCACAACCAGCTGTGCAAGGTGAAGGTGCTTCGGGAGTGTTATTGTCTTCCATTTTTTCACTAATTGTTTATTCCTTTCCTTTTTATTGAGCTTTGTTTTTCGTTCAACACAAAACAGAAAAATGTCGCTTTATCTTGCAAAAAAAAAAAGAAAAGAAAAAAGAAAGAAAAGGGAGAGGGAGGATTTGGAACTCTGAAGAAAAAAAAAAAAAAAAAAAAAAAAAAAAAAGACTCGCGGATTTTTTTATTAAAAAGAGTCATTTTCCCTTTGCTTTTGACCGTAAATCACAAACATCACATCAGTGTCACTTCATTGAAACAGCGACCGTCAGTCTTAAAGCTTGAATGACTCCTGCCAATGATTGGTGCAGTACCTGCAAAAAGTAAGAACAATCAAATTGTTTATTTTCGTCCGATTCGTCATGGCCTTGATGACAACCCATCGGCTCTCATCATTCCCCCCCCAAGTATTCTAGATGAAACGGGACGGGTCAACTGACTTTGAGCCGACACTCGATCTGCATCCATTCGTTCCAAACGACACCTATGTTTCTTTTTGAGATTGAAAAAGCCCATCTATTCGCGTGGAGTGAACATTCTCATGTTTTTTTTGAGGGATCACATACATTGTCAGTGGAGAAAACAACCTACGACCTATGCCGACCCACATGAGACAGCTGACATTGTTGGCTGGCTGTCATGGCCAAAAGCACTGAGCACTTTAACATGATTGTCCAAAAAAGTAATACCCTTTTTCCAGTGAGCCCATTCATTTTTTTTTACCACGCTCACTGCCCGTGTATCACCAAGGCAGAGGGAAAAGATCATCCAACTCTTTTTCATGCAGCCCAGACAGTATTTTCTTTTCATACCAGAAAAGGATGGCAACAGTGTCACCAAGGAAAAGCACATCATTCAAAGTGTCCTTGGCATGTAGTTCCATTATGCATACTTGCTACGGAATTCCTCCCCCATTTTTGCTGCTCAGCACACCCATAGTCCGTAAAGCATTATTCTTTTCTAACAATAAAAATTTTTTTCGTTGTCCAAGTGACTCAATATGGCCATTTCCACCAATGGTTGGCTACTTACAGGAACACAGCCAATCAGAAAACTTTTATGACTCACAATAGAAAGTAAAAAAAAAAAAAAAAGAAAAGACATCCAGTCTTAACCCAGCAGCAAAAAAGAGTCCTTTTTGCTCTCTCTTTTTTTTTTTTTTTTTTTTTTTTTTTTTTTTTATTCCATAAACGCCAAATAAAAGGCTGTTCTCGCTTTGTCATATAACTTATAAAAAGAGAGAAAGAATAGAAAAAAATACAGTGTTTTTCCATTTTTCAAGCTAATTCGTGAACCCTTTTTTTGACCTTTTTTTTTTGAAACCTTTATCCCTATCCTCCTCTCTTCTAGTTTGACCATGTTTGCATATTATTTTTTTGTTTAAATTTCTTTCTAGTTGTGAAGAAACGAAAGCTGCTTTCAAACAACTCTAAAGATATATTTCTACAAAAAAAGTTCGATTACAACGACAACAACAACAACAACAAACTTATTTATATTACAACAAGTCCTTTTTTTTTTTTCCTGTAAAAGAAAAAACTCTGGTTAACAAGGCGTAGTCAAAAATTATCATTTCATTAGCATGACACCTAATACGTTCTTGAATAAATCCGCAGCCAACATGAGCCATGCTGCCCCTATGAGTCATGTTGCGCAGTTCACTTGTACAGCGAATGATAACGTATATATAACCCAGCAACAACAACAACAACAGCAGCACCAGCAGCAGCAACAGCAACAGCAACCATTTCAGCATCAACATCCACTTCAGCTTCAACAATTTTTGACTCACTATCATTCTTTCGTTGCAGCTCTTCCCTCTTCCTCTTCTACTACGGCTGCTACTGCTACTGCTACTCTTCTCTCTCAACTCTTAATGACTCAATCATCCGCTGTCCCTTCTACCCTCGCCTCTTTGGATACCATCCAATACAAAGAACAACAACGATCAAGACACTTACAATGGCAACATGAACAACAAAAGGCCTATGTCAATGCTCTTGTGGATGTGACAGTACAAGTCATTGCTTCTATTTGGCCCAACTCGGTAGCTGTTCAAACGAACGGGGACAACTCGACCAGGATTGCCGACCTGAACACCTTTTTGCACCATCTCTTGAAGCATTCTCGAACCACCCATTCCACACTTCAGTTGGCCATCTTTTATCTTTTTCGGATTCGTTCTCGTATCCTCTCCTTGTTCCATCCACCGCAGAATAACAACAACAACTCGTCTACCGATGTTCAACAGGATGTCTACATGACCTGTGGTCGACGTATGTTCTTGGCAGCTCTTATTTCTGCACACAAATTTCTGCAAGACAAAACCTACAAGAACTCTGCGTGGAGTAAGGTCAGTGGCTTGAATGTCAAGGAAATCAACCATGCCGAAAAAGTATTTCTGCAACTGCTGGATTATCGTTTGATGGTCAAGAAGGAAGTGTACGATCAATGGATGACCATGTTGCAAGCCCTCTTGACCAAGCAAAGGAAGCCCTCTCCATCGGTCGTTCATCCTACTCGTACATGTACCGTTTCCCTACCCATCGTGGATGCCAACCATGCTGCTGCTGTCATCACGGATAAGAGTCCTATGGCTCATGTGCCGCGCTCCACCTCATCGCTTACCGCTGTTGCTCTCCCTTCGCCCCCCATGGAAGAAGTGGATACTCATGCTGCTGCTACTGCTGCTGCTGCTGCGGCGGCGTCGACCCTGTTACGTTCACAACAAGCTCAGCAATGTTTGCCTTCTCCGCCATGGGAGGAAATGGGTCGTAGTGGTATTAGTAGAAAAAGAGCAAGCCCTCCTACTCATTTCGATAATGAACGATGGATGAAGCGACATTGTCGTTAAAGACTCTTATTTTTTTTTTTCTTTATTTATCATGCGTTTATTCCCCCCCCCCTCCCATCTCTTACTCTCTTCTTTCGAGTTAGATAGAAACGCACAAACACTCTCCCCTTTTTCTTTATTCCTTTTTGTAGTTTATTATATCTATTTATCTAGACCGAAATCTTAATATATCATGTTCCTGTTCCGCCTCACTCCCATCTTTTCAATTTTGACAAGTAAAATAGTAAAAAAAAAGCTTTAATAAAAAAAAAAATCAAGAAAATAATCCATGGAAATCGGTCTAACCCAGTGAAGTCTGCTGTCCGAGAGAGCGTTGCGGCGGGACCCTTTTTTTTTTTTTTTTTGGAAAACCAATAAGGCGGGGATTGCAGACGAAAAAATAAACCATCAACGTGGTGTAGATCACGATGAAAGGGTAGCTTGAACCATGAATCTCTTTGTTTCAGGTTTTTGGGTAATGGAAATCGACGACAAAGGCGCTTTTGAAACGGATGAGAAAACGTGGGGTTAGGTGCCACCCATACCAGTTATGGTTATCCATGAACTTGTGACATCCATCTTGGTCTTGATTCTCAAGCAGAAAGCAAAAAAAGAAAGAGCTGGTGGCTATCGGTGAGTTACTTTTATGACCAAAATTTTCCTCGCCCGCTTTTTTTTTTTTCTGTTTCTTATAAATTGCTTTCTAAACCTTTTTTTTTAATAATTTTCTTGTTCTTGTGTTGTCTCAGTTGAAAACTTTCTTTTTTTATTTTTTATTTTTTTTTTTTTTTTTCCTGGTCATCCGCTTATTATAACGCATCATGTCCTATTCATTTAGTAGAGATAGAACGGCAGAACTACGAGGCTCAGCAGCAACACCTCAAAGGACAAGCAGTAATGATAGACATGTACGAAATTTATGCAAAACCCCCATTCGTTGGCTGTTTTTGTACCACTTGTTTTTTTTTTTTTTTCTTCATTTCGTGCATATTTCATATAAATGTAACTCTATTGCCTTTCTTACTTTACTCATTAGAATAACTTTGGGTAAACACCACACAAGCATACTATCAAAAAAACGAATAAACAAGTAAACTCATCTTTCTATCTTTTTACCACCCACCATCCAAAGTCAAGATGAGTTTGCACCCCATAGAAGACCTCAGGCATCCACACGACCCTATCACCATGACTATGAATCGCATGAAATGACTTCAATACCAATGAATCCTAGGGAGGAGGAGGAGGAGGAGGACTTTTATGGAAGAAGAAGAAATAATAGGACAGCAGGTCCAGCAACCGTCGTTCCCATGGAAGAGGACGGACCACCCCCTCTATCGACGACAGCAGGCTTTTTTGATCAAGTAAGAAAGAGACGCTCCTTTTCCTTTCGGCGGCTGATACAAGCTGGATTAACGGTTTTGTTTAGATTGACAGGATAAAAATCGGTTTAAATTCTATCAATACAAACGTCGATCACATTGGCAATCTCCATAATGCTGCATTAGAAACGTTCAATGAACAACAATCAAGGCAACTGGCCAACGATTTAGAGAGTATGAAACAAGAGACGCAAAGCATCAATAATGACATTAAACAAAGTATACGGCAATTGGAGGCTTTCAACAGTCAATTACCGAATGACTCAGAGACACAGATGCGTCGATCACAGGTAAACATTCTGATGGATGGGTCATTTCTGGAGTACGCACACTCAAGGTGAACAGGAGTGTACCGGGCGGGAGGGCGGAGGCGGGGCTCGTGTGTGTTTTGTGGGCAAAAAAAAAACCAAAAAGAGTGCTCTCAAGGTCAGAAAATAAACTCTTTTTTTTTTTTTTTTGTTGTCCTATAGACTGCAGCGATAAAAAAGAGATTTTTGGATACCATCCAACGTTATCAAGACGTAGAGAGAAATTATCAATTAAAATATCGCCAACGTATCGAGAGACAGATAAGGATCGTCAAACCCGAGGCCACCGAAGATGAAATTGACGATATCATAGATGCAGACGACACGCCACAGATTTTTGCCCAGTCGTTAGTCTCGGCGAGTCGCCAAGGCCAATCCAAGGCCGTTCTGTCTGAAGTCCAAAAGAGGCATGACGATATTCGACACATTGAAAAGACCATCGTTGAACTACATCAATTGTTTATGGACATGCAAATGATGGTAGAACAACAAGGAGAAGTTTTAAATACGGCAGAGCAACATGCAGATGAAACAGTCATGAACGTCAAAGAAGGAAACACAAATTTATCCAAAGCCATTCTGTTGGCAAAATCAACCCGTGCAAAAAAATGGTGCTGCTTCTTTATTTGCATAGCAATTTGTGTCATGATCGCTATTCTTGTTTGGTGGTTCGGTTTTGGTCATCCTGTAAGTTTGTTTTTTGATCATCCATGGTGTGTGGCTTCTACTGCGAAGCTTACTGACTTTATTGTTCTGTTGTCATAGGGTGTTGGTGGTGGTAGTGGTGGTGGTAATCACAATAGTAATAACAATAACAACAACAATAACGATAATAGCAATGCCTATACCCCTCTTACTTCTCCTTCCGCACAACCTGTCTCAGTGTTGCCTTCTCCTACACAAGCAGACCAAGTACTTTCTTCGCCTACAGAAGCAGCCCACGTATTTCCTTCTCCTTCAGAAGCAGCCGAATTATTGCCTTCTGATACACCAGAAGCCTCAATAGAAGAAGTTGACTAACATATTCGCATACCTTTTAACTCTTAATAATACATGCTTACATACATTATATAATCTATCTATTAAATAAAAAATAAAAAAAAAAAAAAGGACTCCCTCTCCCCTCTCACGGAGGGGCCATGAATGTAGTTGCTTTGGCAAAACAAACATTGGATGGGCCTTGTACACGGTGGATGCATTTCTAAATCAAAAAACTACAGGTTTATTTTTTTTATTTTTATTTTTTATTTTTTTTTTTACTGATAGTATACATAATTAATTAAATTAAAAGTGTAAAATGGTAAGGCGGGAAAAAAAAAGGAAAAGAACAATAAAAAAAAAAAGAAAAAAAAAAGTAAATGCTGCAACATAAACATGGCGTTTCTTATTCTTTGATCGCCCAGCCGCAATCTTTGGTGGCGTCTTTCACTGCTTCTGCAAGCGGGAAATAGTGATTAATCATTTTCACAGATAGCATGATAGGAATATTATCAAAGCTAACACAACGTACGCGTACATAAGTATTATCTTTTACATCCTTCACAGCACGAATCAAGTCGTCCAACGTGACAACCTTCTCAGAGTTGATATGCGTAATCCACATGGTGGGCACCAGTCCATACATATAAGCCGGCGAACCCTTGGCACGACCCGAGATGTAGATACGAGATGGTAATTTTCGGCTTTGTTGTAAAACAGCTTTATGTGGCTCTAAGAACACAATGAAAACAATACAAGTAAGTGAGGCTTGATCTGCAATGCCGATACAGCAAAATACAGTGGAAACTCTTACCATGCAAGACTGCGCCTGCCCAAAAGACAACACGATCCGTTCCAATGCCAGAAACCTCGGTGGTCTTGACCTTTACCGTAATTTCTTTTTTGGCTCGTAAAACAATCAGCTCCATTTCATCAAGATCATGCTGAACATCCATATCAGACATCCTCGTCACCATCTTTCCATTGACAGCTAGAATAATATCCAATATTTTGAGAACTTTCGAGCTCTCATACCCAACTTCTGTACGGCGGATCATGAAAAGCTGGTGTTTGTATTGGTTGGCAGCCTCCACTTTTTTTATCCATTCATCAGAGAGTCCCAACGCGAGCGCTTGTGCTATTTGAACAGGCACCAATTCGACATTGAGGCTGCGAATATTGATATGGGTCTCTCCCTGTTGAATACGTTGGAGGACTGTACGCACCGACGAGGTAAAGATACCGACATGATATTCATTGTCTTGGCCATTCATATTACGTTCACCCAAAAAGTTGAGCCAAAAACCCTGAACCTGGCCTTCCGAGTCGGCTAACAAACCTGAGGAGCATTGCAGCGCAAGCGGTGTATCCAGTGTGATAGCATCGACATTAATACCACGGTAACGAGGCGTCTATTTTTTGTCATAAAAAGGATCATGGAGTGTTAGCCCGTTTTTTGTTGTCTATTTTCTCCTCTCCCACCAGCCCCACCACCCACTCTTCCACCGTTGGCATGATCATTTTACATTATTATGAGGAATGGTCGCAAAGTTGATATCTGTTACCACCGTGTTCAGACACACCGGTCGCTGGTTGTGATTCAATGCTACTAATGTCACTTTATGGCCTTGATGGAGTGGTTTATCACTAAATGGAGCGCTCAACACGTCCGTTTCACCCAAGAGTTTGGGATCATATTGAATAATGGCAAAATTGTGTGTAGGATGCAAAAACTACAAGTAAAAAAATCGCGTGAAAGAGAAAAAAAAAACAACATACACAAGCACAAACACATGGATACACACAGAGAGAGAGACAGATCTATTCAGTACTTTTCGAATGACATCACAAGAAAATGTGAATCTCTCCATACTTACTAGAACTTTTCCAGGAATGATGATTGAATCGGCAATATTTAATGTAAGATCACCCATGGAGGTCGGAACTGTGCTTCTACTGACAACGACAAGCCCCCTTTCTTTATCCACAATGATGCCTGCACCTTGTCGACGATTACGAGGGAAGCCTTCCAAACGACAAGGCATGAAGTAATGTACTTTGACAAGACAGCGAAACAAATCTCTCGCAGGTCCTAAACTGTGATCCAACTGGATGAACTGTTTCGTCGTTGGCACATCTGGCACGGGAGGCAAAGGCTCGCCAAGGTCTGTAAAATCCCACAATCCAGTCTTATCATTGCGTACAGCCAATCTGAAATGAGACCAGTGTCTTTCATTGTTGACAACGGCCATCGACACTGAATGTGTATCGGCAATAGAATAATAGACAACCGGTATACGCTTGCGGTCAGGAATCGTCTTCATCACTTCAATAAATGTCTGGAGGTTGGGCGTTTCTTTATCGTCTACCGATTGAATGATCCAGCCATTATCCGGTCCATCCAAACGAAACATACCCACTGGATCGGCTACATAAACGCCTCTACATGGAACGCAATAAGATCTCGCCAACTGATAAGAGACCTCATTCAATACAGCCCCACCTACTTCGACATAACGATCAGGCGTAATGGCGTGAAGGTCTCCGACTGTCACCTTCAACTCCATCGGCTTTCCTCCACGTTCAATACAAATTGTGATTTCCTTTCCAACATTTGAATCCAACATATCTTCGAACGGCACAAACTTGGTAATATATTCGCCATTCATCGTCAGCAAAACATCCCCCTCTTCTAATTTATTGTAGGCTGGGCCTTCAGGCAACACTGTCTCCACAACAAGTAGCCCGATTTCATCGGGAAATCTTTCTCTTAGGTTGGATTCTGTCTCGCTTCTTAACCCTAATCTGCGCACTTCATCGAATGGACGATACCTAGTGAAAGAAAAACATAAGATGTTTAACAAAAAAAATTCCTCTCTTATCCCTCCATGACCTTTTGTTTCTTTCCAGTCGTCTTACATGAATTGTGTTTGAATATCCCCTCTGGGTACTACTTGATCTTTTCTAATATATTCCAAGGCACGTTTCACTCTATCTAAGGGAAGGAAAAAATCGGTCGCTGCTTTGGTATGACCACCTGCTTGAAGAGCAACTGCATTTCCATCTATATCTATCACAGGAGACCCACTACTTCCTCCGCTGGTACTTGATGCAGCTTGACTATCATGATCAGGGGGAGAGGTTGTTGCAAAAGAAACAAAAAAAGAGGATGAGTACGCCGTTGAAATTGCCAAGCGTCAGCATTCTTTCATGCGCCGTATACGCTGTATGGATATTTACAGATAAAAAGTGTTAAAGTCATTGTAAGTCAAATCTCCATAATCTGGTGTATTACGATCCAAACGCGATATTGAGCCAGCTAAAATACTAAGCTTTTCACCGGCATCGTTACTAATGTTTGATAAAGACCGAGATATGTTAATCATCCTCATTGAAAGCTGTGTATTCATACAATCGAAAGGTGTTATCTTTCATTACCCAACAACGCGAATATCTAAACCGACTTTGGCTAATTCAGGGCGAAGTTCAACTTGACTGATAGGCATATATTTGATCTTTTTTGTGTCAAATCTAAAAAGGGCGAAGAAAGGTTTAAGTCACCCCGTTAAGCATAGCATTCACCTGCTTTTTCTTACTTTAGGAAACCAAAATCATGAATTGGATCACGATAAATTGGATAAACATCCACTTCTTCATGGTCATGGCAAATGGCTTCACCAACGAAAGGACCAGAACAAGCGACATGACGGTTGGTTAAAATGATACCCTTTTCAGCATCCACAATAAATCCAGACGCTTCTGAAGTCTCAGGACCTATATCCATATATTGTTGTTGATAATGTAAATAAAGACAATTCTAACAGCTTGAGAACGAAATGCAAACAACAGACCCACCTTCTGTGTCAAAAGCCGCAACTTGACTGAAGCGAATAGAAACAATGGCTTTTACTACTTGGTTGATAGTTGCTTGCCATTGAGAAGGCTTTGAGCTAGGATCGATCGGCATAGATTCTGTCATAGCCGTATCATTCGTTATAGGTGAAGGATCATCTTCGTCATTTTGTTCTGTGCTATTCTTTAAAGTGGGATCGATCTTGCGTCGCTTAGCAGGAGAAGATCTAGGTGTGGCGGCAGGTGAATCACCACCTTCAAAGTTACGATCCCTCGGTAATAAAGGGGCAGCTGCTGTTGCTGATTTTTCGGCTGTTAAGGGTGTATTGCTCATTTGCTGTATGTACTTATTCTAAAGTTTTCCGTCTAAATCTATTAACAAATAGAAAAGCAATGAAATAGAAAAAGAACTGAAACTTTTAGTAACAGTTATCTTTTTTTAAAAAAAAAAAGAAGGCTTTCAGAAAAGTTGACATTGAAATACAGGCAAATCAGAGCTGACTTTTTGAACCTTGGCCGCACTAAAAATTATCAGAAGCATGAACGAATGGCCTCTGGGCGAGGAAAACGCTCCATTTCATGGCATTAGAGACAATATGCAATAGTACAACATATTATCCTTCGAATGGATGACAAAGTAGCAACCTACTGCGCATAACTGTATAATATGTAGAGCAAAAGGGCAAATTAGAATAATACGGAGGAATACATTCAACCCAAGAGATCAAATTTCGAAAATAATGTAACAGTTTTTATTCATCATGGCTCGCGAGTGAATATTGTTCAACTGTGCTTTAGTATAAACAACTGTTCGTTTCTTTTTATTTCTTATTGCTATATGTGTGTACAACACATGATCAACTCATATCATGCTTATTTTTCTGCCCCCGCCACCACTTGCTTTTTGGGGTGTTAAAATTTTGTTCTGAAACTAAATGTCAAAAGGCATTGGAAATTGTCTGTGTACTTTTCCTCGGTTTAGGCTTATCCGATCGTAAATAAAATAATGCTCAGCGTAGTTATGTAATATTTTTTTATTTTTAATTTCTGAACCTCTTTTTGTTTGTTGCTTGTCATTCCTATTTTCATCGATTTATTGTGCCTACAAGGGCTATGGATATACTACTCACAAAATATTGAAAGAAAGAAAGTTTTGAATAAGAAAAATAAAGATTATGTCGAACGTAAAGGAAAGGAAAGCACAATTCAATTTGGATAGAGATTCAGCTCCAAATCAGCTAAATTATACAACAAATTGGATGAGCTACAAAGGTTCGAAATGGCATTCAGCATCGTCTTTAGATAGACACTTTTGAAATACTAAACAAGAGAAATTTTATCACTACAGGAGCTTGGATCACAACCGTTTTTGTTGCCGTGGCTATCAAAGTGCTATATTCATTGATACCTTTCATTTCGTCAGAAACCAGCTGGACATTAACAAATCTAACTTTTAATGCTGTAAACCATCAACCCACTATTATTGGGGGAAAGAACAATACATAGTAAGCAGATTACAGATTCAGAACATATAAGACCTAATCATTTGCTATTCTATAGGGGCATTTTGTAATGTTCCATTGGTTGCAAGGACTACCAACATTAAACAATATCAATGGAGCATATGACGGTTTAACAGTTTGGGAACAAATCGATGATGGCGTTCAATTCACAGCAACGAGAAAGTTTTTAGTAATGGTACCTATTATACTGTAAGTAGAGTATAAAAAAAAAAAAAAAAAAAGAAAAGCCTCCTCCAGACTTGCATACATGTAGGCACAAGTTACAAGAAGTAACACAAATATCATGCAATTCATAGATTTTTATTAAGTACACACTACACACATTATGATATGGTACAATTCGCCATCAACTTCTGTTCACTGGTAATAGTGCTGATTGCGAAATTACCATCCATGCATCAAGTGAGAATATTTGGTATCAATAAACGAACAGAAGACGTTTATTGATTGTATACCAGTGGATTCAATCTTCAATTGTACTATAGAATTATAAACTGCATACTTTACTACTATTTTACTTTCAATAATTAAAAAAAGTTTTCGTGTCTTTGTTTACGATTTGCTTTATTTTTATGCAAAAACGTCTATCGGTAAGATGATGAAGGCAATAGGAAGCATTCCAATAGAAGGGTTCAACAGTATCGTATAGTTGAAATACAATACGAAGTTAAGTTGGGGTTTTTTGTTTGAAACAGTCATATGCGCCATACAGAAAGTGTTAGTCATCATTGTTATAAGCAGTAGTATAGGAATAGTCATGAAGCACTGTGTTTTATGCTTTTGTAGCAGAACTTCTACTATTGAAATGATCTTATAAAGGAACTAATAAGCGAAAGGCATAATTTGAATTTTATTGCCATATGCTGTTGTAGTCCATGTCAAGTGTAATTAAAGACTGTCAGAAGCAATTACTTAAGGAAGCAAGCGGTCAAATATGTATGGTAATACCCATTTTAGAATAAGGAACATGGGATGAATCGGTCCCCTTATGGTTTAAGAAAGTGTTATAACGCATAAAACCTTTCGCACAGACGATTATTCTCTTATTATTGTTAGCTTCGATTCCTGTTGCTGTGCGATGAAAAAAGTGTATAACAGGATACTTGAAGCAGAATACAAAAGGCATCGAGAAAGATTATTGATCCTCAACTGAAGGCCAATGAACGTATGGGCAAAACTTCTAATTTGTGCCGTGTGGTTCTCATTCTGTGCTGATATTATTCTTGTCTATTCTATAGCCGTATATCAAAAAATAATGGCGGGAATGGCAATCGTTATCAAGTTCGGTTAACCAAATTTTTCAAGTTAAACATGAGAGGGACTCACAAACGTCAACAAATTTGTGTCGAATATAACTCATAAGAATGAGATAATGAGCAAGCTCTTCTATCTCCTTTCCCCGATATGGTCAATTACTTTTACCATTGCCTTTACAGTATCCCCTATAAAAATTACTGTGGTCATGTATTGATGTAGTAAATGAGGGCTTCCTGAAAATAGCTATTAAAAGGTGAAGCAGCTAGCAATGCATTTCATTCTTTTGTAAAGAGACATGTGTTATTCGTGTACTGCGGTACTAGAACCACAGAAAATACATGTAATTTATTTCATTAAGCTTTTTTATTATGCAGTTAACCATTGCATCGCATTTTAGGTAATGCTTTTGGATATCTTAAAGTCTTCCTTTATTACTATAGTAGTCCTGAACTTCAAGTGGCCAAATAGATATTGCCAATACAAATGAAAATGTCGATAATGATTTAAACAAAGTTTTATTCATACTTTTTCATTATAAGGGTAAGCGAAGGGGAGGAGTCTGAGTGAGTAAAGAGGGTATAAAATTACGAATTCATATGCCTATTTACATATAGAAATGCGTGTGTTATCAATAATTGAAAGCTAAGATATGAATTGATAGATGGATAAATGACTGGCTAAATGCTAAATATCGAGAAAAAAATAGAAGCGCCAATAATTTAATGGACACGAAGTGCTGCTTGGTGTTTGTTGTTACTACTACTGTTATTATTACCACTGCTCCTAGTATTACCTACTGCTGCTGTATGTGAGTCATTTGCTTTTGATGGAGCTTTTCGACCATTATTAGCTATGCTAGTCGCTATTAATGTTTTACTACGGATATCATTCATTGACTCTGATAAGGGAGCAGGTACAGATTGTCTCTTGTATCTATCGCCTTTGGAAGACGTTTCATTGCTATTGATGACTGTTGTTGTGCCGGGTATAGGTTTAGATTGTTGGTGTAGATGAACTTCTGAGTAGACCCTATTGGAAAATGTGGATGATGAGGCAGCAAATGAGACGGGTCGCTTTCTATCTGTTCTATTCAGAGCGCTTGTTGTTGTAATTGAAGTGGTAATCGTCGTCGGTGCTTTTAATTTACTATCGAATATCCTTCCAAATCGATGGTTTATAGAAGGAGGAGTGGCTAACTTACTATTAGTGCTACTATCACTCGCATTGGCCGTTACTGCTTCTTCTCTTTGTTTGTAAGATTGTCTACGGCTTCCTGTACTCAGTCCCATCATCAGTCTAGCTGTTCTACTGTCATTACTTGTGGGTAAGCGCTTACGGTAGATGGAAGGCTTAGATGTCAATTCTCGTCTGGTCTTTGGGGGCGTCAAGCCGGAGCCGATCATATTAATCCTTGGTGGACGTATATTGGATTTTTCAGAGAGCACAGTTCGATTAGATTGTTGTTGTTGTTGCTGCTGTTGCTGCTGTTGCTGCTGTTTCAGTAAGAACTTTTGTTTGTTTGCTTTTATGGATGCTGCCACAGTTTTTTGCTGCTGTTGTTCAACATGAGAAGCAGGCGACAATTTATTGCCATTATTGGTTAACGGTTTACGTAACAAGACCTCAGAAGATGCTGTAGTGGTAGTAGTAGTGTTATACCGCTTTTGTTGTGCTAAATGTGTATTTATTCGAGAATTGGATGCTGGTTTGATAGATTTGTTGCATGACTTTGTTCTTGGACTTATTCCATATTGCTGCTGCTTGAATCTCTCTGAAGTATCCAGCTCTTCAATTAGAGGTTCAATGAAAGGTTGAGCGGTCAGCATAGGAATTCTGCAGCCCTGGCTACGATTTTGGTCAGTCATCGATTGCCGCTTACGTATGACGTTTGCTATCTTTTCCCGTACAGGTATAGCTACTGATACTGTCTTATTAACAGAAAATGATGGTACAGGCAATCGACATTTAGCTGCGGTTGGTGACAGTGGTTTTTTAATGCTGCTGATATTATTAACGGCTGTAGAGATAGCAGGCGGTGGTAAAGAATGAGGTAATACAACAGGTGTAGTAGTATCATTATGACAGTGTTGTTGCAGATCTTCTGCGATGATATGCACTGGCTGTTCTTTCTTGTGGTGGACTGTTGCGAGCATATGTGAATCTTGTTCTTCTTCAATATCCTGCATCATGTCAGATGGGTCAGAGTCTGATTGTGATGAAACTTCATGATCAAGTTGTGTAGCAGGGAATAACAGTTCAGGCTTAAAATCCCTTACAAAAGGATGCTAATTCGTAGCAAAAATTAAAGAGGAGTAAATTAAGTTCCTTGAAAAGACATCATAAATGATAACCAACTGATGTTTGTATGAATGACACATAAAAATATAGTTGAGTTACCTCGAGTATATTGATGGCTGAGTATCTGGTACGTGGGTTAATATCAAGACAATGATCTAAGAGATCTACTAACGAAGCAGGTAAATGATCAGGGTAAGCAGGTCTGCCTACTCTTAATATTCTCTGTTTAATCTATAACAGGCAATTTGAAACGTTGTTATTACAATTCAAAATCGTCCCTTTGCCTGTGTTGATTGCAAAAAAGAAAACTTTATGCTTACCTCGTCTTCTTCCAAATTCTCATCTTCATAAGGTGCTTTCCCTCCATTCAAGACCTCCAAGATAACTATGCCCAATGCCCAAATATCGACCTTGGAATTCACGATTTTTTGCTGCACTAGTTCAGGTGACCAAAACAAAACAACTCCGGCCTCCTCGACACTGGAATCTGCTGTGGGGGAGATAGAAACAACACCAAAATCACCTTTTTTTTTTGGAAATGACATAGACAATGGTATTGATAAACTGTCATTAGTACTTACACAAAACACGTTTGTTGTATAGATAATATTATTAAGGATATATACCTATAACAATACTATTCGATTCTTCGTCTAAAAAAATATTATCACATTTGATATCTCTATGGATGTATCCTTGTGCATGCACTTTTGCCAATCCTGAAGCAATCTAAAGCGGGAAAAAAAAAATTGTTGAACAAAAAAAAACCAAAAAACTCTAAGGGACAAAGAGTTGCGTTGCTTGTTAAGACTGCTGTGTATAAATGCTTACGGAAGTGATGATATGGACAAGCTGGCCGACAGTCAAAGGATGTTCAAATACATATTGTTGTAAGGAACCACCTGTGCAGAGTGGTAGAATCAAATAGACAAATTCTTTATGAAGGTGTACTGCCAACAGTTTCAAAATGTTGGGGTGGACACACTTTGTCATTGTGTAAATTTCGTTCTCGACAAGTTCTTTTGGCATGACGAACATGTCCTCATCATAAGGGTGATTCTCTTCTACCAGATATTTCTTTATGGCCACTGGTCTATTCGTCGAACGTTCATAGCATTTGTAGACGCCACCTTGTGCACTAAACCATGTTGGCTCAACATCCAGACCTGAGTATATCAAGCTGGGATCCGACTCAAAAACAGGGACACCGTTCACAGGTTCCATTGAATAATAGTGAGTTCGGTATGAAAGTTGATAAAGTGTGTGTGTGTGTGCTTAATGTATCGAATCTTTTATCTTTTTTTTTTTTTATTTTATTGTTTTGTTGTTTGCGACTAAGCAAAGAATTTAAATTTGTTCGTATTTGAATTTCTGTTGGCCAGCAGCAAATGATTGAGAAATGAAATAGAAGAGTAACAATAGAATAAAAGAGAAGAGGTGCAAAAGAAAAAAAAAAAAAAAAAAAAGTGTGCGCGCATGGATTACTTTTGGAGAATTTGTGATGCGGCTTATGGAGCAAGACTGCCCCTTACTAAAGTATAAGTGCGTTTTGTCACACTGTTATTACCTCATCATTTCTTCAGACTTTTCTGTCCGTCTTGTGCTTTAACTCCAACTCATGAACATATTTCATGTTCTATTACTACGGCTCTTACAGTTAAATTGCTCTAACTACTATCATTCCTAGATGACTCTAACTTTTTCCCTCAACAAAAATATCCTTATAAATAAGGAAAGTTAGACACATGTACACTCATATTTTCCTTAAAGGACAAACCATTTCGTTTTATAAACGAGATTACTTAGTGTAACTGCTTTCAGCGAAGAAAAATTTAAACCTTCTAGTGAATAAGGGTTATAAATTTGTAGCTTTGTTTGCTTTGCCATTTCACAATGGTTGCTTCTGCAGATTTGTATGCACATCAAAATTTGTTGATCCTTCATTCTTCTTACTTCTTTTTACTTTATTTGGTTCTATGCTGATTTGACAAAAAAAAAACACACGCTTTATTTCAACTCCAGATCAATACGACGAAAAAAAAAAGGCACAGGTCGATTCCTTATAACCGTTTGACTGGTAGATGACATTCCTGAAAACGCTACAACAGAAGAAGTTATATGAATCTATTATAAGGTTTATTATAAACGAAGTATACATCAATGTCAATTCATGCATCAATGTAAGAAAACATACGGTTCTTCCAAAGATGATACTGTTTTTAAAGGCCCAATTACAACGTCTCTGATACATAAGCGATTAACAAATTCGGTGTCACAACTGTAAGCAGGAACGAAAACCCATGGGGTTATAACAAACCCTTTTTATGAATAAAATACTGGTATAGCTGTATGCTTATCAGGCAATGCGTAATAGCTTTTCATTGGGCATTGCTGTGGTCCCCAATACGTCCAAACGTAATAACATACAATATTATGTTTAAGAAAGTTTTACGAAGAGTCAGAGGAAATTTGACTGATATATATACGGCTGACTTTGCAGTAATGTATCGCATTGCAGGTTTTAACCGATTTCGCGTGTAGCTGATAGCTTTCATTGATCACTGAATGCCTTACTATATCCCCTATTTCCTAAAAATGCTCACATAGAATGGAAAACAGGTGCATTTGGGCTCCCCTTTCTGTAATAACTTTATTAATGTTGAGAATTTAGCATAGCTTGAATGCAAAGCGGCCCGTGCAATACCCTATTTAGACTTAGAAACGCACACTGTTGTATAAAATAGAAGATAGATTAGAGCGTATTTTCAGACAGCTTTCGCAAAATAATAACCACTTATCCAGGCTCTCCAAGTTTTTTACAGAAAAGACGTCTGTAGTTTAATGCCACGCCTTGTTGTTATACGTGAAAGAGTTGGTGTGATTGTCATGCTCTTCTCGACTATTGGAAGAAACAGCAATTATATTTTCTGCAGACATTGAATTACGGTTCTAGAGAATATTGCAATCACTACAAATCGATATTCATGTTGTAATAGTTGAGGCCGTTGTTCTACACTCAATACAAAGAGATAGAAAAAAGCAAGGTATAAATAAATAATGCAGATTCTTGCTGTGGTATTTCACTCTTTAATTTCGTTTTCATCTACGGAAAGGAGGCATAGGTAGTCCGTTTTTTCTTAGCTTTGAAAAAATAAATCAAAAATATTGACAATGTCTATTTAATAGCCTATACATTCGAAACAACGGGCTATCACGTAATGAACGGTAAGGGCTGGTATAATTGCTCCAAACTGATGCCTACGATCAAGTATTCTAAAACTTTATGGGAGTCAAGTCAGTTTGAATTGAATACGTGGCCTTTGTCAAATCATGCTGGAATTGAAACAGTAACGTAGAGGAAGTCTGGGATGATACGGCCCCTCATCTTGAAGTTTTTTAAATTTCGTTGGTATCAGAGAGGTACAAACAATGCCTGAAAAAAACCAGTCATAAAATTTGATTTCATTAATTAACCTTTTTGATGGTCTTTTTTTTTTAAAAAGAATTTTATGCATAACAAAATAATGCAAAGTTAGTTTTGATATTCATCATAATCCATCTCCAGAAAACAATACTCTTTGCTCGTCTCCCAATGGTCGTTTAATTGCAATGCCCAACAAAAAGTTACCATACGAAATACTGAAGATCATAGTAAAATATTTAGATCCAAACGATCAGTTAAACGCACTCACAGTATGCAAAGCTTGGCAGCTGCCCGTAGCTGAAGCACTACATGAACAAGTAGAAATCAATTCGAAGAGTAAACTACAACAGTTTTTAAGCAAAGTTGAGCATATCGGTCAACATATCCAATTTTTAAGCTTTGGTGCTGATAGCAATTCAGAGGTTGAGGAAATTATTGATGCTGCTAGCATTGAACGAATAGCGTACTCATGTGCCAACTTGCGGGAACTAGGAGTTCATAGTGAACAATTTTGGAACTATGCGGCACAGTTGGATTTTAGCAAAGTCTGGCTACGTTTAAATGGACTTCGCTTTCTCAAATGGTCAAAAGGTGCTGCACAAGTACTCGATGCCATAAAAGATAGAGTGACAATGTTGTTCTTTGTCCTCCAAGGAAGCGGCGACTTACCCTACATGCCGCAGCTTCGCAGGTTATATATCATTGACGCTTCTTTCATGATTAATGACGCTGTTCCTGAAGGTGGAAAGTTCCTGGCTGAACTTGCCGAAAAAGCCCCCAATCTACAGATTCTAAATGCACCCGATATCTCTATGCTCGATTATAAACCATTTGTATTACCACAGGATGGCATGTTTCAGTCGTTAAAAACATTAGATGTGGACATCGAAGACTCCAAATCGGCATGGCTACCTGTTATAATAAACCATTGTCCTAATTTGACCAAATTATCGGTTGGTATTCACAATTATCGTCAATCTGAAGCCGCTGCCGCAAGTTCTAGGGCCTTGATCGATGTGCTTCCTAAAACAATTAGATTAAAAAGGCAGACTGAATTTCGTTTAAGCGGCTATGATACGCACCAACTATCCGACTACGCTATAAAACAGCTCGCTTTCTGTATCAACAATGACAGCAAATGGAATGCATTAACAATAATATCAAAGGACAGGCCTGAAATCGTACGCTTTACTCATACACCAATGCAAACTAGCACCTATATACGATATGCTAAAAGGAGTGATGTAACCCTGCAGAACAGATTCGAAGAATCTTTAAGAGATAAGGATGTCCAAATAGCAAAACTTAGCTCTTTCAGCGAAATGAAGGTATTTAGCCGTCAAAATGTGGTCATTGATAAGCTGCTGGAGCCATTTCCGCACATTAGTAAACTTTCAATAGCAGCAGAAAACATTCACAAGAAAGAAAAGATCTGGGTATCTGCATCAGATGACTTCACAGAAGATACAGGTCTTCAAGTAATTAGCATCGAGCATTTACGATTAGAAGGTATCCAGATATTGGATAGAATTGTTATTGTATACTTGCTCGTTTGCTCTACCAAATTGAAAACTATAGAATTGGAAGATTGTTTTGTTCCGCATGAGGTATTTCAAAACATGAAAATCGTATGCGATAGACACAATATCAGAGTAAGCGTACGAGAAACAAAAACGATATAATGGATACGGACAGTATTATGACGTATCTGTTGCAAAATGTCCCTTTCTTCGTTTAGACTACAATAGAGATATTATATTACAGTAATTGTTCCAAGCCAACTACACAGTTAAAAATTCTTAAGATCAATACATTCTTTTTGGACTTAGACTGATAAATTATGAACTCGATTTATGCTTACGACTTCATACATATAATACATCGCAATGACGATAGCTCTCCGAGGCCTCTGTTTGTATATGTAATTGAAATATACGTGTTGCATGATTTTCTTCGATGAAAGGAAAGGAATTCAATAACAGGGTAAGGCTTACAGTTGATCAGACCTAAACTGTTCTGCTTTTTTTTGGATTTTTCTTGTTTCTTCTTCTTGCCTTGGTAGAAATTTCACCTTTTAGACTTAATCACTAAGCAAAACGGTCAATTTTCTAAAAACAACCTATCATGTACTTACAAGTCTATCAGATAACCATTTCATATTGAAAAACCTCCCATGTGCATTAGTAAGGTTTGCTACAATAAAGCGAAACCCCACATTCTCAAACTCTTTGCTGAGCCAAAAAGTGCTTTTAAGAGGGGAACATGAAAAAAAAGTCAAGGACAATCATGTACTGTAGTACAATTAGTTACATTTCAACTGGATCAAAGATTATAAGGATCTTAACGCTTTTGAGTTGAGTGCTAGTTTCGACTGATGACAATGTTCGAATGCATATCTAAGCTTTAGGGAGTGCACCGTATTCGAACATAGCTGTGCAACCAATATCCAAGTGTGAGGATTGTCTGTACTTTCTACTTTACGATTTTAGGGAGTGTCAAACGTCCAAACTTGGGGGTTTTCCTGTTTGGCTAGTTGAAAGATTTTTCATTTCCACTTTCTCCAAATTGATACAATTGACACAGATATGTCGAGGGACAGAGAAGAGGCTTATGAAATGACCAGATCGTTTTCTGGTGAATCAAGCTCCATCACTGAGCAGCGTCGGCAACACCGTGACACTTATGACGGTGCCGAAGAAGAGGAAGAAGAAGCTCAGCTATTGACAAAAGAAGAACAGCAAACTGATTCAGACGATGATGAGGATACAGACGATGAATGGGCTGTCATCATCGAAGAAGGGGGCGATAATGGACAGGTCTATTCACAGGTTGGAAGCTGACTATGCAAAAAAAAAAAAAAAAAATGATGACTACAGACATATGAGAGTATACTTACAATAAATTGTTCAATCTTTCTCTTTATAGGATAGTCCAACCTTCAGGTATGCTTGTATTGGTATCGCAATAGGCTTATTCTTTGTCTTCTTCAAATTCGGTGCGATGAAGCTATCAGATGTGTCGGGCCATACGCAACGGGGAATGGAAAGATTGTATAATAATGGCAGTGAGTATTTTGCCTCTACTGTCATTTTAATATCATTGGATGGTTTTAGACCTGATTATATGGAAAGAAATATTACTCCTCATATGAATCAACTGGGTAAGAATTTTTTATACTTGCATAAATTGATAGCATTAAACTCATTTATCCATTTGTATATAGCCAGTGATGGTATTATGGCGAAGTACATGCATCCAGTATTCCCAGTAAGTTGTTTGTAATGTGCCTAAAAACTGCCTGAGCTTAATGACTTTCAATTGCACTTCATATATGAATAGCCCAGTACATTTCCAAATCATTGGACTCTTGTCACTGGATTGTATCCCGAAAGCCATGGCATAGTAGCGAATCTGTTCTATGATCCTACCTTTGATGCTTTTTTCAGTCATACAGATAGCAGTATAACCTCTGATCAGAAATGGTGGAAAGGCCAATCTGTAAGTCACTATTCTTTTTTCCATGTAGCAGTCAAACATAATCTGTTAATATGATGGGATTCTTATGAACAGATATGGACAACATGTAAATTCAATAACAAACGCAGTGGATCCATCATGTGGCCTGGTGCGGAAGCAAATATGTTTGCACCAGACCTAGTTATAGGATTTAATGACACCATGGGCATTAAGGAAAAGATAGATATCACACTGAAATGGTTAGATCTACCATACGATGATCGCCCTCAAATAATCACTGTTTATGTGCCACAAATAGACCAGGAGGGACATCGAAATGGTCCTAATGGATCAAAGGTATGCTTTAAGAATCTGCGCTCTCACTTACTAAAAGCATAATACTAACAGCGTCTTAACAAATACACGAATATCAGCTGAATGACTACATTAAAGAAGCTGACGATGTCATTGGTTATCTTGGAGAAGAATTGAAAAAGAGAAATCTGGAAAACCATGTACATACCGTTATTGTCAGCGACCATGGCATGGCAGAAACCAACGATTCGAAATTGATTTATTACGACGACATCCTTTCTGAAGATCTTTTAAAGCATGTCGGCAATCGAGAAGCGCTTCCACTGCTTGACTTACGGCCAGCACCCGATGCCTCCTCAGATACCATACAGAAGATCTATGATCAGCTGTTCAACTATACTCAATCAGTATTTAAACCTCACTTTGAAGTCTATTTAAAAAAAGATATGCCCGACAGATATCATTATAAAAATTCAGATCGCATCACACCTATCGTAGCAATACCAGAAGTAGGTTATACATTTGTTACCCATAGCGAAATTGCAAAAAAAGGCGGAAAATTCAGGAAAGGAGGCAACCATGGATATGATAATTTGGCGGATGAAATGAGAGGGATTTTCTTGGCCAAAGGACCAAAATTAGACAACAAGTACAGAGCAGGCACTATCTTGGCTCCCTTTTTCAATATCGAAGTATATCGCTTTTTGACTGAGTTGTTAAATGTTGATGCTGCACCAAACAATGGCACATTAGACGCAGATTTCCCTATTGTCTATCAATCGCCTCTATGAGGAAAAAAAGACAACTTTTATTTATTTTCGAAAAAAGCATTGAATTATTTTACATTGATATTTAGTAATGAAGAAAAAGCTGCTTAATATATATATATCTATAAAATCAATAAATATGATGATCTTAATGATCGAATGCACAAAAGGAGATATAATTAGTATGTATATGTTTTTTCAAGCAGAACTATGAGTTCTCATACTTTTCGACAACTAGCTTTGTTACTTCATGAAAAAGTAACTTATTCCAGTCATCCACGGGACCGGGTAAGCAAGTATGGAGGCAATCATTATCAGGAGAAGAGTGAGCATCGCCTCGATAATTTGATAGCGTAACATTAAAAAATTGGAATCGTGGGTCATTCTCCTTCTCAATCATCTCTTTCCATGCAAAATCAAAACTCTCAAACATATCCCATTCATATTCCTTTTTTCTGCCCATAGGTTTGATAATATGATCGCTGGGGGCTGTGTACTGTGAACAGTTGGCATGTCCGTAAGGAGTGCTGCGAACCCAAACTATTTGATCATCGCGGATATGATTCTTTAAATAGTTATATACTTTTCTCATGGCCTTTTTGAAAGCTGTTAAAAGTTCTGCTCTGTTTCTATTCGGACCCCACTTTAGGTCAGGATGCCAATGCGGCCCCTTTGAAAAGAAGTATGGGATGGGTTCTTAATCCGATGCACTTTTGTATCAGATATACAATAAACTTACTGTGTTGATCATTATATATCTAAAACGCGGTAGCGCTTGAACCCAAGGGAAATTATTACCAACACCAATCTGATATCCTTCACCTTCATTCGGTTTAATCAAGCTGAAATCATCCAATTTCACCAAATAGTCAGATCGAATATATGCTATGCTCGCCTCAGGTGGTTTGTCTGTTGCAATATCTCCAGCTTCCTTGATATCCTTATGCACTAATTGACTGATCCACATCGTCGTATCGCCTCCTGACAATCCTGTATCTTTATCTTGTGATACCATATCTTGCCCTAATAGACACCAGAGACTCTCAAACATGAGTTGTGTGATGGAGTCTCCTACAAGGAGAAGTGGATTCTGTGATAAATGTCGTGAAAATTTTGTTGCTTCGAAGGGGAAGACCATGCAATCATTCGGTTGCCAGCTATAATCAATGCTGATATCCAAATATACATGTTAATCGTACAATCCACTTTAAAGGTTTTGATTCCTAACAATTTTACAACAAATTTTACATTGCTTTGCTTCTATTAAATTCGGCTGGTGAGTCTCGTCTATAACAGCGATGAGGGAAATCCCAATTGCAATGGTAGCCACTATATGAGTTGATCCCGTCAACTGTATAAGAATCTAAACCAACGCTTTGGTGTATCCACTTTCCTTCATTAAAGCTATCAGATGTACATATATTTTGATGTTTTGAAAATGATTGGTATAACACATCACTGTTGTTCTCGTCTATGCTGGTATATTTATTAATATCACTAGGTTGATTTAGCTGATCAGCAATGTTAACGGGTGTGGGTATCGTATTGCTGGTCAGCATGTACAATGTCACCAAACATATCACACTTATTCCAGCTATTAAATATGTCTTTAATTTTGACGAATCCATTATAGGTATATTAAATATAGTTTAAATAGTATCAGTAATAAGTAAAAGAAGGAGAGGTGTTCGCGCTACAGTTTTTTAATTTGGGTTTAGACGAAGCCTCAATATAACTAGACGAAAGAAGTAAATTTTTGAAACAATTAAGTTATAATTTCAAGATCGAACTACATAAAAATTGAGACGCTTACCTGTAAAAATCAAACTGTCACACTAAAATACTCAGTACGTCTCGTAGTACTTTAACGTAATGCCACTATCAATTGAAAAATGTCCACTGACCTTCAAAATAATGTCTCCAATTATTTGTTCAATGAATCGTCCAAGAATATTATACCATTTCATCCTAAAATAATATAAAATTATCTAAATTAAATATAAATATTGTCCAAAAATTTGTATAAAGTGTAAAGTTGAAGCTAAAACACTGTATTTTTTGTTCTTCCAAAACTGAAGAGAAACGCCGTCTGAAAACTTAAATTTTGGGCTTTTTTCAGCACTGTTGGGATCCTACATTATCTGACCATAATACATCAGTGTCAGCTATAGCTCCCGATACAATCATTTCGAAAACAGCAAACACAATAAGTCTTTATTAATAGCAGTAATCTTAATTTTCTTTTCTTTTTCTTTAGTTTGTTTTTGAAAGAGAAATAAAGACGGTGGTTTGATTCGTTAAGCTTTCGTGTTTATTCTCTCTTGTGTTATTCTTTACATTTTATCTTATAGTTAAAACCAGCGAATACCACAGAGCCAATTGTTTCTCCCTCGCCACAAGATTCCATTAAACCAACGGAATATGAATGTGCAGTTATCATGGCAATAGTGGCCTTACTTTCGTATCTATAAGACTGTGACATGAAGCCACTCTCTGAAGCACATCTTACTTCTAGCTATATCTATCCATTCATGCATGGCCTTTTGTCAGCAAAGAAACCCTCAAAAGTTGCACATTGTTCAAACATAATCCCAGAAGAATTTGACGACACTATCGATCGACCAGATTACAAAATTGACGTGTATGCATCCTCTGGATACCGATTCTCGTACACCAACGCCTATGGAGAGGTCAAAAAGAGCAACAATGTTTCAGTCACATTGCTTGCCAAAGATTTTTATCGGCTGTGCATCTTTAGCAAAGAAGCAATTGATCGATACAATTTGCGAAATGTCCTGACCTTTCAAGTTACAGGCAACTCATTAAGGTTTTTGACGTTGCAATTGGAATTTTCATTCTTATACACTGTTACAGAATTGGCTCGGTTGCGCAATCCAACGAAGAAAAGTGATCTCCTGGATTTGATGGGACATGTGGACAACTTGCTTTTTGTTGCATCAGTGTACCGAGACTATTGCTTGGTTAGCGAAAATGATCTGACGCCTCGGCGCTGTGATACACTGTCGAGTGCGTATTTGGACGTGATCAAAAACAAATTGGCACCAAGGAAACGAACCTGTAACTTGACTCTTGACTCTTGAATGTTGGCCTTCCACGTTTCGTCCATTTGGTTCATCTCTAGCTTCTGGCTCTTTGCCTAACCGTATACCTAATCGATCTTTGTATTTTCCCTATTCTCACTATGACTTTACTGTGTTATCGTGTGTTTTACCTGCTCTATCATCTTTGCTGGATTTACCCATCCTCTATTTCTCTCAACTACTGATTTCCTTTGTACAGCACTTGTTTGCTATTGATATGAATACACAACAGTCTCATCTTTTTTTTCGCTCATGTTTTCGAATCTTATCATTTTGTCGCACAATACGACCACAAGTACAAGTGTTTGTCTCTTCTGCTCCCTTTACGTTCCAAGGACAACCCTCACGCTCAGAATGTTGCCTACAACAATTAAAACACAAGATATGTTGGCCAGGCGTTTTTAAAGCGTGTAAGCTGTCATTGTATTTTCAATTTTTAATAATTGTGATTATTGTGATCATAGTAATCGTATATCACAATGCTTATATTCAGTTTGAAGATTTCTCGCTTTAATTAGCGAGCAGAACTTTCAGACAGAATTATTATGAAATTGAACAGTGTTTATCAGTAAATTATAAGCCTGATGAACGAGACGTGCCTGATGCGGCAATATAAATATGAATAAGGTTAATAACTGGTAAAAAAAATGTTATAATCAAGTTTGTAAGAAGTAGACGTGGCATACTTTGACATAAAGATGTAGTAAAGCAGAACATAGTTTAACTGCGATGAGTATATTTGGCACCACATGTGACTAAAACCTGTCTACATTTTTTGTCAATGCTTGCGATGCTATATGCCTTCTACAGCCGACTTCAAACCTTAAATTTGAAGGGAATCCTTCTTGATCATTCGATTAACGCGACAAACGGAAACGTTTTTTGATTATAGGTAAAGGAACCTTGCTATTGATGTTTTTGAAAGACACAAACAATCTTAAGTTACTTTAAAATCTTCCAAATTTGAATAAGGAATTCATTAACTTTCTTCTTTGTAGATATCTGCTTTGTTGTACTTTTTCTCGTCGCTTAGCATGTTGTGATCTTTGACAAATTGATTGTTTTTTTCGGCGAAGCTTATATTGTAAAAGCCTTTCATAGCGGTCAAAAGTTGAACTTTTAAAATTTAAAAAGGGTAGCGAGTTTTGAGCACCTTCTTCTAGAGGAATATTATCCAGACTATATGACTTTTGACTCTGTAGTATAAGCTTGTTACCTTGATAAAATCAATCGTTGCAGGCACAACTTTTCCTTCATCAAGTACCCAGTTCTAGCAATAATCTAAACAAGTAAGCCAATTTATGATCATTCATTACGTCACTGCTGATTTTTTTCTGTTTTCCCGAACTGCAGTTAATATAATGTCTACCTTCTATCAAACTTTAAGCGTTGTATGTGAAAGTTAAGATAGAATAGAAGTTTTACACAACCATCAAACATTATATTTCGCGTTTGGCTTCAGATACCAATAAGTTCAGTTGTCCTTGTTCCGAACTTGGCTCCTTATGAGGATGAGGCTTATCAGTTTTATGAATTATAAGCATATGTAAAGAATGTTTAAGCTGAAAGCTTTGCTGCAACTACGTTAACAAATGATGTGCAAGTAGAATGAAAAAGCAAGTTCTATAAAGTCTGTCGAAAATTTTCTTCCAAAAGGCGTCTAAGAATACCTTGACGATCACCATTCCGTGATCATTTGCTGGTTTATTGCTTAATTTGTCGACCTCACATTGAATACTTCCATTTTTTTTTTTTTTTTTTTTTTTTTTGCTACGGTTTATTTTATTATTTCTTGACATTTTTGTCGTGAACATAGAAGCATATCACTATAAAATTTTTTAACTTGCTAACTTTACATTTACATTTGTCCCACACTGTAGATAACGCTTTCGGTTTCTAGACTTTTTGAAAGCCAAATATTTCCAAAGCAACAGTGACATCAACGGTTACACCTTCCTTTAGATCTGCATCCACCAATACTTGTCCTACATATCCAGGTCCCATCTCTCCAGGTTCACCATTTTCCCTTTCACACTGTTCTGTCACAGCTACTAAAACGCGGTCTTCTGGGTCAATACGGTCATTTTCCAAAATCCCTTCATGACGATTCAAACAATAGATCCAATAATGAATTTTGCCCTTATCTGTGTTATTGTTTTGATTGCTGGGAAGGGGTTGCTGGACAGTGATAGACGACGCGTTCTTGGGTGGTGGTGTAACAGGAATGATAATTCCATCATCAGAATTGGTTTTAGCTTGATGAATAGCTTTGGTGCTGATGGGAATCTGTGACTTAGGTTTTTTGTTATTAGTATAGTTTGTATGGATATTAGCTGTAGCTGTATTTGTGGTAGGCTGAGTATTAGTATTAGTCTTAGTAATTGTAGTAGTAGTTGCTGTATTAGCTTTTGATGCTGGTTGGGTATCTTTCTCTTTCTTAATTTTGACAAGCGGTGGAGGAGGCTGTACAATTTGCCTCTTACCGCGTTGTAATTCAAATCGACAGACCAAGACATTATCGTTGGGGTCACTGTCTGCATAATATTGAACATCATCTTCTTCCTCATCATCATCTTTATTCAGATCATCGTTAATATGCAATCGATGCCGAGGCATGACTTGGGCTTCAATTTGAACTCGATAAGAAGTACCCAAAATAGTTTCTGATTTCGAATAGAAGTTTTTCCTATATAGTTTGTAGCGAATTGTTTTTTGTTTTTGCTGCGGTGATGATGGTAATAGTAAGGACAATTGGGTGTTTTCATTAGTGCTGATGTTTGTTAATGATTCAGAAGTCGCAGTTACAATAAAACTCTGTTGAGGTTTGTCTAACTGATTCTGACCAATTTCTAACTGCTGAATGCCTTCATTAACGCCTTGGCTGCTACTCAAAGGTTTCTCCAGAGCTCTTTCCTTACTATTAGTATTAGTTTCCTCATCATAAGCTAACCAGAGCGAACTATTACTGTCATTGTCATCGTCAAACGCATGCATATCCACATCTGTCGTCACCTCTTTTTCCTCGCATTCCCAACCATTCTCTTCTGAGGGCGGATTGATGAATATAGAAGATCTAAAGCGAAAGCGTGGTGTACCCAATAATAAACGGCGTCGTCTTTCTTGGGCATCTGTATCATCCACATCAAAATACTCATTCAAGGCTGCAGTACGTTCGTCGTCAGTCATCGATGATTCATCGTATCCGTCATCATCATGCAAACTGGAAGTTGAATTTCGCCTGATCCTTTGCTGCTGATGCTGCATATCCTGAGTTTGTTGATGTGGTTGATACGTCAGAGGGAACAATACTCTTTCCAATGCTTCACGTTGCCATAAAGCACGGAAAACAATTCCTTCATCTACAATGCCATCATGTCGAACAGAGGTCAACTGCTCAAATGTCATATTACTATATTGAACTGTCGTACGTAGTAAGTAAGATAGAACAGTGGCTTTATTAATGACCCCACCTGACGACGCATCTGCGACGAGCTTCTCAAAAGGCACTAGCGCAGAGAAACTGAGACGATGCAAGGTGTGACGTTTTGTCACTTCAGGAAGAACGCGTTCTAATTCTGCAGAGGGAATGCGCTTTCTTTTGCGAGATCGAACTGTGTCTGCCGATAAATTTTCAATGACAGCCTTTGATGATTGTTGAAGTTTTTGGTTATTACTGGGTGAGGATGTAGATGAAGTATTTTCAACTGTTGTTGCATCATCAGATGAAGTAGTTGCCGTATCGCTTAAACCTGAGAGTATCTTTTTAAACTTGGGTTGCAAAGGCCGAACATATCCTGAAAGCCGTTTGAGATCCTGATCTACAGGTCCTGTTGGTGTGAAAGTGATTTTCCCTAATGATTGCATATAAGCCATCAACACTGCTCTTAGCAAGCAATATCTCTCAAACTCAGAAGATACAAAGAGGGGGTCTGCACTTAACACATCTGCCATATAATCAACAGGTAGAGTAGATAATAGAGTTGCATTTTCAGTCCCGTACCGGAAGAGTAATAAAAGAGAAGCATCACGAAGTTGTAAGTAGGCAGAATGGCCACGAGGCAATTGACATATAGTTTCGAGATCGTGCATCATACTGGTCAAGCATAGCTGTTTGCGTGTGTAACGATTGACACAAGCCTGAGTCAAATCATGCAAATCAAATAGGACAGCTACAAACAAAACTCGTAGAGTATCTTGGTCTTCCATTGTGTCAAGTAGTTCTTGTTTGTTGATACAGTACATCCATTTCAGAACAAATCGAATGTGAGAGGATAATAATGGCCTTAAGGCCTCTCTAATACTGCTGTTGTTGCTGTTCTGATCATTGCTGTCATTATTAGTATCGTTGCTCGCTTTCTGCCATTTACGTCTAACTATATGCTGAAAAGGCGTCAGGACAAACCCGCAATGAGTTAACGCCTTAGCAAGATCGATTGTTAAACAGCTGATGCCGCCTTCTGTAGTCATATGCATGGGCAAACGGCTCTTCTTTCTTTCTTGCTCTTCAGCAGATACTGAGTCCGGTACTGAAATGAGGTCGGCATTCAGCAAAAGTCTCCTTAAGAACGGTGATTGACTGACAATCCCCTTATGTACGTTGAATCGCATGGAGAAGGGGAACGATGGATGTATGAGTACTAAGGAAAGATCAGAAAATAGTGATTCTTCAAACAGTGTTTGTTTAAAGTATCTTTCGACTTTTGAAATTCTGTTCTTAGTACGGGCAACCGTTGATGTTGATTTGTTACTTGCTATCGAATTGATAGCTTTTGACGTTGTCATGGCGATCGGTTGTTTTCAACTATGAACAATCTTGAGCCAAAAAGCGACAGATTAACTCCACTGAAAATAAAGGGGCAGAGAGCCTGAGAAACAATGAAAATCACGCGCCGCCCTTTTTCGCGCTGTGCAAAAAAGGAGAATATCGCGTTTTTTTTTTTTATGCAGGAACAATAATTTTGGAAAAGGCTACGGCAGTTGACTCCATCAAGTGCACCGTGAGCTTTATATAGTAGTACGTCTTTTTTTTTTTTTTTTTTTTTAAAGAAAAATAGAGGAAGACACAGATCAACAATAAATCATTAAACAACATTCTGTTTTTATCAATACATCAGTGATATGAGCCAGAACAGCATGTCATCTTCATGCCACTCCTTTGCAGCAGTTCTATTTGGCCTTGAAGAAACTTAATGACAGATCCGATACAGTGTACTACGTTTTTAGGCGATTAGTTGACTCCGCGTAAATTTACATAGTATGCTGTTAATGATGTTAATTACGTACTGCGCTAATATTTTTTGTCGATCTTTTCTTTGCCATGCATTTTGAAGGCTTGAGATGCTAAAAGTGAAGGTGTTTAATCGAAAAGAACAAAAGATAGATTTACAAATGTACTGCAGTAGAAACGTGCTCGACACGGATTCAGTCTATCATTCCAAAACATAACCATATATATATATATATATATATTATTTTCTAATACACGGCAAAGATAACAATTCGTGGTTGGAAATTTTATATAACTATACAGGAACAACTACAGTGGTCTTTTTCATAAGATTATACTTATTTCCAAACGTCACTGCTAAGAATTTCTTCCTCACTCAGTGTATCCGAGTTTTTATTGGAGCCACTAACGTCTGCGGTACTGTGAATGTTATTGTTGCGCTGTGACCATTGCCAAGTATCTGACGGGTTATCATGACTGTAATTATGAGCTATATAAGGCTGTTGCTGTTGGTAATCTAAATTGTTAGTAGTAATAGTAGGTGAGGTACGCGGTGACGGTGATAGCTGTGAGGGTGATGTCGAAAATATAGTGTTTTTAACATTGTTTGATTGCTGCTGCTGGTGTTGTTGCACGGTAGCAACAGTAGAAGGGTATCTTTGATTTGTGGATGTAGATGAAGAACTTTGGATATCTCTTGTTTTGTCAAGATTCGTGTTTGTGTTATGAATAGCATTTGCAATAATGGTACTGCTGCTACTAGCCATTTTTGTATTGCTCAATATTGGCCTCATAACAGCAATTTTTGGTGAAACAGCTTTTGCCGTAGTAGTAGGTGTACTAGCGCTCATGAAAGGTCCATCAGCCCGCTTTATATTGGATAATGTTGGTTTCCTACTAGGTAACGAAGGTAATTCTTTCACAGGTAGCTGTGCTTCTTCGTCTGATAAATCATCTACTAGTACATAATGTCCTTTTCCTTGCTCAATAATGACATCAATGCACCCTTCCCTGGGCCCAATTAGGTTTTCATCACTATTTCTTCGCTGATGTCTCTTGGATTTCTTCTTTTTACGACTGTATTCTCCTACCAAGCTACTGATATAATTGTTATGCTGCTCTTGCCCTTGCTGTTGCATTCCAGCGCTAATTGTGGTTGTTATACTTGATGTACCATAACCTCGTTGTTGACGACGACGTTCTTGCCGAGCCAGCCGCCATAATGGTACTCGGAAATCGACCACAGGGTAATTATAATCACCAAATACCATCTTCCGACTCGCTTCATATAATGCCTCCATTGGATCTGACGGATCGGGGTCGTCAAAAGCTAATGGTTCTGGCTCTTCCAATGGCTGAACTTCATCATTCATACCCCGTCCTGACGAGGTAAGGAACCGTGATGTAGGAACGGGCTCTAACCAACGCTTCTTTGTTGTAATATTTGAATAACGTAATCCCGCCATTATACGAGAGGTACGGCTGCTACCCATATGCGGTACACCCTCAGAAGGCTCGAAGGAACGGTAACTGAAACCAGAGCCCTTCATGGTGGTTAATGTATCCATTACGACATCTTTAAGACCAAAAGAGTCCTTGATGGCTTTTCGAATAGGCATGCGAGCAGAATGAACTGTTTGATCAAAGTAGTCTTCATAAGAAAAAGAGAATCTGTTATGGCAATTGAAAGTGATTAGACGATTAAAGTACAAAAAATGACGCCATAAAACGATATGAATAATGTTGTTGTATAAATACAAATACTTACGAATGAGCGATGGCGAAAGGAACCATTTCTATGCATACAAGGAAATCCTGGATTGCAACTGAAATATGCTCAGCTGATGTCACGAGAAATGATCATTAGTATGCACTAACATTTTTAATCGATAGATCATGGGAGCTCTTTACCTTCGGGTATGATTCCAGCAAATACGAGTAATGCTACAACAACACCTTGCCAAAAAGAAAAGAAAATGATAGCTTTTACACAAAGGAATTTCGGTAGAGGCCTTTAGAGAAGAAAGAAAGTACCTGTCAGCGAGGACCTTTACCTATGGGTTTCTGTATGATGACTCTCTGTTTTACCTGAAAGATGTCAAATCCTTCTTTGTCGCATAGAAAAACACCATCAGGCACCATAAACTTAAACAAACACTCAAATTATAAAAGAACGTCAACCAAGCATACGAACTTGACCATGTAAACTGACCTTCATTGTAGTTGCCAGTTGCTTTCAAAATCATAGTCAGAATAGCTAGGATAGGCTTAACATAAACAAATTGCAGAATGCCTCTTTTCACAAAAAGGAAAGTGTAAGGATCACCGACAAATATTTCTCTCGAATACAATGTACCAGGAAAGAAGTTTTGTGATGGAGGTCTTGAATGAAGCATAATGATTAATGCTCTTTCGCCTCCCAACTTGTTGAGTAAAAGATTGAAGAAGGCATAAATGACAAATGCCTCATAAATATCTCGGAAAGTGTCGACGTAGAACGCAACGTTAAGTGAAACGAGTGAAATATAAGTACTAATGCCGTAAATTGGTACCCTGAATTGAAAGAATACGTCAGTTCTATATCATTTTTTTCAGACTGCTGCTGCTTTTTGTTACTGTACATCCATAATATACGAATAACCTGTCTTTGTTGATTCTATTTTTAGAGATACCAGTTAAAGTTTTCCCAACATTAGATCTTTGCCTGTGTCCAATTTCTGCAAGCTAACCAACATTACCGGCTTTCTATAATTTTTCCAATGCAACCAAACTGAAAAGAAAGATATGCAGGAACCAACAACCGTACATAATAATGCAAGTTGTATCAGAATTGGGTTGAATTCAGAGCCTGCACCTCCACTTTCTCCTCCATAGGTATCTAAATTCTGCAACAACAAAAGCTTCGATGATGCTGCTTCTTCTACTACTGCTGATAATGGCATTGTGAGGTGAACTATCTTTTGAGGGTATCTCAAGTAAACATGAATTGGATGATATCAAATCAAAGATGCAACAGATTTTCTCTTTCTATAAAGGAATGGATATAATTGTCTAGTACGAATTGATGAAAAGAAGAGGTTTGAAGAGATTGCAAGGACAATGAAGTGACGATGGGTAAATGGAGAAAGAAAGGCAAAAAAGAGAAGATAGACAACATCATTTTGGTCAACTCGTTTGCTTTTTTTTTCCCTATTCATTTGTTTCATTCACGTGGAAAATATTTCATTGGTTCCAAACAAAGAGAAGGCATAGAAAAAGGCTCGTTTTCCGTACAGGAGTTTGAAAATATGTTTGGAAATTGTAGTTTGATTCTGACCTTTTATAAGGTCTGTCGATACAAAAGAAATAAGGAGCGTGTGATGGATACGTATAAAAACGAATGGATGCTAAACAACAAATTTGGGGTATTTCAAATGAAAAGCAATAAAAGCAAAGGAGTGCAAGTTAATGGTATAAAGGAAGGTAAGAGGTCAACCAAAGGCTAAAAATCCAAAGGTAAATCATCGTCATCCGTTAAATTGCCAGCCTCGAGCTTCTCCACTTGACCTGGCGATTCTTCATCTTCATCAGTGTCATCATCGTTCTGTCTATCATCTAAACCGAGTTTCTCCAAAATGTTTTTTCCACGCGGAAATGCTAAAGGCACGTGCACTTGGCTAGGGGAATCTGAATCAGCCGGTGATAAGGTATGACCAGTAAGTAAAGTATTTGTACTGTCTTTCAATGCAGATAGAGTAGGGCGCTGTGGTTGTAAATGATTTAAATTTGGTATAGGTTCAATGACTGAAATGGAGAATTCTGCGTCAGAGGGTACAAATGGTGACGAAGCCGTGTTCTCCCCTGTTTCTTCATCATCTTCTTCTTCGAAGAAATTAATACTACATGATGCATTTCCATTACTATTCTCTCTGAAACAATAAGGATTTGGTGATAGTGATCTTGCTCTTCGTGTAAAGTAGTCTTTTTGAGCGTTATTAACGCTATCAGTATCACTGCTGTCATTATCTACTAAGTCATTTTGCGTTATCACTATTGGCTTATACTTAATTGATGTTGTATTCGTTTTTGGAAATAAATCAATGAGATCGTCATCTTCGCCAGCTTCGCCAGCTTCGTCATCATCCTTATCGCAACTAAGGTTTTCATTTAGGATACTATTGTCACCACCTGTGCTATTGTTATCGTTGTCTTCTGCATAACCACTGTCTGTGGCCCTTGCTGCTGCTCCGGGTTTTTTATCATAGATACCACCAGTTAAACCGGACAATGATACGAGAACAGGAACTTTTCTACTTTCATTGCCTGGTGTATGGGGAGGTGTCACATCTGCGTTCTCGTCGATAACTCGGCGTTTGGTCAAAGGTGCTTCAGCGACTGAATTCTCATCTGTTACGTCGTTCTCATTGCTTTTATCAGCGTTATCTTCATTATTTTCAGTTTTACGTATAACATCGCTTCCTTTTGAGCTCGATGGACGTAATGCAGGAGTTTCCCGATTATCTATACTGCTCAGAACGGCTGCTTTAGGGTGATTGAGCGAACTTGCTGTTGCTTGAAATTTTTGAACCGGCTGTTGCACATTCTCTTCCTCATCATCAGTGTCATTCTCTATACGCCTTCGAACTGCACGACGTTGCTGGCCTTGGGAGCTACTTATTGCGTTTGAGTCATTTTCTTGTCGTTCACGACGAATGGGAATGACAGGATTGAAATAGTGGTCAATGTTACGGTTCGAATGTTTGTCTTCTTCAATTTCAGTTAATTTTCTCCTACTGAGTGCTGGCATCGTCAGTGTTCACGAAGGTTACTTTTCTTTCGGTGTATTGTCACTTGTATTAGCCAACACTAAGTTTCACTAAACCTTATCAAAGTGCTGTATTTTGTTATTTGAGCCTTCTTGAATGGAGGCGCGGAGTCGTGTTACTTGTTTAGATGAACAGAAAGAAAAAAAGGTTTTGGATTTAAAACAAAAAACACTGACAATAACCCCGTTTTTTTTTCTAAAAAAAAGGCAAAAAAAAGCCCGCTTATCTTCATCATTTACGATCATGATTATTGTGTTTCAAGCAACCTAACTCGTTGCCCTTGATTTCCAGCATCTTCAGTTAAAAATAGCGAACCAAGTAGCGGCTACCATAAGTCTAAAAGCAAAAATAAAGGACTTATAAGAAGGAAAGACTCGTTGGGAGTTTGCAGTGTCTTTGGTCCATCAAGTTAATAATCATATCGTTCAATGATAAACTAACAACCGTTTGGACTACTATCAGAAAAGCTTTTTAGAGTTTACGATCAATATGAGTAACAGCTTTTCATGATCAACCAAACATATGAATTCCAAGTGATATGAGGATGCAAGGTAAAGTTATGTTGAGCTAAATTTCACACGTGAAGAACGAAACCACAAATAAACGGCACGACCGTGATCATAGATGTGGGTATCCATTAAGTTCTCCTTTATATCAATCATTTACCATTGTGTCTACAGAAATAGTAAAGCAACGATATCATAGATTAATAGAGTTGTGTTGGTATTCCGTGAGTGATGAACTATTCGGAAAGCTTAGGTCTGTTATTTGCTGTATTTTCTGTAAGTCATCTAAATGCTTTGTCATGAGAGGAAGACTTTGACAGATTGGATACAAAAAAAAGAGGATGAGGAGGGTGTTCAAAAAGACGTTCTGAAATCATTGAGGAACAATACTTTGATTGACATTGTTATGAACTATATGATAACAATACACAATTTTCTAAAGTTTTACTATGGCTCGCACCGAACAGTCTCAACTGTTACTCTAGCTTTGCATTGCACTTTTAAAATAAATGACTCTCAGTTCTTTCGCTTTTTAGAACTCACTGCACAACAATTTGAAAACGCAAGCTTAAGCACGTTGTTATTTTTTGTTCAAAAGCATTAAAACATTGATCAACGAAAGTTGTTTATCATCACCTGCTATTTCCTTGTATCTATATTTGTGCTTTGATTAATTTGAGTAAAGCTTGTTTTCGTTTATACCAATCGAGCAGACACAATATTAAAATACACAGACCAAACAAAGAATGGATGCAAAAAAAGAGGAGAAATGAGGTATATATTACAAAAAATATGTATCAATTAAATTTATATTATTCTTTTTATATCTAATATAGATTTTTATGTAGTTAAATACAAAGGGTTTAGGCTGCTTCCAGAGTCCTCGTAAACCTAATATACTCTATTACGATATTAATTAATGACCATAATAATAATCTTCTACACTGACCAAAGCAGGTAGGCTTGTGGTATCTGTTGTCGTCACAGCTATTCCAGTCATTTCACTATTACTATTGTTGTTAGGTGACATTATGGTGTTCGTTGTAGAAGCTTTACTTCGTAGAGAAGGTGACCTTGGTAACTTTGCGACTACTGAAGCAACCACATTCATAAAGCTCTGGGGCCGCCAGCGTGTCGAAACCTGTTGCTGTTGTTGATAATCGCCCAAAGATTGTTGCTGCAGTCTTCTACGACGGTTATTGTAAACGAGCATACCGGCGAGACCCAAAGCGGCTACACAGCCAATACCTACTCCGAGGCCAATACCTAGGGCTCGGTGGTTAACATCATTTTCGCCCGGTGAATTGGGATCATTCTTCACAGTATTATTATCGTCATTGCTGTCCACATTGGGGAAAGAGTTGATAACATCTGTAGGTGTGTTGGAAGGACTGCTGGCTGCCGCTTCATCAGTCAAAGATGTTGTTGTTTCTGGATTAGTTGTGGTGATCTCATTAGTATCACTAACATCACTATTATCATTGTCATTCGTGGAGCTACTTGCAGTTATTAACCCATTATCATTTTCATTGGATCCATTATTGTTTTCGTCATTCTCATTGTTAAGATTATTTGCAGATGCCATTGTTGGTTCTGATGATATTGTTGGAGAAGAAAGTGCGGCAGGCGTTACTCCGTATGCAACCATATTAGTTGTTGAAGTGGTAGTGCTAGCGAGTCGTGTGGGGGCGGGGTAACGATAAGTCTGTTCACTAATGATACTACTAGCACGAAGATGCTGCTGGTGGGCTTTATGTGTTGGTCTAAACTTTTTACCCTTTGAAGAAGCTGTCGAGTGATGAGCTATTGATTTTTTTGTTGATGTAGGTTTCTCTTTTTTAAGGTGTTTTTCTCTATCATGAGCGCTTTTGTGATGGTGTTTATGGTCGTAATGACGATGGTAGTTGCTGTTAGAGTATCTATTGGTATTTTGCTGGTGACCAGAATGTACAGGTTTTGTTTGATGCTTATCTGTATAATGGTCCTCATAGATGGAAGATGAAATATGATCGCCACTTCCTATCGTTGTGGCTGTGGTTTTAGCAGCAGTAATAGTCTTATGATAGGCTGCTACAAAGGTTGTAGTTGTACAAGTAGGAATGATTTTAGTTTTTGTCGATGTTTTTATCACTGTAGAATGACTTATTGTGAATGTTTGCGTTTGTGTATTCTTCCAACAGCGACTTGTCGATGTGATATGGAAGCATAATGGAGGTAGAAGGCTTTTTAGTATTGATGTCGATTTTGTTGGTGATGATGAGGTAGTTGAAGTAGTAGTAGGTTTCTTATGAATACGTAAGGTATACACTGGCTCTTCGCTCTTATGATCATGATGTGCTCGTAGTAGTTGTCGTTGTAAAGATGATGATATCGGATAATCTATATAAGAAGAGTTAGAAGGGGATCGACAAGGAATAGATATTATTGTCTTTTATATTGGCATTTATTTTGAGGGTAAACGAAAACGAATGATGAATAAAAAGTACCTGTCAAAACGGGAGTTTCTTTAAACTTTTCTAAAAGTTTTACATTCCAAAGGATATCAGTAACTAATTCGAAGCTATTTAGATGATTGTACAAACGTTTACCTGTAGAAGCAACATTGAGCCCAAGTAGAAGTATATTTATAAAGAGCAGTGGCAATATCACTCGGTTCATTGAAGGACATCCAAAAATCTTTTTGATCAAATATAAAGTGCAAAAAAAAAAAAAAAAAAAAAAAAAAAAGTAAGAGTTTAAAGAGGAATAAAGAAAGCAAAAATCCAGGAGGAAGTGTAGAGAATTTATTGAAAAAAAAAAAAAGAAGGAGAGAGAGAGAGAGCGTGTAATATATGAGTGTGTATCTGTATAGGTTCTAGTAACTATACAGTGAAGAAATGGAGAAAAATAAAGGAAAAAGAAAGAGATGTGGAATGGTTCAGGATAACGTTGTTACAATAAGGTTAAACAGCCAGATACAATAACTTACTGGGATCATCGTCTACTTCAGTATTAACCAAAGATATTACTGTGCTACATTGCACCTTTTCCTAGGGTTGTGCACACATTTCGGTTAGTTCATTTTTCAAGGCAATACTGGACTAAATAAATGACTATTTTTAAAAGACCTCCTTCGTCCTGCGCAGAAATAAAATAGAACAATAAAAGAGAAACAAAAAAGCAATTTGACTTAGTAGCTTTCAAAAGGGTAATTAAATTTTTAAAGGAGAGCACAAGGCTCACGTTTAGCTACTTCAACCCCTAGCTTGTTCTTGTGGGTTGGTATATTACTGAACTACACACTTCTAATGGCTCTTTTGTGCAAGAGAGCGATGGTATGTAAAAGTAGTAGTAGCGTACATATGCCTCTTTAGGAAGGATCTACCGGGTGGCAAATGCACATAGTGTAATATATAACCGTTAGCCAGGGGCTTGTTGTGAGCAGAAAAACAGAAAATGCGAAAAGCTTCATTAAATTAGCCAAAAAGATTGTTATTCTTCATCAAAAGCGGTATACAGTCAGGAGAACACAGGAACTGAATACGATGCTGGACAATAAGGGAGACATGACAACCTACGAGTAGGAAATCAACGGAAGTCCTGATTATATAAGATGTCGGACTGCTCAATACGTGGAGAAGCTAAATAATCGTTACAAAGGAAAAGAAAATCACTATGTGTACTTTTCTGCTAAACGTCAACGTTCTTACTCTGTTGCAGCGATGATCGATATAAGGAAGGGAGAGGTAGGGTGCTAATATATTACAAGTGCTTCATATAGTTGGGTATCGGAAAATACACGCTTAAAGCTCTTTTCTTTTATCGTGCGGGGAAAGGAAGAAGCCCAATTTTTGTGAACATTAACTGCCAAATGCATGTATTTGTAGTTTAATAGGTCTTTGTTAATGTGTCTCAACAAAATAGAAGAATTCACAAAGGGAAAACAATTATAAGCTCTCTAATCCGAATCTTCTATCTTTCTTCCATTCTTTCGACTTTGACTTTTAGATAATTACATGTTTTATCGGATTTGTTTCTTTCGTATAATTGTGAGCGAGTGAGCAAGTGAGTGTGTTTAAAGTATATACTGTTAATTTAATGGTGGTGAGCATCTTCAGCACCTACGAAATCCATTTTGAAAACAGAGCCACATTCGGGACAACGATCGTATTCGTGAGATTTATCCAAGTTGATCCAAATGACTTCGTGTGATTCAGCGGGGAAACCTAAAAATATTGTGCATTTATGTTTATCGTTAGCAAAGCGTTTCCTTGTTGTAATGTGTTATCTAAAATTGCACATATAGTTTCAAATATTTCAGTGATTTTTACCAGTACAGCCAACGAAACGAATAGGATCATGAGATTTCACAACAATAGGGTTGGATTTTGTACCAATGTGGGTCATATTCAAAGGTTCCAAATCAAAAAACTCTTTGCCTTCTAACTTAGCGAGCAATTCTTGTCTTTCTAAACCTGTAGCTTGTTCAAGATCAGTTGGGACTTTGCCGTCTTCAGATCCGGGACCAAGGTTGGATTCAGAGGGATGACCAACGGCTCCAGCTAAAAGTATCAGTAATAAAGAAAGGGTGTTCGTTAGTATGAACTTTCTCTCTATATCTGGACATCGGTGGGGTCGCGACGTTATTTTTTTTTTCTCGTTATATTTTCTCAAACAAAGAAGGTTGCGATGTATTTCTGGACTGTAATTTGGACTCAATCTCCAAATGAGTTGTTTAACTTGTCACTATTTGTCCATTGTTGGTGGGTCAACAACCCTTCTTTTCCCCCACGCAATGTCACTAATTTCGTCCTCAAAAAGCAATCGTCAACTATGTTAGATATTTACAAAGACGAGCGCCGAAAACGGAGAAAGGTCTAACAGAAGTACGAGCAGCAATGGGTGCAGCTCTAATAGCAGCGCGGCGAAGGGCGAACATTTAGATTAAATACAAAAGAGAGGGGAGGCGAATAAATAAAAAAATAAGGTAAAATAAAGAGCAACAATAGGACTTTATTGTTATGCTACATCCGCAACTGTGTTGGCCGTTCAATCAAAGCGGCTTCTTTAACCAATCTCAGCCCTGGAAGGAATACCTGTTAAAAACCATTTGCTGGATAGACCTGTGACGTCACAACAACGGTTGTGCCTGATTTAATCCTTGCTTTAGCTTTGTCCAAAGAAGAATTACTACTGACACTGAAAAGAGAAATGAGCACGATTCTCTGGCTTCAGGACACAGTTTGAATATGTCGGCTTCTTAATGATTTTTAGTCTATTACTTTGTCATCGCTCAACAGAGTGGGGTAAATCCAACTTTTTCAAATTTGACAATGTGGGGAAAGAGCAAGGAATTGAATGTCCGCTTCTAAACATATGCATGAAATGTCACCTTACAGGACCATACCAATATATATGACATTCTTTTAATTGAGAGGTAGGAGGGAATAGTAAAGGAGTGTAATCCACTTTATTTAAGTATGTAATGAAGCTTCTATACAAATGTAAAATGAAGATAATGCGCGAAAGGGTGTCTGCATTGTATAAAAAAGGATTGATGAGCACTTCTCGTTACTAAATTGATGTACAGTAGCAGACGGAAGACTACAGGTATGTATAACTTGTTCTAGCGCTTCGAAAGTATGTGATGGCTAATTGCTATTGCTGTTCTGTTGTTTGGCTTCGAGTTTCTCTTCAAGCAATTTGATTTTCTTTTGCAATGGTAAGGAAATCTCTTCTGCTGTTTGCTTTACAAGTTGGGTTATTGCATCAAGCATTGCTGGATTAAGCGAACCAAGGGTATCGCTCGCTACATTCGAAGCACTTGATTCATTTGCGCCCAGAGAGGATGGCAAGCTCAGAGCTTGAACCTTTTTGGCGGTTGTGAAAGGATCAATCAAATAAGAAATGAACGTTTCATGATTACTACGCAAAAGAACTTATGAATATATGCTGCTGCCTTTTACATAGTCATATAAAAAATTAGACCCCTTAGACTTACCGTAAAACCTGCTCAATTTTTTTCATAGCTGCTTCTAAACGTGCAGGGAAAGTATCATTCAACACAGTTTCCTTGTATTGTGATAGGAAATCCAATAATTTTTGATGCTTAGCATCAATCTCAAGTATTTTTTCCAAAACAGCAACATTGCTAGTAGCTGTCGCTGTAGTCTCTACCATAGCATTACCATCAGTGACATCTTCTGTTCTTGGTCTCTTTCTGGAATCACCATTGTCTGCGTCTGTGTTGCGGATGCTCGCCATAGCATTCATCTTCTCTTCGATTGCTTGTGCGCGCATTTTAATCACTGGCTCAATCATCTTCACGTTGTTATGCATAAATTCAATTTCACGTTGCATTTCCTCTATATGTTTAACTGCAGCTACTTGATCGAACTGATGAAGAGCAGCATTGGTATTTGGCACTCCTTGAATACGAAGCGTTTCAACAATTGCACGTGTTGATTGATTTTTTTGTTTCAACTGTGCAAGTTCAGATGAGATATGTTGGATGGATTGCTTAATCGCCTCCTGAGAAGCCATCAATGTTGCTGACGCTGCGGCTGTTTCTGCAGGACTGGCGGTACGACTGTTATCGTTCTTATTCTGTTGCTGCTGTTGCATTTGCATTTGCTGCTCTGTAATTGTGATCATCTTTTCAGACAATGACTTGAGTGCTTTATACTCTGATAAACCTTCGATTATTTTTTGTAAATTGACCGGTCCCACTTGCTCATACACCTCCTTCCTCACAGTTTCGGCAATCCTGGCAGGAATCGATTTCAATACCTCTTCATTTTCCTTCTTTACTTCTTTCAATGTTTCTTTCTGTTTATCATCTAATGTTGCTGTCAACTTTTCAATTACAGTTGTTTCTACTGTAGCTGTAATCCGTCCTATGTCAAACTCCTCTTTCAATTTTTCAATTAAGCTGCGTTGACGTTGAGTACTTTGATCAATTTGAGCAGTAACAGCTTGAATAGTTCTTCTCGAGAAATCGACCATTTTTGCTTTCGACGCCTCGAACTCATCTTTCAATTGTTTAATATCTGTTTTTTCCAGTTTTGACTGCTTCAATGACTGTATATCTTCCAGCACTTTGGATAGTTGCTTTTCCATCTCTTGATTCATGTTTGTTTGGAACTCTTTCACTGAATCAATATATAATGTCACAAAGCTACCGCAACGTTTTTCTGTCAAGTTCACAATTTTACTGATGAGTTCCTTTGAGAAATTGACAAGGCGCGATTCATGTTCAGATTGCCTAAATGGTTGTTAAGCGTTGTTTCAACGAATGAGAAATAGAGCGTAGACGTTGAATAATTAAACAAAATTCCTACTCTTGTATCTTTCGCTTCATATCATCTTGTAGATCTCTAATCGTTTTGCCTAATAGTTCAGTGCGATGAGATCGGTGAAGGAGTCAGTGAGATGTTCATTTTTCATAATCATCGACGTGAATCATTTACTTATGTTCTCGTATGCTTGGTCAGGTCTATTAGGATTATGCGCAAAACTGTCACGTATTTCGATTAAAGACTTTAGCTTTGTATCAGTAGCCTTAACTTCACCCGAAATACGTGTTGATTCATAGAATGACCTGCAATAGAGACGGCATAACAGTAAGAAGTCAAGGATCTATTCCACACATATATAATTCTATGGCTCATTGATAGAATGGACATAAAAAAAAATTTGCTGCATTACTTGAAACATTCTCTCAAGGCTTTCTCGGCAAATTGTAAGATCTCTTTCGCAAGAGCTTCTGCTTGTTGTTTTTCCTGCCTAAACTTATTATCGTTCATTGTTGGCATTAGCAGTGCTTCTTCTTTTATTTCTAACAGCCAGCAGAAAGAAAGAAGGGAAAAGTGACTTTCGAACGAAAAGCTGAATTTCCCAGTGTTTGATTCTCTCTAAAACCAATAAAAATCATTTGCTAGACTATTAACGTGTACCTGATTTTGAATGCCATTTCCAAAGGGTTAGAGATTATAATTAATTTTTTGTAACCCATCCTTAATTTCCCCTCAATCTCTGAGGTAGTTTCGAAACATTGTTACAAGGCATAAGGCAATGTTCGTAGCACAATTTTTCGTTTTCTCGTGGTGAATTCCTGAGATAGTCGAACGATTAAAATTATGATGCTTTCTCTTGGAGATCTGTTACAGCACGTAAGCCAATGCTCCTATCTCAAGCAAACGGTCGCAGCTATTGCACATACACTTGTGTCAAGACGCAAACGTTACTTCACGTTGTGCTCGATGAACTAAATGACTTCATAAGCTTTCTTTGTCTCTATTTTGCTGCTCACGATTTATCGGAATTTCAAGCTGACAGCACTTCTGCCCTGGCACTGGCTGGCTCCACAAAAAAGTATAAAACTGCAGAACCTGGAAAGAATATGAAAGGCGAACAGAAAACTAGAAAAAGCGAGAACCTTTCTTTTCTCTATCTCTTTTTCATCCTTTTTACGACATAACTCCCTTGACCTATATTTGCATCTTCTAACCTTATCATCAGGTTGATCTTAAACATTAATCTTAACGATATCGTAATAATATTCATTATCCAATTCTATGTCTGCAGCAATTTCACCTTCAAAACTAGCAGTTCTTCATGCGTATCGCAACTTGTTGAAAACACAGAAAGAAGTGTTTTGTGGTAATTAGAATAAAGTGTGCGGAATGTTTGGATATACTAATGCTGATATATCGCATTCTATGACCTTCATTGTTTATTCAGCTGATACGAAAGCGATACAAGGTAAGAATAATGTTGAAAAATTAGATAGAGAAAAAAATAGACATGCTTAGCAGGCAGGCAATTACACTGTAACAGAGGTATCTAAAAGAAGTTATCCCTTTAACGTATAACAGCTGCTAAAAAAGAGACACATGCTAGATTTATGCAGTTCAAGGATGAGACCAATACAGACGTTCTTGAGGAGGTAACTGTGAATTTTCACTGATGTAGAATGAAAAAGCAGGGAAAGATCTCATCGGATGGTTTTTTCAGAAACTAAAATTAGCTGGACAAGTAGCAACTTTATTGAAGAGAAATGTGATCCAAGCTGTAGAGAAAGATGAGAATCTCTTCAGTAAGCAGTTGCGAAAGATAACTCCAGAAATTGCGCGAAATCTTACATCTCCGGATTTTTTCACAATAGAACTGAGAATTACAAAAGACACAGAATTAGGCGACAACGACAGTATTAAAAATTCCAAGAATATTCATCGTAAAAAAAAGAAGGATGCCAACACTGGTAGTAGCTGTCACGATGGCTTACATTAACAATTGAGTCTATAAATCAGAAAAAGGGAACTATGCATGCTTAAAGATGCCACTCAATTTTGTCGAACTCTACAGCTTACAAGGATAGTATATGAATATATTAATGTGAAGAACGGGACCCTTCCCGCCTCTTTGACTTTTTTCTGTCTCATAAGTCAACAAAATCAACGTATGACAAAACGAAAGACCATTTACGCAATTGCGGGCTTCACGATGACGGGTTGATTTTTTATGTATACACGATCAAATAAAGAAATCAATGATAAATGGAGTGCGAAGACGGAAGGATTAGACTGAGCAAGCTTTTGTGCTGTATGTGTGTTATATGCAAATTGAAGGGTTTCTTCTTTTAAGACATGAAAGAAGCAAAGGAAAATTTTATTTGTACAATATTGGTATCTACAAAGTATGTTTGTAATGAAGTTAAGATGATTCGGTGATGGGGGGACGTATTATGTAGTTTCAAAAAAAAAAAATCAATTGATCAACAATTAAAAGGTATATTGACTTGATGGGTGTAATTGATATGTAGGTGACGGTGGATTGATTTGATCCCTAGCTGTGGCTGGATGATCAATGGTTCGATGTAGTTTCGGTGGCATGATCGCAGCAAAACCGTCGGCTGCCTCATGCTTTTCTGTTGTTGCAGTGGGTATAAATTCTTCTACCAAGGTGGTAATTGAGGAAGAAGGCGAAGGTAACGATGACAGATCAGAAAAAGTCGATCGATTACTACGAATAGAAGACGACCGAGTAAGGGTAGGAGATGTCACGGGTGAGGACACAGTTGGGCTTCTTCGTCCTTGCTGATCACTTAATACTGTTTCTAAAATATTGATCTTTATCTTGGCTTCTACGTATAACTTTTCCAACTCACAGTAGCAATAATTACTGAAGTTTGACTCTTGATGAGTAGCCATATTACCACAACCATAACAATGCTTGGTTTTGTCTGCAGAAGTCTCACTTTTGACCTTCTCACATGTTACTGTTGCTTGATGTTGCTGCTGTGTAGTCAAAAGCTGTATTTTATCTTTTAATAACATGTTGTCTTTTTGTACTTCTGATAATGCCTTGACTAAGTCTTCAATTTGCTGATGAAGTACTTGCATCTCAGGCTTGCGTTGGCTACTATTGTTGTTATTGCTATTTGATGAGAGCTTTGATATTGATGTTACCTCTTGTCTGCTGTGCGCCATAGTTTTGAGTTTTTCAGTGTCGGCTCTAGTTAGCATCACAGAACGCGCCCTTTTAACAGTTCCAAACCAGCTTTTCGATTTTTGGTCATCACGCTTTTTGAGTGTTTCCACCAATGTTGGTGGCGATACTGACGTTGCTGTTATGGCTGTTGGTAATTCACTGCTGACACTGTTGGCTTTGGCTGATTTTTCACTACGAATAAGTTTTGTAGCGCTTTCCTTCTTAGCCCGAAATTGACGATATCTGCTTTCCAAGTTTCTCAACCTCGTCTTTGTCACAATGCTGTGTAATTCAGCTGTATCATTGATAATGGCGTCGTAATTGCTATCGTAAGGTTCTATTAGCTTGGTTGAAAGATAAGCCATGATTTCTTCGAATTCTGTGAGTTTTAATAATTTGTCAGCTGACTTTTTTAGCAATGTCAACGAAGTGCGTAGAATTGTTTCCACTGGCCCTTCAAGAAAGATAATATCATAAATGCGAAAAATCAAGGGTAGTGGAAAAATATAGGCGAATAATGTTAGGAACCACTGCGAAGTGTACATTTGTGATTGAATACCAAAAGATCGTAGAAACTGATGCAAATCAGGCAGCAGTTCCAGTAATAAAGCGTCAAACTGAAATAAACTTAAATGTAGGCCATCCATATCTGGTGTGAATAAAGTACGCATACCGTAAGTATCCATAAGTCTATTTCATGGAAAAACTCAAATGTGTAAGCAGGAGGTATCGATTTTCGCGCGCCGCCCCCTTGATTTCGTGAGGCTAATCTTTGTTAAGATGCTACATACCTTACAAATACGCAGAATGCAGCCTCTTCAGGCATCTGCTTGTAAAAAAGAAGCAAAAAAAGTCAAGCGTAATTAATATACACATTAAGTTTGCTTTAAGTCGCAATGGAAAAAGGCAGATTGAATTGTTGTATAAACTTACGTTCAATAATAACGGGCCGACTAGAAATGCCAATCCTTGACAATAACCAACATCAGCGTCGTACAAACTGTACGCGCGTAAAACGCGTGCTAAAGCATCTTGTCCTCTTTGCTGACTGAACATTTTTGTATTAGGAAACGTTCTAGTTACATCTCTTTGAATCAAGTATTCGAATGTGGTATGTTCATTCTTCAATTGATCATAAAGTCTTTCTAGATGTAAAGAGGTTGCATTGGATAACGCTTGCCAAACTGATCCGCGCATATGTGCAGGTGATATGCCTCGTCTAAGTCTTGACATGAGGTTTTGCTGAAGCGTAGTTGGAATCGACCCACTGATAATGACATTTGATATAGCTGACCAGAATTTCTCATTTTCTGCTGCTTGTTCTTCTGCTGATGATGAAAGGACGCTTATGTTCTTGCTGTATGCTATACTATCAGCCAACTCCTATGATTTATAAGAAAACAATTTCAACGTCAGAAGTGGTAATGACAATATCACTAATGAGGTCTGTAAAGTACCTGCTTTTTATTTTTCCTGTCTTGATCTATTGCAGTTGGCACTATGGCGATGTTTGTGGCAGTTTCAAAATTCCTTTCTAACTTCAGTAATGTATCGTCATATAGTCCTTTCCTAGTATCTACACGTAGACCTGCTGCCGCTAATATTTTGTGTCGTTGTTGTAGTTGACCTTTTTCTGCTGTTTGTACCATAATTGTGTACTTTGTAACTATTCTATTGGGAGCTATACAACCGTATATCGGGATTTTAATCAATATAAAATCAACACAACCGATAAGCAAATAAATTAAATAAGGTCGAAACTGCGGAAAAAAGAAGAAGGCAAAAATTAAAAAAAAAAAGAAAAAATTTCTCGATATTTCCCTTCTTATATATGGTTTGGGATTATTGCATAATGGCTTGGTTGCGAAAGTTTAATTAAATTAATATATAACATAATAAAGCACTTTGGTAAGAAAGCGTGAAATGACACAGCGGCTAAGGATAAGATAAGGCTGAAGCACGAAAAATCCTTGGTTCGATGAGAGGGTCTCTTTTGTTGATTTTTTGTGTTATTGTTACCTTTTTTGTTAACAGCAGAACTGTCAAATAAACAAGAAGATCCGGCTTTTCCATGGACTCCTGAAATCGGCTTATACTTGCAGATTTATAGAGGTATTAAGCTCTCACATCCATATCTAAATGAATCATGTAAATGTAGAAAAGGAGAATATAGGAGATTGCCAAAGGGGTCATATCTACACTATTTTTATGATCCTTCAACATTAGGCAGCAACGTAATCTCGGATTAAAGTCAATGATATTAGCTGACAGGCGGTGCGCTTACTACTTTCTTCTTCTTTTTCCGTTTTGCATAAACCAATCCCAACTCGCATCACTTCAACTTATATACCCTTGATCAATATATTGTATACTGCAATAACAAGAAAATATGAGCCTAATCCACATAGGCAGAAACATATTCACTGTTTTTGTACTCTTCAATTTTGCGGCAACAACAATTTTTATAGTAGAAGCGGTAAATGCCATTCCAAGGTCCTATATTGTCGAATATGAACATAATAGCGGTGGTTCAAATTACCACCACAATGCCGTCAATCAGGAACTGGAGCAATATAACGATCTGTATAAAGTAAAACATGTCTATTCTTCGCCTATCTTTAATGGCATGTCTGTTACTCTCAACGACAATCACACCAAACAATTACAACAACATTCCGCAGTATCGAGTATTGCATCAACACTGGCTAAATCAAACGACCATCATCATCCAGTATTCAGTCAATTAAGAAGCCACCCTGTAGTGAAACATATATACCCTATCTACGAAGTGCCGAGGCCTCAATGGAAAGCAAACCAAGAAGACATAAGCCTACCTTACTTGGGGAGAGATTCACAAGTAAATGACATACATAGTAAATTGGGCCTAACTGGCAAAGATGTTTTAATTGGTGTCTTAGATTCAGGTACGCCTTTTTACTAGTATGACTTATCATTTATCAAAACCAAAGAATAATTTTGATTAAATGGCTAAAAAATTCTATTTTTATCTCAACTAGGAGTTGACTATTACCATCCCGCTTTAGGTGGTGGTTTCGGTGAGGATCATAAAATCAAGCTGGGGAAGAATTTGGTGTCTGCAGAGGATGACCAAGAAAACGGTGTTGAACCATTGGGTGAAAACGATCCTTATGACCCTTGTAGAAATAATGATGCGGGGCATGGGACGCACGTTGCTGGTGTGATTGCTGGGTATTATCCAGAAAAAGTAAGCTTTTGATTCAAGCATGATCTCGATATAGGCTAGCATAGTAATACATTAAATATAGAATTTCGTAGGTATTGCACCCAATGCAAGTTTAGGGGTCTTTAGAATCTTCGGCTGTGAAGGCGGCGCTACAGAAGATACGGTCATTAAAGCAATGGAAATGGCTTATAAAGCAGGTGGGAATAAATCACTTGTCATGTTCGAACTGCCTTAAGGGAAACTAACTTTAAACCATTGATCAGGTTGTAAAGTGATCAATCTCAGTCTAGGTATTGAAAATAGTTGGCCGGAGGATGCAATGTCTGTTGTAGCGGAAAGGCTGTCGAATCAGGGTGTTGTTGGTAAGCTCTATTCAACAACACGAATGATAATAAATGTGCAAACAATCGTTCTTACCAATTTTTTCCATCGCAATTAGTGGTTGGTGTCGCAGGCAATCAAGGCGAAAACGGTGTTTACTCACAAAACTCACCAGCAACAGCGAGAAGTGTCATCTCCGTTGCATCCGTCGATAACTCGTTTGTATACTCAAATGTTATCAGCTTCGATTTCATTAACGATGAATATTTTTGTAAATGCTGACATTAGTAAAATTGTATACAGCGTTAGCACACTTTAAATTTAACACACACTCTCCTTTGAACTAAACAATCATTTAGCGTTTGCTACATCTACAACAACCGACGGTTTTCCCAACGGAACTATAGCAACTATAACCGAGAACGGACAGGTACCTTTCGGGTGTATGAGTGATACCAGTATAACAACAAATAGTGCTCAGGGAAAGATACTACTGGTTCGACGCGGTGCTTGCACGTTCAGAGAAAAGGTTGAAAAAGCGCAGAGTGTTGGCGCTATTGGTGTATTGTTTTACGACCCAAATGCCCAGGACAAATCGGTTCCCATTGCTGATACAGAAGGCACAGATTTACCGTTTGCGGGTATTGACTCACAATTGGCAGGTCGACTTGCAGAGAGGATGACACAAGAAAGTGAAGGCATCCAAGTTATCATTCCTGCAGAAAAACAAATTGTTGTTCCACCAAGAGCAGGAAAAATCTCAGGATTCTCCAGTACAGGCCCTAATTATGAATTGGATTTAAAACCTTCTATAACAGGTATTGGTGGAAGTGTCTACTCGACGCTGCCCCTTGGTGTTAATGATGGGTGGGGTGTTCGTTCAGGAACGTCGATGGCTTCTCCTCAAGTTGCAGGCTCTGCTGCTCTGTTAATAGAATACCAGAAACTGCAACAATTGAACTATACATCGCATTACATAATAGAGCAATTACAAAATCATGGAAAGCTTATTGCTGCTGAAGATGGTAGATTGGAGCATCCTGTTGTTCAAGGTGCAGGCCTCGTTCAACGTAAATGAATACATAGAGCAAAATATACATATTTAGGTTGCAACTATACTAAAAGTTTGCTAACGTTTCTCTGGACAATATAGCTTATGACGCGATTGTCGGCAAGCTCCACGCTACTCCTGCACAAATCAGTTTTAACGATACAGCTTCCTTGACCGAATATAAAACCCAAACAATCATCCTTAAAAATTTGAAGGAAACTCCCGTTTCGGTAACATTTGACAACATACAAACTCATTCAATAGAATCTTACGCAAACAGCAGTTCTTACGTTCCTACTCAGCCAGCAATAAGGAACGGCACTGTAGTAGTCAGTCTTGAATTTTCTACCGAAAGATTGGTCATTCCACCGCTAACAACAGCTGAAGTGGTCGTAAAAGTCATATTGCCTGATCCTGAAACAATTAAATATCATTATCAAATGTATGGCGGTTTTATAGCAGTTCAGGATTCAGAACAGGAAGATAAACCCTTGGTTACTATTCCTTACTTTGGTATACTGGGGAGGTTGATAGACATTCCTATATTCGACAAAGGATATCCATATCTGACAGGTAGTGATGAAAAAAAGAAAACAGCAGAAGTCGACACCCATAAGCCATACATATATGATCTCAGGCGAAAAGGTGCAAAGAAACCTGCCATCTATATCCGATTGCTGACAGGAACTGCAGAAATTGAGATAAAGGTTCTTAATAATAAAAATGCAACGATTGGCTATATGAATGGAGGACCATGGACATATAATCAAAGAAACACATTGGCGAACGATGATTTTGACAGTTCGGTAGTTTGGGACGGAAAAATTAAGAGGTTGGAAGACCAAGGAATTGATAGCGAGGAAGCCTTTCCGGTTAAATCGGGAACATATTATCTCTTGGTAAGAGCATTGAAGCATTTTGGGCATAGTAATAATCGAAATGATTGGGTCGAATGGAAATCACAACCTATTATTGTTCAAACACAAGACAATGCGGATGAAAAAAAGGAACCTAACTGATCTAAAGAGCGAATCATTACAATTTATTAAGCAGAGTGTTATTGTGCCCTATATACCATTTATTTTCTTCCTGTAAAAGTATCAATATATTGTGCGCTTGAAATTACCAATTGTGAAAGAATAAGAGACTATAAACTTTTTGATACAGCAGAATTGAAAGCTTTCGACTTATATCTTTTACAACAACTGAAAGCTTGTCTCGAATAATCTTGACCAATAATGAATTTTTCAACAATTACTATAAGATTGTTCTATTGTAGTCATAACTTGTCTTCTACGTTACGATAATCTAGCTGTTAACTAACGTGATAGGCCAACAAGGCGCTTTGGAATTGATACTTACTTGATAAGTGACATCAGCGGGAATATTGTATGAAGATACGCAAAAATTGCCCTCGTAAAGCGGCTTTCTGATAAGTTACATTTATCAGCATAAAGGTTATCTGAAGATCGAGATTATATAAATAGTTTCTATAGTGTGATCTATGCATATAGCATAGTTTAGGTGTGGTAAGATATACTTTTAATTTTGTTACGTTTTGATTTTATGCTTGTCAATTCTTCAATACTGCTTCCGATCTAACATGGCTTGGTAGTTGTTTATACGTTATTAAAATGCAGGCATTATCAAGAACTCAACTAAACTGGATCACAAAAGAAAAACAACTAGAAATGATATATTGATACGAAATATTGATCTAAAATATATCTGGGATATTGTAGGCTTGACTAATGTAATCTGACAATGATGCTGCGGTGACTCTGCGGTCAATAATTTGATTTGGACTTGGTTACAAGTAGAGTTAACACAAATTTGATTAGTAAAGATGCGACAAGAATGGTTTCTTTCTTCAAAGAGAGTTCTTTCATCCCATTCCAGAGACATTGTGGAATGTATTTCTGAGCATGTGTCACTTTAAATATTCAGTTACACTTATACTGACATGATTCAACGTTAAAAGGAACAAATTTTGTTGAAATGTCTTTATCACTTAAAACCTTAGTCAAATGAAGAAAACAAACCACATGACCTGTCCTATATACTTCAATTGCTTTCATTCTATCGTGTCAGACAGATGAAGCATCAATATCCGTATCGTACTCTAAACGGACGGATTCTTACAAATAGAAGTGCTATTTTGAATCTAAAAGCTGTTATAATTGTATAGAAGAAGCCCGTCCCAACTTTAACAACCGTGTATTAGTAAAGTGCCCTACGATTTCTCGCCATATATTACTAGTCTATTTTATAACGCTCCATATAAATGATTGTGACAACCAACTATATTCCTCTACTATTCGTTGAATTATCGTGTTAGCCTTTATGATGGAAACATTATGTTTACAATTCTATGGATGGTAGCGGTGAGACTTTTGGCTATCCTTCTTAATTCTATATCTAATAAATGTAAACATTTAGCTATGGTCAACTACTATTGTTTCTGCTCAGAACAAATGTTACGAAATGGGTCCTTGTATGATATTTGTGCAAAAGGCCACAACAAAACTAGGAAATTGAAAGCTTTTCAACAGAAGAATCAGTTTCGGGTTCCGCGTTTAAAAATGTCCTACTTTTTTTTTCGCTTGCTTTTCTTTACTGTTTTCCGTTCAGCATAGATCTTAAAAATCGACAAGGTTAGATGAAGAATCTATTCAATATTCGCAAGTTTATTATTGCTTAGATAATTCTTGGTTTCTTTTAGGGTACTCACAGTATAAACAATGGCAAAGACAACAACACCAGAATTAAAGAAGTAATTCAACATCTTACATAAAAAAGAGAAGATTATTATAACATACTAAGTTCAATGCATAACTTATAGGTATATGGACAAGCGTCTCTCTCTTCAATTGAACGGAAATCGTAAAGTGACAGGTGTCCTTCGTGGCTATGATCCTTTCATGAACATTGTTTTGGACGAAACTGTTGAAGAAGTCAGCCCCACGGAAAAACACAACATTGGCATGGTGGTAAGCGAGACAATCCTCTAAACGCATCTATGGTTTTGGTTTAGCGAGTTTATTATTAATGATTGCATTTTCCTTGTATGAATAGGTTATCCGTGGTAATAGTATCGCTATAATGGAAGCACTTGAACGTATTTAAATAGTTTTCTATATATTGTATTATAATATACGAGAAATAAGCATGGAAAACTGGAATACAGAGAAATAAAAACTTTATCGAACAATTCTTTTGCACGAGTATATATGCTTATTTGTTTTTCTTGGATTCCTTATCATCCTCCTTCGCAGCTGTTTGATCACCAACTTGACCGAATTCATTTGCACGAGTATGATCGACCTTGTAAATGCGGCGTTGATATAGATAGATAAAAAATACAATGTCGTCGCGAAGGCAAGCAAGTCTGTGCAAAGTGGGCATTTTGATAACAAAGGCGAACAGATCGTCTGAAGTGCAAAAAGAAGATTATGCAGAGCATCGTCAGAATTTAATGAGTTGAGGATGAGGTATTAATATGTAGAATGCTTACCAATGAACGTATTGAGAGATTTGTACATTAACGTCTTCCAAGGCATATGGGCAACCTGTATTGTCAAAAAAGAATAGTAATTGTTCAGTTCACATGCTTTTTTATAATGACTACATTGGAAGCAGCTCGAAACTTACACTCTTGAGTCTATAATTGATGTACAATTGCGGAAGCATAGTGATGAAACCAAACATATATACAAATTCCACCAGAGTCTTAAGCACGTAAGAGTACCAACTCTTATGCTCATCGTAAAGCAAGGAATAGATGGCATAGCCGCCCAGTAAAGGATAAGAAAGCCACTTCAAATACTTAAATGCAATAGCATCATATTTGGCTGTTTCATCCTCCTCTGCAGTCTGATCGACTTGTTGCTGACCTAACTTCGGTAACAAGTTACCAGGAGTCCATACCAGTTCATACTTTAGCGCTTTGAATACTTTCCACAATTCAATCAGCAACCCAAAGCCTTGACTTATTAAAACCATGTAGGATGTTTCTTGATTGTTATCAAGTAGATAAAGGAAAATGACGATTTGGAAAAATATGTTGACAATCAATGTACGAACCGAGATACCGGCACTGTTTTGCTTCTTCTTCCAGAATGCAATGTCATTTTTGAAAGCGAGCATTTCAAAGAGAGAATGGAGCAAACTCACAGCAATAGTCGTTCCGAGAAGAAGTGGGTTGGTTTCCAAGAACATACGCTTGACTTCATCTAGATCACTTGAGCTCATACCCCCCATAGGACTGTTGGCTTGCTGCTTCATTGAGTCATCCAAAGTAGAATAAATATTGAATTTCCACATAGAGATAGGCTCGATACGAATATTCAACGGTAATGTGGATACAGAATCATTGATTGGGTATGCATTCTGTTGCAATGACCAAAACTCGTTAGGGAATATAATAGGTTTGTAAAAACCGTGTTTACCAGAAGCACTACGAGCAAGATTATGATCAAGTTGAATATCTAAAAGAATTTACATGTGTTAGTGTCGGCTGAAAATGGAAAGTCTGCTTCTTCTCTCTTTGGATATTTTACATTTCATTACAGAAGGTTGTAGTACATTCTTAGGAAGCATGCTCTTTTTATCAGTTATTAAGGTTAGCGTGACATTCTCTTGCCAATGAGCAACTAATGGGCCACGACGGGTAAGATTACCCAAAAGGCCTGCACCTAAACCTCTGATACCCCCGTTAACAGTATCAATGTTTATATCCTGAATGAGGGGAATGAAATGAGTGCCTGCTGTAATCGGGAAGTAGTATGAGATTTAAGTTGCCTTACGTGATTATCAATTTCCTCTTCGAGCTCTCCTTTCTCATTGTGGTTTTGATCGCTTTCTCCTTCAACTTTTTCTGCATGATGGCTGCCTTTCAGCAGGTTCTTTTGTTTGACGACTGCCTTTTGAGGGTAAAACTTGGTCAATACTATTAACAATGCCATTAGTTACACAAATTATAATGCATATTATTTTCATCAAGTAAAAATTACCGTGTCTGTAATAAGCGATCAGATCACGATTGAACCCTTCAGCTGTCGGATTGATAGGCGCTCCAAAATTTGACAAAAAGATGTGAGCATATAGAGTACCATTGTGCTGCATAGACTGTCACGAAGCCGGAACCCGATTATTAATAGATTAAATCGCGATTTGCTATTCATGCTACCCAAACCGTAGAGTATTACCTGTGTTGTAGAGATATCCAAATGATATTCTCTCGCCGTGAAAGGTTGATTATATTGTAATCCAGTTGTTTTATAATCTGCTTTCATTGAATAATCTGTGAAGTACTCATCCTCACTCAAATAGATTGACATTTCCATTGGTGTGCCTACAGGCCACAAAGGGAGCATATTTTCTGGTAAATCTGTTATTGGTAGCTGAGGGGGAGGATAATAAAAAACATCATCAGGGATGTTTTGAGCATAATCACGTAACGTGGCAGCGCCAGGAACAAATACAGGTTTTGAAGTTTCGGTATTCGTGTTTGCTGGATTTTGATTTACAGTATTGCTGCTGTTGAAACCTATAACCGTATACAAGTAAGCATTTAAATAACTAAGCTCTTGAAAAAGAAATTCTACCTCCAATGACCATCTTCGTTAACAACCAAAAGAAGATCATTCTAACAATTGCTCCACCATATTTTTCCATGAAACTTTTCTCTTGTTGTTGTTGTTGTTGTTGTTGTTGAGGGTTCTGTTGCTGCGACGGTCCTGCATTTGAGGAAGCCTTATCAGGCACTGGCTCTCCGCTGCCTTTATCTTCTGCCATAAGTTGTAAAGTACGCACTGAAGAAAAAGGAAAAAGAAGGAAAAAGCGTCGCTACGTGGATTGCAATAACAAATTTCTGCCATTAGAACCCAGAAGGAAGACACGACTATTTTGTCGTGTCACATAATTCAAAAGTTAATCCGTCTTAACAAACACAAGCTTTCAAAGATATAGCGGCAGTAATATAATCGTCAACTGGTCGCATTGGCATCCTGAAAATGGCGGAAGCTATAGTATGTATATTTATTGATTTGAAAGATAGAAATTGGAGGGTATGAAAATAATTGTTAGAATATTGGAGTACTTTGGTTTGTACCTGGACTCTGACATTATAGCTAATCCAAAAGTAACCCTCCAAGCTATTCACCGACCATATATGCTTATCATATTGCCATTTCAGAAAAGGGAATCGTCATTTTGCATGATTATGAAATATATTGTTGTAGATAGAATTTATGAGCAGTTCAGAAGGCAGGTTTCTTGTACGAAACAAACGATCTAACATTGCAGTCAGCGGTATCAATATCAGTAAGACGAGCATGTTCGGTATCGCCCTGAATGATAGGAGCATCGTCTGTCCTCATCCAACGCGGGTGCTCTTCCGCACCTTTGACTGTATATACATAAACCTCAAACGTGACTACAGAAACAGACGATGTCAAAATGATTACAGTCGGAATAGTCCCGTCTTTTTCTCTTACCATTATTAGGATCCAGTATCGGCAAAATATTGTTGATATTCAAGATTTGTACTATCAATCTTCTCATTTGCGATTGAAAATCTTGTTGCCTTCTCCCAGCTCTATTAAGTTGAGGCTTAACGTTAATTTCCCATTCCTTATTATCAAAGAAAAATAATATAATTACTGTTCAGATAATGTGTCTTCTGTCATGACTGCGTCACCTTTGGTTTTAACGAAAAAGGTCCATCTTTCAATAACTTCCAATGTGTCAACCGACGTGAGCGCGATAGCTACTCTTTCCAGTTCTTGACGTTTAGCCCATTCTTGGAAAAGAAGCAAATGAGAAAAAACCGTCAAATAAGATAATTAGGAAACACGCGTTAAATCACTTACGATCAATTTGTTGTATAAGGGTTTCTACATACTGTTTTACTTCAGGATCACTAATAGCCATATGATTCATTCCTTCGCATCGTTCAATTTCGAAATCATCGTCTGGATAAACATTTCTCTGTAGTAGAATACTGCAAAATAATCAAAAGGTGATCAGCTCTTTGTCGTATTGGAATGAATGCCACCAACTTACTTGTATAAAATGTATTCTTTTTAACAGAAAGAGAAACGATAAAGTAGATCAGATCAATTTGCTGTGCCCACTGTACGATTCAATGCTTCATGAAAATCCTTTTGACATATATTTCTTACTGAATAATTTCGCCGTATGACTCGACGATCCACTCAAAGTGAATTCAAGCTTCTCTGCCATTATGAAAGAGCTTAAAGTTGTCAGTGCCAAGAAGAGAATTTTGGCTATTTGCGCTTTCAGGAGAGATTTTCAGAATTGAGTTTCAATCCATAATGGCAGGCGGAAAAAAGTGGGGCCTCTCGAATGCTTTTAGAGGCGTAACGGGACGAAGAGCATTTTAGACATGTTATAATGAGTAACATAGTCAATTAAAATAGTACCAGCACGTTCTACTGCTAGGTAGTTCCTTTGCGTGTTTGAGACCGTATAAGTAATCTATTGTAACGATATCTAGAATCATTGTCGACCAAATGTTTACTTTATTTTTAATAAACTTAAAATTTAGGTTTTTATCGAAAAGGACATGATCTCTTTGAATGAGTTTCAATTCAAAAAAAAAAAGTAATAATGCTTGATCAGATTATCTTGTCTTGCGCTATTCAGTTGCAGTTGATAAGATAGTCATAATAATAATGCACAATAAGTATAAGTCCTCAAATGATCTGTTGTGAGTGATTTGGGTGTTTTCAAATTCCGTTTAGTTGCTATTGAATAAAGCGTTGCAATCTGCTCGATAGGCCTTTTCCTCAGTTTAACAGTGCTATTCCGTTCCCCTGATAACAATTATGTACATATGAGCCGTTCTAGTCCATTGCTTTCATTGCTAGATAATTGCCTATAAACATATAAACTTCAATCAATAGATAGCAATAATTGTTGTTCACTTACTTTCATGGCTTTATACTTTAATGCAGGATGTTTGACAATAATCACGACGCGTAAAAACGTAGGATTTTTCATATATCGGCATCACAGTTTCTGCCACCAACTACACTGCCCACTTTCATTGACTCTACTAAACATACAATAACCAAGTTTATTTTTGACATTGCACGATAAGGTTCCAGATATATCAACTCTTTTCTTTTGGTATATTGATATTTTTATCATTTTGTAGGGAGAAAGCAAATTTCAGGTGCATTATTAATTTACAGTTTTGATGTAAATCAAATAAACTTAAGTGCTTTACTATGTTCTCCCTCTAAAAAAAACGATTTTTGCGACAGATAATTTATATGGAAAACATTCATTTTGTCTTTCATCCTCTGTGTATCGCATGAAAATGGTCATTCAAAGCTTTCATTTCAATACGTTTACTAACTTGTCTTGGGTCGCTCTTGTTATTTTTGCTTTCCTTTTTTTCCTTGAGAACAATTTAAATGAGTTGACTCCTTTACTTTGCTTTTTTCATTTTTTTTTCGTCTTCAAGCCTCTTCCTTTGTGTGTGCGTGTGTCTGCAAACCTATATCATCAATATTACTGTCCTTCTTCTACTATTGACACCATAGCGTTATGATACTTATTTATTCAGCCATATTGGTATTTGCTGCAACCCAAGTTATAGGCGAGCAATTTCGTTCGGAACGTGCTTTAGCAGCACAGTTTCAGCCAACTTTTCCATCACTTGAAGAACCTAAAGGCGTAACCAAAGCATACAATCCAGGACCATATACTATTAGTAGGTTTTTATCGCACGAACCTTTACGAGGTTTCCCTGTAACCTGGAACCAACCAGACCCTTTGAATGTGGAGGTTCAGGCTATATACAATAAAATCGATTGGAGTAAAGTCCCTAGTGCCCCTGTTAGGCAGCAATATCCAAATGGAACCTGGGTCTCGATTTCTGACGGTCCAACCGATCCTTATTGTTGGTGGTCGTCCACAAATTGTGTTTCTCCCAAATCAGAGTACATCCCGAACGATATATACACTTGTCAACATGATGGTGATTGGGGTCTTACTTATGATGACGGTCCTCTCAACGTACGTCCTGACGCGAAAGCCGTAACTGAAAATGCATACGCAGAACCTGCATTATACAATTTCTTGGCCAAACATAATGCTCATGCGACTTTATTTGTAAGGCCAAGCCAAGAACAATGACGGAAATGAAACCTCTTTTGTCTCGATACTGAAATAATAGATTTGCTTTATAATAGTTCGTTGGCTCAAATGTTGCTTCCTATCCTGCTGCCGCAAAACTTGCTTTAAATGATGGACACCAACTATGTGTACATAGCTGGTCTCATGTACCTTTAACTACATTGTCAAATGCTCAAATTGTTGCAGAATTGTATTGGACACTGAAAGCAATTAAAGCAGCAACTGGCGTCACTTCAAAGTGTTTTCGGCCACCTCAAGGAGATATTGATGACCGTGTCAGGTAAGGATATTCATTTTTAGTAAAGTATAATATGTCTGATACCTTTCTGATTATACTTATTGCATAAATCTAGAGCAATTGCTTGGCAAATGGGTATGCGAACAATTCTGTGGGATAGAGATACAAAAGATTGGGCTATGTCAGCACCGGGTTCTGGTGCACTTTCCACAAAAGCAGTAGACGGTTTCTTTGAACAATGGATCACTGACTATAAAAGTGGAAGAGATACTGCAGGACATATAGTTTTGGAACATGAGCTGACCAGTCGAACGGTGGAAATGTCTATGTATTGGCTACCTAAAATAAAGAAAGTATTCAATGTAGTACCTGCCTTATCCTGCGCTGGAGTAAGTCAACCTTATTGGGAGGAGGATTTTGTTTATCCCACTGTGGCATCCAAGAAAGTCCACTCATCAGCAATATCAAAAGAACTAAAAGCAAGTAAAGCATCCAAAGTTCAGATGCATAGGCCGAATTCAAAAGGCAGAAAGAAAGTAGAACGCAAACGCAGTACAATGAGCCCTGTTTAAGAAAAAAAAAAAAAAAAAAGAAAAAAAAAAACCAAACCAGACTTTACTGAAGAAACCTAGGCCGCCATGTATAATATTTTATCGATAGCCGCTTCTGTGTTTTACTTTTTATTATTTGTTTTCGGCCACTCGATGCCAAATAAACTAACTGTATATTAATAAACTGTTGTTGTATGATTTTTCATTCTAGATTGTCCCTCATAATGCCGACGGTCTTTTTTATTGAATTTGGAATTCTTGTATTGACTACAAACTTAACATGATGTATGAACTGAAGCTAAAAGCAACGCTTACGGTAAGCTTATAACCAAGTCAATTGTGACGAGTCTCAACTACAAAAAGTGCATAAGTATTACTCTGACTCATCTTTTTCGTTGAGCAATTTCAAGCAATAAGAGCAAATGCCGTTGAGAGCCTTATCGTCACGTTCGAAGACTTTAATTTGAAAAAGGTCTTACGTACGTAGACGCTTACATAAAGAGTCTATACAACTTGACTGTCAACTGGATCACTTGTTGTCCTGTCGCTAAAGTCTGTGGAAAAAATGAAGAGGAGGGAGTTGGTCGAGAATCAATTCCAGATGGATGTGGATTATTCTAAGTAGTTACGTCTTCTTGAATGGGTTGCATTCGTTATTAAATGGAGACTATTGCCGGGAAGATCGCAAAAGGTACTTAAGCCATGATTAATACACCTTGGACTCGTGCAGTATCTCAGTGAGAGACAATCTATCTTCGTACTGAGAATTGCTGAATGATCTCAAAAGAAATAGATTTAACAGAAAGCCTTATCGATAAAAGAGACAAAACCCTGCTAGAACGTGCAGTATGTTTCACGCTTACGGAAACAGACATTCTGTGACATAAGACGTAGTACTTGACCTTTAAAAATAGCATTAGTTTGTAACCCTGTTTTTTTTCCAGGATCTACCTATACCCATTTACTTGAAGCTTAATTCAGGGTTATTATAATTCTTCAAATTTCCATATACATCTACGATCCCTCAGACTGTAAGTATTGTTATTGTAAGTGTTTCTCCGTATATGACAACCAATCATGCTTCAATTCAGAACTTCCTTTCAATTCATTAGTACATACCGTAATTTCTGTAAGCTCAGATGAAATAAGCATACTTCTGTGGTCCGTTCTTGTATCCTGATAAGATGAATACAGCACACAAAGTTCAACTCTTTTTGGCGGAGAAGAACTTTATTGGCAAATTTGAATTAAGGTTGTTGCACAAAGTTATTACTATCGAACATCAGACAAAAAGTGGCACGTTCCTCATTCGATAAAATCCCAAGCAAACGAGAAGAATCATTCAGGTCAAATGAAGGGTCGACGATTATTGAGAAGAGAGAAGCTTCATTCTGTACAAGCTAAAGTTCTGCCTTACTTATTTGTTCACGAGCATAAGTAACACATTTAGCTCCTTCTCCACTCTAACCTAAATTTCCTTCCTATATGTAAAAATCAACGACGATAAGCGGTTAGGTACCAATCGAGTTGTACCATGTGCTTTTTCACTATTCTTGTATAAATTTCAACATGAAGATCCCATAACATAAGCTTTTCCCCTTCTTCCTATATCTTAGTCTCTCGCTGCTATCGTCTGTACATAACCAGCTTTAATAATAAGTTAATATACAATTAAATGAACTATTCACGTATTGCACCAAACATTAAGCCTTATACAGCTCAGCAAAATATGGCTAGTGAAGCTTCTCAATCATATCCGAGCAACTTATATCCTCAACAACAGCAAAGTGTCACATATCAAGCATCACATTCTTCTGATCACCAGCCTATCTATCGTCCGGCATATCGTAGAATTCCGTATACATCTTTTTCCACGTCGCAATTACCAAAGAGCTCGTTCGCCTCAATGCTGCCTGAACCTGCGCCTATTATCGTTCCATCGCAACAACATTTCCTTCCTTTTCCAAATCTAAAGGTATCTTCAGATCAGACTGAATGTACTTTAACGGATAAGCAGTCTGCAACCGTAAGTTTGACATATATTAAAGTTGCTTCTACTTGTCTCTGAATATTTCGACTTATACCCAATTGTAATACTTGGTCTTATTCTTATAGTCAGGGTCCATTAACAGCGCTGATCAGATACCACAGTTGCACGGAGATTGTACATTTGAGAATGACTTATCAATTTCATCTGTATCGTATGAGCAGACTCACCAGAAAGAATTGGTGAAGGATGTATTCTTCTCCCCAGCCTATATGATTATCAGTGACAATGTTCGCAGAGCAAGCTCTCAATGCGACTGGTCTTCTTCTGCTTCTTTATCTGCTCAAAGTGACGATGGCTCTGAAGTCATGACATCATCTATATATTCTGATAATACTCAAGAAACTCCAAGTGATGTATTATATGGTGAAGGCTCAAATCACAGCATTGATATTCTTGGTTTAGAGTTAATTTCAGAATCTTTACTCATACTTGATCAGAACGATGACACTGGAAAAGATATTGCTTGCCTTAATTCCAACGATAAAATGAACAGAAAATTAGCATATAAGCAAACAGCTTTTGAAACAATTAATTATCTACATGGTGCCCATGATTTACCAACACAGTCAAACCTCTCATCCACAAGAGGTACAAATAAGTTTACACAAAACAAGCGACGACGTTCTGATTCTGCGGTTCAACAGCAATACATTAACAAAAGATCTCGTACAAAAGCAAACTCTGTTGATTTTACTACACTCACTGAAAGACCACACGTATTCTCTGCTACTACATCCTCTCCGTTCGTTACTCCCAGTTCATCTTTGGAACATGAATTTAACTTAGATAGTTCTGAATACTACCCTACTGTTGACAGTAACGAAGCGAAACCAAGTAAATCTGCAGGAAACAGGTACTCATTTAACAAATTAAGTCTGCAGGAACAGTAAATCGGGAAATGGACAAAAAATGTTTTAACCCCAAGTTACAATGTCTAGTCTAACTGTGGAACAAAGCCGATTTGGTAATGAAATTTCAGACACTGCAATTAACTTTCAACATAATCAAGATGCCTTCTCAATAAAATTGGACGAAGAAGAACATATATCAACGGCAGACGTACAGGAAGACGACCTAGACGTAAATCAGCCATATACCTTAACGAATCAGAATTCCTTCAGCAACACTCAAAAACTTGAAGAATCCGCTAAAGTTCCACCTCGCCCTACACTATACCCAACCATATATCAAAAGCTAACTGAAGCAAATATAGACTGGTGCCGCTATTGTGGTACAACAGAGGGTGTCAATTGGCGTCCAGGCCCATGGGGAAAACGTACGCTTTGCAAGTAAAGTAAAAAGTATTCCCAATAAATATATATGGCATTGCTTGGGAAGACATGACTAACGTTCTCCTTTGCGTCTAATAGTAAGCACGGATGTGATTACAAGGGTTACGGTTTTGCTTGTAAACTGCCACGTCTTGATTTGACAGAATTCCTCAGAGAAAAGCTTAACGATCGAGAGCGTCCAGTTTTGCAACTATATTGCTCTGTATGTCAATGTAAGGATTCTTGGAGGGGAAATGTTCTAGTTCGATGTGAAGGGTGTCCCAAAGCTTACCATCAAAAATGCAGCCCCGACATGGAAAATCTAACGGATGACTTCGTCTCATCTCAAGCAGCATGGTTCTGTGATAAAGCCTGTTGCGATAATGCGCAACGCAAGAAAATTGTTGTTGAATTGCCTCGTAAACGGCTACCCTTAATGAGTTCCCCTACTGCTGCTAATTTGACAACCAAACTTCAAGAACTCCCTTGCCATTTCGAATAATAAATTATACCTGCCAAGCTTTTGCTATGCTGTAGTTTCCATTTCGCTTAACCTGTCTGCATAATTTCAATTTTTCAAAAATGATCTTATTTTTGTTTGATGTACAACAGATGTTCTTGATAATTTTGGAAGCTCTGTCATTTTAGTAACTGAAGAACCTTATACTTCCCTTTGTGCAATTATTTTAAAGTCCAGAAATTTGGTGCTGTGCGTACAATCAGTGTAACTTATGAAAGGCAAAAAAGATCCAAAAAAAAACAAATCATTACTGCTGTTTCTTTTCCATGCATAAACACTCTGTTTGGACGCCTACAATTGCTCATATATAGCGATTCAAAAAAGGGAAAAATTGTTAAGTCTTCTATTCAAGGATGTTACAATTTACCTGTCTGCTCTCCAACCACTTTAGCTATTAAGGTATTCAAATTCAATTGCCTTCGCTTGTTTTACACAGTCGATGTTAGTGGGTGCCTGAAATTCCGATGGAGAAGAGTGACCTTTTTCAACTAATAAATATTAGCCAATCAAGGGCCGCAAACAAAAAGATAACAAGCTAATTTTAATGCTCGAGGTTAGAGAAAGCTCTACTTCTCAATCTTGTCAGTTCCTATTTACAATTAAAGATTCCACAGCAACATGAGGAGTCTTAATGCAATTCTCCTCGTCGTAGTTCAATTCATTCTGTTTGCTACCATAACATCAGCACAAGCGAGTCCCAAAAAAAATGACATTATCTCACTTTCAGAAAAGGGTAACGGTCTTATTAGTTTGAATTCAAACACTTACGACAGATTCACCGAAGGAAAGCGTGATTATGGCCTTGTTGTTGTGTTGACAGCTCTCGGCTCTCAATTCAAATGTGTTCCTTGCCGGTAAGATATTGTACCTTGCTTAGGAAGATACCCAACTTCTTCACAAAAACGCGTTGTCTTATCAATCAATCCTTTTGTTTTATTACGAAAAGTGAGTTTGACCCTGAATTTGAGCTGGTTGCCAAGAGTTTACAGAAAAATAAACAGAAGAATGAACTATTTATGGGCCGTTTGGATTTTATGGATGGTCAACAAGTTTTTCAACGGGTAAAGATCACTGACCCATAGTCTCAACCTTTTGTTTTTCGATGCTAAACCCACATTAACTTATACGACAGCTACAAATAATGTCAGCACCCAATGTCCTTTATTTTCCTCCTCAAAAGGCAGGCGAACATAAAGACTTCATTCGATACGATTTAAACCAGCAGTAAGGCTTTATTTATGTTTTAACCAACAATAAGGTTGAATATATATGATTGATGGCTTTGTTAAACTACCTCTAGTGGGTTCTCTGCTGAAAAGTTAGCTGAGTTCCTTACAAATGAAACTGGTATCAAAGTTAGCGTTAGCCGTCCTATGGATTATATGAAACTCGCCGTCAAGACTTTTCTCTGTATCGGTGCAGCAGCAATCCTTAAATTGATTTATCGTCACTTTGGCTTCATATTCTATCATAGAAACACATGGGCTGTTATTTCTATTGCAATTGTATTGACAATGACGTCAGGTTATATGTGGAATCGTATTCGTTCGCCACCATATATTATGCCTGGTAGAAATGGAGATATTAGTTATGTAGCAGCTGGGTAAATTTCTGCAGCATATGTGAAATATTGAAAAAGGGACTCAAGTAACATTTTGATTGATTTCTAGCTTCTCTAACCAACTTGGTATTGAATCTCAAATTGTAACTGGTATCTGTAAGTGAATCAATTTATTGCCCAATTTACAGATATAAGCTTGCTTATCTTATATTATTAATCGTCAAAAATGTAGATGGTATCCTCGCCTTTTGTATTTTCGCATTGATCAAAACTGTCCCTAAATTTGAAAATCAAACCCGTCAAAGATTCGGTGTTTACATATGGATGGCATGCTTTATTTTTGTTTTCAGCGCCTTATTTTCTTTCTTCAAAATCAAGAACGGAGGATATCCTTTCAAACTTCTTATTTAGATGAAGCAAGCCTGTATACCAGCGACATACGTGCATTTTATAAAAAGAAGAAAAGCAAAAAATCTATATAATATAACAGAAGGATACAATTTGATATTCTGACAAGTATAATTAAAAAAATGCTAAGTTCCTAGGCATAATGAAGCATAAATGTGAAGAAATAAATAGTGTAGCAAGGGGTATCTACAAGATGCATCAATTACAACTTCTCAGCCTTTCCTTTATCGCTGCTATCTTCCTCAGTTTCATGATCACCATCAACACTGTTCTCCTTGCCCTCGTCTTCACTGTCACTCTCGACTTCTTCCTCATCCTCATCACTAAATTCAAAATCAAAATCACTATCTTCATTCGTACCAACAATATCCGTAACATCATCTCCTCTTTCTAATTTTCTCAAATAACTTCGACGTTGACGGAGCGTCATTCTGTTTAGCATACGTTCCAATTCCTGTTCTTCCCTCAGTTCATCTGCACTAGTCTTGATCTCGTCCTTACTATACGTATAAAAAAATGGTTAATTCCAACAAAGCCAATATATGACATAACTTATCAATACATTACGTGGTGATAATCTCTTTTGACTCCAAACATTTCGCACAAACACCTTTCTCTCGTGCACAATTATCACATAACACGTGGTAGGCTTCTTTGATAGCCTTCTCCTGGCAATTAGTGCTAGAGATGAGAAAGTGAGAAATAGATTCACACTCTTAGTAAATGAGCTGCATCTCGAAGCTCCAAATTAACCAAAATATAAAAGCTATATTACCATCTTTTCACTGTAGTCAAAGGCTTATACTTCTTGTACTTTTTACGCCATAGAATCACATCGGTGCAACGTTGACATAACCCATAGACAGGTAAAGCATTAATCTGACGAGTCTTCTTCGAATTTTTATTGGCTTTCCATGCTGTATTATTTTGATGGGCTTGGCCTTTCTTCGAATTATTGCCCTTACGAGATGAGGCTTTCTTTTCGTATGTTGACATAATTCTAAACAGAAGAGTGATCTCAATTGCTAGATCAGGTGTCAAAAATTTGTTTTTTTTTTTCTTTTTTTTTTTTTTTCCTTTTCAAGTGAAGCCCTAACAGTCACGAAATGTGCCTCTATAAATTGCGGTATTGTGCACATCAATTAACTCCTCCTTCAGCATAAATTTGTATTATTCGCAATGGACAACGAACCTTCTCAAATATCCAAGTTAAAAGCCAAACCCCGTGTACATTTCGGCTCTTTAGAAGGTCTTGAGCCAGCAAAAAGGGCACGTATCGAAGAATCATCGAATATTGGTGGAATCGATTTGGATGCTTTAGGTATTACTCTGAATGCACAACGAAACATAACATACATTAACCACAACAACGTTGGTCTTTTCGATCAGTGGCCGAAAATAGACAACCTGGATACTCTGTCAGTTTAGGAGAAGCGGACAAAGAGCTACTTGAAGAATTCGAGAGACGGAAAAGAGCATACCAATTAGCCGTACCAACGGATGATAAGCGTGTGAGGCGACGCTTACAGGAGATCGGGGAACCACAATGTCTATTTGGTGAAGGCGTAAAGTATAAAGTCTTTAATGACCTTCAAGTTACAGATTCAAATAGAAGAAGATTCACTTAACAAGTATTTAATCACCTTAGCCTGGGGATCGTCGCGACCGTTTAAGGTTTTTATTATCCAAAATCCAAGGTCGTCAAGCTGAAAGTGAAGAAGAATCAGAAAGCGAAGATGAGGACGAAGAGAAAGCAACAGAGGTTGTTATATGTTCGAAAGGTCATTGAGACTGATGTGCTATGCAACTAAAGAATTTGTTTTTTCGCTTATTCAGGAACAAGAAGAATTCTTTACCCCCGGTTCAGCAGAATTATTACAAGCACGTCAATGGATCACAAAGTATTCTTTACCAAGGTATGAAGTGAAGGAACACCAAAGTTTGCACTTTGAAATTACTTAGCAATATGGAAAAATGCATATAGAGCTAGACGACGAAACGAACGGCAAAAGATCGAGTCGGAAATCCCTCTTGCATTACTCAAAGCCAGTCGAAAAGAATTACATACCAAGCTAAAGGCATATACTAATTGGTCCTCGCAAATTGCTGACAATCGACCTATTGCTCAATGTGCATTTAGTCCTGATTCTTCATTACTTGTAACAGGATCATGGTCCGGTTTATGTAAAGTGTGGTCAATACCAGACTGTGAGTCAATATTGACACTGAAAGGGCATAACGATAAGGTTGGAGGTGTTGTATTTCATCCGGAAGCGACAATCACTCAAGAAAAAAGCGCTTTAAATATAGCAACAAGTGGAGCAGAAGGAGAGATCCAATTATGGAATTTACAGAGTGAATCACCCATGTCCACACTAAAAGGACATGTAACACGTGTCGCTAGAATAGGATTCCACCCCTCTGGAAAATACCTCGGTAGTGCAAGCTTTGATGGTACATGGCGTTTATGGGATTTAGAAACTACCCAAGAACTATTACTCCAAGAAGGCCATTCAAAGGAAGTTTATGCCATTGGTTTTCAATGCGATGGTAGCTTAGTAGCAACAGGGTAGATATATAGCATAAATCATTTATTTCAAACCGTGTTTCTGATCTATAGTTACAATCAATTGTACATAGTGGCTTGGATGCGATTGGAAGAGTTTGGGATATGCGTACAGGACGGTCATCGATGACTTTGGAAGGACACATGAAGGATATTTTAGGACTGGATTGGTCACCCAACGGATACCATTTAGCATCTGCTAGTGCCGATAATACAGTAAGAATTTGGGACATCCGTACATTGCGTAGTTTATATACTATCTCTGCCCATCAATCATTGGTATCAGATGTGAAATATAGTAAAGGTGTTCCAGGAGTGAAAGACAACAGCCCATCAGATCCACATAATATTGCCGGTCTTTACTTAACTACCTCAGGTTATGACGGATGCGTTAAAATATGGTCAGGAGACGATTTTAAGCTAATCAAGAGTTTGAATGGACATGATGGAAAAGTGATGGGTGTGGATATTTCAAAAGGTATATTGCATAATTGTATACTCAACATATGCATAAAACTCAATATTAATCTAATATTGTGTTAAATGTTTAGACAATAAATTCATAGCTTCTTCTGGTTACGATCGGACATTCAAGCTTTGGGCTGATGAAAATCTTGTTTTATAGATAGCCTGCATGAAACCACTATAAATAGTTATTGTGCTTATATTTCTAAATTATTATAATGCCTGTTAAGACCGCTATCGGTAAAAAAAGACATGCTAGCAATAATAAATTACAGAGAAAGCCTCCAAAAGCATTGAAAACCTCAAATGAACAGGTAGAAGCTCATAAAACCATGAATCTATTGCCGTATTCTCAACCATCACTTGTTTCTGTTTTAATCAGATCGATCAGACTTCCGATCAGGGTAAATTGCAAAAATTGTTTGCAAAGATTAGCCATGTCAGAAAAAGTTAACGCAGCCTTAGCACAATTAGAACAAGAGAGTGAAGGACTGTTTGATAATCTCGACGAGAAAATGGATGACGGAGAGTTAGAAGAGATCATCAAGCAGATCAACAGTGAGAATGAGTCTGATACCGCAGAAAGTTCAAACGAAAATGGTGAAGAATCTGAAAGTGACTCGGACGAGGCAAATACAAACGCTGAAGTAGAAGACGTACAGGAAGAAGAGAATAATGACGAAATGGATGAAGATAAGGATACAAATCAACAGAGTACAACGAATAGTTTTAGAAACTTATACATGACGAACGTGACGCAGGCTTTTGGGTCAGATTTGGACCAGATCAGACAGGTATTATAGAGCAAGAGACTCGTTTTCTTCAAACTAGAAATATGATTATTTACAAATCGGCATTTTAGGAACCAAATTTTGACAATGTTCGCTTGAACATTTTGATCGATTCTTTAGAAGCTGGTATTGATATATATTCCAAGGTTGAACAAGAGATTATCCTTGCCGATGACGAAAACAAACATTAATAACATACACTTTTCTCAAACTGTTTTAAATAAAGAGGTATCTCTGAATTGTCATTTGAACTTTTGAGGGGAACAAAAGAACAAAATTCCTGGTACAATGGGTTTATACATTGTTGTTTCTTCTCACAAGTGCAATATTTGACAGAACGGTGATGAAGGTCTCCTCTGAATTGTAATTATGAATGGTTTCTTCTCAAATATGTTACGTTTAATGCTGGGCTCTTAAAAAAATTAGCATACTCGAGCACCGATATCATTTAGACCCTGCAAAGGCCTGTTACTTTTTGTGAAAAAATAACCAACCATTCATAGAGACGAGGTGGAATCAACAACCCAAAAAAAAAAAAAAAAAAAAAAAAAATTACAGCGAGAATATTAAAACGGCGGGCTTTAGTGAGTATGGCTTATGAATAACTGTCAAAATTCACCTGCCAAATAGACAACTAAACGAGAATGGGCAAATTGAAAAGGAAGAAATTGACGAATGCGCTGAACAGATTACTGAAGAAAAGTGAAAAAAGAAAGATACAGCAAATCAAAGCGCAGAAATATGAGGAAAACCTTGATAAAGCAAAGCAGAATCAGATTAAACGAATGAACCCAACTGTTCATCGTCCTCATCTGCAATATAGCTCCAAAGACCGTATTCTGTTGATTGGTGAGGGAAACTTTTCTTTTGCAAGATCTCTTTGCGAAAACTATTTAAAAGAAGGCGCTGGTAATTTGGTAGCCACCTGCTACGATTCGGAAGAGACTTTATACGAGAAATATGGAGACGAGGCTAAAGATAATATAAAGCTTATTCAAGAGTATGATGGTACAGTCTATTTCGGCGTAGACTGTACGAATTTGCCAAAACATATTAAAAGGAACAAATATACGAAGATTGTATTCAATTTTCCTCATGCAGGTTTGTGTTATACGTGAAAGGAAAGAGAAAGGTATCCACGGAAACTATACTAACAGTTATTTGTCTCTGCTCGAATTGAAGGCGCTGGCATCAAAGATCAGGATCGTAATGTGTTGGCTAATCAAAAGCTATTGAAGGCCTTCTTCGATTCCGTTGAACCGCTCCTCAGCAAAGCAGGAGAAGTACAGGAAGTTTTGAACGTAGCCAATGATAAAGATACTGCAGGCGGTGATGAACTGATACCAGATGGTGAAATTCATGTAACACTGAAAACCTGTAAGCCCTACAATTTGTGGGCAATCAAAGAGCTAGTAAAAGCAAAAGGAATCTTAGCAGCCAAAGCAACTCTGCCGTTTTCTCCGGATGATTTCCCGGGCTATGAGCATCGACGAACTTTAGGATTCAAAGAAGGCGTTAGTAAAGGCGCCAACGCGGAGATTTTGGCTTCCATGCCAAAAACATTCATATTTGTCAGAAAAGAAGTGATGGACAAACAGAATCAGGATGCATTAAAAGGTGCGCAGAAGAGAAAACTAGAAGATTTTAAAGCGCAAATCGGCAAAAAAGTTAAAAGGAAAATGCTCGAAGAAAGTGATGATGATGATGATGAATAATTCTTTGTAGAAGCGCTAGCATTTATTTAACTTGAATGAAAAATATTTGAATCATTTGATCTTTTTTTCGTCATGTTAGTCGATTTTCTGTAAAAATGAAAGGTTGCTCTTTATTCAATGTGAATCATGAGGAACTAATGTCTTCAGCTGGTCTGAATAAGGTGTAAGTTTGTTGGTAAAATATCCAAGATCGGTAGTAGAAGTATATAAGCAGAATAGGTCTCTGTCAATAGCTTTTCTACCTGCGAAAGCGTAAAAAGTGAAATGAGTAATTCAAAATGCAAAGACTATTTATGTTCACCTCCCTTAGAAGTGGGCGGGAGTCAACAAAGCCATATCAACAGTTTTCTCTAAACTGTTTCTTCATTGAATTACTAACAGCAAAAGCCTTGATATTACAGTGATTTTACGGATCCATAACTGCAAATACGGATATGCGCATTACTGTTATTTCCTTTCAGTCAAACCTTTCCTTAATTGAAGGTTCTGAACCCTATGATAATGACTCGGACCTTTGTTTAATTAAGTGTGCCCATTTAATGTAAACAAACAAATTATGTATGCAGCTTTTTTACAAATAAGGAAGCCTGGGCTCTGAGCACCTGATAATAAAAATTATGAGTTATCCAACATAGATATTTTTACCTAACGTCGAGGAATATACAATAATTGTGTGTAAGTAAATCTCAAGCCGTTATGGTCATTGTCAATTGCAAACGATTGAAATTATACAACATCTTTTAAAGTAAGCATTATCGTAGTATATGTGTAACTAGTAGGAAAAAAATCCAACGGAAAGTCATAGCAATTGTAAATAAACAGAAAGAAAGGGCACACATAAACCTTCTTTCTCCTTCCTTTTCTTTCATTTTATTTCTTTTTTTTTTTTTTTTTTTGTATATATTTCTTCTCTGAATTATTTTTAATCTTTTCACCAAAAGTTTTATTGTAAATACATACCTTATCCTAATTTCGAATAGACAAATTCAAATGGATGCAGCATCAGTGAGGTATTTCAGAGAAGCTCGAAACAGATATAATCAAATGACCTTGACTTATTTTCATTCATGTTTTATCTTCTAGAGTTGGGTTGCGAGTTCGACCTTTGACTGAGAAAGAAGTATCAAATAAGTGCACGGAATGTCTTACAGTGATTCCGAACGAGCCACAAGTACTACTAGGCACAGACAAATCTTTCACTTACGATTATGTCTTTGATACAAAAGCAAATCAACCACAAGTATACTCAACGGCAGCGGCTCCTTTATTGCACAAGTTCCTGGACGGGTAAGATATCCTACTAAGTTTTCTTTCAATTTGATACGCATATTACACTTATTAACAAAAAATCATTTTTACAAAACCAAACAACAGCTATAATGCCACCATTTTTGCTTATGGGTACAAAATTGCAAGCTCCAAGTACTTTTGCTTGTTTAAGAATCACTTCTAATTACTCACAGAGATTATTAATTTTATTGAATAACCTACAGTCAAACTGGCTCCGGTAAGACATTCAGTATGGGCACAGGGCTAGACAACAGCATCAGTGCTGAAAATGAAGGTTACTATAAAAATCTAAATCTTAACTTTATTGTCTCTTTGTAACAAAGATTGAACTCTGAAAGTGTGATAACTTATTCTTTGCGTATAGGCATTGTCCCTCGTTGTATTATCGAATTATTTCAAACATTGAAATCTCGTGAAGCAAAGGAAGACGAATACAAATACGAAGTATATGTATCTTTCCTTGAACTTTACAATGAAGAATTTGTGGACTTGTTAAACAGCCCAATGCAGTGGAAACGCAGATCACTAACGAATCACGCACCAGCCGCAACAAGTGATGTATGTATCAGAGAAGACATTGCAGGAAATATCTATTGGAGTGGTGTTAAGGAAGAAGCATGTCAAAACGCCGAAGAAGTGCTAAGGTAAAATATATGTACTCTTCCTTGACCAGAACAATTGTAAAGTTCATTATGTAACACGCTTCGTCGACATCTCTCTTGCTATAATTGTCAATACCCAGCCTTCTTGCCCAAGGTTCGCTAAGCCGTACGACAGGTTCTACGGATATGAACTCTGTTTCCTCCAGATCTCATGCCATTTTTTCCGTCATATTAAAACAGCAAACACCTGACCGAGATGAAGCAGGGAATAAAACAATCAAATCTTTGTCGAGTAAATTTCATTTTGTTGATCTTGCTGGGTCAGAAAGGGTATGCTCTGATGACTGAAAAGAATCGTATATACATTTGACTAACCTTCCAATGTCAATTTATGGTCAATAGCTGAGTCGAACTAATGCTCAAGGCGAAAGAGCCAAAGAAGGAATAGCAATTAACTCAGGGCTTTTAGCCCTCGGAAACGTTATTTCAGCATTGGGCGATGAGACTAGGAGGGCAACACACATCCCTTACCGTGATAGTAAGCTAACAAGGCTGCTGCAAGACTCACTGGGCGGCAACAGCCAAACTCTAATGTTGGCATGTGTTTCTCCAGCGCACACCAACTTCATGGAAACACTAAGCACTTTAAAATATGCAAATCGAGCAAAAAATATTAAGAATCGAGTGACAATTAATCAAGACTTTGCTGGTTCATCGCTGGAAGTAAACCAGTTAAAAGCACTTGTTTCTCGACTACGGATGGAAATTGCATCTTTACAAACTGTTGATCGACGGCATGCAGGCACTGCTAGTTTACTGTTCGATAAAGAGGACGGTCAAGCCCTGCGTGAAGAAGTAAAACAATTACGAGAACGGCTAAAAGACATGTCTGACCAAATTGTTAGGGTCACCAGCGAACGAGACACTCTATTAATAGAGCGTGAGCTTGGTGAATTCATGCAAGACGATATTTCAGACGATGACAAGCTTTTTCAAAGCATTGGTGCTACAAAGAAAATCGAAATTAGTCCTGTTATTGAGAATTATCTCAGCAAAATACAAAAGCTTACTAATGAGTTAAATGATTCAAATAATAAGTTAAAAACCATGGAAACTGAATATCAAACATTACAGAAAACATTGAAAAGACAACAAGAACAGCAACAGCAAGCATTAATCGCGAATACCGTACTGCAGAAGTTCTCTAATATAGGTCAACAGCCACAACCCAAACACAATAACAGCGGACGTCGACGGATAGCCATTGTGCGGAATTCAAGCGTAGGCAATTCCTCAAGCAATAATTATCATGCAGTCAGAATTACAACAAAGAAAAACATAAAAAGACAGGTGATAATCAATAAAAGCTCAAGTACAAGTTCACGTACGTCTAGCAGGAAGCACAAAAAGAAGATAGCTGCACACAAGCATCCAAAATCAAATCAGCAAAAAGTTGCAGCAGCTGAAGTACAAGACTATTACGAGGACGAGGGTTTCGTCAATGATCTTCAAGATGGAGGGGTACATCACGAGGAGGTCAAGGAGAGCATAGCAAAGGTTCGTGCAGATATACGGAGAAGCCTGGAGGTTCTTGAATTAGTGAAGGTATGTCAGTGGATGCTGTTCTGTCTTTTTGCTTTTTGAACATATCATAATGACATTCCATTACAATTTAGCCATTAGACGATACCGCTGCTTCTTGGGAGCAAGAATTAAAGGTAATTTGCCAAAACTATTTAGTTGTAGGTTTTTATGATTGACCCTGGAATAAAATAGAGTTTCGAAGCAGAGGAAGCAACATGCAAACAAATGCAAAGAATACCATCAGATGAAGGCAGGTTCTCTTTGTCGCCTTCTCCTGTGGAGGAAGTTCAAAAAGACAAAATTGAAACTTTAGTAAGTCTGTTAATCTATTTAGCCTTCTCATTTGCAGAAACTCTGACTGTTTCTGCTGCTTCTCAATATATGCAAATACTTGTTCTCAAACTACGTTTATTGTGTCCTATCATGCTAACTTTTTTTTAAATCACCAAACATTTTCATAGAATACTCCTTCATGGACTGGTGATGAAGATGATGTATCTAACGGCCATGGCGTACTCGATTTAGCTGCAATTGCTTATAATAAAGAAAACACTTCAATGGCTGCAGATGAACGATGCAAATATAGCAATCAGTTGTCTCGTATGCTCCATCAAATTCAGTCAGATATCAAGGTCAAAGAGGAGCTTGTTTCTCATTTGGAAAAATCAGAAACAGAATATTCCTTCATGCGCAAAAAGTTTGACGAAAAGATTATTCAACTCCAAGCTCAGTTAGCAGAAACGCAAAAGGAGAAGGAGGTTGCCATGACCAGAGCAAGGTCTGGTTCATTCACAAGACCTGATGGCACAAGCAACTTACAGCAATTAAGGGCATCTGATAAGCAACAAGCTGATTTACGTCAATCATACGAAATCAAAATAAAAAACCTACAAACAGAAATGTATGAACTTCGTCGTAAATACAACAATGTAACGTCAGCTATGCAATCTACCCGTAATCAAAATGAGTCTCTCCTACGAACACTGAAAGGAAATATTGAAACACTCAAGGTAGAGAAGAAGAGGCTAGCTCATCGAATGAAAACAGAAGCTGAACGCGTTCGCGAACAACTATCTCAACAAGAACGCAAAATCCAACAGTTGCAGCGGCAGCATGCCAAATCGAATCAAGCTCGACGTCGACTTGAACGAGAACATGAGCAACAAAAACTAGTACTTAAGAAGCGTAATGAAGAGGTCATTCTTGGTGCTAATCAATTAAAGCAATTGATATCTATTATGAAAAAAGCAGTGCGTGAAGGTGGTTTACTGGATGATCGATTGCTGAATAAGATTGCCCCTATTATGGGCGGAACATTTGCTGTAATCGCACGTGGTGGAGGGCATGGATTTCCCAAACGAACTATCAGAAAGAAGAATCGCATCCCACTCAATATCCGTGTCTTACGTAAAAAGGAATTGCTTGATAAGGCACTATACCAGTATATACAAGGTAAACAAGCAATCGTTGAAATGGAGCAATTGCTGATTAGACGCGAACAACTCGTTGACGAAAGAAATGAGCTTGAGGACGAGAGAAATCAAGTTTACAACGTAGAGAAAGAACATGAAGAAACTACAGGACAACCCATGGATATGATAGCTGTGGAATTGATGGATGACAAAATTGAACTCCTCTCTGCAGAAATATCCTATCTTTCTGCTCGCATACAAACACTTCAAACCGAAGCGGCTGTTGATTCACATGAGCATAAATCAAAGAATCAACAGAAACTAACAAAGCATGTTACATTTGTAGACGATATAATCAATAACGATGAAACCCAAAATGATGAATGGACAGATATTGATGCTTACGAAGATCAATTCAGTGTTCCACTCAACGCTGCTCCTGAAGTTGCTTACGATACTGCTTCAAAATTAATCAAATCTTTGGAAAATGATGAATGTAAACGTATAATGGAAACGTTAATTGACGATATTATGGAACTTAGAATGAATGAACATGGCCGGCAAGCAGTAGTACAAAACTTAGAGAAGACTTTGACGGATTTACGTCGTGCTCTGATCACAATGAAAAAGACAGCTTATTCGAGTACTACAGACAGCCTTTTGTCCGTCAATGAAGATAGCGCGATCGCGATGATGATACAAGATAGCAATGACATCATATCAATAGCCAGCAGCAGTAGAAAGAATAGCATGGCTTTCGATAACTTAAACGCAGATTGTATTACTAACGATAACAACATGATACAACATATCAGTTTACCGAACTCTCCAGTTATTTCACCGCCGTCAGATAAAACCACTTTTTTACCTTGCTCAAGTGGTAACTTTGCGACGACAACAAAAGCACCGATACCTGCTTATTTAAACGAGCATCTAAACAAACATATGACTTTGTCGCGAGAATCAACCCCTTCACCAGATCGATTTTTCAACATGGTGCAGAAAAAAATATCATGGCAGCAACAATATGATGAAAGGCTTGATATAGGAGAAGAATTACTGAAACCAAAGACTATCGAAACAACTGAATTCCGGCATTATGCTAGCGATCATGAATCTTCTACGTCCTCTATCCGTAGTAACCATTTCCGAAGATCATCGATACAATCAGATATGTCTTCTTTATCTTCATGGACACATAGAACAATTGATCGTAATACGATGAATTCTTCTGTACAACATACTGAAAAGCCTATATCTCATTCAATTGCCGCACATATTCCAGCTTTGAATATGTATACTAATTTTACTCCTTTCAAACAATCACTGTTGCATAGCCATTCATCTGCAAACCACCTTTATCAAGCCCATCCAATGTCACGTCGTCCTTTGCCCGCTGTAGTGACGAGTAACTCTACTATCGACAGATCAATTACTCCAACTGTCTTTGATCGATTATCTCAGACACCTACTAGATCATCTAGAGCAAAAATGAACTTTCGCTATAGCAGCAGTAGTGTAGATGATCTACGAAAAAGATGGGAGCTAGAACAGCAGTCTGCAAACATTCCCAGAGCTCGCGTATCACCCACTTAATTGCATGCCACTTTCGAAAAGCTACAACTTATCTATTTGTATTTACTGTTTTTTAATGCTATTTGTTAATTTCCCTTCAATAAAATTTGACTCAATATATAACATCGTCCCAGCTAAACGTATCTGCAGTTGCAAACCTAGCCTTTCTTCGACGCAATGCAAAAAAAAAACTAACTTGAAATGCCCTGTTCAATATAACTTGTTTGTTTAATACATACAGTTTTAAGATTGGTGAGTGTGTAAATCCATGTGGTGATTGTTTTATTATATGCACTTCCATCGTTTAATAGGTTCTTCATCGGTGGTTATATAAATAATCGTCTTCCTTTTTCTTATATACAATTAAAGACGTTTAGTTATGCTACTTCTTCAAATTCCACATACTCTTTCTTTGCAAATTCTGCGATAAATGTTTCTTGGACATGTTCTACTAGGTCTAATAGATTACTAAGGCCGGTTTTTAAAGCATCAATAGCAGTTGTATTCTCTATAGTATTGTAAGTAAAATGAACACTTCACAAAACATTCTGTATATTCTGATCAAGCTGCGTAATCATACCTGTGGTTTGAATACGAACATTCATTTTAGCTTCTGAAGGATGTGGAATAGAATAACCACAAAAATCTACTTCTGGGCTATATAAATAGCGTTGTACTGTTAGTTTTCCTGCTTTTTCAATCAGATATTGCCTTTATCCATTAGGCCTTTTTATTGCTTCTTTACTTTTTGTTTATGACATGTCGTAGAGCGTTGCCCAGAGTGTGATCTTCTTCTTTGAAACAAAAAGTCAAGGCAGTAACATCACTGTGGTTGCCAACCTAAAAGCGACGAATATCAGTTACTATTCAGAGCAAATGTTATAAAAGCCTCTAGCTCTCACATACAATTTCGACTTTGTCTGCGCTGACAACTACATCAGGTTCTTCTTCCATTTCTTCATCGCTATTTTCTTCTTCGGCTTGCTCTCCCATTTCGGAAGAGCTTTCATCAATCTCCATTTGCTCTTGTTCTCCATTGACAGTAGAGTATTCTTTTTCGTCCACGGATGCTGGTGCCATTGTTAATAATTATGTTAAATGGTAGGATAAAAAAATAGGACATTCATGGTAAATAAATTTGAAATTCTCCCTTGTGACAGTCAACCGAAAGACAGTGGCTTATTTTTATTGGACGTGCATTGTCAAGGAAAATAGGACTTCAGAAATGCTTTTTTCGTTTTACAGTATCATTGTGTTTACAACTTTTTGGAAGCTGTTTGAAAAGGGAGATGAAAAGATCGATGCTTCTATAAATGATAAGATTTCATTGGTATGTTTATTGGTTTTGTTGTGCAATAGTAAAAGTGAGTTTAGAGGATAAATAACAAGTTTACATCGATCGGATGGGATGACGATAACTGAGGACGTTGGGAATATTTAGTGCGCAAAATATCGCGAATAGCATTCAACAATTGCAGATACGTTAATTGTTTATTTTGACGTAAAGCAGCTAAAATGATAATTAACAATGTTCAGATCATATGATGAAAAATATTATGTCTCTCTTGAATATTGTTATATCGAACTTACTTGTGAAAGCATAAGACATAGCTCCAGTAGAAGCTCCATTTTCCACAGCATCAGCAGAGGTCTGATTGTCTTTACAACCTGAGAACATGATAACATCAGATTCGGAACTCTTAAATTTCTTGACGCGAGCATCTACATTCTTTTTGCTCATCATGCTCTTTCCAAGGCTCATAAGTGATGAAAGTGCGCCTGACTTGTTACCAGTAGCATACGCAAGGCCTGCGCTTAATAAGCCAGCACCAGCATCCTTGAAAATACTCTCCTGCTTAACAGTGCCTTGAGTGGAATAAACGTAAGGTAAATCAAGTGCTGTACCAGAATGGCATGAATCGAAAATACATGTCAAACGGCAACCTCTAGGTAGGGGTCGAACCATAATCTCGTGCATTTCCTTTGATCAATTAAATAGGGTCAGTATTTTCAGCATATATAGATAAACAATAAGTGCTGTTTTACATCATCAACAATTTGTCCTGTGTCGCCTGGATACATTTCATGGTCCACAGGGTAAATAGTTTCATCGAAGCCATCATCCTCGTCCCCATTTTCATCTTTTACTCTACCACCGTGTCCGCTGAAATGGAAGAAAAACCTAGATAAACACTGCGTATTAGCGGCCACCTTTCAATCAGAAATCGACGAAAGTGCTCTCTACTTACGAATCATTCTCTCTCGCATCGTTGACAAGCCATTGCATAGCACTCAACATATTTTGTTTGGTTGGAATAAACTTTTGGTCCTGCTGATCATCTGTCAATATAACCATATCCTCCTATTCAAACAAACATCAAAATGTATATTATAAGCAATTAAAAGCACGTTCTCATTCCATCCTAATTCCCAAATATATACCTCCTTGAAATCAAACAAACTTATCAAAAATTGCTTCACATTTTTCACATCATTGATACATCCATTCAGCTCATTTTTGGAATTAAAATAGTTGATACCGATTAATAGTGCTCTTTTTCTTCCTTGACCTGTAAGAAATTTGAATAAGCTTCCCCTTTAATACTTTTTTACCATCTATAAACAACTCAAACAATAACTTACAATTTGAAAGCTGGAAGTTAGGTGGGGCTTGGTTCTGCATAGACGGGTTTACGTGCATAACAAAGTCATTAGCAGAAGCATCACCTTGTTGCTGACCATATGGAACTGATGCCATTAGACGACAGACAAACACAAAATGTTAATACGCTTCTTGCAGTTGAGCAGTAAAATATGTTGCTGTTCACTGTACCTGGGTTAGGTCCCTGGTTATGAGATGATTGTGGAGGCTGTGGATAATTTGCTTGACTCAAATTAGGATCACTCGGGCTGAAAACAGGATCAGGCCCTTTTTTAAACAGTGAAAATATAGCCAAGAGTTGTATATGAGTATCTGCAACACTGTATTTTTAAACACTTGGTTAATCTCTCTTTCATACCTTGATATGGAGGTGGTTGGATTCCATTATTGCCTCTTTCTTCAGTAACTGAAGATAACTGATTTGGACGGTTTCCAGGGATCGGTGGAGGTGAAGAGTATTGGTGATGAGGAGAGACCGAAGACGGTTCGCTGCCCAGATTCTGAAATGAGGGGTAGCTCTGTGCTGGCACTGCTGGAGGAGGATATCCTTGTGGTGGCGGGTAGCCCTGCTGGCTACTAGGCGGGGGATAACCTTGCGCTGCTGGTATGGGATACCCTTCTGAAGGTGGAGGATATCCTTGTGTTGGAGGTGGAGGGTAGTTTTGAGGTGGAAGATAATTTTGCTGTGGTGAAGGATGATAGCCCTGGGAAGGCGGATAGCCCTGATAGCCCTGAGGAGGGGGATAGCCCTGAGGAGGGGGGTAGCCTTGCTGAGGTGGTGGAGGGGGATAATTTTGAGTCGGAGGATACCCTTCAGGTTGGCCATAGCCGTGCGTACCATAAGCGCCAGGATAAGTCATCTTGATTTTAGTATTATTTTGTTGGAAAAGCGAAAGGGAAGAAGTCTTCTAAAAAAAGCAAATTTAAAAGGCAAAACGGCATAATGCTTCGATTTCGGATTGCAGTAGGTTTTCTCGGATTGACGGTATTTCAATATTATAATACAGATTTATTGAACAATCTTCACAAAATATGGAATAAGTTATCCAAATGAGCCCATCATATATTGATATAGTTGTTGCTACTCTCAAAACCTATATGCCTTTTATATCTGCTTATAATTCAGTTAATCAATGTACTTTATTACCTGAGCTCCATTACCATCAAGAATTAAGTTGTGAACAAGAAATATTTGAATATGTTAGAACCTGACGACAATCCCTGAAATGAAGGCTATCCTCAGAGTTTTCTTTCTTTTCTTTTTTGCCATCTTTGCTTTTCCAGAACCAAAGTATAAGGATTAGAATGAAGTAGGCATCATATGAACTGCAATTTAGAAAAACGTAAGAAAAAGGTAAATATACGAAAAAACAGCGACGCCGCATTGTATTGTCATGAATTGACGTACTTGCCACTTCAGTAAGAGAAACAAAAAGCTTGTCTACACAATTCAACTACGCGTCAAGATAACTGGCTCTTAGTACTTTAAAAAAAAATCTATATATTCTTGATAAATCCGATTACTTAATAAGAAGGTTTATAAAATCAAGTATCCTTTTCAATTTTTTATGAAATTCGGCATTCGACCGCTACTTCTACAATAACCTCTGCCAAAGAAATTAGTCAATTTGTGTTAAATATAGCAGCGCGCTAAATGAAGGGAAGAAGTAGAACAAAGCAGAGGTAAAAAGGAGAAAGCATTTATATAAACAAGAAAGATAATTACAGATTTCTATTGAAAACTAAAGGCATCAGAGGAACTTGTACGTAATTCTCTTTAAGACGTCAGTAGCAAGGTACCTTTGGCCATGATCGAACATCGTATTCGGCTATCGCGTCTAAATTGGATCGATCAAGGATTCTTTTTGATTCATTCGTCCTTATATACACTGCTCGAGGCCTATATTACAAAAAAGTTTTAGCACAGACAGAAATGTGGACAGATTTTACTTACATGTTGACAAACATTACACATCACATTGGTGCGTAACATCCATTGTCCTGCTGTTATCTGATTCAATACATCCTTATTTTAAGGTCGATTACCAGTGCCTTGACCGATTCAGGAAGTCTTCAACCTGCCGTATTAGAAGACGTATTCCTGAATGTGAATATACTCAAATATACGTCATAACTATTAAAGGACTTTAAGATTGCTTTCTTTGGAGTTGTATTAATCTCTTGTAACTTGCTTGCTTTTTTTTTTTTTTTTTTTTTTTTTTTTTTTTCTGGGTGCTCATTTCTATTTGAATAAAGAACTCACTGTCATAGTATACTCGCTTACTAATATTCGTTATGTTAAGGCAGTATAATGTGAATGTTGTTTTAAATCTATAGTATATTGCCGAATAAGTTCATCCTGAGAATGAGGGTTTTCCAGTTTATTCTAACAATAGTTCAATTCAAACTCAAGTACCGTATCAACATGATTTCACATTCTTTTTGAACTGGACTATTTCCATCATCAGCAAGAGCCTCCCTCCCCTCCACTATTAAGTCAAACACTTCTCGACTGGTTCCCTTCTTTCCCCATCGATTTGCCATCGTTCATATCCTTTTTTACCCTTGAGCTTTATTCTTGAGCCCAATGGGATATTTTGGATAACTACAATACATGTGGATCTGTCCCAGGCAATTTAGATAAGTTTCATATCGCGTGCCCATTGGCATATCTGTAATAAAAACTTGTTTGAACGTATCAACATGATTAAACATTTACAGGTAAAGTTGTTTGGAAGAAATGGTTATTTGTCTCAATTTTATCGCCAATTTCTCATGCTCTCTGATAGTACTCATTCATTGATTGTCCTCTCAGATCGAAGCATTTACATAAATAGCAGCAAAATATTTTTAGCTCTTTTTGACAAGTTTGGGTTTTGGTATCTTTAACAATACATGTAATTGATCTCTTTGCAGTTTCACTTCATTCAGAGGCTTCGTCCTAAAAAACAATATTCAACATCTAATTTTCTTCCTGAAAGTTTTCAAGCTTTCGTGGAACTTACCAATCAGTGCTGGTAATAATATCGACTGCTTGTGCCAGTTCGTCTGAATCTGCATCTTCAGGACTTGAAAGGAATGAAAATAACTGGTCTGAAGTCTCTATACGGATCTGTGTACAGCTATTGTTAGTTTGTGTTCAGCGATACTATTAACATTTTACTTACTCTTGGAAAAGGATGTATAAGGTATGTCAATAACTGCTGCAATGTTTTCGTCCTAATTTGAGATCCTTCTACGTTGAGAAAACCGACAAAGCTAAAGACACAGTAATATGAGTGAATTGGTGGGATTGTCTGCGAAGTAAGCGTTGAATACTTACACTTTTATAGCTGACAGTAATTTACGAATGGCTTTACATTTAAATACTTGCTTTTTTACCAATGTGAACAATTTTACGTGTCTATCATGCATAGAACCATTAACGGTGGAAGCTTAGTGAATCACTTTCGAAATTTTCCTTACAGATTTTCGTCTGGTATTCTTGACAATATAGCGGTTGCATACAGTAGTCCAGTTACGTCCAATAGTGGCTGAATAATCCTATCGTCTTTATCGTATTTCACGAAAATATTGAGCAATGTTGTAAAGAACTCCTGCAAAGATGGGCCAGAGGAGGCTTTAAGAGGTAGGTTGCCGGTATACTCTATCAGACAAGCGCTGGAATGGCGAACCTTTCCGAGATTCAATCAGTAATACCATTTTGATGTAAAAATACCTTCAGTAAAATATAGCTTACCAATGATTCAGTCAAACCACCAGCACTAGTGATCAGACCCGTCAGCAGCTCAAACCTATACTCTGGTATATCCAGTATCTGAACCATTGTTAGATACATATCAGATGGCGAAAGCCATTCTAGAGCACTGATAAACAGATACAATTAAATGTTAGCAATCTCTCTGCGATAGCTCTTCTGACTGCTAATTATTCGCCTTACCGCTGGAACTTGTCCCTTAAAAATTCTTTTCCAGGATAGATCAAATTGTCACAGGAAGAGATAACGTTAAAGAGAACTCTGCCAGCTGTTGATCTTACTTTGTCGATACGTTCCACGCTTTGTTTTAACAGAGCTGCTATTATATCTCTTGTATTTGAAGTAGTCAGGTAAGGTGGCTTTTCCGGTCTGGACGAATCCAATCTAGAAACGCACGGTACCAAGTAGTTTAACAGTTCCATTACAGAGACACGGACCCAAGAGCCAACATCACCCCGTTGATCTATGCTATAATCTGTCAAGCAGACTTGCAAGCAATTCAAAATGTATTGAAAATCATCGAAGGTAATGACTATATCATAGTAACAGTAAGTTTATCATTTCTGATTCCCTATAACAAACTATTGTACCTGACTTAATGTCATCCCCAAGTTTTTTAAATATGCTATGTAAGCCCTGTACAGCATTTCTTTTCGATTCAGCATCATTAGCAATAGAGTTATCCTTTAAACGTAGAGAAAGTGCTCATAAGATATCAATATTTCTTCTTGAGATTTGTCCTTCTACATAAAATCAAAAATATATACCTGGGCTTGCGACCCTTGACACAGTTGTTGACAGACTTTATGTAAATTATCAGGTTGCTTACTGTAATCCAAAGTTCCTAGAGCAAGTGCATAACCTCTACGTTCATAATAATTTGAATTTATCACATTCACTTTTTGTAGTGCTATATCCAATTCTTCCTGAGAGAAGCCGTTCGCTTCAGCAACTGCACCAAAAGCAACCACAGCAAAAGCTTGTACTGTTTCCTCCTTACGTTGCAAAGATGTATAAATAACATTTTTCCAGTCAACTAATACGTCTTGCTTATGCTCCAAACTCAATCGGGATTTTGCAAAAGATGCTATCAATTGACAGGCGGCCTCTCGAATATGTTCTGATCCAAACGTCTTGAGTGATTTTGGAGGTAATTTAGATATGACAGTTATTAATGCATCGGTTTTTTGTTTGTATAATTGAAGAATGTTCGGTTGATCGAGGCTATAAATTGCCATGCAAATTTCAGCAATAGCAAGCATGGCACCGTGGGAAACGTGCATATCATTACTAAGTGCATTGGTGATCTATATTTACAATCAAACACCAAGAATAAAGAAGAATAAGTCCGAATCTGAATTGTATAAGGAAGTGAAGACAAGTCTCATTTACCAAGTAAGGAAGCACAGTTTCTAAGAAGTACTTTGGGTCCAATGCTACCAGTTTCCCCAAAGATTTTGACGCCAATACACGCAGAGCTTTGTCCCAGTGTTTCGCAGTGATGACAATCAAATGTTGAATTAGGTGATAGCGGTATTCATCGAATCTAAAAGAATGCATGCGAGCATTTGAGTCCAAGTTACAATTACTGGAATTTCTCGGTTTACTTACTTGGCAATATCGAAGGCAATTTCAAGAAATGCATTATTTCTATTACCTAACGAAAAATAATCTGCTTTTTGGATTATGTCGATACCGTGTGGAAAAATACCTTGTCTTCCAACGTTTTCCTGAAAAGCAGCACTACTAGCACGACGTATATTGATTTCCCGGTCGAATACTGATACAACTACTAGATTTTGTGCGATTTCTTTTACAAACGGCTCCATTATATCTGGTGCATAAGCTCTTGCGAAGGCCCAACATACGTAGCAGCAAGCATCACGAACGTGGGCGCCAATAGAATGCGAGCCTCGTTTAATATCAAATTTTAGTCCACGGATAATCCATGGTAACGTATCCTTCAGACGCGCTGGCAAAAGTAATCCTCGTCTGGCCAGTTCAGCAATGGCCAATGAAGCACCGTGCCAAGTGAAGTCAGATACGGCTGAGAGGTCCAGTGTATCAGAAGAGTCTGTCCAAAGTGTATTCTCTTCAAATAATTCTAACACTGATCCCACTACATCCTCTGCCAGTTCCTGAGGCAGCCGTTGTGTTATCCTACCAATTCCTTTCGCAGCGGACCACCTTACAATAGTATCTTTGTCCCTCAATCCATTCAATAAAAGCTCAATAATTATCTCTAAGTCATCAGAAATTTCTTCCTCATCATCTTCTTCAGTTCTTTCATACTTGTTGTCTTCATTCGCTTTTGCAGATACAAGCCCGGCTGCGACTGAGGAGCTTATTTCCAGATTTTGTCGTAGAGATCTGTTTCCTCTCTGATATCTCCATGCTGCAACTTTGGGCTTCAAGAAACATAAGCCCGCACGTTGTGCTAATTTAGTGCGTAATTTACGAATAACTGCATTACTTGTAAACTTGTCAAAAAATGGCATAGTGAGGAGTGGGATAACTGATGGTTCGAGTGTAGGTAACAAAAAATTCCTTGGCGCTAGCCTATATATGATACATAAAGCTTGAAGATATCCCGTCGTCTTTTAATAAAAGTTAGCTTCTTAAGCTTGACCTTCTAATTTCGGAGCAGGTTCATTAGAGTGATAGCGCAGGCTACTTTACCTCGAAAACATCAGCGTCAGCACTTAAGCTTTCTCTAGCCCCTTCAACAAATGGAATTAAATATTCTTGACAAATATCTTGACGCGACAGTAACCGAGCAACTAATAGAGCTGCACCATCGCGCTCTTTTCCGGTTGTCTTCAGATATTTTTTGCACAGATCCAGCATATTCGTGATTAGATTATTTTGACTGCCGCTGTCAATTCTTTTCAAATCGAATGGAATCATGCAAATCAATGATAACCATATAAAACAGACATAACGTACTTCCCATAGACTAGTATCAGCTGAATTCAAGCTAAATAGAAAATGAAATACCGGTTCAAGATCGGTAACCTCATGTGACATGAATTTGACTGTTAAGAGAATATCAGATATATGCTAATTGTCACTATGTTTAAGCCCTGTCGTATGTTACCAATTGTTTTATATCCTCGTGTTTTGGTAAGTAAATACAGAAATCGAAATAAATGCGTTGTATTCTTGTCCAAAGCAGCTTTGTCAGTCTGATAAACGTCTATTCTCTTCCTGAGGATTGTCATTGTAGGTTGAATGATATATTCCAAATGCGGATCTAGTAAGTGCGACTGCTCTTGATATAACTCGAGCTACAGGAAGCACAATAAGAAAACATAATGTGAGTTTCAAACATACATTTATGATCGTCATAGTTTCGTTTTCAAATATTACAATAGCTGTTAATTGAGCAAGTGCTTTTGCTGACTGTTTGACATCGACGTTGGACAAAGTTAAAGTCTCCAAAAGCCTCATGGCTTCTTCTTTATGTTCAAAATGCGATTTTTGGTTGAGGCAAGAATCGCGATCCAGCTCATCTGTTTCCATACTTCGTCGTTGTGCTCAAAGATAATAGGAATATAAATTAAAGAAAGTGTTCCTGTTTTATTGCACTCTTTTAGTTCTTTCCTTTAGATACTGTTACTTTGGCAGACCGCTTCAATGAACTTTCGGTACCTTATTTTATGTAATTATTTTTCCGCTTTACAAGAAAAATCGAGCATTTTATCTTTGCTTTCTTATGGTTTTAACTCTTCGATGATGGCAATGAAACAGGAGAAGAAAAGCAAAGCACCTTTTCAATCATTCTTTGATTTGCAAAGAGTTGCTGTTACGAGAGGCCCACCGTCTGTTCGTCTTCGAAATGCCGCAAAAGGTACGCAATTTGTAAAATTAAACGGGGCTTTTCCTTTGCTTTGTGCGAAAGCTGTATATGAGACTTTGGCGAAATCAAGCTCTCTACCATACCTACATTAATTTTCCCGCTAACGACTTATTATGTAGAGGGTAATATAGCGGCAGTTAGACGACTCGTGAAAAAGGTTAGCAATATCCAAAATCCGGACCCAGAAACAGGATGGTAAGAGAAGCAACCGTAGCTTCCAATATCAAAATTCTGACTCTGAGTAGCTTCTGTTCTAATAAGTTCGAGAATTTGAATAGCACAACCTTAATGTATGCAACACAATTTGGCCATGTAGAGCTTGTTGAGTTATTGTTAGACCTTGGCCATGAAGACGAAGTGATATCAGTGGTAACGTTGGTGAAGTCGACAGCTGCTATAAATAGCCTGCCAATTTTAAAAGGCTAAAGCGCGCTATTTTTTTGTTAGGATAACGAGGGCATTACTGTTCTGATGATTGCAGCAATGTACAATCGTGAAGAGGTAAGATAAACTCTCTAAGGAAAAACTTGTAAAACTTCCTAGTCCATTATCAATGACTCTGTTTTTAGATCTTTTTCTTATATGTCAGTAGATACCCAGAATGCATTCACGCCATAAGTAAGACCGGTTGGACTGTTCTATTATATGCGGCTCAGAATGGCAATGCAAACCTTGTCAGCGTAATGTATAACCGTGCGTTGATCAATATATTAGAATTCAGAAAGGAAAATTAACCTTCGAAATGGCAGTATTTATTGTCTATTTCAGCAGATTTTGATCATATCGATAATGAGGGCAATTCCGCATTGCATTATGCAGCAGCTTGGGGTCATATTACTGTCATGGAACTACTAGTCGTAAGTTGGTAAAGATCATAAATGGATTTGCTACACAATCACTGACTTCCAATCAGTCTGAAGGATGTAATGTTGATCTGGAAAATAATGAGCATGCAACAGCGTTTGATTACGCATATAGTAAAGCTGTACAGGAGCATTTGAAAGGTATATCTTAGAGCAATTGAGTGAAAATGTGAATAGTGAAGTAGTTTTTCCATTTACTGAACGATCGAATTATAGAAATATCGCAAATACCCTATAATGACGAGTCAACATTATCTATTTCTTCGTCACAAAAGCAACAGAGTTTAGTGAATGTACCATACGCATCATCTTCTTCTTTCAATACCAACAACACACCAATCAACATTTCACGAGGGCAATCTCATGCGGGACATGAACTTAGCCTTATACCCCGCGCATCCACTTCATCATCATCGCTCATTATACCCTCATCCTCAGCAATAGCAACGCCCAGTTCAACGATGACTAACCATTATTCTAGTAGTGGAGGGACACCAGTATTAGCTATCAGCAATAGCAGCAATAATAATGAAGTTCTTACCGCGGCTTCTAGTCCTAGAGGTGCAACTACTATCTCGAACTATCATCAGCAAAAACAATACAGTGGCAGCCCATCCTCAATTTCAGAATTGGAACGAAGAAGGGCCAGCAGTGTAGGTGAAAAACCGAAGAACACTAGGCCCTTCCAAACAGTTGAATGATACAAAGAGCTGTAACATAAATGTATTAGGAAAAAGATAATGGTTATAGTAGCTCCTATTCCATTGGTACAACTCGAGGAAGTGTAGACGCTGTAAGTGATCGAGTACGGAGATTCAAAGCTAATGTTTTAAGTATTAACTAGAAAAAGTAGAAGAAAGAGAGGAGCACCATGGTGGTTTTAAGAGTAATAATTACTATCAGAATCGTATAATATTAAGCAATACGGCAATAAGAAAAATTGTGGAAGAATAATTTAAAAGGTTAAACAACGATTTATCTACAAATATGAAAATACATATTAATATTTTGGAGGTCTGAAAATTACAATCTGATGGATGACAATTGTCCTTGATTGAGTTTCCGTTGTATTTTCCGTTTTCTACAAACTTCTCGTCTGCTGTTTATGTCTTGTGCAGTAAGATTAGAAGCAATATTATTTTGAGTGGAGAAGATGCACTATTTTTGAAAGGAAGGAAGTGTTAAGTGGCCCGGGCATGAAAAAGTCTCAAAATTCACGTTTCAGCTTATAAAGTACCTTTATAAATTCATCACAGTCGATCATTCGCTTGGGTGTATTTTGCAAAATTCGGAATATGTCTGTAGGTTCGTTTATTGCCAGAATTTGTTGCTCGTTAAGTCTCATTATTGTTAATGCGACTTGATAGAGTATTGTAAAGCCTTCACCACTATAAAACAGAAGAGGTATGCATAATTCAATATTTTAATACAAGTAGAATGTCCGTTGATATGTATAATCTTACACAAAAAAACAATCCCAAATTCGCAGTACTGTTTCCACAGGTAAGATATTAATGAACATGGTCAAAAACCAGTGATTAGTCACCAAAGTGATGGCAGGCAATTCGTCTTTCTCCTCACACTGCCAGAAACACTTTTTATTGGACATCTTCGACCAAACTCCCGGCATTTTCTCGTAGACTAACAGCATGAATGTCATCTGCTCCAAGTTCCCTCCTTCCATGGTCTTATCAAACATCTTTGCGGGAAAGTAGTCTTGAACAATGGTAACCAACATCCAAAATACTTTTTCCTCTTCATTGTCGAAAACCAGAAGCAAAAATCCCACTAAAAAATTGAGAGATTGACAATAACCTATATCCGGTGCATACTGACTGAAAGCTGCTAAAACACGGTACAGTGATGGGCATAACGATATTTTTGCTGTATCATCTTGTTGATCATTACTACTGCTGTTGTTTGAGAAACGGATATTATCGGGATAGGTACGGTAAACATCTTTCTTTATCATCTCTTTAATCTCTTCTTGAGCCGTTTCTAAATAGTATACATATCGTTCCGGATTTGCTTCCAATTTTTTGTATGCTCCACTGTAATGAAACCATACCTAAATGAAAAGCAGAGAAGAAAAGTTGATTAATCAAATTCTAATTTGGATTATAAACTAGTATATAGGAGACGAAAAGAAAAGAGTTTCGATTTACCTTTGACCTGAAATTTGGTGCAACTCCTTTTCTAACATATCTAATGACTGGACTCAAGCAAAGTACGTATTAGGTGCGTCTCAATTTAGACCATTCTATATTTTTAGTACACTTCCTGTTTGACTTACGTTGTGGGCTTAAAGGTGGCCATTGATGTTGAGATTCGTGCAATAGTTTACGCCAGCGTCGCTTTTGTTGCTCTTTACTGATTGTATACCTCTTTTCAAACTCGACCAATTTTTCTTTTTTCACCCATTGTAAAGGTCGTTTAAAGCCATAGTCATCTCTTTCTGTCAACTGAAAATCCTCTTCTTTCCTCATACCATTGTGAACAGAGGTTTCTTCGGCTGAACTGAAAAGACTCGTTACAGTGGTATTCACCGATAACGCTGAGGACATTAATGAGGTCATTGAGGGAGTTCTTTGGCGGGATGGATAAAAACTACCCGAATGTGATGTAGTTGTTGAAGAGAACATAAGAGGCATTGAACGCTGGGTGTCATAAGGTGAAAAGGGTCTATCATATATGTTTTCTTTCTGGTTTTCTTTCTGATTCAACAGGTACCACATACTATGATGATTACCACTCTCTATGTTCGGTACATGTTTGCCGTCTTGCAACAGATGATGTCCAGCAACTAATTTTTCATGAGCTTGAATCTGTTCTAAACGAGTCTTGATAGATAGTTGCTTGAGAGCATTATGAATTTGTTCTTGTTGCTGCCTGAGCCGCACCTGAGCTGACTCTTTTGACACGTAATGCATTTCAAAAAGGCTCATTGTTTATGCTTAAGGGTAGTATAATGGGATAAGATTCGATAATGAAAGAATGACAAAACTAATATTAATGTAGAAAATAAAAGAAAGACGGTTCAATATAAATCCTAAAACTCTACACTTCTTTTTAAGGAGGACCGTATCATTTATATACTCGAATAATCAAATAGACACGAAGTTCAATTTCTGAAACCCCTTATCCACAACGCTCTGGTCTTGTATGACAGTCGATCTCCTTGAATTTCATTTTCTTCATCATTGAATAGACATGCTAATTATAACCTTTTTTAGCAGATTTCAGTAGAGGGTTTTAGTTCTCCTCCACCTAAATATCGTTATATTCAACAGAAAAGCCTCCAAATTTCCTTCATGCTCACTCTCTATAGTATCTGCAACCAAAAATTTGAGAGCTTGAAGGACATTATCGATTGAGATTCCTAGTTGCGGGTGTTTAAAATTCAGGCACACACCCACAAAAGCGGCATAAATCACCTCTAGACTTGTGTGTGGGGTAAATCTTTTTTTTTTTTATTTTTCGCTTTCTGCTTCTTCGGTTCGTCCTTCTATAGCACTTTGACGGAAAGCTCATCACGCTAATGACTTTTGACATCAGCATTCCAGAAGCAGCAGCAACACCAGATACCATTCAATTCAAGCTAGTTATAGGTGGAAATGTTAGTTTCAAGCCGTTAAGTAATTTTACATGAACAGTATTTACATATGCTTTGTTTTGATAGGTTAAGGACAATGTTTTACCTACCTTTTTTCGAACATTTCAACAAATAAGCTGGATATACCATAAACTGAAAAGTACTTACTCCTCAGGTATGGTTATACCGCCTCTGCCAGACCAACCAGTTCTGTCAGAAATAGATGACCAGGATTATATCGAACGAAAACGTTTACAAATGGAGAGGTTTTTCAAAAAATTGGCCAGGCAAGAGCTAGTAGAAAATGATGACTTTATGCATTTTTTATCAGATAAGATGGTAAAATGTACTTGAAAAAAGCTATGCAATTCAATAATGCCAAGGCTTTCATTTTCATCAATTTTAATTTTTGATAAAACAAAGTCTCCTACAGAAGTAGGACCAACGAGTACAAATGCAATACTATCATTTCTACGTTTCAAACGAGTGAAAGGAAATAGAGATGATTACAGAGGGTTTAAATCATTCCATCGACCTACAGAAATTATTGAAGGAGTAGGTAACAATAAGGTGTCGAGTTATAGAGAGATGTAATACACTCATGCAAATATTCAAATGCGCTAGAATGACCATGACAAATTTCATAAGCATCAAATATATATATTACTGCAAGAGAGCTATTATGGATGTATACACGATTCGCTGAATCAGCTGTTACAAATGAAGGAAGAGTTAGCAGATAATTTGATCCACATGGGTGATTTGATCATTGAAACGACACAGAGCAAATATAGGCTAGGATTAGGGTTGAGAAAAGATGAAGCAAGCGCTAAGTTCACACAAAGAGATCTAGAGCGAAAGATGCAAGCTATAGGATTACTCATGGATGATATGGCTTTCATCAATACTCGGCAAGCGCAAGAAACAATCTCAAAATTTGGTGACGTCTTGATAGAGTACAAATGGGCTTTGGATCCGCTGAAAGTATGCGTTAATTTATAGTGTAAAATATGCGTGTGTTGCGTGTGTCCTGCTTTAAGTACTGGTTATTGAAGGGTAATAAAATCAATACTTACTTTTTGGTAATTGGTTACTTGTTAGACTGTATTTAATGCGCGGACAGAGAAATTGATGGAGTATGCAGAGCAGCTCAAGCATCGCAACAGGAAAAGAGATAGATCAGATAAATTAAAGCTACGATTAGGTATGAATCATCCTGAAGTCAGGCAAGCTATAGTGGAAGAAAGAGAAGTAAGACATCAGTGAAAGTCGTTAACTGGATATGACTTATTGTATCCATAACTTAACATTTATTGATTATGCCACATAGGCAGTAGAAGTGCTTAAGAAAAGCAAGGAAAACTTTAATAACATACAAATGAGAGTAAAAAATGAAATAGAACTGTTCGAGAAGCAGAAATCGAAAGATTTGATAAAGTCATTTCGGGATTATGCAACATCAAATATACAGTCCGAAAAGACAAGGCTGGATTGTTTGGAAAAGGCCTTGGAAGAGTTAAATAAGCCATGTTTAAGTAGACGAAAATCGTCTATTCTTCCAAATCTCTCGATGACAGATAAACTATTGACGGATGACGCTAAACGAAGGCAGCCTCCAAAACACAAGCAGAGTTTACTAATACACAAAAAACCTTTGAAATCTTCTGCGTCATTACCCACTAGACAACAGCCAGAATTAGGCAATATTGTATTGTCTGCTTCTTATGATGGCAAAACATTTAGGTGGTCTTAGGCCAGGAGTGTTTTAATGAAAACTATGTATGCCCAGTAGTACTACAAACAACACCAACTTCTGGATATATCTGTTTATTTAATCATTTATATTGTGTAGTGGTAATCATCAAAATAAATAAATAGCTGAGCCATATATACTATAGATGGAGTCGGTGTCTTACAAGCGGTTCTCATAAAAGCGAGTGTTCCATCGATCATTCTCATTTATTATCAGTGCCGCCTCCAGAACATCCCAGATATTTTTGGCGTATACAAATTCAATCTCTTCCTTCAATTTGTCTGGCACATCTTGTTGAACATCTTTCCTATTACGGAATGGTAAGATAATTTTACGGATACCTGCACGATGAGCAGATACAACCTTTTCTTTAATACCGCCTACAGGTAGGACTTGTCCACGGAGAGAAATTTCGCCCGTCATGGCCGTAGTAGGTGGAACATAATAACCAGAGAACAACGATACTAAGGAACTGACAAGAGTGACGCCTGCACTAGGGCCATCTTTGGGCACAGCACCGCCAGGTACATGGATGTGAATATCAATTTTGTCGACAAGATTGGTACTCTCATTCGACACAAGTTTCAAGGAATAGGCGTGAGCTTTAACCCAAGTTAAAGCAATATGCGCCGACTCTTTGATGACATCCCCCAATGAACCTTCTCGACAAAAAAAAAAAAAAAAAAAAAAAAAAACCATCAATATATCAGTTCACAGCATCCTATTGTACATCCGCTTTTGATATCTGTTACCTGTCAAGTGCAATTCACCTCTACCCGCCATTTTCGTCGATTCGACAAATAAAATGCCACCATTCCCACTTCCTGAATAAGCTAACCCCGTCACAACGCCTGGCAAGGGCTCTCTTTCTGCTATTTCCTTTTCATAAAATGCCATACCCAGAATACGCTCCAGATCAGGCAGCGTCACGAGGGGGTTATAATTTTCTTCTTTTTTCGCTTCACGTAAATCGGCCAGCTCAACACATTTGGCCCGTACAACAGACGCTATTGTTCGTTCCAAACTACGAACACCACTTTCTCGTGTATAATTCTCAGCCAACTTTAGCAAAACGTCATCCTCCATGTGAACTTGTTGATGTTCTCGTTCTTGTTGATCATCATAAAGGCCATGTATTTTCAATTGTTTCGGTAGAAGATAGGCTTTAGCTATATGAAGCTTCTCTTCAAAAGTATAACCATTTAGAGTGATGACTTCCATACGATCCAAAAGCGGTTCAGGAATGGTGTCCAAACTATTAGCAGTAGCAATGAAAAGAACGTTTGATAAATCGAATGGGACGTTGATGTAGTGATCTGTGAATGAATTGTTCTGTTCAGGGTCCAAAACTTCCAACATAGCAGCAGCTGGATCACCATAATGCGATGCTTGGACAACTTTATCAATTTCATCAAGCAGAAACAGAGGGTTGTTCACTTTGCACTTGCGTAGGCCTTGGACAATTAAACCAGGCATAGCACCCACGTACGTTCGTCGATGACCTCTACATTATTTGGACAAGGTTAATTGCTGGGATACCATCTACACCATGATGACAAGTAATCTATTTATTTATTTTTTCTCATACCTTATTTCCGCTTCATCACGTACGCCGCCCAAGGAGATTCGATGGAACTCTCGACCTAAAGAAGCGGCAATAGACTTGCCTAATGATGTCTTACCTACACCGGGCTATATAAAATATCAACAGCTGTAATGAATTCAAACATTCTATTGTATTTAGTACGAATAAGGCTTTACCGGACCAACAAAACAAAGGATAGGTGCTTTTAAATCCCCTTTGACTTTCATCACTGAGAGGTATTCAATGATCCTTTTTTTGACTTGCTTCAAGCCAAAATGATCTTGCTCCAATTTATCCTTAGCTTGATGAATATTGAGGGAATCTTTTGACATTTTATTCCAAGGCAGATCAGCCAACACTTCGAGATAGTTACGAGCTACAGCATATTCACTGGAGGTTGGCTGCAATTTCTTTAATCGTTTCATTTCTCTCCGAGCGACTACGGACGCTTCTTCTGGTAGCTCAGCTTCTTGTAACTTTTGTTCAAGTTCGTCTATCTCATTGGCTCCGTCTTTATCATCGCTGTTTGATCCATCTAATTCTCCTAACTCTTTCTTTATTGCTTCGAGCTATAAAGAAAGATTCCAAAAGAGTAAATAATCAATCATAGTCTTTCAACGCAGTTCAAACATAAATCACTGATTTGTATTTACTTGCTGTCGGAGATAGAACTCCTTTTGCTTCTGCGATAATCTTCCTTCAATGCTTGAATGAACTTGTTCTGATATTTTCAAAACCTATGCCGACAAAAAAACATGAGTCAGCGAATCAGCAGCCTTTCTTTCTTTTACAAAAGCAATTTTAATACATGTCTTTTTATTTTACATGTAATTGTCTTGTCATCCATTCTGATGCTTTTTCAATTCTTTCTTTTGTATCCGTGGTGGCCAGCATGGACAATTTTTCCTCAAATGATGTTTCGATAATGGAAGCCAACATATCTGCCAAAAGGGGTGGTGCGACTGTATCCATCAATTTTGATAATTGCTGAATTAGAATATCTGGCATTTTGAGATCCTTCATTTTCCCCAGAAATTCTTTCACAAGTGCTTTGAAACGGATAACACTGTCATCATCCAAAGTGCCGGCAGTTAAAGGTGATGTATCCTGTAAAAAAGCTGCTTTGACACAAAGTGTCTCTTGATGATACAAGTCTGGCTGCGTCAAGTAGTGTTCCACTTTGAACCGAGCCACACCTTCGATGAACATTGTAAATGCGCCTAAACCTGATCTTTGGATGCGAATGATACGTGCAGAGCAGCCATAATGAAACAATCGATCCTTATCGTTTATAGAAAGAAAGCCTTCATCTTTTACTGCTGCAACAATCTGGTGGTTATTATCCGTTAGTTGGGAATATTGTTTCTGTATGGTTTTCTCTTTATGATTGTTTCTAGTTGAAGTATCATCGCTTTCAACAGGAAGACGGTTTATCAACGGAATACAGGCAATGAAAGTAGGTTTGCGTTGCTCATTAAGGCGCAGATGTCGTCGAGTGAGTAGAACGGCATCTCTACCTCTCATATTGATTTTCAGCACGACTGAGGGTAAGAGTACTTTATTCTCTAGTGGTAAAACTATCAAGACATCTTCTGGTGAAGAGGGCGCCGGAGTAGTAGTGGGCATTATAATATTTTAAGATGAAAGAAATATGATGGAGTGAATTAAAAAAAAAAAAAAAAAAAAAAAAAGATAATTGGGAATTTTTTCATGTGAATCAGCAGAAATTTGTTTTTCTCACATAAGATAATCAGTGTTGTCCGACCGCACGTTTTACTGCTCTTTTTGCTGCACAAGCAGTTGTTGGTCAATTTGCTTTTTCGTTTCATATAATTGAACATATGTCTGTCGTAGATCTTTGAGCGCCAGTTTCTGAGTCGATTGAATGTTCTCTATGATATGTTGTTGGACAATGGAGTTGTCTGTGTGCTTTTGCATTAACGTACCTACCCTTTCCGAGGATAATTTGGTCCGTTTCCTAATGTTGTCTTCTGCCGTTGCTCTTAGAACCTCCACTTCATTCTTTAGAGCGAAAACAAAGTAGCGCTGCTTTTGTTGTAGGTCATCCTTCCCTGCTTCATCATCTCTTTTGTCATCATTGTAGTCGTTGGCTAACGTGGAAGAGGGCGCTTCTTTTATTTGTGCCTGGATTAAATTGAGCTGGTGTATCAGCTGTGCTTTCTCTGCAGCGGCATATTCTAATATGGAATGGATCTCCTTTGCGACCAATGAATGCAAATCAGCTTCGTTACTAATGGTGTTGCTATCCGTATGGAAATTATCTCCAATGATCGTTTTATCATGATTGCCGTTCTGAATTAAATTTTGAATAATCTCTCGTGCTTTTTCTTTGGCTTCCTCTTTGTGCATGCCTCTCATTGCCGACTTTCGACTCTTCTCATCCAGATAATCCACGATGCGTTTGGCTGTCTGTCGTATTCTGTCCTTTTTTGAGTCTTGTTTCTCTTTCATGACCCACTGGCCATCACTTGACAGCGATTTAGATGAGCCACTTTCAATATACTCTTTTAATTGCTGTTTGTAATCATCAATAAGTCGCGTAATGACATCAGAAACGTAACTTTGGTAAAGGCTTTTAAGCAAGGGTATATAGTGGTCGTTCAGTTTCTTTTGTGAGTATTGCTTTATTTGTTTGGATGCTTCACTAAGGTTGGTGGACTCAACCCAACGATAACCACTCAATGCATATGAAGTAGCAGGTTTCAGTACTGGATTTTGTAGAATAGTTTCGGTCGCTGCTTTTGTGATTTGGTCCGCGTTCAGTAGATGTAAATACTGACATAATGTGTCTACATTATTATGATGATGGATAGTTGTTCTATCGTGTTTAACAAATGTGTCGCAATGTTTTGATAAGGAACATCCAGCGATGACGATGATGATAATGCTAATGATAGAACTTTTGCCCAAGCGATAAAGCCAGCTGCTACGCTTTTTTTTTAGTTGTAGCGTTGTCATGGTATGTGCTGTAGATGAGTTCATAAGTGGGACTTGTTGTGATTGTTGAAATGCGTCTGAAGAAGAATAAGCTTCTATTATGTTAGGCTAAAAAAACCCAAAGCCCTCCATGAGGGTCCTATTCTCCAGCGATAAAAACTTACTACGAAACATATCTTCAACCCATTCTGCTGAATGGTCTTTATGAGGAATGAATCTTACAGGGGAAATGTGTGATTGTTGGTCAAGGATGGTTTCCCATTGACTCATCTGCAGCGATTGTCCACGAGTTGAAAGAATGAAACACAAACAAGCAGGAGTTTGGAATTTATTAATTTTTCAACAAAAAAAAAAAGGATATCGCACAAATATGAAGAGATCTGATTTTATTGATGTTCAGCGAGAAAAATCATGTCTATAAAAATATTATGTATATAAAATAAAGAAAAAAGGTGAGGGTTAAAGGATGTATATTTTACAGGATTAAAAGAAAAGAAAATAAAAGGAAAGTATAAAACAAAAAAAAAAAAAAAAGACACTAGACTGATATAAATTACTCCCATTCAATGGTGGCAGGAGGCTTAGAACTGATATCATAAACGACGCGATTAACACCCTTGACTTCATTAATGATTCTTGAAGAAATACGCTTCAAGGTCATGAACCATTCAGCGCCAGTAACAACATCGGCAGACATAAAATCGCTAGTTTCGACAGCTCTCAATGCAATGACTTGTTCATAGGTACGCTTATCACCCATAACACCAACAGCCTTGACGGGCAAAAGAGCGGCATAAGCTTGAGAAATTTGACGGTAGAAACCAGCCTTTTTGATTTCTTCAATGTAGATATTATCTGCTAAACGAGCGATTTGAACTTGTTCACGAGTAACTTCACCCAAAACACGGATAGCAATACCAGGTCCAGGGAAGGGATGACGCCAGACAAGTTCGTCATCCAAACCCAAAATCTTACCCAAGGCACGAACTTCATCCTTGAAGAGTTCACGGAGAGGTTCAATCAACTTGAGCTTCATATCTTCCAAAAGACCACCGACATTGTGGTGAGTCTTGATGGTGGCAGAAGGTCCCTTAAAGGAGATAGATTCAATGACATCGGGGTACAAAGTACCTTGTAATAAATATTCAATTTGACCACCACATTCCTTATCCACCTTGGCAGCTTCATCTTCAAACACTTCAATGAAAGTATTACCAATAATCTTACGCTTCTTTTCAGGATCAGTGACACCTTGTAAACGATCCAAGAACAAATCAGAAGCATCGGCAATCTTTAAATTGATACCCATCTTGTCCTTCAACATCTTCTTGACATTTTCACACTCGTTCAAACGCATAACACCATTATCGACCAAGATAGCGTGGAAACGATCACCAATGGCTTCGTGCATCAATTTGGCAGCGACTGTGGAATCAACACCACCAGAGACAGCACCGATGACACGACCCGTGGGACCAACGATCTTACGAATACGAGCAATTTCTTTTTCAACAAATTCTTCCATAGTCCAAGAAGCCTTGGCTTCACAAATGTTCATGACAAAATTACGGAGAATGTCCTTACCACAAGCGGTGTGAGACAATTCAGGGTGGAATTGAATACCGAAGAAAGGTTTTTCTTGGTGAGCTACACCAGCGAAAGGTGCCGTCTTGGTGGTACCAACAACCATGAAATTTTCGGCAGGAGCAGTGACTTGATCACCATGAGACATCCAAACCTGTCAAATTTGTAGGGTTTAAAGTTAGAAAAAAAAAAAAAAAAAAAGTCCATTGCAAATTCTCTATGACACTCTACATATCCGTTTCATCTTTTTTTGCTCAATTCTCATATGCAATTTTTTTTTTTTTTTGATAAACCAATCCTCTACTACAGTTGCGATATTGAATAGATACTTACTTGAGAGGGGCTTTCAAGACCTTCAAAAAGCTTATCGGCATGAGGGTGATCAGGGAACTTGCTGATTTCCAACATGGCATAACCATATTCACGGTGATCGCAGGCTTCAACTTTACCACCCATCAAATTGGTCATTTCTTGAAGACCGTAACAAATACCCAAAACAGGGACACCAGCATCAAACACAGCAGGATCCACACGAGGAGCATCATGATCATATACGGAGTAAGGAGAACCAGATAAGATGATACCCTTTGGCTTGAAATGAAGCTCGGCCATCTTTTGAGTACAGGGCAAAAGTTCACAATAAATACCGAATTCACGAATACGACGAGCAATCAAGTGAGAAGTTTGAGAACCAAAATCCAAAATAAGGATGGTATCAAATGCTTCATTCATTTGTTCGACATTGTTACTTGTTGTAGCAGAAGATGCCATTTTTTATTGATAATTAAATTCCAAGAAAAAAAAAATGGAATATGAAAGGAAAAAAATTGTTTTAAACAAGAAAAGGGTGATGTATGAACCACCGAAAAAGTAAGAAAAAGGAATGTGTTGCCAAAAGCTTTTATACGAAAACTGACAAGATCAAAAAAAAATGAAAGAAAATATTTTTTAGGAGTCACAATAGTGACGTTCAAAAGGTCTTCCACTTTTAAAATTGCCTGTGAGCTTCAAGCTCTTATTTGCTGACCTTTTTTTTTTTTTTTTTAATTCCAAGACTCTTTTTTATTCAACTATACAGCATTGATAGGTTACCTTATATGACATTTTAACCATATTTCTCTAGATTTCTTTCATAAAGAAAACAAAGAGGAAGAGTTCTTTAGAAATGAGCCCCTTCCCTACAAACACCACTATTATGCTTAATTTGTCGTTTGACCATAAAGCCATAAAAATAATAAAATAAAAAGAGACACGGAAACATAATGAAAACATGAGCTACATGACGGTTATGGCTCAACCAGTTCCTTAAAACAGACATGTCGCTTCCCAATCTTTCTTGTGATAAAACTTAGTTGTACATTTTGTTGTAGGATGTATTGAACCATTAGTACGCCCAATTTTGTTTCTACAGCTTGAAGACTCTATTTTCTAGTGCACTAAATTTTGAGCAGATCTGTGTTAATGATACTTCACCGTCCATTAGCATGAGTAAGATAAAGCGTTCTAATCTCTAAAACGCGGTAATAATCTGCATAACACCTGTTTCATAACTCAAGAGACTTTAATCTTTAATGAAGGACCCTTTGTGAAGTAGAATATTTGCAGTAATGATCTGTAAATCAAGGAAATCAATGGAACCTATCCTGAAAATAGGTACGTTCAATGCTATATGCCATTTATTACCGTTAAGGTCGGAAAGGGACTATCGGCATTGATTTTAGCCTTTCGTTTTCAATCCACTGTCTCCCCTTCCCGACGTTCGTGTGAACCCTTTCTTCTACGCTGCCTCCTTATTTTTTGAAATGTTTTCCTTAAAAAAAACCATACGACCTTCATCATAAGTGCAAATGGCATAAGTTCATGCTTTGCCTTCTTTATCAATTAATACCCCTTTTTCCTTACATTTTCTTTCTTTTTTTTTTCCCTTTTTTTCTTGGTTTGTCGACTTCACGGTTAACTTGGGTTATGCTGTAAAGAAGATATTCCCATTATTGGAATACATCTTTTTCCTACACGAATATACTGTATAAGCAGATTTATATTTAGGCTGAGCTTCAGTTACATAAAAGATTACCCTCACTTCAGAAAATGTCACAAGGTACGGATAGTCGTAGGAGGGATGCTCGTCTTCGCAACAACTAATAGAAAACCATACAGGTACTTATATTTGTCAAAGAGCAGCTGAAGCTATAATAGCCGACATTGGACCATTTCGTTTGTCCAACGATGCCCTTCAAACAATTAATTTATTTTTGGATGAATTCCTTGCTGTTTTGCTGCTAACAGCGACACAACTTGATCTTGTACGTATAAAAGCAGCAGTAATACAACTCTTGCCTCATTATTCTTTGGGTAAAAATGCACTTGTAGAAGCGGAATTAGAACTCAAGCAGCAATTAGAATCATCAAAGTCAATAAACAACTTGCAGCAACCACCACAGCATGATTTTTCAACATACGAAAAAATGCGGTCTTTAACCATAGGAACAGGTCCTGATTGTGCTATTTTAGAACCAAACATTGTCATCTCTTTATTACAACAGGCCTGTTCTAGTCACTCCGCCCTAAGTGGTGCAAGCAGAACTTTAAAGGACATCTATAGTTCTGATGGCGCCATCATAATAGCACCTGTAGTAATGGTTTATGTCACAGCTATTGTTGAGCATATCGCAGAATATCTACTAAATGCAGTTGCTATGATGGCTGATCGAGTGAATGCAGATTATATCAAAGTTAAGGAGGTCTTATACACGTTAATAGAAGACCCTCAAGTTGGTAATTTATTTCGTCGTATGAATTTGAAGGAAACTTTAGAGGTTAGGAGAAATGGAAAAAATTTATATACTAACCGGCTTTGTTCAAACGATCAGTTATACCTTGTTTCCTAATGCACTACAACTTTTTTTTTCCCTCTTTTCTGATCGTTCACTCCCTACATTGGATTCTTCGAAATTTAGAAAAAGTTAGTTTTATACCCAAATTCCTACATGAATTCATTGCCTTCTCCTGCACCAAGTCCCGTGGCGGGTAAAAAAGATCAGTTCCTTCAACGCCGTAATACAGCTAGTAAGCATACGATAGATGGACGTTTGCCCAAGGAATAATTAATTATTCATTGTTATGTTTTTTCACTGTTTTAAGCCTCTAGCAGAGATTTTCAATTCAGCTTTAACGAAGACACTACAAATATGTATGAACAACATCTTGACGATAGCTCTATGCGTTCTACTGAAAGCATCAGTGATAGATCGCTCTCAATCATAAGCAGCAGTACGACCAGGTCGTCAAACAGCAGTAGTACTACTAAAAGTCGCTTCAATATTTTTAGTGGCAGTATTAATAATGGCGCCCATGATAAAAAGAAACCAAAAGAAAAACGGACTACTAGTCTCTCACTCGGATTTGCTTCTACTGGTAATAAAAGAAACTCGTCCTCTTCTTCAAAGACAAAGAAAAGCAAGAATGGTTCAGCGCGCCCTTCCTTTTCTTCAGACACATTATCTCCAACAACTCCACCGCCGTTACCAACAGCGTCTGCTTTTTCAGCTATTAATATTTCTGATTTTGATGACCTTCTGAAATCAGGCGGCACGAAGAAAGTTTCTTTGACGCCGAATCGTTTAAAATCGATAGAAGTACGGGATGCTGCGACAGTATCGACGATAGTAGATAGCTGCTCCACGAGTGAAGAAGAAGAGGAAGAAATCATTTCAAAAGGTAGAGAAGACATAAAGGTCAACTCCAGAAGTGACAACATTGCACGGTCATCCTCTTCTTCATCTTCCACAATAACTGCAACGAAAAAGAAACGATCCGTAGAATATCTCAATACACGTACATCCAATTCTCCATCCCCGTCATCACTGCCTCAGCCGCCTTTACCTCCCCTTCCCCGATTGAGTCGTGAACAAATGAGCAATCTGCATAGTCAGTATCTCGCTAATAGCAACAGTAATAGTAATCAAAGCCCACCACTAACACCTGCATCCAGTCTTGCTTTTCGTCAGTCATCACAGCGTTCAGTTTACTCAGCCACCCACCAAAACCAAGCATGCGATGATAACAAGCAACAGCAACAGCAACATCGACATCAATTATCATCCTCGTATGCTTCCTCTATCTACTCATCCTCTTCTTCCATGGCTTCTTCTTTAAAGTCCTCTACAACCCACGAGGAAATATCTCAACGAGGCGTGCCTCAAGAATTTTCATCACTGCCAACTTTAGGCTCTCATCACCCTCATCCTATACTTCGGCGAACATCCGAGAGAATACCAACCCATAGTAATACATTAAACAATACTTTTGGCGGCAATACTAGTGCAGCGAACAATAACAACAGGCGTAACGTAGTTATATCCCAAAGCAATACTGTAATAGGCCTAAACCTCCAGTCTGCTTATTCTTCATCAGACAGTACATCAACAATACAACCAGCGAAGCCTTTACATTGTTTCCAAAGACCTTCCAGTAATGTTCTTAAACGTGCATCTATGGGGTCGAGACCTCCGTCGTTTCATGAAAGTATGTTTGATAGAAGTACTAGTGCTATGCTCTTAAATATGTCAGCTACCAATTGTAATCTTCATGGCTTACTAAAAGAAGGACTCGGTAATGATACGGAAGTTGAACAGGTAAATAGTATAGCAAAAGACATGAGAAACTCTGTGGCGGCGACTTTAGTCGATGAAGACGAGGATGAATCCAAACAGCATGATATGGTTTATGTATTACCAGCTCATTCCTCCATGTCTTATAATACTTTATCGTTTTCAACAAAACAGCAATCTTTACTACGTCAGCCGTCATTGCTTGCAGCTCAGCAAGAACAACAACAGCAAAAGTTCAAAATTCCTAGAAAATCCGTATCCACCAGTCCCTTTCTCGTAAATGCATCTGTGTCGTCTACAATTACAAACAGCAACAGCCGCGGTATCGATCAGGCTTGCCAAACAGATCCGCTCTCCGACTTCCTTAATACTGATACTTATTCGAATGAAGAAGATGAAGAATGGTTTTTTGATGAGGAACATGAAGATAGCGTTGCAGAGAGCGAAAGATTAGCAGTTGAATGGTTACTTGGGTGCGCATAGTCAATTGCACTGTCGCTCATGATTTGTTTCTCTTGTTAGTTCACTGCTTGGACTGCCACGCTTATACATTCTACTATCTAATATAACTGTTGTAGTGCTGTTGTAGTAGTAACATCACACTTAATAATGATATACCTTTTCAACAACAATTACTTTATGTTATATATACTACTATAGTAAAATATAATGTCAAAGAAAGAAAATCCATAATAGCAAAGCTTTAAGTCGAGCTTGACGCTCAAACTAACATTTAGCATCCTTTAATCACTGTATCGATGGACTACTAGTCAAGCTAGGCCTGATACGACACATAAAAGATGTATAAAATGAATTTATGTAAGAGGATTTACTCCAACAATAAAGTGGTTCTCACGTGAAGAAAGTTTGGGTAAACTTTCTAATAATTGCTGACTGATTGAATCCGAATGCCATTGACAGAAACCAAGCGGCCAATAAATCTGATTTAGCAAGCAATTTTATTGCTGTTCCTTTCTTCCCCGCATTTTTTGTTCCACTAGCAACCAAGTATTTATCCATATGCCACAATACCAATATGAGACAGTCAATGTGGAAGTCTTACCAGAGGGTGTAGCCCACGTTCAGTTAAATAGACCAAATAAATTGAATGCTTTTAATGATCAGTAAAGCTAGATTAATATTCGGTATCGGGAAGAAGGAAAAAACGAACTTAATACCGCAAACTACTTTTGTAAACCAATTGATAATAGACTTGTAAACGATGTTCGAATCGCTTTCGAGGACATATCCAAGGACAGTAATATCTTGTCTGTTGTCATATCAGGATCGGGTCGCATGTTTACTGCTGGGTTAGACTGTAAATTATCATCGATGGATCGGTTTTCCAAGAAAAACATATTGATGCATTTTTCATTTTCACAGTAACAGAAACGAAGTTAAAAAGTTTTGACGAAGGTGATCCCGCACGTGCTGCTTATAAAAACCGTGCTCATATTGAAAATTTTCAAGCTGCCTTTACAGCCATTGAGTTGTGCACCAAACCAGTGATTGCTGCTATTCATAATGCTTGCTTCGGAGCTGGTGTTGATTTAATTACAGCTTGTGATATTCGTTATTGTACAAGCGACTCCTTCTTTTGTATCAAAGAAGTAGATGTTGGCCTCGCTGCAGATGTTGGCTCCTTACAGAGATTACCGAAAGTGATTGGTAATCAAAGCCTGGTTCGTGAATTATGTTTTACAGGCCGCAAGTAAGATTTCTTGATCGATCATATTGGAAAGAAGGTAAAAAGAACGCACTGACCTTCCCAACTTATTTTGCTATATATTACTCCAAGTATGTATGCAGATGAGGCTCTAGCTTGTGGTTTTGTTAGCAAGGTAACAGACGATTACAATAGCCTTATGGGTAAAGAGCACATATGATTTGAACAGGAATGATAGAACCCAGGTTTAACGCTAATTTTACCAGGGGAAGCATTGAAGTTGGCGAGAACGATTGCTTCCAAATCACCGATTGCCGTTCTCGGTACCAAGTAAAGTGTTTTTACCATTTAATATGTTACTGTCAGTAAAAAATATTTGCGCGCACAGAAACTGATCACTTATCTCTATTATTGCAAATTTAAGACACTTGCTCAACTATTCTAGGGATCACTCCGTTGCAGAAGGCCTAGCTTATACTGTAACATGGAACGCACCTATGTTGAATACTGAGGTAAACTTTATTATCTTCAAGTAATAGATCACTGCTAGAATTGGTTTCCTTTGACCTTACAAAAATCATAATAGGATATTCCATTATCGATTCAGGCATTTGTCACAAAAAGGCCTGCAAAATATTCTAAGCTTTAAGCACATCAAGGACGCAGAAAGATCTTCACATACACCAGTCGTAGTATTTCCCTTTTTGCATTAAATGCTGTTAACCGGCGCGTCACACGATATTATTTCTTTTCTATCACTAAGCTTAAAATTATAAATCAAAACGTTTTTTTTTTTCAAAATGTATTCACAGCTGCCTTTTTAACTTTTAGTCTTCTTCCTTATTCTTCCTTCTCAATTACATCCTTTTTTATTTCCTTTGTTTTTTTTTTCTTTGTCTTTCAAACCCTCCTTTTCACGAGAACGTTTCAATTTCTGTTGAATGTCACAACAAACCCCAAAATCACATGCGTTACCCGAGAGTATGAGCGATTCAAAAACAGTGCCTGTAACCGCACAACAATTGAAGACTTTTTTAGAAGAAGCACCACTTATGTACAAATCTCGACTTCATAAGGGCGCACAGAAGCATATTTTAACTAATTGTTATCGCTCACTATGGGGTAATGATCAACAGCTGATGCAAAAATATTTTTTTGAAGATAATTTGTCAGACAGCGACAACCTTTCTCAACTGCTCGAGAAATATAACTTGTTCCGTCCTGAGCTTAACGATCAAATCGAGGGGGGAGATGACGAGAATCCGATTACCAGTCAGCGTGGAAAGCAATGTGGGCATTTGTTCAAAAAGGGGGAAAGTGTCTATCGCTGCAGGTAAAAGTCGAAACGCAGATCAACTCTTTAAAACTGCATAAAAGAACATTAGAGTAACTCATTTTCTTTTAATGTTTGTAGAAATTGTGGACATGACGATACATGTGTTATGTGCTCAGACTGCTTTCATGCAACCAACCATGACGGTCACGACGTTAAAATTTGGATAAGCCGTGGGGCAGGCGGTTGTTGCGATTGTGGTGACCCTGAAGCATGGAAGATACCCTTAAACTGTGCCATTCATTATTCTATGTCATCAAAAACAGATGATGCAACTGATACTGCACAACACCAATTAGAACCTTTATCATCCGTTCCTACGAAAATCATTGATTCAGTACGCGACACTATCACAGTTGTGCTTGATTACATTTTGGAAACTTTCGCTACTTCAACAGAAGATGTTACTTCCGCCGGCAGTATTTCAGACCTCATAGCCGACAGATTTGATTCACATAGAGCACTAGGCATACCCACAAAAAACGTCGAACCAAGCTACGTATGTATATTGTGGAATGATGAAAAGCATTCTTTCGACGCCGTCATTGATATAGTTGTGGAAGCAATTGGGTGCACAAAAGAAGAAGCAGCTCATGTTGCTGAACAAGTAGATGCTTATGGAAGGCACATTGTAAAAGAATCCTCTAACCTTCAAGAGCTTATAAGTATAGCAAATACGATCAGTGGAATCAATCTAGCTGTCACTATCTGTTCAGCGCAAAAAGTAGTCCGAGAAGAAATTTCAGGCTTATTGTTAGACTGGCTCAAAGATTTGATAAGCAGCAATTATAAGTTTTTCAACAATGTGGAAGGTGGAAATTGCATTATTAGAGATACCATTTGTGAAGTGCTTTCAGCCGATTGGGCGCTACGTCCCGATCTTGCTTGGCTGTCGACTCGTTTTAGACGACAAAGGATGCCAGAGGACGAGGATGATGACTTTGAAATGGAAGACGAGGATGTGGATATGGATGAAACAGAAGATGTCGAAGACATCATGTTTGGTGAGGGAGCAGATGAGCTAGATGAACAAGAAGTCCTGTTGGACGACGACCAAGTTGAAGATTTTTTCGTGAGAATAGGTGCTGACATTGATGAAACTGAAATTGACGACCATGTTTCTGAACATGAATCAAGTGAATACCAAGAAGATTCAGATGATTCAGAGCTACTAGCGATGGCCGTTCGGATTGACCACAATAGTTTGATAACACCGACTCAACAGGAAACAGTTGAACAAGACTCATTGATGGAGACAGATGAATTGCCTAATGATCGAACCGCAACACGAAATACAAACCGCAGAAGGGAAAGTCAGACCGGCGAAAGTAGCCATCATGCAGCAGCTTTCCGTGAAGCCCACGATCAATTGACAGAATCTTTTTTGAAAAGAAGACGACTATCATCTTCTTCTCATTCGAAAGGTCAAAAATCACACAAACGTCATGATATTTTGGATATGAATTGGAATTTGGATGCATGGCTTAAATATGTGGAAAACATCTTGGCGGAGGAAAGAGATCTTTTGCAAAAGCTGAACCTTCCATTTGAAGACCGAATACTTGCCAGTACAGATACGTCTATAACTCAGCAAATTCATGAACATCTCAAGAAAGAGTTTAGGCGTAAATTGCGTTTAGATTATCTTTTACAGTTCGATTTACGTCTTTGGAAAACAGCGCGTGTCAGCATTAAAGATTTGCTTATTGGTACCTTCAATTCGAATTTTGAATATAGGCCAGTACTTGGCACAAGATTTGCTCGTAACTACCCAGAATTGATTGATGCGTTCTTCTTCAAGGACCGAGAACCAGAAAATTCAGTTACAACTATGTCTGTTCAACTGTTAACAGTCCCAACAGTCGCTACAATGCTTGTAAAAGAGTATAGATTTTTCGGTATCATTTGCTCAATCCTGGAGCACTTTTTCTTAACGGACCATATCTATATGCTTCATCCGGAGAACTATACTAGAGCTCAAGTCGATTGTTCATCCAGAGCTATTGCACGTCATAGATATGCTTACACAATCTACGATTTGCGATATTTGCTCAACGCTGAGCAGGTGAAAACGGAAATCACCAAGAATCCTCTGTATCTCAGACATTTTCTCGATATCTTATTCCAATTTCAAGGAATGGATCCCTTAGAACGTCAAGCAAATATACACGTTGAATTTGAATCTCAAACTTGGGTTACAGCCTTCAATATGACGCTTCAGACATCTAAACTTTGTAGACTTTTTGCTGGTTGTCATGGTGTCTCTAATCTTTCTGTTGTAGATGCTTCTCGTGATTTATGCCGTTCGATATATCGTGTTTTGAAAGAGATCGCAGATTGGCAGCCTACTCGTTCGCCTTACAAAAATGAGCCAATAGAAGATACACGACCTCTTGTCCGTGGCTTAAATGAACAGAGGTTCCATCAAGTGACCATTATTAACGGCGGAACGTACGAAGTTGTTGAATATGATATCGCTACCCAACCCGTGTCTTTCCATCATCCCTTTCATTGGTTGCTATCGGAACTGTTTGAAAACGTTACACTTCTTCATGATGGCGTACTGAATGAAATTGGCTGGTTAGGCGGCTTCAAACAGATGGTCAGCAGTGCTTTGGATTGCAAAGAACATGACAAGTTTTTACTTGCTTTAGAGTATCCAATCAGAACGCTTGCTTTGCTTTCACAAATCAATTGTGGTGTATGGGTGCGAAATGGCTTCAGCGTTCGCAATCAGGTAATAGCATTCAGCATTGCTTGAAAAAAAAAAAAAAATTGAAGGAGCATCCTATTCACCTACACTTATTTGCAATGACAGGCTCTTTCCTATAGAGACGTTAATGTGAGGGAAAGTACGTTGGACTGTGATATTTATTTACTTCAAATTGGCCTCACAGTGTGTGATAGCAATCAATTTCTCGCGACATTGATGGACAGATTCCAGTTATTGGAATGGTTTAAAGGAAAACAACCGAGAGATTCAATCTATGATGCTAATCAGCTTGTCTTTATGATTGAAGACTTTCTCTATTTATTGATTGTGTGTGCTACGGAGCATGGCTATGCTTCAGGTGCCACCATTGAGCAACGGGTTCGCCAATCTATTATCCAATACCTCAGCATTTCTAATATGGCTTACTCTGAATTGTTGAAATTGATACCCGAGAGCTTGACAGAACATGAATCGTTCGAGACTCAACTTAATATGCTTGCTAACTTTAAGCCACCCGATGGTTTGAATGATAAGGGGCTTTACGAAATCAAACCGGAATACATTGACGAGATTAATCCTTATTACTGGCATTACAGCCGTAATCAACGTGAGGAAGCCGTGAATGCGCTGAGAAGAAGGTATAACGAGCAACATCCGGACGACAAACTTAGTGATAAAGATGAATTCTTATTGATTCCGAGAATCAAACGCATCGAAGTTGGTCCTTTCAAGCACATTGGTAATTTCTTGCACTCCCACGCTTTTTGCCAAATTGCTGCTTTCGCACTCTGGAATTCCAAGTTTCACAAGGAATCCAAAAATGATACCATCCTGGATGAGATTTTGTATCTCTGCATGCTTGCCGTAACAGATCCAAATAGTTCTGCCAGTGAGGTTATTTCTATGAAAGCAAAAGGTAAATACAGAGCCGATGTTTTGATGGATGAGGCCGCCACGCAACACTTTATCAATTTTGCTGAGACAGATGAGTATCCAATCCAAGTCAATGAGATTGAAAGAGTGCATGCCACTCTGTTGGTTATTTTGCTACGCTGTTTGGATGATTCTTCGTTATCACATATCCATAAGCGATTGAGATTCATTGTTGATAAGATTGAATATTACGGCTCTGATAATGCAAAGGGTATTATTGCTGAATGGAAGGACAAAAAATCCAACGAGGTCGGAACCCATATGGACGGCAAAGGAGAAGGTGGAATGTCTGAATTTGAGCGCAAGAAGGCCGCAGCGAAAGCTCGACAAGCTGCTATTATGTCGCAATTCGCGAATGCTCAGTCAAAGTTTTTGGAGCAGCATGCAGATCTTTATGATACATTTGGCGAAGATGAGGATAGCACTGAAGGATATGATGAAACAGCAGAAGTGAATGACATGGCGATGGATGATGCTGCTGATGCAGAAGTTGTTCGAAAATGCCATTTCCCTGCTGATAACTGTATTGTTTGCCAAGAAGCATTCGATGATAGTAAAATATACGGTATGTTGGCCCTGGTTCAGCGATCCAACTTTCAAAGAAAGGTCCCTCATGACAGTAAGGATATAATGATGGACATTTATGACGCTGCTTGCCATTCAAATCCTTATTGCTATGAGAACAAAGCGAGCGACAAGTTGCCTCCTTTCAGCGGTTTTCCAACGGTGGAGCATGCCTCAGGTTTGGATATAACATCGTGCGGGCATCTGATGCATTCAGAATGTTTTGATACATATCAAAAGTCGGTGGAAAATCAGTTGTTCGGTGAACTGAGCCGTCTTTTCCCACTTTCTTTGTCGCCTAAAAGCCGATTCCTTTGTCCACTCTGTAAAGCTCTCGGAAACGTGCTCATTCCTGTGGTTTGGAAAGGAAAGAAAGAGTCTTATCCCGGTGTTGTTGCGCCGTCCGGTGCCTATACTGATTTGAGGAAAAATATGGAGGAGGTTGCTGCAGAGTTGAAACAGAGCTTTGAGCAAATCCCCGGTGCTTTCGAGGAAGGAAAACCTTTTGTGAATGATGACCCTAATCTCGTTATTAGTGATCAAGGAAAGCTGCAACAAATTTACACTCAATTGCTGCGGATCATGCATGTTACAATGAAAAGAAATAGTACAGAGCGCCCGTTAAGCATGCCTTATTCCATCCGTAAGTTGCAGGACATGATTGCTTATACCATTGGTGACCTTGAAATAGCACAGCGGCGTACGGCAGGTATACGGACTCGCGACTTAACTGTCGAGCATACAGACACATTTGTCGATGTTGTCTCTCGTAATTCACAAACTCTTCTCAAAATTCTAACGTTGACCAGCAATCTGGTTCCTAAACTGATGAATTCGCCTTGGTTAGCCGATGACCTTTTCGCCAAAGAAAGATTGGCCTTACAATCTATCCATCAGCTTATGCCAAACACTGTGACACATTCGGTTGAGGATACGGCAGAAGCTGATCATTTGAAGCCTCTTCTCATGGATGATTCATTCAAGTCTTTGGTTCGCCTAACCTTATCCTTACAGGATATGCCAGCAGTCGAGCCTCATCACCTGCTTCGTGCTATTTACCTTGCTGAATTGACAAAGACTGTTATTGCTATCGTTCGATGGGTCCTTGAAAATAATAGGCTTCTCTCTCAACGAGAACTCATGGAAAGTTTACAAAAGCTCAATCATGAGAAGCAGCAATATGAACATAATGAAACTCTTCAAAGATTTACAAGATATGTGTTTTCGCTACTTCCTTACGCTCCTGATCAAGTTGATAAGTTCTTCAGCATCGTTAACACGGGCGCGTTTGCTGCACTTATCCGTACGTTTACTTTGCCATTTTTACGTCAGTCATTGCTATTCATGATTGTTCACCATGGCTTTATACCTCAAAGCCTCTCTGATGACAGTGCAGAACAAAATGAATACGATAGGCTGATAGACCTGTTACGATTACCAGCCATAGATACCATTTTAGACCCGGAAGAGAGCGATAAGACAGTGATCGAGGGTTGGTGTCAAAATTACGTTGATGATAGTCAAATGGCGAATGCTATGAGTAGTAGCCAGCTGAATGCCACATGCAGACCTATCTATTTGAAGCTCCCCACACAATACCGAATGACCACTTTACCTTATCGCTTAGATCAATTATTAGACGAAAGCTCCAAGCGCGTTTGTAAAAAGTGCAAAACCGTGCCTGAGCATTCAGCTATTTGTTTGATTTGTGGTACTTTTGTGTGTGCTCGACGATTCTGTTGCACCGAGGATAGTAAAGGCGAATGTAATACACATATGAGAAGGTAAACCATCAAGTAAATTATTTGCTTTTCCGCATTTCGTTATTGCTAAGTAGTTGTTGTCATACATTTGTATTTAGCTGTGGAGGTGAAATCGGTATCTATTTAATGATCAAAGATTGTTTCTTATTACTATTGCACGATAATGGTGGAACAATTATGAACGCACCGTACTTGGATAGTCATGGAGAAGCCGACATTTTCCTCAGACGGGGAGCGCCTCAATTTTTAAATAGTAGACGTTATGAACAAATTCATCAAATGTGGTTAACGCAATCTATACCAGCCGTTGTCAGAAGAAGAATGGAAGTATCCTATAATGGAACAATTTGGGAAGCTTTTTAGAAGCTTTTTAAAAGTTTATGTACATATGTATATACAATAGCAGAAAAATTAAAAAAAAAAAGTTAAATCATCTCTTCTGTACAGTTTCTTTTGTAATTTATGACGCGATTAATATGATACAACTATATAGACTGTATTCCTCGTTCTTCATTTTTAAAAGCCTAATATATGAAATGAAAATTTTCGTATGTTAATAAAAAAAAAAAACGAAAATATTTTGAGCATAAGAAGTTAACTCACAGCATTGGCAATCAAAAGGACACTCGGGAGTATCGCCACCTAGACCAATATTCAAATCCTTGACATCATAAAGCGGATAGCCATCCTCTGTCGTACGTTCTAAAAAATGCGTAATGAATAGGACGAATAGACTGATTAATCCTCGATTATACAGGTCCTTTCCCTTTGAACGGAAAATGACTTACTGGTTTTTTTAATGCCTCTGGAATCAGAAAAATCGTCGTCGGCAGATGGTGCCGGAGCAGAGCGCTTCTTTGCGTTTTTACTCTTGACAGCAGCTAATTCGGCAAAGACAACCTCCTCGACCTTCTTAGCGTCTTCTTCGTCTAGCTCTTCTTCATCATGATTATCCTCTTCACTATCGCTATTATCAGATGCATCCTCTTTTTTTGATGCCTCTTTATCAGAAGACTTTTTTTTATCAGTTTTGACGGGTTTGGCAGACTTCTTATTGAAGATATCATCAATTTCGGAAGTATCGTTTAATTTTTTCTTGTTAAAGATGTCGTCAATCTCTGTAGAGGTTGGTTTTTCTTTGGGCTTTTCAGCAGCAGCAGCAGTGCGTTTAGTGTTCTTCTTATCTTTACAAAAAAAGCTTCAGTCAAAGCTTTGCCTAACTATTGTATGAAGAAGAGGTCGTTGGGGCTTCTACCTTTTTTTCCCATATCGTGTTATTCTTAGTTTATGCAAAAGTTGGAAATAAAAAAAATAAAAAAGTTCTATTTCTGCCAAATCTCTCTGTTGCCTATCATTGAAAAAAGTATAACTGGTCACGGCCGTATAAAGTATCTCAAAGTCGCTCAATTCAACTCAAATTCGGACTATCAAATTGAGTTGGCCGGAAGCAAACCTACAATGTGCCCATTTTCCTAGAGTTGGGGGAAGGGCGAAAGCAGCGAGGTTGCCTAAATCAAAGGGAGGTGTTTAACGAGCGGTAGTTCCTTCTCTTTAATCGAAATGGTAAGTCTTATATTAGGCTTAAACGACTTGAATCAATTCAGTGAGAAGATAGATAGATGGATTGATATGAGCGATCATTCAACAGACACTCTACATATACACACATATATCTATTTTAAATGGATGGATGAATATGGATCGATTTTTATTGACCGTTTAGCTAATTCTCAGTCGAGTGAATGAAGTGCTCTCTTTCCTGAATCTCAACCCTCATTATGGTTTTGCGGCAACCTACTTGACATTACACCTACTGTTTTTTCTTAGATTATCTATTTTGGATGTACATCGACATGGAGGCATTTGCAGTTTATTTTTGCTGTATAAGTTATTTGCGCCACATTTGACATTTTCCACTAATTTATTCAAGTCGTTCAGCCCGCTCATTGAAATGTGTAATGCATCAGTTGCTAAACAGATTCTGTTTGTGCTTTTTCTTTTTCCTTGCTATTAGCCTACCAGACTTCATCACAACAGAAAGAAGCGTGGACACGTCTCAGCTGGTCACGGTCGTGTTGGCAAGCACAGAAAGCATCCTGGTGGTCGTGGTCTTGCTGGTGGTCAACATCACCACCGTATCAACATGGATAAGTACCATCCCGGTTACTTTGGTAAGGTCGGTATGCGTCACTTCCACTTGAAGAAGAACCCCAACTGGCGTCCTGTTGTCAACATTGATAAGCTCTGGACTCTTGCTGGTGAAGGTGTTCGTGAAAAGTACAAGAACACTGAAAAGGTTCCTGTTATCGATGTCCTCGAAAAGGTAAAAGCTCGAGAGCAACTTTTGATTTGAGAAATGAATAGAAGATGTGTTTACTAATGTGTTTATCATATCATTTTGTTCAATTCCTGGGTTTTTTTTAGGGTTATGGCAAGGTTTTGGCCAAGGGTGTCATCTCTCAACCCGTCATTGTCCGCACTCGTTTCGTTTCTGCTCTTGCTGAAAAGAAGATCAAGGCCGCTGGTGGTGCCATTGAACTCATTGCTTAAAGTATTGTTCTTTTTGTAGATATAAATAAACTACGCACTTGATTTTGATGGGTTAAAAGTATAGGCAGATACGATGCACAACCAGTGATAGACCTTTTGTAAGAGAAAAAAAAAAAAGAAAAGCTGGTTAGGGAAACGGAGCTTGATCAAGCAATTGTGGCGATTTGAATACGAGAGGTTTACTACTCTTTAGTACAATGAAGTATTGAAATGTACAGATTCGTTTTACAAGAAACATCCAGTCACGAACAGAAACGATCGTTTTGACTTTTTATGAATGTAACTGTATTTGAGTGTTCTCACCGCTACGTATAAAAAAAAAAGAAGCCCTCCCATCCGTAATTTGATCAAAAAGTGGCGAGGGTGAGTGGCGTTCTAACCTTGACCTTGACTCGTTCCAGTATGTCTGAACTTCAATTTTGAGAGAAAAGGGTAGACGTTTTTCTTTATGTCGTATATTCTTTCGATTTATACTGCGTGATTGTTCATGACGGCTTTATTGTAAACTTCTATTACAATCTGCTTTGTAAGAATTGCATGTCATCTATGCAATTTAGGTGTCCTAGCGAAAAGTTTTTTTCAACAATAAAACGATGTGTGTCAGGAAAACGCGACTGCTGATCAACCAATGTGGGCGCTAGGGCACACAGCTTTTTCTTTGAGCATTGTAAAAAAAGTATGGCATTGACAGTCATAGGTAAAAAATAAGTGATTGACTCGATTGCATAAACGTGGATGCCTTTGAAATAGATGCTACGCCAATGGCCCAATAAGGGAAAATTGTACACGTCGATGGGGACGAAGTTTAGGTACACAGAAAAATCCATTTGCATGAATTACAAATCCCGTAAGATAAATGCAGTCCTTTTTTCGGGACTCTGTTTTTTATCGTCACGTTATATGTTTTGAGGGAAATTTACTTTTTTTTCCACACAATGGGGGGGGCGTTTATACATTGCTTGTCTTATTTGTGGCGAATAATGGAAAAATGTTTTTACCCTATTAATCATCTTTAACTGAAGGAAAGTCAAGGAACAAAAATTGTCAAATAGCTGCACTGTGCGCTCAAGGGGTAGTTTTTTTTTTTCTATATTTGTAAAGCAGACAATGGCATTTGATTTGGTAAAAGCGTAGTCCTCGATTTCGATTGGCTCAGGGAAGCGGAAACGAAGCTCTGGAAAAATGTATTCGGAAGTTGAATCTTCTTTTTTCTTTTTTTTTTTTTCTTTTTCTTTGGATCCATTGCATAGCCAAAATTAGCAATGTTTCGTTTCGAACAAATAAATTGATTGGTCTTTTAACGTGGATGAATAACATCATCAGTGTAGGCCTTTTTTTTTTCAACTCTGTATGTATAAATAGGACACAGCTTACGTATCTTTCCTTTTCTCAATTTTATCAAATTTTAAACACTTTTTTTTTCTTTCTTCTTATACGCAAGCAAATCTCTTATCTTTTTATATACTATGCAAATTTTTGTAAAGACACTCACTGGTAAAACCATTACCTTAGAAGTTGAGTCTTCTGATTCTATTGAAAACGTCAAGCAAAAGATTCAAGACAAGGAAGGAATTCCACCAGATCAACAACGACTTATTTTTGCTGGCAAACAATTGGAAGATGGTCGGTCTTTGTCCGATTACAACATTCAGAAGGAATCGACCCTCCATCTCGTGCTTCGTTTGCGTGGTGGTATGCAAATCTTTGTGAAGACCTTGACTGGAAAGACCATCACACTTGAAGTTGAATCATCCGACTCTATAGACAATGTCAAGCAAAAAATTCAAGATAAGGAAGGCATCCCGCCAGATCAACAGCGTTTAATTTTTGCAGGCAAACAATTAGAGGATGGCCGCTCTTTATCAGATTACAATATTCAAAAAGAATCCACTTTGCATTTGGTTTTACGTCTTCGAGGAGGTGCTGCTGCATCATCTACATCATCTACGTCATCAGCTGAGTCGATAACAACAACATCAACTTCAACAACAAGTTCACTAGTGCCACCAAAGAAGAAATTATCACGCTGTGCACTTGATGGTTGTAATGATAAAGTGGTAAAGATTATTGGCGATTGCCGTTATTGTCAACACAAGTACTGTGCACGTCATCGTTTACCAGAAGCTCATGCTTGTGAAAATTTGACAAGCTGTCGACAAGCTGCTCATGAAAGGAATTCACTCAAATTGATGAGTGAACGTTGTGTCGCAAGCAAGGTCTAGATTATTATTCTCCTACTACATTCTTATCTATTTTCTTGACTTGATGATTCCATCATTTTATATATTCATATATGTATATATATATATATACACGCACAACACTTTTACTTTATATAGATATATACTGGAGAATATTTATATAACTTTCTTGTACACATAATCATCCCCCCTCTCCTTTTTGGCTATTTATTCTTTACTCTTTAATAAACATTTTTTTTTTTTTTGCTATACACCCTTAAAAAAACCACTATAATCCATAATCATAGTGAACATCAGGATTGGCTGCGTAAATCGCAAAATGTTGCGTGTGTTACAAGCTTTCTTATTCAAAAGGCGACTTGGTTCTAAAGATAGCCGAATTTGATCCGGGCGATATGCGGAGAAGGGAGTAGGGCGGCTTCCCTTAAGCAAATGCTATGTGGCTGGTAGAATGGGGGATACTTACTCGCTTTTTTAACCAAGCATAGCACATCCTTGTTATTCATGTTATTGTGGATAGGGCCTCCTCTCCCTTGAACATTGAATGAGACAAAAGCTGCTATGTTCAGTGGGGTTGTCCATGATCAACAACACACACCACTTGATGAATTGTAATGAACAGGTCATCTTTTTTTGCTCTTATTTGTTTTTGCAACGTCAAATTCAGTTTTAACAATTTCATTCTACCGAAAGAAAAAAAAAAAAGAAACCAATTGCGAAGGTTACTACTGCGTTTCACATTGTCAAATGTGTGGAGGCTGTCATGCTTATTCATAATATGCATGACAGGAAAGGGGTTAGTTTTTTTTTTGGTTTTTTTTTTTTTTTTCCTTTTTTCGTTACTCCATGGACAAATAACGGAATCAAAATTTTTGCGTAAATTTATTGTTGAAAATGCTATCGACAAAGGGCGGTTTGTCCATACCGCCATATTCAGCGGAAATGTTGGGTACAAATGAAAAGCCCTTATTGGGCGCAATTCCATTCGGAAGGGAGAACGAGTCATCAGCTCGCATCAAATAAGCCTTCCCAACTGTAAACCTTAATGACTGCTTAGGATGGGCTAAACATGCGGAGAAGGCTCATTAGAGCAGATGCTTAGACGTTAGACGCAAAAGAAGTTGGTTTAAAATGACTAATTGGTATAAATTGCATACGATAGAGGCTGAGATAGCAAACCTTTCTCTTTTTGAAGTAAAATACGGAGGCGCGGGGGGTAAGTAGCACTTGATTAATATAGCCTTATTACCCCCACTCCCCTGTTTTGTTTTTGAAACAGTTAATATGTAGTATCCCCTCACAATATGAAAAGTAATCAGCGCGGTAACAGTTCACTTGAAATAGATCAATAAAAAGCTTGCTACTGAAGATTCCCTTTCAATAAAAGGTACAGTGTTTTTTATTGTATTATGTATGCATAATACCACACGTCGGGTAGAACCTGGAAAATTAGTAAGGACGGTAATTAGTCAACCATCTTTAAATTAATAAGGGATTTGTGTTTTCATGGATAGATTCAGTATTGTCGCTAACGCAAGATGTCAGTGAAGATAATAAAGACAAGTCTCTTTAGATTTTCCATTCTTTAAACAAAAGATCGAAAAAGACAAATTGTTTGAACGCTTCTGTTTCACTTGTGCCTTGAATACTGATCGAGTAAGAATGCATTGCCAATATGAGGTTGTGTAAACAGTAAAGAATGACATGCACAACTTTATACCAATGCTATTATGAATCTGATCATATTAGTCTACTTTTTTGTTGAAGATTTGGTCCACTTCATATTCATACTATTGAGTTTTATGGAAATAATACAGCAAGTATTCCTGTCTCATCATGCCAACCAAAAAGGATGCTGGTTTATAAACTTTTTGCGAAAGTATTACTTTTAACTCTAATGAATTCTGCAAATCGCTGAAAATTTTGTCTTGGTAGCATAAAAGCCTTCAAGACAGTTTCCATAATTAGAGCCTTGAGATACTTTTGGAAGGTGCAGCTTTTCAGATTCTTCACGTGAAAAGAGTTACCCATGTTGTGCTTTGATTATTTTTCTCCTTTTGCAATGTTTGAAACAACTTGTCTCTAATTTCAGGATATTCTTCCTAAAAAGAGAATAGTAAGTGCTTGGAACAGTTCAAAGTGAAGGAGAGAGAAGCAAAAAATGAGTCAGAAGAAAAGGTAAAAATGAATGATAGGAAGAGAGAAAAGGTAACAAGACACACGAGGCATCTTCAGAAAAGAATTGAAGCCAGGATAGGTTTGAGGAGGATGCGTAGGATGAGTCGAGAAGGGAGTGATATAGACAAGCCATATGCTCTAGGAGGTCGTAGTGGACGCCGATACATGAAGGAACAGTGGGGTTTGCATGATTAGAAAATGGTAAAGAGGGAAAGAACTCGCCAAAATGTGTTGGAACTTATAGTTTTTCGTCGCCCACTTTCTTTTATCTTTCATCGCTCTCTAGTATAAGACTTCATATAAGTCACATTCAGTCATCAACATGAAGATGTGAGTATGTTTATATGCGTCCTCTTTTTGTTGTGAAATGAAATCTGTCCGTTTTGCAAGCCAGTAGATGTGATGAACTTCAATGATACACATAAGCCAAAAACCATTTGATCTGATTAATAGAGCTGTGGGCAACTTATAAGCAAGCACATACATCTTTTTCTTGGTAAACATTTATATGCTTTATATAAAATTTACGTATTAAAACGAAATGAGAGAGAAATAGCATGACAAACTAAAGCGTCTCTGACCCTCATGAGCTCATAACTTCAATATCTATGGTCAAATCAAAAATTTATTTTTGTATTATAGGATAAGGAACATGCATAGTGTTGGTAAAATTTGCCTCCATATAAATCACTGATATATGCGCACATGGTAAGAGTTAGAAAGTGTGAAGCAAGCTATATCGCCAGTGCTGTAATACTTCCAACAGATATCACAATTGGAATGAAACACGGACGACTAAACGATAAAACTACTCATACCTTTGTTCACTAGATGAATATATATTTTTGTCTGTTCGATGATAATAGTCAGCTGTCGTTCGCTTGAATGTCCGTATTATATGATATGGAGGTCTTTAACCTTAGCAGTATCTAAGCAGTCGATGGTCAATCTGGGTTCGCGTCTCTCAGATGTAAGCTGGAGCTGAAGGTGACGTTGCCTGCTTTTAGAACCTTTTTAAAAGACAGTTGGTGGCTCATGAAGTTGTTTTTTTTTTTTTGTTTTCTTTTCTTCATTGGATTTTCTTTGTCAGTGAACAATTTACCCCTTGTGTACTGCCAAACCTCACGTACATTTTCAAAGTAAATGGTTGATTTCATCTCTTTAGCAAGCAGGTGTTTGAAATTTAGTGTGTAAAAACATGTAAAAGCTTGAAAGAAGTTGATTGCCAAAAGAGTCACTGTTCATTGTTTTTGATTCAATCAAACACATTAACGAACGGTTAGCTGCTGGTCTCTTATCAAAGTCAGTAGTATTACAAAACTATTTGACTATTTGCTCACTCTTTTTGAAATAGTTCATATAGCCCGCGGTTTCGATCATCTTTTTTATTCATTGAGAGTGAAAGTGCGAAAATAAGTGTAAAAGGATCGTAATTACGATCCGATTAAGAATAGAACGAGGCAATCTCAGCATTACTTGAAAACTGATCTATTCCCGCTGCAATATTTACCCACTTAATAACTCGTTTTATTTTAAAAGAAAAAAGAAATCACGGTATCCCGGCCAAGGATGATTATTCACAGTTATAATTGTCTTGCCTGCCGAGAGGGAAAACATTGTGTTTGGAACCAATAGAAAACAAAAATGATCACTTATAGACCGGGTAATCTGAAGCCATTGGACACCTGGACAGATACGTGATCAACATACATATAACTTACATGTAGATAGTTTCATTACGCTTTTCACCTGAATAAAGATAAACTTGATTGAAATTCAAAAAATCACACTGTAGTATTCTTCTGCTGGAAAGCTAGTAGAACTTTGTAGCATCAAGTTACACATGTCGTGATATGAACTTATCAGGGACAGGACAAGAACAGAAACTAATCGGAGTCTTGCGGAAACTTGCCAATTTCATCCAGTTAAGAAGAGCTTTGCAAGAAAAAGCATGATTCTTTATTGGAAAGTAAGATTGGGGATTCCTTTCATTTCTCTTTGTTTTTTGTGCCTGATTTTACTACCCTAGAAACTAAAAAGCAAAGACTCGCTTCGTTGTCCCATTTGCCATAACTTTCTACCTTTCTCTTTATTAAAAGGATGGCTGATAATATTAAATACCTTCCGCTCTTACCCCACGTTAGCAAAGGGCGTATCATTCACGTCACCCATCAAATACCGTTTGAAATACATCAAAATTCGAATAGTGGAAAAGAATCGAACGACGAAGCAAACTCATGGATAATTGAAGCTCGACTCAATCATCATAATGCAATGTATTCTGGTATACAATCACTCGGTGTCGACTATGAAAACCTATATATTGGCTGGACAGGTCACATCAAAACGAAGAATAATGAAAATGTAAATGCCAGCTCATTGGCAAATGATCAAAAAGAGGTCCTCTCAAGTCATTTATTTCGGGAACACCAGTGTATACCATTATTTTTGGATAACGAGCTTATTACTGGGCATTACTATGGATATTGCAAATCAAGTAAATATATAAACGGGAATATATACATGAGAGATCATTCTTTTCTAGGGCTGTAACTATGTTACATTTCTACCGTCCCACAGATTTATTCATACTAACTTTTTTATTCTCATTCTTTTCCTGTACATGTCAAAGTCTTGTGGCCGCTGTTCAACTACATCATTTGGAATGATGCTACAGACGGTAGAAAAGAAAAAGCTCAGTGGAATTACTACGAAGCAGTAAATAAAAAATACGCAGAACTCATTGTAAAGCACTATAAACCAGAAGATACGATTTGGATACATGATTATCATTTACTTTTAGTTCCAAGCATGGTTCGTTCAAGACTACCAAAAGCTAAGATTGGACTCTTTGTTCATTCTCCGTTCCCCAGCTCCGAAATATTTCGTTGTTTACCAAGTAATTACCCTCTATTTTGTAACCAGTTGGGGTAACTGTCCGCTGTTAATCACCTGCTTCTACTACTTCATTTATAGAGAGGCAAGAGGTTTTAAAAGGAATGCTAGGCGCTAATCTCGTTGGCTTTCAGACATATGCAAATGCAAGACATTTTATATCTACTTCAACGAGAGTGTTAGGCTACGAAAGCTCACCAGATGGCATTGAATATGATGGGCATTTTTGCCATGTGGGTACTTTTCCTATCGGAGTCGATGTGAATACAATTGATACAGTAAGAAAAACACCTGAAGTTGTCAACACAGTCAAAGCACTGAAGGAGATCTATGGTGATAAGAAGATTTTGGTGGGAAGGGATAAAATCGAGCTTGTGCAGAGTGTCCTACAAAAATTGGCTGCTTTTAAAAAGTTCCTGTTGACATACCCAGAATGGCAAAACAAAGTTGTCTATATTCAAGTAACCGATGCCACATCTATATCCACAGCAGATAGTATAGAGAACGAGCATAAAATTTCGGATATGGTAGCCCATATTAATGGTACCTATGGCAATTTGGAATACACTCCAGTGTATCACTACCATCATCAAATACAAACCTATGAATATTACGCGCTGTTATCAGCAGCAGATGCCGCTTTGATTACAGCTGTTCGAGATGGGATGAATACTGCTAGCCTTGAATATGTGATGTGTCAACAAGAAAATCATGGATCATTAATTGTCTCTGAATTGAGTGGAACAGCGGGGTCAATGGGTTCAGCATTATTAATTAATCCATGGGATTATAAAGGCGTTGCCAGGGTCATTCAAGATGCTTTTCTTATGTGCGAAGAGGAAAAATTAAGCAGGCATATGGTAGAGTCTTGACACAACTTAGCTTTTTTCCCACTACATTTACTAACAGTTTTCACCCCTTCAGCAACTGTTAGCCCATGTAAAGTCAAATACTTCTTCTTTTTGGGCACAGTCCTTTACTAAAATGCTCTTACATGCTTGTGCATTGTCAGAGCAAAGTAGACACACCCCGCGGCTCAATGTCGACTACTTATTAGATAGGTACCGTTATTCGACGAAGCGACTATTATGCTTCAATTTGGATGTAAGTTGTGGATAAGTTTTCGTATATCACTAAGGGAGCTCTATGTGAGACTAAGGCAGTTGTATTTGTTGTTGTGTATTCGGATGACGGTAGAAAGCCTTCACAACAGTTAGAAAAGCGGCTTCAAAGACTGCTTCATCATGGTCTAGTGAGATCATCGAGTATTTGATAAAACTGTGCTGTGATCCGAAAAATGAAGTATGGGTTTTATCAGGCAGAGATGAAAATGCATTGGACAGCTTATTTGGTCGTGTTATTGGACTAGGACTAAGTGCAGAGCATGGGTCATTCATTCGATACCCAAACAGTAAAAGGTGGCTAAATCTTACAGAGCACTTTGACATGAGTTGGAAAAATGATATTCTAGAAATTTTCACCTATTATACCGAGCGAACCACGGGTAGTTTTATTGAGCATAAACGCAATGCATTAACATGGCACTATCGCTTAGCAGATGCCGAATATGGTGCGTTTCAAGCAAAAGAATGTCAAAATCATCTAGAGCAAGCCATATTAAGTAAATTACCCGTTGAAGTATTTGTGGGTGAGAAATATCTTCAAGTGCGGCCAACATTGGTAAACAAAGGAGAAGTCTTGAAACGACTGGTGGTAAATCAGTCATACGATTTCTTGATGTGCTGTGGTGACGATCGTACAGACGAAGAAATGTTCAAGGTGCTTCAAAAATCGGAATTATTGGGATACCAGAAGTTTGCCATCATCATAGGTGGGTCAGAAGGACGGAAAACCCAAGCCAGTTGGCATTTGCCATCTACTGAAAGCTTGGTTGGATGTATGTCGAGGTTGGTCAAATGTTCATCGCTATCAGCTGCTTCAACTTTGAAATAGTTAAAAAGAAATTGTATAGTTAAAGAAGATGATTATCGTTTATTTAATAATGAGACTAAATAAAAAGAAACATTAATGCCAAACAGCACGGGACAAACGTAGCAAACAGGTTTAACGTATTCATATGCGAAGCAACGCTAAGCTTTAGTAAGCTTGTATTCACACCCATTCTATTGCATGTAGGATTATTGATATCAAAATAGTAACTTGTACCATTTACAGACACATTTCCATTTTGCCAGTATCCGTATTGAAGAGCAGCCAAATCGCCTGTAGGACAGTAAAATTGTAAGAAAGGAGGACAGCTTTGGACTACATGATAACAGAGATCAATGCAAGGCAGAAGCTCCGTCCATTCACCAGGTTTTAGAGTTTCGTCAATCCATGGATTTCGAGAGGCGTTGGGTAGGACATATCTCAGCGCAGGAGCAACTGGCACATCCTGTGTTCCTTGACTAATATCTTCACTCGTTGAGGAGTCGGTGCATCGAGGAATAGTGACAGCGCAAAGCCAGGTTTTATAATCGCGGTAGCAATCGGTACAGTTGCGTACTAATGAATATTGTGTTGTCTCACAATTGTATTGGGATAAGGCTATGTCAAAGGGCTTGAATTTTGCTTTGGCCTGGTTATCATACTGCTCTGCAATTGACCAAATGTTGTCGATGGTGAGAGTTTCTGGAGGTATAGGTACACTGTAAGCTACTTGGTCACAGAACGGCAAATTGTAAATGATACGGCAATTAGCGTCTAGTTTGGTTGATAAATGAATGGGGGTAGTCATGCTTATCGACGAATCTGATGTTGGCATCAACATATAAGCAACATAAGATGTGGCTAGTGTCAAATTTGTGACCATAAATTGATGTCTCAACTTATGATCCAACCCACGATAGGTGATTGTTCTGTTGACTTCGTAATGTGGCATCTCGTTTAGTTTGGCCGCACAATAAGAATGTGTCAATCCCTGCGGAGGCTGTGACATTAAAATGGTTGTATTTGTCTCTGATGCATGGAAGGGGGATGATAAAAACAGAGCACTACTTCTATCTGTGTCATCTAAAGTTACATAGGGTATATTATTGTCTGACTGCTCATTGTTCACGAACAAAGGATGCAATATACCTATAATAGTTTTGCTGTTAGTGCTTAAATCTGCCTTTTGTGCATTTAATAGCTTCTTTCCACATTACGTTTGGTTGACAAGCCTAGCTCATATGTCCAGTTTCCTGTCCAAGGTCCATCTAAAGAAGGAGCAGACACTGCAAACCATAACTCATGCGAACTGTTGTCATTTGCGTAATCAACACGTCCATCAGTAGACTCGAGCGAAACTTTGGCATTGTCTTGGTCAGGCAAAGAATCAGCATCAGAAATGTGTAATTGTAACTTTAGGGAAGTATCCATATCACGACGCTGAGAGATTTTTATCGGTTGCTGACAGACCGTTAAAGATAAGTAAACGGTTGACAAGTCGTTGGTGAAAAGTTGATCTGAATTGCTTGTTGAAAAGTAATAATAGTTCCTGCCGCCACTAGCAATAGTGGATTTTACAATTACATTGTCTTTCAATGGGTATGTTGTTTGACCAAGAACAATTTCAAAGTTAGTCAAGTAGATACAGATCAAGACTAAGCTCACATAGTAATTTTGAAACATAGTGGGTAAAAACACACAGTTTCCTGAAGTGGCAAGCAATCTTTTATTTTTGGTGACTTTTTGCATTTCAAAAAACGAAGTAAAATGATCAATCAAATCCCATTTGCTGGTCCACAATAGACGCGAAAATATCAGGCTCTGCATCATTGAAAGGGGTGAAATTCATACTGTTTACGTGCTTTAACGTTTTTAACAGATCTCTAAATATGAAGCAATTAACAAAATGACACAGCCCTAAAAAAAATTCAATTCATACCTCGGCTCGCTTAAAACAGCGTACCGTTGAGATTCTATCGCTTCAGCAAGTTCAAGTTGATGATTGTTCATTAACGATGCATTCACAACCATTATGAGCTTTGTATGTTTCAGTCGTAGTGCCTGCAGTATTGTTCCAGCGCCTACAAAATAAATGAAACGATAAAAGTAGATAGTCAACGTCAAAAGACAGCTATAGTTCACTTTACCTGCATGACTTATAACTATATCCGACTTTTCCATATCTTCAGTGATCGAAGGTTTATAGTCATAACCAACAATGTCTATTAATTTTCCTTCGTAACATGCTATATTGTCATTAAATGCTTCTCTAGATGAGCCATATTGATAAACAATTGCTTTTAATCCGATCTCATATGCGAGGTCAAGGAATGCTGGAGATGTCGTTTCGCGAATCAGTTCATCAAAACCTGTTGAGCCGACGGTAACAAACAAAGCCATTGCTATTACAATTTCTGATACGAAAAATATTCAATTTAAAGAAAAATAAAAATAAAGAGAAGTGCTGCTGCTGCATCCTCAGCTTATTCGTAAGTACGCACTTTACAACAGCAATAATTCAGTAACATTTGCTCTGTTATGCATTTAATATATTCAGTCCTCCAAAATTTACTGTCCAATAAAGAAAGCAACTTTACCTTTTACCTACATATTCTATCCTTATCAATGACAATCCCACTTGATATGGGTAGCCATTTGTCAACGTTATTATAGATTTTTATACAGAACAGGTTCGGACACCCAAAAATTGCTCTATTCACTCAAATGAAAAATCAGCACGCGAAACGAACAATTTAATCTCATAATTGACTTGATTCTTTTCTACTCTCTTTAGTAGTTTTCTGTTTCCAAAAAGAGAGATAGAATGTATCATATGCGTTCTTCGTTCATCGTTCTACTCATTGCCTCGAGTATCTTGAGTCTTGTCAGTGCAGTGAAGTTCGAATTACCAGCTGTTACGAAAGAACATGCAAGTCAAGGTGTGAAGTGTTTATCACAATACGTAGCGAAAGATACTCTGGTGCTCGCCACAGTGAATGTCGGTCAGGGCTATAACCAACGCGTGGAACTTGAGGTATACTTGTCTCTTTTTTGTTGGATTACTGATTATGGTTTGCCCAATTATAACTTGAATTGAATATCATCTATAGATTTTTGATGGTACTGAAGCCCGTAATGTGTATACCAAAAAGAGCAACATCAATGGTGAGATTCGTAATGCTTTCAATACAATCGACGAAGGCGAAGTGATGGTTTGTTTCACCAACATTCTTGATGAAGGTATGTTCGTTGATGAAAGCCATCAGTTTGTGAAAATTATGGTGTTGAATGCTCTCAATACAACAATTAGGTTTTCAGGAAGGAGATAGTTACAAGCGCACCGTTGAATTAGAGTTTAGCGTTGGTGCTGAGGCTACTGACTTCAAAAAGATAGCAAGTGCTGAGAAGCTTGACCCTCTCGAACTCGAGCTTCGTAAATTAGAAACAGTTGTGAAAGAAATTGTCGATGAGATGAATTACTTAAAGCGTCGTGAAGCTAGAATGAGAGATACCAACGGTAAGAGAAAAAGTATTTGTTAGGGGACCAATCGTCAACAGATAATCTTTAATGCTTAAACTTTCCCTGTCATTTATCGATAGAATCCACCAACGAACGTGTTAAATGGTTCAGTATTCTTTCATTATTCACACTCTTCTCCCTCGGCACATGGCAAATTTTGTATTTGCGCCGTTTCTTCAAGAGAAAGAGATTGATCGATTAAGTTGTTTGTACCATAATAAAATTGAAACACTCAGATAACATTTAGGAAAATAACAGTTTTCAGCATGTACATCTTTTATCATTTTATTCGACATATTAGGTTCATCATTGCATTTTCATTTATTTATTAAGCTCTTGAATAATTGATAACAAAGCTTCACCAACTGCTTTGAAATCATTTAAATCAACGTAGATTTGTCCACTTAAGCGTATCCAATATTTACCATTGTTTTCATAGATCAGAGCCGTCATATTATGCTCATAAACCAATTTTTTGATGATGTAAGGAGCTACTTGGCCATTTTGTATTTTGCTCGTCTCAAAGTGTGGCAGTTCAACATTTACCATACTTGCTGTCAATGTCTTTGTTGAGTTCTCCATAACCCGAGTGCCCAGCATTTCTGCGACAAGCTGCCCACCCTTCACAGCTATGTCATGAGTGTATTGACGAATTTTCTCTTCTCCGCCAATGGATTCTCTATACTTTAGGGCAGTTTCAACACATAAGTAATTCGAGCAGTCGATGGTAGGAGGTGATAGTTCCAAATTAAATGTAGATGTTATAGCACCGTCTTTGTGATGCTCGTAAGCGAAATTTATTGTCGTTGGATGAATATAGCCCTGGTTACGTTTTGCTACGTAGAGAATAGTGCAGCCTCGAGGTGTATAAAGCCATTTATGACAATTGGTGAAGAAGAAATCAGGATCGAGGGCCTCAATATCGATTTCAATCTGCCCAAGTACATGAGCACCATCTATTAGAGACAAAATATTGTGTTGTTTCAACAAACTTGCAATGGACTCAAATGGTAAGCGAACACCAGGAGCAGAGCAGATAGCATCTATAACTCCCATAATGATCTTGGGTTCGCCAATTTTGGCATGTTCAGCTTCAATAACCTCTCTAATTTTCTGCACGACTTCCTCATCTTCTAACGGATAGTTTAGCTCAATTGGCAGAAGTTGTACACCATATTTGTCCCTTATGTATAATAATGTTTTTTCCACATTAACATATGCAGTTTGGAGCTATATATTATTTTAATTCACAGTTAAATTTGCTCTTCATGAGAAAGTATTGAGTTGGTAGCGTGCTCAATCCTTACACAAATAATCTTGTCTCCCTTCTTGAAAGGATAGCTTCTAAGCACTGTATTGGCAGCTTGAGACGAGTTTTGCACAAACGCAAGGTCCTTAGCATCGCAATGAATAAGCCGGCTAATACAATCTAAATTACGCTTCAAATGTAATTCCTTTTCATATCTATACCAGCGATCAGGTTGCAGCTCACATTCGTCCTGGTATTTTCGTAACTGTTCCTTCACAACGTGTGGAAAGGTGCCAAAGGAACCATGGTTGACTGGTATATAGCTTGACTCCAAGGAAAAGTCCTTTCGGTAAGCTCTACCAAATTTGGGGATAGGCTCATCACCTTTTGATAGTGTCATGTAACGGTTTATCAAGGTGGTCCGTAATACCAAGAAAAAAGAGAAATATGTCCCTTGTTTTAATTGTAAGGACAGAAAGAAAATGCAAAATCATATTTCACCTCCGCCCCAGTTTTTTTTTTATTTTATAGTGTAATCTACCCTTTGACGCACTGGTTGCTTCATAAACAAAGACGCATTTCACGAAACGATGTGTAGCCAAACAGTGACACAGGTTTGCATATATAAGCTGTTATATAATCCATTACTAATGGTACTAGAAGTGGAAGTATAGCAAACCGCTTAATCCAAATAGAACACGGGTAAGCCACAAGATAAATATTCTTACTTCCTGCTACTTGCAAGCAAATCGTGAAAAGTTGCCAATCAATAAGTATTCAGTTGCTAATAGTAGCTTGATTATTGCAGCTATATTACTTATTGTAATGAAAATGAGTCATCTTGCTGTTATGAGCGTGGCATGTGACAGCTGTGTTAGTCAACAAGAGTCATTCCTTGTAAAGATTTGACACTGCTTCATTACTAGCCATTCAGTTCAAGTTCTCCTTTTTGGTCTTTCAAAATTCAATAGTATTATTGGCATAAGTCTTTAAGCACATGATTCCTTTCTCAAACAGCTAACTTCATCATAAACGCGCTCTTCATAGATGGCACAAAGAATGGTATGGCAATAAATTGCAATTTGCAGGTGCTTCTCATTTACTTAAACACTAGGTGCATACTACGTTTTATTGCTCTTTGGAAGAATGTTTTGCCGTAAAGGTCGGCAATCAGTATGTAGTTGCTGTAGAAGAAACGCAGCTACGCACGTAAACCGAACTGGATGACAAGGCAATGTTTGTCATTTCTTGCATAATTTACTCGGATTGCCATAACAGTAACGCAATCAGTTTCAAATGATAAACTGCATTGATAAGCCTTGCAAATTTCTATAGGCTTTCATCACATCGACTATTGTCAGCGCAATAAGACAACGGGATACATCATATAAGGTTTCAATGTTTTCATTCCCTTTCAAGAATAAAAGAACTATTTTGAGTTTATTTTGCTTGCTAATATTTACATACGTTTTCTTGATCTGGAAAAACAGCGCGCTTTGAAGCGGGAATTTATCAAATTGACAACGAGTTGTTTATACGCAATCCGTTTTTAGAGCAGTCATTCATCGAGTTGCTTTTCTTATTCCATTTTGCCTCTTGACAGTTTCATGCCGCGCACTTGCGAACGATATGCCCAATACATAATCTACGTTGCACTGTTTCAATAAGAGGCCTTAGTCCGCAAAATGGTTGCTCCGTTTACTATGCATATATTAGTACAACGATAAACAGGAATCTAGAATCTTACGAGAAAAGTGCACTCTGCGCTCCTTTATCTCTTCACTTGCTGCCTGTATCTATTTTTAAAGGTCGGAGATTGGCGTGTAACGAATCTTTAATTATGAGGTAAATTAGACATGCTCTATCAATAACAATAGCTTTGTTGTATGATTGCCTTAAGAGAACATTAATAAAGTACACATTTTGTAATATCCTAATCGATCTTTAAAAACTACGCCACTCGGCAAATCCAAATCTCAAACATCATAATGCTTCTGAACGCCACCATAGTTAGCCATTGCTTAAAAACGGATACGACTTACACGAAGCCTACCAAGGTAAGCCTCATGAACAGAGTTACTAAAAAAAAGGAAGAGGTTACTAACATTTTTTCCCTGTTCGTTTCCTTTTTTTTCCTCTTTTCAATCGCAGCAGCTAACTAAAATGGAATTGAGTGAACCACACATAATTTGTCACGCGTTCATTTGCCTCAATTGAGCAAAAGAAAGATTCATTCAGAAAATCAATTATGAAAACTCCTGATTTATACTTCTGTACTATTGTTTCCTTTCTTTCCTTCTCTCTATACTGTTTCATAGCTCACCATACTTGAATTGACTTCAAATATTTGACATTCAACTCAATTGATTGAGAATATGACAGATTATTTGCCACAGCCACAGCCGCAGCCGCATGAAATGCATGCCAATCCCAGCACAACGATAAGTCGAGCTAGCTCAGCACGTTCTTACAGAGACGTGCCAAAGCCTATAGTGAAGACGATAGGAAATTACACTATGCAGCAAAGTATTGGCAAAGGAAGCATGGGAAAAGTCAAGTTAGCAGTGCATAACATCACAGGGGAAAAAGTGAGTTATATTTTTTGACAGGTCGAATTAGGACATCTTTAAATATTCATCCATGCGCTTTTTTCATACATTGTTAGATTGCCGTTAAAATTGTTCCTAGAGCCAATCTACAAATATTGAACCAGCCAGCTTATGCCAACGGCAAGTCTATCCAACAAATAGCAAAAGAGAAGGCTCGAGAAGAAAATCGCGAAATACGAACAATTCGAGAAGCACATATCATGATGTTATTGAAACACCCTAATATCGTAGGCATGAAGGATTTGATTGCCCAAGGACCTTATTTTTACATTCTGATGGACTTTGTAAACGGCACACAGCTACTTCACTATATTGTTAAGCGACAACGTTTGTCAGATAGAAGAACAAAGTCATTCACTCGTCAAATTGTCAGCGCTTTGGATTATTTACATAGAAATTCAATAGTACATAGAGACTTGAAGATAGAGAATATTATGATAGACAGAAGTGGAAGGCATATCAAAATCATTGATTTCGGCCTATCGAATTTGTTTTGTCCTGAGCGGCTATTAACCACTTATTGCGGTTCCTTATACTTTGCTGCTCCTGAACTTCTAAAAGCAACACCATACAGTGGTCCGGAAGTTGACATTTGGAGCTTGGGCGTGGTTATTTATGTTATGGCAACAGGTTCTGTTCCGTTTGACGATAAATCTATGCCAGGGTTACATGAAAAAATCAAACGAGGACATGTCGATTACCCAGCACATTTAACTGAAGAATGTAAAGACCTCTTATCTCGTATCTTTATTACTGATCCAGCAAAGCGTATCATAATGGCAGATATTATTCATCACCCTTGGCTGACTAAAGATGCAGCCCCTATCAACAACCATATGCCAATTAGAAAACCACTCAGTTTGCCACTCAACACAAAGGTCATTGAACGAATGTCACAGGGCTTTAATCTAGGAACGCCAGAAGAGATTGAACGAAGACTTACTCTTATCATTCAATCTCCCGTTTATCACGATGCAATGAAACACATAGCAGACTGCCATGCTAGGAAATCACTGACACCTCCGCTCTCCAATAACGAGGTTAATTTTGGCATTGTGTACGATGATCCTCAATCAGTTCCAGCAGCCTATCATCCCTTTTTGTCATTATACTATTTAGCTTCCGAAAAATTAATGGCGATAGAAATCGAAGCACACCAACACCGTTTGTCAATGAGATCATCGCTATCACGAAAAGCATCCATTGATTCTTTAGGCGCCGCATCTTCAGCACTTAGTAGCCAAACATCACTGGTCGATTTAGGTGCAGCTGGTGCACGTCTATTGACAGACATCCCCCTTAGTCAGACACCTGTCAAAACAACTAGACATGCTGATGAAGGTCTCAGTGGACTTCACTCAGCGTCTATCAGTTCAACTAGTTATTTAAATAGAATCCAGCGCTGGTTACGCTCTTCTTTATCGCAGCATCGTCTCAGTACTCATGAGCATACAAATAGTCATATGTCTGCTCCGCCTTCCCCTCCTCATTCAAATGAAGATCGCAAACATGCAGAGGTTGATCCTATTTATACAGCAAATACAACTCCTGCTACACGATTGCCTACTCCAACACATTCTACCGAAGACAAATACAATCGCCATAATTCTCAAAACCTGAACAACGAACAACAACAGTATCAACATTATGAAACTCAGCAATATCATCAACAGCAAAATCAAAAACGATTGTCAGGAACAACTGGTACAACACCAAGTGGAAGCAAATCTCTATTCCGTAAATTATCACAAGTATTTCTAAAAAAAAGCTCAACCAAATCTCTGCACAAAAAGGCGAGTAATTTAAGCACATCGAATACGATAAGTGACCAGAGCACGCATGAAAGTGAAGCAGAAGCTATCAATCAAGCAGCATCAAAACAAGCTGCTTTACAGAGTAATGAAAGAAAAGCTGCAGACAATGACACTTCACCGCCCCCAGTGCCACCAAAAGATTACAACTATGCAATGGTCCGTCATTCAAGGATTATCAATCAAAATAACGTAGGAAATATACACAGTACTATCAGTAGGAAATCACAACAACTACCTCCAGGAATGTCCATAGCTACTATTACATCTCGACAAACAGCCCATACAATCGACATTAGTACTCTTCATAAAGCCGGTTATTATAATGCTGCCAATAGTACTGTGAACAATAATACTTCTAACATGACTCGGACAAATGTTAGCAATAGCCATACGAACAGTACAGCATCAGCATTTGCAACACCTATTGCTAATCGAATGGCTAGATACGAAGAGCATCCGCGGCAAGCAAATCCTTCAGCGCTCTTGACAAAAGAGCTACCTAATTTACCAACTACCACAACAGTAACAAGGTCAGCTTCCTTAACCTCTTCTGTACCGCCTCGGCATCAATATGCTAGCGGAAGAAGAGGAAGCGTTTCCAAAATGATGACAGATAAGATGGGCTCATGGGTCAACCGATCTTCTTCTTTTAATAACCATCATCATAACCATGGCAGGCCAACCGATATAAATCCTTAGAACGTGCTTCATCATAAATAAGCACAAACATCATAATCAATATTGAAAATATACACTTACCTTATACTTATTTCATATTATAGCAAATATTCTAACCGTAATTCCATATAATCAATTCTCGTACCTTATAGAAGCAGCGCAATTTTGTTTTCTTTGGGGGTTTTTTTTTTTCTCCTTCTATTCCTAGACTTAGTAATCTCAAGAACTATGACTTCAGCCTCTGTTATTATTCAATCCATTAGACAATTTTTTCCAATTAAAATTTTATTGAACATGGGTCAGGTAGTACTTATAAACAACTAAGAGGCTTTATTGCATTTGTTTGGATGCGGTAGTCGACATAATAAACTTGGTATATCCGCGGAGTTCTAAATTGGACCGTTCTGGGCTGCTCCTAAGCGGTTTAGATGAAGAACAGTTGCTCCTAACATCGTTTCTCAAGGCGAGGGTGCTACTTGTTCAGTTGGTTCCTTTTTTGACAGCTTAACTTTCGGGATCGTCTATACACAACATATTGCGGTTAGCTCCCCCTACGCAGAAAAAGTCAACGAACAACAAGTCATACCATGTCAGGCTTCAAAAACTTTTGCACACATGGGAGAAGGGAGAATGAAGAAATGTTCATCTTAATTTCTGTTTTGCTCAATTACTTATTCGTATTCATGGGCTCACCCTGTTTACAGCTGTACTTCCAAGGGCCATGCCAGTACAGAGGAGGAAAAAGCTGTAATAATGGTTGATCTTTATCATCTTTATTTCCGTTTTTCTTATTCGTTATTTGGCAGGTTCAGTAAGAGAGACCCACGACAGCACGGGGGCTACTCCACAAAAAACTGGCTATTGATGAGATTCAAAAAGTTATATTTCCGATTAAGTTCATTGTGTTAAATTTAATACACAGTATGAATAACTGCAATCAAAGCATTTATTTGGCTGTAGCTGCCTTTTTTCGATCTTTAACATTTTTTTTAAAGCACAAGAATTGAACAACAGTGCTTCTCCGGCTCAGAACAAGAAGTTCTTTGACATGGCCTAATTCAGATCGAAGATTGCCCGATTGCTCAGCGGTAGGTATATAGGCTTGTTCGATGGTTTGATAAATAGATTGTAGGGTATCTGAAGCTGTGGGTGTTACATATTGTGAAAGTGTTTGATGCATAAATTCAATTTCTAAAGTTGCTTGCAGCATACCCCCCATGCCAAACCTTTCGACTTGTCTAAAGCTATGTAAGCAATCCTTGGCCAATGACTCTAGTAACCTTGATAGTGCTCTGGGCACTAACTGTGAGGCCACACTATTAATTTGTGAATGAACCATAACGAGCGTCATCAATGCCTCGTAAACAAAGGGATGGACTTCTTGCGGTTTTGGGATACTGGCCCAATCGATGCCACTGTGAAGGATCCCTTGCGTTATTATATCCCGAATTAGCTGTGATTTACGTTTGATAAAATCTCCAAACAGGATTTCATCCAATTGGTCAACAACATCGATTAACGTCTGTAAAGTATTAGAACCTTAGTGCATCAGATCTAGTATTCATGTCAACACATGTTCACTTACATGAAGGTCCTCGTCCATTTTAACGTGGTATGCCTCCTCAAATAATTCGCTCAGCTTTCTCATAACATATAGCCGCATATAATTCAAATTGCTCACAGTCAACAGAATACGTACATCCTAAATAGAAACAATGAATACACGCAGCGAGTACAGCTTACAGGTTGAAGGTAGTTACCATCGAATGAACGTTTATCTTTTCTCTTTTCTTCGCCAATGATAACTCCTCTTTCACGTTTAGGGGCTTGTAATCTGTGAAAGCCAACTGCACTAATCCATCCAAAAAGGTATAGGTTGATTCTAAAAACGAGCCTCTAACTGTTTCAATATGTGCTGGTAAAATTATTTGACCTTGTACATCGTTGTCCTCAGAGGACAAAGCTGTCAGTGTAGCAATTTTGTACGCTGATCTTGCGCAGAATTTATGAAAATCGTAATATCGCTTTAATAGTGTTGTTACTTGTTCGTTTTGCTGGTCTATCACCCATTCTTCCAATAAATAAAAAGTTTTTGCATCTCTTTCCCAGCATTTACAAACAACGTCAATGAATTTCGATTGAGCTTTCGTTAAAAGGGTAGTAAGGCCAGAAAAAGCGTCAACTGCTAGATTGATAGTATTGATGTCATTTACACAGCTCGCTAGTTCGTTCACAATGTTTGTCAAAAATTCAGCAGTGTGTATCGAATTTGCATTGACAGGCAAAAATGGCGGCATGATGTATTTATCTGACCCATCCATGTTTTTCTTCTTCTGTAACTGTTTCTCGTTCAATGAAAAATAATCTGATATTAGAGCAGCATATCTATTAACAATATCGCGCGTCATACGCTGACATTGTTCAACCTTTGCCATATCCATGCCTTGCCGTTTCCTTCGAGATGTAGGTGTACTTGCTGTAGAGTTATGTGTAGCATTTCGTGATCGGTTGTTCGTTCTATTTGTGAATTTCCCTTCGATAAATGCAGTTGACAATCTCCAAAAGTCAGGTAAACAGCGCAAAAGCAGCGAGGATTGAGATTTCAATAATTCAGATATCGCCTGCCATATTCGAAAATCGCTGGTCAATTCTACATTTATCTGTGTGGGCCACAATTTCATTTGCTCAATTGCTTCCTTAAGTGATATACTTCTTTTGATATCGGACTCGTCCGTCTCACCGATTTCAACTTTCAGCTTATTGATTTTTTTGACACTAGCATCAAATGTCTCTTTCATGAGGTTCATAATCCATTGATATTGACTAACTAAATAGAACCAGGCAGGATCTTCCGCTGTATCCAGATCAAATAGAAAACTGTGATTGAAGTGATTAATAGATTGTTGTTTGAAATAGAATATACAGTACATACTTTATAGTTTTTTCCTGATCGTCCATACTTCTCCATGGATCAGCCAGCCTTCTCATCAGAATATTCTGAAGCTCAGTAACAATTTTGGTTACCTCTGCCCAAACCTTGTCAAAAACCTTTCGATGCAGGTCTGTAATGTCAGTTGCTTTTTCAAGCTCGACTGCTCCTGCAGGTCTATCGGATACATCTGATTCGCCTTTCAATACTTGATAAAGATATTTGCCTTTCTTGTAATCCCGAATAGCTGCCTCATATTTATTCTACAATTGAAAGCAAAGGGAAATTAGCTTATTAATGACAATACTATTTTCCAGTATTAACTAACAGTACCTGTTTGATTGATTCAAGCAGACTGCTTGGTAAATTGAACAAAAAACGGTATCTTTGGAGAATGTATAAGGTACTTCTGACTTTCTCGACTCGTTGTCGTCTTTCAACGACAGGACCATATATTTGCTCAGCTCGGCCATTAGCAGCTGTAGTAACGTTTCAAAAGTTGTAAAAATGAACATTAAGGCTGTTTTACTACGATAGGAACACTTAACCTACCATCTAAAGCTTTTTTGATGCCAATTGTCCCGTAATCTTGAGTTTGATTTAATTGTTTTGACTTCATCTCTTCATACACATGATCAATAGTGTTCTTAGCACTAACAAAACGATCAAAATTTTGATGGACAAGATCTTTTAAAGCTTCCGCCCTTTGATCGACACCTTTTCTCAATTTGTCTTCACCAGTAACTAAATCGTTGTAGGATGTATTCTTATGCACCTGTAAGAGGAATTGCCGAGGCTGGAATTGCTTATTCGTTATCATGAATATAGTCTCTAATAGAAGGATAATACGAAATGTTCAGTTTTTCTAATATAGACGGTTACATCCCATTACTTTCTTCGTGGGTCTTACTTTCTTTCAATTTTGAGATATTAGTATTTCGTGACATATCCCTTAAGTTGATAGTAGAAAGATTCAGTACAGTTTTCAATAACAAAGGTACAGGACTCTTTTTTGATCAGTACTCAGGAAATATAGAAGGATAGATACCGAGCGGATCACTATCATCAATGGCTTGAAAGTCTAGGTCGTTTTCGAAGGAATGAATTTGTTTACTGGCGGATTCATCCTGCTCGGGATGTTGAAATTGTCTCGTTGCTTCACTTTCTCGTTCTAACGAGTTATCGGGAGTTTCCTCGTCATCAACCCAAACATCCGGTTCAAGAGAGTCGAGGTGATAGAATCTCAATACAGCTGCATCTTCTGCATACTCGGGTAGATCTAGTCTGTTCATTGAAGAGCAGAATTTCAACAACTCCTTTAGTTTCGCTACTGACGAGGTTGGATAAATTGAGCAAAGTCGGTTATTGAAATATACAGATTCAACAACTGAATATCAATGCAATTTATTCTGATATGTAATTTTTCCCCAGAGAAAGTGTAATATTGCAAAATGTTAACAGATTTATTGTTTTGCCTTGGATTTGGAACCATTTAAAACTTTCAGCTATTGAATTGAGTCTACTTGGGCGTATTGTCAACAATATTTTTTGTTATTCAAAAGTTTTTAGAGCAAAAAAAGTAAAACTGTAATATTTATTATTGTAAAAAATATTAGATTAAGAGTAATAAAAAAGTAGAAGTAGATGTTATTTGTCAAATGCAAGGTTGGAGTTCTTATTCGAGCTTGATGTCTTTCTTTCCGCCAATCCTGAGTAATTTCTCAACCGAACTTCTTCTGCGCTCTCCTTCACTGCTTTTCATTTCGGCAGCTAAATGCTTAGCTCTTTCAGCAGGTGTCATATTGAATTGCCAGTGATCCTTCGTATGATCGGGTGTTATGAATGCGTCACGATCAGCCACAGGGCGCTGGCTCTGAGATACACTAGAACGATCATCGGAAGAAGAGCCATAATCTGAGCGAGTAGAAGACTCTGGTGATCTAATATTTCCCGGGTCCAAGAAGCCAGTGCCTTGTCCATTATGGTTATGAGTAACATTGTTTTGGTGATCGATATCATCTACAGTTGTAGGGTGGCTTCCAGTAACAGCTTCTTGTTGTCCATAACTTGATTGTTTTGCTGAATCATTATATGCATTCCTTCCAATACCAGTATTCGATGTTTGTATATTACCAACATTACTGCTGATTTCATGAACAGTTGTAGGATGTTGACCTGTAGTAGCACGTTCTTGATTCATGATGGTTGGAGAATTGAAAAATTGGTGATCTAAACCGACCGCATAATTGATGGTTTTATATGTGGATTGTTAAACAAAAAAAAAAAAAAAAACCATCGTCATTCTGACATGGTGCATTAAATTTTTTACCAATGATAAGAATTTCCATTGAAACTTTTTCATGCTTGCTTTTCAGGCGTACTCGTAGCCTGTTAAATTGTGCTCTATTCCCATTCATCCAAATAAGGGACATTGCTTCTAAACACAAGGAAGGTATACAATGTACCCGCAGCATGCCAGTGTTTCATTATTTGCTAACCATTGAAAGTAAGCAGACGCTTGCTTACCAAAACACCTTCTTCATCGCTTTGAGAAGGAAAGATATGGAAGAGCGGAGCAATAATACATATAGTTCTATTTGAATTGTATAAAATCACATTTAAGAAGGTACCATTGCCGTACATACGACGCTTTGATACTCGATTTATTTGATCAGATAAGATGATGTAAGGTTCTTCGTAAACGATGATTTCATGTAAGTTGACAGTGGGAATATTCGAAAGAAGAGTTTGTTTGGCTTGCGTTAGCGTCTCAATGACATTCTTCAGAAAACCAACGGAAAATCTGCCTGATAATACAGATCTATTGCTTCATATTTGGGGGTATTTCGACACAAACACTCTCATTTCCGAGAGAGTCGTACTGAGTAGATATGCTGATTCCTTTCAGCAAAACTTGGGCTTTCTTATTGAACATAAGCGATTTCAGCGTTGTATTTTCAATTTTTGCTAACCCTAGAGGAACAGGGCTCATGTTGAAGTGCTTTAAAACATCTGCAGTGAAGTGTCGATGACTAATAGTAGACAGTATCCCCACTACCTTGTTCTTTCTTGGCGAAGCTGATGCTACGGTGCCCATTAATTCTCTTAGATGATCTGGTGTGCACCCTTGCTTAGTATTTTTACATTGGATGATTATATTCAAGTTATTGAACCATCGACCTCGAAGATCTATCCCTCCATCACCTTTACCGCCGACATGTTCAAGTTGCATTCCAGTTGACAATTTAAGTGATTCTAAGGTTTGCAGTTCAAATAAGGTACCGCGATACGTAGTTGAAGTTACATCCTTATCAACCTGACTTAGGAAAGTAGCCAAATCATTTCTGCTGCCAGAAATATGTCTTTTGCAGATTCGGCCTAGAATCATTCCATCAATTTTTAGAAACTGTTGAGGGAATGGATGGCAAGTAAAGGGACCGAGTTCCCGTTATTTTGCTAAAAATGACCGATATTTATTTTGTAAGAACGAATTATCATTATTTTATTATTTCTCTTTCTTCATCATTCTGTATTTAATCAAAATTCCGATCCATGACAGATCACTTGACAGATCGTGACAAAGCAAAGACGTATACTGACGATTCCTTTGAGACGCCTGCAGAAAATTGGGAATCTGCTCTCGGAAACGTACTAGAGGTATACAGATCTTTATGAAAAGAGTAATTCAGTACGCTCAACTGTTAACGATCGCTCTATGTAGAAAAACACAGAGCTCACAGACCAACTGAGAAAAGCCTTGCTTACTGTAGCTAAACTAAAAAAACAACGAAGGTACAATTCAATTCAATGGTATTTGCAGGAGTGAAAAGCCATTAATATCCGCTATTTTTCTATTCCAAAAGCAAGCTGTTGGATGAGATTGTGAAGGTGAGCTCGGAGAATGAGGCAGATTTTGACGACAACGACAGTCAGTGGTCAGAAGGGGATATAGACACAGACATGGAATCTGACGACGACTTTGAAGTGACGAAGAAAGAGGAACTGGTTGAGGCAGAAACGCATATTGAACCGCCTGCGAAGCGTCGACGATTACCTCAATCAAGACGACAACGGCCAATGAAACCAGTTGATGTTCCGAAAGACGAAAGTGGTAATTACATACTGCCAATTGAGCTTGGCAGATTGAAGTTGCTATCTCTAGGAGAGATTATACCCGAAGAAGGCTTTTTTAACCAAAACTATATATTCCCTGTGGGGTACGCCATACAAAGGTAATAAGGGAGGCATATACTACCATAGTTTATTTTCAGAACTTGGCTGTAGTAACTAATTGTTTGCTCATATTTAGAACTTATAAAAGCATGGTTCACGAAGATGAATATACAGTGTATACCTGTTCGATTGACAAGGACGAGAACAACAAACCACTTGTAAGCCAAAAAGTTAACAGTCATTAATATGTATGTGCTAGTATTTTAACAAGTTCAATGTAAATAGTTCTGTTTAGAGGCAGAAGATGCTCCTGAAATAGTGATACGGAAACCTACTCCTACTGCTGCTTGGTCTGAAGTATTGAGAAGATCAAACATTTTGCGTAAGAAAGAGTTCAAGAATACAGTGTCTGGGCCAGAATACTATGGTTTTTCGTTACCGACTGTGAAAAAACTGATACAGGATCTTCCCCGCGCAAATGAATGTGTAGGCTATCAGATGGTTGACTTTTGAAATAATTAACTGTATATATTAAGCATATAGAATAAGGAACACCTATGTTATTGAGGATAAAACTTGTACAATAAAACGAAAGGAAAATAGGGAAGATTGACTTAATGAAGTAAAGTTACCATAATCTAGCATAGCCTAAGCATACATGCAATTTAATAAAAGTACTATTCAATAAAAAAAATCCGCAAAATACTTTTAATTTACTGAATATCGATGATAATGGATTTTACTTATTGACTACTTAGACAAATATACTATGATATTTTGTTACGGATTAGAATTGAAAAATAATAAATTAAATGTTGAAAGAATATCTGCTACTTAGTGATCATGTCAAATGTTACTAAAGAAAAACGAAGCCAATATACATTGACGTGGCTATTATGAATATGTAATCTGATAAAGGGAATGATAATTCGTCAAATACTTAAAAAATTTGTTCAATTGTAATAATTATTGATTGGTTTTTTGCTAGTATGGGAAACTTCTGCTGATACAGTGCTTGAAGAGTCATCATCCATCATATATGGCTCCACCATAGGTGCATCGAATTTAACAGGTTTACTCTGTTTGTTATCAATATCAAAAGTCATATCAGCCGTCAGATGCTCATCGACATTTGTCTTGGTTCGGTTGTTTCCTGACCCAGACGACTTGTTAGCAGTGACCCAATGAACAGTAATAACATTGACCTAAGTATTGTACACAAAGTTTGATGTTAAAAACACACTTAAAAGTTTCTTGTCCTGTAGTATCAAATGTACATACTGTGACATCTACTGTGCACATAGTTAAACAGATCAGACCACGTTGATGCCCATGACTCAAGTATACAGATAATACGTTGACAAAGGATACAGACAAACAGACAATGGAAGCAACCAACGTTCTACGAGCCAACTTGTATACTCTTGACACTTTCCAGTCACTTCGTGCATTTCTACCAACAGTCGTTAAAGGCCTAACAAAGAGCCAAGTAAGGTACAAATTGAAGATCTATAGTTATGTAATTTCAAGATCAGTAAATTTTCGTTCAGATAAAAGTAAACGTTAAGATCTAAATCTGCGATAGTTACAAAGTCGTAAATCTATAATCAAAAAAAGTGTGTTTTAATATGCTTTCCAATTGATTAAACGATGTAATTTTGACAACCTACCAGTAGGGGCATACTTGCAATGTCTTGTAAACCAATGGTACATTGGCCATCTGGTTCAAGGTAAATATTTCTGAAGCACAACTATGTCAATTTGAAGGTGCAAGTACCAGTTAACGATTTTGTTTTTGTTGAGACTTATATCTTTGATCATTTTTAAGTATACCATGAGAACGAAAATCACAACATATGGACACAGTAGCAATAGGTGAAATTTGTATAATGGGGTTTTTAGCCGAGTAGTTTTAACAGCAGTGACCAGATAGCAACGCTCAATAAGCCTGCAAAAAAGAAATTAATTTCAGTATAGCCACAGACAGCTTACATACGTTTTCTGTGTATCTTTAATCTTACCAAGCGTAAATTGCAATTTTACTACCGGCATAAAAGAAATCGCAGGCAAGCATGCCAAGTGTACAAGAGACAATATTATCTGAGCAAAACAGAATAGACGAGGCCGCAGTCAGTTAGTGATGCTTGCTAAAGTAAGCAAAAGCATGAAATGCGTATATCTTACTATTATTTGTAGAAACGATGATGACTGATGTTGTAGCAAACGCCCAGGATAATGTATATAGAGCAATGACCAACATACGACCATAATTGAGAGATTTGATTTTCTCGCCATAGGTTTTGGCTCCAAGAGCGACGGCTAAACATGTAATACATGTCAAGGAAATTAACTCGGACGTAGCTTCCAAAAGATCTGGATTTGTTATATCCAAATCTATCACCAAGTCTGCATTTGTGCTGTTGCTATTCATGTTACTGAAAGTTTTAGTCCTCAATAATAAAAAATTCAGCAATAAAGAAAAACAGATAAGCTTATTGGAAAAAGTTTAATAAGAAAGTAATAGAAGAAAGAAAATGAAGCTCTGGAGCAATTGTATGCGCTTATTATATTGCAAATCGATGGAGCAAGATAGTAATACAGACCTTCAAACTTGTGGTTTAAAAAGGATAGGATGCGTAAGATATAACTTACTTATTTTCACAATGTACTAAGGAGACTTCCTCCCTTTGATATGCATAGATTCATACTAGCCTTATTGTGTTGCTTTTTGAAGCGTGATACGTCAATCCAAAATGACAACGTTGTTGCGACAATATACTGCGGCACATATAAATAGCTATTGTAATACGATATAAGTTGAGCTCACGATTAAACCGAAGAGCTATATGCTTTGGACAGGTAAGAATAATATATTATCTACGTGTTGAGACATCTATATAAAGTTATGACCCTTAAAATCCAACTTTATCAATGCTATATTACCCACAGGTAAAGTAGATCAATATTATACTTACTGCAGGCATAAATATAAAAGGAGATAAACTCAACTATCCGCGACAGGCTTACTACCAATGGTTCTGATGTACCTATACAGTTTTTCTAACTAACTGATCTTTCCTAATCGATGTAAATAAACCATATCCAGCTTGATTAGGAGATAGATTAGGTACAATGGGAAGATCAACCTGAAGAAATTGCCACAATGAAGATACTAGAGTTCAGCGGTGTAACTATTCATGAACGACGTAACGATACAAGTGTCGAACTACGTTGCAATAATTACCCTTTTTACGAAGGAATAAGGAAGTTTTATACTTTCATCCCCTAAACGTGAAAACAAAGTTCAAGAGTCAGAGTTTATTTACTCCCTCCACATCAATAGGAGACGTCTCTTCAAGGTTTTCAGTTTTAACAGTCCTACAGTTATCCTCCTTTTTACGTTAGAGGATTAATACTGCTCACACTGTTTAAGCATTGGAAAAGCAAAATCCGAAAACGTCCCGCCGAAAAATGAACACGAAAAGTCAACTTATTTGGAGAAAGTGGACCGCAAATCCCTCTTTCTTAAACCTCATATTTCTCCCTATTTTTTCCAAACATTTGAAGGATTATGCAGTCATCTCAATCAGAATTGGACTTTATAAACTATTACTTGGAAAATCTTTCTTCTAAGTCAGTTCGTTATGGTGAAGATTATTTATCGCGTACATTGCCCGATCATTTAAGAATCAAGGTAAACTCAACTCATTCCGGAGGACATTAATCTGATACTGGTAACTGATGATGACATATTTTTCTATTCCAACATTCAATTCTAGCGTACTCCTATTGCACCTGAGGCGCGAGAAAAGAGTAAGACGTTATCTATTTTTTCTCTTCGCTCAGAAATTTGTCTCACAAAATGAATCATTTTCTCTCTCCATAGCACCTGCTCCTACCACTGCTGCTGAGAGCATTACTCTCACTACAGATTCCAACAAGTTCGAAATCATTATCAAGGTTCTCAAACCTTTCAAGCAATTTACAATTACAGGTTTAACAGCCACTGATACTGTTGGACAGTTGAAGAAACGTATATATCAGCAACAAAGTTCCTTTCCTGCCAATCGTCAACGTTTGTTATTGAAAGGCAAAGTGCTAGCCGATCAAAAGACCTTGGAAGAGCATTCTATCGGTGAGGGTGCTATCGTTCACCTCATGCTTACGGCAGCACCAGCGGCCACAAGCAGCCAGACTATTACAGACGATGCGGCTGCCGTCGCTAGCTTAGGAACCAACATAACCTCCTCATCAGCAAGTATTTCCGCAGAGACTGACCGAAAACTTTCAAGCCCCGAATTTTGGTCAGCTGTAGAAAAGACAGTGATCGAACAAGTTGGACAAACTGATGCTGCCTTCATTGTGAATAAAATGAAAGCAGTCTTATCTCCTTGAATTCAATAAACATTTATATCGGCATTTTCAATTTTATACAATTTGAAATATAAAACGGATCATAAAGGAAACGCTTGAGATTATATGTAGAGCAACATGCAAATTCAAAAAAAACAAATATGCGTAACTCTTTTTGTACAGATACGTCTAGTGATGTGAGGTTCGACGGAATATATGGTTTAAGCTTTTAATGACTGGCTGCAACTGCAGAAGCAGATTTGGCAAATAACATATCCAATGCAGCCATTGTTTCAATAAGGTCTTTTTGTAGTTGTATTTCCTGTTTCACTTTGTATGATAGACGAGATAAAAGCTCATCGATAAGTGGAGATTGACCAAAGACACGTGTATAGCAATCTATTTCAAAAACAGACTTCAAGTGTTAGTCCTTGAAAGGGAAATAAGAAAAATCGATGTATTGAAAGAATTACCTATCACTGTTTCTGATACGTCAACCAACAGATTTGTGAATCTTGGATGATGGATGTGCTTGATCAAAAAGCGCATAAGTGGTTCTAAAGACACATCATCACGACCTGTTATTGCTGTCTTCAAACCGTCACGATGGATCAATTCTTGTAAAACGGCAGCCACAACAACAGGTGTTTGTCCACTCACTCGTAAGACTTCGTCCAATGCATTGGCATACTGGAATGCCTTCATGAAATGGTCATACTTTTTCAATTTCTGTCGTCTTACAGATTCCACCACAAAATCGTCTTGAGCTGCTGTATTGGCTTGTCCACGCATAAAGTATTTGTATGTGCCTCCTTTAAGGTATTCTTCATTCTTCTTTTTCATCGCTTTCTCGGAGGACTTGAGTTGACGCTGACGGATGGATAATAAACAGTTTGACATACCAGCGGCAAGGTGGGTATCATCTGGCGACAATGCTACACTGAGAATAGGTGCAGGATATTTAACGCTATGAACAACTTTATAATCCTGGACATTAAAGATTTTGACATGCTGATCCAAAGAACCTGTTACTAATCGTGAGGCTGATCCATCGAAGCACATGCTCGTCACTGTCTTTTGGTGGTTATTCAGTGTATGCATACATCTTCCACCGCTCAATAAATCCCACACTTTGACTGTAGGCCCACCAGAAGAGACAATTGCCCCTCCATTAGGGTATATTAGAAGTGATTCTACGGGCGCTCCATGGTTCATTGTCATCACGCTGTCAGGTTGTCTCATATCCCATAATTTTACTGTTTGGTCATAAGAGCCACTGACAAATAAGTTAGGGTTATCCAAACTGACAACACCCGCTCTAACATAATCATCATGCTCTTCAAATACATTGACGCTTTCCCCCGTTGGTATGTCCCAAATTCGAACTGTTTGATCATCTGAGCCAGATAAAATATTCGACTTGTTGGTGGAAAATTTTGTAACATGAACAGGCCTATAGAGTGAGTGGCGCAAATAAGATGTTTCTTTCAGCAATTCTCTTTCTTTTTGAAGCAATAAGAGGAGGATAAAAGAAAGAAAGAAAAAACATGGTAACTTACATTTTATGGTCTCTAAACGTTCTCAAAATGGCTCGAGAACCTCCATCAAACATTTGAACCAAACCAGTGGCATCACCAGCAACAATGAGTTTGCCATCCTGACGGAAACTGCCTGAATAAGCTGTATCTTTGAATCGAGAGATAGTCTTTTTCGGTTGATGTGTTTTAGAAGAATAAATCTGCACACGTGTAGACGATGTAACTGCAAAATCGTAGGGTGAGACTGGTGAAAAGTATATAGAAGTGACACTAGCATATTCTTTTATGACGATGGGCGACTAAAGAGATATCAATTGTTTAACAACGACGAGATTCCTCGAGCTAATTTCTCTATTGTTGGAAATATTCACCTTGAATCGTTTCCAATATTTCGCCTCTGCAGTATTCTTTTGACTTTGAACCTTGGGGTATTTCTTAACTATGGTTTTTTGATACTCCATTTACTTGCTGTATTTTTTGATAGATCAACTAATTAAGAAAAAAGTACGATGCTGCAATGCCAAAGCAAGAGGAGAGAACATCATTGCACCGGACAGTTTTGCATATTTTCCCGTAAGGAGCTCGAAATTTGGTAAAGAGCAAGATTAATTGTCACATTGATACGCCACAGATACCAGTGCATGAATCCCGACTAAGTTTAACTGCCTTTCAAACAATGTATGAAAGGAATATAGTTCCTTGCCTATTTCTACATGGTTATGGTTCTATTGAGGGGATCCAGACCATATTGACAACATGCGTGATTTATTTGCAACCTTTTGATGACCAGATATATTTACTTGAGTGACGGCTTTATTAACAGAAAATAGTCGGTAAACATAAGATAAGTATTGTTTATCAGACTTGTTTACGATTACTTTAATTTCTTTTCGTTTATGAGCTTAGATATTTGCTGAACCTTCTCATTCTGTAGTAATTCATTTAATCTTGCTTGAATCAAAGGATCCTGATGGTAATTTCTACTTGTTCTTCTGTCAGGAAAGCCTTGACAACTGTTATTTGTAAGATATTGTATACGGGCATAACTAGCCGTGGCGGCGGCGGTGCTCGTACCACGCTGAGAGCGATGATTAATTTCCAATGATGGTATCTGGCATGTATACGAGCGTTTTAGGGGAGAGGAGGTAGTATTTGATAGAGGACATTTTGGTATGATTTGTTTTTCTTGTGTTGATGGAGGTTTATTACTGTTTATTACTGAGCCAGGCAACCGTCGATGTGTCCTTATGCGGCTGCCTTCCCTTCGCTGTTGCTGTGTTTGTATGTGAAGACTATTAGTATTATTTTCTGTACAGCCGAACGCTGTATTACTACTTTTTTGTTCGCTGTTGCCACCTTCAATTTGAGTTTCTGGAACTCCAAATCTGTTGTATTCTGCTATACTTGATGTTAACATTTCTACCTCATCATAAAAAAGATACGACTGATACTGCGTTGTATGATCGTCTGTTAACATCATGTATTTATCATCTCTTTTGAGTCTCCATGGAGGTCTTCTCAATACCCAGGACGGCAGAGGTAATCTTCTGGTAATCTCAATATGATTGCTACTCGTCTCTGTATTATTATTATTATTATTAGTAATAGCACTATCTACTGCTAAAACAGAAGGACTTGGATGATTTGATGATGGGGAAAACCGTTGCATTCAATATTCGTTGTGTTGAATTTGATATTGAGCTTGATTTGTTGAAACCGCTCAGTACCCGCTAATAGTAATATAAACAAATCAAAAGGGACGGTGCAGCATACGATACGAAGAAGAAAAGGGCAAAGAAGTATGAACAAGGCAATAATTGAATTAGGTTCTAAAAATAATAAATGGATATAATAATAAAGCCTCATTTATTAAATTAATGGTTATGTGGGATATCGCACTCATAGTAAATGTCATTGGTATTTAAGGTTGGAATTGCATGTTGGTATTTTGATTCATTGTCTTATCTGGATGGGTATGTGTGCAAATGCTTATGATTGCTCAACCAAGACTAAACCAAAAAGAAAAGAGAAGCAGTAATATAAACTCTTCGTTTTATTGTTTAAAATTGGCTCATTGTATAATACAAGCTTCTATCAGGAATACATCACCCCTTTTTCACATATTGAAATAGTATAGCATGCACTCTGACTTTCTTAGGGACTGATTTTCCCTTTTTATAGGTACAAAATGCATATGGGTCCCAAAAGGCCATATTTACGGTTGCGAAGAAAGCCACCAACTTTTCATCCATCATGTGTTGCCATACGAGAGAAGAACTTTACAAACAGAAAATAGCCAACGTAGCCTTTGTAAAAGGCAAGGTAGTCAATATCGTTTATATTCCTCAACTTTAGTCTTCAGATGGACAAAATCTGCCTGTCATTTCTAAAGTCTATCAAAGAAAGAATTGACATAAAATTCTTTTAATTGACTTTATCAAAAAAAGAAGGCCTACTTTGAAAGACAAATCTTTGAAGGGAAAAGCGCAAACATTTTGTCTACTTTGATGATTTATCCAAAGCTGTTAATAAACGGCATAAAGCTGTCCTATGTAGTCTGTAGCAAATTTTCTGGTGTTTGTTTTTCATATCAGATATTACAGAATCACTAGCGGTGTAGTTTACGTTATGGATAATAACATTAAGCTGTCTTTGTAAATATGCGCGAAACAGATTAACTTTAAAAAAATTGCACGCTAGGCCGATCTGTGCTTGGTAAGAGAAATTGAACATCAGTTATGAATTTATACTTCTTTAGTAATCTTCAGTAGACGTCCACGAAAGAAGGTAATTATAAATGAAACTAAGCATAGAGGCGCCAGTTATAATGGCAAACTGCACAAATCATTCTAATGTATACAAAGTTTGACAGCTTCACAGTAGGACAATATTCAGCAAGGCCTATAATGACAAGGTTTGCAAGATACGTCTTTGCTGAACATGACATGAAAATAGATTCTTTTGGGCAGTCACAGCTACCGCAGCGCCTTGGTGATACAGCTATGGGCTCAATCAACCACCCACAAATAAATGTGTCCAAGGACTTGAAATGCATACACCCTGTGCCGTGACGTTTCCTGCTTTAGAAACCTCACCACATGCGCTGCAATATCATTTTAGAGACTTCGTTTTTGCTTTTGTTTATTTCACTGATAGTAACGTTAACAAAGTATTATTGCAGATCCTTTTATTGTTCCCTTTGTCATCCAGGGTCAATGCTCTGTCATCATTGATAAGTTGATGTGACTTGTATGTGAAATAGGACACTTGCTGGGTTCGTTTTGTAGATGAAAAAAATTGGAAGCCTCTAGAAAAATTCTACAGAAATTTTTTTGCAATTCTCAGTAGCGTTTATTATTGCAGAAATACTGAACGTTTTATACAATTTTTAAGGCAACGAAAAAAGATGGAGCAGCTGCTTGATATACTTTTGCGCCTCCTTAGCAGCAAATATAGTAGACGTGAATTAAGTCTCAATTCTTTACCTTTTTCCAGTGGGCCTCGCAATAGTAGTATTTCTCTTTAAAATCAGAAAACAAAAAGATCTAGGCGTGTAAATTCGGAGTCAATAAGTATTTGAAAATCGCGTGTAAAAGGGCCGAAGGTTATGATCGCTAATTTTATTTCCCCGGCCTGAAATTGAACAATCTGTTTGGGCAGCTATTTTTAGACAGATCAAAAAAAGGTGCTAAAATAGAAGAAGCCAGCCTTAATAGGCTTATTTGTTGCTATACAGTGGAGTCCACATAGATTTACGACAAGATCTACAAATAATATACATATGAAAAAGTTTTTTGCAAGCAATTCCGGGTTTATAACACGTTCGGTAAACTCTTTGCCGAGTATTTTTCCTTCAATTTTTTTTCAGCACAGGTTTTGTATGGAGATCGATAAACACAGAAGCAGTGTGGAAATCCATATGACAAAATGTTGCTTTTTTTTTCGAGGTAACCAAGAACGATACGACTGATCTAAGAGCCCGCTTTCGGATAATTGCTTACGATATTAGTCGTCATTGTTCGGCCCTTTCATGAAGACCTATCCTGTTCGCGTCACCGTCGCACAATGACAGCACATTTACATTCATTTGCTATATTGTTACATGAAGAAACATGGTCTAGTTTCGTCAAATGATTTTTATTATCAATGATTTCACTTGTTGGCTAGGTTTCTAAACAGAGAAAATTTAACCCAATTAGTATAATTGATGATTGTGGTGCTTTGTGCAGGAATACAATAACACAAAAAAAAAATAAAAAAAAAAAAATTAAAATTAAAAATTAAAAACGAAAAAAAAAAAAGATTATTGGTTGCTCTTGGTGCAATTTTTTTAATCAATTTTGGGACAAGTTTGTTCTATTGTAAAAAAATTTTAATCTGTTTCTTTTGGAACAAGAGAAACAAAATAACTTTTTGACTTTCATACAGTATTCCGCGATCTCTATATCGCCTGTATCTCATCGGGTATCTAGTACTCAATTTTCTTCAAAAGAAGCTATTGACAATGGACGTTCCTTTTGATTTAAAGCGTAACCTATTTGAAACTCATACTACTATCAGTACGCTTTACTTGTGAATATTTTTCCTTATCCGCATAACGAAATGGTTCAAGTGTAGTAACTAAAGTTAATTAAAAATTAGTATGAAAGAAACATGAGTTCGGCCCTTGCTAAGCATACTTTGGTGTCACAGCTAAGCTTTTCAAGCCCTCTTTCAGGGCAGTTAGGTACCCAGGACACTAATATAATTCATCCCCTCGGATAAAAATTAATGTATCATTAGGTGGTTTTTCGAAATGTTTATCCATAGTAGCTTTGGATGCTTTTTCAAACTCCAATAGATTAAACAATTTTATTTTATTTTTTAACGTATATTGGTTTAGAACGCTTCATCTAGTAACAAGAGGGCATCATGTTTGCTAAAGGGCCTACCAAATGTTACGCTCGCGCACAAATTAGCTTGCAAATGATGCTGATCGTGGGGTACTTTGGATACGTCTTATCCTATACAAATTGAATCAGAGCACGCCTTTAACAAAAAATAAAAAATATAAGAAATATGCCAGTATGATCAGAGAATAATATGGTATTTGTAATCAGGTCGTCACGCCATTCTGCACTGCGTTTACAGCATCCTGATAGTAGCAAACAAATCGCGCGCGCCCTCTTTTCTGATAAATAGACTCATTTTACACTTTGTGTAAGCAAGATGTTCTCTTGTGATTTTATTAAACATGAATCTTCTCTTTGTCGAAGTTGTCCCAAAAGAGGATGAAAACGTTCTAAATTTTATCAAAAGTGCTGTATAAGAAAAAGCTTTCAACTTCAGATATTTTTAGAGTACAAAAAAAATAAAATTGTCGGCTGTCAATCTGTACGTCAAAAAGGATGTTACGAAAGCAAAGAGTAAGCCGGGTAACCAAACATTATTAAGCAGCTTTTCGAGGATGAAATCAAGGGGCCTAGACGCTACCAATGCCAGATAGTCGTAGCTAAGATATTCCGCGTTTTTTTTGTTCAAGTTCGGATGTTTGTTATTGTCATGTTTTAATTCAAAGAAACTCCACCTTCTTGACCAGTAAACCCCTCTTCTCCCCGGATCATCTTAGAGGACGAATTGCAACGTAATCGTTGGATCAAATTTTGAGCGGACGTCATTTTTAGTGATAAGCCGTTTATCTTGATTACATTTTTATCTTAGTGCTGTATAGCCAAATTTAACCGGCATAGTTGCTTACTAACTGTTAATATGGTATAGACAGATTTGCGCACTGACCCTGGTCCCTTTCAACATTGATCTTAAATTAACCATAAGCGGGAAAAAAAAAAAGGTGATGAGCTATCCAATATAAGACCAGCCAGCCGCTCACAGTGGGTTCGTGTGGTCGATACTTTATGTTGTGTGGAAAACAGATGGATAATGATCCAAAAAAATGTGTGGTGCGTGCTAAAAATAAAGCTTGAATTCCAACAAAATTATTGGATTTGGAATTCAATCACGTTTAAATGAATTTTTTTTTAGAACAAAGGCACTTTCACACTTAAGGCTCTGTCGAAGTCCGTACATAAACAATCGATCATAAAAACAGTGAACGGGAAAATGGCAAAGAAAAAAAGAAAAGTCCTTGCTTAGCCGTATCACGTACAACATGACATTCGAAGTCAATATGATATATGTGAAACGTAAAGTTTACAAAGATGATGATTTTGTATTTGTTCCTAATAAACAAGTAAAAAAGATATGGCTATCTTGAAGCAAAGGAGCATTATCAAAAAAAAAAAAGTGCTTCTTCGGGCTTTTGATAAAAAAAATGGAAAAGCGTGTGCTTCCTTTCTGTCATTCTCCACAAAACCTACTGATATTCATTTGCTAAACCTCGGTTCGCCCACGAGGAACCTAACGCCAGTTACGCTCTTTTCAAACACGAAAGGATACGAGTGTGAGTGTGCGTATGTCTGTGCACATTCTCTGACTTGAAATCAGCACCTCAAGCGTGCTTTTTGACGAGAAACATGACAAAAATAAAACCCTCAACACATGGCATCGTTATCGTTCGGTGTTGATTTTAATCTTGATCAGCAACAAACACGTTGATCATTGAAGCCTGGATGTGTGTGCATACGCACATGGGTGAGAATGGGTAAACCAACGAGTAGTCGACCAAGACAAGGCAATGCAATGACAATGTTACAAGACGCTCTCTGACGAAAAATGACATATGAGGAAAAGTTTAAAACCTTTTCTTATGCAGGACCCATCTATTTTTTCTTTTTTTTTTTGGTTCCATATAGGAGATGAAAAAGGACAAAATTAGCTGTTTGGAAGATGCACAATAAATAAGGAGTTTGGTCTTTATTGAAAACGATAAAAGAAGTGTCGCAGAAAATAGATTCATTAACGGTTATAGAAAGATAAAGAACAAGCGAATGATATTATGTAATTATAAAGAAAGGAATAACTTGTAAAGGGAAATGCAGAAATAAATGAAAGCAAATTAAAGGTATAGAGCTTTGTAAACTATCAAATAATAATGATAACTCTTCAAAAATGGTATAAAAATAGAAACAGATTTTTTGTTTGCTGCTTTGTTGTATATGTCAAGACTTGTGCGTGTATAAATAGAGAGAGAATAAACGTTTTTTTACTGTTACACTCAATTCATCATCCGTAACAAAGGGGATCACACCATGTAACCTTCTAGAATATCTGTTCTTAAGATTTCTCTGTTGCCATCTCTGTAACGTATCATCCATCTACCGTCTGGTAACTTAACATAGAAGTTAGAGTAAGGGAATTCGTTTGACTTGGCATAGGTTGGACTGAAGGGCGGGATAATCATTTGGGGAATTTCCTTTTCGGGACTGCTTATCAACTGTTTTCGATGGCGTCGACTGCCTGATGAAGAGCCACTCGCGTCGAATTCAACTGTTTTTATCGATTCATCTGATAATGTGGAGCTGCTGTAATTGCCTGTTGTTTGACGTGAGAAGTCAGAGTTGCGTCTCTGACGAGACTTGTGAAATAATTTATGTAATTTAGACCAGAAAGAACGACAAGAATTGGTCGAACTTTGGGTTGAAGCAGTTGAAACTGAACGTGATTGGGACAATCTTTGCGTTATTTTTGACATTTGAAATGAATACTGGCTGACAAGAGGAGTAAGATGGGATGGCGTATGCTATTGTTTAAAGAATGGCGAAAGGACTATGTGGTTTCTTAATATCAGTGGAAAAAAATGGGGACAATAAATAAAAGAAAAGTACAGAGAAAAATAGAAATTCATGAAAAAGAAAGCAGTTTTCTAACCAGTATTTATAGGTTTTTTTTTCCTACCGGCTAAATTTAGGCACAACTTGCTCATCCAATCAGGCGCTATAAAGGCCGGCCTCTTTTTTTCTTTTTCTTTTAGTGCCCTCTTTTTTTGTTACATCGGAGTGTTAATTCTGACATTGAATCGCTGTTTGGATGATCATGATGGTGAAAACTGGGTTTGGGCTCTCATTTTTTGTCTTGGTAAGCAAAAAAAAAGTTTATTCTAAATGATTACAATTCTTTAATATGAAATAAGCATTACAGTGGTATATTAAAAGGCAGAATAGGAGAAGGAACACCTATAGTTTTTGCTTTGTTTCAACCGTCGTCAAACTTTGAATCACATCCCCAGGTTGGAAGTCATTGAAGCCTTCAAAGGAGATGCCACATTCTAAGCCCTTCTTGGCTTCAGCAATATCCTTTTTCACTTGTCTAAGCGCATTCAATTGCCCTATTTGTATAAAAAAACGCAATATAGAAATGTTAGGGTTTTTTTTTGGGGGGAGTGGAGGAAGGTATTTTTTTCCAATGATGAACCATAGTTCATTTTTACGTCAGCGTTATGAGTCAAAATTAAAAAAAAAAAGGCTTTACCTTCCCATATCGTCTTTTTGTTACGAACTATGCGTACTCGGTTGTTTTTATTTATAGAACCGTTGGTCACACGGCAACCAGCAACGGGACGAGATTCTCTTCCTTTTACATTGATATCAAACACTTGCAACAATGCAGCTTCGCCCACCACTTGTGTCGTGATGACAGGGGGCAGCATATCACTCAGTTGTTCCTTTACCTCTTCGAGTAACCGGTATATGACAGAATATGATTTCACTGGCACACCGAGTCTGTTTGCTAGAGCCTTTATCTGTTTGTCTGCTTTTACGTTAAAGCCTATGACTTGGCCATCACAAGCTGCTGCCAACTGAAGATCGCCTTCGGTGATATTTCCGACCCCACTCTGAACCACCTTAACGCGGATTTGTTTGTTTTGCAATCCTGCAAGACAATCCACCACAGCCTCAACTGTGCCACTTACATCACCTGTCAGATAAAGCGAAAAGGCAAAAAAAAAAAAAAAAAAGTTAAGAATTAATAATGCTGGATTTAAGGTTCTATGCACGTGATGCCACGAGAGTACAGAGGATTACCTTTCACGACGGCTTTCAGTTCAATTAGGTCGCTCTCACCATGGTCACTACCCTCTTCTTCAGGTGTGGACGGTCTCAACAAAGCCATTCTTCGCTTCTTTATTGATTCAGGAATCGTTTCAATTAAGCCTTGTTGGTACATCAAGAGTTCCTTTTTGTAAGTTTGTTCCGCTAAACGTTCTCGTTCCAATTGTTCTCGTTGTTGTTGTCTCTTATTATTAATAAGATTCAAATCACGGAGTTGCTTCTCTCTCTCCTGGCGCGCAATTCGATTATCCACTACCGTTTTGGCTTGATTCTATTTTTAACATATGGGGGTTGCATTAGAAATTATTTTGCTTTTTTTTTTCTCATTTTCCATAAAATTAAATAATCAGTTTTATGTCTGCATCATTGGTTGCAGCTTGATGACTACTACCACTGTTCACTTTACCTCATCTTTAGCCGTTAGCATGTCATCGCCTGCGTTCGGGACATCTTTCCAACCAATGACTTTGACCGGTGTACCGGGTAATGCTTCCTTTAATGTTTTGCCTTGATGATCTGTCATGGAACGCACTTTACACCATGTATTACCCGCAACAACCACAGAGCCTATTTTTAATGTACCACGCTGAACGATCAAGGTGGCGACATTGCCCCTACCTTTCTCAATCTGAGATTCGATCACAACCCCTTCCGCAGTAGCCTCTCTTTCTGCCCTCAACTCGAGCACTTCTGATAACGTGATGATCGTCTCTTCCAACTGATCAAGATTTTTACCCGTCAAACCAGACACTTCCACACTAGGCACATCGCCTCCAATTTCCTCTAAATGCACATTGTATCTCGCCAATTCCTCCTTGACCTTTTGTGTATTGACTCCTGGTTTGTCGCATTTGTTGATGGCCACCACAATGGGTACGTTCGCTGCGTGGGCATGTTGGATGGCTTCGATCGTTTGCGGCATCACACCGTCATCCGCAGCAACCACCAATACCACAATATCTGTTACGCTTGCACCTCTTTGACGCATGGCTGAGAAGGCTGCATGACCGGGAGTGTCCAAAAAGGTAATTCGTTTGTTTGACGGTAAATTAACTATAGGAAAAGCAATTGAAAAAATTACCCAAGCATTAGCTAAGCTTTCGAGGCCCTTCTGTTTTTCCTGCAGCTCTGTTTTTGGTTTTTTTTTTTTTGTTTCTTTCATTAAAAAAGAAAGGATCTTCATAGACAATGCCCAAAAGGGGGGGGGTTGTTTGGAGGGGTGGCTGCGGAGGAAAAATTGACTTACCAGAAAAGGCACCAATATGCTGCGTGATCCCGCCTGCTTCTCCTGCCGCTACAGAGCTTTTACGTAATGTATCCAACAGAGTTGTTTTACCATGATCTACGTGACCCATAATCGTAACAATGGGTGGACGAACTTTTAAAAGGTTGGGATCGGTCACCGGAGGCCTATACATAATATGTCCATGTGAGAAAAAAAAAATGAGTGGATCGATAGGGGCTAAAGGAGAGACACACACACACACACACACACACACACACACACACACACACACACACACACACACACACACACACACACACACCCACCTTGGGTATAGATCCAAGGCTTGCTTGGAATCTACAATAGGGTTCATATCAAGTTGCATAGCAATCAAACTGGCATCCTCACTATTCAGCACTGTTGAAAATAGAGAAAGGTGAGCAAACACGATGCGTCATCGTTAACCAAGATCCTTTCGTCTCTGATAGTTATGTAGACACATACTGCGATCATGTGAAGTATTGCCCAATTCCAACTCCTCCATGGTTCTTATTATTTGCTCTATGGATTTGCAATCAATGCTTAGTCATTGCATAGACGTTGGGTTTCTGCAGGTTAAACAAAGGATTTACCCATTTTTATGCCCAGAATTCTTGCAAGATTGCTGACACTCACAATTTCTGGAATGTACACGTCTTTCATATGGTCCTGTTCGTTTGCCTTTTGCTTTGACTTTTTCTTTCTCATTTCAAGCAATTTTTTTTCTTCACGCTGCAATGCTGCCATTTCCTCCTCTCTCTTTCGACGTTCTCGTTTCTCTGCTACTGTTTCTCTCTTTTTCTCTTTGGGACGGTTCAATGATGATTTTTCTGTCTCTCTTTCCAAGCCACTGTTCTTTGGCTGTTGCCTTTCAACAGGTCTACTCCAGTCTCTTTTGGGCGCTATCTTTCTATTGGAAGGATTCATATCATTGTAGCTGTTTTTATGACCATGGTGACGAGGCTGCTGGTGGTGGTGGTGGTTGACGTTTTGCTTGGGTTCGCCTGCTCCCCAGTCTCGCTTTTTCAGTTTGGTTGAACGCTTAAAGCCTACTGTACTATCCAACAAGGGCCTTCCCAACTTTCCTTGGCCGTCATGTGGTTCGCGACATAAAAGTCGAGTGGTGTGGTAGGCATACCGAGATCGGCTGCAGTTACTGATCAAGCTACGATGGAGGACATCGTGACAGGAACATTTTGTTGCCCCGTTCAAAAACAACATAAACCCTCTTCCACTCATTCCTTTCTGTAAACTGTTGAATATCCTATATTTCTGTCTGTCTGAAAAAGACAAGGGCCTGAAAAAAGATAAAATTTCGCCTTACCCATTCTAAATTCAAACAGAATTGAAAAAATCTGGGGAAGCGATTGTAGCGGTTCGCAAAAATTTGTGACACCCTTTTTCTACTCAATGAGTCACTGCTATGAAAAACATGAAGGCGGTCCCTCAGGTTCAATCCTATTTATTCAAATTTGAGTTTGAGTTTAAGTTTGATTCTGCAAAGAAATAGCAGTGAGAGAAGTAGAGAGACAGTCAGTAACGCGTCAAGGCCTCCAAATCAGAAAAAAATGTGTCCCTGAAATTAGGCTCAAAAAAGCACAAGGTGCGCAAAAAGACCTTTTTTTTTTCAGGTGCTACAACATGTTTGACAAACATGGTTGTCATGGCTGAGTCAGACATCACTGTGGCTGCACAGGGTATGGACAACTGGATGCACGCAGATAGCCGTTCTTGATCTCAAGATAATCTACTCCGGAAGGTGCGTATCTAGAAGGAAGAGTCGGTAACGAAGGATGACAAGCATCCGACGCGTTTTATTGAATGCTAGGTTTCTTTACGACTTGATACAGATTGAAGCTGAGACGATCACGGTGATTATAACATGCAGCCTTTTGCTGGTCAACCAATGAAACCGAAACGAAAAGGACAGAAAACTGCTTTCTGTTCGACCAGGTTTTTTTTTTTTTTGAAAAAAAAAGCGGTTCCGTGATTTTGTGCAAAAAGGTTTTAGAGCCCCTCTATTCCTCTTTCTATGTTCAAAAAGTAAAATGGGGACTATCCATTTTTGCCATATTCTGCACAAACGTTGGGATAAATGCCTTTTTTTCGTTTTCTAGAAACGTCTTACTAGGTTTACAAGTCAACAAAAACAGTCATTTGAAATCTATCAAATTATTTACTGCTTACGGATAATAGTTGAACGTGTTTGACAAAATCAACGAAAAATACTTTATTATGAATCTGAAATCTAGCAAAACAAACACATTCATGCTGTTTTATCACTCATGGAGACTTACCACATGTTTTTTTTTTGTCAACGGCCCTTCTCTTAGCCAACCCAATTTTTTTTTTGGCTGAAGATCAAAATCTGACAAGCGAACAGGGCAATTTGTCATGTTTGCCCGCATTGACCAATTTTTTTGATTTTTTCATGACAAATCCTAAACATAAATTTAGCATATGGTAATGATATATAATAAAAATGAGTAATTTTTTTGGTACAAAAAAATTTCTGAACGATAAAATATAGTCTATTTCGGACGCTGAGTGAGCCCTGTAAAAACCCTGCAAAAAGCCGGGTTTTTTTTTTAGTGTGTGTGTGTGTTTGGTGAGCCATGCGAGGTTTTCAAACGTTCTATCACTTTATTCTTTGTTCATCCTTCGTTGGTGGCTTTTTGCTCCAAAAAAAAAAAAAAAAGTGTACGCGTAGACAACGACGTGCCTTCAGTAAAACGGAACCACATGATGTGATAGTCTCCGACCGCACTCGTTAGGGAAGTGTTCTTTTTATGCTCTCAATTCGTGGTCTTTTGCCTCTCAAGTGGGTTATGCCCTATGCAGCACAGTAGTGGAAACTCTGTTCAATGATCCATCTCTTTTCACTTTAAACACGAAAGTAAGAGATCCACGAATTCAAGCCTGAGGGGCAAATAAGGGCGTAGAGCTTTTTTAAACAAATGCTGCAAATAAGTGTTGCAGCCTGTGAATGCTATTGATTTAACGAATTTGCAACCAGTGTCTTTATGACCCTTCATTGAATACACTGACGCATAGATCAATGCACTTTTTTCCAAGTGTCCTCGGCTTAGTTTGTTTGTTTATTTGTTTGGATCGTCTACGTCTATCGTTTGCAAACGAAAAAAAAATGGAGTCACAGGATTATTTTTTTTTTGGCGCTTCCTATTTTCGTTCATATTAGATAAAAACAAAGCCAAAAAGAACGTGTCATTAACACGATCCGATCATGTTTTACGATTTCAACATACCCTTCCACAACAACAACGATGCCGTAGAAGAACGACGCATTGAAAAAATTTTGCAACGCATTGATACAAGTAATTCACCGGAACCTACTGAAACGATGGAGAGATAGAGATGAGGGGACGCTGATCTGATCTATGATAGTTGATCCCAATAGTATGATTGCTTTCAATCTATTGCTTGAAGATAACTTGACAGCTGTCAAGGTAAAGCACATTTCATCGAGGGGTAAATAGAAAAAGAGGGATTGACCTATTTTTGTTTTTCCAGCCTATCAAACCAATAGCCTTGGACAAACTGAAAAAGATGAAGCAACTAACAAGAGCGACGTTGATAGTGGAGGATCCCAAGAGAAATTATCAACTGGTAACATCCTTGCGCACGACTCCTTCTTTCAAAGGCGACGATGCTCAGCTTTTTTTGCTAACAAGGTTCATCATTGTGTAGGCATCGAGTACAGCCTATCCTCAGATTGATATCTTGGCAGTGAGACCCACGAATATAGATATCTGCAAGCATGCGTGTCAAACGTTGGAAGTGGATTTGATTTCTTTAGATTTGGCAAAGACAAGAGTTTTACCAAGCTTTGTTTCCGCGCAGGTCGCGGTGAATCGTGGTCTATTTTTTGAAATATGTTACTCACAATCCTTCCGAGGTACACACACACACACATACAAGCACAACTGCAATAGAGTGTTCATGCTAATGCGTATTTTCCGAAAAGATCCACATAAAAAATTCATGTTTTACAGTAATGTGAGGCGTTTAGTAGAAGTGACAAGAGGGCATAACCTGATTTTTTCAAGTGAAGCAACGAGAGCTTTAGAAATCAGACGTCCAGCCGATTTACGCATTCTGTAAGTAAATCCCCTTGTGAATAGATCCATGCCCGTGGATAGAGCAGCTTACTTTTTGTCTGTGTTGTATGATGTGCTAGAGGAAGTATGTTTGGAATGACACACGACCAGATTGAAGCGACTGTCACTGCAAACTATCCGCGACTACTTAAAAAAGCAGGTAAAAAAAAAGAAGCACTCTTTATTTTCCCTTCATACGTAGCATCAGAGTCACTCACATGGCTGGGGGTGGGATTAGAAACAAGGAAACTTACTTACAACGCAACCATCAGCCTTGGTCAACTACCTCAAGACCCTCTGCAAGAAAACAAAAAGAGCGAATTCATGCTCAAACGTAAAGAGAGAGACGCAGACAATAAACAACAGTACAAAAAAGCGGGGAAAAAAGCGAAAAAACAGAAACAAAAGCCGTGAAGGCTGAAATAAAGTAGTCAATGCTACTTGATCCGTTTGAAAATGGGGGGGGGGCACAATAAACAATATTTTTTACTTCCACCAGCGGTCATAAATCGATTTGGCGTATTTCACCAAATTCTCGTGCTTACGGACTAATTTGCTCAGTGTCGCTGCTTGCTTTCTGTCTTCTACAGAAAACTCTCCATCGACAATTTGAGGGGCGCTAAGAATGCAATGTAAAAATGAAAATAGAACAGCGTCGATATAGGTAGGCTCACTGGAGTAAATGACAGCAAAAAAAGAGAGTTAATATGCGTAGTGAGTCATTCTCTTGTTTGACCCCTTTGTTGGTTACCTCAAGTTGAAAAAGTATTCCTTTGCTCCTAATTTGACAGACAGAGCCTGTAATACCTTTGCAGCATCTTGGTATATCTTTTTTCGGGAAAAAAAGCTCGTGATGAATATGTCTTTTCTCGTCGTCATCTAGAACCCTGTAGCTAGCCTGTTACCTCTTCTCTCACTAATATATCTCGATCCGTTAGCAAATGCTGAATAAGTGTGTTCTTTTTGTTATAGGCAACCACTTTATTGATGGGTGTAGGTGTGTGTCGATAATATAGCTTTTTTGTCACTTGATCTGCATTCAAAGGCTCCAACCACATTGAGAAATCCTTTTTTTTTTTTTTTTTTTCCAACGTATGTTAGTTTTGATAGACGTCATCTCACTGTCCTATGTGGGGGAACTTACAAGTGCTGCCTTCAATTTAGTTTGTACAAGAGATAAAAACGCTTTTGCTTGTTCTCGGTCCTTCTCTGTCGTTAGCTCTTGTGTCATAGGCTATCCATTCATGCCAAACCAATGAGTGCCAAAAACACAACATGGACTCTTTTCTTTTTTCTCACCTTTGTTTCTTTGATCCACTTTAGTATTTCCTCATCGTCATAAATCGCTCCTGTTACTGTTGCCAAGAAAGGTAGTTTGCCTACATTATAAAATCATGAGGCTCAACCGATACTCTGTCTCTCTACGCTAGTGTTTAAAAGTAGTACCTGAAGGTGATGCTGCTGGTTCATTGATATAGTCGACATCAAAATCGACGCCGCAGAATTTCAAATACGTCTGATAGAAAAGCGCCATGAGTTAATTACCAGCGTTTCTCCAAAAGTGTGAGCGATCGAGGTGGGGTTCATACCTGTATGATGAGACAATCGACATCAAAGCTGGCTTGACTGTTTCGATGGCCAGGACCATAGATGAATAATGTGTCTTTGGTGGGTCTCGTGGGTTCATTCACTGCAGGATAGACTTTAAGTGGAAAATTTTTAAGCTTGAGAAATTGTAAAAACGATGGTAATTGTAAGGTAGGAAGCTCTCCATAACGAGCGCTGAATGTGTTGTTGATGTTGTCTGTCATTACAAGTGAGCTAAAAACCGGAAATAAAAAATGCCAAGTCTTGAAAGCCTATCTTTTTTTTTTCATTTTATGCACTTCTCGGTTTGTCACCCAGATCAAAGCAGCATTTTCTGGGGAGGGGGGACGGGATACAGGGCTACTGGCCATTCCTTTTTTTTTTTTTTTTTTTTTCCAAGCATCCAATAATGAGTAAAAGCACCCTTTATGATAGCTAGGGGACCTATAAGTAGATAAAAACCATTGTACATCTTGAGTGTACCGCTTCGTTGTATGAAGTGGGGCTGGGGGCCTGTTCTTTTCTTGTTTTCACGACACGCGACGGAGGCGAGCTGTCAAAATCAATGGGCCTGGTTATTTTTCTTTTTTTGGGGGGTTTTTTTTTATTCTCCTTCTTCTTTGTTACTTACTCGTTCCGATTGACGTTCAAGATGAGCAGCCTGTTGAGATCAGGAGTTAGGTATGGGCATGGTCAGGCGATAAAAAGGCCAGTGCTTTACGGTTGGGGACATTCCTATGCTTTACCTTTGAGGAAAGGGCACATGGATCGAGTATTTACAAAGCCTACTCGTTTAGAGAGTGAGGAAGATTATGCTCTTGATGTAAGCTATTCAGCTTCTTTTTCTTCTTCTTCGTAGACCAAAAGGCAGTAGTCAGCGCTGATGTTAACCCCCCATTTGAACGACAGAAAAATGATAGCATCGTCACTCATGTAGCGGCAGGATGGGGACACTCTTTGATAGCTACTGACCATCACCAAGTCCATTCTTTTGGACTCAACCAAAGTGGACAGTTGGGACGTCCTTGTCCTGCCCCGACGGCCACCGTTTTCAGTGCCCGCCAATGGAAGGAGGATGCCCGTGTTCAATTTCTGGCCTGTGGACGCGAGCATTCACATATTGTAGTACAAGACAAGGCGAAGGGTAGGGGAAAGAAGAGGCAAGCCGATGGATTGTGATGAAACATGTCAAATGAGGCATTCCCATGATAATGACAAATTTGTATGATATGATGTTAGATACCCAATTGTACTCTTTTGGAAACAACATGTTTGGACAACTGGGGTTGGGCAAAGATAAACACACTGCTGCGTCTGGAGAGAGCGTGCGTCAAGATACACCTCAGCTTGTGCCATTTGGAACAGCCATTCAGCAGATCACTTGTGGGTTGGATCATACGATTTTTGCAACAGGTAGATTCCTCAAAAAAAAAAAAAAAAAAAAAAAAAAAAAGTGGCCGTGGAGAGTTGGATGATATTCATAGGGTTGTTGCTTTTGTAACCGAACTCTTGTTTTTTCTCTACAGAGGATGAAGTGTACGGTATGGGATGGAGTGCGGATGGACAACTGGGACAAGGCACAGAAGACAAATGTTTGCCATCGAAGCTACCGTTGTCTTTACCGATTCAAAAAATGTCGACGTCTACAGATTTTACTTTGCTGCTCGACAAGACGGGTTCTTTGTGGACATGGGGTAATTCTGAATATGGTCAAGGCGCTCAAAATAAAGTCATCGATAGGGTAAGTGTGTTATCAAGCGATTGTCGCCTTACGCATAATGAAAATGACAAGAGTTCGGGGTACTCAAAGCATGAGGGGATTGTTTTTATGGTGGGGCGGGGTGGGGGAGGAATAGATACTGGAACCACTGACAATAGAAGGAGCCCAAGACGTAGTGGATGTTGCTGCTGGAGGCCCTTTTTCTGTCTTTTTAAAAGACAACGGTAAAGTGTACACCTGCGGCTATGGAGCTTTAGGTCTGGGAAAGGACACACTACAGACACTTCAGCTGACGGAAGTAGATGGCTTGGAAAATGTTGAAAGAATCTATGCCGCAACGGATTACGCTGCGGCCCTTACCGGTAAACATAAGGGGGAGGGGGGGGGGAAGCAAACCTTATGGATAAATCCCGTGCTAATAACGTATCTCTTTTTTTTGTCTTGTTTCATTTAGCCAATGGAGAATTGTTTACATGGGGATTGAATGGAGCCAGTGGTAGACTAGGTCAAGGGCATTGTGAGCATTCGTTCAAGCCAAAGCATGTCCATATAGGCAAAAGAGTATTGGATTTAGCCTTAGGAACGCATCATGCATTAGCACTCGTTGAAGAATAAAGTAGCTCCCTATAGATTGTAAATCGATTTTCTCTCTGTACCTAATAACAAGGGTCATGGTTGTAAATCATTGAAGGAGGCATAGGTTATATAGACGTTAGAGGATGATGTGTGGGCGCAAAGATACTTGTAGTGGTTAGCGATGAAACAACCTCAATAGAAAAAAGATGTTACCTTGGATAGTACACACGCTTTGGGCAACGGGTTTTTCGTTTGATAAGGTTACATCAAATGGCAAATCTTGGAGATCTTTATAGAATGATGCATCTTTACAGGCTACTGTGAACCTTAATTCTCATCCTGTGTGTAACAATGCTACGGTGCTATGACAGGTGAGGGCACTTTTTTATATAGACATATATAGGTACGTGTTAAAAGGGCAGCCATCGTGTGGTGTGATACACATGACAAAAAACTCGTTTTTCTGTGTTCGTTTCTGTAAAGACATGGATGGGTTCTTGGCCGAAAGGAAAAAAAGCTCATGCCCCCCTATTGCTTGAGAGTGCGCCATGGACATACCGTTCAAAAAATACGTTTTGCTCAAATAGACAGAAATAGGAGGGAAATTTTAATTTTTTGCTTTCAAGGGGAGATGGCTCTTTTACAATAAACTCCATGGACAATGAGACAGTCGTTACCCAGCTATTACGACACCGCTGTTTCTACCAGAGCTTCTCAGACCCCAAAGAAAGTAACCTCGTTTATTCAAGCTGGAATAGAAGAATGTGTATGAATATAAGTTGTAGATTGTACAGTGAGTCGTGGGCGGTCGCTGCCGTTTCTTCTGTGGATCACCTCCTTGATTTTTTGATTTTTTTTTTATTTATGTTGAAGGACAAACACCCTTCCTCCCGCTTCCCCTCTGAATTTTCTTTTCTCTTTTGACTTTTTTTTTTTTTTTTTTTTTTTTTTTTTCTTTTTTGTATTTTTCACTTTGTTCTGGAATGACGCTTCATACAACAACCCAGCATCAAGAAACAACTTTGAATTCTTATTCAATGGAAACGCCGCTAACATCATCGTACAACCCACCACAACAGACACAGGAGTCAACAAGCTTCATGGGTAAAGAATTTCAGGGCACATCCTTTTTGACCAAAGAAGAGCCTTTTCCTTCCACAGTAGAGTCGTTTGAAAGTCGTCGTCATCACCAGCATGGATTTTATCATCCTCCATCTCCTCCTCAACGACAACCACCACAACCACCACCACTATCACCACCCAAGCAACTGCAGCATCAACAACAACCGTCGTCCTTGTTAGGCTTATCATCAGCATCCGTGGCAGCATCCGTGGCAGCAGTATCCGTAGCAGCAACAGCACAACAGTCTTGCCGATATGATTCCTCCTTGGGATTGTTGACGAAAAAGTTTATTGCATTGCTTCGATCCAGCTCACATGGTGAGCTGGATTTAAATCGAGCGGCCACTTTGCTTAAGGTGCAAAAAAGACGCATATATGATATCACCAACGTGCTTGAGGGCATACGCTTGATTGAAAAGAATTCTAAAAACCATGTCAAATGGATGTAGGTATCCTACTTTTATATATACATGATTGATGCGTCCATTCAGAAAGTGACACTTTTTCTGTTTGATGGGCACTATGTAGTGGAAATAATACGACCCTTTCCGCAGAAGAGGACAATGCCAACAGCACTACTACTACTGCTTCTCCTACTACTACAGCCACGAACGCACCACCGTCCTCGCTACTTGCTCTTCAACAGCAACTCGAGACGTTACGCAATCATAATGAAAGTTTGGAAATGGAACAAAAGCAATTGATAGACTTCAAAAAGCAAATAGATCAAAAAATCGATAAAGTGATTCAAAATCATGCTTCTTATTGTTACTTGACTGTGGAGGACATTTCCGAATTTCAAATTAGGGTAGCAGCAAAACAGGAGGCTTTTCTCGTCGTCAATGCGCCGTATGATACTGATATCGAAGTGCAACAACAACAACAACAACAACAACAACAACATCAACAACAACAACAACAACAACAAGAGCAGCAGCAGCAGCAGCATCATTATCATCCACATCATCGAATGGATCATGACCCTCCTAGGTCACATGGGTACGCCCCTTACCCCTCCCCTTCCTCTAGGGTCATGACAAAAAGGAAATCTGCTGTTGAAAAGGTACTTTTTTTTTCTCATACAAACCTATTCAACTTGATGTAAGCCCCACGCCCGCCCCCCCCCTTACTTTTACTTATCCTTTTTCTTTTCTCCGATAGAATGTACATCCTAAGCGTCAAGTAAAGAAAAAGCTTATTCCAAGTACAACACCACCACCACCACCACCAGCAACAAGAACAACAACAACAACAGCTAAATGCTACATTCGCGTCCCCGAACATTCAAACCAAACATTACGCATTACATCATTAAGGCAGCCATCCAAGAGGATAACGGAAGGCCATTCATAAGTAGAAAACGCATTGTCTTTTTTTTTTTTTTTTCTTCCTGGCGAAGAAAATGTCATTCCATGTCCACAAATAAATAGGATTCATTTCTTTTTAATCATCTTGCATGAGAAAGAAATTCCTCTCTCCCTTTTGGCCATGGTTGCCCAAGCATGGAGGATAAAATAAATCTCGTGGATTCATGCAACATGGGATACGCTTTTTACTGGCTTGAACATGAAAAATTCTGGCAAACATAGGGACACTATGTTAATCCATTCTCATTGCTTTGCCCTATCTGTCTCATTTTTCGTATTGAGTCCCGCAAAAAAAAAAAATAAAAAAAAATAAAAGTCAAGCCACACAAGTAACAAGAAAACGTTATCTTCTCTTTTCCGCCAACCGTTTATCCTTTGTCGCAAAAAAGGGTTTTGATCTACGTTGTTTCCTTTTTCGTTTGCTTTCAACAAGAGATACTTGATATCCCCATCCACTGAATGACCCATTGGATGCTTCAAGCCATTGTCTAAAAGAAAAGAAAAAAAAAAATAAAAAAAAGTAAAAGACCTGTTTTTTTTCATTGCAGGCATGCAAATGCAATCAATGATATTGTCTAGATTCATTGTTCAAAAGGAGAGAGAAGAAGAAAGAGAGAGAGAGAGAGTTTATTGTTCAAAAGAGAAGAAAAAGGAGACCTTCTTGATGAAGAGCAATTAAATTAGCTCTGCTACCTTTTTCTTTTTATGTTACATTGTTTTTTTCATTTAGTTGAAAAAGAAAAGCTTCTATTGACACACTTTCACTTTTTGTGTGGTTGTTTTTCATAAAGTTGTAACTCGGGCTTATCTGTTTTTTACAAAAAATTACTATTATTTTTAGGATGCTCTCAAACACGTTGATGAGAACAAGTTCATTAGCAGCATCCTCGACCGCCGACGTCAAGATGGATGAAGTACGTCATGTCAAACTACAGACATGTTCTTGCAACTGTCATGAGTCTCCTCGACATCACAGGCCATCCGTGACGACGGTGGGCAGAGGAGACGTGGAGAGTCGAGTGTTACAACTCAACGATCAAATCGAAGCATTATCCGCACAGAATTCACAACTTGTAAAGACCCATCATCTGCTCAAATCCGATCTAGTGAAGAATACAAGTGCATTGAAGCTATCTATAGAACAAAATATCCGATTACAACGAGCCAATCGATTATTACAAGAGGATCTATTGCAGCAAAAACATGAATTGAATCAGCTAAGGAAAGAACAGACGTTCCAAATGAACCACATAGGACCAGAATATGAGTATTTGGTGCAAGTGATCAATGTACTCTATCAACAGCTATTTTCATCGTCGTCGTCGTCGTCGTCGTCGTCTTTGTCGTCGTTGTCGTCGTTGTCGTCATCAGCATCCTCCACGTCCACAGCTATCCATGGCGAGTCAGACGAGAAAGCGCAAGAGACGGATTACCCATCTTCAGAACAGACCCGTGATGTACGGCCTATAGGCAGCAGGCCCATCTCCCGTCCGCAGCTCAACAAGACGGCCTTGGAAAGTGAAAAGACGGAATTACAGGATGCTTTGAAAGAGAAAGAAGAGGATTATGAAACTTTAAAATTTGAACTCAACGTAAAGGACAATATCATTAAACAATTAGAGAATGACTTTAAGAGCATGGAAATAGAATTGACAGCGTTACAAAAGGTAAAACTTTTGCTTGAATTTCATGCACTCTACAGCCCAGCTTACTTAATCTCACGTGACAATGTGTACTGTAATAGGATTGGACTTTTAGCAAAGATCCTTCTTACCTGAATAGCTCCATAACAAATGAATTGCATTCATTCCCTTCTGTTCCCATATAGCCCAAATTTCAATAACCTTACACAGAAAGCATCTCTTGCATACCATCGTGGTTTTACTCATCGCTATCTAAAAAAAAAAATGGATCCTCCCTACCCATCACCGGCTTATTGGCCCGCTATCCGTAAGAATTTTTTTGTTTTCTGCTTACCCTATCCAAGGTGGCTTTGCTCTTTTATTTATTTTTTTCAAAACTGAACGTCAGGGGAATACGCTACTGTTGGTTGCATTGAACAAGTCGCATTCTATTCTAAAGGATGATAATGACGATGTTGCGCTTATCACAAAATGATCCCACCCCCCACGTATGATGATTTTCAGGGTCAAAAGGAAAAAGCATCCCTACTTTTTTTTCATGTGCATTTTTTGAGAAAAGTGGGTTCAAATTCAATCACGTGAGGCTATCAGATTACCCGCTTTTTTTTTTGTAAAAATGTGAAAAAAAGCTGTTTTCCTTTTTTTTTCCTTTTTTACTTTTTTTTTTTTTTTATTTTTTTCTTAATTCAACTGATAAACAAGAGAAAGAGAGGAAACGAAATAGGAAAAAGAGAAGAAAAAAAAAAAAAAACCACAGCCGTTTTTACCTATTACTATTCTTTTTCTTTTTTTTTTTTATTTCATTTTTTTCCATATTTCTCTTTTTTTTTTTTTCACCTCGTTGAAAAGAAAATTCTCTCTCTTTTTGGAGATAAGAAAAATAGTTATTCAGTTAACGTTTTCTATATCAACAGAAAAAAAACTATTAGTTTAGTTGAACAGACTATTCTTTTACTTTTTTTTTTTTTTTTTTTTTTTTTTTTTAATCTTTTTCACCTCTTTTCAATTAGATTGTTAGATCAATCTAACTGATCTCAATTGACCCTTTTTTCTGGTGGTTGGGTCGAAAAAGATTTTTTTTTTATTTCATTTTTTTAACTTTTCCCCCAACAAATCATGTTTGCTACAGCTTCCACAGCTACCTTGGGGCATTTCCCTCATCATCATTCCTATCATCCACATTATTTCCATCAGCAGCAACCGCAGCAACAACCGCAACAGCAGACATTGCAGCAACAGCAGCCACGACAGCAGTCCTCTTTATTATTCACACCACCTTCTACACCCTCCACGATCAAGAGGTTGAATGATTCGGATACAAGTCAGCTTGCAGATTTTGCAGCCATGATGGTTTATTTAATGTGGCATACACGAAAGATGATTCGATCAGCAGATACCCCCCACAGTTCTGCTTCCTCTTCGCCTGTCTATGGGAATACTTCTTGGATGTGGCAAAAGACCAAAAAACCCTCTTCCACCACTAGCCCTCACAGTCATGTTCATCCTGGGCCATTCCTGCATCCTTCTGCGTATTATTACTATAATAATGCCAGCCCTGCATTCAAGAAATTCTGTTATCAGGTAAAAAAAAATAGAAGCCAATCGCGAGACACGGAAAAAAAAAAAAAAAAGTAAACATTCGTAAATACTCAATGGGGCTCTCCCTCATTTTCTAGGTGCTGACATCGACACAGTTGAAAGAATCCGCAGTCTATTTATCTCTAAAGTACATTGCTATTTTACTCAAATCCAATCCGTCGATTGAAGGAGCAGAAGGATCTGAATATCGCCTGTTTATTGTTGCTTTGATGCTAGCCAATAAATTTCTGGATGACAACACATTTACCAACAAGACGTGGAGTGATGTGAGTGGGATGAAAGTACACGATTTGAATGTGATGGAAGCAGAGTTTCTGGAGGCCTTGGATTTCAATTTGTTTGTACGTGATTATGACTATCGTATTTGGAAACATCTGTTGGAAGAATGTCGACATCGTGCACAGCTTTATCAGTATTATCAGCAGCACAGCAGTAGTCAACGACAGCAGCAGTTGATTCTAGATATTTTACAGATATTAGGATTGATGGACGTGTCGTCCCAGAACAGCAAGACAAGTCCGTATGACCTTTGGGTAGATCACTCTTTGTTTTCTTATGAGCAACAGCAACAGCAACAACGTGCCACCTCTTCTTCCAGTAGTGAGGATCCTTATCCACAACCCATACAGTCCTTCAATGACAACGCTTCACCTTCTCGTGCTACCCCTGCTACAAACAGTGATCGTTTGTTTAATGATGAATTCTGGGATGATGATACTGCCTTCAGATTACAGTTGGAGAATTCCCGAAAGAGATATCTGCAGTTTTTCTCTCAGTCCAAAGCGACAGCCAATCATCAGTCTACTTTATTACCACCACCTGCATTGTATCATCTCATGCAACACCAACAACAACAACATTGTTCACACTACAATAATAGCAATAACAGCAATCGTAGTGAAAAGACAGCGAATCAGCTCCCTCCATGTGGACTCTATTCGAATCATGATTCGTATCTTGGCCGACAAAGAGGCTACTACAACTTTTTTTACGGCAGTCAGTCCACAGCAGCAGCAGCAGCAGCAGCAGCAGCAGCCACTTCCAAAGACACTTTCACTAATCTTTCCCAGTCATCATGGGATCCTTTGGCTTATACTTTAAACCGATGTCATCCTCAACAACAAGAAGAAAACCTGTCCTTTTATTCCAATAAAGCTTTTACGGCGACTACGGCAACGACGGGTGCCACTTCTGCAAGGCCCATGAGTTGGGCCAATTATTAACCTTTTTTCTTTTTTCTTTTTTTTTTTTTTTTTTTTTTTTTTTTTTAACCCTATTATATAATTACTTTCTTAATGCTTTTTAACTTTTTTCTTTTTCTTTTTTTTTTTGGGGGACTACATATTTATTTCTTTATTCATATATCTTTTATTTGTTATAATTATTTCGTCATCTATCTGAATTCTTTTACCTTACATTTTTTATTTTCTTTCGATTTGCACACACAACGCCAGAAAAAGAAAAAAAAAAAAAAAAAAAAAAAAAACAAACCCCAAGGAAAAAAAATGGAAAAATCCTCCCTTCAAACATATATATATATATATAAAAAAAAGGTTGAAAAATCCTACCCCCTCTCCCCGTCTCCACAAAATTCCACGATGCACTTGGTTTCTTACTTTTGGTTTTTCGCATAGGAAATTCAGGAACACAATTCCTTTCCGAGAAAGGAAAAAAGAAACTCTCTCTCTCTTTTTATTTTCCTCTACCGCTATGACCCTCGTTTCGCCTTACCGATCATCTTGTTTCTTTTATTTCAAAATTGTCTTTTTCAGAAAGGTAAGCTTTCTATTTATTTATATTTTTCTGTTGACAGTTTCGTCGTGGAGGAGAAAAGACGATAGCATGTCCTACCGGTAGACACAGAGAGTCACTATCCAAGCGTAAGAAAGAAGCAGCCACGTCTTTCACGACTTTGATAGTGACCTCTATCACGAGGGTGAGGGGTGACTATGTTGCATTCCTTCATTCTACGTGGGGTCAGTTTCTTTCGTTACGTGACGCGAGCAAAGAGGCCCCCCCCCTGCCAATACACGTATCCAGACAAACAAAAACCTTTTAAAAAAAGACGCTGGTCAGACCCGAGGAACGTTGAATGAAATCAGGACGTATCCATATTTCTTCATCAACGGATTGGCCTGTTCATGAAGAGGCTTTTACTTCCGTCTTGTCACCACTAGCCCGCACCACAGAAGGCATGTCCTTTGGCGAGTCGTCTTTTTTTATATTTGAACAAAAAAGGTAGCACTCTATTCTATTTTTTCTACACCTACATCCTCACTCTCATCTATTGAAATATATATAACAAAAAAAAAAAAAAAAAGCACCGGACATTTGCTTTATGCAGCCGATTATTTTGTTAGAAAGTTTGGTAGAGATAGGAAAAAAGGGAATTGTTTAAAATGTGGGGGCGAATGCGAGATTCTTTTACCCAACATAAGAAGGTGACACTTTTCAATGAAAGGCAGAGCCTAGAAGTGTCTGATCCATGTGAAATAATTAACAAACAAAGACTTAGACTTACTCCAAAAGGAAATCATCCATTGGAAATCATCGACTAAAAAAAAAATAAAATCAAAATAGATTCATTGTATACTAAAGTCTTTATGAGTCTATGCCTTTGATCAGTCAACAACAAATCACATTCTATCGTTCAAATGGCCAACAAAGAGTGTATTCAGCATTTGGGTAGCCTACTTTACCATCTGTACAACGAACAAGAGTAGCTCACAGAGCGCTTGATTGCCAAGAAACTTGTGTTTGCAACTCTCGAACGGATCACAAGATAGGCTGTCTACAAGTAGTGGGTGCTCTTTCATTGGTTAAACTGCTCATTTTTTCAAAATTCTTTTTTTTTTATTGAATCGTAAATTACTACATGTGGGTTATTCGAGGGGTAGAAAGAAAAAAAGAAGCTTATTCTTTATCTCTTTTCTATCATTTTTACTTTTTTTTTTTGTTTGTCATTTATTTGTAACTATAGATTGATAGAATGAAGTCTACCTTGTATACTCTAAGTGTTTTTATACTATGCATTTCATCCTACTTTATACAGACTTCTTCTTCTTCTTCTTCTATGATATACCAACTGCAACAGCCTTCTTTATCCCGGAAAGAAGAGCTGCTACTCTATCATCGTCAACAAGTATTTTTTAATGACGAGCACACAAAAGGATCCAATGAAAGCATCCAATCAGAAGCTACAACCAGCACAACAACAGACACAACGTTCGATGTACATAAATTCATACAGTTATTCGCACAACATTTACTGATGGATCATTACGATAAAGCCTATACACAGTTATCCAAAAGGATATCATTTCAGTTTCGTGATGCTATTCAACTGCGGATCAAAAAGATAAAGAAACCTTTGGATGACAAAGCGGAAGAGGAGGATCAAAACAAAGCAGCTCAGAAAACAACAAAAGTACCATCGCCGGTAGATGTACAGATTTTAAAGAGACAATTAAAAGGCGCCGTGGGTTGTAAGTAGCAGCAAAAAAAAAAAAAAAAAAAAAAAAAAAAAAAAAAAAAAAAAAGATGTCCTCTGTAGACCCTGTAGAGACTCACCCCGTTCCCGTTTGCCAGCTTTCATTGAGGACAAGTTACCCATCCTTTTACTAGACAAATACAATACAACCCGTCTGCAAACGCATCTACACGAGACGATACTACGCTACTGCCCTGATGCACACCCTCCATGCATTCTCGACCACACAGACCCCTTTCTCAAAGAGCTTGAACACTATACCGCTAAAGAATGTCAGGACACTCTCATTCAGTTGAATGATGTGGATCTCCCGCGATTATTTGAAAAGACCAGGGCACAAATTTCTGGTATTCTCGTTCATTTTAATCAGCATACGATGGATCAAAATCTTCATACGTTGGAATTGAGGGTCAAGAAAACGCCTGCGACGACGAAAAAGCAGACAACGGCCAACCACCACCAGGAAGAGGATCGTCTGAAGAGCGATGGGCTGATCCATGCTATTCATCTACCTTTCCTACAGCCCACCGATGACACGATGCCCACGACGACCACCACGACCACCGCTTTACCCCCCACCATGAATAGACGTAACTGGATTACGCCAGAAATGGTACACGAATTTATCACTTTCATCCATCATAGCGATCATGAAGACCCTGCTGGTGGGGATGCTGGGCCAAGTCCTCCTTCATTACACTACTTTATTGACATGGCCCTGTGATGATGGATGGATGGACAGTTTGTATTTATTATAAAAAAGGGCCGCAATAAAAAAATAAAAATAAAATGAGACACACTCAAGGACAAAAAGGTGCCCCCCTCCCGCGCCGTTACTTTATTTTTGACTGTATCAGCTTCAATTTTGACTTTAACTCATTGTTCAAGGGTATTTTCTTTTCGAGTCTCATTTCCTTCATGATGAGATATCTCGCCAAGACATACTTGCGTTGACGCAACAAAGCATTCACAATGGGGAGATAATGGTCCGCTGTCAACGTCACCAAGGAACCGTAATCCTTTTCCAAACACTTTAGATAGTCATGGGCTTTTGAGATTTTGCCCTTGGCTGCAAAGTGCTGCACCAATTTCGCATAAATAGTCTCTCGAGGTGTGAAGCCTTTGGATTGCATCAACTTGAATAATCTGCGAGCGTACATGAGTTGGGAAGCTGGTATAGCCGTCGTCGTCGTCGTCGTAGAGGAAGGGGGTGGTAAACAGGCATCCATCAATGTTTCATAGGTGATGACATTGGCCCTGATGGGTTTGTTGCTTTCGGTAGGGAAAAGCGCGCCTCGGTCATTCTGAAGAAAAATATGGGCGGCTCTTTCCACCCCTTCTGTATCGATGATGTGGGCAAGCACAAGATTGTTTAAAAAGATGTCGTTTTCGCGTTGGTTTTGGTGTTTCTTGGGTGACGAGGAAGAGGAGGAGGAAGAGGAGGAGGAAGAGGAGGAGGAAGAGGAGGAGGATGGAGGGAGCAACATGTCTGATAACCGCTGGTATAATGTCGTCTTTAATTGTGCATCTTTGGTCATACTGGCTAAAGTCCTCAGAGTGGATGCATCGGGCGCTACGTTGACTCTTTGCATGTGCTGTAAAATATCCAATATTTTATCCTGGCTGTGCTTATGACGGTTCTCATCGTCCTCTATCAAGCCTAAGGCACGCTGTTGTCGCTGCTCCAATTCCACAGTACGTATCAGCAAATTAAAGTCGTACACATCCGGCCCTTCCGTCAAGGTGGCTATTTGACGGAAGGCCCATTTCGCTAAATCCACTTTCTTGCTTGTCAGATACAACGCCAAGAGGGACGTCAGCCCTTCGTGGGTTAATCCCAATTTCAATTTCTCACTCTCTTTAAACACTTTTTCAAACAGGCGCAAATCAGCGGTGTGTGCACACAATCCGAAAAAAGCTCGCACCAGTAGTCGGGAAAGAGGTTGTGGTGCGGCTGGGATCAGGGGTAAGACTTCGGGATAGAACGCCCTTGCGCGCGCATAATCTCGAGCCTTCACTAATCCTCTAAAGACATGGATGGGCATGCCAAAAACGATCTGTCGCATGACGTCTGGATCGTCGACATGGGCCAGTGTGGAGGGCTGGCTGGGGTATAATTCTCTGCACTTTCTGTACAGGGTGAGCGCGTGGATGTGGTATTTGTTTTTGGCGAGTTGAATCACGAGGCGGTGATAAAGAGCGATGGGTAAATGGAGGGGAAAGTCGTGCAGTTTTTCGTAGACCTGGATCGCGGAGGGTATCTTCTTTTCCGCCAAATACGCTTGGATGAGCTTTTGGGCACAGATCTGCGTTCCTTCGTCATCGTGGACGCGAAGGGTATCCGCTAACAGTCGACGCGCTGCGTATCCTTGTCGCGTATAGATGCATTTATCGATGAGGTGGCGGAGAATGGTGTGAGCGTTGGGGAGTTTGTACTGCCTTTTGGCAAGATACACATGGCGCATCTCGTTGAGTCGCCATTCTGCATCGCAATCCTCTGCGAATAAGCTCAAGGCACGATCCAACATGGCAAGATCGTCGTTGCTCTTGTGATGGCCATGACTGAAATAGTTTGTGTTGCTGCCGTTGTTCTTGTTCTTGCTGTTGAGCTGGTGGTAGCGTCTCGTAGGCCGAAAACTCTTTTCGTTTTCTAACCAGGGTTGGTGTCGTTGGTTCATCTTTAAGAATGAAATGGCTTCGTCCAGCTGGTCAAGCGAGAGATGACACATCACGACGTAGCGCATCATTCTTCTCGACAACATAGCGTCCTGGGGGGACTGTTGCCGCATGTGATTCAGCCAGTAATAGATACGATCCAGCTGTTTGTCGCGTGAAAGAGCACCGATGACGGCTTCATACAGGCTCGGCCCGATCGTATACGAGCGCTGCGCCGATGTTTTCATGGTGTCTGTCCATTCTGTCAAGAGTTGATCCGCTGTTTGTGCCATGTCCAATTCTGCAGCCATACAAATCATGACCTCTCCGTCTGCGTGCCAACGAAAAGGAGCTTGTGGAAAAAGGCCTGCTTTCATGTCTTTTAATATGCGAAAGGCTTGGTACACATGGTTTTGATTGGCTGGTTCATCCGGATTGACGTTGGTGAATCGAGACAAAAAGACTTGAATATCACGATAGGTGATAGAGGAGAGACATTCTTTTTGTTGAGAAGAGGGGTTCGTCACTCCTTTCATAAGCTGATGGTATTGATCTAATAACCGTTTTCGACTTTCTCTTCTTCTCACTGTCTTACGAACGATGGAAGATGGATAATATGCATTGAGCGGATAAGAGGGTTGATATAATTCTTGTCGAAATGCTTCCACTAAGGTAAGTGGTCTATTCATTACCGATGTCTGTTCTTGTAGTTCTTGTTGTTTCGGAGTCTTGGTAGAAATAGCATGGGTTGTCAACGACCGTCGCGATGACAAGGATCGGATGGTGATGGTGGTGGGAGGAGACAGGTAGTCATGTGTTTTGGCTGATCGATGCAAGCAATCTCGACATAGTGTATACATTCTTTGTTGCTGTTGACGATAATGAGGCTGCTGTGCTGCGGTGAAGGCTCGAGAAACAAAAGAACGAAACGACATGACAACTTTCTATGAATGAAAACAAATGATGACTACAAATAATGGAAAACAGGGTATCTTATACGAGAAAGGCAGGCAGCAGTCAAAGAAGATAGAAATGAAATCTAGAGGCTGTCTTTTATCCCCTTCTTGTCTTTTTTCGCCCCCCTCTGTGCATTTCACAGGGTCTTTTCTTTTTTACTACTTTTTTTTCACTTTTTTTTCGTCCCTTCCACTCCTATGTTAAAATTCAAACTACGACAAATCGCTAGCAGGTAACCCTTTCATTTTTTTAAGCTTTTCAAGGGGGTTTTGTATGTCTTTACAAATAAATGGGTGTTGTTGCGATTTTAATGAATGCAGAAAGACTGTTTACAAAAAGGGGGGCGAGTGCGGTAAACCATTTTTTGATTTTTCCTCTCCATCTAGATTGGGTCTGTGCCATCACTGTCTCATAAAGGTTAAATCTGTCTCGATTGTCCCTGAAATCCTCTGTATTTTTTTTTTTTTTTTTTTTTTTCCACTTTGACGAGCAAACCATTCACATGCAAACGAGGCAAGAAAAAAAGAAAGTCACTCTTTTTTACTTTTTTCTTGCATTTTACATAATGTACATCGATATCATTTGCTTCCTGCAGGCACATTCATTTTAAAGAAAAAAAGGCTTTGTGTCTAAAGCTACAACAACAAGCATGATTTAATCTTTGTGGGTAGGAATGGTTACACTATTGAATGGCGTCATGACAGGTGATGATGGAGGTGATGATTTACTAATGCTTCCTGTCTCTGCGTCGAAAAGAATGGTTTCTGGTCGAGCTAATGAAGGTGCCTCGTGGGAGGTTGCTGCTGCTGCTGTTGTTGTGGCCGTTGATGAAGCAGCTTGGGATGCATTGTTGGATGATCCTTTGTGTGATAAACGCATATCCAATGCCTTTAATGCCAATGCTCTGTCATGTATAAATCATACAAAAAAAGTAAATAAACAGTAGCCAAATAGCAAGGTGATCCCATGTCTCTCTCTCTCTCTCTCTCTCCCCTCCTTTACCTTCTTCTTTCTGCTTCTGCACGCGCAGATCCAGGAATTGGATTTAATAAATTGCCTAATTCTACATCATGATAGGATCGTGGTCCTGGTCTACATAGTCTGAATTTCACCAAAATACCATAGACGGTATTGGAGATCAACAAGACAATGGGACTATAGAAAAGAAAGGAGTGTGTTGTTTAGTTTCATTCCCGTCTATCCACTCGTTCACAGAGCCCCCCCCCACCTCCTTAAAAAGATCACACTTTACTGTAAAAACTCTGGGAAAAAGGTTTGAATGGCAAAGGCTTCACTACGATCACCCTGAAGACCGTCTTGGTATTTGAAAAAACGAATATAAACCCAAGCCACGAGCCAGCCAAGATTGACAAGGTTATAAAAGACCATGGCTTTGAACAAGACAAGGCTTAGAATACTGACGAGAGTGGCTACACCCAGCAGATTCTACAAAACATGATCAATGATCCATAGATAAGAAGTGAGCAAGGGCTGGGTCAAAAGGGGCATGCCCTCTCTTGTTTTTCTAATTTACCTTGACACGTATGGATATTTTACCGCCCATGATGGCAATACGATACTCAGGTATTAAATGCTTAAAAGCTACTAAGAAGCCTGAAAACACGCCAGCCATGCCATTGATTTGAAGTTGATATCTATTATACAAAGCGTCATTAGTAGGAGCCTATACTCTATTCGATCGAGCTCCCCCTTTATCCTTTTCCACTTTACAAATAGGCATCGTTTGCTGACAGATAATAAGTAAGCAGTATCGCCACCCAAGTGATCACGTTGGTTGTCAAACCCACCACCACTATAAATTTCAGTAATTCTTTGGATCCCCAAACTCTTTCCAAGTATTTTCCGCAAAACAGAATAACTACTAAACTGAAGAGGAGCTAAATGGAGGGGAATGGCGGGATGAGAAAGGGGAAGGCGTCAATGTCTTGTTTTTCACGGATGGACGATGGAGGTAGTCCTCTCTGATGTATGTTTTTTTTTGTTTACCGATAATAGATTATCTTCGTATAAAAAAGCGGTCAACAAAGTCCATGGTGCGTAAAAGGCACTGCCAATAGAAAGGGTGATGGAATTAACAAACTGAAGTAAAGAAATAAAAGCTGTTCTTCTACACATACAATCCGGGTATTAAGCCAATAAATGGGCATATATTTAAGGGTATTGTATCGATGTCTGCTTCTGATCGTAATCTGTACACATAAATATAGGCAGCCAGGGAGAAACTGATGACGGCTGTCATTAACGATTTTGTTAAAGGTGGCACATTGGCTATGATTGTTTTTATTGCCATTTCTCTTTTTATCGACGGATGCAAAGAAACGGGAAAACAGAAAAGAGATAAATTTTTCTTTTGGGAAAGGGGCCCAATGAGATTTTACACCCAAATAGTCATCAGGCAGAGTAAAATGGGGTGCAGTTGAAAAGAAAAGGAAGAGAAAAAGAACGCGTTCTAAAGGCTCACGTGATTCAAAATTAAAATTGAGATGACTTTTTTTTTTTTTTTTTTTTTTACAGGAAAAGGGCATTTGGATCGGCAATCAAAAATGCTACGTCTTTCAAACCTTAAAAAAAAAATAAAAAATCATTTGAAACCTGTTGGTTTCTTTTAATCAAAAAAAAAAAAAAATAAAATTTGTCCCCCCCGTTTCCTCCTCCCACTTTCTCCCCGCCCCGGTTCCTCTAGATTCTTTTTAACAACAACAAATATACTTCCACCCCCAAAACAAAAAAAAATGAAAAAAATAAGAAAAAGAGATGGCTCTTTTTTTCTTTTTTTTCTATTTTTTCTTCTTTTTTCCTGGTTTTTTCATAGTTGATTTGCTTTTTCACTCTTTCTCTCTTTTTTTTTTTTTTTTTTAATTTTTTTTTCCCTATACTTTCCCTTGCTTTTTGACCCTAACTACAAGCTATCTTTTTTGTCCTATTTAACATTTATATACAATGTCCATGTCCCAGCCTGCGACAGTGACTAGTAATCAAACAACTGCCTCGACGACAACGACGACGACGACTGCTATAACAGCACAGCCACAACAGCAACAGCAACAACAGCAACAACAACAACCCTACTCCACCTCAGCAGTGATTCAAAAGTTGACGACTGTAAATGAACAAGCATGGTTAACTTTAGGTAAAGTATATAAATAGTCTCTACTTGGGGGTTTTTTTATATCATGTCATTTTTTATATTAAAAAAACTGGGCAGAGAAACGTGGGCTTAAAGGGTGAAGAAAAAAAAAAAAAGAAAAGAAAAAATAGAGTCATGAGAATTTTTTCTCTTTTTTTTTTTTTTTTCTTTTTTTTTTTATTCTGTGCATATACATGTATGTATTTTACCATGTTGAACAAGCCCGTGTGTGTGTGTGTGTGTGTGTGTGTGTGTGTGTGTGCGTGTGTCTATGTGCGTGTGTTGCAGGAGACATAATTGAAGCACAGCTAAAAAAAGGGATAACCGGAGTTTGTCAAGGGGGTGTCGCAGGAAAAAAAGGAGTTGAAAAAAGGGGGGAGAGGAAAGAAGGAACCAAAAGTGGGTGAGACTATTGTGTATGACACTTGTAATCCGCTATTTTACTATATTTGGATTTACAATGTTCTGAACTTTAAACCTTATTTTTTTTTTTTTGGGTGTTGGAAAAACGCCACATCATCATCATCATTATTATGATCCCTATCCTGACTCCCCGTTTCCCTCCCCCCCCCCTTTTCATGACATTGATAGGCAATCTAGCGGAGATGATGGCGGATTGGGAAAGAGCGATGAATTCATATAAATCGGCTCTACGACATAATCCTTACTCTATACCAGCATTATCTCATATTGCCTCCTTATGTAGAGGAAGAGAAATGTTTGCAAAGGCTGTAGAATACTTTAAACGTATTCTAGCCATACAGGAGAAAAACGGCGAAACATGGAGCGCACTGGGACATTGTTACTTGATGATGGATAACTTGCAAGAAGCCTACCAAGCTTATCAACAAGCTTTATATCATTTACAAAATCCCAATGATCCCAAATTATGGTACGGCATCGGTATTCTTTACGACCGTTATGGTTCTATTGAGCATGCCGAAGAGGCATTTTCAGCTGTCATGAGAATGGATCCTCAATTTGAAAAGGCCAATGAAGTGTATTTCAGACTAGGCATTATCTATAAGCAGCAACAGAAGTATGATTTATCATTACAGGTAAGAGACAATGAGGGAGGGGGGGAGGTGCTTGGAGAACGGTGCATGAGTCCGAGGGTTTTTTTTTTTTTTTCTAAACGTACATACCTTTTTCTTTTAGTGCTTTCGTTATATTTTGCATAATCCTCCTAAACCTTTGACAGAAATCGACATCTGGTTTCAGACAGGACATGTGTATGAACAACAAAAGGAATATGAATCAGCAAAAGAAGCGTATGAACGTGTATTAACCGAAAACGCAGATCATGCTAAAGTACTTCAGCAATTGGGTTGGCTGTATCATCAGCAAAACACGTCCTTTTCAAACCAATCCACAGCTATTCAGTACTTGACAAGATCCCTGAAAGCAGACAGTACAGATGCACAATCGTGGTATCTTTTGGGAAGATGTTATATGGTCGAGCAAAACTACAACAAAGCGTATGAAGCCTATCAACAAGCCGTTTACCGTGATGCACGTAATCCTACGTTTTGGTGTTCGATTGGTGTATTGTATTATCAAATCAATCAATATAGAGATGCTTTGGATGCTTATAGTCGTGCTATCCGACTGAATCCTTACATCAGCGAGGTATGGTATGACTTGGGAACATTGTACGAATCATGCAACAACCAAGTGCAAGACGCCTTGGATGCCTACCAAAGAGCGGCCGAGTTGGATCCATCCAATCCTCATATTCGACAGAGGTTAGAATTGTTACGAAAATCGAGTGCCAATCAGCATGGTCATGGAGCGTCCGCTGCTACTACGAATGTGGCAACTACCCCCGTACCACAAGATGTTCATAATCCATATCAGTATCAAACCAATAGCTCCCGTGGGCAGCCCCCTCATCCATCTCAGCCACCACCACCACCACCACCACCAGCATCAGCATCAGCGCCTGTACCACCACACCCTCCAACGAGTGGGGCTGCAGCCCATCCATCGGCTGCTGCAGCTCCTCCTCCTCCTCCTCTTCCTCCATCGTCATCCACACAGGGAAACTATCTACATCAACAACCTCCTCCGTCGTTGCCGCCTCATTCCTCACAGCAACCACCGATCACTCGTGATTTACCTTTATTACCACCCAATCACCACCGTCCAAAGTCTCCCGTTTTATCACCTTATCAACACAACACAAACTCACCTCATCCTTATCGACAGTCCTCCCCTCGTCTGAATCAGAGTCATAGCAGTAGTAGTCACGGACCGATGAGGGACGTTCGTATACCGGATATATTGAACAATGGGAGCCCATTCCATCACAACAACAGAGCGCCAACACCTTCAGACCGTCCTGTATTGAATCCCATGCGCCACTACGATAACAGCAACAACAACAACAACAACAACAACAGTAGTAGTCATCATGCGAATACGAACAGCAATCGGTCTTCACCCATGTTTCAACATCCTTCACCTTTAACAGCTCCTCAGAACAACAAAATGCCCTTCATTGCTCGCTCCCCTGTGCCTACCAAATCATCACCAAGGACTCCGGCACGCGCCCCGCCATTCACCGTATCAGGATCCACAGCCACAGCCACAGCAGCACCAGCACCAGCACCAGCACCAGCATCCTTACCTCCTCCTCCTCCTTCTCATCATGGCCCTCCCTACCCTTATTATCAACATCAGCCACCCTATTCACCGCGTGCTCCTCCTCCTCCTCCACCACCGCCTTCGAATTATACCTATGACACCACCTCTTCACCACGTACTACACCCACGAGCCATCCATCGACGGCCGCTCACCCCAATGAACCGTTGAGAAGAACTTCTATTTTATTTGATCCTCATCACGATGCCATGACCCAACCCACTGCTTCCCCGAGAATGATCACCACCAGTAGGCCCACATCCACACCCACGCCCACGCTAGCACCTGCACCCGCACCCGCACCCGCAACATCAGCGCCAGGACCTACTCCTCCACCTCCGCCCTCCACCGCTTTCAAACGTGAACTCCCTTTGCCTTATCAACCACATCAAAGACAGGGTTCTACTACGTCTTCTACATCTATACCTTCCATCATCCAACCCACCCACCACCACCACCACCCTAACAATAAAAGTATGACAAGTCCTATTGAAACCAGTGCAGCAGATACTTTAATGAGCATGTCTCAACAAAAATCAGGAGCCACTCCTTCTTTGTCATCTACCTCGTCTTCCTCAAAGCGATTATTATTAGAAATGGCAGATGATGATGACGATCAGCAGCAGCAACAGCAGCAGCAGCAGCAACAAGAAATGATAAAAAAGCCACGCTTATCCACCGCATCCGACAATAGTAATAATAGTGCTAAAAATGGCAGCTTGGCTGTCTTGACCACTTGAATCCATTGAATAAAGACAAAAAACCCCTCTCTCTCCATCTCTCTCATGTATATAATTTCTGTGGTCCAATGCTTTGTGACCCCCTCCTCCCCCCCCCAACCTTGCAGTACAATAGGTGTAACATGGAAGGGGGATAAGAAAAAAAAAAGGGGGGGGGGAGGGGTGAAACCCGTGTCATTGGAAAGAAACACGCAGACAAAAACGCATATCGCTTGTTTTGGTAACACAATATAAAAAAGCTTCGGTCGTACACAATCACACCCAAAAAAGACAGTTACAAAAACTCGGGAAAACGACCCGAAAATTATCTTGATTGAAATAGGGTTTTCCTTTTTGCACAAAAAAAGAAAAAAGAGATTTCTCTTCTCAAGATATGTGTAACAATGATGGAGGGAAAAAAAAAAAAAAAAAAGTTTATTCCATTGCACACATCTACAAAGACACACAAAAAGGATAGGCATTGTCTCTTTTTCACAGAAACGTTGATTTTTGAAACTACTAAAAACGGTTTGGGCTGATTTTCCGTTTAAAATACGCGTTTATCCTTTTTTGTGTATTGGATCAAAAAGGCGAAAAAAAAAAGTCTTTACATCACCCACCTGTAGCGTAGCATTTTTCTCTTTTCGAACCACAACCACCGCTCCCCCCCATAAAACCATGCTATGAATAGGATGACTAAAACAAATAAATTTGGGGGGGGGGGAGGAGGACGCGGTCTATAAATATGCAATGGAAATCTATTTTACAAAAACCATCAAGATTGAATGTAAATCAATCTACTCTAAACTTGTCTCTTTTGACGAGAAGATCAGAAAAAAAGAAGAAAAAAACGGAGGCATGATTTGATCATTTTTTATATCATCATTTACAATTAAAAAAAAAAAAAAAAAAAAAGATTAAAAAATTGAATGCATATGATTTCAAACACTAGTGAAAAAAAAATCAAACCAGTTTTTTTTCTGGCATTTAACCGTTCATAAAAAGGTCATCTCCCGAGTTTTCTTTCTTATAATAACCGCAAAGCAGGTTTCATATGTTGACTATGTATATTTAAAAAAAATTGCGGCATAATGTTGAATGTATGATTTCATTTATTGGGGGGGGTGTAAGGGGTAGTCAATGGGGGGAGGGAGAAGAGTGTGGAAAAAGGTACAACGAAGAATTGGGGGGAGGGTCCAGAAACAATTACAACAACAACAAGACTTTTTTTTTTCCCGGAATCATCGCCGGTTTCAAATGCGCACTAAGAAGAAAAAAAAAAATCCAAAAAGAATATGAAACATCTTTTTTTCACTCGTCATGCGAAAACTCTGTTCCATCGACCTCGTACAAGCGAACAAAAATGTCGACTCTCTTTTTTAAATTTTTCTTTTTCCGAAAATGGCACGTTCTCTTTGTGGAAACTTTCATTCTGACGGATAGCAAATCATTTATCAGCAAAGAGAAATATAAAACAGCAATATGGATGAAACTCTGGATCATGTTTGTTCGTTGACGTACATAGCAAGTCATTCTTCGTCTTGAGTACCATCCAAGTACAAACATAAACGGATGACTGGCCATTCTTAGTACTACATGTTGACCAAAAAAAAAATAAAAAAAAATAAAATAAAAATAAAAGTCACCCCAGATCGCGGTAAGGACGACATGCTTAGTTGATGTTTTATCAGATGAGTATGCGTTTTAGCCTGAATACGTTATTTTCTTTTTCCCCCCTTTCCTGGTATTTCCATATTAAGAAAAGACGCTACATTTTGAGTTTCTTGCTTCGGGAATTTTGCCAGTACGCTGGATAAGGTGAACAAGTCGGGTCCCTTTTGCTCTTCTTTGTTTCACAGAGTGTTGAAAAAGGAAATTGGCTTGATGGATCATCCATGTCCTCAAATGAACAACATCTTGTTGACAACAACAGCAAAAAAATAATTAAAAAATAAATTGGGGGTTTCTTTGAATTTCCTCTAAATGAAGGTGAAACAAGGCATTACTGCTTGCATAAAAACCGCACCTCCCAAGTTTCGAGAGTAAAATACGAATACTCTGATGACATGATTCTGTTGGCTTGAATACAGCTTCGTCTTTCCTTACCTATCATCAAAGTAGAAACATCCATCTATCTTTAGAATGTCGTCGCGTTCCTGACTGTTTTTATTTAAGACAGCCTCACTCTTTAGTATACCTCCTATGGATAGCGTACATTGTATAGAATTAAATCGGATAGCAATGGACTTTTAGCATCTAAAAAGGCATGATTCACCTAACGAAGCAACATGAGTCGTTTGTAAGCATTCATCAAAAACTGGATTTGTCTGCATTTTTTTGAAATGTGAGAATGATTCAACGATCTATACGTTCTGTTCATTACAAGTGAACACAGACACATGTGGTTTCAGGTGTTCATGTCCTATTTTGGAGATATGAGGGGGGAAAAAAAAAGAACTTTTCCAGATAGTTTTTTTCCAATAAGATTCAACGTCTTTTACCTCCACCACTATAGAAACAAACATGCCTTAGAAACGTCACCCTTCTTCATGATGACAACATTGCAAAGGCATGTTGTTTTCTGAATGACTTGTAAACTCGATCTTTGACCTACTTTCCTTTTCTTTTGTCTTTGAGTCATTTGAATGTCGCAATAAAAAACCAGAGAATTCATGATGGGGGGAAACGAACATCTTTTTATACAAATTAGGCAATCTCCAGAGCCTTTGAAAAAATGTGGAGTGATTCATTGAAAGGATAGATTGACAGTGAGAGCGGGGGAAGAATATTTTTTTGCTGAGAGATAATCTTTTTTTTTTTTTTTTTTTTTTTTTCAGGGTCAAATTGCCTTAATTTATATTCTCCCCTTTTCTCTTTTTTTTTTTTTTTTTTTTTTTTTTTTTTTTCTTCTTCTTTTGTCCCCTTTTTTTATCCTCCCCTGACTTTTATTAAAAACTCTTTTTTCCACAAAGCCAATGTCTGAAGCAACTCAAAAGCGTAAATGCATAGTTATGCTCTCGTCGTTCACAGAATTAAACACACTGACTACTATTTTACAATAATAGCTCTTCCTTTTGGATTTCAATTTTTGGCAGGCGCCATTGCTGGTGTCTCTGAAATTCTAGTCATGTATCCTTTAGATGGTAAAAAGTGTCGCTCTTTTTTAATTTTCATGATGGGAAGCATTATCATTTATTGTTTCCTTTATCAGTTGTCAAAACTAGAGCACAATTGAGTACGAGCGCGAATACTGGCATTGTCACCACATTTAAAAATATGATTAAAAATGAAGGGTAGGCTTTTTTCCTCTCTTTACCCCACATGAAAAAAAATCCCGCCTACGGGCTCTTAAATAGAGTAAAAAAAAAAAATGACTCACACTGTATCTTTCTTTTTGTTAGAGCGGCTTCTTTATATCGTGGTATTCTACCACCCATTATGGTAGAGGCTCCCAAGCGTGCTACTAAATTTGCTGCGAATGAACAATATACGTTGCTCTACAAGAAATTGTTTGGATTTGAAAAAGTGACACAATCCTTATCTATCTTGACCGGTGTCAGTGCTGGTGTAACTGAAGCTTTCATTATCGTGCCCTTTGAATTGGTCAAAGTGAGAATGCAAGATAAAGCCAATGTACGTAAATGGACATAGACACAAGATAAGGGGAAAACGTGTGCAGAACAAAAAAAGAAGAAAAAAATTTTAAGACTTTTTTTTTTTTTTTTTTTTTTCTTTTTTCCATAGGTGGGTAAATATAATGGTACAGTAGATACCATTCAAAAGATTGTCCGTGCAGAAGGAACGCTTGCTATGTTCAATGGCTTGGAAGCTACCATGTGGAGACATGCTGTATGGAACGGTGCTTATTTCGGTCTTATTTTCACAGTCAAGGATATGCTGCCTAAATCAAAGGTAAAAATGACAGACGCAACGAAACGAGAGAGACAGAACGCGATAAAACATACCTAACTCTGTTCATTTTTTCAAGGATGTCAATCAACAACGTATGACCAATTTCGCCGCTGGTACCCTCGGTGGTATCGTCGCCACTGCTATCAATACACCCTTCGATGTGGTAAAGACACGTATTCAAGGTTATAATGGCATTGGACCCAAAAAGTACAACTGGACTTTGCCTGCACTAGCTACTGTTGCAAAGGAAGAAGGGTAAGACACCTTTTGTTGTGGGGGGGGGGTTAGACAGTGGAGCAGCCCTTTACTCACAAAGACCTCTTCTTTTTTTTTAGTGTTGCTTCCTTATACCGTGGTTTCTTACCAAAAGTACTGAGATTAGGCCCTGGTGGCGGTATCCTTTTGGTCGTATTCGAAACCGTATCTTCTTTCATCAGAAAAAACATTTTGAAAGAGTAAAACAAACCCATATGGACTGAAATTAATTTTGTACTTATTATTTAACTATTATGCAACAAGGATTAGTGTTTCCATAGCCGTAAAAAAGCATTTTGGGAATAAACATCCATCTATAGACTTTTTTCTTATTATTTGACTCGATGTGTGCACAAAAGCTACTCTCACTCTTGTCTCAATAGATCAAAGAACCGTTGTTATCCATCACATTTAAAAAAATACACTTTTTGATCTCGTTCACATTGAAAAAGTGACTGGATGTTTTTTTTCCCCGCGCTTACATTTCCACCTTTTTTTATTTTATTCTTGTTGAACCAAAAAAAAATTATGTCTGCCATCAAAAGAAAGCGTGGCGAGATGTCTGATCAGGCAGATCAAGGACGATCCACTACCACGGCAGATGCTGAAGAACCTTATGATACAAGTTATCTCTCTCTAAGACCCACACAGTTCCCCACAGGCACACCTTTTGAATCGTGAGTACTTTTTTCTTTCTTCCCCTTGCATCGCACCCTCTCCCCCATAATGAAAGGAAATCGCTTACGACTCTATTAAAGTGAACGCGCAAGAAAATATTACTCTAAACTTTCTGATGAACGTCAGTTTCTCTTGCAATTAAGAAAACTTTGGGTGACCAAACTCACAGCGTTAAAGGTAGAAAAAATAACCAACAATTCCTTTCTAAAGAACACACCCGTTGCTCAAAACACAACTCATGCACGTTAGGAGGATCGCAAGTTTTTGCAAAGAATGAGAGAGGTGACTGAACACGATATAGAGGGCGTTCATTCACTGTTTCGACCAGCGCAAGACATGGATGACATTTCTTCAACTACCACCACTTGGCTTGAGGACGCACATGCTGCCGACGATCGACGAAAAGGGAAAGAAAAAGAATCCATGTCAGCTTACTCGACGTTTGTCGAACAAGAACTCCCGATCAAAGCGGGTGACAAGATTGTCGTGAAAGACCCAAACTTATTATCCATCCTTGCAGAGTTAGAGAGCCTCTATCCAGCAGCAGCAGCAGCAGCAGCAAGTACTCCATCCACTCAGACATCCACACAAACAAGCAATGATAAGCTGCCGTCTACAGATAATAAAACGGACGATGCAATAGTAGAGGAACTCATACATCATCCCTCTCCAGCAGAGAAAGAGAACGACGAAGACGAGCGAAGAGCTTTGAAACTTTTTCTCGAGCAATTTGGCGATTTACAGTAGTTTTTATTGATACAACAAAGCGAACCTCAAGACGTCACTTTTATTTTATTTTATTTTATTTTATTTTTTTCTTCTCCCCCGCTTAATCTTCTTCAGCAGCTAATGGATAGCGGGGACGAATATCCACTGGAATACCCGCATGATCAATACGATCCAGAGCCTCCTTTGTATTCGCGTCGAGTAGGCCATACTTTTTAACAAACTTATCCACGTCTTCTTTAATGCCGTTGCCCTGCAGCACCAAAATATCATGCGTGAGATCGGACACTGCAGATCGGATCTTGTCAAAGTTCACACTGTATAATTTGCTCTTCTCGTCGCATTGGAATCCGCCTTTTTCAATAAGGTAGTTCAATTGGATCGCTTGACCTAAACCATGGGCCTCTTGAATACCGAAACGAATGGATCGGAACGCCGAGGCCAAGAAAGTGACCCAGAATTCCTTTTGGCTCACATTGTCAATCGTACCATGGTCTACCATGAGATCAGCAGCAAATAAAGCAGCAATATCAGCTTTCGCTTCTTCAAGCGCAGAGTGATATTCTTGTAATTTGGAGCGCACTGTGTCCCCTTCCAATGTATGATGTGGCCCGTTGCTGTGACATACTTCATGTAACAAGACGTGCGTTGTGAAAGCATCCTTTGTCAAATATTGAAGCTGCTCCTTTTCCAAAACATTCGCAGCAATCGGTCGTAACACTTTCTCAAATTTGCCTTCTTGTACATTCTTGATCAATACCAACTTGGAGCCGCCTTTTTTGATCGCTTCTTCATCGTTAGGGAGGTTGTACGCTGCTGTCATAGGAACCTATCACAGTTTATTTTATTTTATTTTTTTGTCAGCGACCCCATGTTTCAAAGTATCTTTTTTGATGGAAAAAAAAAATAAAAACCAGACTACTTACAGCCACATCGCCCGCCGCATAAAGCTGATTGACAACGACAATAGGAGCAGTCACCAAATTGTCATTGCGGTATTTCGCGGGTATGGGCAAACGGTCTTCTACAAACTGCAAATCTGAGAATTTCTCCAACAATTGAGAAGATTTTTCATCCCTCACATGGATATAGAATTCGTAAGCGCTCTTCAATGTAAACAGGCCATCGGTATATTGCTCGTAGGGGCCGACGGTGACTTCCAATGTGTTGAACTTTCCAAGTCGAAGCCAGTCCAATTCAGACGCAAGGTATTCGTTGGAATCAAAAGCATCGGCACGAGAAACAAGAAACTGATCGATGCGTGTGCCTTCTTCACCGTGGCCGATCTCCTTGTTCTTTAAGGCTTCCGCTGCTTCACGAAGATGCTCAGCAGCAGGCTTTAACAGATCAGCATACGCTTCCGAATAAGGTACAGCTTCCAATTGACCCTCCTTATTCCTGCGGATGATCGTATAATAGCTCTTTGCCTTCTGCTGTTCTTCCTTGGATAAACCAGAGACCCACTCTTCAAACTCTTTCTTTGTCATATCTTCAGGGTATAAATTGCCTCCCTCAGGACGCTTGGGAACACCTTCAATGAAAGCAACGTTGTCATCTTCGCGTGCCTTTTTTAATGGTGAGAGAGGAACAAAAAAGTCAATTATCTCCATCCCTTCTGTCTATATCTGTATACACCATGACTCTTTACCCAAGGACCTTTGTACATTTCAAATAAAGTGCACAACTCTTGGTTTCCTTGTTTGTGTAATTTTTTACCGAGTTCTTCGTTGCCTGACCAAGCTTGTCGCATGTACAGTTGGTCCAAGTATTTGCCTGCTTTCACCAACTTTTTCAAAGCTGCATGCTCATGACGAGACAAATGAGACAAATCAGCAGTACATTCATAGAGGGCAAAACGTGCAAGACGGTTAGACAATGAGCGTAGCGTGGCCATGTTGAACGTGTTTTGTGCCTTTTTCACTGGAAGTTTGGGTAAGGGAAAAAAAAAAAGAAGAGTATGAAAGGAAAAAAGAAACGGTGTTAGGTTAATCCAAAGTTCAGATTCAGCAATGGACCACTCTGTTTGCCAAAGTGTGGGAAACAAAAGTTTTTGATGACACAAAAGATGACCCGCGTGAGGAGCATGGCTCTCCATCGCAGTGAAGAAAAAGAAAACACCATGACAATTCACTACAGGGCTTTAAATAACATGTTCATTTCATTGAAGGCACAAGGTGTGGAGGTAAGCTCTTTTCTCAGTTTCAAAGTATTTTAATTATCTTGTTCGATGACAGACCTACTTAAACATGGACAAGATGTGTCAGAGACTAGGTTGATACAGGGTGCTCTACATTGCCGTCAAAGAAGACCTTGGACAAGAATTTGTTCACAAAACACTGTACCAAGGCAATAGGCAAGATTTTTAAGGCAAGTTGGACAATTTCGCGCGCAGGCAGACGTAACGCTACTAGATAAGCTGGAGTTGCTGGAGTGGCTAATGGTCAATGAAGGCTGTCGAAGGCTATCGCTGGAATATATCCAATGGCACTTATTCGACATCCTCCAACAGTCAAGTAGATGGGTCAAGGATTTCCCCTTGTGAAGGCGAACAACTCTGGCTTTCCATTGCCTTTGTTTGTCATAGTTCTATTGAGTTCCAAAATAGATGCTGTCAAAGATCCTATTGATCATCAAACATACTTTGCTCAATTAAAAAATCTACCTGCTCTTGCTTTTGCTAACAATCATTTCTCTACGCATCACTTTTTTTCACCATCCTCAAGAGAGAACAAAGTAACTCCGTGAAGGTTGCAGCAGTCAGGATGAATATTTCTAGAGAACTTGTATTCATCTATAAAATGGATGGAAACGATGGAAACTGCATTGCTTTTAAAAACTGTACATGACAGCTTTTTCAAAGGGCTGTTCTAAAGCGTTTGCAGAACGTATGTTTTATTCACGTAGCATTCCCATTGAATGCTTTTCGAAACAAAGATGAAATGAATAACAGTCATAGAAGTTGCAGTAAGGTCAGTTGATATGAACACTCGAAGGAAAACCGTAACCTTTCAAGACGCTTGATTAAATCCCAAATACTTCAATAGCTCATGTTATATTCTTACTTTTTTTCCTATTTTCTGCCAAAAGCGCATTAAACACTAAGGAAACAGGTGGCAATGGCTGTCCAATAAAAACGATAGGGACGGGTACAATTATCAAAGGCGAGAATATCAAAATGCTTTTACATACTCTGTCACCATCCAAAGTCAGCCAAAGTGAAAACGTAAAATTAGGATCATCATTCTATTTATTTACGTTAAAGGCAAGTAGCAAGCTGTAATATGCCCGTTTATTTTGAGAAACGTTTCTATTCGTCGTGCAACAACAGTAAAGTTGATATCGGGGATTAAAAAATACCCAAAGTACAGTAAGTTCATGTTCGTATCCAAAAGGGCCATAGTGCGCTTCCTTAACATCTTCCGACATCTCGTTCAACCCCCCATCCTCGTACTTCTCCTTTCTATTGCCAAAGCTTCAGCCTGTAATAGATAGTATCAAAGCTTGTTCAAAACTTTTTGAAGTAAATGTATAATAATAACGCAGGGGGACCGTCCGGCCCTTCAAAAGGTACCTGCCGCTTTGAATAGTATCCATTAAATGGAGCCCATTTCATTAGCTCACACAAGTCAACAATAACAAAATAGGCATTCGGTTGAATTTCTTAACTCAAGCAGACCAGACAAAGTTTGAGCAACTGTTTGCTCAAAGCTCAGCAGCGTTTGGAGGAAACAAGATCTCTGGTAAGCTTTCTCATCTTGCTTGAACGCATAAAGTTAACAGTCTAACAAAACTTTATGCATAGCTCAAACTGTCAGTGAACTCCTCAGACGATCCAATCTCGACAATGACACTCTAGCAAAAATCTGGTATGAAAATAACTATTAAAACTCTCTCAAGCAAAGGGCCGACATGTTAACACGACTCTTCTTTGAAAGGGATCTCGCCTCTATTGCGAATGCACCTTATTTAACCTTTCCCGAATTTGCTGTTGCCATGTATTTCACGTCCAGAAAGTTGATGGGCCAAAGCCTTCCCAATACCCTCCCTCCAGACATTAGGGAAGAAACTGAAATAGCTATGGCCACCATTGCTTCAACCGAAACAGCAAATCCATCACAACAACTCGTCAATACCAGTCTACCACCTCAGCCAATGCAGCAGTTCCATAATAACACCATGATGGGAGGTATGACGCCCTCCATGCAAAATGTATCAGCGCAGACTCCACTGACGCCAGGCATGCAGATGCAAAACAACGCGCCCATGCCGCCCGCTTTACCTTCTCGATCTATGATGGCAGGCTTCACCACCAACAACTACCAAAGCCCACTACAGACTGGCTTTCAGCCCTCCATGCCTCCTGCCTTACCACCTAAAACTCGCCTTGCCAATCTTGATTTTGCCAAGAAAATGATGCCTAACCAGAATGGCATCACAAACCTTCTGAATCCTAGTTTGGGTACGACAGAGGCCAACCGGGTTACTTGGAAGATAAGTCCTGAAGATAAGATGCGATATCGCGAAATTTTCAATGCCTGGGAGGGATCCGGCTCTGGATTCATGTCAGGAGACACAGCGAAGGATGTATTCACTCAGTCTCAACTACCGCCCGAGGATTTGATGAAAATTTGGAATCTGGCCGATAGTGACAACAGAGGAAGTTTGGATGAGGACGAATTTGCAGTGGCTATGCATTTAATCTATCGTAAAATGAATGGATGTGACATCCCATCGGTTTTACCTGCTGAGCTGAAACCACCTTCAAGTGTGCTGAAAAAGTTTGTCTTGGGCCGTCGCCCTCCACCCTCAAAGCCATCCTTCGGCAGCAGCAGCAGCGATCATTCACAATACGCAGGCCAGCACAACAATGACGATTCTCCTTATCATTTGGATGCGGAGGACTATGTCTCGAGCTCGAGACGTAAAGAACCTCGATCGAACAGTAGTCGATACCATTCTCGCTATGACAAAGAGTCCAGCGATGAGGCCGATGTGGAAGTCTTGGAGGATCTTCGCAAACAAATCGCTGAGACGCAGCGTCAACTGGATAGAATGCCTAAAACCAGCCAATATAAAAATGCTTCGTACAGTTACAGAAACAAGATGTCATTGGAAGAACTCAAAGAGAATATTAGACGCGCACAGAATGATATCAACAAGAATATGCTGAGCAATGCTAGCTTCAACAAGTATTGGGAGAACGCAGAAATATTGATGGGCCTTATAGAGACGGAAAAGTCTTTGCAAGATGAAATTCAATACTTATGCAATCGTGACATTCCCGTGCTAGCCCGTCAGTTACGTAGTGCTGCCGCTGAGGTACGTGATGCTAAAGTACGTCAATCAAGAAAGAATGACGGTACTCAAGATTATATGGCTTTCATTCAACCGACGGGTCCTGGTGGCTCCATTACTGAAAGTGATCGTGTGAGAGCGAAAGCCAAAGCAATGATGGCTGCTCGTAAAGCTGGTAATGTAGGCTCTCATGCGGATGCTGGTCTTATATTGCGTCGTGCCGAAGAAGAAAAGGAGGAAATGGATAAAAAAGCGGATACTTTCGAACGTGAAATGGAAAAGTCACGCACTGCTTTATTAGATATGCGTGGCGATTTTAGATATCTGGAGGAGATTTCAGCTGCAAAGGATCTGGAAGATAAGAAACGTTTCGAAAATAAGCAAGATCTTTCTTATGAACTGCGTCACTTTATTGAACAGTTAGACTGCACGGTTCCAGAACGAACCTCAACGCCGCATACACCTTCATTTACAGATAATAGCCCTCGTCATGGGTTTGATAGCTCTGCAACAAGGAATAGTCCTACATTGACCGCTCTCAGTTCACCAAACGTCTCAAGTCCTAAATCCAAGCCCTCTCCTGCTCGTCCTCGTACAGCTGATGAAATCAAGAAAGAGGTATTGTTCATGACACTGTATTGTAATAACGAGCATATGTGTACTCACGCGCTACTTAATAGGCAGAAAGACGTGTTCAAGAACGTTTAGCTGCCATACAGGCTAAACGAAAGCCTGCTATGAACAGTCCTTCAAATGTCTCCATACCATCAGTTGAAAGTGTTAGTAAACCCAACGAGGCAGAACACAATTCTGAAGGTAACTTGCTTTTTACATATGCTTATTTCTATACTGGGATGCTCAATTGCAACATTTTCGTTTAGATGTTCACCAAAGTATAACCGATCAACATAGGCAAAGGACAGACGAAGAGACACAATTACGCGAAAAGGAACGTCTTGAACGTGAACGCTTAGAAGCTGAAACCGCTCGTAAAAATGAAGAAGAAGAGAAGAAAAGGCAGCAACAAGAAAATGAAGACATGGAACGAAGACGACGTGAAATTTTAGCAAAAGAAGAAGCCGAACGCCAAGCCCGTTTTGATGCTCTAAAGCGTGATGAAGAGGAGGCTGAAGCCTTGAAAAAAGCCCAGAATAGCGAACGTAAACCAGAGGAACAAAATATTTCTAACAATGTTATTGCACCATCATCTGAAACAGAGGCCTCAACAGCTCCTGTTCCTGAAGTCACCAGAAGCAATACGAATCCTTTCAATAAAGTGCAACAAACGGCTGATCCGAATGCTACGTCTTCACAGGCCGAAAAGCCCAACCAGGCTACCAACAAAAGAATGAGTTATAACCCCTTCGCTGCATTTTCGGCATTTTCAGCTACAAAAGGCAGCAATAAAGTTGATACAGATTCGGACGATGATAATTGGGACGCAGGCAACAACGACTCAGATGAAGAAAGTGAATTCCCTGCTGCTGGCAGCGCAAAAGGTCTGGCTTCAAAACTCTTCAGTGTCTATAGTGGAAATACAAATAGAGGTACGATATCCGGATACTGAAATATGTTCCCTTTTCTCAGTCAAACTAATTTCCAATTATAGATAGCTCCGAAAAAGGCTCGCCTAAGCCGAATGAGTTAGATAACCCCAACGCTAGTACCTCCTCAGACATACCTGCCTCTCCTTCGGCATTGTCAACAGTAAATGATGCTAATGCATCTATTTCAACGACGTCGGCATCACCTAAGGCTCCTCCTGCTCCTCCTGCTCCTCCTGCTCCTCCTGCTCCTGTTGCACCTGTTGCACCTGTTACAACTGCTGCACCTCCTGCTCCTCAAGCTTTCACTTCGGAAAGTATACCACAACAGCCTATATCTGGCGGAGGTGACTTAAGAAGTGCTTTGCTGAATCAAATTCAAGCAGGAACTAGATTAAAGAAAGCTGTTACTAATGACCGTAGTGCTTCTTCTGTTGCCGGTCGTATTATTGGCGGTTCGTCAACCCCCGTTCAACCAGCGGCAGCTCCGGAAGAAATTGCTGCGCCCACACCAGTTGCTGCACCATTATCCAGCGCTAACTTCCTTGCTGAATTGCAAGCGCGTGCTAGTGGAGGAACAACCCCTGTGCAAGCTTCAGATTCTCAGCAAGCAGAGCCTTCTGTCTCGGAGGAGATTGCTGCTTCAACAGAAAACATGAGTGCCATTGATACGACGAAACCCGAGAAAGGTAACTATTTCTGTTGTTTTTTTTTTATTGAGGGATTACATAATTATAAACAATTTTTTATTTTTCTGTCATACATAATGTAGAATATATTGCCATGTGGGACTATAATGGTGCTGGATCAGACGATCTTACCTTTTTACAAGACGATACTATTCTGGTACGTGATGATGATTCAAACGAAGACTGGTGGTACGGCACATTGCAAAAAGACCAAAAAACAGGCTACTTTCCAAGAGCCTATGTTCAAATGAAAGTCGAAGGTAAAGTGAAGATTAGCCAATTCTTTTCTTCTTAGATCAGTATTAACTGTGCTTTCGTATGTGAATAGTTCCTGAACTGAATATCAAAGTAAAAGCTCTGTATGACTTTACAGGCCCTGAAGAACAAGGCTGTTTGAACTTTAATGCTGGTGAGACTCTCATTATTTTGGTAAAAGAAAGTGACGATTGGTGGAAAGCTAGATCCGAAGAAGGTCATCGTGAGGGCTTGGTGCCTGCAAATTATGTTGAGGAAGCATAGTATGCTTCTACATACAATAATATAATTACTTAAAATAATATTTCAAATCCTAAACTGTTATACAACAAAGTAATCGACATCATTAATTGAAATTGCGCCAGTGAGAACAATCTTCTTTTCCTTCCAAATACATCGCATACTACGATCGAAGTTCTAATGAAACTGGGATTTGAGTTTTATTGATATTAAGAGTTTGGACAATGTTTCGAGCATTATAAGGAACGACAGTGCAATACAGAAATAACAAAGATGGGTTTTTTGGAATGTTATGTTAAGGATTATTCGCGATACAAGATACAGTTTAGGTTATGTAGAGCGACCTACTCAGTCACATTTTCCTTTTACGCAGCTGTTCTTGCAATCTCTGTTGGAATTACAACAAGAATTTTTGGGGCCTTTGCCGGTTTTCTTACCGATAAAACCAATGTCGCAAGTGGCAAGAGAAGGGCCATTACATTTTCCTTTAACACAGCTTTCCCAACAGTCGTCACTGGTTTCACAGCAGGCACCATTATAGCCATCCCCATTGCCGCGACCTTCTGAACCAGTGTAGCAGGTAGTTGCAATGGGGGCATTACATTTACCCTTGATACAGCTTTCTTGACAATCATCGCTATGGGAGCAGCAAGCGCCTTCAGGTCCTCTACCATTCTTCTTTCCACGGAAACCGGGTTGACAGAAAGAATCGGTGGCAGTAGGGCAGATAGAAACAGTAACTGTTTTGGTAACAGTGCTACCGCCGATAGAAGTAGGTTTGTTTCCCTCCGTAATGGTAGGCTTAGAGCCAGTACCTGTAACAGTACCCGTAGTTTTGGTTGACGACTTTGTAGTGCTAGTGCTAGTTTTAGTTGACGTCTTTGTAGTAGTAGTGCTAGTTTTGGTTTTGGAAGTGGCAGGAGAATTAGCATCACAAGAGTCATTTTTGTGCTTATTCCACCATGCACATGCAGCAGTAAACTCGGCAGTGAACAAATCAGGATCATCACCGGTACACTTGGCCATACACATGCCTGCATTCGTCATGAAATTCATGTAATTAGGGCCCGCTTTATTACACATTAGAGCAAGAGAGTCCAAGAAAAGCGGAGAGGTATGATCCATAGTCCATCCAGGGACCCATTTTTGACCCGTTTGCTATATATCAAGAGTTTTGTTTAGCCAATCAAAATTAACTCATTGAACCTGTTAACGTAATATAGATTATAGGTATTTTAGACTTACGATATTACAATTAGTAAAGCATGTCGTAGAAGGAGGGACGTTATAAGAAGGATTGCAGTCAACAGCAGCGGCAGCAGAGGAAACGAAAGTGGCGATGGCAGCACAAATAACGAGAGAGTTACGCATTTTTTGACAGACTGAAAACAAACACGAATGGTGATGATGAAAAGCAGATGAGGATTGACCCTTAACAACGGGTTTTATACTTTCATCCTGCGCGTTGTAAAGTTTTCAATAGACCTTCCTAATCTTCTGTCGAACATTGTAACATGAATATTGAATGTTTGAATTGCAGAATGAAATATATGTTAACGGATTATTGCGGGTGAAGCGTATTGTACGCGATAATTGGACAGATCTAAACAGAGACATCAAAGATCAGTTGGATTGTGTATGTAACACACAATTGTGAAACGAAGGACTTATCAGATTTTTTTGATAAGAACAGAACAATATGAAATGGCTCATTAATAGCACCGTTGCGAGATTCCTTTTTACCCAGAAGGGACTTTTACAACCGAAAGAAAACCAACCAGTAATTTAGTAATAACTTACACTTGATTGAGTTTTATCAAGAATAAAAAGCAAAAATTTAATTCCTTTTATTATTGAAGGCAAGCGCAAACATCAATGCGAACATTGGAAACAATAATTCCACGAGTTATTTTGCCTTTAATTGCAACATCTGTTAAGAATACACCGCCCGTGGCACCAAAAACTCAAGATCTGATAATTGATAGTATGTATTTATCAGATGGAATATATAATTATGATTATATTGTTACACTTTGAGTAGAATAAGTTTAGTCTACTTGAATACTGGACGTACAATGTCTAACTTTTGTGTTGAAAAACACTGGATGTTTTGTCATGATGATTTTTCATCTGGCTTCAGTTCCTACAGAAAAAGTTAAAAAAAGGGGAATAGGTTCGAGAACAAAAGTTTTGGCACGTATGTGATTCTTATACAAACTACTTATTAACCTAAGAATCCAACCAACTTTGAAAACTGATATTTCACAGCATGTTCAGGCGCTATCGTATGGCATTCCACTGCTTCACTTTCAATATTCCTTTATCCATACGATAGGGTCCTTCTTTTTTCCAGATGGTGCTTTGGTACACTCATCACAGTTAAGCGTTCTTTGGTACTACGGTTTTCGATTTGTGGTTCAATTTCGTTCGCAACTGACGTGTTTGGTGAGATAACAACTACTATACTCGAGTAAGTACAACCAGATAAAGTATATAACTACCAAGGTCTATTTATATTGCATCTAATAATGGTTTTGTACAATATATGGCCGTATCTGAACCTGAAATTAGTGACTAGCATACGCGTGCTCATCTGACGTTACATAGTAAATCATCTTTCTACTTCATCTGAAGAGTAATAAAAACACTAAATGACAATCATCCACTCACACACAGTTACCAATTTATTAAACCACACAATCTGAGCAAACGTTCAACCGTAGTTTATCTAACTTTTTCTATCATCTTCAAGGGGTTAATTTAACTGCTGGAGTAAAATATCGAGGTCAGCTTATGCTAGATTGAAGAAATTGTTACATATGGTCTGACTTTTGAGATTAATACATATAGACTGTTGAAATAAACTGTACATGCATATAACTACCCGTATTATATTGAATCCGTGAAGAAGGCTGACTCCCTATAAAACGTGAATTAAATAACTTGCATTCCTTCTTTTTGCAGGGCTGAGAGGCTCGCAAGGTCGACTTTTTTTTTGGAAAATTTGGAATAACGGAAGGCTTGTACATATGCAGATGAAGATGACATTTTTGTACCGAAACTTCTGCGAGGAATATTTGGTTCAAATGTATGTATATGATTGGCTTGAAGTCTCCCGATATAATTGCATTTCTCTAGTGATGAAAAAGACTCTAAATCGTGATAGAATGCTATGCAGCAGACGACATGCATCATATCTTCTATAGATTCCTATACTAATGCAGGGGCTTCATTTATTCATTCAAGGAACCTCAGCACACTGTCTCAACTTTTTTTTTTTACACAGATTATAATCATGAATTTAATTAGGTCGTTGATTAAATCCGATACATAAGCTTTGAAATTAAAGATGACACTGATGGTCATGAACGAGTTTATGCTACCGAATTTTAGTTTTTAGTCCAGTTATCTGTCAACCTGCGCTTTTTAGGAATTTGTCGATGATATAGCAGATTGTGCATTCGATATGCATTACAAAGTAGATGATTAAGGTTCAGAGAATCTATTATGCTACAGTTTTGCAAATGTCCTACTGATATTCTGAAAGCTAGACAGGATGATATATCCTTTTCAATGTACAGTTTTAGGTAAGTTTGAGAGCTCAGCTATACGAATGATATATCAGCGTTGAACAAACTATCTGACTTCTTCCATCAGAACTCGACATGACTACTTTTACCGCACATCATTCTTCAAAACCGCGACACCTTACTATTACCTAAAACAATGTATTTAAAGAATAGAAAGCTTACCATAATCCGCTGAATGCAAGTGTATTAAGGCTAGCTTATCTTTGATTATCTTGGATGACTATTATTGATCGTTTAATCTTCTATATCATACAACGCTTTCTTGCTATTTTTACAGAAATTGCCTCAAATCGCGACAAAAGAAAGCAGCATCTGTAGAAGATGCTTATTGACAAGACTGTTCGACCAATTTTAAAGAAACATCAACTACCAATATATTCAATAATCTTCAAAAAAGTGAAGAGTACCTCTTTACCAGGCCTAAGTAATAATATAAACAAATTCACTCCAATCTACCAAAATTGGCTATCTATATTTCAAAAATATTGCACGAGGAAACGGTCTGTATACAATTGCTTGTGACCTGTTCTCAAATGCAGACTTTGAAGTTGAAAGATGGTTGTTTGACAGAGGAGGTATAACCATGTCTAATTACCATTAGTGAAAGAGACTGAGAATAACTGAAGCTAATAAGAAATGGACCATCAGAATATTACAGTCATTACCATCATTTTGTTCAAACGCGAGGTGATTATTAACCTTTTTCTCTTTTTTTTTGGATTAGGTCTTAGCAAAGATATAAAACATTTTTTCAGTCTCAATGCCCTTTTCAGGCAGCTTTCATTTGTTGTTAATGTTTTACGAAAAGCAATTTTTGCTAATCTTTCATTCCCTTGGAAATAATTGTTAAATTGTCTGTGCTCTGGGAATATGCCTTTGCACCTGTGTATTTTGTACTACTTTCCTGAAGGGTCGAACAAAAGAAGTAAACTGTACAAAAGCTCAAAGAGATAGTTTGGTACGAAATGTAAGACATTCTTATTTCGACTCTTCCGATGACCAGGCTTGAACGATATACAGTTGATAGATATTACAAAGTATTCGGTTCAGAAAATTCAGCAAAAAGTCCGTTGATACTATTAATACATGGTGCTGGAGGTGACTCACAACATTTCAACACTGTCATCCCTAACCTGGTTAGTAATGGATATAGGGTGCTCGTTCTCGATGTTAGATTTCATGGGGCATCGCAATTATTGAACGGATCTTTAGATTCAGACACAATCACATTCTCATTTGACGATGTACTTTCTGATATTGAGTTGACCCTAGAAGAAGTAAAACGAGTCCATTACCCAGAGGAAAAATATGTGCACCTGTTTATTGGAGGATTATCGATGGGAGGCATGGTATCGTTGCTCTATGCTACGGACTCCTGTCTAAACAAAAGACTTGCTGGTAATTTGGGGATAGTTCTCGAGGGTATTATATTGATTGCGGCAGGTATACCACATATGCATATTCCTCGTATTGGTTGGGATATATATTCGGAGCGCAAGGCTACTGCAGAATACTTAGAATGGACAAGGTCTGCTATCATTCAATCAGCCCTAACCGAATATGGTCAGAAAGAAACAACGAGAGCAATGAAATTGATTTCTGATCACAATCTTTTTGAATGTATGGTTGCTATTGCCACACTCCTTCCTTCGCCTTCCTCCGCTCAACCAAATTCTTACGAACTGAAAACAAAAAAACCTATGCTATTGCTGATACCCGACAAAGATCCATACATACGACCTGAAATGGAGTTGCTCCATCAAATCAATTTGGAAAATGGTGTCAATAGTGAATTGGTCACTGTATATGATTCCGGGCACATGGCTATTTTGGACAAAGGAGAGGAAGTTGGTACCTTAATCCTAAACTTTTGTAATAAAGTGCGTGCGAACCGTTTGAAAACGCAGGATGATTAGAGTAATTGTTATATAACTTTTTGTAAAATGATGCCGAATATTTAATAAAACTACTTTCAATGCTAACCGCCAAACGTAAGGAAGACAGGCACGCTGATGCCATTACATGATTTACTTTGATTATGCTACTCATCCTGAGTGGTGTAATAGATACATAGTGTAATATAATTTCCTCTATGTCAACAAGTGGAGTAAATGTGCTCGAAACACACATGCAATGGGTATGACCAAGCTTTTACCCCTTCTTGATTCAGGGGATTTTTCATTTCAAAGTACAGACTGCAGTGTGCATTTATTTGTTGCGTGTAAAGAGTTGTGCATACGTGTCTATGATCTCAAAACTTAAATCTGTGTGTATCAAATTTTTGTGGAATTGAATATATCCTCGCGCCACTATTAGGGTTGTTTAAAACACCAGCTGAATCGTTTATTTTGTGTAGGTGCGATGATTACGGACATCACTCTCGTATTCAATTACTGGTAGTTAGTTTCGTGAGTTTGGTCTTTGGAAATAACTTTATTAATAAGTAACTAAACAGGGAATTTAAATAAATAACTGAAGAACGCAAATAAATTGACAAATAATTATAGGTATGATAGTGGAACAGCCTACCCAAACGAGTGATAAATGAATTGGCCAGATCAGAAGGTCATTTGCTTCTGTTGAACAAATGTGAACTTTGCTTAAACAAATAGATTACATATTGCTCTGCAATTCTCAAAAACTATTGGCAATAGAAACATCATGCATATTGAACAGTGACAAAATGCATTCTTTGAAGGAATGATGCATCTCGCTTTTTATATACACAGAGCGATTGATATTCATGTCTAATGCTTCTTAAGTAAATAGGATCTTGAGTTACGCAAGAGTCCTTTTTTTGTGCGCAAGCTGGACGTAATTTAAGGGTGTAAGTCAGCTGAAGGTGGAACCAACGATCATGCCTTGCTGTTTCGATTATTCAAACTTTTCTCGAAATAGTTAAAATGATAGATTCGATTTATTTTTAAAGAAAACAAAGGCAGAGATCGTGTTAATAAAAACCAAATCTGAATCTTGGAAAGCTTGAGTGCAATTAAATTGAAAAGGAACGAGATGTTAGAAGGAAATTGCGTATATGATAAGGAGCCTAAAATTGAAGTAATCGAAAGAGTGTAAGGAGATATACAAATCACGAAAGGTATCATTACAAATATGTTGCGCGTTCAGTAATCTTCAAACTGGAGACGAGGAGAAAGGTTTCAACAAGAGAAGCTCTTTAAGCCTGATTCTCAAATCAATTTATAGATTTCAGCAAGGAGGAGGTTAATTTCGATAGACTAAAGGAGGGCGGATATCGTAGAAAGATTTTATCAAGGTATCAGTTTTTCAGCTTTGAGTACTAGTAGCAGATCAACATCAGCTATTATAAATGCAACAGGAAGGCATTTAAGTATTACATCTAGACAAAAAATAGTCAGAACATTGTCTATTTGTTCCTTTCTGTTTATCATCATCGATAATTTGAATTGAATTAACATGTAGATTTTGGTGTAATATTTATGCTGATCTGCATTCAAAGCATTTGTGTTGACTCCTAAAAATTATTGGTTTTTTTTCGGTAAGTTCATACGCACAACCTTCTTGGTTTGTCATTCCCCTCCTGTTATGATATAGCCCTATCTATCACCATTTTGTTTTCAAAGAGTAAAATCATCCCTGAATTTCTCGCTTTCCTTCTAAACAAGGTCGTGCTTCAAGTGCTCCCCGATCTCCCTAAATTTGCAAGGACTATTTAAGCTATGATCTCTTCGTTGGCTTTCTGTCGTCTTTTTTCCTGCTGAATTTGATATTTATCATTTCAACTGTATACTTACAAACCCTCGAGCTACTTTATCACAAAACAGTACAAATAGCATAATGAAATTTACTGGAACTTCAATTCTCATCTCTGCTGCTTATCTTGCTTCATTTGTCACGGCACAAGGTTCCGGGCCAATTGTATCAATTACGTCGCCGTTAGCAAACACAAAATATAAGGCTGGTCAGGAAGCTATCATCTCTTGGATCAATCCTACAGTTCAAACTATCCCTCAAATTGTTTTGGCTAAAGGTCCATCCAATGCTCTACAGCCTGTTACCACTATCGCTACCAATGTAAATGCAAAGGAATTGAAGTATGTCTGGAAAATTCCTTTTGAAATCGAAAATGGCAATGAATGTAAGAATAAGGCATTGATAAAATAATTGAATGAGGGTATATGTACTAATGTGAGAAATTGTGTATAGATGCTTTCGAATTGGGGCAATCTCCCGACCTTGCTTTTGCTGGCCCTTTCACCATTGAAGGTGGTGTTGGAGGTACCCTTCCTGCTTCCAATGGCTCTTCATCCAGTGCACCTTCATCTACGCCTCCTTCTGCTGCTGCTCCACCCGCAAACAATAATGCTGCTTCTACACCTGCCCCAACATCTGCTGGTGGCTCCTCCACTACTAGCCAAACACAACCCCACAATGCTAATGCCTCTAATGCTAACAACAATAATGGTAAGAGCTCAGGAGCTAATGTTGAAGCAGTCGCTGGTAAAACTGTTATCGCTTTAGGTCTTGCTGCTGCTATTGGCTCCTACCTTTTCTAAATACTATCTTTTTCTCGTTCAAATAATCGTATAATATTTATTATACTTTAATGTTCTTCATAATACTACTCGAACAAATGTATAAACTTGCTCCACAACAATTATCTACTAGTCTTTTTGCCTCCCCTCCCTTACTAACTTTCTAACATAATCGCGATCTTATTCCCATTGCGTTCACCGTTTAACATCCATATTATCCAAAATAAACACCTTTTCGAGGAATACTTGTAGAACGCTAGGAATTTAAGCTAGCTGGAAGGAGTTCGTAGTTATGAAAGAAGGGGCACACCCCTCTGTCATTGAAAATGATTGATAAATAATTGCAAACTACATATTTTGTCAAGCTTTTCATAGAAGTTTCCTTTCAACATGCACAAAGAGTTTTCGAGTGAATACTTCTTTTCAGCGGCGAAGGACTCATTCAACATTATCTAGAGATACGAATACATTCTTTATAATCGCATACTTATTGGCAAGCTCAAATCACTGAATCCGTTATAAGAACAAGGACGTAAATAGCGTTTATGCTACTTTCAAAATCGTTGAACAACGCGTTAGTTGCGAATAGAAGAATAACACCTCTATAGAGATCATAGCTTTCTCCCCCCAACCCCTCTTTTTCTTTAATGAGAAGTTATAGAGCACAATCAAAATTCCGACAGAGTGAAAAGAAAAAAATCGCCAAAGAAACCACGGATTTTCTTTCGCGCCCCTTTTTTCGAATTTGGTTTTAGTTCGGCTGTTATGCCTTCAACGCTGAAGAGAAAGAACGGCTACAATGGTCGCTCAGAACACGAGGTAAACTGTCGAAAGAACAAGCTTGCTTTTGATGAATAAGTTTATCCAATTCCGTATATTTTAGGGGGCAGAACACCATAAGAAGCCTAAGCTCTCTTCAAGTTCCATCGATTTAAACGACGATGAAAACGCGAGTAGAATTATGGACGAAGACGATGGTGATATTGAATTTTCCAGAGCAGAAGTCGTTGAGGATGATGAACCAGTTGAAAGATGTACGAATGGCCAGCAGCACAGTTTGAATGGGGTTGACTTGACCGATATGGTGAGTTGTTGTCAGCTTCTACGAATAAGTCGGAACTGCGATTAAGCAAAGCGATAATTTTATAGAGAATCAACAAGGCAGGAACCATTGCAAGAGTAGAGCTAGTTAACTTCATGTGCCATAAGTATTTGAAAATTGATTTTGGTCCAAAAATCAATTTTGTAATCGGTCACAATGGCAGTGGTAAAAGTGCAATTTTGACAGCCATTACACTTGCCCTGGGTGCCAATGCCAGCTCCACCAATCGGGGTAGATCTTTGAGCGATTTCATCAAGAACGGTGCTAGGTAGGGTTTCTAGGCCTTCCTAATGGAAAATTAGGCTTTCTTTTTGGTTTATTGAGTGTTTTAACTTGCAATTTCATTGTTCCTTTAGTGCTGCAAATATTACGATCCATTTGACGAATGGTGGAGACTTACCCTATAGACCCGACATATATTCTGACATGATTATTGTGGAACGAAGAATCAATAAAGACGGACCAGCTCCGTACAAAATCAAAAATGCATCTGGACGAATTGTTTCTACTAAGAAAGAAGACCTTATCGCTATCTTGGATTACATGAACATTGTGGTGACTAATCCTTTGACAGTATTGATGCAGGATAAAGCAAGAAAATTTCTGAGTGATAGTTCACCTGAGGACAAGTATGAACTCTTTATGCAAGGAACTCAGCTAACTAATCTGCAGGACGATTTTGAAGCAATCCGCGAGAATTTGGAAACGGCACGCGCTACTCTTGAAAGAAAGAAGCAAGGTTTGCCTGCTCTCCAATCAGAGGCCAACGAAGCCAAGAAACGTTATAAGGATATTCAGGAAGCCAAGCAGATCGAAGATAATATTGATGTGCTGAATAATGAATTGGTTTGGTCGCAGATTATCATGAAGGAAAAGCAACGTGATGAATGCAAATTGAATGCAGAAAAAGCCAAGAGAGAACTTGATCTTATACAAGAAGCTTGTAATCAGCAAACGGAAGAAATTCAAACGGTCGATCAGAGTATATTACAAGTAACTGATGAATTGCAAGCTGCTACTAATTTGGCCAACCCTGATGCGGAAGCTACAAGAGCTCTTTTACAGAAAAAAGTCGAACAGGAATTTGGAATAAAGAGTTTAAAGGTAGGTTTACGTTATAAAGCAAAGCATCGCAGTGATATTCTTACTAACAATTTTGAATGATTCTCAGAGTGACCTTCAAGCTATTAACGAGGAAATCAAAAAGACTAAGAAAAGGAAAGAGCAATTTGAAAGAGAACTCAAAGCAGAAGAGGAAAAGCTGGAAGCAAGCAGTAGAATCAAGCGTGACGAAATTTCTGCAGATATGGAGAAATTGAGAGCACAGATTCAAAGTAAAGTCAGTAAAGCCAAACAATTTGGTAACGAACAGAAAGATCTCGAAAAGGAGATAGACGAAAAGAAAAGACAAATGGAAACCAATTCGCATTCTATCAGTTCCCTCAAACGTCGTATAGACGGAATAAGGGACGTTATCAGAAATCTGCAAGAACAAAAAGGAAACCGAATGAGAGCTTATGGTCAAAAAATGCCAGATGTATTAGCGGCTATTCGTAGGGAAAATCGCTGGGAAGGCAGAAGACCCGTCGGACCCATGGGATCCACTCTACAAGTTGCTGAGCCAAAGTATACTCAAATCATAGAATCCGTACTAAACAGAAGTTTAAATGCTTTTGTGGTAGAAAATTTTGCTGATAAGAACTTGCTTTTCAGTATTCTCAAGAGTTATAAGATGCACCTCATACCTATCATTGTTGCCGAATATGATTTATTTGATTACTCAGATGGTGAGCCAGATGAACAATATCTAACGGTACTTCGTGCGCTGAAATTTGAAGATGAATGGGTCAAAAGGCAACTGATTATTGCCAATAAAATTGAAAAAATGTTATTGATGGATGATCGGCAGCGTGCTGATGAAATTATGTACAACAGACCACGAAATATCGATCTTTGTTTTACCAGCAACGGGTATAAAGTGGGCGGAAAATCTGGTAGTATGAAGACTGAATCGGTCGAAATTTATCGTGGTGCCTCGAGATTCCAAACAGATGTCGATAGTCGAATCAGAGAAGAATCTGAAAGTCAACAAGGACTCCTACGAGAACTCCAAGGTTTAGAACAGCAAGCCAGACAATTACATTCGGCAATAGCCCAACTTAATCTTCGCAAGGAAGAGTGCAAAAATTCTGAATCTGGCCTTAAACGACAAATACAAACCATTGAGCGTCAAATCTTTGAAAAGGGACGAATGCTTGAAGAAAATGATCCAGTTGATTTAAGTTCTTTCGAAGAGGAAATTAGAGAGTGTGAAGAGAAATTGAGAAGTCTCTTTCAACAATTTCAGGATGTTAAAAAGCAAGAAGAAGCAGCCAAAAGTACTCTTCGCGAAACGTTGCAAGAATTACAGGTATATCAAAGAAAGGAGAAGGAACGCCAAGAATATGCCAACGAATTCCGCCACAAGCTTAATCGGTTGGAAGAAATAAAACAAAACTTGATTGCAAAGCTAGACGAGTTAAAATTACAGAAGCAGACCATGAAAGCCCGCTATGAGAGTCATCATGTCAGTTATCAAGATTGTGAGAGGACCGTCAGAACTTGGATTGAACAAAGCCGAGAAGACTACCCCGACCGTGTTGAAACGACAAGAAAGCCTCAAGAAGTTGAAAAGGAAATTAAACGTTTACAGAGTAATGCTGAACAAATGGAAAGCAGAATGAACATGTCACTTGAAGAATTGGAGCAACAAACGTATGATACCCTTGCAAGGTGGAATGAGGCCAATGATACGATCAAAGGGATGGAAAAACTACACCGGTCCTTACAGAGAATGTTGCGTGATAGAATGGACAAATGGGAAGCATTCAGACAGTATATTGCACTTTCTGCCAAGCAGTACTTTAGCTATTATCTTCATCAACGTGGCGATGAAGGAAAATTGCGTTTCAATCATGAAAAGAGACAACTTGATATTCGTGTATCGACAGGAGATCAATTTGTTAAGGGTTCCCGTCAGAAAGACTCAAGATCTCTCTCAGGTGGCGAAAAGTCGTTTACACAAATCAGTTTGTTGTTATCACTATGGCAGAGTATATCATCTCCTATCATTTGGTAAGTAGGCACTTTTCTTGATCATACTCCTTTCTTTTTAATTTGAGGACAATTCTTACCTTCTTCATACTATGTAGTCTTGATGAATTTGATGTCTTCATGGATGCTGTCAACAGAAAGCAAACAATGAATATGATTGTAAGTCTATATATTCTAGCCATCCTTATAGGCTATCAAATTTCTAAGACAATCTTACTATGCTGTAGATGAATGCTGCCAGTGATAACTCTTCACAATACATACTAATTACGCCACAAGGTAAGGCAAAAGCGCATAAAAGAAATGCTGAGCAAGAAAAAAAAAATTAATGATCTGTTTTCTTTCTTCTAATTTTTCTATAGATGCAAGTAATATGGAACCTGGACCATACGTTACTGTCCATCGAATGGCAGATCCCGAACGCTAATTTCTGATTCTTGGCCTGTGTTGTATTGTCATAACTGTGTAAATAGCATTTCCAATGCTTTCTGTATTGTATTTAATTGTTAACCTATTCCCCTTCCGTATTTTTGAACGCATTCCCTCATAACCTTTTGTTTTGCTTTTACTATCATCTTTTCATATCCGAAACAGCTGAACGGAATATACTACGTTTGCATATCATGAATCTTGAGCATATTAGTAGGCTTTACCGAAGATATACGATAGTGTGGCTGACAGTTTACCGAAAAGTACAGTGTAACAGTACTGATCTGAGGATTCATCTGACATGATTGGCTACGCCAAGAATTTTAAAAATAAAACTATCCAGCCTAATTTTTTTTTTTTTTTTCCTTTTAGTTTCTGTCATATTTAAACCTGATTTAAACTTCGGCTTTTCCTTAACCTTTCTTCTTTAAAGTTTCTTTCTACGCTACCTTGAAACATTAATGGCTTTAAATAAAAGCAGTTCTCTATTATTCTCATATACCATTCTAGCCTTTTTGGCTGCATTTTTGGGTGACTTTGTCACAGCCGCTCCTATATCAGCAGATGGAAGTTCTGCGACAATAACATGTAGGTTATCAAGAACAATTTTAACAGTAATAATGCGATAACAATAAAGATTAAACAGAAATATGTTCATAGTCGCAGGACATTCAGTCACTGTTCATGGTATTGTTTTCAGTGTCGTATTATTTGTTACTGGCGCCTATCTCTGTTTTGTTGGAGGTAAGATACAAGTGTTTCCGTTTCCAATAGGTTCAATGTACGCTGACTGACAACCATCCATTTATCTATGCGAACGATTATATAGGGGTGTTTCAAAACTTTACCATGTTTATTGTCGGCTTTTATTGTGGAGCAAATATTGCTTATATTATTCTCACTAATGCTAAGGCGGATTACGGAAGTAACACCGATACCATTTTACTCGTCGTGAGTATTGTGGTCGGTTTATTAACAGGTGGTTTACTATGCTGCTGCTTCTTCTTGGCCGTCTATTTACTCGGTGCTTTACTCGGTTACATGGTTGCCCTTTGGTTTTTGTCTTGGAATACCAATGGTGTTATCCAATCTAATTGGGGACGTGCTATTCTGATCGTTGTTTGTTGCGTGGTGGGCGCCATTTTGATGGCCTTCTTGGAACGGCCTATGTTTGTTATCGCCACGGCTTTCATCGGTTCATTTGCCATTTTCTGTGGTATAGACGTTTATGCAAACACCGGATTTTTGGAAGCTGTGAATCAATTCTTGCATGCTAGAAACTTGGATACAGTTGTTACAGCAACAAGTGCACTAAGAGGCATGCTGGGTGGCTGCTTGGCACTAGCTCTCTTTGGCTGTTTGATCCAATGGTGCATGCTTAGAAGGGATCACTCATCCTACAGAGTGTGGAGAGAACGTTATCCTCCCCGTGGCGGTTGGACCCGCGTATAAAGACAATTAAAAGTCAAAATCTCCAAACACAGCTATTATTTATTTATATCTATATTTACAAACCCACATCTAACATACTTCTTTCTTTTTTTGTCATTTAAACGTGTATAAATAACGTATATTCCCTTCTTTTTCCTCTTACTACTACTTTTTAGTATTAGATAAAGCAGACTTCAACATACATATTGTCATTCATCTGCCCTGATTTCAGCCAAGTGTTGTTAATCACTCGGTTAAATCTGAGTTTATATTACCTTGTTCGGAAATACAGTGTTTTAGCTTCAACTTTACACTTTATACAAATTTTATTGGACAAGATAAATATTAATTTAGATAATTTTAGATTACTTTAGGATGAAATGGTATAATATTCTTGGACGATTTATTGAAAAAATAATTGGAGACATTATTTTGAAGGTCAGTGGACATTTTTCAATTGATAGTGGCATTACGTTAAAGTACTACGAGACGTACTGAGTATTTTAGTGTGACACGCTTATCAGCAATAGATACAGGGTTGTGGTTTACGAGACTTTATTTATGAATTATATGAATTGATCTGCGCGTTAAACTGATCTTAGACACGTTCTTCCGCCACGTAGATAACGGTTGTTGTTGTCAATCGTAATAAAAAATAGATGTTGTCAAATTTGAAGCATTTAGATGCCTTTCCTTTGACTTCCATCTTCTTCTTATATACTTTCTTTCCTCATTCTGATAGCTACTACTCACCATGTACAAAGCCAAAACCTTGCAAAAAATCAAATCGGTGACAGAAGCCCATAAGAATAAAGTCAAAGATGAGTCCTTCCGTGATCCAGGGCGAAGATCTGTCTTCACAGCGGCAATCGGACTAGATCATAACAAACATCAAGTACCCAGCTGCTCTACCAAGGAATATTATCATATGACCGGAAGTACCAGATACGCTGCTAAAAACATGTTGGCAATTAGCGATTCGATCTGGAAGTCAACAGGAAGACCTGCGGAGTTCTCTAGAAAACCAAAGTCGCCCGCATCAACCACTTAACCCCATCCTCTAATCGCCAGCACGAAGCTGGTTTGATTTTTACAGGTAAGTGTCTCAATTTTTGTGTAGTTCGATCTTGAAAATATAACTCAATAATCTCAAAAATTTACTTTTTTCGTCTAGTTATATTGCGGCTTAGTCTAAACCCAAAGCTAAAAAACTGTAGTTGGCACTGGGTGACACACCCAGAAAATGATTGCACATGAAATTTTTACTTGGCAAAAGTATTCTATCACTTGGCACGTTTTCCAAATAAAAAACTGCTCAACATTGAAATTAGCGTCCTTTTTCATTCATTTTATCTCATTAGAAAATGACCTTTCAAGTCTTTCAGGAAAATGGTGTCGGAAATGTGTTTGCCGAAAATGAACATTAACCAGCTGGAATGGTTGTTGATGATGTGAATTTTTCCCTTGAAAGCAATACAAGCTATGATTCTTATGCACTTTAAGCCACCGAAACAAGTAGTAAAGATCAAAGATGTTAAACTAGAGACAGTTCTAGGCAGTGAAATAATCCCAAGAGATTATACGAGGCCCAATGAGAAAAAAGTATAATTTTGCGCTTGTATACGATCAAGATTACTCTGTTGCTGCAGCTGCAGCAAAACAATTGAGTGTTATTCTAAGAACAGCTTATAAATTTGTCACCGCTCACGCGTGCATTATATATGTGCCTCTTCCTTTCCCGCAACATCTTAATTGTTACAAATTTTTAATGGACGTTATTGAAGAATTCCTCGAAAAGCAACCGGTTTCCGGCAAAGTGAAAATCTCTTTATTTATTCAGGAAAGCGAAGCTATCACCACCAAAATGTCTTATGATATTCCAACGTTGAATGCTCTGGAATTGAGAAAGTTTTGGAAACATCTTTTAGACAAGTGTCAGCAAAGCTTCATTTGTGGTTACAGTCGTGTAGTCTGGGAGCGACTCATAAAGCTGATCAGAAAATTCAATACAAGAATAGAATAAATCAAATAGCCAAGCAGAGGATGTTGAAGACGACGTATTGATAACAAAGCTGAGTGAGAGATCGGTTCCGGTAGATGAGGTGACTACTTGGAACTATAATAGCCAAAAAGATTGTATTTATCCGGTGCTATCGATTACCGAATTACTCAACACAGTGAACTTTGACATCCTTTTTTTCGGTGTAAGTCCATCAGATGCTATATTCAACGGCTAAGGGAAAATTGTTATTACAATGGCTCTGAGTTTAATGTTGATAGCAGGCTTTCCCTGCTAGCTCTAAATCTGACGACGTGACTTACTGTTGTATCGATGAAGATATCACTGCTGAATATTACTAAGTCCGACCAGTAAGGGTCGAGTTGAGTTAACATAGTTCATGGTGAATAGGCCTGTATACCCATTTCGTAAAAGATATAAATACCAGTTGATTCTGTTCATCTAAACGATCTTCATCTAAATTTCAAGAAAGAAATAAACTTGAACCTTCCAGAGTTTTCACAGACTTGTCACTTGTTTATTTCCTACTTTTATTCTATATTTTGATCTTACCGATCCAACACTTACCCTTTCTGTTTCTTGTCGCTGGGCTCTGAGGAGGAAGGGCCATCTTTTCTCCTTAATGAGACTTTTTGAGGAGGGGTATAAGATGGTGTACAAATTGCCATCTTCATCGGACTAACTTTCGTCTGAGCCGTATTCATCGTGCATAGTTATGTAGTCTTTCAATCCGAGGTACCCGTCGTGTATAATGCTAACCATCTTATCAATATTTTTGATGTAACGAGGGGTATCCTTGACATAAGTTGCTTGACTGACTGGTATTTTGAAGCTCATAGCTTTTACGAAACAGAAGATATTCATCAATTGCCATCATCAACATGTACACATACACGGTGTTCCTGTACACTTGAACTCCATACAATCTGATTTTGGTGGCATCAGAAACGACAAGCTTCTGCCTCAAAATGCTTTTAAATACGTATTTTAGATTTTTGCTATTTTCAATCGATCTTTTAAGAAATGGTCGTAATCTTCTTTCAACATAGGACCAGATACCTCGAGCAAGAGGAACTCCAATTCAAACTCTTTTGAAGCAAGGATAGCATCAATAGATGCACCTGAGGCTCTGTACTCGTCGTCTTTTTCGCTAAATTTTCTTCTTCTTTCGACGCCGCGAGCTTTGTTTCTCCCCATTTAATTTTCCAGACGCTTTTGTTACTGTGACGAGCAATGGTTAAAACTTTGCTGAAATACTTGATGAGAAATGTATACTCGTTTTCATCTGCAATATCATCATCCTTCAGTCGGCGTCTTTGTAGTTTAATGAGTTCTAGACATTTCTTCTTTAACATATAATTGACGTCTTTTTTGTTGAGGTTCTTCTTGGCCTCCTTTTCGTTTGCTTTTGACAATGTTCCACTTGTACCAAACAAGACGTCTTTAGAAAACTTGCATGCAACATCTTCCTCTGTCAAATCGCTGCTGGACTGTGTTGCTTTTTTGACAAGACGTGCTGCTTACTTTGGGTAGCTTTCCCCAAGTAAGAGCTTAGTCTTGTTCTCATCAATTTTACTGACAAAATCTAATATCCCGTAATATACATAATCTTGATTACGAATGTTAAAGCATTTCTTTAACTTTTTTCTTTCTCCATTGAAATTGTAGCGGAGGCTGATGGGCTCACAGCCAAAAGGAATATCCAGATTCTCTGTGTTGAAAAACACGGTAACCTATAGCACGGGATGAATACAATATTCTTGGCTTATTATAACTCAAAGTACTTACCTCATCGACAGGAGCCAATCTCTCATTAAGCTTTGTGATCAATAAATTATCCACAACATCCTCTGCTTGGCTATTTAACATATTCTATTCAAAAAAGAAAAGTGTTAAACTTGAGAAGGTATCGGTTGTAAAAATCGTACTTACTCTCCTGATTAGTTTCATAAGTCGCTCCCAGTCTACAAGATTGTAACCACAAATGAAGCTTTGCTGATACTTGTCTAAAAGATGTTTCCAAAACTTTCTCAATTCCAGAGCATTCAACGTTGGAATATCATAAGACATTTTGGTGGTGATAGCTTCGCTTTCCTGAATAAATAAAGAGACTTTCACTTTGCCGGAAAATAGTTGCTTTTAGAGGGATTCTTCAAAATCGGTGAAAGGGGGGGTAGACATTTGATGCAGGCGACACCGGGTGACGCGAAATAAAAAATTCAAGTTTTTTTTTTGGAGTCCGAAACTGAGATTTTTTTATTTAGAAACCATGCCAAGTAAATTTAGCAAATGTGCCATCTCAAAATTGTACTTGTGCCAAGTAAAACTTTCAAGTGTACAATCCTTTTCTGTATGTGTCCATCTACTTCCGGAAAAGGTGTAATCGGTAGGCAAAAAGGAACTTTATTATTTCCTTTTTTATTCAATACCAAGTTGTATGAGATAGCATATGATACAAGATTAATGAGAAAGACAGTTTAATACATACAGTTTTGAAATTGCTAGGGTTCTATTGCCCACTTAATGGCAAATTAAGCAGTTAATTCCCAAAATTCAACAGGATCACCTCTCACTTCACGGAATGATTTTCTGATATGAGGATGTGATTCCATTTGCTCAGCAACCTGTTGCCAATCATTCAATGTTTTACTATTGTTAACATCTACAACAGTTGACCGGAGTTGTGAGACTGGGAGAGCTGGAGATGGATGTGCTTGAGAATCCTTCACATGATTTTCGTACTATAAAATTGGTCTGTTAGTTTGGGCATGTCCCACAAAAGATCACTTTCACTGAAATAACCGTTTTTACCTGTTCCTTTAAACGCTCTGTTAAATCTTTCACCAGCTTGTTAATTTTCGCTTTATGAGCATTCGCCTTTCTGTATTCTTTCGAAACTCCATAAACTGATGATAAAACCAGAACTACGGCTGTAAAATTTTGCGTAAATGATTAAGAGTCAGTAGATGTTCATATTATCAGCTTTTGTATCGCTCTAACTTACCAATAATTGCAGTCCTAACTTCTTGTGGGGTTTTAAGATACATGCGTCTTAACCGACAAGTCATTGGGAATTTTGCACGACTAGTACCTATGTATCTTTCATTATCACTATAACCGAATGTAAATTAGTGCTATTCCAAAGAGGCAGGAAGAATTCGTTATACTTACGATTCCCAGTAGAAGACCTTTGAATCCTCTAACACAGAGGTCAGTGCAAGCAGCAAAATCTCATCTAAAAGAGTCAAAGGTATAAAGGGCTCTACAGTATGTCTCAACTTTGACAATATATCGTTTACTGGGATACGAGCAGTAGGAATAGATTCGTCGTCTGCATCAGGATGTGTCATTAAATATTCACAAGCTGCTTCTCCTTGTCTAAGAGCCAATTGTCTTTTAATCTCTCGTTCTACTTTAGCGACATATTTTCCAAGTTTCGAGTCTTGAATACAATCGTCACCAATTGGGAGTTTGCCTCCAACATTGTAAATGGGTGTTCTTCGTTTGTACATTGAGTCGCACGTCAATTCCCCATTGATACAGTGACCATGGTCTGGACATGGAATGCATGGGGTGGGTAGTATAGAGAATATACGCGATGTTCCTTTAAAGAGAATAGATGAAAAAGGAAAATGACGAACGTCGATTCTAAATAAGCGGATACTCTTATCTGAAAATGCGTTTTTGAAGCGTAACTTACCAGTAGTATTTGTAGGAACTGTTGGTACACTTGGACAGTATCCATTTTTATGACGTGCGTATGCTGTAATAAGAAGTCCTAGAGCACCCACAACCAAATATATCAAACTGATAATCAAGCCAAAGCGTTTTAGTTTGTTCCGCCATACTAAGGCTTTTTGCTTTGCGGCTGCTAACTTCTGTGCTCGTGTTTTGATATAAGGCTCGGCCAATTTTTCTGCAGGAATATATTGTTCCTTATAGAGTTGCACTAATTCTTCGTTGTCTACGTCTCCTAAATCCTCCTCATCTTCATCATCCTCACCGCCGCGGTCGACATAATCTTCATCAGACTCTTCTTCTAAATCATCTTCTGATTTTTCGGAATTTTCTTCTTCTGTACTTTCTTGTTCTGGGGAGGGAGACTTTGATGCTGCAGGTTGTTCTCCGTTGTCATCCCTTTCTGTTGTATAATGGGATAAGGAACGATCATGGTGACTATCATTAAGTTCTTCATGCTGATTGCCTTCATCCGCAGATTCAGCGAATGAATCTTCAGGGTTGAATGCTGGCACGTTATTATTTGCTGCTGCTGATTTTTTCGTAGATGCAGTGGTTCTAGTTGGTCGGCTAGTAGTTGTAGTCGATGATGGAGGTGTTTGAGGAACGAAGGGTAAGTTCTGATCTGTAGCCGATTGCTTCTTTGTCTTTCGAGTTTTCGTAAGGACTTTACGGGCTGTTACGGGAATTGCACGTTGCTGATGTACATTGTCCTCTTCAAAAGAATCCTCAGCATTAAAAGCTGGAGCTGATTGTGTTTGCGAACGTCTTTCTGCTGGTAACTCAGGGATAGCGAAGCCATCTTTATCCTTTTCGCATTCATTGATGAGCAGAAGGTCAGGTAAATTTAGTGACACTTACTGACAAAAGACGATAACAGGCTTTTATCAGGACATACCTTTCTAGGTCCACTTTGAGCAGTGTTGTTCTCTACTTTTTTGGTTCGACGACGACGAACGGGAAAAGCAACAAAGTTCCCCATGTCAGGTCTATGTATTTCTCTATGACCACGTCCATATTCTGTTGTGGGTTTCAGAGGAGCTTCATCCTTATTTCGATATCGTGCCAAAATCTCATCACGTCGATTGATGATGTTCTCTTTGAAAATACTTTCTAATTCGCTTCTAACAGCGCTATCCAATACTGGGATATTATGGGTCGCTAGGATCTCCTTCAATTGAAACTTTCTGAGAGAGCCCAAGGAAAACCCTTCCTCTGTATTGAAATTTTTTTGGAAAGCAATGGAAAGTTAAATTTCTTTAAAAAAAAACAATTCTACTTTGTACCATAAACGTGTAGATTTGTTGCGGAAAATGCGTTTACCAAGATAATAAAGTTCCTTAGGAACCTCGGAACTGTTGTCGCTCATTCGTATTTGACTTTGCTTCGAGTAAGATAAAAGATGAGTTATTAAGCTGTTGTACTACTGATAGAAAAGAAGAAAAGAAGAGTGAAAGAAATCGGGAAAAATTGAAAAAAAAAAAAAAAAAATTGACTTTTTTTTTTTCATGCTACTGCACAACGACGCGCTTTTCTAAATGACGTAGTGGCAACGGTTCTGTCACTGTATTCTCTGTGTCTCAAAACTCAGATTTCTTCCCCACTTTTCCATCACTGTTTTACGCATTATCTCTCAAGGAAACTTTGATGAGAGACTACAAGAAATTAAAACCTCACAGGAAGATAAAAAATCACAGTAGTAATGCGACAGTCGATGAAAGGTTTTCTAGATTTTACTTTCACTATTTAATTGATGTGCATTATCAACGCTTTGACTGCATTTGAGCTACTATTGTTTGTACACTTGACCGAGACTTCTCGTGTAATCATTACGATATTTGGATTATAATTGTTAGAATGGTGGAAATATAAGCAGTTTTATTACGCTTGCTGTTCTCTTTTGCTTTTTAATATTTCTGTTGGCTTCGTCCGACCCATCATTTTAGGACTTAGACTCTTCTTTAGTGATAATCTATCCACTGATACCGTGTATTTCATCAACTTAATATCTTTATTGCGATGCCAAACATTTGGGTAGTAACCTACTTATTTACTTATTTGTTTTTTTGTTTTTTTTGATTGACTATATCATAAAGTTCAAATCCTGAAGCTTCATTTTATTATTCTTTTTGGGTTGCTGTTCATGGTTCTATTTACATACATTCTTGCTCACCGTTTAATATGAAGGCTAGAACGGGTTGATTTTAGCGAACAATTTATTGCAATTACCAGCCATTAATGCTTATGTATGAACTGAGAATGTAAGATACTTGAGGGTAAAACTGGTTGTTTCGTCTTGACAATGGAAGAGGGAGAAGGATATAGTCAACTTTATAAATAATTCTATAAGCTGGGTGAAATAAGCTGGGTTCAGATGTTATTCATTACGCAACAAGGTGGCAATTATAAATCTTTTAACTGCTCGCTTGTTTGCGCTTTGTATAAAAATGCCCGAAAGATTGCATGTTAAATCAAACAATAAAAATAAATTATTTACACAGATGTGGGAATAGAATTTACTAATAGCTGTTGAGTAGTATAAATTTTATCGCTATCAGCATCCATAGTCAATGATGAAGTTGACCAAGTATCGTTATCAGAACGATTGCTATCGAGCTGTTGCTGCTGCTCATCTTTCTCCTCATCTAGTAAAGTGGACGGGCTGGTATCTGCAGACATATGTTTTAACAATTCAAGTTCGATATGGGCCACTTCAAGTTGTTGTACCGCCTTTGTGTAGGCTTCATCTTTTTCATTAAGCATAATTCTTAATTCAATCTCATCGTCTCTGCTATCTTGTAATTTTTTCATCAGGATAGCTGCCTCCTGACCCAATTGAAGATTGGCTGCTTCCAAGCGCCCTATTTCGGTATGAACCCGCGATAGATCTTCACTTATCGATTCTTTTTCGTGAATTTGCTCAGCAAGCTTTTTGGATAGCTCAGCGATTTGAGCAGCATCATCTCTCAGTTGTGCCTCAGCGTTCACTGTTTGCTCATACAGTTCAGCTAGCTGTTTTACTAATTGTTGATGAATCGTTTGCGCTTCTTCCGATTGTTTTTGTGCTTCCTTCGTTTTCTCTTCAGCCAACAGTCTTGCTTCTTTCTCCTGTTCTGATTGTTCTTGAACATGTTTTAGAGTCTGATAAATAGCTTTCTGTTCTTCATATGCTTCCATTAAGCGTTTCTCTAAAATCTTGGTACGTTCTGCTTCTAACTGTTCTGAAGCTTCATCGTCGTAACTTTTCAAAGCCATATACTTTGCTTTATAATAGGCTGCTTCTTTTTCAGCAACCTGTTTTATTTCTTCGATTTCTTCCAATTTATTCAATAACGGTTGATTTTGTTTATTCATATGATTCCTCAGTTTTCGGATCTCGCCTTTGGCGTCTACCAAGTACTGGAATAGCAGCAATTTCTCTTTAATCGTTGCAGCTGTATCTTCATCTGTACTGTTGCCATCTTTATCCGTTGTCGAGTTGTTCTCACTCTCACTATCACTAAACCTCATTAAGGCAGCCTGCATTTCACTTAATTCATCTTCTTCGAACTGCTCACCTTGTGAACGTCTTAAATGTCGTGCAATCGACACTTCCGTTCGCCACCATTGTTCTTTCTTTTTCATTTCTGTGATTATCGCATCACGCGTCATGATCTCCTTTATCAGATTGTTCTTCTCGTTAGGTTCCATGAAAGAGTCAGAAGATACTGGCGGAGGGGTTGGAGGAAGAGGATTGTTGCATTTGTTAGTCCGGAGCCGTGCGTAATGGTGGCGAAGTGAGGAATGTCTTTTTGGTTTCATCTCTGCATCAAGCATTGGCACAGCATTCTTAGGCTGACGAAATTCCTCCTTCAAAAAGGCACCTTCTCGTGCAGGACGCGGAGGCGTTGGAGGGCTAGTCAATGTGTGTCGGATTTTTCTAACATTCGGCTTTACACTTGTGGTATCAATCCTCAGTGGTTGTTGTTTCTGTGTGGCAAATTGCTGTGCCTTTTCATCAAATTCATGCGATTCATTTTCCAAAGCATACTTTGTACTATTAGGAATAGGCGACTAGAAAACGCATCGAGACTCATCAGTTGTCCGACCCAAATAAAGGCCCCCGATTTGTTTTTGAATAAAGCTACTTACCAAGGGTGGGCTTATATCTTTTTGTTGGTGATGCATACATCCTATCTTCTGCTGTACTTCAATTTTAGCGGATAATACATTCGGGTCATCCCCGTTGCTGCTTTCGATAGAATCATCATTTTTAGCAACAGCTGGCTCAGGAGGGTATCTTATTTTAGCTACCCAACAAAAGAGAGGGTCATCGTGTCAATAGCTGCACAAAGGGTGTGTGGTTCATTAGATAAGGTTTGTATACGTTACCACAGTCCAACGTAAACACATGTGTACTGTCTTCATTTTTTTCACTGTCAGTATCACCTCCAAACACGTAGAGTTTATTCTTAAATACAGTCAAAGTATGACCATATCTGGGGGATGGAGGTATACCCATACTTTGAAACATGTACCACCTTTTGCCTATTGAAAACTTTCATGAGTGATATATTTTGGTTATTGTCATCACCAACTTTTAAGATTTATCTAAAACTTACTCTTGATTTTGAATGCGCATAGATCGCCCAGTATACAACCATTGAGTCCTCTTCCGCCAAAAATATATATAGTGTCATCTACTAACGCAGCCGCGCAGCTTTCTCGAGGAGCGGGTATATAGCCTACCGCTGTTAGTTTCTCCCAAGTGTGTATCGTTAGGTCGAAGGACCAGATATCATTATATAAATGGCTGGAATTGATACCACCGAAGCTATAACAAAATGTTTATTACTTAGCACCTTTTGGTCTATCTTCTTCAAAAAAGAAGAAGGAGCTTACACATAAAATTTTCCTTCGTAAATGATCGAAATATGTCCAGATCGAGGTGTTGGACCCGAGTTTTTATATTCTATAAAATTCCATTCCGCTTTTGCTGGGTCTTGAAGCAAACGATAGACGCATTAACCACTACTCTTTCTTGCTCGTAAAGCTTATAGTACGATACTTACAGTCTTTCACGTTAAATGCACATAAGTCATTCATGTATTTTCTATGATAATGGCCTCCCCAAATGTACATGATGCCATCTTCTGAAATGCAAGCAGAATGGCCTGCTCTTTCTGTGGGTAATCTTCCTTTTGTTCGCACTCTTGACCATTGTCGGGTATCTAATTATATGGCATCGTCCGTGTTAATGAGATATAGCAGTTCTTTGAGCGAGGGAAAAACTGACACTTTACTTATTTGAAGGACGTAGAAATGTGGGTCCCAAATTTCATTGGGATTGATAGGTTCTCCGCCATAAACTAATAACAATTTTAACAAAACGTTTAAGTATAGACCTCTCTTACAATGCCTTCACTTCATTGTTATTGTCTCAGTTCATTTACTAAAGGATTTTTACGTATTAAAAATGTATCCATCATAATCAAAGATGCAAAACTTCGAGGTGATGGTAAATCACCTGCCGTTGTAACTGAATTAGCCGACATATTGTCTTTTTTGTTTTGTTAAAAAAAAATGGCAAGATATCTGCTATTTCTCATTGATTAACTTTGTTTTTCTTACTCGTATCAATGTAGAATAAATTCTTTTTGGTGAGTCCTTTATGCGTGCCACCATATACTACAAAAAACCTGCTATCAAGCATGACTGCACTGTGGCCGAATCGAGGTAAGGCATTATGACTGCCACCTATTTTGCGCTGTGACCAAGGGTATATTGCTTTATCGTTACTGCCAAGCTTAGAAAATTTTGAAAAGATAGCCATTTGGTGGAACTATCTGGATTAAAATGAGAAAAGTCAAAACGGAAAAAGTCAATAAATAAATAAAGATAGAATAAAGACGAACAACAAAGGAGAATAGGGAGGCCAAAGCTTTTTTTTTTTATTTTTAACTCAATTTACGCTTAATATGAAATTTGATTATAAAAATCATATTGAAGAAATTAGAAATTAGGAAATCTAAATTGAATGCTTCTAATGATTCACAGTATCTCCAGCACCGATTTGCGCAAATTGAAATCCTTTTTGCGCATTTAGCATAAAGCTAATAATCGTGTTAGTCGAAACGAAGACGGAAAATGTGATGCATACTTCTTCAGCCGCGCTTTCTTGATAGTTTGTCTCAAGCTAGCCATGTGGGTGTTGTAAGCAAATTGTCGATTTTGATGTAAATCCCAAATATGGGACTTGAATTTGAAATTATACAAAAGAACTGTACCAGGGGCGGGCCAGTGCCACAATATTAGAATTGCTCGTCATACCTTAATAAACTCCAGCTGACTTCCAATCCGCTCTTTCTTTTGGTTACTACGACTTTTATTGTCAAACGAACTTCACTCAATTAAGTTGCTTGCATTGTTTCCTGTCGGTCTTCCAAAAAAGAGCCACAATTTCATCTAGGTTTTCGTGAATTATTTGAACAGCAATAAGCAGACTTTATTAGTTTGAGAAAAAGAACTGTAGGCTCTTCTCATTGTAGGCAACCATATTCCGCATGAACGTACCAGCCCAATTGGCTTAGTTTCAATTGCGTCCACATACACACTTTAAGGGAATTGCTCAACTTAACTGTTGCGGTAGATACAAAGATTTGGCTCATATTGAGCCGTGCTCCCCAAAGTTAGAATATTTTAACCGGTACTTTTTGGTTTAAGCATAGTTAATGAGCTTATGCATTGCACATTCCCTACATAGTCAATTAGCATATATATATAAGATGACTGCAAGTACTTTAGAAGATGGTGAACTAGTAAAAAGGGACATTGCTCAGCGCTAAAATTTTTCTATGGAGCAATCGTTATGAAAATGGTTGAGAAGTTTACAGCTTTGTTCAACACGAACAACCTTTTCTACTTGAATATCTCACCAAACATAACCACACAAAATATGTTGAAAAAGACACGCTTTATCTCAACTCACTGATTCAAATGTACGCAGCAACCTTCAATCATCGAAATAACTGTATAGTTTCAAATAACCGTTACAATTGCTAACCAAGTCATACAACGTTGCTGAGAATTTAAAGTAGCAACATGCCAAAACGCTTTAATTCTACAAAGAAGTATAATCAAGAAGAAAGTCTGAACTTTTTCAATATACAATATATTTCATTAGAATTAGTTCAAACGAATTCCAAATGTTAGTAGAAGTGATGATAATTACTGAACTAGATGATTTGGATACAAAATCATTTATGATTGATAGAACAATAACCTAACCTAATGCATATGGCCATCCAATGCATTCTGACAGTCATTAATCTACGGTTTCCTTTCAGCAACAAATGAGGGCAAAATAGAAAAATTGTTGCCGTAATGGATAATAAGTAAACAAGAGATGAACGGTATTTCAGTTTCTAGAAATGATAGTTGTTTATCAAGTACAGGAACTCTTAAGCCTATGATAATGACTGACATTAGAATAAAATTATGGAAGCAGAAAATATCTGGAGAACCGATGCGTTACTTTTGTCAAGAAGCTCAAAGATCTTTTGCTGGTAAATGTCGATGAATTTAGAACCTCAAAGGTAAAAAGACTCCATTAATTTCGTCTTATACGCTAACTAACTTATTGTAAATACAAACTTGCTATTTTTGTTGTTAAATGCCTTTCATAAAAGCATGCATTGCGTTGATTGTTGTTTTCGTTCGTTAAAGCTGTGGATTTAAAATCTCGGCCACTATACTTAGTGGTCAAGTCGTTCTCAAGCATTTTTTAGAAGCAAGGGATCCTATTCTTTCAAATACATAGCAGTATTGAACACGAATTTCTTCTTTCAAAGAGGTTTGAAATATTTAGAGGTAAAACAGAAAGTACAACTTTAACCCCAATTCATCTCTTTCAATTTTATCTTCCTCATTGCTCCATACATTTTATCTACAGTATTATTAAATTGAAATGTTATTTTATCTTCACTGGTAGTTAGTGGTCTATTTTATCTATATCTGTTTTATGTCAAATGTACGATGCTATGAGCTATTTTAAGTATCGAAAATGCAAGATTTGTGTCAAATTGTATAAATCAGCTCTATACTTGCCACTTATCTTCTTAATTGTTCTATCCGTTCAGTTATATGGCTATTACAGAGGTTTGAGTCTCTAATTCAACACTCGAGAATGTTACACCGATTTAAACGATGATAGAATGGTGGATTCAATATTCGAGACAAATTGGATAAAAACTCTCGTAGGGGCGGTATTGGTACCTTTGATATTGAGGGTCTTACAAGTGAAGCTGATCAGCAATTAACGTAGCAATATTCATATCGTTACTTTGTGTTGTGTTGCTTTGATTTTTTTGAGTACATTACTGATTATATATATGCGTTTACGATAAGTGTAAACTAACATTATCGCGTTTAGCGGTGCTCCTCAAAGTAGCAATACTATTGCCAAGTACAGCTTTTGAGACAACAGTTGGAACAGCTTCAAGTTCATTTGCACTTGAAGATGTACGTCTGGCTATGAAAAGAGACCACCGTTCTATTGAAAATGAGAAGAACTCGTTAAGCTGACGCTAGAAAGTATCAAAGATGTATACGATTATGTCGCTTTTTACAATTGAAAAAAAAAAAAGGTTTGACAGGAACACAAGGTTGGTTTGATTTTGAAAAAGGTACCAACGTTGTACACTGTCTACTAATTTAAACCGCGCTTAATACAGTTACTGTCAGGGCGGCAAAACTCATTGAAACAATTAATGATATAAAGCATTAACCAAGTTTTCTTAAGAGTTGTTGAATATTCAAATCTGCATACTACGGTAAACTATCAAAACTGGAACTAAATAGATAGCAAGACCATTAACGATGATATAATATGCGATATGCACGGCAAGGAGAAGATAGCCCAAATAGGGTAGATACATTAAACTTTGATGGCAGACATCGAGGACGGAATTTCAGCGATAGCAGTAGTAGTAATGATCAAAATGCTAATAGTAATGGTGATAACAATGACAGTTATATTAATGAATAAGAAATATAGTCCTAGTATAGTCTTAAAGCATTGCATCTTTTACTTTATTGTAGTAAGATGGATAATTGTATTCCTATCAAATTTGGCTGCAGCCTCTCAGAATTTCTAAACTTTAAGCAATGCGAACTCAAATTAAAGCTCACTTCCTCCTTTTTCCTACAATACTTCTCTTTCGTTTGCGAGGCATTACGTTAAAGGCTGCTCGACCTATCAAATACTAATGGTGCATAAAAGCCGAAGAAAAACTATTATGAAGCGTATTATCGCTTTATTTAAGAAGACACATGAGAAGAAGGAGGAACCAGCTTATCCCCTTGCTCTCTCCAACACTTACAAAGTTACAAAAAAGACACTGGGAGTGGGCTCATTCGCAATAGTCAAGGAATGTGTTCATCGATCAACAGGATTACCGTTCGCCTTGAAAATTATTTTGAAAAAAGCTATTGCTGGTAAATACCAAAAAAATGCCTATGATGTATGGATCACTAGATGTATATTGTTTACTGACCTTACGTTCAAACGTAAAGGGAAAGAGCATATGCTAAGCAGTGAGTTAGGTAAAAACGCTTGCAAGAATTTTATACGTACTTGCTTCTGGACGCATTCTCATCTCAATATTAGATATTCTCAAACAGGTCAGGCATCCACATATTGTTTCAATGCATGATTTGTATGAATCAAAAGATGCTGTTTATATTGTGACGGATTTGGCCAGCGGTGGAGAATTATTTCAACAACTGCTAAATAAAGGAAGCTATACAGAAAAAGATGCTTCAAATTTGACAAAACAGATGTTGGAAGGGTTACAGTATTTACATGCAAGAGATGTATGTAAGCAGAATATTTACCACAACATAACTCAAGAGTAATGCTATGGATGATATCTCTAACTTTTTCCTCTGCAGATTGTTCATCGGGATATGAAGCCTGAAAATGTAAATCTTGCATAATAAACTTAGACAGCGAAGTTGTAGTGAAGCAAATTTTCAATTAACGTCAACTTGATAGCTGCTATTCCAAACACCCGCAGAGAATGCGAATTTAATGATTACGGATTTCGGCTTATCAAAAATTTTGAAAGGGCGCGATGATATATTAACAACAGCATGTGGAACACCAGGATATGTTGCACCGGAAGTTTTGAGACAAACAGGTCATAATAAACCGGTAGATCTATGGAGTGTGGGAGTAATTCTGGTACATATATACAATAACAATTGGTACGATACCATAGTGGAATAGTGACTTATTGTGGATGATTCTTATGAATATATAGTATACGCTATTGAGTGGCTATACACCGTTTTGGGGAGAAGGTAACGTAAAATTACGCTTAAAATTGAATCACTCCGCATATTGAAGGTGTTTTCTTTAGATCAAGCAAGTTTATTTGAGTCTATCATGTCAGGCAAATATCAATATGATGAAGAATACTGGCATGATATTTCTGATTCAGGTATGCTGTCTACTGCTCAATGAGTACAATCACCGAATCTATTTGAGTTTTTCTGCTCACCCGACAAATAAATGTAGCCAAAAATCTAATCGATCGCTTGCTTACGCTCGATCCTGACAAGCGTATCACAGCCGAGGAAGCTCTGCAGCATCCATGGATTACAAATTCGAATAAAGACGAAAATGGGCCGCGTACCAGTACCAACCTGGCGCCCACAGTCCGTAAAGGTTACAGTAGCAGAAATAGTTTTACGACAGCGACATTACTGAATCATCGTTTAAACAAGAAGAATAATGGATCTGACGTAGAAGAGGAAGATGAGCACAGTTTAACAACATCGGCACCATCGAGTAATCAAGAAGATGAAGAAAGTCGTTGACGAAGCCTACAAAAGAATACATTTGAATTAGAGGGTGATCCCTCAGCTATATCCTTTAGGTATTTTAGATTCGCTACTATTGCCTCTAACGTAAATAAGATATTATATAGTGTTGAAACAACTCGAGTATTTAGATATGAGAAGCGCTTTCTATTGACTGAATATAAGTTGATTTCTTTTTGGGAAAAAATTAAGTGTACTTTTAATTTTTTGTTGCCAATATATTTGTGATTCGATTGTAAATGCACCTGCCTTTCTCTAACTGTATTGAACACTCTATTCTGAAAGTTAAAAAAGAATGTCTGCATTGAAAGCACAGTTTTAAACGATTGTCAGTCTTTAAGAGCTCATTAAGTTGCAATCTCTGCTTTATGTCAACAATAAAACATAGAAGTAAAGCCCTCCTTTGTGAATGTACGTGATGTGTGATTGAGTCTGCTATCTTTCACTCCCGTAAAGCCACAAGTTGCATCCCGGTAGCTACTTTCTTGTACTTCTGTTCCCAATAATGAAACTCAACGTTCTCAACTTCTAGTGGATCATCAAACTGTATGCATAATTAGCTGTTCCGAAAATATAGCGTTGAACGAGATTCTGTTCTCTACAGCTCAAATGATGCGCACGTGCTGTTGGATTAATGTCAAATTCAAACCCATCCTTTAGTCTAACCTCAGAATTGCGTACTTGCTGTTGCTATTGCCGTAAAGGATTGAAATGTTATTGTCTATACTCAAACCAATCTTCTGCGTCTGTAATTTTTGTTCTGGTTATTATTAGTAAAGGGAAAGAACGGTAAAACAGAAAGACCAAACGTAGCTGCTTTTACTGAAAGAAAAAAGTCTCGTAATAGATCTTTTTTCAAACTTGATGCTGATACCCGGCTGACCATCATAATCGTTCATCTATATTGCCATTTCCCCAAAATTGTGTTAGAAGCAATAAACATATTTATTGAAAGCAAAATAAGGCACACAATATGGGATTCGAGCGCGACTTCTGCATTTGAAATGCAATAGGAAAAACTTTTACATCGTGGTTTCCGAATACAGGTATTAAGTAAAGATAGAAGAAACATCCTCAATAATATGGAGTATAAATAGGGACATACTATTTCTTTTTTGGGGGAGGGGGATGAACAACTCTTTCTTTATGAATATTATGTCCTACACAACTCTTCCTAAAGTTTTAACAATTGGAGGGAGTGATAGCTCTGGGTAGGTATATTTAAGTTATGATATGCCCTTTCAAGATTTTCTCAATCGACCTGCATTCGTTATTGATGCTTATCAAACATTAGAGGTGCTGGCGTTCAGGCCTCTGTCAAGGCGCTTTCAGCTCTCCGAGTTTATGCCACATCGGTTATTACCGCTATTGTGAATCACACTACGGAAAGTATCGATTACGCTTTGCCAGCCAAAGTCGTTGTTCAGCAAATTGATACCATTTTGAACGATACTGGAGCTGATGTGATCAAAGTTGGTGTAATACCTACTGCAGTGTCTGCTAAAGAAGTTGCTGCCATTATGAAAAAGTACTCTGGCTTGAATAGCAAAATTGTCCTCAATCCCAGTACCGTTTCGCTCAAAGGCGTTGAAAATGAAGTTATTGATGTTATCAAAAATGTATTGCTTCCTATGACTGATGTCTTTGCTCCCTCTGTTCGTGAAACTGAATCCTTGCTGAATATGTCTGTTGGTACTATTAAGGATGTGAAGAATATGCGTGAAGCTGCTAAAAAACTTGCTGAATATGGTGCAAAGGCTGTTTTTATTAAAGGAAATGATTTACCCATCAAGACGGACGATAAAAATAAGGTTATAAACGTTTTGTATAACGCTATTACTGGAGAACTCACTGAGTTTATCAGCGAATACATTGATATCAAAAGTGTCTATGGTGTTGATGGTGCTATCACAACTGCTTTATCGGCTTTCCTCGCCAGATCATATTCTCGTAAACTCAATTATATCAGGACACTTCACTCCATGAGTACATTGGAAACTAAGCATCACCTTTTTTTATAGTCGAGGAAGCTTGTGAAAATGCCGTTTACTTTGTCACCAAGGCTGCTGGTCAGTCCCTTAGTTCGATTCGCAAAAATGCTGCTCCTATGAATCTTATGCATACCTTGAAGGCTCCTTTTACGTTAGTTGATTTTATATCATTGAATGTGCTTAGGTTATTGGAATACATTGTAATGTCTTTAACTTATTTTTTCTTTAAACAGTAAACCCTTTCTTAAGGCAGTCAAGGCCTCCCTTCCCCAAGGCCTCTGGGAAAGATATATTGATCATCCCTTCGTACGCGGTATTGCGGATGGTACCCTGCCTCCAAAGAAATTTACCTATTACCTTACGCAAGATTATCATTACTTGAAGCATTATGCACGTGCTGCTGCTCTTGCTTGTAGCAAATGTAAGTCCTGTCAAAATTGAATTGTCTGCAACTATTTTAATCTTATCTTGAAGCTAATAAATAATCGGTTACTTTCATCAAAAAGCCAATACTATGGCGACTCTTGAACGTAACACACAGACTATCAAGGATATTGTTGACGAAGTTCAATATCTTCATTTGAAGTATTGTGCTAAATGGGACGTTTCCGAAGAAGAAGTTCTAAAGGCTCGTGAAAGTGTTTACTGCGTCGCTTATACTCGTTTCATGATGGATAAGGCAGCTTCTGGCGATCTTCTGGATGCCAAGATGGCTCTCGCACCTTGTATGATTGGCTACTGCGAATTGGGACCTAGAATATACCATGATCCGAAGACAAAAAGAGGTAGATAAAGCGTGCAAGAGAACGAATGTACAGAAATTTAAACGTATCTATTTTTAAACGTTTTGCTAACTCTAAATAATCGATTTTAGAGGGCAATCCTTACTGGGATTGGATCTGTCAATACTCTTCTGGTAGAAGTCAAGTCATGTTGTCTAAAGGCATTGGTAAGTAATTTGTTGCTTTCTCTTCTATAAGGTTTAACAAAGATGTATATACTTCTAACTGTGGAATTTTTTCACAAAAGCTGAACTCGAAGAATTGGCTGAACACTATGTTGGTTCGGAGGAGCGCTTCAAGGACGTATGCAAGACTTTTGAGCAATCTACTCGTTTTGAAATTATGTTTTGGGAACAATATGACAATCGTAGCGAGCTCGACAACGAACTACTTGTATTCAACAACTAAATACATCTTTTTTAATGACTTATATTTCGCTTTCATTTTATTTGGATTTCGTCATTCGGTGAAATGAGGAGATTATTCGCCCCGCCCCCACGAAAAAGCAAAACAATACAGAAAACAAGTAATTTATAGCTGATCGATTCATTAAACATGAAGCAAATCAATTGACGAGAATGATCCGAAAACAGCATTATGAGGAAATATAAAAACAAGATTATATTAGGCATCGTTTCCATTAAAATCAAATTTTTGAGAACTTTTCCGATTTGCTTGTTAGCTACATGCTTAACCTAAATATGGAAGAAAAGGAAACATAATTCATTGCTATGCGTCTTTACCGCGTCTTATTCTTCAGTTTTCTCCTTTCTTAAATCAGAATGTTTAAGCCATACCTAAGATTTTAGTTATATCAGGCAGTGACTGTAACGGGTAAGTTAATAATAAGCAAGTATATGATTCTGCTTATGAAATCAGTAATAATGTACCAGACATGGCGATATAGTGTTTCAGGCGTTTAGTCAAACGTCGAAGCGTTAACCACAATTCAAGTTTACGCGTCTTCAGTCATTACACATGAATTACAAGCTAGCTCTGTATGTCAGCAGATATTAATAGTACTCATCAGTATTGGGTTTAACGCTATAAAAATTGGCATAATACCTCAGTCGGTTTTAATGATCCAGCCTATTTCAGCGATCTTAAGCAATTGATCTGAGTAAGTACCATTGATGTTCGCGCCGGATTAGTCCTCGACTCCAGCTCGATTAAATGGTAAAATGGTCGAGGTTTCAAAGAGCGGTTTATAGTAACCTCAAAGCTTTTATATTCGTCATCTAGGTCTAAGGAGCAGAACTCCTGTTACATATGACAAAAGGTTCTATTAACAATTTCGATGACATATTAAGTGCATCCAAACGCCTTGCCGGGTTTGGCCACAATATATTTGATTAACGCAGATAGTTCATCTTTAACCCATAAAAAGATACTCGTAAAATCTAGGTCTTGCGCGAATGATCAGGCCATTTGCGAAATTGCAAACGATTAGACGGATACATATTATATACAGTGAAGATCTACTCCTTGTATACTATATTTATCCACAATAGCTATCGTAGCTTTCGTGAACTGTACTCTATGATGAGCTTCTCAGGAAGACTATGAGTATCAGTTTTTCTTTTACTAGACAATCCAGGACGAGAGTATTGTGGAAATTGTTTGAGAGCTGACATTACTTGCTAATCATTTCAACAGACGAAAGCATATCAATTTGATAGCACTTCTACCAATATCGCTCAATGTGAATTTTGCCTGTCTTTTAAGAAATGTTGGAGGCAATTACCGCTGTTGCATAGACATGAAGAGTTATAAGAATCTTAATATTTGATTGGGTTCCTGAAAAACTGGATGGTTATAATTTGAATGTTTTTTGTATCAAACGTTCATTTGAGATAATTTCGTCATTGTTATTAGAATTCCAACTAAGGCATTGAGAAGCTTATACTCACTCTTTACAGTCACTCTTAGATATAGTTGAAATTTTGGAAAGAGACATGAACAGGGTCAAAGTTGGTAATTGAAAAGGATTGAAAGGTTTTGTACGACTGACAGTTTGTTGTCTTTCCTTTATATATTTTCAAAATGTCAAATATCTCCAATGGACACTGCTGTTTGCTCAAAAAAGATGAAAAGTTTTGGCGAAGTAGGATCTTTGGTGCTGTTTGACAGTTTGAGCATATTATATCGATCGAATCCAAAGATAGTATAAGGGGTTGTATGAAATATGTTTACATTTTCAAACAATGTAATCTGGTAACAACTAGTCCAATTTGAAGCAAATGTAAATGTAAAATTGCCCATATATTGTTGGGTTTTCTTTACATTTTTTGACTTTCCATTTTGTACTTCAACATGAAATTTCTTAGTGCAACGACAACGGTTCTCCTCTCTGTCAGTGCAGTGTTAGCCGATTTTTTACCTCAACTTGCCAATCGAGCACCAACTCAAGCAGATGTTAAGGAACGTATAGCCCCTCCTGCTAACGCTACATTGTTTGACGTATGGTACGCTAAAGGAAATCGCATCTATCAGTGTAACCCTGAATTGACAGGTTTCCTACATTGGTATAATGTGCAAACACATGCATTCTTATATGCTACCAATGGCGAAGAAGCTCCTTTCGATAAGCCTGGCAGAGAAATCGGTCAAATAGCTGCTGCTCCCTTGAACCCAGAACAACAAATGTAGGCAGTTTTGACAGAGTTTCGAAAAGGTTCTAGCATTGATGCTGACCATATATTACATGTTTGTTTGTTAATAGGGCCAATCCAATTGATACAACTCCCGTCATTTATGCCTACACTGACGGATCATGGGCAGGTACAACTAGACCAACCGCAACGACAACCAAAGAAGAGGATAGAATTGAACGTGGTGATGGTGTCCATTTGGATGATCACGTAGTCCCCGTGTCCAAATCGTCCACAGATGGCTACTTATCTCATGCCAAATATATCGTTCGCCTTGGGTCTATGAATGGGGCAGTTCCCGCTCCTGAAGAATGTGTTCGAAAGGGTCTGTTGATAAATCAGCCATTCACAGCTTACTTTATGTTCTACACAGATAACGAAGGATTAGCTCTACTCAATGAAGAAAGAGCTGAGTGGGAAAGAATGGTGAGAGAATATACTCCGGAAAACTTGGCTATTCAACATGAAGCTAACGAGGAAAGAGAACATCCTTGAAATAATCAAAAGTTGATTCTTATGGTTGCTTATAAATGACAATAAAATGCTTTGATTACTTTTTAGTAAGATTATCGACATGAAGATGAAATGATAATTTACTTTCTATTATATGAAAGCTTTTCTCTATTAGCATTCTTCATTGATTTTCAGATGAATACGGCAGGATTTTCATCGAACTGAATATGACTTAGGGACAGCAGCAGAACTATAAAGTGTTTTCTAAATATGTAGTTTGAATGGTTTTAAAATATATTGAACTTTCATCAGCAAACAGACTCTAATAGTGTGCTGCTACCATTTTATTTTATTTTCTGCTGTGGTAGTTGGCAAACGCGTCTTTAACGTGTCGTTTTTTCTGGAACCAAAATTTTGTGTTTTCCATTTTGAACCGCGTTCCTTTATCGGCGCATTTAGTTGCGTTTTCATTTCCTGTACTCTCCATTTAGTCCGTATAAAACTGGTGCAATGAGCGATCGTCCCAAAAGAAAAAGAAGGCAAACTAAGCCAAAAACCAGAGTGAGGTAAGTTATTCTCCAAGATTAAGTCTGCCGATCTGCTCATATGAATCAAATCGTTCTATGACAGTAATGCCCACTATGTTGGATATGTGGAAGATGAAGAATCAGTTGAAGCAATTATGAAAAAGTTTGAAGAATTAGAACGCATTCAGCAAGAGTTCTCTTCTTTAAATATGAATAATAAAACAGATGACAATAATAAAGAAAATATTGATCAACACATGGTGGAACCAGCAGACGAGATAGCACCACAATTAACTCAGGAACAGTTAGAAGAGGTCTTTAAACGGACCTCAGCATTTACAGTCAGGAGTGCAACAATAGATACTGACCAAATTGAGGATCTGGATGCACTAGATTTATGGCAAATTGAGTATAAAGACAGCAGTACGAATGAAATATATGAAGAAGACGAATATCATTATGTCGATGAAGATTTTTGGGATGAAGAATTTGGCGGAAAAAGTAAAAGAAGTAGACAGCATATGCGAGCTCCAAGAGAGCCGAAACAACCAACAAATAGACGTGGTGGTGTAGACAGAGAAAGCATCATTGCGAAATATAAAATTATGCAAGTGCAAGTACAAGATAGAAACGGCAATTACTTTACTATCAGAAAGAAAGTTAGTAATGTGGATCCATCCTTACCCACCTATGTAAAAATACCCTCAAGGATAATCCCATTATCGTGGGCACATACAATACATCGACTAAAAGCACCAGTTAAAGATATACCAGCATCAAACTATTATGAAGTCAATAACTTAATATCGGTAGATTTAACACAGTACGGTACAAACTTCAATGCTGTGTACATGGACCCGCCATTATTACTTCCAGGAGAAGCTCCATCGCCAGGGAAAATTAGTATTGAAGATTTTGTAAGTTATTTTTTTCTCTTCTTTTTTTTCGATTTGGTTGCCCTTTCATCATACTGTTGGGAAGAATACTTTCTTAATCTTTCCTTATTCTATAGGCTAAATTGAATGTTCAGGATATTGTTCAAACAGGCTTTCTGTTTATCTGGTTGGAGAAAGAATGGATTCAGAAAGTCGTTAGCATAACAGCAAAGTGGGGATTCAAATACGTTGAGAATTTCTGCTGGATCAAGAAGAATATCAATAATCAAATCAGCAAAAGCCCATATACTTATTTCAACAAGAGCAAATTAACCCTTCTTATCTTTAGGAAGGAAGGTGAAATAGAACTGCGTCATCAACGTAATCCAGATTGTATATTTGATTTCATCAGACCCAAACTACCAGGTAAATAATATGATGCTCAGATGCCCATACAGAAAGTAACACTTACATTCGTTTGTCGTTTAGATGAAATAACTGAGAAAAAGCCACCTTTTATGTATAAAGTAATCGAAACTTTACTTCCAACAGCTATTTACAATGCAGAAACCAATCCGAACGGAGATAAACTACTAGAGTTGTAAGTGATAAAATATAGTCGAAATAGCTCATTAGCTGAATGGATATTAATTATTTCTATCGCACAGATGGGCAAAAAAGAATTTTAAAAGGCAAGGCTGGACGTCGATCGTGGAAACTATTTCCTAAAATAAGTAAAATAAACGTTATGTTATGTACAAATCCTGAGTGTGCATACTACAATATAAGGGCTAGAGAACCAGTTTAAGCGTTGAGAAGGCTGATGGAGAACGTTTGGTGAACTAACGCGTTTCCATCTAATATATTTTGCGAATATCAATCCTCAATAAAGATTTAATAATTTTGTTTCTATGCCAAATTGTGCCTTAATAAAGTGATATACATCCATGCTACAGATATACGTAGACGTTCCAGTTTCATAGGAAACGCAATAAAACTTGCTTTTTTGTGCGAAAATGAAGAATGGAATCAATCAAGCAACCAAATACATATAATTGTTGAGCTAACTCCTTCAATTTCCGATGAAAAACTATATACAATAGTAAACAGAATTTATAAGACACCCGTGAACCACTTACTGTGTGAAGGATCCAGAAGCTCACCGCATCATAATTATAGATCACATTGAACTTCTGTTCATTTGAACGAACAATCCAATGAACTTCTTGATATTATAAAGGTAAACTTTGAAACGAAACCTTTACACTTAATTTAGATCGATTATTATATGCTTTATATGATTTGTGACAAATACTTGAGTTGGCCAAGTTTGATGGAATTAATTCCAATACAAAAATTTCAGAAACGAGCATAGTTTGCTAAATAATTAGTGTGAATCTTTATAGAACAGGGGTAATTATTAAGAACCTGATCCGAATATAACCATGAATTTCATTTATACCATCCACTTTTTGGCTTTCGTCTAACGTATTTGACGAGTTAACAGTTACAATCAAATACGTACAACGAGGTAGGGAATAAATTCTACCACAATCTATAATACAGGTTGTAAAAGTATGTAACAAGATAGAGGCCTGAAATATAAACAATTACACAATGAAGCATCTGAGCCTAAAATTAATGACTAGCATACGTATTCCCACAATAATATAATTCCCATCAGAGCTTGCATAGTAAATAATCTCTAATTCTTCGAAGAATAATAAAGACACGACCGTTCATAGTCATCGACTTGACTACAGATGCCAGCAATCTACTTTTAGGTTTGTATCAAACACACATGCTTTTAATTTGCTTGCTGTTACATTCAACAATGCATCCTCTTTTAGAGTGCGAATATCCGCTAAAGGAATTTGTTGACAGCATCTTCTTAATGGTAGACCTTGTAATGAAGGGCTTTACCGTTAGTGAGCTGTTCTCAGAACAAATATTTCAGATAAAGTGTCAGTATACCACTTTATAGCAGAATAAAATCTGGGCAAGCAGATAATGTAATTTTAAAATAATGGAAAATTCAGAAAGATTATGATACAATCTTTTGATACTTTATATGGTTTAGCTTTGTTGACCTACTTATTGTCTACAATTAAACTGCTTTGCCTTGTAAACGTTGATTAAGCAGCTTTATCAATTAACCCACAAGATATCTTACTTTTAGTGAAGTACATCTTTGGGCCATGGTTATTTAAGCGATAAATACATACACAGTAGTACTGACTCTGACACAACTCTTAGCGAAATCATAAATCCCTAGAATATATAATTGTGGATCGTTTCCAAGATGTACGAAAATACGAAGTGTACCGACGAAACGATATTCTCAAAATACCTGAGCAATTGGGCAATGACTGTCGTGCAAAACTTTCACACCGTTCTCTCTTATAAAAAACGGTTTATCCTGTATACTTTTATTATATATAGTTTGCTCTTTTATGTTTTTTTTTTTTTTTTTTTTTTTTTTTTTTTTTTTTTTTTTTTTGTTATAATCTATACATTGATGCTAAAGAAATTCTACACAATGTTGGGGCTTGAAATATGATAAAAATAAATGTTATTTTATGAAGAATTTGATTATTCTCAAATCAAATGCCAAAAAAGCTCACCTTTTTTAGTAAACCGTGTCGCCATTAGCCTTCACTAAACTTAGCTGGAAGGTATAATTCATACGCTTCAATGGCTATACTCATGTTGCCTGTTGGTGTTGCAGGTTTACGATTGTTATAGCCAACTCTAGAATAATCTATTCCTTTTCACGTGACGCTTCCATATTTTGGAAGCAACTACTGGCATAAAATGATTAAGAAGAGTCAAATAAGCCTACGCAATGTTTCTGAGATATCAATAAGATTGATAGACTCCTCTGCACTCAGTGTGATTATCTGCTATTGCTACATCCCTCCTGAGATTGACTGCTGTGAGCGATAGTATAGCTTTTTCAGCTGGTGTTTCTATCGCTATTATTGGCTTGTACATACAGTGACTCACAAAAGTGTTACAAAGTTTTACAAAATCAAACAAATTTCCAATTCAAATCACTATTGCACCTGATATGATTAATAAACCCCCCTCCAAACTAATATCATTAGAAAGTATATATTGTTGGGTTTCTAATGATATAACTTTCAAACATATTAGCGTTCTTTGGAATTACTTAAACTATAGAGCTTAATTTGCATATGCGTAAAATTTTCATTTTTGTGATAGTCAGATTTATTTAAACGTGCAGTTAGTACTTTGTTTGACCACCTTTGGCTTTTATAACAGCTTCAATTCTTTTTGGCATGCTTTCGATATGTTTTAGGCATAAATCGGCTGTAACTTTATTGTACCATACGTCTCCTACTCTTTGCCAGAGTTCGTCCATATTCTTGGGTAGGGTGTCATAAGCAGCTAGCTTGCACTTCAGGTAAAACCATAAGTTTTCGATTGGGTTCAAGTCTGGTGAATAAGAAGGCCAATCTAGAACATTTATCTTGTGCTTTTTAAAGAATTTTTTGGTATATTGGGACGTATGTTTAGGATCATTATCCTGTTGAAGGATAACGTCCTTCAATTTCAGGCCATAATCCTTTAGTGTATCCATGAAGTCGCCTTTCAGAATCTCGCAATATAATTGCGAGTCCATTCCCCCCTGTATCTTGGCAATGAAGCCAGGACCATGTTGAGTGAAGCAGCTCCACAATATGAGGCTGCCACCTCCGCCTTTATACTTGTAGTTGACGTTGTGCTCCTTGATGGGTTCTCCCTTCTTTACCCAAGTCCACTGTTTCCCATCCGATCCAAGACGATTGATTTTGGTCTCGTCGCTAAAAACGACTTTCTTCCAATCATCAACCGTCCAGTGTTTGTGGGCTTTCGCCCATTTCAACCGATCCTTTCTTCGATCATTCGTTAATGGCAATGCTGATTTTCTAATCCTTGAATCGAAATCGGATCTTTTCAGGACCCTACGTATGGTCTGTGGAGAAATATCTACTCCTTGACCCCGCAGGTTCCTGGCAGCATCAACTGCTGTTATGAACTGCCCTAAGTAGAACGATCTTGCGATCATTCTCTCGAGACGATCCGAGATTAACCTAGGACGGCCGGTCTTTTCGTTGCATGCAATGTCATTAGCTTTAGCGATTCTACCAACAGTGACGTTGGATACCTTTAAACTTTTGGCGATACTTCTATGAGACTCTCCTGTACGCAGTCTAGCTAAAATATCATTTTTTTTATCGTAAGGTACGGGACGCATGTTGAGATTTGTCTAATGTTGCGGTTTTTGTGAATGGGTAAAGTAATGTAGCTAATCGAAAAGCAAAAAGGTACAAGTTTGACAAAACATGATACTCAACATTAAATTGACCCCTGATAGATTGCTGAAACTCAATAAATTCGAAAAATCCTGGGGAAAGAAGGCTCTGTAAACATTCATCATTTCAACCATCTGAATTTCTACAGATTGCGAATGTCGAGATGAGCGATTAGAATGTCGAATGTGCTCAAGCAAATGTATATGAATCCTAACACAAGCTATATCACTGAATAGCTTAGAACTACTACTTTCCATATCGCAAAAAAAAATCAGTGCTTAAGTATGTGCTCAAGGGGAAGAATGCATGAAAAAGTCGAAAAATTAAAATTTTTAAAAACATTGTAACACTTTTGTGAGTCACTGTGTAAATCTTATCAATTTGGATTATAGTGGACTAAGTTAAGTAGCGAGACTATAAAAAGATATTGAATTGTCTTTATTTCGAGTTAATGTTTGGGTCTCTTTTATATCTTTTGGAATAAGTAATTTGTTTTTGAGAAAGGCATGTCTGAGACTTTGTAAATAATTATGGGCAGATAGGAAAATACATGTAATTTTGTTTAGGTGAATAGTTACATATATTTGACCTAGGTAATTATAGAGGACATCACACACTGTATCATATTTTATTCCTGTATTTGCAAAAGTGTTGATAAGAAGCACTTCCATAGACATCCTCTGAACTAATGTCGACTGTCCGACTTTCTTGAAATGTATTGAAGCCGAATGGATGCAGTAGATGAATTAATTGACAGGTTTATCGTTATAGTGCTTCAATACTGTGGATTTCTCTATTTACAATTTTGTTTGTTCTGCCTCCATAAAAGTAAGCTCCAATCTTTTTTTTTTTTTTTTTTTTGAGTCACTTTGGAAGCTCTATGTTCTTCTCTTTGTTCTTCTCTTCGGTAGTCCATACAGGCTTACTATTGTTACTCAAACTCTACATGAGTTGGAGGTGACTTAATTTCAACGCATATAAACCACAAAGAAAGTGTATGCTAACAAAGATGCCTATCTTCTAAGTGCTCGCAAATGGTTTAATAAATTCAGCAGACCTGCACAGTTAAAAAAAACCAGATGTAAGGCTAAAATGAACTACAATGATATTTAGATGCATTTTCAGCACCGTCCTCTGAAAACGAGGCGACAAACTGCTGTGGTTTCGGAGATAAGGCAAAGTACAAGAATAAAATCGTTTCAATTCCACGAAAACGCACCTTAATTCGCTTGTTAGTAATAAACATTCAGCGTAACTAAATGTCTCATTATAAATCTTTGGCATTTGCAAGCCAGATAGTTATTCAAAAATTGATAGGCACAGCTATTTACGGGAATTGTTCAGATAGCCGTTTACGCCATTCTATTTGAAAGTGAAAATAAAGGTTCAGAAGCCAAAGCGATGGAACCCTTAAAAAAAATCGCATGGAAAATGAGCCAAATATGTCATGGCTGTCACTTTTGAAATTATAATGAAACCTCGGATGTACACTACTGACATTTTGCATATTCGCTTTACAATATCGACCAGCTGTTTGAGTGATTTGCTTTAAATAAAAAAGAGGTACTCCAAGTGTATACTAACAATAAAGTGCTTCGCTCGTAAAGCAAAATACATATCACCATAGAAACAAGCAACAGTAAGTATTTATAGCATGGCCTCACATCTCAATTTAAAAGACTGGGCTTTTGAAACATTGGCAGGAATTTTGTAGGAGCTTGATTTTATTCTGTACTGAATTAAAGTTGCTTTTTTCTATGTCTCTCCTTCCTTTCCTTCTTTGTTAAGCTTTCTTGCATCTTATTCTTCTTTTTTTTGGTTAAATAACGCAATATTCTCCATATCCCTCTGGCGGAAAGAAGTTTATTCCTTAAATCAAGATGAGATCATGGAGAGCATGGACAATCGTCCTTGTCATCATTTTTATTTCGTTGAATATCTATTATTGGAGAAGTTTCCAATGCACAGATCCCAAATTCTGTAACGTGAATTCAGTAAGTACTTAAAGTTATGAGTGCAGAATAGTAAGTGCTCATGATTAATCTAACTAAAATTGCTCCCAGGAGTCTTCAGCTTCCCAAGATAGAGTAAATTGGAAAAAAGTGTATTTTATCAAAAAGCAAGTGGTGCTTATCTTTTACGTTTTCATAAACAGGATTCCACGGAAAAAGCAGATACTCTTCAAAAAGTTCAAGTAGAATCACCTCCTTCTCCACCTGCACCAGCTCCTCCGACGCAGCCAGACGTTCAACCTCAACCTGTTGTTCCTTTACCACCACCATCAACTCCTCTTCCTCCTCCTCCACCACCACCACCTCCACAAGGATTACCTGGATTTGACACCAGCCCTATTGAAGAAGCTCATTTAGAAGCCCATGTCGCAACTAATCCTCAACCACTGAATGAGCCAAATACTCATTATCCAGGTTTGAACAAAAATAGTTAGAATATTTGTTATATTATGGCAACGTATATAATGCTGCTTTTTTAAAATAGATACCCACACCAAATCTAGTCTTGATTTGAATACAATTGCTCCTACCGCAGATGACACAACCTATCGGTTAACAGTACAAGGGCTAAAATACGCATCTTCTGGAGATTTATGGCAATTTGGCATTGTACGATCGCATAAAGTATCCCCTATCGATTTTGGTCATTTCTGTACTTAAGTCATCTTTTTACTTTTTATCTGATCGTAGATTAACACAAAACCTGACGTACTTGTCGTTTCAAATACTAATTACCCTGATGTTAACAATCATTATCACCGTGAATTCAGAATTTATACTCTAATGAAATGGATCTTGCGTGTTCACCGCCGCGATCCTTTTAGAACGACACCCTTAGTGATGGTTGACGGAGGTAATACAAAGTAGCACTAGTTCGATTTTATTGCTCTTCACTAACAGATGACTAGGTTCAAATCATGGGCTGTTTTCTCTTGTCGCTGGTGCGAGCGGTGCTCATACCATCGCCTTTGAACCACAAACTCATTTAAGAAGTAAGACTAAAATAGTTCCGTTTGTGACATAGATCTGCATGATGAGCGTGTAACCTAAATTTTTTAATGCTAAAATTAGGTATAATTAACATGGCAGGTAGATTGAACCAAGTTTCTACACGTCTTCGTGTCCTTCCATTTGCTATTCTGGATAAATTCAAAGAACTCGCAATGGAAAAAGTTGAAATTAATGACGGTGGCATCGGTGGACTTTCTTATAACAATCCTAATGCGATGATCACTACGCAAACCATCCGACTTGACAGCTTACCAGCTTTCAACCTATTATTTTCTCAAAGAAAGACAAGAGAAGACAAGTCTATTGTGGAAGTTGACGATTTAGGCAAGGAATATGCCACGGAAATCATTAATGCAGTTGATAACGAAACAGCACGTATATCTGAATCACTATCGTTCCGCCAGCCCATTCATTTTCTGAAGATTGATGTGGAGGGCTTTGAGTTACCTGCTTTAAAGTCAGCGTCCAAACTGTTTGAAAAGCAACTTATTGAACACACTGTACTTGAATTTGGTCCACCCAGCCGATGGGATGTGACAATACCCGGAGCCGAAAACATGGATGTCAGCGATATTCGTAAACAGACAATGGCTGAGGCAAAGGCTGTTTTACACCAGGCTACAAAAGAATGGAAGTTGGATATAAACCTTTTACCAGCCGAAGGTTGGGAAAGAACAATCAAATTTATGTTGGACCATGGCGTTGACGAAAGTAACGGAGACCCTTCAAAGAACAAGGTTGTTCAGAAGCTAATGGCTTGGAAGTTTGATGATTTACCTGAAGATAATGATGAATTCGAAGAAGAACTCAAGATGAAGAACAACTTAGTTACAGAATTCATACGACTACCAGAAAGACTAATTGATGATTTCATTGACGAATCTCAGGCTATTGGCGAGATGTATCTGTGGTTCACAAAGAAGAACTCTGACAGTCCTGTGACGAAGAAAGTATCTCTTTAATTTAACTACATGAGCATAATTTTTACAAATGTATATATGAATTATATAACGACTATATTTCTAGTTTTCTAGCAAATGATTAAAATCCAAAAGTAGTTTCTTGCATTACGATAAATCTGCTACGCATTTTTTCACTTGATCTAATGCTTCAATGAATTCTTCTATAAAAGAGTCAAACATTATCTGGATTATTCAAATGACACAGGCAGAAACCATATACTGATTGCACACTCACCTTTTATTGAGGGTAAATTTTGCATATTCGAAGGTAACTTGGGAAGTATGGTATCATTCATAGTAGCTAGAAGCTTTGCTACCATCTTTTCCACATCACTTTTAAGTGTTTTGGTTGAGGTAGCCTTATTTTTGATCTAAGTATAAATAGTTAGAACCGAGCACAATCATTAGTTTGTCTAATACGACATTTACCTTTGAAACATCGCTCAACCAAATAGTGTAACGTTTGATTAATTGTAGCGTTAATTTCCAGAAGCGATGAGACAGCCCAAAAAGAAATATGTCATCGGACCAACATTGCTTAATTGCCTTCACTATTATTTTGCTTGCGACGGTCATCGAGTCTATAAGGATGTTAGCAATATGCATCAGTCGTTCGTTAATTTGTCATTTTTTACCTTTGCTTTCCTTAACTATCCGAAAACTTTTTGTAGGATCATTCAAAACGTTTTCCACTTCAGTAACTATCTCACGGAATCGAAGTTGAAAGTACACTGGCAATTGCCATTTCTTCATGAATTCTGCATAAGATGGATGTTTACGAAGGTATAATATTGACTTTCTCGATGCACATAAGCCTTCCAAATTAGATATAAATGATATCGTTGCAGAATAGTTCTATATATCAAAGTTGTAAGATTAGGTATCTCCCTGTTAATACCTTAGATCAACGCAAATACCTGATGGAAAATATCTGCTTGACCAGCAGCAAATATACTTTTACATTCCCGAGTTAATCTCTCGGCTGTCTCTAACCATAACGAATTTACCAAAATTTCATAATTGGAGGCTTTTAGCGTTTTCTGCGAGATATCCAAAATGGGCTTTAATTCTTCTGACGCAAATGCCAGGATTTTTTTATATATTGATGCTAATGGGTGTTCTTCTTTCTCGAGCGGTGCGCTTCTCTTCACTTCCACAGCATCTTTGTTAATTAGCGTCTTTAAAAACGGTCTAATGAATTCATTCCGTATTTTAGCCTCAGCCACATGTGTTTGGTCGATGAGGACATACACTCTCAGACACTGTACTAAAGACTGTTTCGTAGCATCTGTCATTTTTTCTTGTCGTATCTTGTCCAATGCAACTGACAGTGCCCTGGATAATGTTTGTTCCATAATGTCCTTTATTCTAGCAATTCTCCATTCATTTTCTGCCACAAATGCTAAATCTTTGCCTCGTCGTACCAAATGCTGCATTTGATTGTACTCTATTGCCACTCTTTCAATCTGCTTCCCTAGACTGCATCAAAATGTTCAATATATCATTCTACTCATTGTACTCCAATAATAAGCTACATATACTAACTTATCATCTACAGTCACCACTTCATCCTTTTCAGTAAAACTGTTAAGTGTACTTTTTGACATATCCGCGCTGATGCCCAGAAGGTCTTCAACTTTGGACAAAGAGTTATGAATATTCATCAAGAGTTTCAAAACAGACTATATTACACCGTCTGTAAATTTGTGCAGACCAAAAAGTGGAGACTTTAATGTTGTTGCGCCCTTACCTTCTTATCCTGAAGCTGTGCCCTGCTGTCTAACTGAGTTTCTAAAGAATCAATAACACCTTGAAAAGAGTCGCGTATTTGCTATTAGAATTTTGAGTTTTTTTAGATACGAGCAAGTTATACAATTAATTTATGTTGTGCGTGCACCCACCTCCACTTCTCTTTCCATGTCGGTTAGTGGCGATTTCAGCTGCTCGATATCTTTATCAATTCCTTTCAAGTTAGTGGATAAGTTGATGAAGTCTTGGTAATCTCGATTGAGAAGCTCCACAAGTTCTGTTTTTAATGATTTCAAATGCGAGTTTAGTTCAGTTTTGAGACGTTCTAAACCGAGATGTCTTCGACTGGAGAGATAACTGTCAGGATCGAATTCAGAAGCTGTAAAAGCTGAACGATCAACAACTGTATTTGTTAAAGGTTGAACAGACTGAATGATGGAATCATTGTCGTCATCATCGTCATCGAAGCTAAATACCGTTCGCTTCTTCTCAGTGGCAGCCATCGAATCGTCCTTCTAGCTTCAAATAAAGAGGGAGTTTGACAAAAGAATTATCCAAAGAAACTGAAGTCAACAACACCAAAATCACATATTCCTGCTGCATTTCTTAAACTTATAATTCCGATAATTTCTAACAGCAGCCTAGAAAATCTTATCTCTCTAAGCTATCGCAGCCACTTTAAGTATATAAATAGAACGATACATTTGCATAACATAACAGTCAACTGGCAGTTTTTTTGTCTTACTTACTTTCAGAAAACTACTATGTATAAAGAATGAAAAGCCCTGTGACAGGAAGCTACTGCGGGTCATTCTCAAAGGCGTTTACGGTTTCGAATGATTTTTGGTACTGTTGGATCTGAAAAAGGTATCTGTGAGCCCTCATGTATTCTCAATCATCAAATTACTCTTCATTACTGACTATTAGCAGCTGTAGAAGGTTAATGTAAAAAGGAAAATTGTTTTCCATTTATATGCAGTAATTCAGTCACCTTTTCAGGCAACATGGAGACACAAAGGTGAGATATTGAGTAAATATTTAAGGTATACTGATGGAGAAGCCTGAACGCTGTCGTTGTATACACGGTACAGAGTTGATTCTTCACGATCGGCATCAAATAATACATCATACTTTTAGTAATACTGATGGGCTTATGATCAAGCATCAAGGCATATGCCATGCGGCTCTTAACCAGCAGCGATAATATATATCTTGCCGACATTTTTAAAATGAAATTACTGCTCTAAGTTGAGGACATCAGCAGCATTTTGAATATCCCCTATGGAAGGAAGACATTTGCATATATATCTTTCTTCTTTCTTCCTATAATTCTTCCCCTCTGTCCACAGGTACGTAATACTTGACTTTTATGATAAGTGCAAATGCAGCACGAGTCAAGGACACGGAAAGAAGTGATTGGGAATGCCTCTGTGATGAAGCTTGGTAGCAGAAAATTCGATCAGCAACAACTTCTAATATGAGTTTCGCTGGGAATTAAAATGAATTTCATAGTGATTTACTGTTAGCTTGTAACAAGGTATGGCATCGAAGAACTGGATATGAGATATCTGTTACTGTATGATTGATACATTGGTGTTATTTACTGTTTCAACTTAATTTATTTAAAAAAAAAAACCACGAAAACAAAGAAAACAAATGAGAAGTGAAAGACATCTCTGATACATATCAGAGAACAATGGTAAAAAAGATTACGAAAAAAGCTCCTCTGCGCCATCATCTTTCTCAGTTTCTTCCTCTTTCAATTCGCCCAATACCTTTTTCCTTTGAATGAGCTTCTCTTGTCTGTCAATCAACTCCAAGAGTATATCTGTGAAAAGAAAGAAGAAGACACATCAGTGGCTGTAAAACTAATCTGCAACGCACAGAGAGAATAGCTTACCCTTAACTTTTTTCTTCTCAAATCCCTCTATAGTTGCGCGTCTTCGAAGATAAAATGTCTGGTTGCTGTCGAAGATTTAAAATGATTAGCCTGAATAAAAGAAGTTGTGATAAGAGCTTAAACTTACACAAAGCCCCTGTGTTTTTGGAAGTCTAATTGCGACTCTTCAATCAAATTATGTTTTTCCACTTGATCAAGTAAACTACAAAATGTGATTTATTAATGGTTAAATCTTCACAAAGTTGAGTACCCTTTTTTCTTACCTTTTCAAATAAGCTAGTTCTTCATAAGGTGTCGCCTCTCGGTTTTCTATCAATGAACCATCTTTACGGATACGATGTTGGATACGGTAATATCTCGAATAGATTTGTTTTTTAGAGCGTTCTCCGTTGAACTCCGGTACAATTGAGTCGATTTCGATACGACCAGTCTTTGGATGCCGAGATGCTTTTGTTGCAATCAACCGTGCTAATTTTTCATCTTCTTCTTGGGTCCAACGTTTCAATGGTTTCGTTGACTCATTGATTTTTCGTCTGAAATAGAAATCACTAATATTCTTTGGTGAACGATCCATATATTTGGAAAGGATCCTTGTATTGAAACCATGAATTCCTATCAACATGTCCAACTCTTGAATCTCTTCAGGAGTCCAAGGTGCGGCGTTACGTTTGACGTGATACATTTCTTTCAATAACTTGACTAGACGATACAGTGGCATATCAGGAAAGATCTTGCCAATCCTTTGAAAGAGGCGAAGATGCCCTTTACTCGAGGTCGAAAAAATATCTTGTGCCTCTTCAAATGTGATGCCCTCTTGTTTACAGACCTTCTTGATACGTTTCTCCAAACGCAGTTTGTCAGAATAACCTAATTTACGCGGTTTGGGCCATACGCTATCGTCTTCGGATTTTCGTCTCCAGCCCAAAGTTCGCTGCCATGGTGGATAACTTTCATCATCGTCATTATTTGAGTCGGTTGAGTCGCTGTCGCTACCGCTTATGTAAGGACTAATGCTGATACGACGGTTTGATTCGCCTTTGCTGGTATCTGTTCCATCACTGTCACTGTCTGAAGTGACGAAACCTTGATTATCAATTCTTCTGGGTATAAATGTATTGTTGAGTCGAGTAGATAAATTAGATGCAGGCGATTTTGAGGGATCGTAAGGGCGTGTTTTACGGAAGGAGATACGATTAGATTCACAATGTCCTTTGCTCCAAGAAAAAGGACTTTTGTTGCTTTGAGGTTGGGCTTCTGGCAAATCAGTGTTATCACTTTTCGTGTTTTCAGTGTCGCTATCATCTTTTGAACCATTCAATTCTTCATCAGAATCCTCAATGATGCGCGATGTTCTGTAAACCGTATCAGAAGGTGCACTTCGTTCTATGGAGGTAACGGAGCTTTTTTTGGTAAGACTAACGTTCGTTGATGGGCTGCTTGCTGATAAATTTCTTTCGGCCTTCTTCTTACCCTTATTCATTGTCTTTGTGATTACTGACTGTTTTGCACCTGATTCTTTATCAGTTTCGTCGGAATCAGAATCAGATACAGATTTTTCTTCCATTGATAGCTGGCGCTTTTTGCTGCGTGTTGGCTCCTGATCGGTTTCACTCGACTCAAGAACAGCTATGCTAGAATCTGTCGCGGTTGACGTTGGTAAAGGAAGGTTATGTTCTGCTCTGATCAGATTGGATTGTTGAGTCTTTTCTTCGTTCTGTGTCTTCTCTTTGGAAACGGACTGAGTCTTAGCTCCGTCTATTCTTCCATTTTCACTCTTACAATTGCGAATTGATTCAGCGAGATTCTTTTAATCGATCTAAAGACTCTGAATCTTACCTGTTTGTCCTCGGTGGAAGCATGAGACTTACGTTGCTTACTACTCTTCTTCTTCTTCGATTTATCTTTCCGTTTCTTTTGTTCTTTCTTTCTGACTTCCTCTTCCGTTCTCGTATTTGTTTTGCCTTCCAACTTTGCTCGTTCAAGAGCGATCGTGTTATTAGGACGAATCTAAATTTAAGCATGAATGTTTATGAGCATACCACGGCAGCATTTTGTTCTTATTGATATAAGTAAAGGGTGCCGTACCTTTCTGCGCTTCCGTTTTTGCTCACCAGTCATTATATTGTTGAAAGTTGACAAGCGAAATAAGTATGAAACTATCTTTGGCTTTTTTTTTTTTTTTACCTTTTTTTTTCGGCTTTTTTCCTTTCCTTTTTTTTAGTCGTTGTCCGAAAACCAACATTTAATCTCCACCTCTCCACAAATTAGGCCTTTTTTTTTGAACTTTCAACTTTTTATGGTTGTCAAGTTTGCAACTATTTTCTATTGTATGACCGTAAACTTAGTGTGAAAATTACGAACGATTGGATATATTGACAAGAATGGTTGATAATAAGCATAAAGATGAAAGCTCGAGCAAACTTTTTCCTCAATTAAACAGTTTAACTGATGTGGAAAAGCAGATCAAAGTGGCCAGGCATCTTCAATGTGATCAGTGTGATTGTATAGGTTGGCGATCTCAAACAACAGCACCGTTGGAAACAGAAGGCGATAAAAAAAATGACGATAATAATAAGAATACATCTCAATCGACAACCACTTGTTACCAATGTCAACACAATCTTCAGAACCATTTGGATAAAAATCATGATTTTATTAGACGTCTAAAAGTCGCGTTGAGGTTAGACGAACTATTAGAGGAAAAAGGAATAACTCTTAATGGTAACAATGAAGAGTATTTGAACGATAAAGATATTACTTCATTGAGGAAACAAATGGATTATAATGCTGAGGACGATACAAAATCATCCAAGGACAAAAATCAGTATCATGATGCAATTCAGCATACATCTACTGAAGACGATTTTTTGTCTGAAGCATCTTCACCGTCCTCCATAGATGCAGGTAGATGCTGATATTATTAATAAGTGTACTTCCGCCAAATGAACGGTAAATCTAATGTCCATTTCGATTTGATCTTACAGAAGTAGTGGTTGAGGAAGAGCCACAGCAACAACAACATCAACAACAACAACAAAGTAGTAATATGAAACGGCCAAGAGATACCAGTGACGAAGAGGACAATCTAAGCAACGACAAAGGTTTCAAAGATTATGATAAGAATAATCTGAATAAAAGATTTAAAGTGGATACAGATACAAACCCACCGACTAGCGAAACGAATGCAGCACCATCGAAAAAACATTTAGCTGCAAATCAAGAAGAAAAGACAATTGAGGAGGTTGCCGCGGTAGTAGATGAAACTGAGAAGGCTGCTTTCGCAGATCATGAAGATGTTAATGATGACGAAGAAGAAAAAAACGATCAAGATCGTAAGAAAAAAGAGGATGAATACACAGAAAGCGCAGAACAGTTGCCACAAGATACCACAATTACAAACGATGCAGAGAATTCCAATAGATTGACTAATGTAGAGGAAGATGAGTATGTTTCCAGACATGGGATGAAGGATGGTCAAGCGCCGAAGGATGATAAATCAGCGGAAATGATTGAAGTGAAGAGTGAAAATACGATCGATGATGGACGAAAACAGCAAAGGGATATGAATGGCAGCCATTCCAATAGGAACGGGAAATATGACAATGACGAAAATACCTCGCACACAATTAGCGAAACACAGGGCGAAGATAAGCAAGAGGTAAAAGTAGAAGAGCAAGAGGCAGACTTCAAGATTGCTAAACGTGAGCCGCAACTGGGCGATAAAAGAGCACTGAATGAAGAAGCAATCCAAGTCAACGACGGCATAGACGGTGTCTTGAAGTCTCATGAGAATCATAGCTGGGACTTTATCACTGAACTTTCACCTGCAGAGAAAAAGGAAACGCCTGCTATGATAGAAGAGCGTACAGGACTGATTGAAGTCCGTGTGGTTGAAAATGATGGCACGCGCGACAACATGATCCTGCTGACTGGCCTCAAAAATATTTTCCAAAAGCAACTACCGAAAATGCCCAAAGAATATATTGCTCGACTTGTTTATGATCGTAATCATAAGAGTATGGCCTTAATTCGTCGACCCTTGAAAGTGATAGGTGGTATTTGCTTTCGGCCTTTCGAGCATCAGGAATTTGCAGAAATTGTATTCTGTGCTATTGCCTCAACAGAGCAGGTGAAAGGTTACGGGTCGTTTTTGATGAGCCATCTAAAAGACTATGTGTCAGGGCACAGTCAGATCAAGCATTATCTCACGTACGCTGATAACTATGCTACAGGTTATTTTCGAAAACAAGGCTTCACAACGGAGATTACGTTGAATAAAAGGAAGTGGGTCGGATATATCAAGGATTATGAGGGAGGTACAATCATGCAATGTACAACTGTACCTAAGGTGAAGTACTTGCATGTCCAGGATATATTAACGATCCAAAAGAAGGCTGTGTACGAAAAGATGAAACAATTCTCGAGTTCACATATTGTATACCCGGGTATTCAAATGCCCTTGAATGAGGAGGGAAAACGCTGTATAGATCCTTATTTGGTTCCAGGTGTGAAAGAATCAGGGTGGACACCGGAAATGGATGCACTGTAAGCATTGATACAGCAGTTATCTCTGTCATGTTATTTCATTTTATGTTACTACTTCAGACCCTTATGTTGAACTAATGTGTGCTTATCTCTTGATTAGATCGAACCGAACTAAACATCCGCCTCACTATAATCAAATGCGTCATTTAGTCAGTGAACTACGGGCGAACCCGCATTCTTGGCCGTTCCATGAACCAGTGAATGCGGAAGAGGTTACAGATTATTACGAGGTTATTCTAGAACCCATGGGTAAGTTCCAACTGTATTTTACATTCATTGTCAGTTTTCGGCTCTAATTGTAGGTATGTATATATATTGCTTAGATCTTACTACGTTGGACCAAAATGTCGAGTCGGATAAATATGAAAATTTGGAAGACTTTATTAATGATGTGCAGAAAATATTCGATAATTGCAGAACCTATAATGCTGAATCCACCAATTATGCTCGTTGCGCGAACCGTTTAGAAAGATACTTTAAAGAAAGACTCCGAGTTTGGACGAACAAAGATGATGATTAGTGTTGGTGACAGTAGTGGTAATCGCGGTGTATAATTCGTATTATTATTATTTTCTTTTCGGCTGTGGATATTATAGGGGCTTTTTTTTTGCAACTTTTCAAAAGATGGATGAAGAGAGTAGTTACCCAACCCCGCTCCCTCTCTTTTTGTATATATTATATTGATATTCCTTGGGCATAATAAAATGGCTTTCATGTAAATAATCTCCCTTTGTCCATCGTATAATAGCACTGAAACTTAAAGGAAGCGTCTCGATATAAGTTTAATTCGGTTGTCGAAGGATGAATTTGTGATTGTCGTGTTCTTTTCATAAAAAGGATTCATGAGAACCTATATTATTGTTTTGTAATATTTTATAATTAGTTTGCTATTAGTCTTTCAAACTGTGGAGTTCCAAGTATGAGATTACCTTCACATACAGCTCGTATACTTCATTAAAGAACTGTTTTATGCTATCCTCTGATTTTTGATCATGCAGCAACATAAATTTGACATCTATCAGAAAAATTATCCAAGAACTGTCAACATATGAGGAGCTACCTAGACAAAAGTTAAGCTGTTGCATTTTACTTCCTGCAGTTACGAAACAAGACACAAAGAATTCATTGAATCTGTCGATCGATTTCAGGTACCTAAATGTGGAATCTAACGTAAGAAAAAAAAAAGTGCTCGCCATATACGGATCCTAAACACTCTTAACTAATATTCACATGGCGTTTGTACTCCACTGGAATTCTTCGACGACGTCTAGCGCGGCATGTATAATGAACTGGTTCAAATGTTTATGGTCGTCTCGTTGCTATATATGGACTATCTGTTAACATTTCGAATAATTCTTCATCAAATTGCATCGTTTGCAGAACTTTACTCTATGGGCATCCATAAATGCTGAGCTACGTGAAGAGGGTATCAATTCTGTTTCATAGATAGGATTATCTGTTGCCCCTACAATCGCAAAATAGTAACTAGACATGATTTGGTTTTCAGTAAAGCAGTAGAGGATACAAAACCACAGTTGTTGTGGTAGGATGGTAACATCTAAAACTGTACGCGGATGTTCAAATTTCTCGGCAGCCTCAGGCAAACAGTGAGGTACAGTGATGCATTTCTGTTCATTTCCAAACACCAGGTGTACCTGAAAATCATCACACACATAAGATTAAGGGTTACTTCTTCCCCTTCTTTTCGCTGGTCGTTCTTATCTCTTTTTACTTTTTTATTTTTTCTATCTTTTTTCTTTCGTTTCTTTAATTCTACTAGAGTCTTACAGCAAACAGAAACATGGGCGAATCAAGAACGGAGCTATTGGCTTGGCTAAACGATCTATTACAATTGAATTACACTAAAGTAGAACAAGCAGGAACAGGTAGAGTGGTCATCTGTGGCTGTATCTTGCCTATGTAGCTTCTTTATCTAAAGTATCTTTGTATGTATATAGGAGCTGCTTATTGTCAGATTATGGACTCCATCTTTAGTAAATATGTACTTGATACGGAACAAAAAGCATTCAACGTTCACATGCGGGACTATTGAAACGTTTTGTCTATTTAGATGATGTTCATATGTCCAAGATCAAATTTGATACCAAGCATGAGTATGAATATATTTCCAACTTCAAGATATTACAAAACACGTTTGATAAGCACAAGTAAGAAAATTATTTGTTTTTTGTCGTTCAATCGCATTGTTACGCGTTTCTGTATCACGAAGCTTTTATTTTTTTTTCATGCTATTTTTTTCTAACGTTTCAAATAAATGAATACAGAGTCGATAAGGTATTCGTTCGAAATAGATTGCAAATGGTGTTCCTGAATACCAACCACGAACGCTATCTCTCCTTCTTTTTTTTTATTTTTTCCTCCTGTCAGATCATCCCAGTAGACAAATTGATGAAATGCAAATTTCAAGATAATTTAGAATTTCTGCAGTGGTTGAAGCGATATTGGGAAGACCATTATCCTGGAGGAGTCTATGACGGATTACAAAGAAGAAAGGGAAAAGGAAGCCAAAAGGGAAGGCCAGCCACTGCTCGCGCTGCAACAACGGCAGCCACAGGAAGTGGAATGGCTACTCTAAAGAATAGTAAACCAGCCGGAACAAATGCAGGTGAGTTTATTTGATTTTGCTTACACTATAAACAAAATTGTCAGCGGCTGCATCCACTCAGTAGTTCGTATATTATTCGATACGTAAAACAAAAAAGGAGGTAAAAACGGCTCTGCAACAGCCATCAGTGGTGCCATCAATAGTTCAAAAGTCAATAAGAGCAAAAGCAACAATAATACAAGAAGAGTGACTTCTCCTCTGTCTGATGGGGCAACAGCAACAGTAGATCTTAATAGCGACCTACAAGTGAAGACGTTGAAAACAGAGATAAATAGTCTAACCGAAATGATGAACGGATTGATAAGAGAACGCGACTTTTACTTTAACAAATTACGCGAGATTGAAATGATAGTTCAAGATCAGGTAGAGGTGCACCCATCCTTGTCTCAAGAAGGCGAAGGATGCTTGGGTGAGATACAAAATATCCTTTATAGAACAGAAGACGGATTTAACGGAGTTGTGGAAGAAGACGAAGATGCTATCCAGCAAGAGTATCACAACAAACCATATGACGACGAATTGGAGACATTTTAAGAGCGAGGACGGGCCGTAACATTATTTAAGAAATAAATACTTTCTCATACAAAGGTGCTTTCTATTTTATTTTATTTTTCCGTAAACGCCAAAGCTCTCATTTATGTGAGCCTACTTTATTGATATAATTCGGAATTGTACGGTGTGCCAAATAACAGATTCCAGCTTTTTGGTGGATTCCAGCTCTTTAAAGATGTGTTTATATCCAATAAACTGTTTATAAATGAAGCATACTCAATAGCATCTTGTGCATTGTCTATAAGTTTAAATTGAAAGAAAAAGAGGTCAGCTTTCAAAAAGAGTACATACACATCATGATAGGGAATTTACCTCCTTCCAAAGCAAACATGACAGTAAGGAGTGTCTGTACATTTTCATCCCTTTCCAGTTCTTCATACAAATATTTGGCCAGGCCTGAACCGTATAGATGGATCTTTCCATCTCCTTCAACCCATTCCGGCGTCATTGCCATATTCTCCAGCACAGGAACCTGCAATATGTCCAGCGCCTTTTTCATTAAATCGTGTCCGTCATCTCTACTGTATACTCGAAAAGGATGCGCACCCGATCCTTGAATTTGTGAATCTAAGCGACGTGCCGCATCCATTGAAGTCATTAAAACAATTTTTTTAAATTGTTTAGCAAACATTGTTATATCACGAATGTAATCGGTTTTCCGGCCTTTGAGGGTAGGTGAACGTTGTTGTACGCAAGTATACAGTCGATCCTTGGTTTGAAATACTAATTGAATCGTGCATTATTGACAGAAATATGTGTCGTGTGTATTCATGAGATTGATAGAATACGGTAGTTAACGAGTCTTTTTTATGAGCATACCTTCAATGGGTACCGTCACCCCTTTATGTTCCTTAGTATCTTCTCTCAAACCAGCCAAAGGCAGTACGGAATCAGCGTCAATCCATCCAGTACGATCCATTTGGAATGTTGAGATGAGTAGATCAGACACTAATTGCGGTACATTGCCGATGGAGACTGTAGGCTTTGTAGAGTAGAGACAAAGAGATTGTTCAGTATTACGGCGATGAGAAATAAGATCTGTTTAAATCTATGGCTCTTTACCAAAATAAGTGTCGATGTTGCAAATGACGCAGCTGGATCGGTATCCGCCTTGACAGGTATGAATGACATTATTGTTTGGATCGCTTTTGATGCAGTGAGTAGTAGTTAATCAGTAGGTAGGCTCAAATTATGAACTCGGACCAATAAACAAGTGTGAAATACACATGCTCAAGCTTCCAGTTGCGCGTCGTTATTTGGATAATTTTATAGCTGCATTGATCTGGTTATAAAATAAGGCTAATTCCACCAACCATAAAGCGTTTGTTTTTTTTGTGCATCAGATTGGACTATGTACTTCTCTAAGGAACAAAAAAATATGTTTAGGCAAAAAGTACAGTTATATAAACATATATTAAAAAGCGTTTAAAAACTACTTCATTGAGTTATGCTTTAAAAGAATCCATTCATTTTTATTCCTCTAATAAATAAGGTGTAGAAAGAGAAAGGCTAGTTTGAAATTCAATAGTCCTGTACACTATGTGCTATTTCATGAAGCAAATTCTCCTTCTCTTGTAATAAGTTACGCTTTTAAAATACACACACATAGAAAGAATAGGAGATAAATCACGTTAGAGCGGACCAATGATTGTTAATGAAAAGAAGAGCTTACCAAACGTTCTTCTGCTTTTTGCATTTTCAGTGAAGCTTGTCTCATATCCTACGGAAGAATGAGGTTACATTACAGCGTTTCAGGTAGATGGGTGCCGTCGGAAAACAATTGCTTACAGGTGGCAGGACTTTGTATGTGTCTAATATGTTACTTTTATCTTGTAATGATTGCTCTATGTTTGTTATATTCTTCTCGAGATCATGTAGCTGGCTTAACCTGATACTCTTTTCTTCTACAGCTAGACTTTCATAATGTTCCTATTCGGATAGCAGACAATAGAGAGGTGAATATCAGAGAGTACCTAAAACGAAGCAAGTGATCCTTTTCAAACCTTTAAAACGAGGTATTCTTTTGTCGCGTCCTGGATATATTTGGCATGATGTTGTTGGCTTTCACCCATATTGGTTTTCTTTCTGCTTTGCCTTAATTCAGTCAGAATACTTTTTATTTTTGTGGGTTTATTTTTTTTTAATATCGTGCGGAGAGAAGTTGTTGTGAGCCCCTTGGTTGGTCTTTTTTTTTTAAAAAATAATACTTTTTTTCTTGTTTGTTTTACTCTGTCATGCTTTGCAAATGTTGTTCTGCATCGCGACGATACTCATCCAAAGAGTATTCTAATTCTCCCAAAGAGCGAAGTGTGTGTTGTGTTTCCATATGTTCTATTGTAAATGAAGTGATGGCTGTAATGTAACTTTTTGAATACAATAGAAAATGCGTATTAAGTCAGGGTTTTCAAAAAATAAATAAAAAAGTTGGTATAAAAGCAGCTATCCGTGTATATGTATAGATAGGGTCATTACTTGCTCAATTCAACAGATTCAATGCCCAGTGAACTTGCTAAACTCGCCAGTGCGTCTAATTTAACTTGTCCTGCCTTAGTCAAGATGACTTCTGCAACTTTAAAAAATTATTCAAAAAAGTTAGTTTGATCTAGGATGGAAGCAAAACAAAAACTTTTCCATGACTCCAATTTCAAATTTACTGCCATCATTGCAAAGAACATGGTCAAATAAGTCAGCAGAGTCTAGATCCAATGCTCGTAACGTGTTCAACACGGCGAGTTTTGATTCACTTTGATTATAGATGGGTAAAGAATCGTTGTGATAGATTGTAGTGGAGAGCCATTCGTCCATCTACTCAAGAAAACAAAAAAAAAGCAACCAGTTGTTCGACAAGATTGAGCAACAATAAGAAGAAGCATCTTTATTTCATTTTTTCAAACATCGTTACTTGATTCCAATCCATGGCTGCCTATGAATGGGTTGGGTTTTTTTTTCGAAACAACGTACATAGAATTATCCTTATGTTGATTTGTGTAAAGTAGCAGCGGGATTATTATCAGCCCGGAGTAGGTTTATCAAGTCAGCAACAGGAACAGATTTCCAGGCATGAAACCGATCTACCTCATCTTTGATCAACTTGGTAGTGGCCTATGGAAGAGTTAGATCGTTTTCTATCAGTGATAGCTGTATCGGTAGCCCAAGACAAGGCATAAAAAAAAAGATATTATACGCTTACAAACAGATTGGACCATAACAAAGCACGTCTTTTCGCGTCTTGTTGTTGCTGTTGTGGTTGAAGTTGTTGAAAGACAGTTTTAAAGACTTTTTCCATATCCTGTGTCATTTTACTGTTCAGATGGACGTTGTTGCTGCTGGTAAATGGCTCTTCTGACGGAATGATATGACTTAGACGGAAGTCGTCTGCTGTTATAGCTTCTTGTTCTTCTTCCTCTTGAATAACAATTTGATTCTTTTTTAAATGATATCGATAGAGTAGGTTTAGTTTGTATAGCTTTTCAATGGCGCACGTGAGGGTTTGTATTTTGTCAATATGTGCTTGTTTGAAAACATTGAATTCAAGCTCGAGCTCGTTCTTTTCTTTGGCATACGTCTCTGTGCAGATGGGATGGAGGTGAGGGGGTCAAGCGCAGTGGATTATGTAATTGACGTTGATATTTTACCTTTTATCTCTTTTTCAAAAGCGTTCATTTCATTCTCTTTCAAGCGATATCTGTGTCGAGTGAAGTCTAGGTCTCGTTGTACTTTAATCAGGTCTTCCTGATAGATGGGATAAGTATCTGTATGTCAACGTTGAATGTACATTTATGCTGAATACCTCTAATGACTTGATTTGTTCTTCTTTGTCTAATAGTTTTATGTGAGCTGGAGATAGTAGCAAATGAGTATGTTAGTGACGAGGAAAAAGGACATGCTTTTTTCCAGCAATGATGTTTCGTACATTCAGAAGCAGTTTTAGAGGGTAAATAATGATAGACAGTCTTTTGTTCATGTTGCTGTTGACATTGTCTATAAACACATTATCCTAGCATTGTCAGTGTTATCATTCCTATGCAACTTGAGATATTTCGTGTTCTTTACTCATTCTTTTTTCCGAGAGTCACGTCTGTAGTCACCAATAATAAAGGATCAAAGTCGATTTGCGAAGAACTATTTTTCTTTTTTCTTTTAATTGAAAAGGGTAAAGAAGACCTTTTTTTATTGATGCTTGTAGACGGTGTAACCGGAGTATTTGACATAATTTAATATTACTCGAAAAAAGGAGGGAAAATAAAACAAAAAAAAAGAGAAAGCCATTCTTTTATTCTACAACTGCATCATATCATCTCGTACTTTAATACACTCCATTCTACATACATTTTATTCCACGTAAAAGGAATGTTAGGCTTGAACTTTGTTTACCAGAGTATTTTCGGTTGAAAATCAGACTTTTTCAAATAAAAATTGAATTTTTTCATTAACCAAAATTTAGACAATTCAAAGCAATAATTTCAGACAATCTATTTCTAAAATTTGGACGACACTTTCAGTAAACTCCACAATGTTATTTCGTTGAGCCTGCCTTCATTGCAGCTCTTGCGGGAAGCAGCCGCCTTAGATGGATTATTTACCACAGAGATTGTCTTTGTCGTCTCTATCCCACTCCTCACCGATGTGTGACTAATTATTATTTCAAATACACATCTCTGATAATCTCTGGCAATAGCATTGCTGCATAAATTTTCTTCGTAAGATATATTGAGCTATGGCTTGTCATCTCATCTTCTATGATCTTATTTATCAAAGGTTGTCTGCTTATACAGTGGTTTTTTTCGCCCATTATTCTTTTCTTTCTGCATGATAATTTTACCCAATGCCGTCCAAAGAAGCCAAAAACTATTTGAAAGAAAAGCTTCAAATGAAACGGCTCGAGTTGAAAGAAGGTAAACTAACTCTATTAAACTGCATCAAGTACGACCAATTCTGTTAAAGTCATTATTTACAGCAACATGCACCCACTGTGGGCAGCAGGGTCACTTAGATAAGGGGTTGTACAAGTGTTTTCTTTATGGTAGTAGTAAGTTCTGTTCCATTATGTAAAGCAGATCGTATGTAAACGCATTCTACACTTCAGGTAGGAAAAGGAAAGCAGCAGGTTATAAAGATGACTTTCAGAAAACGTTGGACAAGGCAAAAGGAGAAAAGCCAAGATGAGGTAGAAAAAAGAAAGCCAGATCCGTCAAGTTATTTTCAGAGCCCAACTATTTGTCAACTACTTTATCACAGACGACTATGAACAGATAAGTAACTTGATAATCTTCCTTATTAGATTTGTAACAATTGCAAGAGTGACGAAATGGAAGACGTAAAAATTCAAGAGGGCTCAAGACTCTACAGTACTAAAGTATGTAAAACTTGCCAAGTACTGCGGGCAATGCGATGTTGATGCCTCCAAAAAACATTATCACCATTGTCAAGTCCATCTGAACTGGCCAGGAAAGACGTGGTCCATACAACAGAGATCGCCGTACCGAAGATGGTGCTGTCAGTTCTTCAGAACAGACTGCTTAAAGATATTTACGTGTTTGGGTGGCTTCATCTTGTATGAATTACTACTGTATATTTTTTACAGTTTTATTAATTGATGCTTGGACTTCTTACTCATACCCAGGTAGAATAAATATGCTGTGCTTTAAGGTATGAGTAAGCCGCACATTTGGGCATTGAGCATTTTGACAGAAAAGGTATAATCCCAAAAACTGAGCTGGTATCCTAAAATATTGTTAAACAATCTAAATTTAAATAGTAAAATGTCTCAATTTTAACCATTTCGTGCGATAAGTCCAAGCGAAAAAACAGTAGATCTACGATTTCATAAGTTTTCGATGTAATTGAAAAGTGTTTTTGATTGGACGGGAATGTGAGCTTTTTAAAGTTAAAAACCTTGGAGAAAAAGGGGTGGGCCCTTGACCCCTTTCCTTTTTCTGCTTGGCTTTTCCCAATTGAAACCTTGGCAATCGGACTTCAAAACAAAAAGACACCCCATTTGAAGAAGATTGGATCATTCTGTTTGAAAATGCAAACACAGTTTTCATATTATTGAAAGTCCGAAATATAATTTTTTTTTATTTACAAAAAAATACTGTCTCCCCCTCCCTGGGATCAGAAACAGGAAAAATGACAATGACAAATAAGGGAAAATTTTTCTTTTTGTTCATCGTGAACAAGCGTATATTAAAAAAAAAAAAGAAAAAATATGAAAGAAAGGTATAATAGGGGTATGTGGAGTCTGTTATTATATTATTTACTACATTAGACTATAAGCAAGAAAGAGTAATTATTTTTCTTGCGGACGGTTCATCTTTATCAGTTTTTGCTTCTCTCTCGTACGCATAGCTTGACGTCTATTTTGAAACCAGATCTGCACTGTACGTGGACTCATGCCTAATTGACGGCCCAATTCTGCGCGCATTTGCGTGGACGGAAAGAAGGTGCGTTCAAACACTCTGTTCAACACCTCTAGTTGTTTTGTGTTGGCTCTTCTTCTTTTCGCTTTCAAATGATGCTCATGGTGGTGACCCTCCTCATCCGCCTCCTCCCGATCTTCCTCATCCGTATCGTTATCACTGCTCTCCTCTCTAGAATGAGTGTGGTGATAGAAAGTGGGTGTTGTTACTGTAGATGTCGTTGTCAATGTAGAGCAGGAAGATATAAACGAATCATGACTATTCTTCCTTTTCTTTTTGTTGGTGTTACTCGTTGTTGAATAAGCAGAATAAACACTGGTTGTAGGAGAAGACGACGATAAAGTCAATGAAGGTGATAATAAAGGGCTTTTGATATCATTATCATTATTGTTGAGCAGAGTATGGATATCTAAAATGGCCGGTCTTTTATAAGTCGTTCTAGTAGTAGATTGCTGTTGCTGCTGTTTTTGTTGTTGCTGGTGGTGGTTTAACATATTATTCACTGACAACATTTCTTTTTTATTTTATTTTTTAATTAATGAAAAACGAAAAAAAAAAAAGATAAATTATGAATTATGAAATTATGAATTATGAATGATTGACAATTCTACTTTTTTTTTTTTTTTTTTTTTTTTTTTGTTAATTTCTAAGAGCCAACTTTTTGGAATTCTCTTTGTTGCAAGTTTTTATGTCGTACGAAACAGGTTCTCCAATTAGTTTGTGTATGTGTAAAATGAAAAAAAGGGGAAAGACAGAAAAAAAAAAAGAGGGGTAAGAACGTTGATGATTGGTTAATTGAGTTGGAATCTTTTTGTTTTATTTGTTAAAAAGGGAATCCCATTTCTTACTTTTTGTAAAAGCGCGCAAAAACCCCCCTCCCCCCACTCCACAAGAACCCTTGTTTAACATCTTACAAAATGTGAAAAGCTTAACCCATTTTCCACGTTCATTTAAATGAAAAAAAGATCTAATGAAAAGCTCACGCCACCTTTTATTGACCAATAAGAAAATACGCCGTCTTTTAAACACATTTATAGTCAGTATTCATTTTTTTTTGATTATGAAAGTTAGGGAATATTTTCTTCCCAATACTATTATAGTTAGTGTCGATGGAAAAACAGAAGATGATTTGACACATGCTGACGTAGGAGCAAATATTCTAGCCTCTGCGTCAATTTGTTTCTTTTCTTTATATGTTATTGGCTAATATGAAAGACAGAAAAGACAATAGAAGATCAAATATATCTTTGTATGTATATTTCTGTTAGGTTCGGACTTTCGGTGTTTCATCCATTGTTGGTACGTGTGTTTTTAATATCTTTTTTCGATTATTAAAAAAGAGCACCTAATTTTGTTAAAATGAAAAAAAAAGGGCATGGAAACAGAAGAAATGGTGTACAACAAAAAAGAGAATACAGGAATACTCATGAAAGGAAATCACAGGAAAAAGAATTATATACTTTATTTCTCAGAAAAAAAAAAAAAATCAAAAAATTCGTTGCACTCCCAATGTCGTAATTTTGCAAAAGGGTAACATTGAGAAAAATAGCAGTATCCTTCTGGAGCAAGATGGGTTGGATTGTTGAGACAAAGTCAAGACACACTTTTGGCACATTTTGGGTAAAAAAAAAGGTGTTCATGTAACTAGCCTCCATTTGCCTATCTTTTACTCCTTGTCCTTTCAGTGGAGAATCTGCGGCTTTAGCTTTCTTTTTCAAACACACTTGCTTATTCTCACTTCATTCTTGGTTGCTCTCGTTTTAGTCACTGATTTTACGCTTGGTGCTCATCAAGCACCATCGCACAAAGACCGTTGAAACGCCTACGATTCTACCAAGGGATTAAGATTCGCTTTTCTGCACATTCAACAACAGCACTATGTCCTTGGTTACACTCATGGCGACCATTTCGGCCTTTTTCCCTTTACCTTTCTTAAATGATACAAACTATTCTTTTCGCATTATCCAGCCTCATTTTCCTTTAAATGATGCATTCATCTTTTTTTTTTTTTTTATATATATTCTTTCATAGACTAAGCGTAGTCGTCAAACACAATCAAGGAGGATATCCCCCTACATTGTCATTTTTATTTGGGCGACGGTACTTGTTTATGAATGATGCTCAAATGCTTTAAATAAGATCGTCGATTGGGCTTGACTATGTCGCAGATAGGGCATTGGTACGCTTCACCTGCATTTTCCTTTTTATCACTTCTTATGGATGTTGTCGATTTAGCATGGTATAACTGCATATGGAGTTGATATCTTATCTCATTCAGTTCCAACCTGTTGCATAACTGACAATAAAAAGGCAGTCTGGTAGCGGGTAGGGTGATTGGAATCATGGGCTCTTTTATAGATACATCCTCTTCATCCAGACTTTCTTCACTAGACGGCGCGTTCACATGGCTATCTACAAGTACTTTTTTTTGTGTCGTCGCTGCAGTGATCTTGGGTTGATCTTGAACCTGCGTTTCTACATGATGTATAGTGATGTCTTCAATCGTGTCTTGCTCAAAGTCGGGTATAAAGTCTTTGTTCTTTGTATCTAATCCACGTGATCGAAATGGAATTTTATGCTGGTTATGCGTGTGTCGTAGATGAAAGAAATAGCTGCCTTTACTTGCAAACGACAAGGCGCAATCCATACACTGAAAAATGCATTCGGCTTCTTTTTTCTTTATCGCTTTGTCTCTTTTCAACTTTTTATTCTGTATGAATTCTTCGGGATCATCGTCACCGTCTGTATCCGATGCTTCATAAAAACTTGTATCCGATTCCGACACGATGCGTGGATCGTCCAGCATCCGTAATGATGCTGCATGTTCAGTGGCTATCCGAACAAAGCACTGCTTATTAAGTAGGTCGTTCTGAATTGGACTCACTGGCTGTTTTGTTTCCATAATGGGCCTTGTGTCTTACCTTCTTCTTCTTCTTCAGCGTCGCTTACTGTGGATCGTTTCTCTCCTTCTTTGTATTCATCGTTTACTTTTTGTACGCTTTCTTCTTCATTACTGGCGAGCAATCGCTCGTCGTGAATATAGAGTGGTATATACACCACTAACTTTTTCTTTCGTCGTGCACGCAAGTCTTTGTTTTTCTGTTGGTTATACATCGATATCTTTGACTCTGCCGCCATTTTAGCCTTTCGTCCTCTTTTTGCTTGGCACTGATTCTCCTCTTTTTTGTGGTCTGTCATCATGTTGATGTTGTTGAGTGAATCAGCAATAATAGAATGGTAAAAAGCCAGATTTTTTTCTTTTTTTTTCATCTTTTTTTTTTCTAATTTGGAAGCGTTTTCCTTTTTCATGCAAGGAAAAAAAAAAAAAAAAAAAAAAAAAAAAAAAAAAAAAAAAAAGGCTAATACATGTACATAGTCAAAGGACACTGTCAAGTTACAGTTTCAAAATTGTTTACACAAGATACTTGATTAATAAAGCACAGTTGCAATTCATTATGAATCATTCATCCATGTTTGCTTTTTTTATTTTAGTTTTTTAGCATCCAGCTTTCATTGTCATAGTATGACCTATTTCAGGTCGATGTACGAGCGCTGCTTTCTGCCATCCGTGTGCCTAAAAGAACCGTCTTTGAGACCATGTGTCAAGGACGAACGCACCTCATTTGACACTACAGGAAAAAAAAAAAAAAAAAAAAAAAAAAAAAGTCCAATGGTTTATTTTATTTTATTTTTTTCCCTGATGATCTGCCGAACGATAGACGGCATTGTACGTATTCGATAGCCAATAGCAGGATACGGCAGCCATTGTTGATACCATGTCTCCAGTGTGAAAGACAAATCTCATGAAAGAAGCCGAGCGCGGGACATGAAACTGCAGCTCTGCTGGTTTTAAAATTGAACGCGTCGTCGTCTTGTTGCGAAAGAGTGTGGAGTTCAGGAACCCCCTGCTAGTTTGACCATCGGACAAACTTTCAGAGACATAGGCGGGTGTGAGTAGTGTGGAGAGAGAGGGTCTTTTGTGATTTGATAACGTAATATAATTAAAGCAGCATTGAATATCAGTGGGGAGAGTGTGAGATACCTAACCCAAAAAAATAAACAAAAAAATACACCCTTTTTTTTTCTAATTTTCTTCCCCTCTCTCTCTCTCCTTTTTGTAAACAAAAAAAAAAGCAATAACGACATCATGTCTGATCAACATTCCGCCATTCTCGAAGAAATCAATAAAAAGATCGGCCAACTCCACGAAAAATTTGAGGCTCTCGAGAAAAAGATCGCCAAGGCCGAAGTACCCAAGCAACAATTGCGCATGGTCATTATGGGTCCTCCTGGTGCAGGTAAAGGAACTCAAGCACCTGCTATCAAAGACAAGTTTTGTGTTTGTCATTTGGCTACGGGTGATATGTTAAGAGCCGCCGTGGCTGCCAAGACACCTCTTGGTTTGAAAGCCAAGAAGATTATGGACGAAGGTGGTTTAGTTTCCGATGAAATTGTCGTTGGCATGATTAAAGAGAACTTGGATAATAATGAAGAGTGTAAAAATGGGTAAAGTAAAACCCTGAACAAATCCATTGAAACGGGCCTTTTTTTTTTTTTGCAATGTATAGGATGGCTAAACTCATGACTCTGTTTTGTTTTCAATGAGATAGCTTCATTTTAGATGGTTTCCCTCGCACAGTTGTTCAAGCTGAAAAATTGGATGAGATGCTCGAAGAAAAGAAGAAGCCTTTGAATTCAGTCATTGAACTGGTCATTGATGATAATTTGCTTGTTTCTCGTATTACTGGCCGTTTGATCCATCCTGCTTCCGGCAGAACTTACCATAAGGAATTCAAGTAAGTGTTTTGATCCTACTAGGTCTGTCTTTGAAATCTGGCTGCTAACCAAAAAAAAAACAACCCCCCTATAGTCCTCCCAAGGTTCCTATGAAGGATGATGTTACCGGTGAACCTCTCATTCAACGTAGCGATGATAATGTCGAATCATTAAAGAAGCGTTTAGATGCCTTTCACAAACAAACTGTTCCTGTTGTTGATTACTACAAGAAGAAGAACCTTTGGTATGGTGTGGATGCAGCTCAATCACCCAAGGCTGTTTGGGCATCTCTTAATGCTATCTTTGACAAGACCCTTTAAAAAATCACGTCGTACAAGATACACTCTCACCATAAACCCAATGATCTTTTTTTTTTTTCAACTATTAAAAGAGTGAAAACATGCTGACAATACTGCCTTAACAAAGTAAGAAGGAAAAAGGGAAAAGGATAGTATTCAAAAGAATTGTTTGTTCGGGCTTTTTTTTTTTTTTTTTTGATCTGGGATTGACCTCACGATGACTATAAATTTAGAATTTATCAGTCTTATTTTGCTGCTGCGCTTCGAAACTGGTTTTCTTCCTTTTTTTTTTCACTCTTTTCCTTTTTCATTTATTTATCATTGTCATTTCATAATGAGCGAGGATTCTTTTTCCTCGTTATTATCATCTTTGTCCAATGATAGTCTGCCAGATTTCGACTCGCCTTCAACAGCAACAGAAAGAAATGAGGTCGATGAGGAACTTGAACAGCTAGGCGTCAATCTGGTGGATCAAACTGAATTGGAGCAGTCCATTATGCAGAAAGTAATGCTTACACCTTGTCCCTAAAGCGATCGTATAACGTTCACTCAATTTTTTTTTTTTATTCTACCTCTATTGAAATGATCAGGTGGATAAAGCCATCACTGAAAGAGATATTGAATTGGATCAAAAACGACTCGAAAAGGCTGAAAAAGAAATCAAGTAAAAAAAAAAAAAAATGGCATGAATTTTTGCATGAATTTTTTACTCCTTCCCTTTTGCTCATGTCCAATTGAACTGTATATAACCGGGCCTCATCAGCGACGCTCAAAAGCAATTAGATCAGTTGAAAAAACAATTAAAACATAGACAGAATACAGAAAAAGAAAAAGAAAAATTATTACCCAAGATCAACCATCAAGCAAAGAGATTACGTGAGGCCACACAAGATAAAATAGACATATTAGACCGTCTTCAGGAGCGTACAAAGAAGAACCAGACTGTAACCACGACAGAGGATGCACATGCGAGGAGACACGATGAAACACAGAGAGAGTATCTGATACGTATTGGTAAAATCACACCTTTTGCAGTAGCAAAACACACAGCTTTTACAGGTGCACCTCCCTCGTCAGAAGCAGTAACAGAGGCCAAGGAGACTTCAGCCACGGCGACGGACATACCCATGGAAGCCGTTTCGTCTTCCACCACCGGCCGTTATGACACAGCAGCCACATCGCATCCTATTTTTCCAGGTTCAGGATATCGTGCAGAAGCCATGTCGCATCAAAATTTATATACTCCTCATGATAGAGCGACTGTTATCCCAAAACCTTTGACATCAACCGCACAGAAGACGGTCTCGCGAAAGCGGAAAAAAGTGACAGAGGAGGAGGAGGAGGATGCCGATTATGTCGATGAAGAGGAGGAACTAGATCAAGAAGAAATAGCAGCGGATGCTGATACGGACATTGAAGAGGAGGCATCTCTTTTGGTAGAAGGAAAGCGTAGCAAACGACCTGTGGTACATAAACTAGATGAATCGTATGAAGACGATGGTTCCGAAATAACCTATAAGAAACGGCTTCATGAATGGGTGCATCATAGACGGATCATTCGCTATTGTGCTGCACATGTAAGGGACTTGAACAAACAGCATGATGTCGAGGACTTTTATTAAAGAGAACTGAACATTTATATTGCTCTTCCCCCCCCCCCACCACCACCTTTTCTTTTTTGAAGCCTGAAGCTGCTCACATGTCGTTGGAAGAGATTGAAACAGAACTGGAGAAAATAGACGAAAAGGATAATATTCCTATTGAAGAGGAGCCATTGAGACCTCATCCCAATTTCAAAGACATTGAATTGGATCATCAATTCAGTGTACCCGGTGAGTTATGGGATTGCTTATTCGACTACCAGAAAACATGTAAGGATAACTGAAACGATACCCAGGCTGAATTTTTTCCTTTCACTGATCATTTTGCTTTCCGATGGATCTTTTCCTTCTTTAGGTGTGCAATGGCTTTATGAATTACATCAACAGCAAGTGGGTGGTATATTAGGGGACGAAATGGGCCTTGGAAAAACAATCCAGGTGATTGCTTTCTTATCCAGTCTTTATTATTCGCACCAATTGGGACCTGGTCTGCCCTCTTTGATTATATGCCCAGCCACCGTCATGAAACAATGGGTTCAGGAGTTTCACAAGTGGCGGCCTCCTTTACGAATAGCTATTTTACATGCGAGTGGGACGGGTGTCAAACCAAACTTTACTGCAGCAAGTGAAGAAGAAGAAGAAGAAGAAGAACTACTAGAAGAAGAACGACAAGTAGGCAGCTTAACAGATGAAGAAGAGGAAGAAGCAAAGTATACGGTAGACCGCAGAGGCAAAACCTCCCGACGGAAGAAGCCTATGAAACGAGGCAATAGCCGAAAAGGCTTATTTAGGAATATCATGCAGACAAAAGCAGGTCGCAACGCTGCTGCTTTAGTCGATCGTTACGTGAAATGCGGTGGCATTTTAGTCACGACCTACAGCGGTGTGCAAACCTATCGCGAGATCCTCCTGAAGCATCGATGGGGCTATGTCGTATTGGACGAGGGGCACAAGATCAGAAACCCAGACTCAGAAACCACCTTGGTCATCAAGCAATTTAAAACGCCTCATCGCCTTATTCTATCAGGCACTCCTATTCAAAACAATTTGAAGGAGCTGTGGTCCTTGTTCGACTTTATCTTTCCTGGTAGACTGGGCACCTTACCCGTCTTCCAATCCCAGTTTTCTGTTCCTATCAGTATTGGTGGGTATGCGAACGCAACCAATGTGCAAGTGCAAACGGCTTACAAATGTGCCTGTACCCTACGAGATCTGATCAACCCTTACTTATTACGTCGTTTGAAAGTGGACGTCGCCTCCGACCTGCCCAAAAAGAAGGAGCAGGTTTTATTTTGTAAACTAACTGCGCCTCAACGTCGAGCCTACTTGCAATTCATTGGATCGAAGGAAATGGATGCTATTTTGGAGCGTCGTCGTCAAGTCTTGTACGGTATCGATATCGTCAGAAAAATCTGTAACCATCCTGATCTCATTGACTTGACCCTGCCTCGCACCGATCCTGACTATGGTAACCCAGAACGCAGTGGCAAAATGGTCGTTGTCAAAGCCCTATTGAAGATGTGGGAGAAGCAAAAGCATCGCGTATTGCTCTTCTGTCAGACAAGACAAATGCTCGACATCATAGAAAAAATGGTCACGGACCATCTGCACTATCAGTACCTGCGGATGGATGGTACAACACAGGTCGGACAGCGTATCGCACTCGTCAATGAATTCAATGCCAACGAAAGCATCTTTGTTTTCCTGCTGACAACGAAAGTGGGCGGCCTTGGCCTGAATTTGACAGGTGCTGATAGAGTTATATTGTTTGATCCTGACTGGGTAAATGAGAAACCAATGTTACTTTCCCTTGAGGAATGTGACTTATTCCATTCGTGCCATTTTTTATTTATTTTTTTAGAATCCTTCGACAGATATGCAGGCAAGAGAGAGAGCATGGCGTTTGGGTCAAAAGAAAGATGTCACTGTTTATCGATTGATGACAAGCGGAACCATTGAAGAAAAGATCTATCATCGACAAATTTACAAGCAGTTCTTGACCAACAAAATTTTGAAAGATCCCAAACAAAGAAGATTTTTTGACGCGAGTAATTTGCAGTCATTATTTACTTTGGGCTCTGAAGATGCAGTAGGTACCGAGACAGGTGAACTGTTTAAAGGAACAGAAGTCAAGCGGAAAAGACCCAAGAAAAAGAGAAAGAATGATGACGATGAAAGGAAATTAAAGGCATTACAAGGCGTGAGCGGTCTTGAACAATTGTAAGTCTTTGCTCTGTTTTCAGCAAATAGAAGAAAACCGCTTTTCGTTAAAGACTCATGTCAGTTTTTTTCCTCCCCTTTTTTTTTCCAGTCTTGGTGAAAAAATGGAAGAAGAAGAAAGACAGAAAGAACGTGAACGTCACGAAAATGCAGATAGCGAAGATCATGTACTCCAAAGTTTGTTTGATATGGCAGGTATTCAAAGCGCTCTACAGCATGATCAAATCGTCGATGCCAGCAGTCATGATCGTGTCTTTGTCGAACGGGAAGGTAAGCAAACATTAGAAGAGGTCATGATAAAAGAGAGAATGGCTCCTCACTCTAATGATATCCTCCTTCGAATAGCCAATATGGTTGCCCAAAATGCTGTTGCTGCATTAAAGGAGTCACGTCGTCAACGTCGACAGCTTGACATTAGTACACCTACATGGACAGGTCGGTCAGGTTATGCTGGGGCTCCACGACAGCTTCTTGAGCAGTGCACTGCAACACCTCCTCCGCGATTCGGACGAAAACCACCCGGTGTTGCTCCTGCCACACCTTCAACGTCTTCTCCATCGCCCGCCTCATCGCCAACAGCCATTACAAACAGTGCTCCTACTTCCCCTTTCGGTTCAGGAATCCTATCTGGATTCAAGCCTTTACAACAAGTGGGTGGTGCAGGAGTAAGGCCTCCTTCTAGTTTGCTGTTGGCAAAATTACGAGAACGAAAGGGATTGTAGCGTTTTCGTATTGTCTACAATGACGCGAATGAATTCAGCGTTTCAATATATACCTAATCCATCCATATACCCTGTTGAATTTGTTTTCATTCTTCATTATATTATGTTTGAATCGGTAGATAATAACTTTCTTTATCTCTATAGTCAACACCAGTGTACTATATTATAGCTCTCTATAAATTTACTCCATTCATTGTGGGCTTGATGCCGCACTAAACAATGCTTATCTGATACAGAGAATAAGAATTAAAAAGGAAATTGCTTGTGGATGAGTGTAATGGGTACTATCCTCCCAGTCATAGTATTCATCTGCTTTGTTTTAGTATAACCGCTTTTTATAGAACCTAATGATGATTCTGGGGTGGTTGCTTTCAAAAGCCCGAAACCCCCCAGCTTCAAAAAAAAAAAACTCCCCCCAGCTCCGCCCAGGCACGCATGATACACATATACTTTCTGGCACCTGTCATTTTGAAAAAACCACAGACGCTTACATATCCCACTCGTTCGTTCGATCTTACCTCAATCTTACATTAGTCCAATGTCAACAAGTGGGAAAACTTTTCTTCAACGACTACGCCTGGCATATAAAACAACACAGTTCCCTTGGAAAAAGCATGCATTAGTCGGTTACGATTTGAAAGGTAACGAGTATTGGGAATGTCCTAATCCTTTAGGTAAGATCTCAAGAAACGACATGCAAAAAAAAAAAAATAATATAAATATATATATATTGAGAACTCAGCCGTAGAATAACTTTTTTGATTTTGAGGTGGTAGAATGAAAAGATGGGTTCAAATGGCCGATAAAGCAGACAATGATATTACAGTCTTTCATCACAATAAATTACCAGGTAATTATTATGCCGTTGAACTATTATCTTGTTTTTCTAGTCTTTTTTACATCGTTGTAAAAAAATATCACTTTTAGTGCTGTGGCAATCATGGCTCAGACACACTCGTGATCGGCCTCCTACCATTGCAGAGTTGATTCAAGATGAAAAACGAGTATGGACAGTTCAAAGTAAAGCGAAAGAACTTGAAGAAGCATGGGAAAAGGTTGGAAAAAGAAAGGAAACAAGCTTGGTTATAAATGACTACTTTGTACCATCATGTTAATATCACTTTTATAGCGTAAACTAGAGTTAAAAAAAATGAGAACAGAAGAGGAGAAGGAAGCAAAACGAGCATTAGATGAAGCGGCCATTAAAGAAGGTAACGCAATTTTTCTGTTCTTGAGAAAGGGATGAGTCTTCAGTTCTGACAATCGTGCCCGATAGATCAAGAACTTGGGTCAGATACTGCAGAGCCTTCAGGTTTTGGGGATACTTTTACACCGGGCGAGTGGAATCCCGTTAGTACAAGGCGGTGATTCAGTAATTGACACAGTGCTTGTAAGATTATCGCAGGGTAGTTACTGGCATGGCTCATAGGCAGCTGAAATAGGCACAAAAGAAACGCTCGAATTTTTACGGTTTTAGCCGCACATTCTGTAAATCCGATGACTGATCTTGCATTATATCTTGTACCATAAATGAAGATTGAATAGTCATAGATTATTCAAATTTTTGATTATTTTATTTTTTTGTTTAAAATCCAAGGTACAGTTTATTATTGATATGATCTCAAAAGCTGTAGGGTAAATAGTGAAATGTGCAGATCTGAGGGAAGTAAGAAATAGGGTGATCTAGTTCGCAGAAGGTACAAGAATTTCCAGCAAGGCAACTAACCTCTGTCTTGTTGATATAGAGGATCTGCATTTTCTAGAGTGGTCTTTAGGGGTCATCGAGTATTGAAACCTCTGTAAGGCACTGTCAGCAGATTAAACTTTGACATTAATTATTGTATACAAATGATATCGAGAGAATTTTCCAATGTCTTACCAATTTTAGTGTATGGTTCTCTGTAAATACATCCTCTGTTGGCAGTTTCAGAACTGAGCAGAACATGCCCAAAATATCTATTTTTTTTTTATTTATTTTTTTTTGTACAAATTCAGGTACGATTTATGTAACAATAAGAAAACCATAAGCTATGGATCACAGAGTTGAAATGATAAATAGATAGTTATGCGAAGGCCATATGTCGTGCTATAACGATAGTTGAATGTAATGGCCAATGAGCCTATAACAATAACGTAACTCTCTGAATGGACAAAGAATCGACTTTATCTTCTTCTCAAATTCTAAGAGTACGCTTACTCTATCGTTACCACAGTACACGACACATATATGAAGAAATACAAGACTAAAACAATTTTCTCTGATTTGTTTTAGATTCAAGTTACAATTTATTCAATGGTGACAGACGTCAAAAGTATAATATCAGAAAAATGTAATGTTAAATAGAGAAGAAAGCTCTAATGAGGTGTGAAAGCAAATAGTATAAACCTGAGATATGTAAAAAAAAAAAAAAAGAAAAAAACCAAAACAACTTCATGCTCACAGCCCACTGAAGCTACAAACACCATAAAGGTTAAAAGTACAAAAGTGAGGAGTAAGAGAATTGAACTCTTGACCTTCAGATTTGGAATCTGACGCTCTACCAATTAAGCTAACCCCCCAATTGATATTTTTAAAAATTTTAATTTAAAATATTAAATAAATATTTTAACAAAACACGTGATGATCCGGCTTGAATAAATATGGTTTCGGAAAGTGTAAATGAAAATCTAGCTAGAGTTATTTCGCGGACTACTACTGTGTACGTGTCATTTTGATACATGAAGTCAAAGGTAAAATTGCCTTAAGTGAATGGTTTTGTGGCGTTCGCTAGTCTTAACTATAAGATAAAAGGTAAAGAATAACACAAGAGAAAATAAAAACGAAAGCTCAACGAAATCAAACCATTGTCTTTATTTCTCTTTCAAAAACAAACCAAAGAGAAAGAAAAGAAAACTAAGATTACTGCTATTAATAAAGACTTATTGTTGTATACGAATGAGATAGAAATATAAAGAGAAAAGAAAACAAAAGAAATCAGTGAAGACCAAGTTATGCTCTTTTATTTCGTAGAATATTCTGATAAAGAATGAAGATAAAAACCATGTAGGAAAAAAATACTTTTATTTAGATTGGTGGATATTGTAAAAAACTTTTTCTATCGAGACTCTTAGGTACAAGATGACCTGATGATAAAAGAAACGGCATACCCAATTGTTACTGCACGGTTCATCATGCTATAGCGGTGCCTTGACCGATTGGATCGGTGAAAGGAGGTAAGTGAGTTGATCTGAGTAAAGGTTCCTTTGACCCGGACTTCGGCAGATTCATTGTAACTAACGTAACGGACAGGAAAAACTATTCCTTGATTCTACCGACGTCTACGTTTCAGCCTTATTGAATTCTGTCAGAATGTAAAGAGTTAAAGTAAGGGATCAACAAGTTAGATAATAGCTTAAGTAGATTAGATTTGTGTATTGTGGTTTGATGTGCTAAATAAAGTTATCTGATTTAATCAAATCCAAATACTATAAATATCTTATCTCTAAATGAAGTCAATTACTCATCCAATGTTGTCTTGGATATACAGATGAAATATTCTTGAATTATTCTAACAATTCTATCACTCACGGTTATTCTAACCTTCATAAGGATCCGTAGTCTCTTATTTCAGTATCATATAATAATCCAAGAGTAATATGCTGTTGAATACAACACTTATACTGTTTGCTGTCTACGAAATGATTATATCGGAATCTATAGCTGACACTGATGTATTATGGTTAAATAATACTCGGTGAATTAGAGGTTTCCGTAAAAGAATAGGTCTTCCCTTTAAGTGGATGATTACTCGTCCATCCCAGAGTGGATTGATTTGTAATGTGCTATCCTGGCTGATCCAGGGTGATCATGCAGCTACATCTATAATCCAATATCTATCGGCCAACAGTTGTGTAGCTCAGATACTGTGGGAATGATTATAGATGTTAGCTAGGAAGGGATATTCGTGCGTGGTGTTCTTTTGATTGCGTGAACAGTTGTTGTACTAATAAAGAGTGATCGAGCCTTTTTATCTCCAACCATACTTTATTTCCATAGTAGGAGCAGTACCTTGGCCTACTATTTCTAGTTGTTGAATCAATATATCCTACGAGTACATATACCAATCCTGCTATATACCTAAACGTCATATAGCCATAGATAATCTAAATAAATTTATTTCGTAAAGATAACCTGTTCGAATCTTATGTGAGGTAGCTCGTCTCACATAACAATTATCGTTAATTCATATTCTTTTCTTATTTTATCTTTATTTGTTATACAATTTGATCCAAGGTTCAAATGTATGCAATCGAACACACCGCTTACCAAACGGGAACAAAGATATGAGCAGTACTCATCTCTTAAATCAAGTTTTATTTTACATTTCGTTAGACGTTGTGAGTGATTTACTCATATAATATTGCCATCGTGCCTCAAATACGACAGGTTTCTCCTATCAAGGTCAGCACTGACCGCAGAGAAAGTTAATAGTTGTCTTTTCCTTTATTATAACAGATCCCCCTCCGCACCTATAAAATATCTTTTTAAACAAAACCCAACACGTAAAACTATATGCAGAAGTGCTGCCAAAGACATTCGGCAACTATAGTAAGAGTTTGTGAATCATAACACATGAAAAAACAGTAAAAAGAATGAAAAGATAAAGAGATCGACTGTTTAGCTAGTCTGTGAGAAACGAAGAGGCGTTATATGAAGTAATTGAGATTGTTTATCACTATGAAAGGGCACTTGTGTAATATAAAGATTCAGGAAAAAATAAATAAATAAAAAAGCAGTAACAGTAAAAGAAAGGAACGCGACGACAACAAAGAAACTTATGAGAATAATACCAGTGCAGTAGACGTAAACCAATTCACGTTATCAAGTTTGTCCATGAGCCCCTTGATATTATAGATGAGATACCTTTGAAGGCTAATTATTCAATGATGGATAATGCTAGTATCCAATAAATCGAAATTGATGATTCGAGAAATAAAAGCTAAAGGTTATAGAATAATGTACCTCTCCCTTATTCGCCTGAGCTAAGTTCGATTGAACAGTTCTTGTAACTGTATTACAAACTGGTAACGTCTTGGAGTTTGTGCCGCTCACAGTCACACTACCTTACAGTTATTTTTTTACCTTCAGCAGATGTTCTCTTACGTCACGGGGTGTTTTGCTCTTTCTTTTTTTTCGTTATTTTTCTTCCAAAGTTTCTCTTTCTCTTTTGTACTTATTCAAAGAAAGGAATATATCTTAAATAGCAGGATGTCTGACGATTTTGATGATGAATTATACAACGTTTATAACGCATCTGGAAAGGAATCTGGATATAATGATGAGGACTTATATGACGATGAAGATCTATACGGAGAAATTCCTTTAGATGCCAATGCTGACAACACTGATTTGAACAATAACAGTAATAGCAATGACGCTGGGGAAGATCAACAGCAGTCTTCTAGTCAAGACGATTATAATAGAGATAAACAAAGAGGACACAATAATGGGTATCAACAGCAGCCACAACAGCGACGTCAGTATCAGCAGCAGCAAATGCAACAATACATGCAGCAAAATGGTATGTGGGCAGGTTATTCTCCTGCTGCATACCAGCAATACATGGCTGCTTTTCAACGTAGCTTACAGCAACAGATGGCCATGAATCCATATCAAATGCAACAGATGATGCAAAGACAATATAAGCCAAACATGCCATCGCAACAACCATATGGACAACAGCAAAATAGACACAGCAAGCCTAGACAGCAGCAACAACAGTCAGCAGACGATGAATCGAAGGATAAGGATAAAGTGAATGATAAGGAAGGAAAAAGTGACGAAAAGGAAGATTCGGATGAAGGGTAAGTCCTCAATAAACTAATGAAAACGGTCTAAGGTAAAGTTAAACTTATTATACTATGCTAAACAATTGCATCAAAAAAGAAAAATGTTTATTGGCGGTTTAAACTGGGAAACAACGGATGGTAAGATAGTTAAAATAGTTTCTATAGAAAGATATAATATTATTATATTAGAGTATTGTAATAGCAGAGATATTGTCATCGTCGTTATCAGTATATCAGATAGTAATATTGTATTATCTTCGTACTCCTTTCGCTCTTCACGGTGTAGAGGAGTAGTGGAGAAAAGAAAAAACAAAGAGAATAAAAAAGAGCAAAGGAAGAAGATAGACATAATATGCGAAAGTATTCATATAATAAATAATATACCTATTTACATTATAGAAAAACTACGTCAATACTTTTCTCAGTTTGGTGAAGTTATTGATTGTCTAATCATGCGTGATCCAGCTACACAGCGCTCAAGAGGATTCGCGTTCTTGACAATGCAGGATAATGAAACAGTCGATAAGATTCTGAGTAAAGAAGCACATTATCTTGACGGTAAAAAGGTAACGTAAAAACGAAAAAAATCACGATATTTGTAGATTGTAAAGAGAATAGTTCTTATTGATATGACCTACTATATTTTCCAGATTGATCCAAAGAGAGCTATTCCTCGTGAAGAACAGGATAAGACGGAGAAGATTTTTGTTGGTGGCATTTCACCTGAAGTCAGTGAAGAAGAATTCCGTACCTTTTTTACGCAATTTGGTAAAGTACTTGATGCTACTTTGATGGTTGAGCGTGACACAGGCCGCCCACGTGGTTTTGGTTTTGTTACATTCGAAAACATTGAGGGTGTTGAAAATGCATTAAGAGATCCAAATCTTGCAATTAAAGACAAAGTTGTAAAGTTACTAGTTGATATTTTATTCAGAAGCAGTTGTAGGAAACATATTCTGAGTCTAATTAACATACACCCTTTTCTGATTTGTATCGAAAATTATAGATTGAGGTTAAGCGAGCTATGCCTCGTCATAGACGTGAACGCCAGCAACAACAAAATGCTGCACCCGTATTCAACCCGAATTTCAGACCACAAGGATTTATGCCAAATCCCGGCTATCTCGGTACGAACTTGATGATGAATCAATTTGCTAACATGTATGGAATGTATGGTAATCCTGCAGCTGCGGGAGGTTATAACATGGCAGCAGCATATTACAATAATAATAATAATACCGGTTCTGCATACGGCGGAACAGCTAGTCCTGGCAGTGGTAGTGGCGGTAGCAGCAACAATCAGAATACTGCTAATAATAGGTACCAGCGCCAGCAACAAGGTAAGGGGTCATTTTAAAAAAGAAGCTGTTGCAAACTTTGAAATATCTTATGATATACTCATTATCTATCAAATTACAGGTGACAATTATTCTCGAAGCAGCAGCGATCAGCATAGAAATCGTTCAAGAGATCGTTATGGCTCTAGTTCCCATCGAGATTACAACCACCCTAGCTCAGGCGGAAGTGGTGGTCCCATTCATAGTTCTTCTTCATCAAAATCTCAACATTATCGCCCTTATTGAAAAGCACTGTTCCCTTTTTGAAGAGAAGAATTGCTTATGAATTGTTTTCAAAGTCTATATAAAAATATACTATCGAGTACTCATTAACTCACCTTTTGGTAAAGTAATCCATCTTTTATAAAACTCATATTCTATTTTTCAATCATAAGCAAAAACGCGAATCCGTAACCGCGTTTTTTTTTCTATTTTCGTTTTTCTTCAATTCTGCTTTCCTTCTCCTGTAAATCTGAAAAGCCGACATTTAATTTAATCTGCAATAAAAAAATTTGAGAAAAACCAATTTACGAGGCTTCTTTCCTTTTCTTTAAAGCAAACACCTTTTTGTAAGAGTCCCTTGTACTTTTCGTTGTATTACACCCTCGGGTTACTTACTAACGTTTGTCCGATTTCTATTTTAGACCTTCAGTTTACTTTCACACCTTCTCTTTAGATTTTCACTCATCTGTCAACTTTCTATCTTATAGCGCAATGAGAGAAATTATTCATTTACAAGCTGGTAAGATCGAAATCAAAGCATAAGTCTTTCGTAGCAGGGATTATAGCCTTTTTGAAATCTAATGCTCGCTTGACTTTTCCGTAAATGTAGGTCAATGCGGTAATCAGGTACGTTTACTTTATGTTCCTGAGCTTTTTCAAGTTTATCAAAATGTCTTCCTAAACCTTTCCTCTCTTCTATCTTTGTTCATTATTTATTACCTGACACAATATATAGATTGGTCAAAAGTTCTGGGAAACTATTTCCGAAGAACATGGTATAGATACCAATGGTAATTACTGCGGTAATGAAGACTTACAATTGGAACGTATCAACGTTTTTTATAACGAAGGATCTCAAGGAAAATATGTCCCAAGGTTAGAATCTCGAAGCATTTGTCTAATTTAAGGGGGAGGGGGGGACTAGTATGGTAAATTGCTGACAACACTTTTTTACCATTAGAGCTGTCCTCGTTGATTTAGAGCCTGCTACTATGGATAGTATCCGTGCTAGTCGTTATGGTAAAATCTTCAGACCCGATAACTTTGTCAATGCTCAGTCTGGCGCCGGCAATTCTTGGGCAAAAGGTTATTACACAGAGGGTGCAGAATTAGTCGAGACAATTATGGATGTCGTTCGTAAAGAAGCCGAGAATACAGATTGCCTTCAAGGTTTCCAGTTGGCTCATTCATTAGGTGGTGGTACTGGTTCTGGTCTCGGTTCTCTCTTGTTATCCAAGATTCGTGAAGAATATCCTGATCGTATCTTATCTACCTACTCCGTTGTTCCTTCTCCTAAAGTATCTGACACTGTTGTTGAGCCCTACAATGCTGTATTATCTGTTCATCAATTGGTTGAAAATTGTGATGCCACTTTCTGTATTGATAACGAAGCTTTGTATGACATCTGTTTCCGTACTCTCAAATTGAAGAATCCTGGATACGGTGATTTGAACCAGCTTGTTTCTGCTGTTATGTCAGGTGTCTCTACAAGTTTGCGTTTCCCTGGTCAGCTAAACAGTGATTTGCGTAAACTCTGTGTTAATATGGTTCCTTTCCCTCGTCTTCATTTCTTCATGGTTGGTGTCGCACCCTTGACCGCTTTCGGCTCCCAACAATACCGCAACTTGAGTGTTAGTGAGCTTACTTCTCAAATGTTTGATGCTCGTAATATGATGGCTGCATCAGACCCTCGTCATGGTCGCTACTTGACCGCTGCTACCATTTTCCGTGGTCGCCTATCTACAAAGGAAGTTGAAAACCAAATGTTGGCTGTTCAGCAAAAGAACTCTAGTTACTTTGTGGAATGGATTCCTAACAGTGTCAAGACTTCTCTTTGCGATATCCCTCCCGTAGGTCAAAAGATGTCTGGTACTTTCATCGGTAATAGCACTGCTATTCAAGATTTGTTCAAACGTGTCAACGAACAATTCACAGCTATGTTCAGAAGAAAGGCTTTCTTACATTGGTATACTGGCGAAGGTATGGATGAAATGGAATTTACTGAAGCTGAATCCAACATGAACGATCTTGTATCCGAATACCAACAATACCAAGAAGCTTCTATCGAAGAAGAAGCATATCCAGAAGGTGACGAATACATGGAAGAAGATCTGGGAGAAGGAGAAGTGATGGAAGAGTAAAGTTAATAAAATAATCATATATACACAAAGCAATGCAAGCATATTTCGATACTAAAATAACCACCAAATTGAGATGAATATCCCACCCAAAAAATCTCACTGATAATTAGTGATAATAATAAAATAATACTTTATTGTTTTAAATACATGTTTGTCAAGTTGTTTATCTTGGGCAATACAGTCATAAAAGTGATTGAAGGTTGTATTGCCTAGGTATCGCTTCATATTCTAATATAAAGGAGTTTCATTTCGTTGGTTTACCAATTGCTTCCTGCCCTTTTTTTTTTTTTCAAAGATCTACTAAAGTAAAGCGTCAAAGCATGGAAGCCCAACAAATCACCGCATCGGAACCTCCAGCTAAGCCAACTCGAAACTCTTCTTTACGGAAGCAAGTGCCTCCACCGCCCACGCCAAGCAGAGAACGAGCTTTATCCTCTGGGTGGTCTTTGAATAGTAATATGAACTTTTATGACATACCAGTCGTAACTTGATCGTTCATTTAACTCTGAGGAAAGATGTGGTTTCAGCCGCTAACTACAATGAACTCTTTCACCAGAGCAATGCTTTAAATGACTTAATAGAACAATATCTACCTCCAAACGAGAGGCCACAAATTGGGGCCGAAAAAGATACCAAAGAGTTAAAAACAATGGTGGTAAGAATTTCTCTTAATTCACGTCACTATCCGTTCGCAATTAAGTATTAAGGGCTTCAATAGACGAGCAATATGTGGCGATCGTTAGCCAAATACGCACGTCAGCAAATTGTGCAGTCAGAATCATCTCAAGTCGAATCCATTCTTGAAGTAAGTTTGCTTCAAATTTGTGTTATGTGCCTTCAAAAATTCCAGTCTTTAATTCAACAACATAATACAAATATAACCATTGTAGTTATGGTATTTGAGGCTGTTAGCGTTAACGAAGCTAGGTCTCTGTCAGCTTGCTTCTGCCGAATTTGAAAAACTTGGTGATTTTGAACGGCCGGAATTATGTGATCCAAATACCCAAGAATCACTTGTACCCTTCGAACTACGTGTGCTATTCGCTACACTACCGGTGCACTTAAAATATCCCACTGTCGCTTTAGAAAGGATCACGTTACTGATTGTATATTGCAAAAGAATGCAAATAAAGAAGAATAAGGCAACTAGCAGCAATAGCAATAAAGGAGATAATGGGGACATTTGGGAGCAGCGCGAACTACAGATGTATTTGGTGTTAGCAACGCATTTGGTACATATGAAAGACTTTACAGCGGCAGCAGAGGTGCTGAGTAGAGTTTCGAAAAGAGCTCCTGATGACTTGGACATATTATACAGTTTAGGGCAATTGTATCTCCAAATGGGTGATTTAAAATCGGCTAGCAAAGTATTCCAACAGGCCCAAAACAAGTATAATAATGCTAGCAATAACGATGAACAGATGGGTTCTTCTTCAGAAATGAAAGCGACAGATATCAATAAAACATTCGAGTCGATAGCACAAGGAAATTGGTCTAAAGCGCGGGATAGTTTGGAAACAATGAACCAACATAATGATAATCCTACGATGGTCAATAATCTGGCCGTATGCGAGCTTTATTTGGGTAATTTGAGTAAGGTAAAGAAAAACATCTACATATAATGCACGATTTCCTGTACAATATAGAAATCTAATAGACACAATTGCTCCTTCTAGGCTATCAAAATAATCGAAGATTTGATATTGAAGCATCCGGCTTCTGCTGGCATTTGCGAAACTACACTCATGAACCTTTGCACACTATATGAATTGCGTTACGAAAACTCGAACCAAAAGAAACTTGAATTACTGAAACAGGTAGCTGCTTGGGTTGGTGACTCTTTTCAACCTACTTGTTTGAAATTACAATAATAATAAACGAAAACATAGCAAAACTATGTTCTTTGTTTACAGCAAGCTATTTCAGTTTTTATAGTGTGTTCCTCTTTTGAAACCACATTGTTCTTCTATTCTCTTTTTCAAATGAGACCAGAGACTTATAAATATTTCTCGATCTTGGCCGCTCGTCCACACAATGTAAAAAACTGTGCTGTTGATTGCAGCAGTCGACGATGATCGGATCTGGATCTGGAATATCACTGGTTCATCAAAGATATTTTTATCTTGAGAATCTGTTGTGTCTCGATCCAGTTTTTGCCTTTTTCTTTGTCTTCTTGCTGCTCTTGACCATGTGTTTCGATCAACACAACATCTAAGTATAGTTTCATTATCCTTTCCAGTACTGCTTGGGCATTCATATTCTATTTCCAAATCTTTCAATATCGCAATAGTATCTTCCAAGATGTCATCTCTTTTTTTGGGCAACTCTATCTCAAACTTGTTGAGGGTACTATACTCCTCTACCATGTAAGCCGTAATGGGTCGATCAGTATAAAAAGACCATGCAATACCCCAACGAGTCGTTTTTCCCTGAGTGAAACTGGTAACGAAATGGTTGCTGATGCCTTTAGCTGTTAAATAACGTATGAGCGGCCGAATAGTGCTTTTTAATCCGATCATACTAGTGTACCATCGTATTCTTTTTTTCAAATGTAAACTTTCATCAATCATTGTCTTAATAAATGATAGTTCTCCACCTTGTGTGATCATTTCATTTTCAGAACCAGTGCAAACCTAGAATCAAATGAAATATTGATTAATATGCCTTGAGAAGCGTAAAACATCCCTTGCAGAACTAAACACTTTACTGCATATGGCTTTGATTGCTTGTTAGTAAGCCCTTCATCTACTTCCTCTTGGCTGCTGTAAAACGGCGGGTTGCACATGCTGAACGCATAATGGATCTGATTATCTTCGATCAGAAAAATCTTATTGGGATCTTCGTTATACTTGATAGAAATTCTGTCTTGTAGATTGTTGCTCTTGATATTTTTTAGCGCATACTCGACAGACCTTGCGTCTATTTCTGTTCCTAAGAACGTCCAATTCTGGTTTTGAGCGCAGCCTAATAAGGGGTAAATACATGATGCTCCAACGCCACTGATGGTTCCACGTTAGTGTATTTAGTTCTGTAAACTATAATAAAGCCCAGAGTTTTCGTACATGTCTATGCCTCGAATTTCATTTTTCTTCTCGCCTAAAGTTAGCGTATCGTTTAACAAATCTTCTAGCCATAAAATGTAGTTTAATCGGTTGGGTACAGCTGGACATAAGGTATCCAAAGGAAAATCTATGTCTATATTGAAATCTTTCCTCATAAGGCATACACATAATTGCCTAGCATATTCTGTTTGAATTATCGCTCCAGTACTTTACAAAGATTAGCTCGGTTGAACTCACTTACTTTACAGCTTTGGGATCTTTAAAATCGATGAAGCTGCGCCCTTGTGAAGTTGTTTTGACACTATTCCCTCAAATAAATTTAGCAACGTTAGAGGAATTTTAAACAGTACATCATCTACTTACAAGGGCTTAAATGCCTCGAACTCTTCAGCCAACTTTTTGAAATCAGGCTCAACAATGTAAATATTTCGTGAATGCATAACAGAAGAGAAAAAGCTAGAGTAATTTTCCCTTGAGTCTCAGCTTTTTTTCTTCACCTTTCTCGTTCAGCTTTGATGCAATAACAATGTTTGAAGAAGAAGAGTTATTTCCTGAACGCAATGAATTTAACTTTGAGTCAAGGCTAATCAGAAATGACAGTAAAAATATGTACATATAGTTGCACACGTAACGTGTAGACAGTAGTAGAGCAAAGACACTAAGAGCATCTTATAGTTATAACCGTCTTCGATCGATCAAGGACGATGCTGAATTTGTTATGAAAGTTGCAGATCTTTACTCCAATTTGGCTTTAATCGGTATGAGATCCTGCTTTTCTTTAGATTTACTTAATTGTATTGACCCAGGAAAATTATCTCTTCACCAGCCAACGAACGTTGTGGCTCTTGGTATATTGATCGCACGAAAGTAACGAGAAGAAATTAAGTGCTCAAAAATAAAAGTGTGGAAAGTGATTAATTCCCTTTTCATTTATAGAAAAAAGCTTATTCTGCCTACTTTAAGTCAACCGATGGTCATATGCACATATGGGATTTCAGTATTCGCCGTAATAATCTCCATTTGATACCTGTTTTAATGGAACATAGCGGTGGTATAATTGTTGATTCTACGCGAAAAGGAAAACGCATACCTGATGCTTTATCCAAAACGATCCCTATTTGGTGCTGCACACTTAACCGTGCTGTTGCCAAATATAGAGGCTACCATCATTCTGATGCATTGAACGATTCAAATGGCTGGGATACAACCTTTCATTCGCTACCTTCAATAATATCCAGGTCTGAGCATGCGCAAATTGAAGCAAGGATAGATGGCTTTGTTGATAAATTACTATCGTCTGGCATTGATATTCATAAGTTATCGCGAGAGCTAAAAAAACCTCTGCGGCCCATATGGTACACACCTCAATCATATGATGCTTTAATGGAATCTCCTCCTGATTTTGACGACGAACATATCTCTTTCTGCCCTGTAGTATGCTTAAGTGCATCAGAAGCAGTGGAGACAGGTTACGAGAGAAGAAATGGTTATTTGTATGTGCAAGGCTCTGGCGATGATCAAGAATCGTGGGCAATGGTAAAGGACGCTTTTATTTGCACTGCGTGTGAAACTTGCCCGTAGCTCATTATCTCCATTTTTGTCATTCATACGAAAGGGTTTAACCGCTATGATTTTCTGGAAACACCACGATGAAATATTGGCAAGCGCTGCAAAGTGTGAGGATAACGTTCGACGAATTGTGTCCTTAAGCAAATCTAAAAGCGCTTTTGAAGACATTGGAGAGAAGAACTTTGCCTTCATCGGTACGACAGGTTTAGCTATTGGTAATTTTATAAGTGGCAAACCGTCCGATTGTTGGTTGGCATTTGATTATGTCATAAACTGTAGTGAAGAGAAATATGAATGCATGGATGAGAGCAAAAAGGATTGTTTTTTACATCTGCGTATACCAGAAGGAAAAAAAGGGCAAATAATCTTTGCGCAAAGTATACAGAAGGCCATTGATTTCGTGTATAAACCAATAGTCGAGGGAAAGAAAGTGTTGATACACGGCCAAAAAGGTATACATACTTTTTCTTTAGCGCCAAAAAGATAGAAAAAGAAAAAAGCGATACCTAATTACAGCTTTCCACGCTGTAGGCAAAGATTATTCAGTCGGTATATTACTCTCAATCATTTTACATTACTATGATATTCAGGGCCAATTGAGTCTTGATAGAAAGCCACACGGTAAGCATCTATGACTGTCGTAAGATTACGCCGTTTACAAATACTAATACTGTTGATAGTTGATAAGAAGACTGTCCAGCATCAGCTAGTGCAGATTATCTCCTTTTGGGAAAAGGCCTCTCCATCTAGAACAACTCTCAAGCGTATCAATACTCATTTTATGAGCCCTTCAGTTGGGAAGTAAATGATTCTCTTATAACACCAGCTCGAGATAAAATTGCAATGGGTTCTCGGGATGTATGTTTTTACAAACCTTACCTTATAGTTCTACGGCTTTTTATTACAACTATGGCCTTTTTTTTTTTTTTTTTTTTTTTTCTAGTTCAACGTCTGATGAACTGTTTATGTTCGTACAAAGGTTAAAAGACTCATTCTTCTGACTGTAATAGTAGTTTGCCAAGGAGATCAACTTTTGAAAAGAGCATACCGCTAATATTGCTTATAAGCCCTTCATCGATGTTTACGCTTTTAGAAATGAAGTGTGATTTTCATTTACTTTACCCTTTCGTATATCCATATGTTACTCTTCAGGATATTATTGCTTCAAGTAGTTAAGTTTGATGGAGCCATCAAGGCAGACGAAGAAAGTTGCATATGTTCAATTAAGATAATATTATTCGCAGGATAATTTAAATCGTTAAGTAATACTAAACAAATGTAAAAGGCGGGTACAGCACTTTCTCGGGAAGCTGTAAAGCTAAATAATCCACGTGCTCGTACAGAGAATTCAAAACTCCCATTGTTGACCCTACTACTGCTCGTATCTTATGACTAATTATTACATCTATTGTTCGAGTTAAAATTTCAGGAACATTAAGGTTCGATTGATCTTTATATAGATGTACACAATACGAAAAAGAATTACCAAATTCATTAGGATGGGTCTCACTCTTTTTATCATATCATTTCCGATTATACATTTATTGTGCTTCGGGTTTATTGTTGATAATAGACAAAATGTATCTGCGTATACTTTGTCATGCATTCAGTTGTTCTGTAAAATGACAGGGTGTAAATTTTCAAATTGTCAAACTTTTAATCAGAAACAATAAAAAGTTACCGTATACGTTACTGAGCAATATGCACTGCTGCTAAATGTACCCTTACGTACATATTCATTAAGCATAAATCAGTCAACTTCTTTGAAAAGGAAGTGAAAGGTAAGCGAAAAACAACGGACGGAAGTAAGAGGACTAAATTCTCGCAGCATGACTTCATCACGTTACGTATGAGTCCTAGCTTTACAATAATACGTATGTAATTCAAAATACTACGCATGATTTAAGTACGTTTCTTGCTTTTCCTTTTTCCTTTCTCTTCGTTTCGTTCGTCGCCGCCTTCTCTCAAAGTCGTTGTCGATTCGGTCTATCCACAAACATAACCATATATTTATGATCTCGGGTTTATTTTCTTGGTACCAAAATAGAAATGTTCAACAATTACAGGAGCCTTTTAACGATCAGTATAAAGCAGCAGGTAGCGATGAAGATTGGGTAGAAGTAATAACGCCTGTGCAGAAGGAGCAACAACAGCATGTAACAATGCAATCGCCCGATGGTGGACAGCAAGTAGGTCAAAATTTAAGGGAGCAACCATCTGATAAAACACCAGTGAATAAAACCAGCACAATAAAGACTACAGAATCGCATTCTGAACTAGCTATGCTCCAAAAAAACGATGGTTATGATGCACAATCATGTTCAGTTGAAACAACGGACAAGGTTGATAGTCTCCCGATCAAGAAGTTATCTCGTCAAGAAAGGAGGGCCAAAGCACGTTTAGCAACAAAAGAAATGAAGAAACAGGCACGCATTGCTGCATTAGCCGCCCATTATAATAAAGGGATGAAGGGTAGCGGCTGCTTACCCACAGGACCCTTAACGACGAACTAGGGTTATACAACTTTACCGGTATGAAAGCAAGCAAGTGATATATCATCATCATGCTTTCATCATCATCTTTTTGTAAATAAATATAATAAAAATTAAAGGAAAAGCAAAGAATGTAAATGATAAGGGATGCCTTTCCATTTTATGTGTGAAAGGCGAGATGAGCGTTTATTGTTGTATAAATTATTGTGTCTTTTCACCTCCGTTAACTTCAACTGCTTCTATTAATCCTTCCACCGCTTGTGACGTCCTTGGAGGATTACGTAAATACTGCCAATGGTAATATTGCATACGATGCACTTCTGTGGTATTTTCTGAGGTACTTATATATTCTCGAAACTGAGCATGCTGAAGAAGGTCCAAAAAGTAAAGTGCGTGGGGATAACTGAGAAACAGCAAAAAGCTTTGTATTAACGGCTCTGTATGAATCGATAACTACAAACAAAATGTAAAGTAAAGACTCACACAACAAACTTTGCATATTCAGGCTTTTTCCAGTACTGTAGATAATCCAGATAGTTAAGAAATGCAGGATCTTTGAAGTACTGTTGCTGTGCAAGATCTGACAATCGAAAAGTTGAAATGAGTTTTGACTGTATGCACACACATTTAACAAAACACACAAGTTCAAAAAGTTTTACTATTCAAAAACCAAGGGTTTGCTAGGCATTGTATGAACTCCAGCTCAATCTGAAAACGTCTCTTTTCCTCCTCCGCATCTAACATGCTATCAAAAAGTTAAAGGATATTTTCTCTGCGTCTTTGCGACTTGCAGTTTCACAGATTGGTTAAGGAACAAGAAACTTCCACAAGGAAACAGCAGTCAATTTTTCTAAAGAATGCAAAATCATAATACAGCATTAAAAAATTCGATCGGAGCCCTAAGTATAACAGATCACGAAAACATTATCTTAGAGTGTCAATTGCTACAATTCGATGCGTCGCGCAAGCTAACGACGATGTGCGTTAATCCAGCAATAACTGTATAAAGCATGAGGCATCTTGCCACCTCTGACACTTCACGTTGTATACTTCTTTATCTAGCTCAAAATTTTTAAATAACAGATGAAAGTCTCATTCCTGGAAAACATCACATGAAATGATGAGCGCTGATAAATAATAACAGGAAGAGTACAATTAGCAGTAATAATGGTAAAGGCACAGCTATTAGAGAAACAGTGCTTTTGAGGGTTCGCCATCCACTAAACATCGTGCATGCGAACAAAACCCGGACCTTGTGTCTTGGAAATTTCTGACTTTGCAATCTTGGGAAAGTTAACTATACAGTTTTTTCAACTTTGGGTTTAGACAAAGCCGCAATACAACTAGACGAAAAAAGTGAAATTTTAAACGATTAAGTTATAACTTCAAGATCGAACTACACAAAAATTGAGACACTTACCTGTAAAAATCAAACCAGCTTCGTGCTGGCGATTAGAGGATGGGGTGAAGCGGTTGATGCGGGCGACTTTGGTTTTTTAGAGAACTCCGCGGGTCTTCCTGTTGACTTCCAGATCGAAACGCTAATTGCCAACATGTTTTTAGCAGCGTATCTGGTACTTCCGGTCATATGATAATATTCCTTGGTAGAGCAGCTGGGTACTTGATGTTTGTTATGATCTAGTCCGATTGCCGCTGTGAAGACAGATCTTCGCCCTGGATCAAGGAAAGCGGGTCTGTAATCGTCTTGTACTTCGTCATAAGAAATATCTTCCAAAGTCAAGGTGTGATTATGAATGGCCATGTCTTCTTTTGCTTTCTTTCTGCGGTTGAACAAAAAGTCTACAGTAAAGCCGTCCGACCTAGCCATGTTTCGAAACATTACATCAGAACTTTCCTTCAAAGCGGTTAGACTATGACAGAAGCAAAAATAGGGGTGTGGTTACTATTAGCGATAATTTTGCTGAGGAAGTTCTTCTATAGGTTTTACCTTTTAAAACCGAACCTTTTGAAGTTGAAGACTTTGCAGAATTGTTCGAGTTGGGCTGTATAACCCTTGGCAACTTTTCCTTTCGAGGGAACGGGAAGTAGAATGACCCTGTAAGTCACAACTGATGCACTTGATATCTCCCGTTGTTTGCTTCTTCTTTCTCTTTGCTTGCTTCTTTTCTTCCTTGATTGTAGCTGATTGCTTACGTTTCTTGCCGCTACTTCTAACTAAATTTGCGTTAAGCAAACATAAAATTGTCCTGTAGTGCGAACATGATACTTACTCTCACTTGCAGAAACTGCTTTGTAAAGCTTGCATTCATGGTATGCCTTGTTGAAATGTCCGAGTGTTTTGCAATCCTTGCACTCGATGTTTACTAGTCATACGAAACATGAATTGAGGATTGCCACTATAACCTATTTGTGGCAGCGCGCTCATGTGTTACTTACGGAAGGACTCGTTTTTGACTTTATTCTTATGGGCTTCTGCCACCGATTTGATTTTTTGCACGATTTTGACTTTGTACATGGTGAGTAGTAGCTATCAGGATGAGGAAAGGAAGTATAGAAGAAGAAGATGGAAATCAACGGAAAGGCATCTAAATGCTTCGAATTTGACAACATCTATTTTTTATTACGATTGACAACAACAACCGTTATCTACGTGGCGGAAGAACGTGTCTGGGATCAGTTTAACGCGTAGTTCAATTCATATGATCCATAAATAAAGTCGCGTAAACCACAACCCTGTGTCTATTACTAATAAAACCTGTGTCGCGCTGAAAGTTTCAATACATCTCGTAGTACTTTAGACGTGGCGCCGCTATCAATTGAAAAGTATCTAATAACCTTCAAAGTAATGTCTCCAATTATTTATTCAATGAATCGTCCAAGAATATTATACCACTTCATCCTAAAGTGGTTTAAAGTTATCTAAATTAAAAATATATTGTCCAATATAATATGTATAATGTGTAAAGTTGAAGCTAAAACACTATATTTCGAAGCCTTCGTTTTTTCGTTTTAAATAGTAAATCTTAACTCTTTTCTTCCTCTCTTCACTTTCTTTTTTGTCCCTTTCTTCCAAAGGCGATATGATCTTACTCTCTCTCCAGTTCCTAAAGATAAAATTGGTAATATCGAAAACTGCGTCAATAAAAGCTTCCTTTTCAATGAAGCGGAAAACACAGCATCATTCTTCAGATACGTTGATCCTAAGGATAATTCGGTATTTTGATATGATTAAGGTGAGCTAATTAATACTGTCAAGATTTGAACCCTTTGCCTATATTATAGCTGGGCTGGATTACACTCAATATCTTTTCAGTTTTCTGATGTTTTTACTCATCTGTATTTTTCTGAAAGGCTAGCAAAATCGCTTAACTCCCAAACCATTTTAATTGAATGCAAGTTTGACTGTAAAGCATACCATGCGCTTGCGAAAAAGCTCGGGATCATGGTCGAGATCCTTTTCAAAACCCATTACAACACAAACATTCTGTTATGATGCCTATTAATAAGTCTTCATCAAAGCTTCAAACATTCTACTCGAACTCAATAACGATATATATCACATATATAAGTTTTGTTTCTGACATAGCTTACGTTCAATTAACCCTGCTATCACAATGGTATACTCTTCCTGCTTATCGTGAATTGTTAGTTGGTTTTCTTTGTTCATTAGGCGACCAACTTTTTATAGTCACTGAACAAAGCTGTGTACTATCATGTGTTCAAATCTCTTTAAAAATCAGGTACACATGCTCATCCCATGTGGCGGATAGTTCCTGTCTGAGAGACCCGTCTTGCCTAATGGCCACTTTTATTCCCTCTTGATCTAATATATCGTAGCATTTTTACTATTGAAAGCAATTTACATTTCATTTAAATGAAACTCTTCCTCGTTTGTCCTCTGTGCTACACAATAGAGACACCCTTTTTATTGAAAATGACCAACATTAATGGTGTCATCTTTATTCTTGTCAACGAAATGAAGTATAGCACGTCATGTATCCATCCTTCTGATAGTTCTATTTGACTATCCTTTGTGCCTTATTTTTCTATATTCATTTGCAAATATACCGCTCTCTTATTTTCCAGGTTACGTGCGTAACCAACATTCTTTCATTTTTACATATGATAAAATTACTGTAAGTTCGCTCTTGTAGCAAGAGACCCTACGTCATCCAAAACAAATACTAAGTGATGGCCAATGTCTATGAAACTGTAGCCGGTTGTCTTCTAGACTTTTAAAGGGATAAAATAAATGATCTAGACAAAGCAGAGTAAATAGATGCTGTACCGTAGTTATAGAATAAGTTACCATGAAGCATTCGACTCTTCACCCTCTTTACACGCTGTAACTAGTCTTCTATGTATTGATGCTGAGCATTTCAAAAATATAAGTTTGTAATGAAACACTTTATCGAAACTGCATCCATCCATATAACAGTGCGTCGGAACTCTGTTGGCATTGTCCACCGTCTCCCTTATGGCCAAATCAACGACGGCTTTTGTTGACGTTGTTCTTCCGATTACAAAACTTACAAAAGCGTTCATTTAAGGTGTGACAAATAGAAATTACACAAGGCAAATCTACAATGAAAAAGATAAGGTGTGGATATATTTCAGGTATTGTCACACACAAATACACAACAGACGTTATTACAACCAAGGCATGACACCCCCGACTATTCTATAAGGGAGGGAGACCCTTTTCCCGTTATCAAAGTAATTTTGACATGACGATGGGTTCTGACTGTAACAATAATCTGGACGAGATTTTTACTTGCAAACGGCATTTGTCTTTTTATGGTTAATAGAATTCTGCTTATTGAACCAATAATGGCGGTCTTTTATAAGCAAAAACACGCTCATCTTTGGCTAATAAAAATAAAAAAAAAAGCTAAAATCTTACAGCTTACCTTATAGACAGTCGCTCAAAAAAGTGGCTTTACAAATTTAAGATTTATGGGTATAAAAAATATTTGACAATGCTCCCGTCAGATTTCGAAAGTGTTGCGGCTTCGAAAAGTAGTGTCATAGAAGGTTTTGTTACACAACAGAAGAAAACGGAACAGAAGATCACTCAAAAAAAGAACAAAAAATTTATGCACAATTTTTATTTTCTTTCATTTTTTATTCTGATTTGTGTGAGCTCTTTCCATCTTTTTATATCAACCATTACTTCAGCTTTTCAAGTTTTATACTGTATTATCTACATTCAAAAAGACGCTCAAAATGAATATGCTACCGAACCCTATACAGCTCGTGCAAACGTCTGAATTCAATATCAATGTTGAAACCGATCATATTATTCTACATGGCAATGTCGACGAATCGGCTGGTGTCATGTTACGGGGATCGGTAGTGCTTCACTGTCATGAAACGACAAAAGTAAGGTCTATTATGCTGAAGTTTGTAGGAAAGGCAAAAGTAAACTGGACAGAAGGTAATTTATCCTACTTGACTCAAAAAGCGGGGCTATATTCTCGGCACTTTGATATGTAAAAAACTAGGATCTTGGGCTTACATTTTCCTTTCAAACACACCGTTTAGGTTTAGGGTCTCATCAACGACATTATAAGGACGAAAAAACAATTATAAAGCATGAGTGGAGTTTCTTACCTCCACATCGCAAGACATATCATCTACCAGAGGGCCGTTATAAATGGTAAAGAAAAGTTAAGAAAAAAAAAAAAGAATTGTTAAAATGAGAAATATGCTGTAAACAGGGTACATCCAACTGTTGCGGTGCGTACTTAATAAAAGTTTCTAACATTTTATGTTTCAAACTGTCGTAAAAATGGCATAGGGATTTTGAATTGCCTTTGCCAGGTGATTTGCCGGAAACAGTAGATCATGATCTAGGCCAGGTGTATTATAGACTGAAAGCCGTAGTTGAGCGGCCCACCTTTTTGATGAATTATACCGACAAAAAAGTTCTGCGCGTTTCCAGAGTTCTATTACCTTCTTCCCTAGAATTAACTCAATCTTTGGTCATATCTAATACATGGGTCGACAAAATCAGTTACGACATAAGTGTAACAAGCAAGGTTTTCAGTATGGGCAGCCTCATTCCTATCACGTTTGCGCTGGTGCCCATCGCCCCAGATCTTCAAGTGAGGTCAGTATCTTGTGTACTTAAAGAATATACGACTTTAACAGCAGAAGATCATTCGAAAATGGAAGGCAAGGTGATTAAACATTTGAGGGATGAACATTTCCCGACAACTGGGCCGGATGCATGGACAAAGACAGAGTTATTACCTGTACCCGACTATACCTCACATTTAGTGCAAACAGACTCTTACTGTGATTTGATAAAGATCAAACATAAGTTGAAGTTTATTGTATCTCTCATGAATGCGGATGGGCATATATCAGGTAATTGTAGTTTTGAACAATTTGGAATGAAATGCCTGTGAAAATCATCAAGACGAGGCTACAGTATAGCAGCGTTCATGTGGATTTTGTTATTGACTGGTGATAAACTTGACATATTAATAGAGCTGCGAGCTGCTGTTCCAATAATCATAGCAGATATATCTCCTGAAGAGGATGAGAATGCCCTACCCACTTATGAGGATGCCTGGAAATCTGTACCCTATGACCCAGCGCAAATCGCTGCATTAGTGGAAAGAGGAGATTTACCCCCTTCTATTGCCATATCAGCTCCAAATGAAGCAGCAGTGGCGGCTAGCCAAGCTCTAGTGTCGTCTTCTGATACAGATGACGATAACGATCATAGCGCCAATAGTAGTCTCACCAACTTGAACTCGACAACCGCTTGGGAAGGTATTGATTTGTCAAGGGTGCCTTCCTATACAACAGCCATTCGCTCCAACCGATTGTACAGCTTCTCTGGTTCGTTACCTGGATACGAATCGTTGGTCGTAGTGCCAGGAAACAGAGCGTCATAAAACGAAAACTTCGCATCGTTTGACCGGACATATTTCTACACATTAAGATTGTATCATTAGCTGTAAAGAAAACAGTGATTTGTAATTTAAATGGTTTTGATCTCTATAACCCCATACTCCTTGTAATATATATATTCATAATATCCTCATTCTTATTCTTCATTATAATTATATACTAATTAGTGAAATCCTCAGACTCTTAGTGCCTATATTTCTTTTTAGTGTCTTTGAATTAGTTTCTTTCTGCTCACTTGCTTATTATCTATATACAGCAAAAATGTCTCAGGTTTCAGCCGCTCATTCATATTTTTCGCCGTGGGGGAGGATGAAAAGAAAAAAATAATAAAAAGTTTTATACTTGGGAACAGGACTTTTTTCTCTTCATAGTTTTTCTAAAGAAGACATGTATAGCTCATAAGAGTTTTCAGGATTATGCTTGTTAGATTTTATACAACTCTATCCCCTCATTTTTATTTATTCTCATCTTGTATATAAAACACAGTTCTAATATCGTTACTGTACTATTAATTTATTATTGAATCCACCTTGGCAGCAGTAACATTCACGCTTACTGTCATTTGCGCTCATACTAAATCAGCATGTTGCCCTATCTATTAACACTATCCAAAATTCGCTATTTTATCTCAAAAAAGGTCTTCTATACCTTGGGCAGCAGAATTGCTTCACATCCTTTTCTTATTCTATTCAGTTATTTATTCTTCATACTTCATATATCATATCCCATTGTATTCGATCCGTCACCTAGTCAGCATACTGTAAAAAACTATATAGACGGACATCTATGGCAAGCAACACATCACTTGAATTATTTGGCAGTAGATAATCCAACATTGAACGCAGGAGACAAACCACCGCTTATTAATTACATAGCAGAGCAAATCATCCTACCATTCCCTGGGGACGGTACGACCCATTTGCTTAACGTCGAACAGCAGCAACAGGCATTCAAAAACTTATTAACAGCATCACTATCCCTTTACAAATCTATCACGATCTCTAATCAATTGAAGTCAGTTTGTGCATTAACACCACAACGACAATGTATTGTACATTCGCCATTTTCCTTATGGAACTACGATGAACAAGAATTACAAAATGATAAGAATATTTCAAATACCATCAATAGTCATATGCTTAAAACGTCAAAGATAACTAATCTACCATTACATCCAGCGACATTTATGGGAAATGTCACATTGGATGAATCATCACAACAATTTACTTCAGCCAACTCGATCATTTTGACGTTCATATTGAAAAATACTGAACATACCCTAGACATTTGGAATCAAATTTGGAATCGAGCCTTTAAAGCAATAATGATTCACCCATCAGAAAACGCACAGATCGTACCACTGGCATCCATAGCAACAGATGCAACGATAAAACCATACTTAGTTCAATATAAGGTTGGATCTCATTCTTTTAACTTTTTTTTTTTTTTGCAAAAATCAAGCTGTGTAACTTATTCTTTTTTTCTGACATTCCTTGGGTCTTTTCACAATAGTTGAAAGTTCTTCCTGCTTTCTCGTTAAACCGAGCTAGTACGATCATTCTATTGACCTTTGGAGTTACTCTCTTCATTTTTGTTCGGAAGAAGTTCACAAAATCCAAATTGCTCAAATCGCATTCAGGACTGGGTGTAGCTGCGTTATTTCTATCTGGTTCGTGCTATACACTGACTTTTGCACTACTACAACATTCAACATCAGCCAACTTTGAAGATGCATGCTTTTTAATGTTGACTGTGTGCATATCGACTACGGTGGAGCATATGTTACTGATCACACAAGCTGTAGTGGCTAGAGAAAAGAAAGATATTCGCATCAACAATAGGGTTGGAAAGGGATTGCAGCAAGTAGGCGTTCAGATGACAACAACATTACTCGGTGAATTACTGATACTTGCTATTGGAAGTACGATGAAGCAGAATAGCGCTTATATTAAATCATTCTGTTTGTTCACCAGCACTGCATTGGTTTTGGGATATATATTATGCTTGACATTGTATATTGCCATTTTATCGATCGATATCCGACGAGCAGAACTGGCAGATTTAGCTAATCATGAACATGAAAATGAACCTGTTCATTATGAGAGTGAGGAGACGTTATCTTATTTTTACGCACAACAATATCATGAACGACTAAAGAACAAATCGAGAAGAGCTTTCAATGCCTTATTGGTAAGTGCAAGAAATACTAGAATGAATCCTTGTCACTCTGAGGATAAAAAAGAATTACCGGCAGGGCACTAATCCTATTTTACTTTACTGGTTTTTTATAGCTTTGTGCTATTTTACTGATATTACATTTTCATGCACCATCGAGTGCAGTCGCTTCAGAATCGATTACTTTCAAGTCCTTGAGGTCTCTTGCTATACGAAAGCAATATAACGCCATTTCAAGAGATTTTTGGTCAACTTTGAATCCTAATTACAGTCCAACAACCCTACAAGTTTGCCCGCCCCATATTGTTGCTACAACGTTCTCCAACGACATGAGTGAGCAAGAAGCTCAGGAGTCTATGAAAAAAATCAGCACTTACTATTCAGATAGGTTTTCCAACGTTCTGTACAGTATGCGATATCAACATGATTCACAGCAGCACGGTTTTGATGAGCAACAGCCTTACTGCTATACTTTCTTAGATTCATTACATCCTCTATTACTCATTCGCTGTATAGTTGACAATACCGGCAATATACCAATACTTATCCTTTACATCAAGCTCATTGGCATTCTTTTATGGATGATTCCGCCAGTTCGTGAACGATTACTATCACCTCTTTTACATGCCTTGCTTTTGCGTATCTCCAAACTTTTATCTTATACATTTCTTCCCAGATTCCTCATCAAACTTAACCGGATGAATAGCATGGGGAACAATAGTCATCACTTTATTGGTGTCGTTGGAAGCGGTACGGGTAGTAGTAGCAGCTCTTTGGATAAAAACAGTACTCAAAGCAACAGTGGGAATAGTCATAACGGCAGTAGTATTCATTTGGGCGCGATTTCATTGCAATCACAATTCAACAAACGACAGAATCTGGATAATATTCATCAAGTCAAGATTAAAACGCTCCTTGGAATGCATGTGGCAGATCTTAACATGATACACAGCACTGATCGGTTTCTTGTGTCTGTGGGTCAGGACAACAAATTGGTTTTATGGGATGTTGCCACCGGTCAGTGGCTCGCTAGGCTGAACAAGCTGAACGGTCAAAGATGTCGCGAAGAAGACGATGAGAGAGAACTTTGGTTTGCTGATGCTCAGCAACCGCGGAAGGACTGCTTCAACAGCAATGGTAATTCGATAAGAACAAAAGCGACTGCTACAGCAGCAACCCCGGATGATGGTCGAGTACAGCGCTGTCTCCCTCATCCACGATGTGCTCAACTCTCTTTGGATAATAAATTTGTAGTTGCAGGGTTTGAGAACGGTGCCGTTTGTGTTTGGGACACGATCACACTTCAACTGAAACATGAGCTCATGACAAAAAAACGGCATCAGCGACAGCAACAACACAGTCGTGTATTACATGTCAAGTTTTTGGATCATCAAACATTCATATCTGTCCATAAAGATAATTCTTTGCAAGAATGGAATGCAAAAACAGGCCAGCTAATCGACTGTATAGAAGACACAGGGCATATTCAAAATATCAGTCATGTATATACTTTACCCAATTCAAATAGCAATGATAGCTATCAGGGGCAGGAACAGCTTGTTTGGACAGCATCCAGTAAAGAAGGTTTGGTTAAATGTTGGAAGAGGCGGGATGTCTCGACGGAAAAATCGACTGTTACACGATGGCAAAATCTATACAGTATCACGATTCCTCATTGTGTTACTTCTGTTGCGGCAGATCAACTTCAGGATGGAAGTGGAATTCTTGTCCTTGGCTCTATTGATGGTGCTGTCAGGGTTTACGACTACATCTCGGGTGCACTAGTGAATACTTTGTCAAGAGGCGGTTATATCAAGAAGAAGGAAAGAGATGCAGAAGTCGGCGGCCCTCTACTAAAATTCAGCACAGTTGCAATGAATGATTCCGAGCCCTCCATGAACAAATATAGCCGCTATGGTTACGAGGGCCACATTTCTTCGTCCTTGTTGTTATCGTTTGATCAACAAGGTTCCTCTCAACAGAGTTTACAACAGCAGAGACAGCTACAACTTGGACAGAATGAGCATTGCAATGGAACTGTTATATTCGATCACCAGGATGCTATTAGTCAAGTTGTGGTGACGCCTATTCGTGTACCCGGTTTTGAAAATGATACATGTCCTCAATGCAAAACGACGCTGTCCTTGGGTTTCTTTGTGGCATCTTGCTCCTTAGATGAATCAGTGCATGTCTGGAGACTGATAAATACAACGGCAACAGAAAATGGATGTGGCTTCTGTGCCAAGAAGAACTATTATCGACATTCAGCTTTGAAACAGGCAGCAACAGCAGCAAAGAATGACAATAGTAACGTCTGTAGAAGGAAGAAGAGCTCGGTTGGCACTACATTACGTCAAAGGCTGGCAAAAGAAGATATGGCGGCCTCCTCATCTGTCGCCTGTCAACAATCACAATGCAAAGGGCAGTTGTTGCAACCATTATTTCTAGGAAAATTGTCTCAGCTCGGTGGGCGAGGTCTTGTATTTTGCGATAATATGGTGTTAGCTGGTCTACGCCGTACTGTCAAGCAGCAGCACCATTATGCCAGCGAAGAGAGCTTTTGGGAAGTATGGTTCACATCACTACAGTACTATGAGCCTCCTTCTCTAACAACAGAAGATACTGCACTTATACCTGTTATTTCATATGACCTTGAGAAGGATGAAAACTATTACTATCCGTTACAACAACAAATGCAGCAAGAAGAAGAAGAACGCATGAGAGAAGATTTATTAAAAAAGCGGAATAAGAGCTGCTTATGGGAGCAATTCTTATTGAAATTTTTTGGAATTAAAAAAGTGGCATCGACAAAAAAGACAGCAGACAGCCGTTTTCAAAAGTCTGCGACAACAGCAACCTGTTTGCGAAAAAACCCTCCAAGCAGCGATTGTAATTTTAATTCTAATTATACCTCATTATCATCTTATCAGCCTTCGAATGCCAATGCGTTCAATATCAACAATATACCAGAACAGGACGATACAGAGAATGAAGATGATGTTGACGCGTACGAAGTTTTGCCTTTCTCTTTAATTCAACATGCTACCAGCACAGATGGTCGGGGTCTCAGTTGTGACTATGGCAATTTTATCAAAATAATCTCGTTCGCAACTGAAGGCTAGTTTCAGCAATAGTAACAAAATGCTTGATATTGTTATTTACTATTTATTTCAAAACACTCTTTCCCTTCTGTTAAACTATCATCATTAGTTACCAAAGAAACCGTCTAAAAATATTGCTTGTCAAGTATTTTTATTTTTTTTTGTTTTGTTTTTGTCAGCGTAGCAAATATTGTTGTTGTCACAGGGTTTATATATGGAGGTATCATGTAGATTAGATGTGGGGGAGGGTAAAATAAGGGGGTGGGGAGGAGAAGCCCATACCGGGATAAAAAACAAAAAGGGCTTCATTATATATGTATGTGTGAAAAAATTGTAGATATCAGGGTCTAAATAACATGTCTTCTATTATCTTTTATAATTGATGGCTAATGCTGTGAGAGTGAATTCTGTAATTGCTGAAGGTGATCAGGGGGACAGCAGGCATTTGATTGGCAAGATTCTTCAGTACAGCGTAAGAGACATACGCTTGAATTGTTATGGTTCAAATCCTGTGCAAAAAATCAGGGTGAGTTTTCCTTTTGCATCTTTTTTTAATGCAGCTACAACATGCATGCCCCACTTGTTGCGCTTACCTCAAGGGAGGAGGGTGCAGCTTGTTGATTCGTTAAATTGCCGTCGTTAGTGGGCGCAGAAGAAGAAGAAATGGAAGAAGTAGCTGAAGATTTCATTTGACTGTTACTGGCTGCAATCATTGTGGACGATCGTAAACCATCGTAAATGTTATTCTGTTGTGTGGTATCTGCTTTGTTTTCTGCAGTATAGTTGCACTTTTCGTCGACATAAGGCGTAACTTGAAGAGCTGTATCTTCCACAAATTCAGGTTGAATAGTAACGGAATGGATGCCATAAGTATGAAAAACTGAACGTATTTTAAAGCCTAATTTCATGTATTCCTGTCGAGAGCTTAATAGCACATGTAAGGTTGCGATAAGTTTTATATCATTCAACTGCCAAATATGCAGCTCATGTATTGAGATTATTCCCTCCAACTTGGAAAAAAAAAAGGATAAGCATAAATTATTAACCTTATCGTTACTACACACTATTGCATAAATTCAAATTTCTACCTTCTGCAAAGCTTCATAAACCTCACCCAGGTGTACGCTCTGCGGTACTCCTTGTAGCAAAATGACAGACGTTTGCTTAACTACGTAATGTGAGAAAATTGATGAAAAAAATGAGCAGAACTCAAACACAAGGATTAATTCTTACCCAAGGGAAGGGCTGACATGAAGATGACACAGGTAATCAAAGTACTAATAAGGAGGATAATAAAATCCAAAGTTAGCAATGTCTTTGAGCCTGCAGATAAAGAAGAAGATTTTTAACCAGTACCTGACAAGTGGATCAGCATAAAACCTCCAACTGAAGTCTGTCAACCAAATAAACAAGGCGGATGCAATGACAGCCACATTTCCCAAAGCATCACCCATAACATGCAAAAATATCTATAAAAAGCGTGCATTTAATCAATAGAGATCACTTTTGCTTTACTACTTTTTCTCACTTACACCTTTCATATTTAGATGCCCACCGCCGCTTGGCTGAGTATCATCTTCAAGTTTGTCTTCATAATGACCTGTATGTAGTGATTCGACATCGTTCGTTTTGTAAGGTTGGCTCCTATGCTCATGTTTGCTCTGACCATGGCTATGCCCGTGGCTATGTCCACCATGTCCGTGCTCTATTTAGATAAACATGCATATGCAAACAAACAATGCTCTTAGTATTCGACGTCAATTATATGGTTTTCCGTTGAATTCTAAATGTTGCATTATTGTTTACCATGGAATAAGACTAAGCCTAAAAGATTGGCGCCTAAACCAGCACAACCTGTAATCAACACCAGTTTTGGATTATGAACATCCTCGGGAGATATGAATCTTTCAATTGAATCAATCAAAATAGTAAAGCATAAGGCTAATAGGAAGACGCCATTAACAAGAGCGCCCAGAATCTCTGCTCTTTGCCAACCATATGAATATTTGGGATTATATTGTGTCTTTTTAGCTACCTGTGAAAGAACAATTTCATCGTTAAGGCAATGTTTTTTTCATCAATTGTGTCTTATCGTTATCTTGCATTACTTTGATGGCCCATAGAGCGATACACATGCTGATTAAATCGTTTAACATGTGAAACGAGTCTGCTATCTACTTGGAGAGCGGGAACGCTTAATGTAGTCTTCTCATACAGAATACTTAATAGTGATACTTACCAATGCTAACGAACTGACATAGTAACCGATAACAATTTCAACGAAGAAAAATGCAGTTGTGATAACGAGCATAAAGTATATCCTCGCCTCTCTGGAAAATGTAAACTTCATCTTTGTCGTTTTGCTTCTACTCTAATGTATCTCTACTCTAATCGGGAATGGCTTGCTTTTTTTCGGTTGCTTTTGGGTTCGTTTATTCGGAACTTCGATTTTCTACCAAATTGTAAGATTACTAATGGACAGTGTAAAGTGTTGTAAAAAAAGAGAAAATCAGTGCTGATTTTGAACGTTCGTACAGAAATATGCAAAGAGAAAGAGAGATGGTATATCGCCAAAAAAAAAGCGGATAGAAGAAGAAAAATATGTATGAAAGTGTCTATTATTTATGCTGATGAATTTCAACTTAAATATTCGAAAGGGATTTAGGGGGTGAGTCGAACCGATTTGAATGTTTTTTTTTATTTTTTTTTCCATCTTTAGCTGATTTATAATTGCTGAGAAAGCTCATGTAACGGATATCTCTCTATTCATGTATTGCGGCTTTGTTATAAAAGGTATATGCTAAAGTATTGTAAAACCATATTGCACACGCAAAATGTTTAGAGAAATGAAAGGGTTGAAATCAACGTTTATGCATAGAGCCATCATCCCTCTCTATCTCGTTTAAATGATCTTTTGTACGTACACGCACAGATCAAGAAACTCTGATCTGAGAGTGAATGGATTGCCTGCCGCTGCAAAGCTGGAGTAAATCACGATCAATGTCTGATGACAGTTTGGGAAGTGATTGATGTAGTACAAGCGAACCAGGTTTAGGTCAGCATCAGAAGTGACCTTGCAGTTTCGTGAACACGTTTTTTATTCGAAGCTCTTTCCAACTCTTTCCAGGGTTGTGATGGTAACTTTAGAAACAGTCATCTATTATAAAATGAACGTCATACACCCTTCTGTTAGTTTATAAAAGATTCAAATGCCCATTAAGTGGGGATCAATGTTACCGACCTTTCGGCTAAAAGGGGTATCATCATTGGTAACTGTGTTAACCAAGGATTTGAAACTCGTCCCACAAGAAGTGCCGCACTTACAAACAAAAACCATATTCAATTTAAACTTATGCCGTTCGAGAACATTGATTTTGATAACGGTTGTTCTCATAAAGGCTTCAATTGAACGATATTGTTTTCGACATCGGTAAAGAGTTTCATAGATCCTTGAAACTATGGCTTACTATTAACTGTAAAATAAACTGGGTAAATGTAATTTTTACCTTGCTTCCATAGATTTGTTGAATGATGTAAAGAAAGCAAAAGTTTGATTATTATCAACGTTCGATATTAAACACAAACTTCCCATACTATCCAAAGGCAGGATTTGGTTTGAAAACATTGATCTCTATCATTTATTTTGCGTACTCTTTCTATTTTTTGTTTTATTGTGAAAGTTTTCAACTAGAAATGCTGTTTTTATGCTTGAACAATGAAATGGAATGCCAAAAGGCAAAACAGCAACAGCAACAGAGCAGCCAGCTCGAGAATGGGTATCCAAGTTACAAAAACGGTTAAGCCGTCTACAGCAAGCTGATTGCTATCTACAACAATGAGCGATAAGTAGTTTATGTTTTGAATGTGCTTCAAGTATCTACTGTCGTTGCAAGAAGAATAATAACAGTATATATACCTATATAAGAGTAAAGCTGTCAAGCATGTCAGCAGTTACAAATTCATTGATTCCCAAACAAGAGAAATTAAGAATAATGTAGTGGAAACTTATACATCAACTATTTTGTAGTATGTATCTGATTGTAATGATTTGTAATATATCTGATTAATGCCAGGCTCAAATTAATAAGCACTTTGTGTAAACTGGTAATATTGGCGATAATCTATTGTGTAGTATTCTGAGTAATTTTTGTGGGTTTGCGTGAGACATTTATCTGATTCTTTTTGGCCAGTTGAATGTCAAACGATAACTTTATTGAGCACGTAGGACCTTTTTACTGAAAACAGCAATGTTACATATAGGCGCGGCCTTGCGGTAAAATATTTTATCAGATCTCAATCTCCCCCATTCCCCCGTTGATTTTATTTCTCCGCCACGGGCACTTCTCAAACTGCGTTACAGTAACGGTTATGTTTTGAGAGGATCGCTGCCGTCCGGTTTCAAAAAAGAACATCTCAATGGTATTTTATTTGTTCGCTGGACATAAACGATAACAGGTTTCCAGCAATAATGAGATGGAAAAAAACGAATGATTATAACCCTTAACAGGGTGACTGTATTATCTTTCATAATCATTGAAAATCAGATAACTTTAAATTGTTTTATAAATTTCACTGTTAATAATCAATCTTAACTCATTTCACTTTATTTTGCTATCCTCTTTCTTATCTCTCTAATTAGCAGACATGGTAACGGCAACAATCAACGAACAAAAGAATATTGTTTTCATTGGTGCATCCTGTGCAGGTAGCGTATTTAGGATAATGATGACGAGGTTGTCTTCAAGGGACAGCAACGCAAAAATTTCAAGCAGTCTTCTCACCGATACCAATATCTTTATACTACAATTTGTTTTATTATAATAGCTATTGGTGCATCATTAGATTGGTGCCAAAACCATGACGAAAACTACAGAATGATTTTGATTGAAGCAAAGAGTCATTTCAATCATGTGTTCTGTTTCCCCCGTGCTGCGGTCGTTGGCGGGTTTGAAGAAGAATTATTTGTTCCTTATGATAACCTTTTCGACGGTGATGATACAATTGGTAAAGTGATTCAAGCTCGTGCCACTGCTATTCATGAAGATTACGTTGAGCTGGACCGAGAAGTTCCCGGTTTTGGAAATAAGGTCGAATATGCCTACCTTGTTTATTCTGCTGGTACTCGTATTCCTGAACCTGGACGCTTCAAAGAGGAATCGAAAGAGGAATGCATTGCAAGATTGAAACAGCATCAAAAATTGATTGCAGAAGCTGAGAGCCCAATTGTTATTGGCGCTGGCGCTGTAGGCTTGGGTATGTGCTGTTTTGCATTTGGATTGTCATAGTCGTTGGAAATCAGATAATTAATTTTCCTTTGAACTCAACGATAGAACTCGCTTCTGAAATTAAGGAATTCTATCCTGAGAAGAATGTCACATTGGTTCACTCTAGAAATAGATATTTGCCTAAATTCAAAGTTAGTGTAGACGTGATGACCTATAACATTCTTAAGAAGAAAGGTATCAAGCAGGTTTTGGGTGATCGTGTAAGACTACCACCTGGAGGTTATCCCCAAGAAGTGGGCCCAGTTGAAGTGCACACACTCGGCGGAAAAGTAATCCATGGTGATCTTGCTGTAAGTTCTTGCTAAATGAGGTCATTTATATGCATTAAACGTTAAATCCAATGTATTAACTGTATGTCAATTCTTGGGACCATTTTAAATAGATCATGTGCATCGGTATGACACCAAATAACGCCTTATTAGCTGAACTAGCGCCAGACTGCATCAATAAAAAGACCGGGCTAGTCAGAATTAAACCTACAATGCAAATCGAAGATGATCGCTTCCCTAACATATTTGCAGCGGGTGATGTGTGCGAGCATACTGATTGCAAGAATGGTCATTCTGCATGGATGCAAGCCATTGCTGCTCTAACAAATATCAGAAAAATGATTGAAGGGGCTCCATTAGAACCTTATAGGAGCAGGAATACGGCAAATATCAGGCTCGTTCTCGGCAAGGTAATTAGCAGCTTTTTAGAAGCATTCATTGAACAAATGAACATTCGCTAACTGAAAAGTTTATTATACGTTCATAAACAACAGAAGGATGCAATCATACAAACAGATATGCTTGGTCCTTCTATCGCTGTAGGCTCTTGGATAGCAGGTAGGAACATTCCTTACAATGTCCACGCCGCAATGTCTTGGTTCTGGTTGAAGAATGATCTCCGGGCAGTAGCAGCCAAGTCAATCAAACCATATTAATTTTTTTTTTCTATAATCCTTTTTGTACTATAATGAATTCCATTACATTATTTTCCATAATCGTATGCTTGTACTATTAAATTATTCGTTTTGTCTCACCCTCTCTCATGTTGATTGTAATAGTTCGTTGGTTGTACTATTTAAATTATTCGCTTTGTCTCACCCTCCTCCCTCAAGTTGATTGTAATAGTACGTTAACTTTCGGCTAATGAAAGCTGAAAGAACTTCAAGCTCTTCGAGCAATCTTTTGTTTGTGCATATAGGCATTCTAAAGGTAGGAGTTATTGCATTGCCATGCTTAAGAAATGAGTGTGTCCTTTTGAATGGAATGCTAACAATATCTTGAATCACATAAACCAGAAACTTCTACTAATATACATATTTGTCGGAGCTTGTTGTACCTGTACCACGTTAAAAGACCCTAAGACTTAGATCTACTGATAAGAGGAGCCTTGATCAGTGGAATTAATGACTTCATGGAAGTAGTGATTGTGCTCTTCAAAAGGTTACAGATATTTTCGTTACTTATCAATTAGAGCTTATATCCTTGAGTCGTATATATTTCAATTGACATAGTTTATGTTGTGGGGGAAAATAATGTAATGTACATAGAAATAGCGGGAGAGTCTGAATATTACTAATATATTTTATGATGATCAGTTCAAATAGCTTTTTAAGGAAGAGCATGTCTTAATAGAAAATATGTGGATTAACATTGTAAGGTTGTATAGTGAAAACAAAAAGAAGGAAAAAAAGGTGAGGAGAAGGATTATCAATTACCATCACTAGTCAAGGCCATCAGTTAGAGACAGTTGCTCCTATCAAATAAATATGGAGAAATGTTTATTAGGAAATCATGTTTGTACTTAATTTCCGCACTAAGAAAATGCTTTTATATAACAGTTTAGGAATTGCTGTCTTACCTTTCGTAATGCATTCGTATCAGAAACCCCCTCATTGATATCCTCAACAGAATGATCTTCATGTTGATCATGGTCACTCAAGCCGAAGGCTTTCATACGAAAGAAAAAGCAAAGAGCAAGCACAGACAAACAAAGCGAGACAATAGAGAGAATTCTTTGTACCTCACCATAAGCAATAGAGGCACCATCATGCTGTTCTTTAGGAAGGGAATTAATGTAAGTGATGTCACCAAGAATTCTTGCTGCGTCATATTCACCACGAACGTGGGCTGCGAGTTGACCAGGTAAAAGAGCATTCCAAATAGCACCTGAAATTGCAGAACCAATACTTGTAGCAATTGTACCGCCGATCTGTTGTAAGGCAGTGATGATAGCAAGGTCTAAAACGCACGGAGGATTTTACAATGAATTTGTAACTGTTTTCTTAAGAAGTTGCGATTGTAAGTTTAAAAGAATCTTACCGCGAGCAGGTACAGAACTTTGACAAGCTACTAAACAAGGAACATAAATAAAGCCAGAACCAAGACCAGCAATTATCTGAGAAATGATAACAAAACCAATGGGAGAGGTAGGGTAACGTGAAGGAATCATAAGACCCATACCGAAAATATAAAAGCAAATGCCAGCAAGTACAACAGGCCTGTAAATTTTATAACGCTTCATAATGAAACCTCCAGCTAATTGAGAAAGTAAAAATGTACAATGATAACCATCGTTGATATAGTTCGACTCCCAGATAGAGGCATATCGAGTGACTTGAAGGTAGATGGGAAAGTAAGTCCAATTAGTAGCACGAATAGTACTAATGCAAGCGCAGACCATCACACCTGCAATGGGTGTCGATGTACTCCAATTACCTACGGGGATGACGGCGTGCTTGGCAACCTTCCATTCGTAAACAACAAAGACAAGGGCACATACAAAACCACCAACCAGGCAACCAACAGTGGGTGGAGAGTTCCAGCCGCCCCAATTAGAGGGGCCAAGAACAAGTGGTAGTAAAATCATACAAAGAGCACCAATAAATAAGATACTACCTACAGCATCAATTTCAGAAGCAATGAATGTGACCTTTTGTAGGAATGACATACTTTGGTATTGGGAATTATTTTTCTTTGACAATTGTCCTGACTTCTTTACTGCTTTTTCAAGTCTAAGCATACCCCATAAGAGAGGAACAGCAGTTGCACCGATACAGAATGGTATCATAGCATAAGCCCATCTCCAAGTACTATGTGTTACTATAGCTTCACCAACAATAGGAGCAACAAAAATGTTCACTATAGCAGGAAAGTCGTAAAAAGCCTGGAAAACACCGCGATTAGCAGCCGATGTGATATCTATGTTTTTCAGTAAAATTTGATATAGTTTTTAAAATGGCGAGCTTTTTCTGCATTGAAAAGTTGCTCAAGTGAAATCATACCGGCAATGAGGACATGTCCAAGCACAGCAACTCCTCCATTTCCGAATGCATATAAAACTTGCCCACCCTATCAAGGGAAAGGTTATGATTGAGAAAAAAATATGAACATTTTCGACTTGCATCTGACTTACGATAATGGTATTGAAGTTAAGGGCTGCAGTTTGAACTATACCAGAGATTATATAAAAGAAGATGGCGATTGTAATAGCTTCTGTTCTACCGATCATATCAGAGAACTTTGCATACATGGGCAATAACACAGTCTGAATAATGTACAAAATAACAGTGACCAGAGACGCAAGATTGAGGGCATTGAATGCACTGTAAACATATGGCGATGCAGCGTAGATTACATTGCCTTCCCAGTTTTTTGCCCATGCAACCAAAACAATACTATCATGTGGAGAGAGGTAAGAACATTTTTTGGAGAGTCACATATACAGTGATAACAGTTTTCTTCTTCTTCCTGGAAAATTTACCCAGTAACGACAAGAATTTTATCCCATTTACGGCCCAGTTTTTTCATAAGAACAATTTTCTGGATACCATAGAATTGATCGTTTGCGCCAATTTCTATCCCATTATTGGCGACTGTCTTACGAACCGATTCAGGGTCTATAGACATCGTTTGATAATTGAATTGATTTTCATTTCCGTCGATGTCCGCATTCATTGCACCAAGGAATCAAAAATAAAAAAAGACAGACTTAAGAAAAAGTAGAACGAGAGAAGAATAAAGGATAATGTTATTTCGTGTTAAACGAAATAGATCTTGTTCAACTATCAAATGTGGGGTTGTTGCTTTCGTAAATTGTAACACAGTCGAGTTATCTGATTTTTTTCTGTTTATCTTATCAAAAGAGATCTGTGTTTTTGATCTAAAATTAAAAGTTTTTGAGAGGGACTTTCAAATTGAATTTATTTTATCGGGGATGCAAATTGTTACTTTACTTTGTGGCTGTATATGATCATAAAAAAAGATCGGTATCATTTTCGTTAAAACCCGGTAAAATCAATACAAATTTGCCATGTATATTTCTGTAAGACGCTCCGTTTGAGGGCCACATAAGCTGCCTTGTCGCCCTTGTCCTGAGTGAACTGATACAAGTTTGTAATCGAATATCTATTATCTTGTATGATAGTAGTAAGCTGGTTCCATACGACAAATCCAATGCGTTAGATACCTTTATACACAATGTGATTATAATTACATTTTCAGGCCTTTTACTATGAAACTTCAAGTTTATTTTGAGGAATAGTTAACTGAGCTTTGCCTGATCAGACCGTAGCTACTTGTCCGCGCAGATAAGATTTTTGGCAAGAATGCATTTGAGCAATAGTTTGTCTTTGTGGAACAATTCGCTTCGAAAATGCTAAGGTGTAAAAAACAGTAACCGCATTACTAGTATCTGAAAAGAGATGCAAAACCTTTATTGTATTTTCTTTTTGGCCAGAGAGGCCTTCTGTCCATGTCCAATGAGTTTACGCATAGAAGCAAAACCATATAGCATAGTGCTTCCAGTCCACTTTAGTATGTTCAAAGGGCTATACCAGCGACGTTTTAAACATATGCAAAGAGCGACAAAACTTTCTGTAACATGTGTTACAGAGGCCCAAAAGAAGATAGATTGAATTAATTCTGGTGTCATATAATTACGAAATGAAAGCACAAATGATGGGAAAAGTCGGCGTAAAACGTCATCTGAAGCATAGCCCAATAAAGCAGTTGCACCCATTCCGGCTGTTATAATCAACTGCCAATGTCTATCAGCAGGATAAAATACATCGAGAGGGGTACTTTTGGGAACAGAGTTCTCAAACAAATTTCCAACTGCAGAAGATGCAATCGCAGCTGAGGCTTCCGCCTCTCTGTCTTCTTTTGCTTTGGCAATTTCCGCTTCTTGAGCATTCTCTATCGCAGCAGCTTTCATTAAGGCTTGTATAGGTGGAGGGCCATCAAGTGAACTAGGCTATATTTTGGAAGAAAGTGAAGATCAGGTCAATGATGAATGCTACCTTCTAAGTGATGAATTATTGCATTTGTCAATAAGCTACCATGCCAAGCGCTTTTTCTGCTTCCTTAGCCATATCTTCTAGTACTACACGGACGTCCTCTCGTTTCGTTACAGGTGATGTATACTCAATAAAGACCTCGTCCTCCTTGCCTTCCGCATTCTTATAAGTGACAATAAAACCTTGCGAGTTGAGACTCTTGAATGTGGCACTGACAGCATCAAGCTTCTTTCCAAAATGTTTGACATAAGCCAGATTAGCGTCTAATGAACAATCGAAATCCTTGTGTCAAAAAGAGTCGAAAATATTTCAAGGAAAAAGTGCTATTTACTCGCATGGCCGCTCATATAAGCTGAAATGTAGGCACTTGCTGAGGCAATAGGATCAGGGAGTTGTGACATTTTGACAAGCTTAAATTTGAAGAACAAAGCAGAGATTTCAAATTGCCCTTTTCCATTTTATTAATAAATTTATCGCTCTTCAATTTATTTTTTTTTCTTTTGAGGACAATTTTCGAGTAATATGAAAATGAAGGGAATACATATTAACTGTTCTGTCAAAGAGGTAGCTTTTCACATGTAAGCCGGCATCAATGCTTTGACCGCTCCTCTAAATTCTTTAGGTAACCTAAGAAGACCAAAGGCTGTCAATGTTTTATACACTTCAAAATAAATCCTATTCAAGCCTTACTCTCGGTCTTCGATTTAACTGCATCGTTATCTTTAGCCAGGAAAAATAAATTCGATGACGGCACTTGACGTTCATATAACCTCTACAAGAATGTATTAAGTGTAAGCTCGTGCACAGTCCTAGGAAAGTGTTTTTGACATGAGATTACAGTATTTGGCCTTAGATGTGACAATTCTGCTTTTAATACTCTAATTTCTTGTAGCTTTTCGATGGAAAGAAGTCAACAGAGATGCTTTATAACCGTTGACACTCAATTCACAATACTCTTACTTCTTTCTCCATATTAGCCTTATTTAAATCTGTCATTGCAGAGAAGTTTAAAAAAAGAAACAGGCGTGAAAAAGGAGAATCAAAGATCAGTGGCTGATTTTGAAGCCTTGATTCAAAAACCTCCACCCCAAACTCAAACATATTGTAAAAAGTTGATAACTGTAATCACTGACTTGAAGAAATAGATGTATTGACATATAGTCCACTTTCAGCATTTATTACAAGTTCTGAATAGCAGTGAACGAAAAATACAAGGCAATACTGAACACATCAATGAATCAATTTAAAGTTCTTGGACACTGAGAGCTAAATTGAGGAAGCAGCAGCAAATCAATAAAACAGTTGAAGCACAGTCATAAGAAGCTAAAGTAATACTTACCAGGAGGAAGAGATTGCTTAAGCTTCAAAGCCTTTTGCTTATCGTTAACAACGAGGGTGTACAAATAGCGAGAGCATCTAACCTTGAATTTGTATTTGTCACCGTTCTTCTTGACACGAGCAGCTGTGGGTTGCACGTACAAAAAAAAAAGGTACGTAAATAATATGTTCACAATGGTTTCATCGTCATCATCTGGTATTGTTCAAACTCTTACAAGTGGCGTCCTTTCTGCGGGTGATTTCGAGGAAATTCTTAATGTCCACAACCTGCTTGGGCTAAATGAGCGTTTCCATTCGGAAATTGTATAATTAGAACAAAATCAGTCTCTCACTTTCTATTTGCATCTAGGCGGTCTGAATCCATCCATCCTCCTCATCTTTTCATAGGGAAACTGATGGATACGTTGATAATGCCTGTTTGTCTAGCTGAACATACCATTGGATGAATTTATACCTTGCTGAAAGAGGATGGAATCACTTCAATGCACTACTACACTTTGAAACAGTTGCAGACACTTTCAGAATAATAATTCGAGCCGGACTTTAATTTTGGAATTCTTAATGCTGATCCCTTTGAAAGTTTCTCGTTCATAATGCATGTCCTGTTACGAAAATACTAGCTTGCCACTATGTAACCTTCGCTTCTGCACTAAGGACAAGGTACAACAAGTTGTTCGTTGGGTGCCAAGATAAAAATTTATCATGTTAATTCTCTCACTTACTTGTATATCATATCTCTATACACAGATGTATACCATGTCCGTGTACAACTGTTACTCTGGAAATTTTCAAGGGACGAAAGTAAGAATGTACCAGCACACTTTAAATATAGTCTTATGAAATTCTTAAAACTTCTATGGTTCAGCTGATGTCCGCCTGTCCTTTTGAACCATGTATCCATACAAAGCAAGTACGTCTTTTTAATTACATATAGAATAATTACACCCAAAAGTCGGGGGGGGGAGGGGAAGTGAAGTTCGACATAATGCAAGTTTTCTTATACATGAACAAACCCATAATAAAAATAAAATAAAATAGGATCTGACATTTGAAGGCATGTGCTTCCTTAATAGTAATTACCTAACTTGGAACCATCTGAAATAGCATAACTGGCTGTACATCTCAATGTAGTTGTAGGTATTTATTGAAGTTGAGATTACTCGCTACCAACTACACCGCCTTTATTCAAGCCGACAGCTTTTTCCACCACTTCCCTCATTAGATCTATTAGTGTACAACATGTAATCATAATATGTGCTTCTAGATGGTCTGGCCTTTCAACCAATTTCAGTACATGTTTGTTGATGGACAAAGTTCCTAGAAATACAAGGTATCCCAATCGGTGGCTATCAAACTTGGCTATCAATCGCCATTTCTTTTTACCAGTACGATTCGTACCATACTGGCCATTATCTGAGTTTGATAAACTATTCTCGTCTTTTGGTCTAAGTTCGCAGATCAAATCATGCGAAAGCAAGCTTACTCTCTTCCAACGTATACAATATCCCTCAAATTCCATGTCATAGACGAAGTGTAGGTGTGATTTCGTACGGTTTTCTAACTGACTTGATTTTGTCAGTGTCGATGTTGAATTGGTCTTGTTGCTAGCACTATCAGTAGCAACGATAGGATCGCTTGTTTCTCGATGTAAATCAGTTGCAGACGCATTACATGTGGCTGGTGTAGGAAAATCTCCCCACTCGATTGTGATTTCCTTTTGGAATGCCCTTCGTCTTGCTTCTGCTATTTTAATAGATTTATCATCCAGCTGGTTGTGGTTACTTTCCAGACATGTTCTGTATAATATATTTTGAAAGCCCCAAGAATAAGAATGAGGCTGCAATTTTTTGAAAGCCAATACGTTTGATTTATGGAAATAAATGTCATGATCAAAAGGTCGGGTCAAGGAGGCTTTACGTAAGTCATAGTTGAGCAGTTCTTCCATCGGTTCCTTTTTTAGTATTTGTAACAGTGCCATTTTGCTAGTAATATGGCCAGTGGGCGTTTTAGTAGAAGCTGCAGTGATATCTATGCTTGTAGGTCCTTTGATCGATGCATTATCTTCCTTGGTATGACTGCTATCATCATCGTCGGATGTACTTGGGTTGATATCATCCATAGAATGTATTGTTACCCCGGTGATTGCTGTTGCTGGCCTTTGTGCTAGCAGTAGCAATGGTATTTTGCTATGGTGGGATTGTTGACTTTGAGGGCCACTTTCTTCATCTTCATCATTTGTTTTGATATCGGGCCTTTTCCCATTAATGAATTGTGGTCGAACAATCAAATCGTCCAAGACCTCTTGCGGCAAAGTTTGTTTATGCTCATCAACGTCATATTCGTTTGGCTTGTCATAGACGGTGGATAAGTCATCCTTTGTATCCGGTTTGTTCATATAGGTATCATCTGTTGGTCTATATTCTATTGACGCTCTTGGATCAGCAGCAGTAGTATCAGACTTCATGAATGGGGGCAGGTTCGTAGAAAAAAAAGGGGGGAAAAGCGTACCTGAATGATACCGAAGCGGAACGCTAAAAAAAAATAAGGTCGTAAATTGAGAACTTTAAAAGAGAGTCGCCAATGGTGACGCGATTTATCGTATTTCAGATGTTTATTTGGAACAAGTCTTTCTTAAGAAACCGCAGAATCAGTGGTTCAAAACACTTTCAAAATGCCGTTCTCTCAGACTCCACGTAACTCAAGAATAACTTACCAATCCCTTAGCAGAAAGTGGAATGCTGGAGCAGACAGCAACACGAGCAACGGTAGAAGCACCTCTGCAGACACATCCAGTGCTCAATCTGAGCTTATTTTACCAAAGAAACATCAGATAGAGCGAATACAGAATACTCCAAACTTGGCTTCAAGCATCAGGAAAAGAAAACAATCAGAGACTGACAATCAACTTCAAATGCCAACCAAAGTAAAGAGAAGTACTAATCCATTTTCTGCGAAATCGAGCGATCAAGATCGATCGAGGTTTAAGACGTCGCGAGTCTTAAAGACCATCGATGATGACGATGACGATGACGACTTTCAGCAAAAGGACATGAAGTTCAAACTACCGGATAAAAAAAAGTCTTTATCAATGAAAAGTGCAACGTCAACAAGTTTGGATGAAAAGAGCAAAACGGAAAAATTAGCCAAGTCAAAAGCCATACTGGAGAATCTCAATAAAGTAGAAGAAGAAATGGATGACAATAAGAAAAAAGTCATCTGTCCTTACTGTATGACTGTTTTGGAACCAATTACAGATGCGTTGGAAAAAGCTTTAGAAAAGATGAAACGTAAAGATGAGGATTATGAACAAAGGCAAGAAAATCAGGCCTCTTCTTCCTTTACATGTTTCAATATTGTAATAAAGAGGCCTGTCAGTAATGAAGAAAAAGATGCGTTCTGCAAACTACACAAGAAGGAGCTCGTGATCAAACCAGAAGGGGTGAAGAAGAGATTTCCAACAACGATTGATTTCAATGCAGTGTCTCGACGTATAATGAAGTTCAGGAGCGAGTTGGAAAGGGTGATCAAAAATGAACTAAAGAGTGAGTATAGAGAGATTGCCGAAAGTGCATATGAAGAACAAGGTATCAGCAAAGCGAGAAGCACAATGAGTATGATGGCTCGTTTCGAGGCTTCGTTACCGGGTTATTATGGGCCCAAGGGTGCTGGGGTTATCTTGAATACGTTAAATGATATGTTTCTCAAAAGTGGATATCTATCAAAGTATTTGGTTTCGCAACAATTACCAGTGGAGTTCCTTCAGCAGGTACTGGTGCCTGAAGTGGGCTTTCGATTAATACGTGAGGATTTACTAAAAAACCAGGGCCTAGGACGGCCGATGGAGAATGCCACAGAAAAAGCAAAGCAGATAATGCGTGAAAGTTGTGAATATGGTCATATAATGTTCCCGAGTGAAAACCAACATATCGACAGTGAGCAACAAAGGACAGTAATATAGACTACTATTGGGACGAAGACGATGATTTAAGCGTATACTAGCCGTACCAATGGTTCCGATTTATTGGAACTAGAAAGAAGAGCATTATTTTCTTATTCTAAAATCGACGGTTTGAAGACCAATACCTTTATTTTAGTTTGTATAAAACATATAGATATACATCCATATACCAGTAGAACAAGTAATCAGCGCGTATGAATTGTCTGATACATGTTTAAAGTTGATGTATCGTACGCGATTCTTGCAGCTCTTCTCCGAAAATAAAAACCATGACAAACTCAGATTGCGGCAGGATGGGTATTTCCGTCCAAAAAGCTTAAAACGAACCACAAGATCCAATGCAAAAGGTGTGAATCTAAGTATAACGAAAGCATCTGCATAAACGCATATTTAAAAAACATAACTACAATTGCTTCGAATGTGAAAGCGTCCTTTACATTCGTGTCGACAAGTCTTTCTGTCTCTATTGAAGACGATCGTTTGCAATACCCCTTGTTTTTTTGGGTTTCTTTTCCTTGATATTTGTCATCCAATGGAAGAGCTCCGAAACAAAAGTCTTTTTTTATCTAAATTTAGTCGCGAGTTGTTGTCAAACGTTGATACCCATTGGCGTCTCTGTTACTGCTACACACGCACGCACGCACACAGGGTCCCATAATCTTTTTATGTCGTTTTATGTTTGTGCAGTCAACAAGCTAGAAAATACCATAAAGTGAGAAACGCTCTCTAATCGAAAACACCAATTGTTACCAATAAGTAACTATGGACCGTTTCGTATAAAGTAGCTGTTGTGAGCTGTTTCTGTAGTTTCAAACTCTAGTAATAAGTATATCAAAACCATACTCTAAACTAAATCTGTGGCAATTCGGTAGTTCTACTGCCAAATGAATAGAGGTGATGATACCTACATTCAATGAGTTGGGACTTGGCGAATCATCTGCATTTTGCTATTTGACTTTTTTCTTTTTTTGCGTTTTTCTCTGATTTCCAAACGTTTCAAAATGTTATTTTTGTATATAATAAACAACCATTCTAATCGGTCCCCGTTTCATTGAAAATGTCAGTCAAAAGATAATTGAAAGTACGAGTGCTAGGCTTTTTTGTTTGCTAGAAATACTGTACGCAGGCCAAAGTAATTGGATTTTTCTTTATTGGAGAAATAGCTCTTTCTCTAAGCAAAATGCTATCAAAAAGTAAGAGATGTCTTTGCAAATGCGCTTTTCATCACAGATTGTAAGCACCTTTTACTCAGACAAATCTAGCTGTTGTCTATCTTGAATTAAAACAATGCTTATTTGAGTCTTGTTTTTTGTTTCAGTTACAACATTTTTAACGCGTTTTTAAAAATAAATAATTTTTTTTTTTTTTTTGTATCTTGTTGGATTCTAAACTCAATTTACAGGGACTGACTTGCAATTACAGTATTTTAACTAATATTTTAGATGAAATACATTTTTTTTTGGACGATTAATATTTTCATTTTAGATGAGTTGCAATTGTGTTGTAGACCAAAATATAAACCGTTTAAACAATGATTCAAATTCCAAAAACTTGTTAGCAGTGCGAAACAAAAAAAAAAAAAAAGAAAAAAAACCGTACTATTCCTCACCTGTAATGATCTAAATCCTTGAAATACAAGGAAAACCGTGTTTATTACGGCGATTATTTCTTCTTCTTCGCTGGCTTGAAAATGTCGGGTCTTCCCGCTCCAGACCAAACTGCTTGGGATATAGTCATCATGTTGATAGCGGCGTTAATGTCTCTCTGCCATAGCTTTAGACATTGCTTGCAATGAAGAACGCCGGTACCCTTGAATCCAGGGGTATTAACAATTTGCATATCATCATAGAAACAGAGGCTGCATGTTTTAGAGGTTTTGAATTCATCGATTGTGACAACAATCAATTGACCTTCAGCTTCACGTTTCTTCAGAGTTGCAAAAAGTTTACCGACAACACCACATCTTTGCCCTTTCAATTTTACTACATCTTTTCCAAACATTCCAGCACCAAAGACAATCAATGGTACCCTTCTAGGGAATCCTGAGTACTTATCAGCCTTCCACTTCTTGTCACTTCTAAAAATTATCAATCAGCGCGTAAGCTAAACGATGAACATGTAATTCATTGATACTCACTTGATTGGCGGCTGTTTGTCAACATTCTTTCCTTTCTTCTTCTTCTTCTTCTGCTGTTTTTTCCTCTTCCTTGCCTTGCTTCTCTTTTTGCAATTGTACTTGGCCGTTCCATGAGTCAACATGTTGGCCATAGTTTCGGGTGCTCTTTGCCTTCCTTGGTACAACGTAAACCAGTCCTTTGCTGTTTCATGTCCATAAAAACTAAAGAGAGCGTCTAAGTTATTGAGCATATAACTGGTGAACGCCTCATATACTCCTAGACGAGAGGTCTTTGACGAGGGGATTTGACTTTCTACTAGATCTATTCCTGTAACAGCTTTTATACTGTTCAATTTCTTACAATATTTCGTTGACCCTGCCATATGATAGTATTCGGATGTAGTGCATCTTCGCACTTGTCTGTTATATTCAAGGCCAATAGCAGCAGTAAAAACAGACTTTCTTCCGGGATCCAGGGTAATAGGTAAATAAGTATTGTCAACTTCATCCAGAGAGAAATCATCAAGAGTGAGGTCAAATTTTTGGAACGAGGCACCATGGCCAGATTGTTGTCTTTTATAAAAAAGAAAGTCAACTGAAAACCCATCCGTTCTGACAATATTACCAAAGAGCTCTTTGTTATCACCATTCGGTGTAAGTTCAGAGATACTACATGTGCACAAGAAGTTAAACCTCATACATTATACTCGACTGCATACCGTATTAACTGTATGCTTACCTTTTGTACCTGAGTTTCTTGAAATCAAAGACATGGAAAAACAGCTCTAATTGGCTTTGGTAATTGCGGGGTAAAGAACGTTTCACAAAAGAAGACAGAGCGTTCACGCTCAAGGTAATGAACCTCCATTGAACGGAAACCTTTGGCAGTAAGGATAACAATTTTGGAAGAGGACGTCGTCGTACGTCAAATGGTTTATGATCATCGTGTTCGCTCTCAAATTCTGCGTTCAAAGATAACAAAAAGGGTACGAAAGACCCAGGATCAGCAGATAATGTCTTCATGTTCACTTTCTTCCCCAGCTTCTTCTTCCAAGGTTCACAAAAGGTTTGGATCTTTGCTTTTATATCTTTGGTAAGGTAGTCATCAGTTGGCCATTTAGGTTTTCCTTGGCATATCTCTTGATAGCAGAAATCACTTGTGACCTTTTTGACAAGCTTCCAAGGCATACACTACGCAAGATGAGAGCTTTTTTTTAAAATTCATGTAAGACCCCAAGTAATATTGAGTTGCAACTTACCACAAATGCCGTTTGTATTTTATATATCAAAAAATAGAGAAGTTTCTCCTCAAAATTTTCCACTATACTGTTCGTATAGGAATTAGCAATTTCGGTGCATGCTTCTGTAATGGCTTGACTAAGTCCAGGAAAGAGCTTGACAGGGAAGACAATCTTAGGGTAAGTCGTTTTAAAAGAATCAAACGAGCTCAGTAATTGTTGTGATATCAGCCTACTATTTGTTGGTCTTTGTCCATTCACTAGCTGTATCATAGAGTACCAGAAATTTTGTGTAAAGATATATTTAATACACTTTGGCTCAGCAAGAGTGGCATTTTCCAAGACGTAATAATTCACAAAGAGCTTGGCTCTAAGAACCAAGTTTCGGATAACAGAACAAGCTTCAACAACTTTTGACTTGAATGTGTTGCGATAGTCACCAAAAACGCAGTTATCAAGAGGCAACCTTCTTGTAAACGCCTTGTAATTACTTCCCAAATGATGTTGAAAGACCTCTGCCTTTGATAATACATGTTGAGGACACAGAGGAGAACGCACCGATTTATGTCCTGGTTGCTTGCATTTGGTACAACAGGTATTGTCTTTATCCGGTTCTTCATTATTCTCTTTCCTTGCTTTCTTCTTTTCCTTCTTGATTTCAAAGTTCTGTTTGCGTTTTCTGCCTATCGAACCAACTATAGGTACAATGAGGTCGCTTACTAACGATGAATTTACCAACTTTTGAAGCCACATGAGGTGCTTACCTTGATCTGCAGTTTCTGTCTCATACAATTGACATTTAAAGTATTGTTGGGTGTAATGACCCCCTTTACCGCAATCAATACACGTTACATCTAACAGTACACGATGATTAATCTCTACGTATATATATGATCAGGTATATAGGCTTTCAAAAGGCAAGTTACCATTAACAGCACTTGATTTTTTCTTTTCAAAAATTTGCTTTTTCTTTTCATAAATTATTGTTTTGAACATGGGTCATAGTATGTATCTTAAAAACGTGAAATAAAAGTGAAAGAGACAACATTTGACTCTAAGAGAGCAATATATTTTATAGTGCTTATCTTTGAAAGTCACCCATGAACGCATACAAAAACATTGACAACAGTTAATATAACCATCCCATTCCGCTATGGTATCTGTTATACTATGACCATCAGCCCTCTATCAATGGTTTGATGTCAATCAATTCAAAGTTAACTTTTTTTGGAATTCTTGTCCAAAAAAGGCACCAACGAATATCTTGTTGGTCTCGGAACACATCGTCATTTAGTAAAAAAGTTGTCAAGCTTTTTGTAGTTTGTCCTATTGCAAGATAACATCAATAAAACCATTATTGGCGACTTTCTTACTGATAGAGACTAATTTCTAGGGTTCGATTGTATGTCATCCTTAATGCTGCTTGAATATCACTGAATAATTGAGTATCCAAATATCCAAATACTATGGACTTTTCTAAAAATATTTTTTACTAAATCTAAAATTAAAATGTATATTGTCCATTAAAAATTGTAAATCGTCTAAAATATAAGGTAAAATACTGTATTATTTTTTTTGTCGCTCCATAGACGAATAGATCAGGATAACAGTGAAAAAGGTATATAAAAGGATAGACACGTTGGATAAAACATCTCTTTCTATTATCAAACTATTATATATCAAATAAATCAAAAAATGTTGTCTCGCTCTGTTGTCTATCTTACTGCTCTCTCTGCTACCCTCCTTGCTGCCTTCAATGGTGCTGCTGCTTCCCCTATCAATAAGCGTGATGATGAAATGACTTATGGTGATGCTACCTGGTTTATCGCGTCTGATTCTGGTTCCATTGGTGCTTGTGGTGAATTTGAACCTGATGATGGTTATATTGCTGCCCTGAACGGTGAACAATACGGTGATATGGATGCTGTCAGCGATGATTGTTTCAGAAAGGTTAGAATCTACCATGACGGCAAGTCTGTGGATGCCACCATCACTGATGCCTGCCCTGGATGTACCTGGGGTTCTCTCGATTTGACTCCTGTTGTTTTTGAAGAACTCGATGATTTGGACATTGGTGTGATTGATATCAAGTGGAGATTCCTCGATTAAAATACAACCCTCTTTCTTTTATTTACTACTTTTACTATCACTACTGAATATTCACTGCATTCTTTTTTCTCTTCATTTGCATTACTTTGTTCATCTTTCCATTCTCATATTACCCACTTTCTTCATTCCGATATTATCATGTATATAAGCTTAGAATTGCTACTTCCCTTTTCTGTCTTTTTTTTTTTCTTTTTTTCTTTTTTGTATTTCATAATGATCATCCCTTATATTACTCTGTACACTATTTAATAAACTGGTTTTATTGATAGCACGCATATAAAAATTGTAGCACTCATTTCTCATTAGTGTGCTTATTCAATACTGTTTATACTGCTTCGTTTCAGTATTAAAGGACAGCAACGATGCGTATATTTGGGTCAGTCATACTATGCATACTATGTATATATCTTGAGGCTTCAAAAATTCAATATAAGAATCTAGAAATGAGGAATAAAAAAAATACTATTGGACGTGTACACTCCTCGCCTTAACTGTAGCCTTATTACATACACAAGCTCCTTCTGTAGTGTGCATAAATGCTTTACATGCCTCCTTTTCAAAAATGTGTTTTTTCTTTTTCACAGAAACCGACCATCACCCCTTCCCCACTCGCAACTAGCAGCGTAGATTGTCTAATTTCTATCCAATGTGTTATCACTAGAGAAAAATCTATCCCAGCTAATGTATCTTTCTTTCATACTACTTGTAATGCGTATTGTGTGTTATCTAAAATAACAAGATGTCATTGATTCTGAACCTTTAATGGAAAACATAACAGATATCGCGTTCAATAGGTAGTATATATCATCCAACTGGAAATCTGGTATCAGATCGACGGGAAGGGAATCATTATACGCCCTTACTGGTTTTTTTCTTTTTTTTTTTTTTTTTGGTTCTTTTCCTTTGAAGATTCATGGACAATATCAAATCTATTGCTGGTGTATTTCTGTCCTTAGCTTGCTTTTATTACAATCTTAAATTATTTTATACTCGAGTTTAACTCGACTACATTACAAATTTAGTGGTGCTCGACATTCTTGTGATGCTCTGTTCAACAAAAAAAATCAAAAAGGTACCGAAAGTTAGTCAGAGCTTCACACAAGTGTTGGTTTTTGTTTACGAGAAAAAACTTACTCAAGTGGAAGTGATAGTCGATAGTATAACCAATAATACCAACACCGAGGATAAGATGAAGTAATGGAGTAACAGAGGCGTTATCACCATCAATATAACGGGCCTTATAACGAGCAAAAGGACCAACAGGCTTGGGAGTTTCAGCAGTTCCCTTGGGTAATTTCTAGACAATGACATCAAGTCAGTCGAAATGTTGACAATAATTTTTGAAGACATCATCATTCCGTACCTTATAGAATTTGACTAATTCATTGATTTGTCCATCCTTAGCTGAACCACTAAGCTTGGTGGCAGCAGCAATATTAGGAGGAACAAGTGTTTTGGTGGTATAGGCACGACGGAAAATGGCGCTCATCTTAAGTGTGTTTGTAATATTAAGATACTATTCAAACAGAGTAAAAGATATAAAATTGTGGGGCATTTTTATTTGAAAGTCTCGCTATTTTTTTAATGCTAAATGGGCGATTCACCAGGGGGGTTTGATTTTTTTTCCTTTATTTTTTGTTCTCACCTTTTTTTTTTTTTTTTTTTTTTTTTGCCCACTCGTTCTCCGGGCGAGAAGAAAGAGGCGTGGTTATCTGGCCCCTTACACGTCACCGGAACAAAAAGCAATCTGTAATGACCGACAAATCATAAGAAGTTCAGTTACAGTAATAGGGTTTTATTGTTGGGAAAAAAATTCTAAACAATTTGAAATGTGAACGGGTAGCCAAAAAGAAAAGAAAAAACATAAAAATAGAATAGAGACGTTTATGATACAGCATTAACCATGGAAATTTATGTATAAAGAAATGATATGATATATATGTAAAATGTGTGTCGTGAGTGTTTGTGTACAAAGTAACGAATTGACAGGTGAGTTATTATAAGGGTGGAGAGGAGAAAGGTATAAATAATAATAAAAAATAGAATGCTTTTTTGTTAATTTTGATTGATAGACCTACACATGTTCAGGGAAATAGGCATATTCAATTTACTATGTCAATACGAGTATTAATAAGTTGTTCGCTTCTGTTTACCTTGAGACGCTTTCGAACAATCTTTCAATGTCTGTCGCGCAGCGAGTAAATGAGTGACTCCAAAAGCTGTAGCGAGGATTCTTGATCAGTTCAATGAACGTAATCAAAAGGCCCCACGGATGTGGTCTATTTACAATTAATCTTTCTAATAAAACTCTTGTAATTTGTTCTTTCGCCACTTCGTTTTTGCCTTCAACAAACAAGTACAACAGCAAGCAGCTAAAATAGTGTGTGTGGCTGTTAGGATAGCGTAATTGGTTAGCAATGGCACTCAAAAGAAGATAGCGTCCTACACAAATACCAAAGAAAAAAAGATAATGTTACTACATACTGTTGGTTTCCTCAATGCTTCCTTTCATATACACATGTTTACCTTCAGAAGTCAATTCAGACAAAAGGTATTGATAGATTTCTAACGCAGGCCCTTGATGCACAGGTGTTCCCCTTGAAATGGTGACCATACCAATGTAAAACGTGACGGCATTGACTAAACGTGTGTTGAATGTTTTCTTTGTGCTGTCATACATTTTATCCAACAAAACCTTCAGGAAATCCGTAGAAGGTATCTTGGATTTTTCCAAAATTTGGTCCAACTCTTGTTTCAGATTATTCTCTTCTATAATACTGGTCACATCTGACAAAACACGAGGTGACTGATGGGTTTCAGTTAGCAAATCGATCTTCAAATTGGGCGTGAAAGGATCTGGCAAACGCATGTGGCGAGGGAAAGCGCTTAGAATCAAGTTACGCATTTGGATACTAATGGCGGGTATCACATCACAAAAACTATAGTGATAATCACTGAGGAATTCTGGGAAATCGTGAAGGAGAACAAGTAAGACACGGAGTGTGCCTCTGTATAATGTACGAGTAGTGTCACGCAACTCAAGTTTACGCAGATAAGGTGCCAAGAATTCAAACAAGCAGATCAGTAGTCGTTGGAAGGTTGGCCAGCCCTATAGAAAGTTATTTTACACGTATGTTAGCCTATTATCCATAAAGCGTTGTCAAATTCTCAATAACAGTTGAAACTTACTTGTTGATTCTCGGCCAACAACAATTGGGGCATGAAGAATCGATGAGAAATAAGCTGAAGCCAAGCAAGAGAAAAACCAGGGAATTTTAGAGGCTGCAGAGTCAGGAAGGTGCTGCTGAAAGCATTCAGAAGAGGGAGATACAAGGATAGCATCTGTTGTTCAATCTTGTGGAAATCAGTTAATAAACTAGTGAATAGACGAAGGAAGGGACGTTGGTCAAAGTGCTGTCCGCGTATTTCATGGTGCTGCGAAATACATAAGACTGCAACTGATAATGCACGTCGAACATGAATCAAAGGATCTGCTTCATCTGCCATCGTGACTTGTGTCAGACAAACAATCAATTTGGAAAGAGCATCGATAGGTTGATAGCCTAAAGCAGGTGATTGACCAGCGAGCATCTTAAATTTGATGGCATGCTCCACAGACGCTTCTATGCAAACACGGTAAAATAAAGTGGCTACATCGTTCATTCTTAATATGTCCTGTTGAGAAAGCTGCGTTACAAACGTCAAAAGAGTTTTCTCAGTAGCAGCTGGATGTTGGTATACGCGAACCCATTCGGCAAAGAAGTATTGAAGTTGCTCGTAGAGGTTGCCGTCAGTGCTGCTAGGTGGAGCCATATCTTGCGCTTGAAGATGTTGAGGTGTTGGTACTCTACGTAGCTCCTCCAGCAGACTTATCACATTCTCGGGTATCTGATTTCCTCTCAGATTGCTTAGAGCCTCCAACGAGGCCATAAATTCTTGGCTGGTAGCCAAAGGATACTCACCCAATAGACAAGCACGGATCAAGCGTACAGAAAATTCAATGGCATTCTTGCGGCCACTATTAATCAACACAGCTAATTCTTGGTCTTGTTCAGGTAGGCTGATTAAACCAGCCTTGATTAATGCTACAGTGACGGGTACATTGTATTTACGTTCATCATCAGCATGTGTGAGCCAAGTAGTCACCAAGTTGCCTACAGCGGGAGCGACCTCGTATAAATGCTCCAGTATGACCACATAAACTTCAATAGCCAGTTGTCGCTCACTTTTGTACAACAATTGCACAATCTTTTGAGCAAATGCTCTCGCTGTCTCGGATTTATCAAAGCTAGTATAGGCAAGCATTGGAATCTGTCGAATTAAGGTACGGATATCACTATGATGAGGAAGGGCACTGATAGTGCTGATGTTTGTTTGACTAATAAGATTCTCAATTTCAGCGATGCATTGAGCGAATCTTTCTAAAATAGCACGAACACTTGCTTGGGGTATATGCTGCTGTTGCTGTTGGACAATTGCAGTGGGTACATTTTCAAGCCCATTGCTAATTGGAGTAGATAGATTATTTCCGTAACCGCTTCCATTATAAGCAAAAGCAGCAGGATCCATACTTGCTGCCATTGGCGCTGCAGGCGCTGCAGCAGCTGGTGGAACGCGAGGAATTCGCATAAAATCTTCATAAATGCTTAACTGTGCTGGCTGCAATCCTCCTGGCTTGGGTCGAAGAACAGGCGGGAGAGTATTTATGTAAGCCGACATTTGGAATGTTTCCATATCGACAAATGGCTGGCTAGTTTTTTGCTCGCGATGCTTTTTACGGGCTGCATAAGCCGTAGCAAGTATATCGTCAATTTCAAGAGTGGCTCTCTCCATGGCAGCTTTTTCAATGACTGCACACATGAGTTCCAGATTATTCTCTACTGTATTAAAAATAGCATTCTCTGCCATAGTCTATGTACAAAAGTGAGAATGCATCCATTGTCTTTTTGGTTCTTTCCTGAATCTGGGAATTCAAAACTTACATCGCTTAATCCATGAGCCAAAAAGATCGCTTTCAAATTGGAAACAATGCTCAATCTGAGCGGTTCTCGACTTGTTACCATAGCAAGGCTTGCGGATAAGTTTTGAGCCATCAGATGTGCAGCATCTCTCATCTTGTTTTCATTATTCTCCATAACAAAATCTTTCAGGACTAAATCGCGAGTGGATACGACGGCAATGGCGACTGCACGTTCGACAACAGGCCCGATAATCTCACGGACAGAATCTGTAAAAGCTTGAAGAACTAAGCGCTTGGCAGCAGGGTGGTTGTTAAACAATGCAATTTGAGGGTTGAAGGCAATATAGGGAGCAAGGTTAGGAATATTGATGGGTATATCATTTATGGTTGAAGGCTCTGTGTCGGCATTTTGCAATAACGGGTTTCCGCCGGCTGCTGCTCGTCCAGGGTAACCAGAACCAGAGGAAGCAAAAGCATTTTTGCTATTATTTTGCGCTTGAGGCTGTCTGTCCTTCAAGACAGTCGTTGGTGTAATATCTGATTCATCATGAAAGCGTATGAGCAGCGTTAAAAGGAGCAAAGTCTTTTATATTATGTCGTCTTACCTTTCAATTCAACTGACAGACTCTTACACAAAACCTCAATTTCAAACTTTAGGTTAAGTTTAAGCTCTGCGAACTCATACAATTCCACTAGCAGCTTAAGGATCGCCATCAACCAAGGGTTAGGCGGTTTGAATACTTTGCTATCGGCACATTGTTCCAACACTTTACAAACGAAAGGAATAACAACAATCAAGCGTTGTGTATCATAGCCTTCCAACAATAAATTCTATATTCATAATGCAGTTAGCCCCAAAGTTGAATTTGCTTCTGCTACAAAGCCCTAGTTCTTCTTACAAACCTTGAACATCAAATTCTTATGCAGAATAGGCTTATTTTTGGCGAGTGTCATTCTTCCGAGCCATGATCCCAAATTTTTCAGTAACGAACGTTCAGAAGAATTTGTTACCGTTTTTTCCGAGTTCAAGAGAAGCAATGCGTTAGCATATGTCACGGCAAGTATGTGATTATTCAGTAACTTGGAACCGATGTAATCTAACACCATTATGTACAGCTCATGATAGTTCGGTTCAGCAGATATTCTTTTTGTCACCAGATAATTGCTAAACCATTTATACGCAGATGGTATCAATACCTCTCTCAAATTGGATACTTTGCTCTCAATATTATTCTGTGCCACGTTATTGATCGTAAAAAGAATTGTATCTTGTACCGTGCTGGACGGTTCTTGGTAAACAAGATCGGCAACTTCTGGTATCTGAGGTGGATGAATGCTTGTGAAAGGTATTGTCAGAGTTGGCTGAAAATGTTGATGGTTATTCGGATCCAGATCTTCACCAGGCTTAATTTGAGCATTAGGATGACTTAGAGATGTCTGTATATAAGTAACAATGTCGGGATGCATCTCCACCAAAGCAGGTGTCTCTAATAAGTGTGCACAATACTGTGGCCATTCTGTTAATCGACCTTGAAATTGTCTTAACGCTTGAACACCAAAGTTAAACATTTTGGAACCAGCAGGATTGCGTAACGCTTCCAAAATATAACGTAGCGCGACACCTAATGGTACGTAAGAGACGAGTCTGTGTTGTATGAGCAGACCAAACAAGGTAGCCGTAATAGATAGTTCTTTTTCGGGATATTTAGGGAAAAATGCATATTCATCAAATAAATTGTGAATCATACACGCGAAAACATCTTGATCGCGAGGAGCCTTAGAAATACTAAGTCTCTTTAATAATTCAATCATGTCGTCAACCGAAAGCTCACCATTGTATATACGCTCATAGTACATATTAGCTTCTTCTTCTATATCTGGTTTAAATGATGCGCCTCCTCCGGGACCAACAACCTGCGCTGGTGGCATACCTGTTGCTATTGCTGGACCTGTTGCTGATACTGCTTGCATTGCATTTGTATGCAGTTGCGGGTACAATTGAAGACAGCGGTTTTGAATGTCCTTCAACTTCTCAGTCAATTGAGGCGTCAAAGAGCTACAGTGAGATTGTTTATACATTAGTTAAATGTTAAAATATACGCATCGCCGTCTTATTACTGCAGCATCTTCATTCGCCTCAATTACCTATTTGTTAATGCTTTTAAAAAGCTTCTGACGGAATCTACCGACAATGCTATAGGTAAGTTGACCTTGGATGGATCTTGTCGTTGTACTTCCAACGAAATCTTCTGCACAAGATAGTCTAAACATTGATTGGCGAATGTCTCTCTTAATTCAGGATTATTCAATCTTTCTTCTAACCAAGTCTCCAAATTCATTGATTTATCTATATCAGCCAAACATGCCAAATCCAAAGCTAAAGCTGGTGGTAAAGAATCTAAAATAGACGGTATAGCCTGTATAGAATTACGCAGAGTTCAGCAAGATCAGTCGAGGTATATTCTTGTCCAATAATGTAATTTATGCACAAACTTACGTTGACGTCTTTTGACAGTTCCAAAATTCGTGTAACAGAAGATGGATTGTTACTGTACATATCCAATATCACTTGTTTGAACTGTTCATTCTGTTCATTTGCCATATCGTCGTTCATATTGTTCATCTTAGTTCCTATAAAGTGAATCATCTCTTGATATTGGTTCATCAACGCTTTAGATTTCGAACAATGTTCCGCCAGCCTTTTGAGGAACAATTGTAATTTATCTTCCTGCACATCATTAAATTGGTAGCTGCTATCATGCAAACTAGAAGATGCAGCGTTGATCGTGTATTGCAAAAGGTTTTCAGGGATAGAATCTATTTTAGAACAAGCTTCTATAGCCTTTTCTATTTTCGCATTAAAGATTGATTTCGCTTAACAAATAGGAGAATAAATATTAGATCTATGATTATTGCTAGATATTTGACCCCATATAACTTTTTAAGTATATTTTACCTTGAGTGATAATGTTCGCCTGAACTCCCGTAAATAATGGGAGAGTTAAAATTGCTTGGTTGAAATCATTCAGCTTCAGTCTGTCGAAGAGCTCGTTCAAATCTGCTTGATTCGCAATTTCAGTTTTGGTAAATTGTTCTAATGCTGAACCGAAACTGGATATAGTTTCCAAGTGATTCTTCCCTGCTTTTGTGGGTAATAAATCCATATTCTGCATTAATAGTTTGACGTGAGGTGAATTATCATCTCTGAGAAGTTTTTGTTTATAGAGGTCGGAAAGTAAGTATCGAAATAAATGTTCACGAATGTCATCTCCGTGAGTTTCGATGAGCTACAGGTCGAAGAGAAGGATATTTTTAGTGTGATGAAATTGATAGTTTACTTCTATTTTGTGCTATATCGCTTACTGATTTTATTTCCGTTGATTTTCGAGTAAAATTATCGTTATTTAGATTGGATATAAGTAAAGTCACCTGAGCTTTAACTATGCGTGTAAGGCTAGCTTTTTGAGATTTGGAAGTACTTCGTTGCTTTGGGCTTGCTGTTGACGGAGTATTATAAGGGTCTAATTCACTACTCATAGTTGCTTAATGATCGAGTTGCATGTTTTTATGCAAGTTGCAGAATGTATGTTTTATATCTTTTGTTATCGTCGGCTTAATGATTTATAACGGTTACAAATGAATGAAAGAAGAGAACTTCTTTAAAAACTATTTTAATGAGGTTAGAAGGAAGGTGAACTAGAAAAACGATCTTGAACTTTATGAGAAATTAAAGAGCCAAAAAGTGATCAATGCTCAAAAATTTTCGACACATATGTTAAAAAAGTGAAGAACGCGTTGTCAGAAATCGCTGAATGAATTCTTATTTGGATGACATCAGCAAAAAAAGAACCCGCTAAGAAACAACATTAGGCATTCAACTGAATCTGTTGATGAAACCAAGACGTTTAGACTTCGAAACATAGCCAAAAGCCAATTTTGTAATAAATGCGCGATAGGGCTTCAATATATTACGCTCTATTGTCGATGATTGTATTTGTATTGTTCAAATAGTTTACAAATCGTTGATATTCCTGCTAAACATCGAACAAAGTTAGGTTTTGTGTAATTTTGATTGGTAAGAGTGGCTTGGTGTTGCATAAATAGACCTCAACCGCAGATCTGAATTCAATTTTCAATAATAGTCTGTTTTAATTTATCTTAACAACAGACAATTCATTCTCAATATGGCAAAAAATGAGCAAAAAGAGCAAGAAATAGAGAGACTATTTGTTCACTCGGGAGAAAAAGAAAGGTAGAAAAATAGCGGAAACATTGCGTTCAAGTAATGCAACAGACATTTATATGATTCAACGAATGATCAGGCTATTGGAACTGCTGAAGATGCGTTTGAATGAGTCAGGGTGGACTGATAACTTTGACGCTTACACCCGTGGTATGGAACCTAAGCTTAATTAGTTGGAATATATTGGCACTGATATGGTGTACAGACCTTGTTAGAGATAAAAATTTAGAAAATTGCACACTACTTCAGTTAGAGAAGGAAGCAACAGAATTTGGCAGAGGTAATTGAAGACACTGGAGCAGAACCAGACTTTGAAAGATACTAATGTCTGCTGGATTAGCTACTGTCAGCGATTCCATTAAGCGAGAGCTGTTAGAACATATAAAAAAATTTGTGGATACCAATTTTAAATGAAGTTTATCTATAATTTCTATGTATTGTTTATTGATCGCATTTACGGACCGATCGCTCATCTTCAATGGGCTGCAACTTTATTAACCTCCTCAACAATACCACGAAGGACTGGCTTTGTTTCTTTTAAATTCAAGCGCATGGCATATGCATCTTCTCCATCAGCATAGTATTTTTTCTCAATATCATGAACACTATTTTTGTCGTAATCAAATAAATAAATCAATTAGAAAGGGACTTCACAGCAAGGAAAGTCAACTATCACGTACTCGAATTTCAAAGTATCCCTATAAAGACCGATGGCGGCACGGTTTGTCTTACGAACATGTAAAGATACATAGTGAGCACCGAAAACTGTTGCCATTTGACTAGTTGCTTGTGTCATGAGTTTTTGTGCGAGACCTAAACGTCTATAGGTACGCATAACTGATAATGAAGTAATATGACCATGAGGAACATCTGTAGGTTCTTCTTCCCTATTGGAAATGAAATCTACTCGTTACTTTAAGGAATCTCCAATGTAATTCCAACTCTTCTTCATTCCCTACATTTTTGCTAAAACATAACCAACAACTTTCCCATTCTCATCCTCGGCTACAAAAGATAACTGAGGCCATGATAAAGCGTGATAAAGGTCTATAAAAAATAACGTCAAGTTGAATAACATATTCTACTAGCGTTGCAAAGGCGGCTACATTACAATATTTCATTTGGTAATTCTCTGGCAGATCGAGTAAATTACAATTTTGAATATAAATCAAGTCTTCAACCTACTCAAGTCAGGCGGGTTGTTAGTTTCGAACTCGTATCAAACGGTTTGGAATTCTCTGCTTACAGTAGCTTGTCTTATGTTCATGTTGCTTTTGATTTTTTAATAAGTTTTTGGAAAAAGAAAAAATAAAATTCTGTTTAACACAAGCAAATGCATATTTTTGGGTGCTTTAGAAGATTCAAAAGCCACTGCAAATCCAAAGAACATTATATTTCGCTTCACGACTACAGGGTAGGAAGACCTTAAAACATCGATGAGCGTATAATAATAAACTATGCACCCGTCAACAAACTTTTGCAGAAGATGGACCCGTTATCGACTGTGCATTTGCTGACCAAAGACCTTTGCATGGTTTTTACAGGATAGACAAGGAGATGATCTTTATTACTTTTTAGTTAGCAGAAGTTTTGTTCAAACCTTTATTAGTTTGAACGCTATGCTTCACCTAAGGCTTCTGTCAGATCTGTATCACTACTTGAGGTATGACACTTAGTCACGCAATCATATATCTACTTTGATTTCTGCGAGAATCCATAAATGTAAAGTGTCTTTAAATTACGAAATTCTTTCTATTTCTTCGAACATTAAAAAATTAACGAGTGGAAACTCACACTGTAGAGAAACAATTATTATTATGGACTATCCAACAGTTACTCAAGTTGAAACAGTAATATAAACTTAGCAGTAGCTCAACGCAGCGTTTCTAGTACGATAGTTGAATAACTCCTTTTCTCAGCTTATAAACGAGCTTTATAGTTCAAGCGATCCACTTGTCGCCAAAGAAATCCAGGATCAACTTCAGACATTACAGAAGCAACCAATTGCTTGGGAAATTGCCTCTCAACTACTTTTTTCGCAAGTAACTCGTTTTATTCAAGCTTTTATTCTTGTAACAATCGCACAATACTTAAATCCTTTCAGACAGATCATTGTCGGTTTTTCGGTGCACATACGTTTCAAGTGAAAATCACACGCGATTGGTAAGCACGTCAGTAAGTGATTCATGGATTTTTTTTTTTGCTGTTGCCTAAACAAATTTAACGCTCGGTAGGGAAACGCTACCAGAGAATAAACATGAATGGTTAAAGAGCGAACTCCTTAATTGGATAGTTCGGTTATGTGGAGGACCAGCTTTTGTCACTACCAAATTATGCATAGCAGTAAAGCATGGAATTAAGTTAATGCTTTTTTAATGATATCAACTGATTTAAATTTTGTGCATGAATAGTTAATAGCCTATTCATTCCATTCAGTGCCCGATAAATGGCCGCACTTCATCGCATCAACAGTAGAAGCGCTACAACTAGGCTCACAAGCTTATGGTGTGCCAGCCCAAACAATCTATTCAACTATTCTGGAATTTTTAACGCTTGTACCTGAGGAAATATCCAATTCTAACCTTATTGGCGGACACAAGCTACAGCTGATTGGAGAATTAAAAGAAGGCGTTCCGATTGTTCTGACAACCATATCGACGCTACTATTTCAACCTGTCAATTCGGCTGATACACTTCAACATAAATCATTAAGATGCTTACAGAGCTGGATACAGTATGGGATTAATTTAGAAGATGCACATACTTTGTTACAAAAAGTGATGATCTTACTTGGTCACCCGGAATTATTTGAACCTGCCGTTGACGTCTTATTAGAATCTATGCAACAAACAGCGTGGGCGAGGTATCAAAATTATCGAAATGAGTTATTATCATGTTTCACGAGCGACGCCATGAAGGAGAAGTTTGAGACTTGTATTGCAGATGAGGATGAGGAAACTGCGCTTGCGCTTGCAAAGTTGTTTACGACCTTTGGAGAGACATATACAGATTTTATAGTGAAACATTTGGCCCGGCCAGACATAAAGTGGCTGTTGCAGATGATATTACAATTAACAGATTATAAAGGTTACTATCCGATAGATCAGGAAGTATCTGAAATTCCACTCAACTTTTGGTATATAATGCAAGAAACCTTATTTGATGAGAATGTATTACCTTTGCGCCCTATATCGACGCCACCACATCTCGATGAGGGAAATTCAAGGGATGAGGCTGTTTGGATTTATGAGTGTGGGCAAACCTCGTTGGCTATTTATCGTGATTTAGTGAAAATCCTGATTCAGAAAGCTTGCTACCCAGATGAAATGACTTGGAATTCATGGAATAAAGGTTCGATTATAAGAAAGAATTGGTTATTGTTCTTTTAGCGCAGCATCTAATTTATGAGTATTCCAGATGTTAAAGATAAGTTTAAGATCTGGAGACGTGATTTGGGAGATACAATGATCAATCCCTACTTTGTATTGAAAGACGAGATGTTATCAATTCTCTTGGAGCAAGCAACATGCATTATCGAGCAATGGGAAGGCTTACCAAACTCAGCACAAGTAAGAACAGCTACATTTGGACGTATATTCTGTACGCTAACTGTAACAACTATAGTATTTAGAGGCTACGTTATTTTGCCTGAAAAGCATATCTGAAGAGATCAGTGCGAAGGAAAGTGTTTACATATCTCGGTTTTTTGGCGCAGAGATATTAGGAAAATTACAAAGTGATTGTAGTATTCGATTGAAAAATACTGTTTTATTACTTATGGGTAAGAATTTTGCATACGTGTCTTTTATCCAAGGAATCGTAATTTATACAATACTATTCACTATAGGTTCATTCTCGGAATGGCTCAAATCAAACCCCCAATTATTAAACCCAATCATGAACTACATTGTACCTTGCCTGAGTAATCCTAACCTAGCCCCAGCTGCTACCTCTTCCTTTTCAGATATTTGCGATAACTGCCGCGAATCTCTAGTTGATGAGTTAGAAAGTCTGATGCATGTTTATGTAGCTATGGCAAATTCAAGTATAAAGGTATACTAAATTGATGCTGAGCAGAAATCTTGACTATTGTAAACTAATAGCCAATTTCTCAGTCTATTTTCATGCAGAAGGTTGTGCAATCTGTTGCTGATGTGATTCAAGTTCTGCCACCTGAAAGAGCTATACCTCCTTTAATGGTAAAGTTTTTCTGAAGGAATTAACACATTAATTCATATGGTACTTAGTATTACCTAACGAACCTGCTTATTCACGTTTGTAGTCGTTAACTGGAGATATTTTGCAAGGCATATCGAAAGCGCTTAATTTAATAGAAGAAAACCCTGAAGGGTCACGAGACGCAACCCTTGTCCAACTTCAATATCTAACTGCATGTTGTCGTGGTATACAATCACCAAATGATGATTACAAGTCCTTAACAGAACGGGATGAAATTTACGATGCATTTGCTAGCGGGAAATTGACTAAAGCATATATGAAAATTGATGGCTTCAGCGATATTGCTTTTGCCATTGAGCAATCTACTGCACGTATTGCACGAGTATGGGGTGCAGATGAAGCTATTGCAAAGGCCTTATCAACTTTCGTTGACCAAGGTATCAAGTCAACAAGTCCTTTACTCAGTTTGAGTTTTGTAAATTTCGTAGAGTTGGTAGAGGCAAGTTATACAACTGCGGCTTATGCTTGCTGGCTTGACTCAGCAGCACTTGCAATGACGGTATTCGGTGGGCAGGGAATGTACACTGAGAGATTGAGAGACATGCTAGGTACATTGACAACAAAGACGTTGGAGGTAATTAATGGAACAGAAGGTAAGAATTTGTAAGTTGCTACTATATATTGCGAACAAACTTTTTCAACAATTACTTTTTAATAGCTATGGAGAATTATCCAGACATTGTTGACAGTTACTTCGGATTACTTTCAAGGGTAATATACAAGAATAATAAGGAATCGGATTATTTCTAACGCAGTTCACATTGCAGACGTTACGACGTTGTCCTTTAGCATTTTATCATTTACCATTGTCCATGATCAATATGATTTTCTTGATCGTCATTGCAGGCTTAGGATTGCAAGAGCGCTTAGCATTGAAAGCAGCTGTTATGTTCATGGTATATTTACCGTTTGTAAGGAAATGAATTAAGCACACAATGACTAATATGAAGATATTCATGACAGGCCGATTTTGTCACGCAAGATCATCCAGATAATTCAGATATAAGTGAAGTAGCGGACACAATCATGATGAACTTGGGAATCAAAATTATGGAACAGCTATTATTGGGTATTGGTGGTCGTGTGCCTAGGTCTTTTTCAGGACCACTTGTGGACGTTTTACATCGAATAACAGGGAAATATTTGCAACCTAGTCGCGAATGGTTAAGAACATTACTAGCAACTGTAAACTAAATTACTTATACAATATTAAATATGCTACTTATGATTAACTATTTTGGTCCTTTTTCTTCGTAGGATGGTTTCCCTTCTCCTTTGGTAACTCCAGAAGACAAGGAGGCATTACTTAAAGGCGTATTAGGGTAAGTTGTCCAGTTTACTGATTTCTCGTTGGCGAAACAAGCAATATAAAAAGCTAAATAAACGTTGATCTAGGAATCGATCTTTGAAGAGATTTAAAGAGACGGTAAATAACTTTTCCATAAAATGCAGAGGCCTTGGGAACACAACTTTTGGCAAAGTGTAAATGTCCCTCGAATAATACATCTAGTCTGTACGGTAATGTATCGCATACACCATTTTTACTTTTTCTTGTGTGCACTTTGAGATTTATCTTGCGCATTATCCAATAAAATCTGCGTATCCGTAATTTTTTGGTTTTTTTTGCGTCTTTTTATTCTATATCATTTCATTGACCAGTATCCAAAATTTGAAATCCAATGAAATGCCCCCATTTGACCCAAAATTTTGAATAGGGTAGGTACGAGTTGATAATACTGAAAGGTGAGTTTTTTAGACTGAAAAAAAAAAAAAGAGTGCTCTCGAGATTATGTATAAAGCTAATGTGTCAGACTCTCTTAACACTTTTTGTATCCTTTGTTGCATAAATTGTCCATTTGCTAATTGGGTGGTAAACAAAGGAAGCCAAGTTATGACTAAAACTTGATCCTGTCTGAACATATGCTTATGCTAGCTATCATACAATTGTGTTTTAGTGTCATGGTTCGCCTCTTTTTGTTGTAACTCATGGTTTCTTCTGCTGGCCTGGTTGCTTGAGCTTGCTACTACCAATGTATATGCCGTACCTCCTTTCCTAATCAGAAACGGTACATGCGCTTACAGCCGATGGCTGTAATACCTTTTGGGTAAGAGGTATAAAGAAATGAACAAGACTGCCAAACGCCCTCAATAACACTACTTTTCCTGTCAAATGTGTCATTCTGCTTAACTCTAACTTTTGACACTACTCCTCATATGTAAGTATTACAGCATTTCTTATTTTTTGTTATTCTTTTACACCTCTTCACGTACTAATAGCAAATACATTTATCATTTTTCATTGATCTGTCTCGGAATCGGTCTCATAGTTCATATACTCTATCAATATTCCAACTTAGTGTACATTGAAGATTTCTAAGGCCTGCAAGCCTCCATTTCAAAGAAGGACATTGCATATTCAATTCAGCCTTCCAGGTCAATTTCGTAACTGTTAGAGCAGCTTATATTCTTTTGGACAGCTTATTTTCAAAGTTTTTCTGACATCGTCAATTTGATTTTAGGGGGATAGCTGACCAAACAAATTCATTTCTAAATCAAGTTGCCATAATGTATAGAATTCTTTTCGAAGGCTTTTTGGAAGTCAAAAAATATAATTTTTGTAAGCCTGGCCAATCAGTACGACATTCTGTTAATGAGTGTAGTTCAGAGTTATGTAAATACGAATACGATACGAATAACCTCACTATACGGAAACGGGTAACGAGAATAGTTTCATGTCGGTTGCGTATCAATTAAAAACCTTTTTTTTTTTTGAATCTCTATCACCAAAGTAATAGAGGTTTCTTCATAAAAAGATTGTGATTTTGCTTCTATGTTTAATGATATCCCTCTACTGAGCATGTACCAATATTGTATTAATTATTGGATGATCCGGAAAATAATCTCAAAATGCACAAAAGAAGAAGTAAAATGCTGTAAAACTTGTAAACCTCAAGTACCCAACTGAGCATTGCAATTGTACGAAATAAACTATACCATAACAAATATAGAAAGTAAAAGTATTGGTGTAACTGGATACACCACGTCTAATTCTTCCTAAAGTATGAATGCCTTTCTTCTGAACTTTTTTCTTTTTTCTTCTTCAATTCGTCCTTCGTTTCTTCAATAAGACATTCTTTACTTCACCCTCATTTAGAATAAACATCAAGTTAAGAGCATGTCTATTTTAGATACTCTAAGTTCGCCCTTCTCATGTTCTACGGCGCATATAATTACCTCACATAATCCGATACAGCTGGCAGCTATTTCAAATTTTAAACTAGCACAACTTACGTTTGCACCGCCGGACTTACATTCCTTGAGAAAGACAGCAATAATTAAGAACGTTATTGAAGACATATACTCTAATACTCCTTCAGACTGGCTACAACAAATGACTCGATGGCAGTATCTAACTCCAGAGTAAGTCAGAAGTACAAGGACGAAGGACAGAAAGAATTTGTCTAAGCAAAAGCTCTTTCTAAATACAGATCCTTAGAGGAGATGACCCAGGAAGGCTTAGAAGAGATATTTGCTCAATACGCACAAGCTATCGAAGCTTTTCGGCCTGTAAGATCTATTTCGACACTCGCAGATAGCGAAGAGAATGATATTTTTTCAAATGAAGTTGACGACGGTCGAGCTGGGGATGATCTTTGGGTAGCAGATGATTGTAATCGTGGATTTGCACAGTATCAGCAACGAGAGCTTCAGGAAGAAAACCCTATTACGGAAACAAAAGCGTGCTCGACTGAAATAACCAGCCCCGCATTATTTTTACAACCGAATGCCACAATTTCGGACGAATTAATTGTAGCTGGCCGTGCTGCTTCGCCGCTCTCAGATAAACCTCTACCAGCACAACCTATGTCCTTTGATACTTCTGGATCCAACACAGCTTCGGTAGCCATTGCTGTTGTTACGAAAGCCCGAAGGAAAAGTACCTTCGGTGGTAGTAAGAATAGATTAAGTTGGACAAGTGACACTGGTATTACCTCAAGCGCTGTGTCTCAGAATCTCGCAAATGAGATAATGAGCTTATTTGACATGGACTTTGCGATTGATATCAATCTAGACACTGCTCCAAAATTGCCTGAGTTACCTTTCAAGCCTAAAAACGATAACAGAAAATCTCTTCACCGACAATCCCAGGATATGTTGACCAGCTTAATACCTGCCTTTGAAAAAATTGCTTTAGAGACAACAATGGAGTTCAATAATTATAGAACATCTCATTCCACACCAAATCTGAGCCGTGCCATGACTTCTGTTCCTCAAAGATCATCTTCTCTACGGTACAGACAACAAGAACAGAGCGAGTCATTTGTTAGTCCCCTAGCAGTAGTAGTGCCTTCTCCTGCTATTGTGAACAAAAATAAATCCAAGAAGAAGAATATTCTGCGTCTCGCTTCTTCTCTCATGGGAGGAAAGAAAACATCGCCTCTATTGTCACCAAAATCCCAATTAAGTAAAGATAAACTACCAAATAGCCCTGAATTATCCTCTGATTTTATAAAGGAATATTCCAGCTCATCAATCAGTTCAATTGCTAATAGTGTCGCAGATCCCAGCAAAGCATCATCAAGAAAAGCTAGTACTTCAACTGTAGAAACCATTATAAGCTCAACCCTTTCTTCATCATGGTCAAATATATCAGCAGATCATGTCGAAATGAAGGCTGTAGTGAAGCCATTACCTGAAACTCTAAGTACAGCAACAAAGGCAACAGCTCAAGTACACAGTAACAAACGTAATAGCAGACGGAAACATTCGACGAAAAAGAAAAGAAGATCAGCGCGTATCGAAAAAACCATGATAAAACGTAAAAGAGACAGCCATCATCATAAGCCAAACTTGCAAACGGGCGATAGCGAAGCTTCCATTTTAGAAGCAACTGCAACAAACTCTTCAACTTCATCCTTTCTTGTTCCATTTGGTAAAGGACTAAGTCGATCAAAATCCGCGTTCATCAAAATTGGACATGGACTAAAATCCAAAAAAAGCTATAAAAAGCAACTAAGAAGAGTCTCGTCCGTAAAACATTTAAACGAAGCCTTAACAGGCAGCGCATCACATAAGGAGATAAATGCCTCTCAGATAACAGACCCATACGTTCATTGCAATGGAAACGACACTCGTTTCAACGGTAATAAATCTGCACCTATTTTAGTCGCCACTGCTTTTTCTGAAGAACCTCAAGTGAGACGACAGCAGCTACCACTGGAACAACAAAGCTTTGTAAAAAGGATGACTTCATTTCACTGGAAAATGAAAAGTCGTGGTGATCATAGTCGCAAATCTGCAGCTGAGGTTTAATCGTATATAGTTTTCATCATCCTCGTCATTATACCCTTGACTTACTAACACAGTGTCTGAACTTTCATAATATTTGCATTGATCCTTTCGTTAAAATAAAAGCTTTGATTGACTACGCTTTTCTTTTTTCTTTTTTTCTTTTTTTTGGTTTTGCTTCTGCCTTCAATAACAAGTCATTCTAAGTCGAATACGGATTTCTTATGCTTTTTTCAGAGAATCGACAACTCTATTTTAAAAGATAACGATTTGCGCGTGACACAAACAGCAGCAATAAATTGCGCCTATCTCACTTTATTGAGACCAAATTTTGAAGGTGCTTAAATCATTCAGTTACAATTTTTAACTAAATAATTAACAAATTTTTCAATAAGTAACTAGAAAAACCAGCTATGTTATTTCACCTATTGAGCCTTACGGATAGCAACTTTTCTGCTACGCGACGTAAAGGCATTGTTCGCGATTAAACATTTTTTTGTTATAGAGTCATATGCCCTTAGCCGTTTTACGTTGACATAAGACAAAATGAAAGATTTAGCTGCCAACAGTAATGAACATGCTTATTTTATTCTTTCTACTTACTATAATCATGGTTTATTTGACGAATGTCCAAGATGATATGTTGTTGTTCCCTTTGCACCTTTTGGCTTTGCCTTTTACAAAAAATATTTTCTGTTCTATGAAAGAATCAAATGTTAAAATTGAGCTAAAGTACCAAATGGTATTAATGCTATTCCCTTTCCGAGTGGTAATTTTGACATTCGGAGCCCTTCTTTGAATGTTATAACGGTTTGAGAATCGATGCCAACTACGGAAGTTCTAGTATCATGTCTTTGTATCTTATATCTTCTCAATAACTGTTGGGTTGCACTTGAAGTGAAAGTCTCCTAGCAGGCATGCATTTACACTTGTTATAGTAGTAAATAGTTCCTGTACAAATGTATCAAATCACAGTACAAGAGATACGCATACAACGTAAGAAGATAACAATAAAGTCCAATTGCAAGCAAGGAAGTAGAGGGTACGTCTGGCATTGATTAAGTATCCTAATTTGCCGTTGTATAGCAATTGACCTATCGCAACAGTAAAAAGCTCCGTACCCCTCCCCACTCCTTAATGAAGAATAAGAGGAAGCAGATATTCGATAGCAACATTCGATAATATGCGAGGAACCTTACATGACATTTTGATCTTACTGTTAGTTTTTAAATTTACGTCCATTGTATCGAACAAGAGCTGTTAAAGTGTGAAAGTTTTGTATGTATCTATAACGCTGTTAAGCATACCTTTACGCGTTAACATCATCACGACTATGGCTCATTCAAAAACGTTAGCTTAAAATATATAATATACTCGGGTTTTTTGCGGAAGGTGGACGTCAATATTAAGAAGGAGCGTCAATTACAGCTATGGTTGAAGATAATACTCATAAACAATTAATTCTAACTGTTATCAGGAACGAGCAATGCTAACTTGTGGTTGCTCATTTGCATAGAATCGATACAATTATTCAAACAGTAAGCCTGCTCAAGACGCTTCCAACACGCAAGAATAATACCAATACTCTATCACTATTATTTGAGGCCTTCAGTAAAAACGGCCTTCTGTGAGCACAAACAGACTTTGGCTGTGTCTTTTTGTAACGATAAGTTCTTGGTTATTTGTGACTTCCTTAATTTTATTAAGCTATAACACTTTCGTCGCCTATTGTTTACTTTACTTCACTCGCCTTCCTCTACTTCTTATATCGGTCATCAACTTCTGCTTCTTGTATTCAACTTGGAACAGAAACCTGACAAATTTGATACTCATGTTAAGGTATTATAGTACGACCAATTATCATCTGAAGCAGACGTACACACAAAAAGGTATTAAAACTTGCTGAGTGAAAATAAGAAGTACAACGACATCTAATACTATGGGATAGAGGTGGCATAGATACCGAACCGAAGCGAGTAAAGTTATTATTAATGACAATAGTAATAGGAAACTGAAAACGGACAGAGGTTAGCTCCTTGAGTCATTATGATACGATATTTGTAACTAAAGACACTTACCTCTTGATTCATACAAGTTGTACAAGGAGAAAAATTATTTTTAAGCATTAAAAAGCGCTCTAAGACGACTTAAACTCTGAAGGCAGTTGTCAGGCAAACATTCTCTGAAATAACAGCTTTTCCTCCGTTGTATTGGGTCTTAATCACCTTTTAACACTGATACTTTTGTATAACGGACGGCTTCTGACTATGTACTAATCCTTTACAAGCGGCACAAGTGCTTTTCTCTGACAGACTTAGGAACGGAAAGGAAGTTCAACTTATAGATATTATGATCCTCAATGAAAGATAAGTGCTGACGGGATATTCAATATATGATATTTGATATTAAATAATGATCTGTCCGACTACTGTGAGTGCGTAAATATTCTTGTATCTCTAAAATTAAATCTAGATGGCTAAGTTTGATTAACAAACCTTACTACATTCGCAATTATTCTGAACTTACCTTGGCTCCGCAAGGACTGTTTCTTATTTCTAGTTATACATATGGCTATACCTGCCACATGTTCCTTGTAAGAAGGTCAAACGCCAGTTATTTTAAGATATTGTATCAGTGTAACTTCAATACCAAGAATACAACCTTACTTTCATTCCAGTGCAAACAACCCTGCACTATAGTATGCTTATGTATGACACTCCAGCAATAACGATAATTGGAATTTGTTGTGAACAAGTGCTATCAGTCTATAGCCTTTATAGAGATGGTTTAGAAGGAGGACGGTTGCATATTTTGTATGTATGGAAGAAATAGAAACAAACATCCTGTTGGCGAGGCTGTCATCTGTTGATTAATTTATAGAAGTACTTCCAGTCCCTACGTGCTTAAAGCGTTGAGAGAATTTGCAGACCGACCAAGTGAGTATCTAAGTCGTAAAGCGTACCAAAGGCTGACGAGGAAGGCGAGGCGTCCACAAATATCTCGTTAGGTGGTGGCAAAATACAAAACCGATGAAGACAAGTAGTTGCTGTTTAGGAGAAAAAGAGTAACAGAGCAGGGAAACTACAAATTACTGTAACAGTTTAAGCTTACATAACCTTCAATGCCAAGATGAATAGTCTTGTCTTCCACGGATTAGCAAACGAACTTTGTAGTGTCAGTGTTGACCCTGCAGTGCCATACATCCGAATTGAGTGCTAGGGTGAATTCCATTAATTCTGTCCTAAGACGTATGTTCAGATCAAACGTTGAGACCATGACGTGTTAAACAAGGTTTATAGACGTCTGAAAATGAAGTGATTGGAAAGAATAGTTGAAAGAAAAACGTCGTGAAAGAGAAAGAAGTGTTCCACGAATCTAAGGTTATAGATTACAGTATTTAGTATGGAGTAAGTTAAAAGCATTAGCTTGCCTATGTCATAGTCTTGTTTTTGCCGCTTCAACTGAATAAAAAACTATAGTAATATTGAAGGGCACAATCCATTGCGAAAACTGTATTATGTTCCTGTAACCGTGATATTATGGCGGCGAAAAAATGCTTCATATTGCCGAACATGTGCGATCTATCACTGTAAAAACCCGTCAGTTTTGCTTTATAAAATACAAATGCAGAACAACGAATATAAGTGGTTACCATACCAGTAGGAGGTAAATTGACGGTAATCTGTTAATGTTGTATCACCTGGTAACAATGTTAATTAAGCTTTTTGACTATGGTTGTACAAGTCAAATACAATTAACGGAAAGAATTATCTGATATGCTTCTCATTCTTTTCAGAGGTTCCTTCATCCTTTTTTCCTTTTCTTTCTTGTCTTATTAACGCTATCGATTACCACTTTGAATAATGTCGTCAATCCAAGCGCTTCTACCTCCAGAACTAATTCATTCAATATCAAAATTTTTAACTCCCATCGAATACTACCGTTGCCTTTTCGTGAGTCAATTTTGGTATCGTACCTTCAAACAGTTTCTCTACAGAAGAATTTTCATACATTCAGACGAACAGCTTGAAAAGCTTGTAGAATCACTGCAGTCTTCCCCTGGGAGCAAGGACAAGGAGCAATCTTCAAACGGCCTACTAATAAGAGAGCTCTGTCTAGCTCAAAAATCTCTTTCTTGCGAAGAAAATCCAGTGAAAATTAGCACTGACGTGCTAAGTTTAATTGGAGAATTGTGTTCTAATTTGGAAGTGTTTACTTTTGATATAACAAATTGGCAGCATTTACAGTTAACCACAAAGCTAATTGAAGATTTGCGTTGGAAGCATTTGCGGAAATTTGCTCCTATACCACATACTATTTTCGACATCATCCCAGCATCCACTCTTGCCAAATCAAATCTAACTCATCTTCATCTAAGTTCTTCACTGGTGCCTTGGAAGTGCCTGCTGGAAAAGCTTAAGACTATCCCAACAATCAGTCATCTAGCGCTGGAAATTGATTATAATAGTGGGCAGCAGCAAGAGGATGCCCTGATAAGGATGCATTTACAGGAAATATCTTATTCCTTACCATTACTTGAGGGACTCAAATTGATTCGCCGTAAAGTTTCAAGATCTCAAGCACCGTTCTCATCAGAGATTCCCTTCAATTTGACACAATTATTGCAGCCTAGTCAACTAAAATCTTTATCACTTGAAGGATTAGTTGACGACCTATATTGGTTTGAATTCATATGTAAGAGCTATCCCCTTTTAAAGTCACTCTCATTAGCTCAATCTGGTTCAAATACGTTGGATTCAAAGTGGAGGTGGCAGGGGGCTTTTCTCTTAATGATACGCAACCTACCAAAACTAAAATCGCTTTTCTTGTGTGGTGCAAACGCTATGAATCTCCTCTCGGATGGCTTGGGTCACGAGTTAAGAAAAAAGGAGTGTTCGATTGATAGTTTAGCTGTAAAATCTAACACTTATCAACGAATGGACTCGTGCCAACTTCTGTTTTTGATTGCTAAACACGGATATCGACAACTCAAGTACCTCAGATTGGCAGTTTGGGAGGATATGCCTGGGTGGTCAAGTGCACCCTACAGCCTATTAAGATGCACTCAATTGGTTGAATTGGATTTAGCATTCTCGCGGGGCATTTCTTCTCAATACCCGTACACACCTTTCCTAATAGATCGCTGGCTATCTCACTTACCTCAACTGGAACGCTTAACACTGCGTGGAGTAAAGCTTCAAGTAGAGTATAACAGCTTTGATGATTTAGATAAATCTAACAAAAGCTTCGCCTTAAAGAGCCTTAAATTACAGCTCTCAAAAATAGAGAATCATGAAGTTGTATTGCGCTATATATCGTTTTGTTGTCTACAGTTAGAAGATTTAGCTTTCCTCGAGTGCGTAACCGATGAGAAAAGCAGAATCCCAACACAAACATGCCGTATTTTGCTGGAGCAGAGCAGTTGGTTAAAAAAAATTCAATTGAGCCCTGAATTAGCTTGTACCTACAGTCCTACAACAGGAGAATACACGCAAGCTGTCTGTATTGAGTTAAAAGTGAAAACCGATATGACTCTACCTCAACAAAAAGGTTATAAAACTGTTTTAATCTTTTGGTGTACGTTGATAGTGGATGAATCAGATTTTACGCAGCATAGCTTTCAGCTTTGTGAGGATAAGGAACAAATACGACAATTCACAAGCTTATACAAACAGTACATAGAACACGTATCAGAACATTGGAAATCCAGTAGCATGTCTGACCAGAATAACTTGCCTTTTGGCATCATCGCCATTTACACTCAATCAATTCCATCCAAGATAATACTGAACAACTTGCATCTACCTCCGATACACTTACTGACGTAAATAAAGTTTGACCCTTTATTATGCAAACAACAAAAAAGGAAAAAAAAAAAAAAAAAAAAAAAAAAAAAAAAGATAAAAGAGAAAGATGCTCCATCCTATACATAGCAGTAGCGGAGTAGATATGAGAAAATGAAGAAATGATCGGTTAACAAATTAGAGATTTGAAATTTTCAGCAGGCAACCGCATCGTATAATGCGCGGGAACAACATAGAGTCTTCCTTTACAATTTGCATCCGTCCATAACGCACAGTGGCTACTTCCAGTGTTCTGAACATGAGCAGCAATAAAATGGCTGGGAAACTCTGTACATCGACGGTCAGAGCTTAACAAATTTGATTTTGCACGTTTATCTTCATTCATTAAAATCAGGCCTCCGCCTATACCGAATAAGGCCCAGCTATAAGTAGGTAGTAATAAAAAAAATAGAAAGCTGACAAGTCTCATAATATTTGAGTATTGATAATTTTTACAAAACGAAAAGAAAGGATCAAACAGGAAGCGTGTTTATTATAAATATAAAAAAAAAATTATATAAAGGCTGCATAAAAAAAAATTGTGAACTTATCAAGGGTATGTAGTACTCTTACAATTTGATTTGATGTGAATCTGCTGCAATTTTTGGAGGCTTATACAAACGCAATAAAAGGCTAGAACAAACTACACTAATACTTGAGGCAACCATAGCGATACCAGCAATATAGGGAGGAAGGCCTTGACCTACAATCGGATAAAGAATACCAGCGGCAATAGGAATTGCAACTGTATTATAAATAAATGCCCAGAGAAAATTGAATCGGATACGGCGAACAACAGTACGTGCCAAGTCGTACATAGTAAGTAAGTCCAATAAATTGTTTCTAATAAGAACAATCGAGGCTGCTTCAATAGCAATATCAGTAGCAGATCCTACGGAAATTCTATAGCAAATTGTTAGTCATTTAAGTACAATTATAAAGATCGAAAGGACAAAGTGGACAAATTTGAACTTACCCAAGGTCAGCCTGTGCAAGTGCAGGGGAATCATTGATACCGTCACCAACCATGGCTACGACAGTTCTTTGACCCTGTGCTCTAAGCTTTTTCCAGCTGTGTGTACCTCCTGTTTTGCGTTCTTTGGCGTTGAAAACCTTTCTTTGTAAATTTCTTATTCTGTCAGCTTTCTGCTCCGGCTTCACATTCGACAATACATTTTCTGCAGGAAATCCCAGCCTTTGGCCCATGGCTTTCGCTGTGCGTTCGTTATCACCTGTAATCATCCAAACTTCGACTTTACGACGCTTAAGCTCTTCAATAAGAGTTACCGTTTCGGGACGTGGGATATCAGCTATTGAAACTTGTGCAATCACCATGGTTTTTGATGCAGTACAGCATATAGAGTTCGCGACACATTTGCAAATATCGCAAACACATTGGTTTTTGCAGTTGTCATTGTCTTTATGAAGGTCACTTTCAGATAACAGATCGTCGTCATGGACGTTTCCGTTGCTTAGGGGTGATGCTGCTATAATAACAGTAGACTGTCCAAGATTTTGCCATTCCATCAACAAATTTCGGCATGCTTTTGCTTCGCGGGAGTTTTTATATCTTGCATGGTTCTGATTCATCCAATCTTCACTGCCCGAAAATACATTGATCGCTTGAACATCCTTTAAGTTGCCTTCTAAGTATTGGGAAACCTGTGTTCCTAAAGTCAAAGTGACCAAAAGTCCGCGGCCTGCTACTTCCTCTGCATTACTAATCTTTACACCATCGAAATAATCAGTGGAATCTGCCGACTTTTCATCAGCATTGCTGTCATCCTCAACGTCACCAGGAGCGATATCATTAAAAATGAGCTTGTCGTCACTAATAGTAGGATCCTCGAGTAAGGATTTGATTATGAATTTCGCTTTCTTCACTATTGCTCTTGACAAAGGATGATTACTGGCAGAAGCAACTCGTCCAAGGATTTTCCAGATAGCGATCTTCTTCTTTGTAGTGAGTTCAACATCACTTTGCTCCTTCATAGAGATAGAAGTCCAAGCATGTGTTACTACAGGTTTACCCAAAGTCAGTGTTCCAGTCTTGTCAAATGCTATGGTTGTTAATTTACTGGCCATTTCCAAAGCATTACCACCTCCCTTTACCAAAATACCGTTCTTTGCTGCGACACCAGTGCCCACCATAACGGCTGCAGCGGCGAGTAAGAAATAGATACTATTAGAAAATGCAATATACTTATAACACTGGGTACTGTCCGGTTTTGCTTACCTGTTGGACTTGCTAAGCCTAAACCACATGGGCAGGCAATTACAAGAACAGTAACTGCGAGCAGAAGCGAAAAAATTGTTTTGTTTTCACCCATAGGTAACCATTCGTCAGGATATAAGTTCTTCAAACTGACTACTTCCCATATTATAAATGTGATTATAGCCAAAGCTATAACGACAGGTACAAAGACACTTGATATCTTATCCGCAAGATGCTCAATAGGCGCTTTGGGAGAGGACTGTGCATCCTGAACTAGCTGTATAATACGTGAGAGTGTAGTATCTGAGCCCACACGCATAGCCCGAAAATATATGGGGGCACTTAGATTGATAGTTGCGCAAATTACACGGTCTCCAGGCTTTTTTGCAATAGGAAGAGATTCACCAGTGATCATCGATTCATCTGCATTTGAAGTCCCTCTCCAAACCTTACCATCACAGGGTATACGTTCGCCAGCCTTGACCTTAAGTATATCACCGACTGTAACAAAAAAAAATTAACGGTTGAAATAGGATGTGATAAGAAAAGAGTTAGAGGAGCTTATTGAATTGGCAGCATTATTGTCAAAAGCAGTTCTTCTTACCTTGTATATCTGTGGAGTCAATCTCCCTTTCAACATAAGAATCTTGGTTAATCTCCTCGGTAAAGGTTTCATTCAAGTCTGTCTCTTTCTTGAACTCAATCAGTACAGCCTTATCCGGCTGTAAGTCCATTAGCTTGCTAATTGTTTCCGCCGTTTTGCCTTTAGCCAGCGCTTCCAACCATTTACCGAAATGTATGAATGTAATAAGTAAAACGGAAGTTTCGAAATAGTTCATGGTCATGGACATAGATCGGCGAACCATAGCAGCAATTACCGAAGCTACCGAAGCTAAGTACGCAACTGTTGTTCCCATGGCTACTAACGTCTCCATATTGGCAGAATGTGAATAAACCAAAGATTTGTATGCCTTGACATAAAATGGTAAGCCTAACCAGAACTGAACTGGAGTTGACAGTATGAATAGAATGAGATCACCAATGGATAACCCGCTGGTAATCTCTTTAGTAAAAGCACGATGAACAGGTGAAGATGGCGGCAAAGCCATCATGAAGATCATGGAGATAAGGACAACAGGTACGGCAAAGAGAAGAGACCATAGAAACCGCTTTTGAAGGACCTTTAATTCTTGATTCATTGTATTACGCATTGCTTCTCTTTGTTCAGTAAGCGATGCATTTTGTGCGCTTTGAGTAAGTTCAGCTTTATAGCCTAATTGTTCGATCATTTGAGCCAACACACGGGAGCCGACAATAGTAGAGTCATATTTGATAATAGCTAGTTTTGTAAGGAGGTTGACTTGGCAACTTATTACACCTGGCTGCTTCATTAAATTTCGTTCGATAGTGGCAACGCAAGAGGCACATGTCATCCCAGTAACATTTAGGTAAGCTGTAGAGTGCTCTTCATCATCCGAGTTTGAAATACTTGCTGCATCATTCGATTTACTGATCAGCTTGGTTATCTTTATGCTCTCCGTTGAAAGCCCTACTTGTAGGACACTTTGCTGAATTCTTTGGCGTGAAATATAGTCGCCAGTAAATTCAAAGCTTGATTGGCCAGATTTCAAATCGATGACAATGGTATCTGATTTTATTCCGTGCAATGTGCTGAAAGAGTTATGGAGCTTTTGTACACATTCAGCACAATGCATGCCACTGACAACCACTTCGGCTTTATAGACATCGTTTCCGGCTTTTGCTGATTTAGTAGGCTGAGTTGCTTCTGACAAAAAGACAACATTACTGGCCGAATAACCCATTTTTTCTACTGCTTTGATTATAGTCTGTTCGTCCAAGTTGCCACCCTCAACTGAAAGTGTGGCATTTCGTGTTAAAAGATTGACTTTGGTTGATGAGGGAACAACACCAGGAAGTTTTGCAAGCCCCTGCTCGACTGTTCTGACACAGCTTGAACATGTCATTCCTCCAATTTGTAGGCTCACTTTATGCGGAACGGCAACTACTTCTACTTGACCGATCGACACGGATTCTAACGAGGAATCCATTTTATAATTCTTCTCACATTTCTCGTCTTCGAGCCCTAACACAGCCGGTGATTTCAAATTACGTATAATCTGGATATTTTCAACAGAAAACCCTTTTGTTTCAATAACGTCACGAATTTTTTCCACATCTGGCTTTGTTGTTATGAATGTGGCCATTTCCGTTTGTAAACCAACAAATATAGAATGCGGCAACACGTGAGGCAAATCATTCTCCAAAGCTTCTGTCACAGATTTCACGCAGGATTTGCAAGTCATGCCAATGACTCGCATAACGACTTTGCGCTGTTCGTTTTCATCGTCTAAAAGCGTTTCACCAGTTACAACTTCCTCGAGAGTCTCACATGATGAATTACTGCTGGGCTCTTTCGTGTAAATTCCTTTTGTTATTTTTGGCCTTCCCACCATATCATAACCAAGATCTTCAATGAGACGCCTTAACATCTTCTCATTGATCGCTTCATCTTCGTAGGAGAAAGAACATTTCTGAGTTTTTTCGTTCACAATAACTGAATCGCGTAACACGCCCGGTAAACTCTGTATAGCTGAGGTAACAGTTCTCGAACAATGCTGACATGTTAGACCTGATAAGTAGACCTCGATACTTTTTATATTTGTGAGGGTATCATTATCAGAAACCATTTTCGGAGGAGAGTTCGCTTCAGTAGAGTTGAATTCTTCACCAACCATATAACCTAGATCTTCAATTAGTTCAGTTACTTTGGTCAAATTGAATGATTCGCGTGGAACGGTGAGGCTCATTTGTGCTTGAGCTTTCTCTAACGAAACATGGACGCTTTCAGGATCTATTTCTGGTACTTGTTTCAATGCATTTGTTATTGTATTTGTGCAGTGAGAACATGTCATTCCATCAATTGGTATTGTAATTATGTCTGCTTCAGCGTTGGTCGCACTGTCTGTTATGGGTATGAATTGAAATTCTCCACAGTCATATCCTGCTTCCTCTACGGCCTCAGAGATTTTATGCAGTAGTTCAAGTTTCCGGCTCATATCCTCAATAGTGAAGGTAGCTTCTTCTTGTTTCAAATTTACTCGGACTGAAGCGCCTTTCACTTCAGGTACCTGTTGTAAAGCCTTCGTTACAGAGCGAACACAATGCTAAGTGTATGATGATTTAGTAAGCTTGCACTGATATCAAAGCTATAATACCCAAATTGTAAGACTTACTTCACATGTCATGTTCATTATCTTGACCTTGACCGTAACTTCTGTCATTTTCTTTTTGGTTTAACTTTTTTCTGAGAGGCGTGGCGGAAAGAACTGTTGGATCGTGCAATTTCCAATTTGCTTTTATATAGATTCTCTATCCCTCATTTTAATTGGCCCAACTCCCGATCACTTTCTGCGCTTGAAACAGTCAGCTTCTGCAAGCGATCAGCAGAAATTGCTCATTTGGGTCATGGTCGTACAAAAAACCGAATCATAGCGTTTAATTTCTTGCTTACAAGGCTTCAAATTGTCGAAGCTAATTTTGCTTAAAAACAACGTATGACATCCTCTGTGACCGTTTATGTATTCAATGGTACGATCAAGCCATACCATCTTTTTGTAGATTATTTCTATAAAACTATCATTCTAGCTCTGGAAATATAGATCATTTGCATCCCTGACGAGCAATTATAGCTCTACTACTTTTTAAATGTGGCATTATTGTTGCTGAATTGTTGGCACTCATCTAATATCATTTATTCGTTTGTAAAGAAACAGATGCAACAGACTTTCTGATTCTCTCCACTTATTATGTAGAAATTAACTCCCGCATTAAAGTTCGAAAAAGTAAAACCCATGTTCCTTCAAATAAAAAACAGTTTTGAGCGCGAAAAGGCTTTTTTTTTTTGTAACAGTCCTTACATTAACAAATTGAATGTCTTCATTACGTTCGTTTGGCATCGTGGCAGCTCGCTTAAGCGCAAGTCAAGGTGCACGTCCCTTATTGCGCTCTAATGTGCGCTTGGCCACAGTTGCTCGTCGGCATTATGCAGTCCAACCTACACCGCCAGGCAAAGGTGGTTTCAGCCCTCTTTTATGGATTGGTAAATGAACCAAAACGTACCTTAAGAAAATTCTTTCGTAGTTATACTTTCACTGACATAAAGTTATTCGACGTCAAAAAGGTTGCACCTCTCTAGGCGCAGCTTACACCTATTATCAGAAGAAGAGAGCTGATAAGATTGACAAAAAATTGAAGAGCACTACTGAAGAAGAGTCTGAGGAGGCGAAAACATCTGAAGAACCCCAAATAACAGAGAAGAATGCAGGCAGTCTTCCAAAGAACAAAGCTGATGACAGTAAAAAGACAGCGTCAGAAAAGGAAATAGATTACCAGTCAGTTTACAATGATATTGCTGAACTCTTAGATTCCAACGAAGAGTAGGTAGCTAATACATCATACATATGCGTTGGCGATGCATTATTAAGGGATAATTTTTGAAAGATATGATGATGGATCATATGGTCCCGTTTTACTACGTCTTGCTTGGCATTCATCCGGTACCTACGATGCTGCGGACGGCTCTGGTGGCAGCAATGGTGGAACCATGCGTTTTAAAGCCGAAGCAGCGCATAGCGCGAACAATGGTCTGGAAGTCGCCCGTAATTTACTTGAAGAGCATATCAAACCTAAATATCCTGAATTAAGTTATGGTGATATGTATACACTTGCTGGTGTTGTAGCAATACAAGAGCTTGTAGGTTGAGCCGTGAATTTATGATTGATTAAATTTCAGTATTGATCCCATATTGATTTTCTTCTTTTTTTCAGGGTGGACCGAATATCAAATGGAGACCTGGTCGTAGAGATCAGTTTGAAAACAAATGTACCCCTGACGGTCGTCTTCCTGACGGTGCGAAGTTGGCTGATCACGTTCGTGAAATTTTTTATCGCATGGTACGACATTAGTTAAAAATGAAGGAGGATTCCAGCTAAGATATTTTGTTATTTAGGGTTTCAATGATCGCGAAATTGTTGCTTTAACAGGTGGTCATTCCTTGGGTAGATGTCATTTGGAGCGTAGTGGTTTCGATGGTCCTTGGCAAGAAGCCCCCACTTTCTTTTCTAATGAATATTTCAAAGCTATTACAACGCGTGAATGGGTAAAAAAGGACTTACCGAATGGAAAATGGCAATGGGTAGATAAAAACAATCCAACTGTAATGATGTTACCTATTGAAATTGCTATGTTAGAAGACGAAAAGTTCAAACCCTACTTCGAATTATACGCCAAGGACACCGCAAAATTCTTCCAAGATTTTGCCGATGCTTTTAAGAAACTGATCGAGTTAGGCGTTCCCTTTACTGGAGAAGAGAAAGAGTACATCTTTGAAAGAGTCAATATGTAGCATTTAATTTAGATGGAACAATATATGAAAAAAAAAATAATAATTCTGAAAAATGTTGTTATAACATGCAGTAAGCGTATGTCTTTTTGGATGCCATAATTGAAGGTTTGGTTAGGATAAATCGCCTAGATACAATTTTTGAAAGTTATCTACGTCAACTGTACAGTACTCTTTATTATGCTTAATTATTTTGCACACCTGAGATCAACTCCTATTCTTGAGATACCTAATCGACATTATGAGCTACTTCAAATCACGTGACGGAGTTCTACTTATTACCACGAATATTATTTATTGTTTCGCCAAAAGCAAAAGCTTCTATGGCGCAATTGGCTAGCGCGTCTGACTGTTAATCAGGAGGTTGGTGGTTCGAGCCCACCTAGGAGCGCTTTATTTTTTTTCCCTGGTGCAAAAGTGTATTTTTTTTTATCTTTTTCATATTTTTGCGTTTTACAGTGTTGTCGTGCCTACGAGGATAGCTTCTTTAATTAAGTTCTTATTTTCTTATTTTATCGCTACAATCCCTTTTTTTCAAGAGAGAAAAAAAGCTTGACCTTTATCTTTATTTTATATTATACTAATATATTGTTACATAAGGTTACTAACTAGTACCACCTTTTTGAGGGACGACAATAGCTCTTATATAAAAGGTCTTCTTTCTGTTTATCACTTTGACTATTATCCTTAAAGGGAAAAAAAAAAATATCTTCTATATTTCATGTTATTGGTCCTTTTATACAATTTGCAATGTCACATAAGCTTATTAATCTGTATTTCATTTTGTCATAGCTCACGGTAAGGTATTTTTGCGACATCATAATAAATTATAAGCCGCTGTTCGCTTTACAAGGCTAATATATAACTTTCAAAAGTGTTTTGATTGCTTTTACTGTACGGAGTCTTCTTCCAGTCTTTCGGCCTGTAACAGTTGATCTTACGGTAAAGATGTATAACTGTGAATCTCGATGATAATCATATAGCTATTAATTCTGAGAACAAATGCTAAATGATTATATTCAGATTATATTTGATATAATTACTGAACTTGTGAATTTTCTCAATATAGTTAGTGTTTGCAGAATGAAATGAACTGGTGGGTAATGCTTTAGCGCTATTAAACGTAAAGTTGACCTACAGTAACTACTATAGTTCCAGGGAACGATAAAATGCTCCCATGTAATAAAATAGAGGTTATATACCGTTTTGAAGGTATAACATTTAGGGGGGAAAGGAATACTTTTATGAATAAGTATCTCGCAATCACATATATCCAGATAAGAATGTTGCATAGCATACTACATCTGATTCTTAAGTTAATCAAAGCGTTGCTACCTAGTCGGACACTCATCGATTTTCCGTTTTATATGGAATCTTTAAAATAACAATTTATAATTACAATATTACTAATTTTACGTATAATGGTTAGTCAATCATCAATAATAAAAGGATGATGTTCATTTATCTTAAGATATGACTTTTCTTGGGACGATAGCTCCTATTCTTCGGATTTTTACGTGTAACACAAATAATCATGAATTGAAAGTAAACCCAGTCCCTATCCGCCTTTCATCAACAACTTTACGTGTTATAGTAAGTAATAGAACAGCGTGTTGATAACTGACTTTCGTGCCTTTGTATTTGCCCGAATCAATAAATTGATCTATCTCATTGTTTGTCTGCTGGAATCGATACTTTTGCCTCATATACGCTCCAGAATAAACAATTAATCAAGAATTATTATAAGCTACAGCTCAAAAAAAAAAAACTTATAAAAGGCGTCCTTCTTCTTTCTTTTACATCTAACATTTAACATTGAATATGACGTGAGAAACATTATCCTAACTTGGATTGTTCCATAAGAGTGTGTTCGCAGAATTGCGTACACTATTTTATTCAGTATAAAATCTCCAACTGTGCAGGCCTCGCCTTCAATGAAGAAGGGTTTCGAACCAGTACTATCATTTTTAATGTGCGTTTTTGTCTAACAAAGGTAAATGTTAGTCTGGAAAGAAATTGTATGGACAAAACTTTGTAGACTTACAAGGTGTCTATTTTTTGAAGCCTCTGTAAGCCTGCGATTGTACAGGCTCCCAAACCGAAACCGTGACCTAACGTCAAAGAAAAATCTCCATTTGTAACATAACCAATTTGTTCAGCTTTATCTGGTAGATAAGTTGCCTTTTTGTTCGTGGCAAGTACAGGTGTACCAAATTAGAACCCAAGTAACAAGCAAATTTATCAGATTTTCTAGACATTTACCTTATATTTATCAACTATACCATCCGAAAACACTTCGGCTTTTCGTTTACTGTGTGTTTTTGGCAATTTTTGTCTTAAGGCGACTGTATATTGGTCGTATAAGTTTATATCCTCCAATGAATAAATCATACTATTCATTACTGGTTTGCCTCGGTCAATATACTTTAAGCGAACTTTGACCAGGGTGTCAGCTAATGAAATATCCTGTTCTGTTATACGAATGCCACGCTTTTTTTGCAACTTTGTTAGTTCGTCCAAAAAATTCCCCGATGATAATAGTGGTATAATTAATGCTGGGCCTTGTAAAATGGAATAGGTTGGTCTCGTTGGTAAATTGTTTTCCACATCTAATTGCATATGCTCCGTAGTGGATAATGTTTCAAAAGCACATTCAAACGGATGATCAACACCACGCTTTTTAAAATTGACTCGTTTGGCAGGAGGTTTCTTCTGCCAAACAGCCTCGAGTTTTTCTTTGAACAAACAACGATGTCCTTCAAAAGCTCGCGTTCCAGGATAATCCTGAGGAAAACAAGGATAACCACTTTCAAAATGCATAGATCGTACATCATCATATCCTGCTACTCGAGCACCTGCAAAGACAAATGATTTCCAGAAAGGTAGTCCAAAACCTTTAGGGATAATAATTGTCCAACCCTCTACCAATTCTTGAGATGAAAGAGGCTTCTGACTGAACCCAGCTTTATCATTTGAGGGACTACCCCGTTGAATTAGAAGAACAGGTATCTTGCTATCCTCAGAAGTCGGTTGAAGTTTAGTACCGGGAATAAGATTATTTTGTCGTCGTAGGTTTAAACCATATTCAGGTATTTTCTTTTCTAAGAGTGATTTGCGTAGATCTTCGTCCCAAATACAAGTTTCTGCAGCATCCGCTGGCCAGTTTTCTATCAGTTTTTGGACTTCTTTCTGCTCGTCTAGTGTAATTTCATTTGTGCGCGGAGGCACCTTTTGAGGAAATCTATTGACATTGTTAGCAATACATACGCGTACGTTAAAACTACTCTTGTATTACCTTAAACGAGGATCGTTAACTATCAGGCCAATTACAGTGCCGGGTGATAAGGAACAGGATGATCGTAACTGATGCAGATTTTTCCATATCTGATTGCCATTAATAGTCCCATCCTGAATTGGATCAAGAATAGCTTGTAACAAAGCTGTTGAGCGAGGCCCAGTTAATTCAAATCTTAGAACTTCATCACGTAAATCCCTCAACTGAATTGAAGTGGCTTTCTGCTCTTTAATGGCTTTCTTGAGGAACACAAGCGCCTCAGTTATAGCAGAAGGATGAATCCATAGCCATATTGTATCTTGTGAATTGAATTTCCACAAAAATGATATTGGGCAAATAAGCTTAGTAGGGTATCCAAGGTATTCGTACAGGTGCGTTGTACCACAGCGATTGCCTTTAATGTATCTAAGTTACAGTTATCGTAAGCGTGTCAATCATATCACATATCTTTCGCTGACTTTCTGTCTAACCTTTCACTTCCTACGGATGGTAATCCCAAGTCCGTCATAGTGTTCATAACTTTGACAATTTCCTCTTTAACGCCACTCAATTCAATGCATGCCATGTAAGAAGCATCATGTATGATGGAAAGCCGTGTAAAAGATCTATAAATGGTTCGGACAGATTTTGTGTTTGGTCGAGAGGCTATTCTGTAACCCCAAATATCGTTCATTTTCATTCTTTTCGTGTGCCATATGTGCGTTTCCAACCATTTTTTTGATTCTATCAAAAGCAATCCATGATTAGTCTGAGGCTTGGAAAACTAAAATTACCAAACATACTTTGACGTCTCAGAAATTCTTCTACAGTGTTTTTTGGAGTTTTGATCTTCTTGATCTTTTTCCTTATAAGTTTGGAATTGGGGGCCGAGCTATATGCCTAACATTGATAGAATTAACAAAAATTTGACAGCTAGTGAATTATGTATAATACTTACTTCTTTAGCAGCCTTAGCCCTTAACCTAGCAGGAAGTCGGTTGATATTATGGCTGGCGGCACGACGTCGAAGACCTCTGGGCAGAGACTGGAAAGCCAATTCATTAAGTGCATAACTAAGTCAAGTATGGTATCTTAGTAAATAAAATCCAAAATACATCCAAGAAACGGAGGCTCTACCTAGCCTTTTTTATTGCTGCTTGCATATCATTTATTTCCAATATACGTGCTAAAGCGTATCGATCTGCATCTATTGGCCCCGTTACTCGTGGAATATCGATTGCTGGCAACACAGGTTAGAAAATAGAAACCAGTAATACAATGATTCATAGCATATCTTACCTAGCGAATTATCTGTTTTATGATGAGAGCCGATCTGTCTTATTGATCTATTTCGCTCTATACGAAACCAAAAATGTTACAGCGTTTTGAGTTTTTCGCTCATTCTACTTATTGTCATGAACAGCTTACCTTTACGCTTCTGTCTTCCGCTTATATTATTACTGGAAGATTCGCTAGCCATATTAGACACTAATTTGTCTGCATTCATACTTTAATGCTAGATTGTATATGCAATGGTCGAACGCAGATCTACTCGTAACTTTCTTTTTCAATTGGAGTCACGACTGTCAAGCCAAGGTTAATCAATCGCCTCTTCGATTGGCTGAAAATGCCTTGTTCACATTGCACATATTGATTGGCTAAACCTGATTTTTTTTAATTTCAATTTTCATGTCTATAAAAAGGTTTAAAATTCGATTTGATCATTTCCCTCATTGCATTCTGTTAGCCTTCTATTAGAAAGAAGGAAATACACATATAAAGTGGAACTAATATGTCACTTCTTCAATTATTTATTATTCTAATTACTACCAGCATTGCAATTGTAAACAGCACCTTCATTATGACATGTTGCTTCTGAAAGTCATCGATTGCTAAAAGTCAGGGTTTCTGTTTTGTCTATTTTCTTAGCTTCTTGGTTTTCTGCTATTCTGTTCACCAAAACCGAGAGCAAGAACAGAAAACGAAAAATATTACAAAATTGCTTCATCAAACAGAAAAGTGCTAGCACCGAGCATCTTTGACAGCCCTTGTGTAAAACTGTCTTGCATTGTACCAGCCTTTGACGAAAGTAAACGTTTGCCTTCCATGCTAAAGGAAACTGTAGATTTCCTTGAAAGTCAAAAACGTATAGATTCCACCAACAGTTACGAGATCATAATTGTTGACGATGGCAGCAGGGATAATACCATTGACGTCGTCTTGAAGTTCGCTAAGGATGTGCCTGAAGCTGACATCCGTATTCTTGCTCTGGATAAGAATAGAGGCAAAGGCGGTGCTGTTACTCAGGTAACCTAATAAACTTTACCCGATTATTGTAATAATACTCATACAGAGTGATTTTTTCAACATACATTAGGGAATGCTTTGTGCTCGCGGGCAGTTGTGCTTAATGGTTGATGCTGATGGCGCTACGCAGTTTTCGGATCTCAGTCAGCTTTTACGCGAAATTGATCGTATTAAGGATGAAGATAAAGCCGTTGTAATCGGGTCGCGATCTCATCTTGTTACTACTGATGCCGTTGTCAAAGTTAGTATGAGATAACTCTCCATATTATGAATTAAGAAGTATGTTCTAATTGGAATTCTTCTGCTTTCACGTCTATCCCAATTGTAGAGATCTTTTATAAGAAATCTTTTGATGCGTGGCTTTCATTTATTGGTGTACATATTTGGCATACGTGGAATTGAAGATACCCAGTGTGGCTTCAAACTGTTTACAAGAAAATCAGCACAAATCATATTCCCAAACATGCATGTTGAAAGATGGATTTTTGACATTGAATGCCTTATGATCGCACAAATTCAAAAGATGCCTATTTCGGAAATTCAAGTGACCTGGCATGAAATCGATGGATCCAAGGTTAATTTGATGGTGGACTCAATGAAGATGGCTATTGATTTGTTATTAATTAGGCTTAATTACGTTTTTGGTTTTTGGACAGTCAATACGAGGAAATGATACTCGTCTCGTTTACAATTAGCAGTTATACTATATCTTTATTACTTATAATTATTGTAAATTTATGTTTATATCTTCGGCATCTGTATATCTGTTTTTTAGAATGAACTCTGCATTTAATAAATCGTTGTTGTTGTACCGTTTGATACCATCCTCCACTGATTTTTCAATGCCACTCTCGTAATGCCGGTTGCCTACTCTTCTCCGTGCTTCTTCCAAGTCTACAGGAATAAACCATTTTTCGTCTAACAGAAGAGGTATTTGCTCCCAGGGTTCAGGACTCTTCAGATGTAAGTAAATACCTTCTATGATTACAATTCTATGATTTGGTTTTATACATATGCCATCTTTAACGGGATCTCCAATTTTATGGTCGAAAGTCGGTGCCATTATGGTCTTGGTAGTATCAGCTTTCAAGGATTTGATAAGTTGAATAATGCCTTCGGGATCAAACGTCCAATGTACACCTCTACGAAGATAAGCCTCTTCCCGGTTGCTCATTTTGTCTAAAGCTGCTTTTGGCAGATGAAAGCCGTCCATGGATATAGCTACCACAGTGTCTCCCGGATGATGTTTGTTGAAATCTTCAACAAACTTATTTACGAACGTAGTTTTGCCAGACCCAGGTACACCACTTACGCCAATGATATATCGTTGGTTTTCATCTAGTTTATCAAGGATTGTCTCTAGCTTTTTGGAAAGTCGAAGCACTTCTTGGTTCATTGATTACTTTGTTTGCGGATTGAAAGAACTGATAGAGAGAGAGAGAAAAGAAAACAAAAATAAAACGAAGGTCTTAACATTTTCAGCATTCAAAGTGGCTGCATGAATTCTGTGTCTTTAGAAGAAAATGCGGGACGGAAAGGGGATGGAAAAAAGGAACCCTCAGAATAAAACGGAAAATGATCCAAATTACGAACTTCTTTACTTTTCGAAGCATTCAGCATATTTCCAGTTATGGCAGCTGTGATAAGTGCCATAGACAAACAGTCAGTTCATAGAATATGCTCAGGGCAAGTAGTACTTGATCTAGCTACAGCTGTCAAGGAGTTGGTCGAAAACAGTATTGATGCTGGTGCAACTTCAGTTGGTACACTTCTTTAAAATACATTCGCGTACCTGGAGACAGACCTTGAGGTTAATACGGTATTTGTTATTTCGCAATAGCTGTAAACTTCAAAGACAATGGTCTTGAAGGTTTTGAAGTTATCGATGATGGTCAGGGTGTCGATCCTGTCAATTACGAATCGATTGGTATTAATGATTGAACAAGTCGAGATTTTTGATCGATTAAGTTTTTTGTCTAATTGGGTTATCGTGTAGCTTTGAAGCATTATACTTCTAAACTGAGTACTTTTGAAGATTTAGAAAGCGTTATGACTTTCGGGTTCCGTGGTGAGGCTTTAAGTTCCTTGTGTGCACTATGCAATATTACTATAATTACTGCTACAAAAGATCAAGTACCCATGGGCAGCAAATTAGAATTTGATCACAACGGAAAATTAATTTCTAAAACACCTGCACCAAGAACAGTAAGGATTTAAAAAAAAGTAGCTTATCGTTCCATAGGCTAATATCATGTAACGATTGCTTAGATGGGAACAACAGTTCAATTGTCTAATATTTTCCAAACCCTACCAGTTCGGCTTCAAGAGTTTAAACGGAATATCAAAAGAGAGTACAACAAAGCATTGACTATATTGCAGGCATATTCAATTATATCCACCAATATCCGTATATCGGTATCAAACCAGTCTGGAAAAAGGTATATATATATCTTAGGCGTTAAAGCCTTTAAACGGGGGTTTTTTTTATAGATATTCAACCATAGTTATTCCAGACCTAGTATAAAAGTGATTTCCACAAGCGGCAACAAGGAAGTTACAGCTAATATTTCGAATATATTTGGCACAAAACTGACCTCTCAGATTATGCCATTCAAAATCAACCTTACTTCCATTTTCGACAAAGGGGCAGTGGAAGGCTACATATCAAAACCCGAATGGGGGATTGGAAGAAATAGTTCAGACAGACAATATTTCTATGTGAATGGAAGACCGTGTATGTTACCCAAGGTACGAAAAGCCATAGTTTTGTAATAATCATTGTTAAAATGTTTGTTCTTATAATCGCGTATTATGGCAGATGGCAAAGACATTAAACGAGATTTACCGCACATACATTTCAAATCAGTATCCAGTTTTGATTGTCAATTTCAAAATACCTACGAACGCCTATGATGTAAACGTGAGCCCAGATAAACGAACTATCTTCATCCACGAAGAAAATAGAATTGTACAGTGTATAATGGAACAGCTTCAAGAACAATTAGAACCTAGCAGATCTACTTTTCAAATGAATGCGCTTTCACCGTCGAAAATAACGCTTAATATTGATTCTACTCCAACGAATATGCAAGAAACTACCCCATCCGACAACGTACTGTCAAACCCAGAAGCATCCTCCTCACCATCGAACAATAGAACATTACCGACGACTCCATCCAGTAGTTCTGATTCGGTGAAACCATTTGCATTGGAAAATACAGCTCTACATAAGGCATCCTTTAATTCTTTGAAACGGCCACTGAATTCACCAACGAAAAATATACTTTCAAACTATGTATATAAAAAACCCAGGTTAGAAGTAAACTCTCCATCCGTTTCGTCACTCGCTAGTGATAGTTTGCATGCAGAGCAGCGGAACATATCAGTGTCCGTTAAAGCGACGGATTCACGAGAATTTGGCTCTTCAGAAATTACTGCAACAGATAGCGAATGCAACAATTCTGAAATTGCAACAGCTATGACAGAACCTGAGATAAACACTTTAAAGGCAGAAGAAGATAATGTCAAAGAGTATGTTGAAACTGTTGTTCAAATCAAATCATACAGTGGGTTATGGAAAACCCTAGGCCGTTTACGAACCATAAAACCTACCAACTTGAACAATTTTCTCCAGCTTCATCGTCAACAATCCCTAAATGAAGACCGTCAAACTTATGGCGACGACAACATTGATAAGTCTATGAACACGACTTTAAAAAATGCAGGCATCAAAAATACAGACCATAACGAAAGAGCCACGAAAGCACTTAGTCGTGTCATTACCAAGTCAGACTTCGCGGAAATGAAAATATTGGGCCAGTTCAATTTAGGTTTTATTTTGACATCTCTGAAAGATAAGGATCTCTATATTATCGATCAGCACGCATCGGATGAGAAGTATAATTTTGAGACTTTACAACAAACCACACAAATTGAGGGACAGAAGTTAATAAGGTAATAGCACTTCTATACCGCATCGTCAAATTCAAACTGAATCGTTAATGGCTAACCTCTTTCTGAAGCCCGCCTGTTTTAGATCTCACAGTTGCAGAAGAGCATATTGTGATGGATAATCTGGAGATTTTCAAGGCCAATGGATTTGAGGTTGAAGTACTATCAGAGAATGAACCAACACAACGCATTTGTGTACTATCTCAACCTGTCAGTAAAAATACAATGTTTGACAAAAAGGATTTCAGCGAGATAATCCATCTTATAAATGAACGTCCAGGGGAAATGGTTCGTTGTAGCCGTAACAGAGCTATGTTTGCGTCCAGGGCATGTCATAGGGCAACGCGTATTGGTGATGTATTAACTAAACGACAAATGACAACGGTAAAGTTTTTTTTTACTTCTCCAATATAAGGTACAACAATTTTAATGCGTTTTTAATAGATCATTCGTCATATGGGAGAGATTGAGCAACCTTGGGTAAGTGAATATTTTCTTTTGCTTTGTTTTTTTTTCTCATTTGGCATTAATTCATGTCCCTTTCGGCCATTAGAATTGCCCACACGGCCGTCCAACCATGCGTCATTTGTTAAATCTTTCTGAATATAGACAAGTGAAACCAAAACATCAAAAAAGACCCTTGGCCTTTTCCGGTACACTTTTTAATGCTTAATACCCACCGTTTTGCCAAAAAACCGACTTTTCCTTTAACTGTCGGTAAGCTGCTGATGGTGCATTCAACGCGGAATAAACATCGTCTATTCCCGGCTCTTTCATCAACGATAAAGCAGCAACTCCCATATATGCATGCAACAAATCTGTGTAGACATCCATTAGAATAAATTATACCGGCTGCATTATTCAAACTGCTGCTACCTTGATATTTTACCTGGAAACGAATCTGGATCTTTGCCAAACCCACCTATTTTGTGTTGGCATTCTAGCAAAAATGCTTTTAGTTCTTGACAATTGACCAATGTAAATGATTCTAGTATGTCCAACGAGGCACCTATCCAGAATCCATAACACACGTCAGGGGATTTGTTGGGTCTGCCTTGAAATCCACTCACTTGACGCTGTAGGCACCATTCAATCAGTTTATCCTTATCCACAAGTCCTTCCTTTAATTTATTCATTAGCGCGAGTGCTGCTACACCGCAGAATGTCGAGCCCCCATGAGCCTCTTGATTCGGACATTGAGCTATAGCATATTCATAAGACTGAATATTCTGTTAATGGCAGTTAAAGACCTCGGCCTAACTATATTCTGTAATTCAATTCACCTGCAGCCTTTTAATATGGTCTGTTGTTCGTTCAATGTCAATACCTGACCAATCATTTAGAATAAAGGATACTGCACAAGCACAAAAGATAAATCTAACATCTATCTCTAGACTTCCATACGTAGGTGCTACACTGTATGATCAAAATCAGAATAAAGAACAAAGAAAAAGATAGTTTTGCCTCTACATACCTGCCATCCTCTTGTTGCAGCTTTCTAATTGTTTTAATGATTGCTTGTCTATTGACACGTGATAGGTCATCTCCCAATAATAACAAATTCAATAAAGCAGTATATGTATTTGCTATATGACTGGAATCGTAATGCTGAAAACTACATGTTGTCTAAGAAGTCATTAATCAATATCTTTCAATTCTTAATTTTTTCCTTGAAATGACAAGTCTTACAGCTGTAGGCTCAAATTTTCTTCCAGACCACGACGAACCACGGAAACCACAGTACGCCTCATTTGGATCAGGTATTTGTCCCGTTGGTAAAACTTGTTGAGCATAGATCCAGTCAATCCAATCTTTTTTATTTTCGGTTGTTACTTGTTCATCTAGCTCTCCTAATAAACTCAAAGCACCTAAACAAAAAAAAGCCAGAGTCATTCTATCGTCGTCGGAAAGGATTAGCCCACTACTCATCCTGTTAGCTAAACATTTTAATACGAAGTACCTATTCGTTTCGGTTCCTGTATAGACGGAAGGTAACATAGACAAGTTGGCCTTGAAGTATTTCACAAGTTTTTCTTTCGAAATCTCTGCCATTCTGGCTGCTCAGAGTACTGGACTGTGAAGATCACAGATAGGCAAGTCGCCAAGTTCTGACATAGAGAAGAATACTGCGGCATTAGAAACCACACATGAGGGGGGAAAAGCTGGTTCCGCTTGCATAAACTGTTTTAATTTATTTCTGTTTTCGAGACAACCATACTTTCAACGATCAAACGATTCTAGACAATGGAAACAGATCAGGGGCCTTCTGTTAGCAACTCAAAAAGCTCTTTAAACTCGTAAGAGGGGTCTCTTTGGTATTTTTCAATCATTTTATGATTTGTCTTATTGAACCTATTTCTTGCAGTGAAAGGAAGAATAATATTGTTGCGGTCTTCGTTGTTCAATTCGATGTTCATAAGGGGAATGTCATAGAATGGCAATACCCTCACGGTACTGAAACTGTTCAGTTGAATATATTTTTAACGAATCAGAAAAAATTCACCATGAGTAAACATAGATATTGATTTGAAGGGCATCGAATTTCAAGCTATCTGTAGCGGTCTACATAAAATTGAGAAAGATACGGTGTAAGGGCTCAAATGGAGTACAGGAAAAGCTCGAATTTTTAGGGATCTAATACGTACTACTATAGATATTTCTATCGTGATGGTTTCTACGGTTTGAGTGTATTCAATAACTTAAAAATCAACGTAGAAAGAGGTGCATATATGAAAGCAGTTGGTATACTAGTGAGGCCCTCAGAGGATACAGTTCTGGGTGACGTTTGGAGCCACGAACCATTTTTGCAAGGTGAAATAAGGTACCTATGCATTATATAGGACTGTGATTGTAGAAGCACTCATATTATTCGTTTTTAACTTAACGGCTTCCAGTAAACACATGAACATCGCTGACGCAAGCGGTCCAGATAGATATGATGCTTTGATAGAATATTATAGAAACAAAAGCCTTAATTCTAAACCTAATGTAGAGGAGAATGAATATACAACACCACTCGAGAATAATAGAATCGCTGGGGAGGCAAGCTCTTCCGTCAACTATAACTTACAGAGGAGTGTACATATCAATGACAAATTCATAAAAAGTGACCAAATGCCACTGAACAATTTGCTTGATCTTGCCGAATATCTTGGCCCTGATATATTTCAACTATGGAAAGCAGCACTTTCAAGAAAGCGGGTCATGCTGATTACAACACCTCCAATGGAAAACGCCTGCAAATATGGTAAATAAATTGATGATATATGAGTTCAAATTAATATCGTCAAAACTAATATTTAATACGTTGACAACTAGTGTATAGCATTTCTCTTTTGGGGCAGGTAACATCTCAGTTTCAGCGACAATGCACAAAGAATATAAAACCAATATTTGCGGTAGGTGTGAATGATATTCCATGTATCGAAAATATAAATGATAGCTTTATAGCATGTGAGTGAATCTATATGTCTATGCCTCACAAATTTGAGAATCTGACACAATTTTTCTTAAGGTACACCGGACTCTATATATCAAATGAAATCAAACTTATACGACGTGGGGGTCAGTTTACCTTCAGATCCGGTCTTACCGCATCTTCAATCATCGCGCACAGAGGCAAATGTCACTGGTAAATTCAGGTTCTTTTCTTCAGCAACGGCACTGGAAGCACACAATTCCGCTGATGTTGTCAGGTATCGTATTCTTTGGCAATTAACATGTCGTCAAACGAGGATAAACTGGAAGAAAATCATAGAAAAGGAGCCAAAAGATGCATTGAGCACAGTGAAGGCGATTACAACCGGCTTTTTATATTGGCTGTACGAAAATCCGAGGACAAATAATAATGCTATATTTGCTCAACCTAAACTGAGATGGTTGGAATTATTTGCAGGAACAAATCACGGAAGGGGTAATGAAAGAAACGCGGGAGCCGCAGGTGAAACAAATTTACTACTGGATGTGGACGATGATGAGGATGCAACATTGATTGATAATAGTAACTTATTGGAAGTTGTGACAAGAACTCCACAAAAGTACACTACTAAACGACACAATGAGCAGCTCATCGAGAGGTATTTAAACATCTAGACAAACAACAGAAATAAGAGGTTTCTTGATGTATTGATTAGCAATTCTATTGAGTAGATTTTTTGTAACTTTGAACACTTTATTATTGACAAAGCTTCAGTCTATATTATCCGTGAATGAAGAAAACGGATTGCAGCTTATTCCTTTATACCCAAAGGATTTGGTACAGCTTGGCTTGGATCCTATTGCAGATGCAGCATTTGTATCAGAGTTAGCACAGTTGTACTTTCAAAAGCGTGTGCATGTGTATGGTTTAAATGATATAGCTCATATCCGTTCTTGCTGCGGCTATAACTGCTACAATTGTGATCGAAACGGTGCATTACTTATTTAATATTCCTATATATATATTATGAAATAAATTGTCTACAACGCCATAAGCTGATAGCTAGGTTCAATGTTCCGGGCTGTTTTGGTAAAGCAAAAGCAACAGGTTCATTTGAAAGTATTCGTACATCGGATAACAGTTTCGCTGCAGCGTCTGTGGAACATAACTTATACATATTATAGCAGGGTATATTCTTTTGATCTCCTATTTGATGATCAAGTTCGCAAAATGGCCGTATATCGGTCTGATTGAAAGATAATATACATTGATAACCCATCGGCGCTAATTGCTTTTGTGAATCATCTACTTCCCATTTTGATTTGGATGAAGTTGGTCTGACAGTATGATAAATGTTAGATGGACATTGCTGCATCTCTGACAATGGTTGTTTGAATAACAACTGCTCAACGTGTTGTAACATATCCGTTCGATAAGTGGCAACACCTCGAAATGTTGCGTTATATGCTATTTTTGATATTTGTCAATTTTTGGAATTTGCGTATACGCAGAACAAAATGTTTCAATACCTCCTTTTTGGAGCGACTCCAATACTTCTTTTTGTAGATGGACGTAATAACCAAGCCCTTTGACTTTCTTAAACGTTGGAAATGCCCAGTACAGCTTTGTTTTAGGATGCCATCCTATACCAAAACGAAGTAATAATTCTAATGCACGCATTACTTCAGTAAAAGAGAAACATGCTGCTAATAACTTTTCAATATTTACTATTTGGAAAAATCCGACTGTAAAAACTACAACGCCGTAAAGGCGAGGCTAAAATGGCAACTGTATTCTTTTGTCAACACTGTTCTTTATTCATCAGGTGCATAAACCGTTTGAGCATACCATAGGGGCTAACAGCTAATCTTGCTTCTAGGGATGAAGACGGATGTATAGACTGAAGTCCCTGTTTAGGCTTAATTGACTTTGTTTTTTGTTTAAGAGCTTCGTTTTTCCAATCATTGATTATCGCAGAAACAGATCTTCTCGACATGACGGCAATCTCTGAAGTTATGATGCGTGGTATCCTACACTCACATACACACAGAAATCTTATTGTCTGGAATTAAAATGTTTGCCGCTGCAACTACAGACGACCAGCATCAATTTAGATTTATCCTGTTAAGCAATCTATATAAGAATGTTAAACCAAACACGACAATAGCATCCACTTTCGGGCAACTATTATTACAAGTAGCTTACTATTAACAACTGGACGTCTCACGGAATTGAAGATAGAATTCGCCAATTATTGTCATACTGATATGCTCGCAACTGGCTTATACACTTATGTTAGCATCATAAGCAACCTTGTTGTGATATTCTAAGTGGCTGAATTTCTTTCTGCCACTTCTATATACAGCTACTTTAATAGAAGTGTTTCCAAAGGTAAGTTTGTCGCACTGATGCAAATGTACTCTAAATATGTGCGCCTTACCGCATCTATTTTATCAATTATGATCAAAAGAAACTTCACGCAGGCAGCATGCTTGGAAGGTATGATTTGCGTATTTAAAAAATAAGTAAACTCTCTTCACTTTTATCGGAAGACTTGTCTCGTAATCCAATAGGTACCGCCTTCTGGATGCTATAAGAATCGGCTTTAGCCATCATTTTGCGTTTGGTAAATGCCAATAAAAAAGTATAAAGGTCAGCGAAAAGGCAAGATTCACTGAGCTTTAAAATAGAGCAGCCTAAATGCATTCAAGAATTATGTATAGCATTATAAACTAGCAACAATCGATCTCGAGTGTGCTTACCTTTAATACTTTTCTCTGTTTTCGCTTTTCCCATAGGTTCTATTTATAAGTACAACCAGTTTTGGCCACAGTAAATGAAGCCTTATAACAAGCGTTTTCTGAGACGCGCAAAACCTTAGTATAGAACCAAAGTGCCTTCCAAAATTTTGAATAAATGTTTATTTGATAGAGGATTATGTAGTGATGCGGCTTACCGCTAGTCATCAATATGGCTTTTTACCTGATTATTTTAATAAAATTGCTGTAATAGATTTGCATTCTATAATCGATATTTCCAAACAAAGACGAAGAATGTACAACAGCTCGGTAGGTTTTCTGCCATGACTCGAAGCCCGCGCGCAAAGCTGCGCGTAGCGCCATTGAATCGCCCAAAGCGCGTTTGATACAGCTCTTAACATCTTTAGTCTCACTTCTTGGTGACAGCAAGCTCAAAAAAATCAACACTTTATCACTACTCAGTTGAATACATTCGTCTTATTCTTCCTTTAGAAAGGCTTTCTTGCTTATTATTTGCTATGTTTAGTACAAAACCTAAAGATATTAGATAGGCAATTTACCTGAGCCCATTTTTATTATTTACTAACTAGATATGATGTGTTATCTTTTACACAATATCCCTCTATACGTAGAGTGTAATTAGATTGCTTCTATTAAGAAATAGGATGCTTTTCCAACGCGTAAAACACAAACTTTTCCATCAATCAAATCTGTCTCCATTACTGTCTGTTTATAATCACTAACACGCTGATTGTTGAAATAGAGACCGCCTGATTTCATTTTCTTTTGTGCATCAGCTGTAAAAGTTATATGACAACAATAAATTAAAATGACTTTGATACATCGATTTGGGAAAAGACCTCAAAATATGAACTTACATTTGGATTTCGCTGCGCTTGTTTTTGCAGCCAATCTATCTATAGAGCATCCAATAACTTCGGAACGCGGCAATCGCTTGAATCTATTATAATCATTTCTGAAGGCTTCAATAATGTGATCCCCTGATAAGTTATCCAGGCTGTCACCAAAGAGTACTTGGGTAGCTGTTTGTGCTTTTCGCAAACCCATAGCTGATAATGATAAAAAAGTAAGCCTAAATCCTCTGCCTTCCCTTTGAATAGCTCAAAGTAAACAATTAAACGTACCGCCATGAATAAGCTCGGTTGCTTCATCTGCTAATGCCTTTTGTGCCATATGTTTTTCTGGTAATCTCTAGTAATGAAAAATAATGGAAATAAATCCATGCGGCTGACAAACCACGGATAGCATCTCTAAAACTTACTTCATGTTCAACCATAATATCTTTTATTTGTTCTTTGGTTAATAGCGTGAACATTTCTAGATATTTCTTCACGTCATCATCAGTGGTCCTGATGAATGTCTATTTTATTCATGACAATGTAGATTAATAAGCGCCATTTGTGCAAACAGCTTATAATCATTAAATACCTGATAGAGATCAAACACACTGGTCATTTTTTCATCTAACCAAATAGCGTTCCCCGCTGATTTACCAAATTTCTCTCCATTAGATGTTAATAGAAGAGGGATAGTAATGCCATATGCCTTCGACTGCATACTATCTTCCACCTGATTTCCATTGCTTTCACTGCATCTCTTTCTTGCAATCATATCGATACCTGCTGTAATGTTACCCCATTGATCATTACCCCCAAGCTATGAAAAAATATACTATTTAATATTCATTGCTTGAGTCCCTTTTCAAATCGAAGCTTTAAGTTGGTGAAGAAAAAAACTCTACTTGAATTCTACATCCATGATGCTTATAAAGGTACCAAAAATCATAAGCTTGCAAAAGCTGATAAGAAAATTCTGTAAAGCTAATACCCTGTGTTGTTTCCATACGTGATTTGACACTTTCTTTTCCCAACATAGTATTCACCCGTGCATATCGACCAACATCACTGAGAAAATCGATAGCTGTCATAGAATTAAACCAATTATAATTGTTCAATACTTTGGGAGTTGTCATGCTATGATTGCTGTTCTTGAGAAAATTTCGTTTTTCAGCATAGGTGGCTCCATTTTCAAAAAACCTGTGTATTTGTGACTCTATCCCTTTTACGTTTTCATCCAAAATATCTCTCGATAGAGGAATACGTTCTGATTTTCGACCGGAGGGATCGCCAATACTGCCGGTGGCTCCCCCGACAAGAGCAATTGTTTGATGACCACGAATATGGAAATGTAGTAATCCCATAAGCGTCACAAGATTACCAAGATGTAGACTTCTAGCTGTGGGATCTACACCACAATAAATTGTGGTTGGTTCGTCTGTTGTTCGAATAATGTCGGGACTGCAAGGACATGGTAAGTTTGAAAGGCTGTTGATTCCCACTTATTAAATTGTCAAACTAAGTCAGGCACTCTATTTACCTTGTATACTTGGATACGAGCCCTCTTTCTGTCATCTCGATGACGACATTAGAGTATGTACTCAAGAGCGATTTATGTATTCTTAAACTTCTGGCACATATTGTGCCTGAAAATCGGTTAGAAAGGAACATGTGGATTTTATGCAGAATGCCGGGGTGGGGAAATCACACTCCTTAGTGCAGAACTGAGAGTATTTTGATTTTTTTAAAAAAAAAGAGGAAAAAAAAGAGAGATAAAAATAGTATGCTGCCAAGTTGATTGAAAATGTATTTAACGATCAAGAGTGTAGACAATCACAGGGTAAAGGGAAACCCTTTGAAAACCGGTCGGCTTAGAAATGTCATTGCTAAAATATAAGTTGATGATGCACCATGGGGCATGGAATGCTGTCTATGGTATACGCGTTTAAGTCACCATAATTCTTCGGTCTATTGATTCACTAATTGTTCGAAAATGCCATACAGCGCTAATCTCTCGTATGTTTCCTCATATATTATATTAGAATAAGTACTCAAATATCGTCATAAACCTCAACCGCCTTGTTCAGGAAAGCTTTATTGTGCAGCGTCTCGAAATGGAGGCTAAAATGACTGCCAGCATCCGTTAGCTGCGCAGCTTCAGTGGTATTGAATGGTTATATTGTGCTAACAAATCATTCCTCGATTTAACATCGTTCTGCTGTCATTCCTCAGTAGCCAAATATCTGCTAATGTATATAATCTATATTTTTACAGTAACTCTAGTATAAGCATATGTTTTCTGTATTTTTCTCTTTAATGTGCAAATAGAATATCAAATTCTGAGTAGAAGCGATTTTCCCCATTTGTTATATGATAACAAGGCTTCCCTTCTTTCAATATATACATCATCACAAATAACACCAAAACATAAGAAGGAGTTACCTTCTATCTGTACTGAGCAACTCTTTTTGTTGCAATGAAAAAGTAACTATTCTTGTCGAGATTCTGTATATATATTTGGCATTTATTACTACAAAAACATTAAGGTACACGAAGTGGAATCTTAAAACAGGAATTGCATGGCCTGGAATAAACTCTCTAACGCCATAGCATTCTTTATAGTCTTCTTCTCATTTATTCTTACCCTTCTAAGCCTCCTTGGTATTACATGTTGGAAGAGTTAAATAGAATGAAACGAGGGATCTGACTTTAGTACGATGCATATGTACAGCCTTTAACAATGAAGACTCCGCTAACACAATGAGCGCTTTGAAAAGCACTTCATTCATTGGTTGCATGAATGTCAGGCTGAATTTGTGGGGCTCCCTTTTGAGTAGCCTACAGTAGTGGAACAAAACACCCGCGTGACCTGTTAAAAAGAGAATGGTCGTCAATGCTAATCTCGAATTACTTCTCTTATGCTAACACAGTCTGTACCTACTTTATCAACATTTGTAAATGAACGAAAGAGGTAGCGCAACAGAAATGATAGCCATATTAGGGTCGATCAAAAAGTATACGTTGTAAATCACACTTCTCTTGCCCTTCAGTAGATTACCAAATTTTACAAACTTCTAGTCGCCAATCGCAACAAACCAAGGCTATTGAATACAGTAGTATACAATGTACACAAGACATTTGTCTTTCGGTTATAAATGCAGATAGAGCAAATAGTAAGTCTGAAAGGCAACTGATGAAAAAGCACTAAGAAACAGGAATCTCACTGATTTAAAGGATTGATACCGTCCATATCAATAGATATTCTAGTCGGTACCGCGATTGGTTCGCTTATAGCTCTATTAAGTCTCATAGTTTATTGCGTAAGAAGGAGGAAGAGAAAATTAAGAGAAGACAATAATGATGAAGAGAATAGACCATTGTTAGGCGACCCGAGTAAGAAGATGCACTTCGTAAGAAGAACATCCACCTATTATCAATGGAACAGATCGCCGCCGCCGCCTCCTACAACTAATACAACAACTTCATTCTATGAGTCCGATAAATTACAGCAACAAGAGCAACGACAGCAACAGCAACATATTTTGGGAGGACAGTATTCAGGACATTTCTGTACAGAAGGGTCCTTACTGGATCAGGAACAATCAAGTATACCAATTAGTCAATCGCCTACTGATGATGAAGATGACCTACGGCGGAAAAAGGACTGGGAAGAGAGACGTAAGGCATTATTAAAAAAATATGCTAGAAATGATCAAGATGAGGCTATCTCAGTCAATAGTAAAGGTAGTAATGAAAACAGTAATGAGTCGTGATTGTCGTATTGTTGCGTTCGGGCATAGTTGATATTCTTTGTAATGAACGTAAGCAATTAGACTTGTGTCAGTAATTGTCACGGAAAATGGAAAAGGGTGTCACTGTATATGCATAATTAAATAGTTTGAGTTCCCTTGAGGATAACTGTACCAACATATACGTAGACAACTATGTTAAACATAGTCATTTACAACTATAAATCAAGATAGTATTATCGCCCCAAATAAAGTTTCTTGTAACCCTAATAACTGTCGCTATTTATATTCAAATGATTTCTGTTCCTTGTCTAATCACATACTTCATTAACTCATCTGTTGATACTGGCAGCGGTAAGTTTGAATTGGACAAGCAGAACGTGGCAGATCGACAGATTCACTGTATACGATCTGCCTCAAGGTAAAGCCTATGTTACTATTTTATTCTACCTATGTAACAGTATATGAATTAATTCATACCATCATTAATAAAACTGAGTCATTTTTTAATTTTTTTCCTCTATTATTACAAACCGTAAGACATAACTGTAGCTTTGAGTGTTCGCTATGCATTAAACATGGTACATGCGAAGGGAGCAGTAACTGTTGAGGTTTTGCTTTCAGTAAATGTTAACCCAAGCCGTCTAAGCCGATGTGTAAATTTTCAAGATGTACGTTCCTTGATAAGTGATGTGCATTGAAATTGATAAAATTATATTACTCACGGCTTTACAAACATCAACTTACTAGTTAGTTCCCCTAAAGTCAATTTGTTTCAGTTTTCTACACCAAAACTGTCAATAATGGAACAAAAAAAGTAATTAATTGTTGTCCATCACCTGAACGAAGAAGTAGAGATCAATACCGTTTTTTCGGTTATTGACCAATTGCAGTGATGGATTTTTGAAGGGGAGATTGACATCGTTTTTTGGCAGCTTATAAAATGGACTCTTGAGCGTTTGAAAGAAAAACCTTTTCTGTCGTTTTCATTGTTCGAAATGGTAATTTGCTCTAATATCAGGTATTTATGAATTCATTTAAATATCTGATAGATCTGATCGTTCTTTTTTTCTTTTCGGTTGCAACAGTGTAATTTGAATGAATGATGTTCGCATCGTCAAAGATAACGTAAATATCAGTCCATCAAGCTTTTTGTTTGACAAAAATTGAATTGCATGCACTAACTGTAATACTTGGCATTAGACAATTTCTTGAATTAAATGTGACGTATATTATATTACTGTATAGCTTTATTAAAGACTTAATTCTCTTCCTTGGTAAATATTGATAAATCTCGAATAAGGATTATTAATGTGTGTCCGTAATAACACATCTCTTTATAGATCGTTCTGCACCAGCCTCGAAAAGGAAGACTATTTCTGAGTCTGATGTCCCATCACTACCCATTATTCATTCTATCAACACGCTTACTTCTGACGATTACAGCAGAAGTAATACGAATGCTCTGCTTGCATCACCTTCATCCCTCTCCATACAAACAACTGATTTACCTTCTAATAATACTCGAACTCATCAGATTCATACATCACCTATAGAAGGAGAGAATGCTACTCATATTTCTCCGTCGCTATCACCTGTCACATCTAGCACATCATGCTCTTCATCTTCTTCCATTATCAATCTCGTTCACTCATCAGCAATCACTGGCACTACTACTTCTGAAGTGCTTTCTTTAACAAAACGGCCCACCACCCGTGTTGAAAAAATCGTGCATATGATAGAGTCCGGTGAGCTCAAGGGCAAAAGGCCTGTTTATCAAGGACGAAGATGTAGCGCGGATTCCCAGCTTTATCAAATTCATCGCGATCATCCTCAACAGCATAAAAAATATATCAAAGTTCGCGAATACAAATATGACCCTGTTAGAGGAGAATGGAAAAATCGTATTTATCACTTTAATACCGTTAGAAACTCTGCTACCACCACCATGCCTGAGTTCAGCTGTCCAATGAGTATGTCTCATTCAAAATCATTCCCAATGTTGTAAGTAAAGCATGATTTACTTTCAAAGCTTGGGTTTCATCAGAAAGACTCGTTTTTGAATCTTAAGATTTATTTATTGCCAATAGATCGAATACAGTCTGTTTGACCAGTAATAATACTAAACGAGAGAGAAAAAGGCTATCCATCTTTGCTAAATAATATAATATAGTATTTAATTAAATGGACAATATAACCCTCCAACTTCTGTTGAATTGATGTTGATTACTGTCGCCCAGCTGATTCCATAAATGTGCATGATAACCTATAACCGTTAAAAAAGAGGAAAATAGATACATACTCAGCTTAACGTTGTAGAATAAAAATGAAAAGCTTAGTGAAGTTTTTACTTCTAATGTAACATTAAGTGCTGGCGGCTCGCTTGGCATTTGTGGCCCACATGCATTATATAGATTCTTGAAAGTTGGATCATCCACGCTATTTGGCTCATAGTCAACATTGAAGAGTAACGACACTTTTGTCTTTTCATGCGCAGGCAATTGTAAAACTCCCGATTTAGACCAGGCGAATGGTTGATGTGTATTTTTATCCTTTAATATGAATTCTATATTCTGCACTCGCGTTTGCACATAATTTCCAGAGTTATTCAACGTCATATTGAGTTCCCATGTGGCTTTAAGCCAAGGTTGGTGCTTGGGACCCCAGTCAGCTGGTTCGCCAATGCGCTCCAATTTCTCGCTCGTGATGACAAACAGAGGTAGCCGAGGCCAACAGAAATATGTAGCCATGGAAAGAATGATACCGAGGCAGCAAAATGTTGTGATGACCCAGCATCGTCTGTCCAAGAATATGCTTCTGGGTTTTCTTCCTCTTTTCTTTATCTCTTGCTGTTGCTGTAGAAGTAGTAATTTATTATTGTTGTCGGTAATTAAGGTGAGTGCACGCTGTTGTTCTTCTCCGTTGAGCATATTCACAACTTGATGAAAGGAGGTGATAGTCATATTGTCTATGTCATCCTCTACGTACAGGTCGGTTGGTTTTTTGGAAGTTGCTTTTCCAAGATCCAGCGCATGGTTAGAATAAGGTAAATATGAATAGGCTCTACCTGGCTCTTGCTGAAACGGTGACGGCGGTAAAAGTTGTGTTGCTGATTTTGGTGTTGTAGGTGAGCTTTCTTCTATAAAATTTCAATCGAGAATAAGTTACAACATGGAAGGCCTTCTTCGAACGTATTAGATACGACGGGTTATAGGATATAGTTATGTAATAAAGTCGGTTGAATACCTCTTCAATGTGGATGTTACATTTCGAAATTAAAGAGGTTGTGAACAGTAGTTTGTATTCACCTTTTGTAGAAGAAGCTCTTCTATTGCGATAAGGATCAGTTAATTCTTCAAGGGAATACGGTGTGTACATAGTATATAGTAATTATTAAATAGTGTTTGAGATTTACTGTTACAACTGTTACTGAACAATAGTAAAACAAGAATGGTACATTTAGGGAAAAAAGAGAAGAGCAATGTTCTGCATTACTTGTTTGCAGCAATGCCTTATTCTTCTCCTTGTATGTAACCATACGGCAACTCTTGAATTCTCGCCTTTCAACTCCCTCTTTTTTTTTTTTTTTTTTTTTTTGTCAAAATGAGAAGGAGAGGGGTATTTACATTTTAAATTTCACAACAGAAATCGAACCAACGGCAGAGAGTTACATAATATAATTTATTTACACCATGGATTAAATATTTACAAATTTTATTTCACCTTTGGCTTCGGTTTAGATTCTTCATCAGTTATAGGATGTAACATGACTTTATTCATTTGACCCTCAGTTGCATAAAATTGATGTCCCTGAAATATTGAGAAAATGATAGGTTAGCATAAGATGGTGAAGTTTTCGTGCAACTCCTTATTTTGTGTTTGTAGTCATTTTTTATACCTTTGTCCAGTCATAACTAATAGCATAAGCGAAGATATTGCCTGTACGATTGTAATTCGTACAAGCTATGGTACCAGCAGCTTTTTGTAAAGCTTTTAATCGTTGTTTGGAATCTTTATCCCAAAATATAATGTTACCATCTGCTCCTGATGTTGCAAAAGTGCCGTAGACAGGGTGAAATTTTATATCATTAACTGAGTAAACCGCCTTGGCTGCGTCGTCTCGGTGACATTTAAAAGAAAAGCTTTTACTACAGTAAATTAAATGTTAATATCCTATTTTCAGCTTCTTCATTTGCTGTCAAACTACAGTTTAACTTACGCTATATCACTATCTTGCAGATACTGTATACCGACACGCCCCTCAATCGACCCAATCGCATAACCTGAACCATCAATAAAGCAGGACACAGTACGCGTTTGCCATTTCAATGGCGATGTCGCATGTTTAAACACAACTGTAGGATTATTTAAATCATATACCATAACATGCCTATCTGCTGTTGCTGCTACTAGTAGACCTTTCTTAGTATCCATTGAATAACATCGTTCCGGTAAGTCGACTTTTGAGACGGGTTGACCTGGGCTTGCCCTCACATCCCAATAACGAATGGTCTTATCCCAACTGGCTGAAGCCAAAATATTAGGTTGGTTTTCGAGAAATTTGATACATTTGACAGGCTCATCGTGGACAGCGATCTGTGTACTTTGGCCTGTTGCTAAACTGTACATACGCACTGCTTTATCTGTACCGCCGGATATTATTGAGCTACCATCCTACAACGGTTCCAGTTTGAATGATATGGTAAATCAATTGTGAGCCTAAAAGCAGCTGTTTTTAGTTTTTTTTTCCTTTTTTACACTTGTCCATTCAACACACAGAACGGGTCCTTCGTGATTGTAAGAGGTTTTGGGTATTGTACTTCCGTTGGGTTGAACTTCATATATGCGTACCTAATTGCAAAGACAACAAGTGGAAATGGTTGGAATCAAGCAGTGTGACGTTAAAATGTCTTTTACACTAACTGGTTTGGAGCTTTACTGCCGTGTCCCAAGAGGAAACCGCTAATATGTCGGCTTGAGGAGAGAATGAAAGCCCTGTTATGCCGTCAGTAGGAGGTGAAGTAACCTTTATTTGAAAAAGAGAAAAGTATAGAGTTTCAGCCTAAATTTTACCACTATAATAAATAAATTAGCCTAGACAATTAAGATGCATACCTCAAAATCCGAAGTTTGCATCATTGTAGTATAATGTAGTTTACGTTGGAATTGAAGAGCCAAAAAAAACCGATTATATTCTGTGCCTCGAAAATTTCAATACTTTATCTCTTCCTCTTTTTTTTCGGTACAAAGCGCACTTTTAACGCGGCGGATCAAAAAAATCACTCCTTTCGTCAGTGATACAATAAGTCAGCGCTAAAGCTCTACCTTTTTTTTTTTTCAACATATCGCTTTACTCTTTGTATAAGAATATGATATTTCTTAGACTACAATAAGTTAGTAGTTATTACATTCAAGGGAAAAATTGCTATACAAGCTATTTCCCAATTTATAATAATACATGTCAAATCGAATGTAAATTTCTGCTGCTCAAAAACGGTTAAATAGTCTTGATGACAAAACAGTTGACAGCCCGTGTTTTTGCACTGTATTAGTACTTTTTAGTTATTTTGCTAAGCTGGCAACAAATATTAGTAGACAACAAATAGCTAGTCTTGTTCTTTAATGAAGACATAAGTGTGAATTTGTTAGAATCAAGACATCAAGTCAACTGACAATTACACTAAGTGATCCAACAGGAAATGGAGTGCTCAAACGCATGCGCTGGGTATATTTCCTCTCATTGATAGTACATGTTAAGCAAATATTAACCCTAGCATAATTGAACAGAACAGCACGAAGAAAATAGGGAGGCCTTGTCAACAAAGAGCATCAGATAGCCATAGAACTGGAGTGTTGATTGCTATTGTCGTCAAGCATGCATGTCGTCTTTGTTTTAGCCTCCTTTATATGTGACGGTAATAAGTGGATGAACTTGACAACATCATTACTAGCTTGCTCTCAATCGGCAGAATGCGCTCTTTCGCATAATATTCATTATTTCAAATGTGATTTCACCAGTCTAAAGGTATTAATGATTAATGTGTACGATTTCACGTTGTACTTTAGCACAAATTACGGAATTCGTATTGTTATAGACGCTCATTAGATCTGCAGGATTTCGGTATAAATAGAATATTACACCACCACCACCATCCCTTCCCCGCTCTCAGTTAAGTCGATCAGCAGCAATAAATTTCTACGGCTGTGATACATTTTGAACCAAACGCAGCAAGTACAGACTTAGAGCAAAGCTAAAAACAAGAATTGTAGGCGTTCCAAAAAGTGTATATTCAAAAGACTTGAAGATTCTGAAGAGGTTTAGGCATATTACACTTGTCACAGCAACAATCAAGCTTTTGAGTAAAGAGAAGTATAAAATTTGAGGTATGCTTAGGTACACCGTTATGAATGATTTAAGCTTCTTCCATGGTCAAATATCCTCTTCAACAGACACAAATTGGACAGATAGACGAGAAAGAGAGCATATCATCTGTCATTTTTATGTCAAAGGGCATAGCAAGCCTTAGGAATCACAGAGTGATAGATAATAAATTATTGAAAATGTAAAAAACGGTTCGCTTGGATACACTTGCCAAGTTGATGAATCCAGTGCATCTCAAATGTGAATAAATTTCTGCCTTTTTTTTTCGATGAATTCGGCAAGCATGCATAAAGAAGAAAACTGTCACAGCCGTGGCTTTTTCGGGAGCTTGGAATTTAATATTTTTCTCAATCAACTGTAAAGCTTCCACTCTTCCCTTAAAAAACAGAGCTATCAGCAGCACAATGGAGGACAATACTGTTATCAAACCTACTGCCACTACACCTGCTATTGACACTTCAAAGTGGCCTCTTCTTTTAAAGGTTAGAATGAAGATTTTTTATTACCCTAGTCAACCATGTTGATCAGCTTTTGACACTTTAATCTTTTTTTGAAAAATTTATTTTTCAGAACTACGATCAACTTAATGTTCGTACTGGTCATTATACACCCATTCCCAGCGGTTGCTCACCTTTAAAGCGTCCACTTGACGATTATGTTCGCTATGGTGTTATTAACCTCGATAAGGTTCGTTTAAGTGCCGAGAAAAGATGGAAAGGAAACGGAAAATATAAGAAATTTCCAGCCTAACTTACTCACCTATTGGCTTGGCTTTATTGGGGGTTTTTGGTTTTTGTTAATAGCCTGCGAATCCTTCCTCTCACGAAGTTGTTGCTTGGATCAAACGTATTCTTCGTGTCGAAAAGACTGGCCACAGTGGTACTCTTGATCCTAAAGTTACTGGTGGTCTTATTGTCTGCGTTGACCGTGCTACCCGTTTAGTCAAGTCTCAACAAGGTGCTGGTAAAGAATACGTTTGTATTCTTCGTCTTCATGATGCTATTGAGAGTGAAAAAAAGTTAGCTCAAGTAAGAGAGCGATAAAGGAAACCCCAAATTTTTTGTATACAGTCTTGTATTGACACTTTCATTCAACCATTTTATATAGGCTATTGAAACTTTGACTGGTGCACTTTTCCAACGTCCCCCTCTTATCTCTGCAGTAAAGCGTCAATTGCGTGTTCGTACCATTCATGAAAGTAAATTAATTGAATTCGATAACGATCGTCATCTTGCTGTTTTCTGGGCGTCTTGTGAAGCTGGTACTTATATGCGTACACTTTGTGTGCACTTGGGTCTCTTACTTGGTGTCGGTGGTCATATGCAAGAACTTCGTCGTGTTCGTTCTGGTACTACATCTGAAAATGTAAGTTTAAGTGCATGACTCTATGTCTCTCTGTCTGAGGGATAACATGAATTCAATGAACTGTATAGCGTTATTCACCGTATTTATCAAACTGCTTTTTAGGATGACATTGTTACCATGCACGATATTTTAGATGCTCAATGGTTATACGATAATACAAAGGATGAAAGCTACCTTCGACGTGTTATTCGACCTTTGGAATCCTTATTGACCAACTACAAACGTGTTGTTGTTAAGGATAGTGCTGTCAATGCTATCTGTTATGGTGCTAAACTGATGATTCCTGGTCTTTTACGTTTTGAAAGCGGTATCGAAGTCAATGATGAAATTGTGTTAATGACAACTAAGGGTGAAGCTATCGCTTTGGCTTATGCTCAAATGACGACTGCTGTTATGGCTACTTGTGATCATGGTGTTGTTGCTAAAGTGAAGCGTGTCATTATGGAACGTGATACTTATCCCCGTCGCTGGGGTATGGGTCCTGTTGCACTTGCTAAGAAGAAGTTGAAGACGGAAGGTAAATTAGATAAATACGGTCGTGTTACTGATCAGACACCCGACAGCTGGAAATCCATGTACATCGATTATGCCAACAATCCTGACGGTAAGCAACCCGAACCTGTCTTTGGCAAGCCTGCTGAAGCCGTCGTTGCTGCTGCTGGTATGGCGCCCAAGATCAGTGTGCTTGATGTCGCTGCCAAAGATAATGCTGATACAACCATGACCATGTCTTCTACTACTACTACTACAACCATTATCGAAGAATCAACCGCAGGTGTTAAGCGTGGCATTTCAGAAGATGCAGGACCAGAGCCCAAGAAGTCAAAGAAGGAGAAGAAGGAGAAGAAGGAAAAAAAGGAGAAAAAGGAGAAAAAAGAAAAGAAGCATAAGGCTTAATAGCATTACAGCAAAAACAAAAATCTGCTTTATTATTATTTTTGGTTTATTATTTGACTCTCATGTATAAAAGTTTTCATATTCTAATTTTTTTTTTCCCCCTGCTTAATCAAATTAAATAAATGTATATCATTGTAAAAATGTTATGGTAATTTAGAGCAATGTGTTTCAAAGCAATTTTCAAAAGGGATTTTGTATGAAAAGAAAGCACTAGAAGGTGCTTAACTTGGTTTTAACTCTCCGCATATTTTTTGGCTGTAGGTTCTGACCCGAAGAAAAGGCAACGTAATCGTCCATCCATAATAAAAAAAACTAGTGCAACAATCTCTGGTTTCCCTTTATCCATCCATCATATATTTCATTGATATTTTCTAGAATAAAAAATGGCTGATACCGAGGAAAAGAAAATCGTCGAACAAGTATGTTGATAGCTTACAGTAAAAAGAAGAAAAAAGAAAAAAAAAAAAAAGGACATTGTCATTTAAATGTTTACATTATTTTGTAACTGGATTCAAATTCGCAACAGCAAGAAGAAGAAGTTGAATCCCCAGATGTTCATTTCGAACCTATTGTCAAATTGGAAGAAGTTGAAGTAAAGACAAATGAAGAAGATGAAGAAGCTCTCTTCAAAATGTAATTCATTGTTTCGACATTGTATGTACATCATCTTTGAATGGATCTCTAATGTATTTTCCATTTTTTGTCAATTATCCATTTAGGCGCGCCAAGTTATTCCGTTACAACAAAGACACTAAGGAGTGGAAGGAACGTGGTACCGGTGATGTTAAATTCTTACAGCACAAAGAGACTAAGAAGGTTCGTTTGTTGATGCGTCGTGACAAGACCCTCAAGGTCTGTGCCAACCACTACGTTGACTCTCTCATGAAGCTCTCTCCTAACGTTGGTTCTGACCGTTCTTGGGTCTGGAATGTTACTGCAGACGTATCTGACGGAAAGCCTGAAGCAGAAACTTTAGCTATTCGTTTTGCTAACTCTGAAAACGCTAACCTTTTCAAGGAAAAATTCGAAGAAGTTCAAAAGATCAATGAAGAATTATCCAAGAAGAGTGACGAGAAGAAAACTGATGAAAAAAAGGAATCTGCCTAACTCTCTCTCTCTCTCATTCAATCAATCTTTGCCGAATATTTAACGAATTACGAAATCCACTCCAAGTCTGTAGCATTTTTTTACGTAAAAATCTTATTCCTATTCAAGTTGTGATGACTCTATCCCCAACCCACCATTATTTTAACCATATCTTCCACGTATGACCGTCTCATGTCATTTAAACATAATTTGGTTGTGAAATAAAGAACCGAAACTTAATCGTTGACTGACAACATGAGCTACTTCGTTTATGAAAACAGATCATTTCAGAAAACATCATAGGATGCTTCTAAAGATTGGGTAATCACCGTGACGAAACTTCCTATTCTCGATAGAAACTGTTGAAAACAATAACATATTTGGTCAGAATCAAATTGAATTGACTATTCTATTTTGACAGAAAGTAGGGCCTATTGTAGGTGTTATCGTTCAGGTAACTGCAACTCATGTAATTGCATATCCTTCCGTGTCCTGCCTAGCATTCGTCATCAAGTTATTCTCAGTAGTCTGACCAAGAGCAAGAAAATACTAGATAATTTCTATCCCTGAAGAAAATAGAGAAACTTGTCCTTATTCTATTCTTGTATGATTTTCTCTCTAGATCTAGTTCTTTTACGAGCTATAAAGAATTATATCTAGTGTCTTGAATTTCATAACAGATATGTAGCATATATAAATCATGAATCACCTGGTTCAAATTTTAAGAAAATAAGGTACAGTCTGGTAAAATGAATGATTCTTTAAAATAGCCATCAAAACAAGGATTCCTTTTCTGGCTATTTTAAACTCCAAGTTATTCCAGTATCATGTAAAGCGTTATATAATGTTTCAGCTTAAAGGTCTCATTCAGTTGTTCGAAGTAGAGATGATTTACCAGTGAAATAGATAAATTGGAAACCTTTCATCTGCCTGCTCGCACAACTTCGGTCCGCATCAGTATTACGATTCATAAAGTAACGTAACGTAACAAACATCTTGCATTGCATTCTCAATTAACTTTAAATTCACACGCCATGATACATTTGCGGTGCTAGTCCGTGAATTGATGATATAGATATAGTAGTTTTACGCTTGAATTCTAATAGCCGAGACTGGTATTTTCTTCCAAGAGTTGTCTTATTAAAATCATTGAGAGTCTTTTCAATCAATTCAGTTCTTTCAATCAGTTTCTATTCAGTTTCAATCAGTGTTTCTCAAATAATAAATAATAAGACTAGCTAAAATAAATATATTATCAAAACTAAACTTAAGGATGTCTATCTATTCAAAATCAAGTTCAAAGATATAGAATCTATTCTCTAAAAGCCCTCTTCTAACTATCAAAAGAATTAATTATTCTTTTATACTAGATCAACAATCTGAGTTCAGGGACGAGGTAACATTCACCTTCCGCTTCCAATAAGAATTCACCAAAAGATGAGCATGACTTTACAATTATCCGGTTCAGCATACTCTCCTTCCGGATCGATCTTCAATAATGCTGATGTAATTTTTCAATATTTCACTCTCCGTGACAGCCATATAAGCTTCTATGGCGCAATTGGCTAGCGCGTCTGACTGTTAATCAGGAGGTTGGTGGTTCGAGCCCACCTAGGAGCGTTTTTTACATTTTTGGTTCCTTTTCGTGAGACGTTTTGCGTTACATGTTATCCATAACTAGGAATCACTTATAACGCATCTAAACGCCTCTTTTAGCCCCCCCTTCTTCTCCTCTTATACCATTTGTCTTCAACTTTACTTTCATCTTCTGTCTTTCTGCTCAAATAAATCGCACATGAATTTAAACAAAAAAAAAAAAAAAAAAAAAGCATCTAAACGGTAGTATCAATGTAGTAAAAAGTATTCTAAAATGAGTGATTGATCTGACATTACCCTTTGCCATATACACTAAATGGAATATGGCTATGAAAAAGCTCTTTTGTAATCACAACTATAACACAGCACAACGTAAATTGTCATACTTTTTGGTAAGTTTAGTTATAGAGTAAAAGTATACCAAAATGATGCAGACTCTGGAGAAAGAATGAATGGTCTTTATATAATGACATCAAATTGTATTACTATACATACAATGTCTCAAATAGTGCAATGATTTAATAGCTTGTTTTGAATCTGTCAGAGTAGCTGGACATAGTTTACCCGAATAATGATAATCCACCATTTGAAGCCTTTCCATTTGTTACATCCTTTTACATAAACTGATTTGTGAAAGTCAATGAACAACAACTATATATACGGAGAGCCGCGTTTTATTACTGACAGAGATAATAAAATTATTGTACATGGTAAATTCGTTAATTATGGATATGTAAGTAGACTGGAGATAACCCTATCTATGTCACCGTTATGTTGCTTTAGTAGACCCAATGCGCGCCAATCATTTGAGCTACCGAATCCCTAATGGAAAAAAAAAACTCGATAAATAAAGAGACGCATGGCTATAAATATTTTGTTAAAGTTTTCCGATTATTTGACTGATTCCTACCATTTCATGAAGATATAATAGCTGACTTTTATAAATAGAATCTTGTTGAGACGTTGAGTTGCAAGACTCATCAGTTTCGGTTACTGCAGGCTCTTGCTTAAAATCATTATTAATCGATGCATCTTGGTCAATGAAGACGAAATCGTCTTCGTCTTCATCTTTAAAAAAACTCTTGCTTTTTCCTTCTAACTTGGTAGCATTATTTTCTTCACCACCTGACGAATAGTCTATATCCGCATCATCAGTAAACTCTATTTCAGACGGAGGTAAACTACTGATTTGGCTGTCTGTATATGTATTCATAGTAGCAGATGTTGCAGGTGAAGTAGTATCACTGTCATCGTTTCTGTTGGTACAAAGTTCATCAAAAATATTGCTTTCATGGCTATCGTTAACATTACCATCGTCAACAACTTGTACTTGAGTACTTGCATCTGTGGTTACTGTGATTTTATTTCGGTATACCGTGCTGGTTGTTGGCGTAGTTTCTGATGACAGTGAAGAATATGTTGATGCAACCGGTGATATACTTCTAGAAATATTATCGTTTGACGAAATGTTTGAGAGAGATTCTGGAGGATTCTTATCAGACTCTAAATTCTCATCTACTCTAATGCTGCACTTCAAGTTATCACCAAACCGTTGTCCATCGGGTGCGCATAAGCAAAAATAACTTATATACTCTCCCGGTGCATCTGGTGCTTGAAGTTCTGCTGTAACACATATTTCATCATTTGGCGATACAACTGGAACAGCAAAGCAATCCGGACGTGATATGGGATAGGGACGCAAAATAGAACCACCATTAAACAGTAAATGAGAACCCATAGGCCAGTCTGCATTTCCTGTATTTTTCACTTTCCACATCTGAAGAAAGAAGATCTAAATTTCGGAATTTCAGAGATGTAGTTCTTTCCAAATCTTACCTTAATAAAGGTTTTTTTAGGCGAAACAAGTGTCCCATCAGGTATATTTAAGTCTGATAAAAACTTAGCATTCAGAACGATACACGTTAAAGTTCTATCCTGCACGGGTATGTATGAAGTTGAGTCTTCGGATGACTGTGTTGTTCGCACCTTAACCAGGTCTTCTGGCTGTTTAATGAGTTTTTTTGAGCCTGTTTTATCGGCTGGTCTTGGATAAGCTTCTTCCATCATTTTCATGGTAGGTAAAGGCTGACGTTTACTACTCTCATTAACAGGTTTGAATGTTGGTAATATTGTTCTGCGCCCAAGGCTTTGAATCGGATATCGTATTTTGATGAAAGCATGTGATTTATCATGAATAGAGAGTGATTGCTGTTCACATATTTCACAGAGGTCATAATCTAAACAGTGACCACACTTTTTTTTTTTATAAAAGAAAGTATCAGTGCAAGAGCTCGCTACAGACAAGTCTCAAGTTGGTTACCTTATAACGTATACCCTCGATATATGCATTGCAGTAATCGCATATAACACCAGGATGCTTCATATTTGTTGAGCTAGAAGTGCTTGTATCAGATGGTGTTAAAGAAAGGTGGTTTTTCCTATCCATGTCTATGCTGCTAGAACTCTTTTGTCTGACTCGTTGCTTTTCTGTAGCAGCGCTTAATTGAGCTCCTACCAGGCGAGTGACAAACTTGTGCTGAGGAGGATGATTTTCCTTAGCAATAGAAAAGCATGAATGACACAAATCAAAATCTAAAAGTGATAGAGCAGCGTTAAGAAAGAAGTCGTACAATTGAAAAGGTGCCATATTTACCTGGACATGAGCCACAGGTATGTCTGATGCCAACAATATCTGAATCACAGAAATCACAAATATAGATATTCTGCTGCTGGAATATATCATAGTCTGGTGTACATAAAGGTCGCTCTATGTCAAAATATCCATCACTAATTCTCGAAGGTGTACTGATGTTTGTGTAATCACCTCTGATGAGCTTGAATCTATGGGCCGGATGATGGTTCATGGTGTCTTTACAAGTATTGCATAAATTAAAGTCATTGCACGTTTCACAACGATACCTTTGGCTGATGATAGTAGTGATAAAATGGAAAAGTGAGTCTAATGTATACCGATTCTATTGACCATTAATAGCTTTGAGTGCCTACCCATGTATGGGCAAATAACAGCCATCGCAGATTATATCAGGGTGCGGTTTTGCAGTCGCTTCCAATGCTGGCCTTAAGGAATGATGCGCTTCTACAACAGCTTTTAGCGCTTTTCTCACAGTGCCATCAGTTGTAATTATTGGTGTCTTTCCAATGCAGCTTTGCAACTCGTCAATAATTGATTCTAATTGCTTAACAGTCGTTTCAATTGTCTCTGATGGTTCACATGAGTCCTTATTGTTATCCTTTTCCTGCTCTTTATTCGGAACTGAGAGAACCGTCCATTTACGGGCAAACGTTTCTCCATAGGTATTCGCAAAGTCGACTAATTCTGCAGTTGTCTTAATTGTTATACCATCTCCATCATTATCCGATAGAAGAAAATTGAAATCCTCTGTCTCGTCCATATCAAACACTTCCCTGGTCTAGTAGTATAATTCGTTGGTTCTCCAACCTGCCCTTTTGCATAAATTATTGCATTGGAAATTTCACTTACAGCATTTTTTATCCTCCGTAAATCGTACGGATTAGACTTTGGGATAGATATTAAGCGAATTTCATCCAGTTTTGGCTGCTTCACCTTAACACAGATATGGGTGCTCATACAAAGTGTGAAATGTGAAAGAACAAAGAAAATAAGCTATGAGTTTTGTAATCGAGAAATGATCAAAAGGGAAAAAAAAGCGAAAAAGGCAAAGATTACAAATGTGTACAACTTTAATGGCCTCATACTTAAGTCACATCAATCCAATAAAACAAACAAATCTCCTTCACAGGAGCTGTAGCTTTATTAGAGCAAAACCAACTTGAAGAAGAGGAACCCTTACTAATTGATCATACTGTTAGAACTCCCCAGAGTTTATCCGGTTATGTTAATGGTTTTGTTGTTGTCTGGAAAAGACGTTAACTGTGATTTAATTCAAGGTTTAAATGAGATGCAATATATACAGGCAAACAAAAAGAGTATAATAGTTCGCATTCAAGTAATGTATAAGCGACTGGGGTATAAGTATACAAGACCCACAAAAAAAAAAAACCAACAGTTTCCTGCCTGTTGATTGATTTTGAGGAATTCTATACAAAAAGGGTTTGTAGGACTGCCTTGGGGTAAGAGTAATATTTGGATAAAAGACTGATAATGATGCTTTCTTCTAAAGCGTTCTTGTTCTATTATATGTCAAAATGGGCCCATCTCCATGCCCTTCACTAGCTGAAAACGACGTGTTTCTTCTCCGTAACATATGATCTTCGCGCTCCTTTTGCTGAAGTTGCTCCGAGGGGAGTAGTACTGCCCTGTCGATAGCAGCAGGCAAACCTTAATACAGGAAAAAATAAGGGTTGATGTCAGCATCTTGACAGCATATATTAACGTATGCTCTCAAACTCTAATTTTACCTCTGTGTCTGCCCCTGTACATTAAAATAATCAAAACAAGTTTGCTTAAGGTATGATATTGTTGTGCTTGCGAAGCCGATGTATTTGGATAGCCTGTAGAAGCTCCCACATTGCCAAATGCAGAAACGCATTCATACATTACAGTTGATATAGTGATGGGTGAAACTGAGAGTATAGCTTCAGATTCAATAACGCAAATAGCAAAAATGCCACCAATAACCCAACATATATCATTCGTTAACTGCCGCTGAATTTGCGTGATGACAAAGAAATCAGGCTTTCGCAATACTTTTTTCGAAGTAGTCATTATGCTGCTAATGGTGGCTTGTCTTTTGAGACGATGAATAAAGGGCGTATTAGTCTCCCCAAAATCGCCACCGTTATCGTCGTCTTCATTGCTGTAAATACCTAGCGCTCTTTCCTGTTGTTTAATGTACCAGCGTTACGTTAGTGATTAATTTCACAAAATTCTTCAAGCATGTTATCTAAATAATGCACACCTGATAGACGTTACTGTTTCTCATAGAAATAGCGACAGGATAGACACTGATGTACATAGCTACTATAAATACAATTTGTGTACCAGGATTCATAGACATGAGGTCAATCACAGCAAAGCCGGCTGTGTAAGAGAAAAGATATAATCCATTTCTTAAGATTAGTCCCAAACCATTTACTAAAAAAGACTCGTTAATAGCTTACCACTTCTTGTAGCTACAGATTGAAATAGGCCATCAAGAATACGGGCACCCCAGTCGAGGTTTTCTAAAACCGGCAACCAATAGTTCAAAGCAATAAAAGTAATGAACTCAACCGCCGTTATAGCGACCAGAACAAGTAATAGCCATTTTGTCTGAGTAGCCGGAAATAAGGTGGTAAAGCAACGACGCGGATGATCAAGAAGGTATCTAAATGTCTCTCGACGCATCACATATGTTTTTGGGGTTATTTTGTATAATATCCATATAATCAGTCTGAGACAAATAGCATAAGCTGTGTTTCCTACAAGAATAAGTATCATTGTCAAAATCAATGCACAAGGAGCTGATTGAAACGGAACCATGCCAGAATCAATGGGTATAAGACCGAGATTGTTGAATGCTGAAAGACTTGTATAGAAGGAAAAAAACCATGGATCAATGGGACCATTTTCATGTAGCGTTTCAAGTACTTTCTGTGCGTAAGATGAAGCTGCAACATATATACGAAAGAAGAATCCAAAACCAACGATAAAAAAGATATAGTAGGCTGGTACAAGCCGTGTCAAAAAGTCAATTGCCCGATATTCGGCACCACCCAAGCGATAGCGTTGCTCTCTTGTCAATTCACTCTTATGAATGGGCTCACGCATAATACGTTTCATCTCTTCATCCTCTGTTTCGGCGTCAGCACTTTGATCGACTGAATAGAAGGAGCCACCGTGTGTCATACTTGTAAGCTCAGTACTATCGCCTGCTATCCTTTGTAGAATATCTTCGAAACGTCTATCCTGTTCCAATCGTCTACGAGCAATTTCTCTCTGTCTCTCAATGTCCTCTGAAAATGCAATCCCCTGAGTGCTTGACTGTACATGATTATTATGAATATTAGAGTCGCAATCATTTTGATTGCTGTTGCTGGTGTCTGCCATTTGAGACGTATCACTTGGATGACGTGGTGCATCTTTATCTATCGCAAAGCATATATTAATGTTGTTGTTAATGTTACTATCACTACAGTTGTCACCGTGACTATTGTCAGAAGTCGTATGATGTGTATGTGCAGATAAATTGGATTCAGTTGTGTTAGTAAGTGTAAGGGGATGGCTTAAATTTTGACTTTGTGATAGATCGTATTGACTGCCTTGAGTTGCTGTAGATGCCAAATCAAGGTTTTTTAATGTTGGGACAGTACAAGAAGAATCATCAAGACGGGCAGGCACCAATCCATCATGATGGGTATCATTTCTAATAGTAGAAATGTTGGAACTGATATCGTCGTCATTATTTCCACTATCATTATCTTTAGGAATAGACGCTGAGATAATGTAACTGCCTGCGTCGCCAATTGAATGATCGTTATAAGCAAAAGTTTCTTCATTAGCATCTTTCAAGTTCTCCATAGGTTGTTCAATGTCTGTTTGAGGCTTATCCATAGAGGTGTTGTTTTTTCTGCGCAAATGATACATTAAATCAAACTGACTAAACGCAGTTGATAGAGGTCGTTGCTTACTAAATCTTCCTTTTTTCTTCATTAAAATATCAGGTGCAGAGGGTATTGAAGCTTCCTCATCAACTGCCAAAACTGGTGATGATTTTACTGACAAAAATGATAGTCGTCTTTTTGCTGGGTGACGACGTGTCAATTTTCCATCATGCATTGCGCTTTTCCGCCTTTGTTTTTCCAGCTCATGAAGGTTTTTTTCAAACTTTCTCCTGTTCGCTTCTTTAATACGTCTAGCTTTATTAAAGAGTAGCACATCCTCGAATCTCTTTGAAAAGTAATGCCTTCTAACGTAAACGATAATGATTGATATCATGACATGTGAACAAAGAAAGGAGCTGAAATAGATAACCAATAGTTGCCACGTTGTTAGATCTGACATATTGATCACATTGAGTCCCGTATTGGTAACTGCAGTTGTTGCCATAAATAGTGCGTCGATGTAACGCCACCTTGTACCAGGTTGAAAATAAAAGCATGCCGAAGCTATAAATATCATCAATAAGATATACAAATAATGAAGTTGTAGAAAATGTATTTTATTGCGATAAAACCAGCTGATGCGCTCCCAAACATCTTCCACTGCTCGAGGCGCCATAATTAAAGCGATATGAAAAGAGAAGAAAGGAGATTGTGAAGGGAAGCCAGATTCTATATGAAATGATTAATAAGGAAAAAATTTTGGTTCCGTTTTATTATTGTAGACCAAAAGTTCTACGTGGTAGGTTTTAGATTTCTGGATCGAAATAGACGCCAATCCAACAGCCTAAATTAATACAGTACTTTTACTAAAATTCAGACAATGTTAATTTTTTTTTAGATATAAAAAAAATTTTAAAATTTTTTAACTTAAATTATTTGGATAAAAAAAAATTAGACATAGAAATCCTCAAAGACGAATTGGAATTGGTGTAATGATCGGATAAAGACTTCATATAATCGTACTATCCTAAGCAGTACCTCTGCAATAGCTTGATTTAGTATGTGTAAATCATGACATATAAATAAGAATATTATAACCATAATGTTCAGCTATTTTGACAAATGTGCTTCGAACTTATGTTATTTGATATAATTACTGAGTTTACTTGACACGCTCACTTCTTCCAATTGTTTTGGTATATTAACCGAAGAACAATTGAAAAGAGGCAAACATCTGTATCAGCAAAAAACTCGAACCGTCACAAATTGGTGTTGTGATATATCTATAACAACTTTGATCTATTTTTGTTGTCTATTCTCTCTTTCACTTATTTTACAAAGCCATGTTTAAGTTGATTATTCTTGAAAAAAAGCGTCAGTTTTTGAAAACGGTAAAGCAGGTGCTTTTAAAGGTAAAAAAGTCAAATTATTATCAAACAACGAGTTTATATTTACAGTATGTATCTCTAGATGCTATAAGTGTTGACTGTAAAAAAAAGGTCATTTCACCAAAGACTAATTCAATTGTGATTTTTACAAAGCATCCTCTGCTGATGATGGTAAATTAAATTATTAAAAATTAAGATATCAAAAAGAAAGACAGTTATAAACATTTGAGTTTGTAGCTGGTTCAAGCAGAGACAAGAAAAGAAGACAGAGCTTTGATGTAAAGAAGCAGAAAAAGAGAGCCAGGATAGAAGAAAACCTGAACAAGAATCAGAATCACACAATTTGCAGTAAATGTAAACAGCCAGGCCACTTATCCGCAGACTCCCTCCGTGCCATGACCACAATCCAAGGGAGACTGAAGTTTTCAAACAGAATTTAGGTGACACTTATCAAGCCTTTGCCAGAAGAATTCCGTTTGATAATTGTCCTTTTGATGATTACAGAGATAGCCTTAAGGAAAAAATAATTGAAGCCTCATCAACTGTCTGTTATCTGGTATTTAAAGCAAGAATATTCATAAACCATTACGTTTTGGGAAACTCAGCATATGTTGTCCCAAGTGTCTGTTCACACAGAACTTTTGGTGTACAGTGATTAAATAACCAATGGGCAAATTGTCAAAAACACATCAGCACTTCCAAATGGGTTTATAGAAGCCTACAACAACTTTAAAATCAATTACCTGTCATTTACACGCTCCAAAACCCTCGTACCAGGAATCAGTCAGTGTATTTTTTAAAGCCTGTACGGAGATCGCTACTTCCTGCCTCTACAATATTGTCGAAAATTTTGAACAAAGGCTTGTATATTTTTTGAAGTTCAAGTTGCAAATGATGTTTGTGGTACGTTGAGACTGGAGCGACGCATTATGCTTTCTAAGTACTCACTTTAATCTGTACGTATTATAATCAATGGACCCATCACTGGTCCATGATAATGTAACTCGTTTCTGTTATCAAGAGATTTGTTGTGGAAAGCCCCAATAGCCAAAAAGCAATTACCTCACTGACAACATCAAAATAATAATTACAAATTACTGGCAATCTTGGAAGAGACAATTTTTTGTCTTTTTTTTAGTTTACAGAATGCAAGAAAAGTTTAGCGTAAGTTTGGTTTCTAAAACTATGTACTTTCATATTTCTTTTACTAACCAAAATGATATAGTCACTACCTTCTTCACTGATTCGTAAAGTTGTGAACCTTTTTTGCTATCAAGAAATTGTTGGAGGAGAGCCATCATAGCCAGCGAGCATTTACCTCACGGAAGAGGTAAATCAAACATTATCGCCTTTTGTCAACCTTGGAAGCAAAGAATGGGGGAAAGGATAAACTTGACTACTCTTAGTGTAAACCCTGGTTGCTTTGTCTCCTTTTTATTTCTGATCAATGATGAGCTGGAGAAAGAGCATGCTGCCCACAAATCCTACGATGTAGGAAGACTCCCTTTATCAAGATTATTCTCTGTGCTGCCAACTGCCTCTATACGATGGCGATTTGTCACTGTGAGCGTGAACGCTCTCTCTTGTTTTATAAGGCAGAAGCTACCTCATGGTTGTCAAGATCAACTAGAGCTGTTTTATCGTATTCTTAAATTCCAGTCTCTGCGTTATAGAAAGTAGGTACAAAACATACAGCTGTATATACTCATTGTACTAACATTCGTGTAAATAATAGTCTCTCATCACTAACTCCAAATGGAAGCAACACAGTGCTTTTTGGCAACATAATGAGAATCGATGGCTTCTCAATAGACTTTCTATTCTTCAAAAGACGACATGTTACCCTTGCATCTGCATACAAAACTTTAGATTTATCTCTGGATGATTTAGTAAATCTGAAATCGAACAAACATACGTTCCCATTTTTATTGACCCTAATTGGAGATCGTTATCAGTGCTACTGTTGGTATTCAAGATCAGCGAATACGAAAATGTAGCATGAAGGAGTATTATCATTTGACAGGGTCTACCAGCCTCTCTAAAAAAAAAAAGTAAAAAAAGAAGTGAAGGTATAAATCACGTTGAAAGCAACATCCCCTCACCCAGAACCTCCAGTTTGTCAAAACATCATGATTATGTCTCATACATCATGTCAAATATCGATACTCTTTCGGAGTTCTACGGGTCCAGTGGCGCTAAAGATCGTTTTACGCTGTATCAAGGCAAGCAAAGGGCCATTCAGCTGATGATTAATATGTTGACGCACGGTACTTTAAAATATGATCAGTCAAGACGAAATCGTATAATAAGGAAGAAAAAAAGGAGAAAGAAGCGGAAGAAGAACACCAGAAAGAAGAAGGGAGCATGTATTCTGACCAAAAAGTAAATCAGTAGTTTGTTTTTGATTTACAATCAAAGATGGCTAATGACTCTTTCTATGTAGGACTAGGAAATGGAAGCAAAGTCCCTTCGAACAACCCATGGACAAGGTTCCGCTGGTTGTTTTTGGGGCTGGTATGTTTGGGAAGGATAATGTGAAGCTCAAAGGTTTAAGGTGTGGTGTTGTTGGCAGATTCTTTAAAGCACTGAAAGAAAAGACGTGAAGCTGAAGATGGCTTGATTGTTTTAACAATCAACGAATATAACACCTCAAAACTCTGCAGCCTCTGTCATTCCACTTTGCGTACTGTCGATACTAAAGGCTTTAAGGGAACAGGTGTTTTGTCATGCAAAGGATGCCAAACTGTCTGGCAGCGGGACGTTGACGCATCTTTGAATAGGGTGACAATCGTTGTCGATTTGGTCAAAGAAAGGAAGGCTAACAGGATTTCAGCCCTATAAAAAAAGATCACCGTAGTAAACACGGCTTTTTCGCAAGAGATTTAGATCATTACATGTAAAAAGTCTGAACATAAATTACTATTCGTCTCCAAACTAACGGTCTAATTTTAATTTTTTAATTCATCCCCAAAAGGTAAGCTAATATTTAAAAAAAAAATACCTTTTATTTGTTCAAAAAAAAACTAACATCGTCTGAATGGAAGTAGAAATACTGTAATTTATAACAGATAAAACAACTGCTATTTTTGTGCCAGAATGGTAAATCATCTTTTTGACCTTTTTTCATTTGACGTGGAAAGTAATAGAAAATAACGGAATTATTTGTAGAACGAAAATTGTGCTTACAGCTTCCGAATTGTTTATGATTATGCCTGTATATGTTGAGCAGCAGGTTTAAATAGGACTTTCATAAAATGTAATTGTGTTCTAGGATAGCGGAAGGAAGAAGCATATGTAGCTAAATTTTTCTTTTCGACCGTTATCATGGGTTTAGGAAGACGCTATCAAGAATACGTTCAGAATACCGCATTAAGCTGGGCTGAATATGGTTGACGATCTGTAAGAAATGGTTTATTGTATGTTTGAAGCGGAAAATTGAGAGTTAGCCTTTCCGCCAAACCAAGTGGCATCGCTAAATAGAAAATCGAACATTTAAGTCTTGAATGATCTAACAGAAACACTATCATGAGGAACCCTTCAAACTAGTCCTCCATTAAACTGATTCTAAGGGTGATATTAGCGGACCAGCCTTACACGTTGATAACGTCCTGGCAGTTGGTCCTCATTTATAGCTTACATTATCTTGAAAGAGGTACATATTTATGCAGCGATTAGGTTTCACTGAGATTTGAAGAAATTCAAAATAAAGCGGTTAATGCTATTTGAAAAAGAGTCAATTTACGCAAGCCGCTTTGAGGAAAGTATAGGTATATAAGCCAATATGTAGATACGCTTGGTTTATGAATAATGGAAAGCATTGTAAATAGACTTTGCTTATATTGATCGCTTCGACAGCTCACATCATCAGGCTTCTTTCCGTAAACATCGTGTAACCATTTAGAAACCAGCACGTTTTCATCAAGTACTTCAGTTTAACAGATATTCCAGTTAGGTAATAAAGTGTTGATCAGGCATTTTTGAGCCATTCGTATGTCGAACAAGGATAATTGTATCGACCCGTATGCTTTCAGAAGGTATACTATAGACATACATCTTTTGCATAAGTTTACAGGAGAGGGAAAAATTGTGTGACGTCTTGAGAAAAATGCATCCTTGAGTTGGGTTTTCTGTTCTTTTACTCTTTTCGTTTAATTAATGACTATTTCATGGAGCCAATAGACAAAAGAAATGAGGGGAAATCTATGGAATCCTCAGAAGCAAAAACTGCTATAAACAATATACCAGACTCTCTTTCCTTACTACAGCCTTCAGAACGAACAACTGCAGCACCTGCTAGTGTTACCACTGTTACAACCGCTGCCGAAATCACAACACCGTCTTCCTTCAGTAAAGTTCGAAGTGTTCCTATTCCACAGCCTTTGATACTGAAACGCCGCACCAGTAGATCATCCATTTCTTCCAGCGATGACTTTTATGATCAGCAATCACAGTCTATATCAAAGTTCTCCACGCCTATTCAATGCTCTTTTACAGATTATACTAACTCCAGTTCACCCACAAGTTCCGTTTCTGGAGGAGATTTTTCACGCAGAAAATCCATAGTAGCAGATATGGACCCTAATAGTGGAGAGCAACACAATATACCCCAAAGCATCTCTTCTCAGGGATTAAGATCACCACCCCCTACTACATCGACGTCTTCGTCGTCATTTTCACCAAGATATTCAAGCCCTCCAGCAGGAAGTGGAGGGAAGTATATGATCAGATCTAAACGCGCCAGTTGGATTGATGGCTCTTCTTCTATCACGGCTCAGGACTCAAATACAACACCGGCTGCTCAGGTTGAACACCATAAAGTTGCAAGTAAGGCTATACAGGCCCCGCCCCCAGCAATAGCCAAAGCTGTACAGCTACAGACAGTTTCAACAGACGATGTTTCTTTAAAATCAGGTTCTCTATCCAAACTGAGAGAGGATAGACAATATCAATATCACAATATCAAACGCGAGAATTCTTTAGATAGTGCAGCGCCTTTATTAGCATCATCGCCAGCAACAGATAACAGCTCACGTTCCTTCTTTATGAATAAAAGCAGGCATCAATCTGAGGATAGCACAGACATGGAGGATTCATCCCTTGAAACGTTGAAGAAATTACCGTCAATAAGTGATCGGAAAGGATCCATATCTTCTATTATTACTGACACGAGTTTATTGAGCGAGGACCTTCATTCATCTACTTCATCCCCTCGTAAGTATCAACATCATTGTTATCAATTGTACCAATTTAAATTTATCTTTTCTATGTTTCCTCTTCAGACCGCCAAAGGTCCAATAGCAGTACAGCTCCACGCTCAGCATCTGCTTCACCCTTAGTCCTTCATACCCCCATTTCCAGTTCAACACCACATACACCTATCGGACACACTCAAAGAACTCGGCGTCGGTCCTCAATGAGCATATTACGTAATATACCAAGTTCTGAACTTGCTGATATTATCAGTGGAAATTCACCTAACCCTATTTTGGAGGCTCCCACGGCTAGTCTCCTAAAAACTAGTCAGTGTTCATCTTCGTCTTTAAGCCGTTCAGAAGCGAGCCCAGCTGATAATCATTCGAAAATCGCAGAGAACTCACCAACTGCACATTCAGCAGATAATGCGTCAGTTTACCAGCATTCTTTACAATCACTGTTGAAAAAACAATTGTCCGATAAACGTAAACCCATCAAAGATCGTAGATCTATACCTAATCAAGGCAATAAAACACCAGAAGCGGATAAAGACGTGATTGAAATGGACTTGGATGCTCATTCATCTTTATCAATCGATTTACCACGAACGGCAGAGTCTGATTATCCATTCCCTATGGGCGATAATATAAGAAGCCCAGTATACCCTGCCATGCTACTTAATGAATCTCGACTAAAAGCCGATGAGCAAAGTAACATACGACATTCCGAACGTCGTTCATCCAATTTACATTCTTTCTTCTCACCTGGCTCGTCAAGCCAAACGTCAGCACCGGAGACAGCTAATTGGAACCATCATGACAATCAATTGAGCGACTATTTTTACAACACTCCACTTACACATTCATTAACTTGTGAGTAACTAAGATAAGGATGACAGTTGAAAGCCTATCAAATACTAGACTTCTCACAAGTATTTTGTCCAATTATAGCCAATTCCACAGTTAGAAATAGTAGTCCATCGAACCTACCGCAGAGAAACAGAATATATAACTCTTCGTCATTTTATGGCTCTATTGGCACTGATGAAGACTATGCTAAAAAACTAGTAATGTCCCGCTCAGCTAAGGTTAAAAGATGGTGTACGTTGAAGACTGTCAATCCAGATGATAAACTACAGTCTCAAAGCCGGCGTCGACGCGCCAATAGCGCAGCTAGTATGAATAGTCATACAAGTCAAGGGCAGTCCCTTCCGAAAGTCAATATTAAACAAAACCGTCAAGGAAATCTTCATAAGCCCACCATTTTCGTAACAACTGCAGATGATAATTTCGGACAATTGGAACTGTTAAATAATATCCCATGGGTTGATTGGCTTGAAGAATATCGATTAATTAAAGCAAGAGAGATACGACGTCGATCTTCCACACAACATGATGCGGTGAATAGTCCAGGATTACCCCCGAGCAATACACCGTGGAATAAGTTGAAAAATCCTTTGCCCTCACCTTCAGTTTCTTCTATATCATCCAGCACGACTGTGACTACATACAACTCTGTTGTAAATAAAGTCTTATCTAAATGGTGGAGCAATGTAAAAACTGGCGTAGAGCAATATTCAAATTCAAATCAGCAAGCACAGTCTAAATCTGCAGGGAAGTTTAACAGCGGAAGTGCTGATAAAAGTAGACGATTACCTTCAAAGCAAGTGACACCAACAACATCCACATCCACGCCATTATCCACCTCACAGGGGAAAAATCAAACTGATAAGCAAACACAAACACAAACACAAACACAAATACAACCTCAAATGAACAAAGGAAAAGGAAAAGCTACCTTGGCTTTGAGTCTCGACTTACAAGACTTGCAACATCCTTTAGAGGGTAAGCCTTATCCAGGATCCGCAAGTACATCATCCATTACTGGAAATCCATATTGTAATACCGAGCGACGATGGTCAACGACTCACATTGATACAGAAAGCATGTCACCCATGTCTCTTCATAATGATAGTAGTCCATTATCGTCAGTGCCTGATAGTCCTTCTGGCTCAACTCATAAAATCAGTATACCCAAGAACCCGATAACTCAAAAAAGGCTGGCCAGACGTGTTGGTTACCGCTTTCATAAACCTGGTAGCCATATGGGTGCCTTTGGTCGTCTAACGCATATAGTAGGTAACAGCTACGATACCAATGATGATACTACTAGCGCACGTATACAACATTCCATAAAAACACGTTTACAGTTTGCGAAAGAAGCTTGCAATTCAGAATTGCGCCATATTATCGATGGATTAAATGAATATGTCGAAAGAGGTTTACAATATGTGGAAAATATGGATGAAATTCTGGAAGAGGGTGTGTGCTCGGTTGGAAGTGAAGAAATGGAGGATGACGAAGGCCCTGTTCAACAGCAGCCAGTGGAAGATAAACCGAGGATTAACAGTTCTCCTGAGAATACATACAGCAAAGATAATATCTCATTGCTCCAATCAGAAGTGTACAAACAGCAACTACCCAGTGTTGTAGAATTAGATGAGAACTCATTATCTCTTTCATCGGAGCAACAACCGGATAAATTGTTGCCAAAGGCGTCAAACACTAATAGTCTACCACATAAGCGTACTCTGTCCACTGCAATGGCAGAATTCCATGACACCTCCTCAAGTCCTCCCAAATCGTCTATCAGTTCACCAAACGCTTTACCGTCAACAGAATTATCTAAACCTATAGTGAGTGCAGCAATTGCTGCAGATAAGGATAAAAATGCGCAACAACGTTCATCAAGCACAAATACCATAGTGGCCTTCATTTCCGAGGATTCTTACTTACCAACACCATTTATTCTGACGCTTCAGGATCTGATAACAATCGCACAGAATGTAATGGATACTTCGCTGGACGACATCATCGATACTGATGGAGCTTGCGCTGATGCTGTTGCCAAAATACAAACATTAGGCTCTCAATGGGATATCCACCCAGAATGGCCTTGCCGCGAATGGTATGTACGATTACTGCTAAGTATAGCAGCTCTTAATCGTGTGATAGAGTGGTGGGCTGCGGAGAGGGGCTTCTGGGTGTCTGCACCTGTTACCACAAACTCTTCTATACCTCCAAGTGACACAGAAGGAGACGAAATGGAAACAGCTAGTAATTTATCACGGATGGAAGAAACGGATGATGACTACAGTAATATGTCCTTGGATGGATCCGAACATCATCCCTCTAAAACTACTGTGAGTCATGAAAGTGCTGATAGTATAAGCGCAACTGCAGCAGCTTCATCTATTAAGCAAAGTTCGCTGGATGTCACTTTAGATGAGCAGTTAGGTAGCCTTCAGTTGCAAGAAGAAGCAGAGCGTAGTCAAAGTTCGACTATCATTGTTGAGTTAAGCTTAAGCACAGTGGCCATACAATATGTAAGCCCAGTATGGTTTGATGTTGTTGGGTAATACTTCGAGAAAAAAAACGAAGAAAGAATAATCCATATGAATTGTATGCCTCATTCTAAACACCATTTTTATTTTCAAATAGCTCAAATCCTCTATCCGTGATCGGTCATAGCATCACGGAAATACTATCATCCGATGATTCCCAAGTTTTCAAAGCTGCCACAGAAGAACTTTTAGCAGATGACTCTCATACTGTAGAAGTGCGGTTTAATGTTCGCAGTAGCGAAAAGAGCCTTATCGAAATGGAGGGTAAAGGGATGCTTATGTATAATCGTGTTACGGGAGAACCTAGTCATACTATGTGGGTTTTGAAACCCACTGTACCTCGCAAATGGTCATATATTGATAGGTCATTTACTCCTCGTAATGACTTCAAATCTATCCACTTTAACGACACAGATGATCATTTCAGTAAAAATAAGACTGGCGATTTGGAATTGCAGAAGAAATCGGATCAAGAAAACTGTATGCTCACTGATGATGATGAGTTCAGACCAAAAATGCGTACAAGAGCCAAATCAGAACCTGCGATAAGGACACCTCCACTATTACCTTCAACTGATATTGAGCACGATGCCAATTCTGATACAGTAATGAATGACCAAAGCATAGCATCTGTATCACTAGCTAGCTTGATGGCCCTTCCTCCTGTATTATGCAGAGTTTGCGAAAGATGGGTAGTTGCAGCATTTTTTGAACAGCATTCTGAGTTATGCGTCGAGATACATCAAAGCGAAATGGACGTGAATGGTTATAACGACAGTTTGATTGACATTAAACATATTATTGTCGAGAATATAGAAACAGTTCAAGCGAATATTGAAAGTTTACAGGCAGGTAATAACCCCAGTTCTGTTCAAGGTGAAATACAATCTGCAATGGAAATAGCGGATAGCAGTGATAATGATTCTATATTCGGTGAATGCTTGCCTCTCGAAAAACAAGTAGACCCTTTAGAATTGAAACAAGCAGAGATAATTCAGTACAACGATTTGCTTGAGATAATTGATGTTGCACTAAGCATTTCTATGCCTGGAAGTGTTGATGACAAGAGCGAGAGAAGCGAAGAACAAGAATCTCTGAGCCATAACGAAGATGACAGAAGCCCCCAATCACCTCATTCCAAAGATAAAATGATACAAATTCTTTACTGGAGGCCACCTACTTCCACTGACCCACAAATGTTGACTTTGATTAAAGAAGTTGAAAAGCTAACTAAAGGAAAAGTTGAAGCTGTTAATAGAATGCGAGATAGGCTTGAATACAATAGTCGTGCAAGAGCTGATTTCCAAAAGTTGATCCAAAAAGATGAAAACTGGATAGAGTTCGTGACAGACCCTAATGACCATAAGAAATTAGATGATGAGAGGAATGTTGTGAAACCTGTAGAGCAAAAAGACGAAACAGTTGTTTGGGAGAAAAACTCAAATTTAAATTACTCTAAGAATTTCCTTAACCGTTTAAGAAGCTGGAGACAAAGACACTCCACGTCTATCGTAGAGAGGCTATCTCGCAGGCTAAAATCAGTAACCCCTGATACTTCGAATACACCGATTGTTGAAATGGAAACAATAGAAACGCCAATCAGCTCGCCAAATTTACATCCCAGACCAGGCATTAGCATAAAGCAAGACTGTCATTTAACTACCTCTCAAAGCTCACAAAATGGTTCGAAGGATACTGATAATAAGTCTTCACCGTCGCAACTACATGCAACCAGTGCATCCCGCTCAACTTACCCTAGTATTAGAGATTTCGACATTATTAAACCAATCAGCAAAGGCGCATTTGGTTCTGTATTCTTAGCGAAGAAACGAACCACAGGAGATTATTACGCTATTAAATTTCTAAAAAAATCTGATATGATTGCTAAGAATCAAGTGACTAATGTTAAGGCTGAAAGGATGATCTTAATGTCGCAAACAGACAGTCCATTTGTTACAAAGCTGTATTACACTTTTCAGTCAAAGGACTATCTCTACCTAGTATTAGAATATCTCAATGGAGGCGACTGTTCATCACTCATCAAGGTTTTGGGCAGTTTATCTGAAGACTGGACAAGAAATTATCTTGCGGAAGTAACATTAGGTTTGGAGTATTTACAGAGTAAAAATATCATTCATCGGTAAGTTAAGTCAAACAACTATTCATAACATTAGCTAATTAAAATTTTATACAGCGATCTTAAGCCTGATAACTTACTGATTGACCAAAATGGGCACTTAAAATTGACTGATTTTGGCTTATCAAGAATTGGGTTTCTCGATCGTCGTGTTCGAGATGAACTCAATACAATTACATATCATGACCGTGCACAGCCTGTTTCACCTGCTCCTTCTCGATCAGGCACGCCACCTCAATCGCCAGATGAGCAACCCCTTACTCCTAATGGGGGAGCGTACAGACACTCCTACTTCAGCCTACTATTTGATCAAGACCAGAGAGAACCTTCTGAATCCGCATCTTCCGTGATCAACGAAGAGTCTGCAGCCATTAATCTAGCATCACCAGATTTGCGCAGTACTGAGTATAATCATTACCGCCATATTTCTTCTACACTATCTGAGTCCTTGTCTTCAGGCATTTCCTTAGCTAACAAATCCAGGAATGATAAGGATAATAAGAATGACTCCTCTTTACGTCAAGCTGTTGGAACTCCGGATTACTTGGCCCCAGAAAGTATTTTGGGAACTGGTCAAGATTCGATGGTTGATTGGGTGAGTGAGTCAATAGAACTGATTTAGTGGTATCCGACTAATACAAATAGTAACACACATAGTGGGCACTTGGTGTTATATGTTACGAGTTCTTATATGGTATACCTCCTTTTCACGCCGAAACGCCCGATAAAGTTTTTGAGAATATATTGTCTAGAAGAATTGACTGGCATGAAAATGAAGTGACTATCTCACCAGAGGCCCGAGATTTTATGGAGAAGTTGATGACTTTAGACCCAGAAAAGCGACTGGGATACAACGGGGCTGAGGAAGTAAAACAACATCCATTCTTCAAGAGCATCAATTGGAAAACTTTATTGACAGAGTCACCTTCATTTGTTCCTCAACCTGTCGATATGGAAGATACAGATTACTTCGATACGCGAGGTGCAACTATGCAGAATACTTCCGATGAAATCAATTCGTGCCATAATCTTGATCAGTCAGCAAGGGATCAGGTAGAACGAGCAAAAGCTATTATCCAAGAGCAAAATCCTGAAAATTTTTCGAAAACTGCAACTGAGAAAGGAAAGCATACAAAAAAAGATAAAGTGAAAACAACTTTAAGAAGGGAAAGCCAGACTGATGAGTCAGATAGTACAGATTTTGGTACCTTCACGTATAAGAATTTGCCTGTTCTTGAAAAAGCGAATGAGGATATGATTAGGAAAATCAGACACGATAGCATATCTGCTAATTCATCTAACGAAGGACAGCAAACAGGGAAGTTGCTTCAGCGCAAATTTCCAAACATGGCTGTGAAGCCCAAGAGCAGCTTAGTAAATGAGACTTCGTCTGGCCAATGTACGCCGTTCACTGGTACTTTTAGTCCCTCCATCTCTTCATCCACATGCGAAACGCCCGTTTCAATGTCACCTTCAGTTTCATCGAAAATAAATACAACACCATATACAGGACGAAAAGCAGACTCTTCTACCCCAAATATACCCAGCAAGATGTCTACTATGTCATCATCTTCTTCCCTAAAAGAAGGCAGTCCTCAGCGGAACCGTTCATTATCTACACCATCAATTGACCCTGCTAAAGCAGCAGCTGCAGTTGCGGCAGTTGCTGATCAAAAGCTAGCTTCAACCGCAACAATGTCGCAAACTGCTCAAGGCACTCAGCATATTACATATCCTACAGCTTACAATCCTTGTCAAGACGATAGTCTTATTGCATCAGACTCCTATCAAAAACCTTTGATTGCTTCACCTTTATTTAGGCCAGAAAGGAAAACAATATCAACCGTACATATGGATCCTATGAGCTCAACAAGAGCGGAGAAATTAATTCCGTATGCTTGCCTTGTAGCTGATGACAATCCTATTAGCTGTAAAATCTTAGAGACAATTCTGCAAATGCTATATTGCCGCTGTGTTATTGTTCGAAACGGGGCTCAGGCTATACGCTCAGCAATGAGTGATGTTCGATATGATATTATTTTCATGGATATTAGAATGCCTATCAGTAAGTTGTTCTCATTAAATGCTTACAAAAACTGTTTATTTACAGTATATTTTGTCATTAGTTGATGGAGAAACAGCAGCTCGAATGATCAAATCAACAAACAATATTAACCGAGAAACACCAATTATTGCAGTAACAGCTTACGAAAGAACTGTTCAACTTGCTGGTGCTTTTGATGATATAGTTGGGAAACCGGTGACAAAAGATGTGATCCTACGAAGATTACATAAATTCTGTAAGGCTAAATGTGAATTCAAGACAACGCAACAGTCGGCTGAGCCAGTTCATAATAGTACGACAGCATCGAATTAATAATACCTTCCGATATACCCCTCATTGCTCTTTATCCTACCATCCAAAACATTGAAATTTATGCCATGAAATAAATTTATCATTCTTTAAAATATTCATATGAGGCAGATTCAGCCAAATGGACAATCATTGGCATTTGGAGCTACACAAATGTTAATTTGCAAAGGTGTAATAGGAAAAAAAAGGCAAGCTTTGTCCTACCTTAAACTAACCATTATCGTTCAACTGTTAAAGAATTCAACATAACGACACTAGCTAGGACGCCTTTTCCTCTCTTACAGTAACATTGGCTGTAAGAGTAGCTATCCCTTCCAACCAGAGGCACTTATCTGTTTTTTTCAGCAAACGAAATCACAACGATTTCTTTGAATCAATAACTCAAAAAGCTTTGGCAGTGGAACATTTTGTCATCAGCAGGTCAAAATGAGCCCTGGAGCACAGTCGGTAGCTGATCTCACAGCAGAAAGCAAACCAACCACTGGTGATATCCCGCCTCCTTTGGTAGGTGCCTCAACGACTGTAGTAGACGATGAGGTTTATGTTTTCGGTGGTCGTCTGGTATCGTCACGCCAAATGACAAATCAACTCTACATCTTAAATTTGAGAACTTTGGTCTGGACACATTATGTCGCCCCGCTCGACTCAGCACCACCACCGCAAGCAAGATATTTTCATACAACCAACCTATTTGAAAAGCACTTGATTATATTTGGCGGCATGAGTTATTCTGGTGGACGCCGTTCTTCACAAACTCTTTGCGCACTGGACGATATATATTTATTCGATTTAGAACGAATGGTTTGGATTCATTTGGATATTCAACCTAGCTTATATGCTCCACAGGCTCGCTATGCACATTTATCTGTTTGCTTCGGGAATAAGCTGGTTGTCATGGGTGGCCAGGACATGTCAAATCAATACATCAACGAAATCAATGTATTTGATTTAGAGAAGAATGCATGGATTCATGGCGGTTTTCTCGATCAACAGTTCGGCGCTTATCGATCAGTTACATTTTCTCCTTTCGACGTTGATATGGGGACACTGCCTTCGCGCCCATTTTGGGAAAAGCAGCATATGATTAATGAGCTACCATTATGTACATACTCTAACTATAATTTCACAGATGTAACTCGCGACCTACAAACATTTTCACCCCTTACTTCTACAATTGAGTTCAAAGACCATTCAACAGACATGTCTGGAGCAGCATTACCTCCTGGTCTTCGTTTTCCGTCTGGTAATGTTTTGGGCCATCATTTGATAATAACAGGAACCTATCTTACACCAACACACCGGTCCTTTCATATATGGGCCCTAAATCTTTCAAACCTAGTATGGCTGCGAATTGACACAGGATCTGTGCTCGCTCAGGGCTCATGGAATAGAGGTGTGTTATATAAAGATGAAAAGAAATGTGTAATATTCGGGGATAGAAACAGAGATTTGCTTGAGGATTACAATCATCGACAAGTGAATTTTACGCATGTTGCCATTGTTGATTTGGAAACGTTTGGAATATACTCATATCCGAAAGAAACATGCACTCCGATTGCACAAGAGCTAGGATTAAGTATGCTTAATGAACCAGGCATGGCTGATGTAGAAATTGTCACAAATGATGGCCGGACCATCCCTGCTAATTCAAGCGTAATTGCTCTTAGATGGCCGTATTTCCGTGAATTATTGGAGGCCCAGCCTAAGAGTTCTGCAGGCTTCAAGAAATTGGTGTTCCCTGAAACATATTCGGTTACTTTAGCATTACTGCAGTTCCTTTACACCGACCATCTTATGACAGCACAACAGCATCAGCCACAAATACTTTCACGTTTATTGATTCTTTCGGACATATATGAGCTTCCACGACTAGGTGTTTTGGCAACTCATGCCTTGCATCAAAATTTGACCATCTCAACGGCTAGTATGGTTTATGAAACCTCTGCGTTGACCGGACGGACTGCACTTCAAGTCCGTGCCCTACGAGTGATGATCAATGCAAAGAGGATGCTGCAACAACAACAACAACAACAACAACAACAACAACAACAACAGCAACGCCAACAAGTAGGGATAAATACAGCTGATTATTACCAAACACTTCCCGATTCTTCATCAACTGTATTTTCGTCAGCTCTGGCAAGTAAATCTTCAGGCGAAGAAGAGCGTAGCGTTTTTCAAACACAAGCGTCTCCAAATCTAACCACTTTAAGACGCTTAACCGCATCCAAATCGTCAACAACGTCTTCCTCCGACAAAAATCATACCATGCCACTTACAATGCCATCTCCCAAGCTATCAAAATCAAGCAACCTGTTACAGCAAAGTATAAAATTCAAATCCCCACCTTTATTTTTTGACAGGCCACGGAAAGGAAGCTTAATACCGTTGCCAAACATGATGACGAACCCGAATTCATTGCAACATTCCATTAATGGATCTAACACAGGTATACGTTTTTGAAGGGTTCAGTAAGCACAGTAGACAAAAGCAATAAATAAATTCAGCAGCATCCCTCTTTTTATACATAACATATAGCACAACATTTAAAGATCATTTTGTAATATCATGTTAGGTAATAGCTATGATAATAAACTGTTTAGTAACAATAGACTATATAAATACTAACTGCAGTCTCTAAAAGCCGGTCTTGTTGAGGGCTTTTTATTTTTTGTACCGCTTGCATAGAGCGCTCGCACGTACAAAAAGAGCGTAATGAAAGACAATGTACTATCGGATTTTTTGAAAGGCAATCAGAAAAAGACAAAGAAAGTACATTTACTTAGCATATTAGGCGTCCAATTACACTTCTAATTGCATTTCATCTACTGACACCTTGCAGTCCACACTACTGCAGTTTGAATAAGATCTAAAGGGCCTCTTGCACAAGATTTCTCTTACAGTTTTCTCAGCCACTAATTTAGAATGGCAGAAGCAAGTTAGAATGTATCACTCAATTTGTTACAGTGTAATAAAATTAGTGAAAAAAAAAAAGCCAGGATTTTCCGCTATAAAATGGATATGTATTCTATAAGTTATGTAGAGCAAATGAATATAGTAACAGCCGAGGTTAAGGACAAGGCACGAATGGTGAAAGAAAATGTTTTTTTTTAAACTTGCATTAACCAAAAGAGATCCTGTAGTAACATAATCATGTTTATTCTTTGTATGATCAAGTACCAATGGAGCCTTCTTCCCGTAATTTTTGAATTTTATCCTTTGAATAACAAAGGACTTCAGACAATATTTCATTTGTATGTGCGCCAAGTAATGGAGGTGGCAATCTAATTCCTGTCTTTGCATTACTATATTTTACGGGCGGACCAACAAGCTTGATCTTCCCAGCCCGTTCGTGTTCTATCTCTTGCACAAGTCCCCTAGCTTTCAGTTGAGGATGGTCAAAGGTTTGTGCAATATTATTGATAGGTGCAAAAGGGAAGCCAGCACCTGTTAATTTCTCTAGCCAGAATGATGAATCTTCTTCTTGCAGACGCTTTTCTAATAACTTTACCAGCTGTTGACGGTTTTTTACGCGATCTTTATTATGCTTGAATCGTGTATCTTCAGCCAGATGATCTAAACCTATACGTGTGCATAACTTGACAAACTGTCCGTCATTGCCAGCACCTATCATGACAAATGAATCCTTAGTAGAAAATACTTGATAAGGAACAATAGAAGGATGTGAAGTGCCCATTCTTTTTGCTTCTTGACCGCCAATCAAATAGTTCGAGGCAATGTTAACTAATGATGCTACTTGTGATTCTATCAACGAGCAATCGATATGTTGTCCTTTTCCAGTTACTTCGCGGTGGATTAAAGCAGCTAGAATAGCATTTTGAGCGTAAAGACCAGTTGTCAGATCTATGTCGATCGGTCGAATCAATAGGCGCTTAACTTCTGATTGAATCTATATATTGCGGATATATTCGATGAAACCATTACCTGTGATTGCGACACCAACTTTTACAGGTGGACCGGTTGGTTCGCCTGTAATATGCATTAAACCAGCTTCTGCCTCAATAATCACATCATACCCGGGCCTAACAGAATAAGGGCCGGTCTGTCCATATCCTGTAATTGAGGCATAAATCAATCTCGGATTGATTTCAGCCAACTGCTTAAATCCTAATCCCATCTTCTCTAACTTCCCAGGCAAGTAATTTTCTACCAATATATCGCTTTGTTTCACTAAGTCGTGAAGAAGTTGACGTCCGCCTGCTGATTTCATGTTCACTGTGATTGACTTTTTGTTTCTGTTAGCGCATAAAAAATATGCAGACTCGCCGTGCTCTTTATCATTTGGATCTGCATTTTCAGCGAATGGAGGTCCCCAAGCTCGAGTGTCATCACCGCCCTCTGGATGTTCTACTTTGATAACGTCTGCTCTAGTATAGAAGAGTAAGTACTTAGTCTGCCACCTCTTTTATTACGACCATATTTCCTTCTATTACAAATATGTATGAAATTGAATCTACTTACCCTAGGTCGCCCAACATCATCGTACAGTATGGGCCAGCTTTGGCGGGAGAAATATAGCAATTGGTTACCAAACGTAAGAACTTCTTATCATATGTTGTAGATTACTTTACCTAAAACTCTAGTTAAATCTAGTACACGTACGCCCTGCAAGGGCGAAGAAAGGCTGGGAGATGAATCATTTGCTGGTTGATCCAAATTTCGCAAATAAATTTGACAAGAACCAAACGAACGCCGAAGTACGAACTTGGACGTTTGAAAAAGATTACGTTTCGTTGAAAGAATTGTCGGCAAAGTCATCGATTTGCAAATATACCAACTGAAGAGTGAACAAAAAGGTTCAGAGGACTCATTCAAGCATCAAATGCTTGGTTTTAAATGTGGAAACTTAATCGGGATTACAAACCTTATTTCTTATTTTCTGTAAGCTTTCCCCACAGAAGCGATTTTATTATAAATCTTTGGTGTGTGAAATCATTTTTTGTCGAACTGTTGAGTTTGAATTTCAGAAAAGTATCCGTTGATCCTCTTCCAGTGAGTAACATTCCACGGCCCTTTGGCAGGCGAAAACAATATTAAATCCAATATGCTTCTATGAAGGACATTTCATTACAGTAGTGGCTTAACCGTATTTACAAAGATTAGATGTTACAAGACAAATTTGATCGAGTCTTTTTCTACCTTTGAACTTTTAAATCGACGCGTACGAGTGAATTACTAACATTTTTATCTATTTACGCTGTTCCCAAAGAACACCGTTGACACTTACAAATTGCTTCGGTAATTGATGATTTAGTCTTATAGTGATCAAAAACGCTCTTGGTCAATTGTTTGTAGTACTTGCATATCACTTCAGCTAAACAGTAAGATATCATGTATTAGGGTATGCATCGTCTGTAAGGTTTACTATGTGTTTCATCATACTTTTCTTTACGCTTCCCTTACCCTTTGAGCAATAGACTTAATTACTTTAATAAAGAAATAAAAAGAGACTTTTGATTATGAAAAATGAAGACCTGAAATATAATTTTATTCGACTGATTGAGTCTGAAACGACAATATTGGTAGTAGTAGTGTATGAAAGGGAGACCAAGTTTCTGTGCCCACAGCTGCATGCTATTTTACTGTACTGTACATGTAGCACGTCTTCGTTGTAAAATTCCGATAACAGCATCTGCTTGGAACCGCACGAAACCCACAATTACAACAATTTCTAGCGATAGATTTTTAGCCTTGTCAGGGAGCGTTCGGAAGTAAGTAGTAGTGGCCTTTATGTTTATCCATTGAACATCTTTGCAGATGACTGATAGCCGCTCGCTTCTGTTCATCAGCCCAATCGAGATGCAGTCTTTTATAAGAAAACGGTTCTTGTATCAATTCCTAGCTTTAGTATATGTTTGAGCCTGTTAAGTTCTTTTACAATTTTTGATTTTTGATTTTGAGAGCTTGACAAATATTTTGCTCTAGTATCTTGGCTGCTTTTACAAAAATTGTTACCCTAAAGGGTGTTGATAAAAAATTCGCAGAAGGAAAAAAAAAACTCCAGATTCTAATCGAATACACTGTAGCAATGGCTGGTTTTTTAGATAACTACAGTACATTTGAATCTGCCTTGGGCAATTTGGATAATTTTCAAATCGCGTGTGCGATTTCGATGATGTTCGTTAGGTGGCCAGAACTTATAGAAATTCTTGACTCAAACTTTATTTCCGATAGCCTCTTTCACCTTACAAGCTGGTTTAATGCCGTAATAGTAGTAGCAGTGGTAGCAGCAGCATTATATAATGGTAATTCTTATACATTAGCTGCAGAATTACTACGTTTTTTTCGTAAATCCAAACACTTGTTACATCAATTTATTCTTCTTTAGCAAGTTTAATAACGCCAATGAGTATTTTGATGACAAGACTTAGCAGCTCTTTTCAACGCCCCTTGTGCAGGACTATCAGCTATCAGATTTCTGTATGTTTCGCAGAAAATAAGTTCAGCACATTTAAAATATGAAAACGCTACAGTGTAGCACTGCTATTCACAAAAAAAGTAGCTTTTACGCCTTCCTTATCAAAAATATTTAAAAGCTTGAAGTTGTATTCGCTTGGGCCTTTCAGAGATAAGAGAAGCGCAATCAGATAAGCAATTTTTGATAATAAATGAGGTAAACGATGCGACCAAATTTCTTATGCCAACAGTACTTAACAGTACACATTAAATACTAAGCATCAGGTACAGTACAACACGATAAATAGCTATTACGACAAATTTCATTGGAAGATATACGTCGTACATAAAATTCTCGCTTCAATATAGTATTTTACCTTATATTTTAGACGATTTACAATTTTTAATGGACAATATACATTTTTAAATTTAGATTTATTAAAAAATATTTTTAGAATAAAGTTCATAGTATTTTGGATAGCAATTTGGATACTTTATTATTCAGTGATATCCAAGCAGCAATAAGGATGACACACAATCGACCCAAGAAATGAGTCTCTATCAGCAAAAAAGTCGCCAATAATGGTTTTATTGACGTTATCTTGCAATAAATTGACAACTTTTTTATTCAATGACGATGTATTCCGAGACCAACCGATATTTGTCGGTGCCTTTTTTGTACAAGAGTTCCAAGAAAGGTCAACTTTGAATTGATTGACATCAAACCATTGATAGAGGGCTGAGGGTCATAGTATAACAGATACCATAGCGGAACGGGATGGTTATATTATCTGTTGTCAATGTTTTTGTATGCGTTCATGGGTGACTTTCAAAGATAAGCACTATAAAATATATTGCTCTCTTATAGTCAAATGTTGTCTCTTTCACTTTTATTTCACGTTTTATTATACATACTATGACCCATATTATGAAAAGAAAAAGCAAATTTTTGAAAAGAAAAAATCAAGTGCAGTTAATGGTAACTTGCCATTTGAGAGCTTATATACCTGATCATATATATTCATATAGATCAATCATCGTGTACTGTCAGATGTAACATGTATTGATTGCGGTAAAGGAGGTCATTACACCAAACAATACTTTAAATGTGAACTATATGAGTCAGAAACAGCAGATCAAGGTAAGGCAGCTCAGGTGGCTTTGAAAGTTTGGTAAATCATCATTAGTAAGCGACCTCATTGTACCTATAGTTGGTTCGAAAGGCAGAAAACGCAAACAGAACTTTGAAATCAAGAAAGAAAAGAAAAAAGCAAGGAGAGAGAAGAATGAAGACAATGCATATTGTACCAAATGCTAGCAACCAGGACATAAATCGATGCGTTCAGAAGTGGAAGGCTGATAAGTACTAGGAATCCCCTAGAAGGGTACCCCTAATTGTGTTTGGTGCTGGAATGTTTGGCAAAGATGCAGCCAAGTTGAAAGGGCAACGATGTGGTTTTGTCGGTAAACCTTTTGCAACTCTGAAGAAACGTGAAGCTAAAGGTCAATTGATGGTTGTCACAATCGATGAATTTAAAACCTTTAAAACATGCAGCCTCTGTTTTTATGATGATATGCAAATTGTTGATACTGCTGGATTTAAGGGTACCGGCGTTCTTCATTGCAAGCAATGTCTGAAGCTATGGCAGAGAGACGTTAACGCCGCTATCAACATGATGACTATATCCCAAGCAGTTTGGTCTGGAGCGGGAAGACCCGACATTTTCAAGCCAGCGAAGAAGAAAAAGTATCGCCGTAATAAACACGGTTTTCCTTATATTTAAGGATTTAGATCATTACAGGTGAGGAATAGTACGGGTTTTTTTTTCTTTTTTTTTTTGTTTCGCACTACTGACAAGTTTTTGGAATTTGAATTATTGTTTAAACGGTTTATATTTCGTTTACAATACAATTGCAACTCATCTTAAATGAAAATATTCAACGTCCAAAAAAAGTATTTCATCTAAAATATTAGTTAAAATACTGTATGCGTTCTGATATGCTTATATGCTTCAGTTGACCATAAACGGATATTCGATATGTACATAAAGCACAAAACCATATCGGAAATAATTTTTTATATCTATCTGCAAATAAACTCTAGGCAATCGAAAGGTATTGCTTCGAATGATTGCACTTCTCTTAAGAATAGCAGATACATAGGTAATTAAAAGAAAACAAAATGTTCCCAGCTTGTCCTAGTTTGTGCAAAATTACAGATTGTGTTCCTTTTGACCAAGATTCGTAGTTTATTGAATAATGTATGGTATTTTACAGGGTGAATGAGATAGATAATACAGATGACATGTTGAATTACCGTCATACTGGAGTTATTTTTTGGTGGAGAACCTGCGTCAATGCTTATTTTGACAGTAGTAAAAAAGTAATTAATTAAATGTGAGTAATCGGTGAGTCTAGAATTTACGAACAGCAACAACAAAGGAAAATAAGGAGCGAAATGAAAGAAGAACAAAATGTAATAAAATGCAATGCTTGACAGAGATGTCGATTTTTTTTTACTTGTATGCAGATTTGCCAACGCCTGTGGGAACAAAGTTATCAAATACAAAAGGGGATGAGTTTGTGCACATGGTCTCCAGATTGGCATATACGTGCAAAAGGAGAAGAAGCATAACTTACATTCAGCGACGGTTGCAAACTTGAAGCCTCTTCCTTTGAAATATCGGACCATTTCTCTTGTCAACTCTCCAGTTGTTTGTTCAAAAACCTAATAATGAAAATATACAAGTCAAAGATGAGAAAACAATTACAAGAGTCTGCTTTATCGAGAAAATGGAAAGATATTTTACATCATGGGCGAGGACAATATAACCCTCATCAAGAGAAGATACAGATTCTTCAATATTAGCCATTTCTGATTCAATATCGTGTGTATCATAATCCTTGGTGTCTGTTGACCAGAGGACTACAGAGTAATTTTCAGACTCAAGTTTCTCGACGGTATCATAATCTATAGAACCGTAAGGCGGTCGAAGAACTATAAGCAGTATTAGTATCGAGATTTGGTGATCATCTTTTCGATCTATCTTTTGAAACTTGAGGATGAAAACTTACAAGCAGGCTTTTCATGAATGACTGCTTGAATAGCATTTTCTAATTTGAATACTTCTTCATCGAATTTTGTTTTGGATAAGGTTGTTAAGTCTTGGTGCGACCAGGTATGACTGGCAATTTGATGACCAGACTCATAAGCACTTCTGAGAGCATTTTTTGCTTCATAATTGCTTTCAATATCTCTACAAAAGCACGCAAGAGGAAATTAGTTCTTGTTTGCAAAAGGAATAAAGAAATCTGTACTTGGATGAGGATATTTATGACTTACAAAAAATTATCGCCATTGACAAAAAAGGTAGCCTTAACGTTGTTTTGATTCAAATAATTGATAAGATCGGATGTGTAGACGTTGGGGCCGTCATCATAAGTAAGGGCAACAAATCCAGGTTTGCAGTTTTCAATAACATTATAGGCAGAGACGGAGGCAGCTAAGCTGGCAGCAAGGAACATGCGGCAACATTTGGTTACGGTAAGCATTGTTATTCGAATATTCAATAATAAAAAGAGAAGATTGGAGTAAGATTAGAAGAGAATGAGAGCAATACGAATGCTAATTTATATAAAAATGTATTTTGTGGGGCTATGATTATGTACTCCACACCAAAAAATAAAAAAAAAAAAACTAAAAATGTTCTGAAAACGGAATGGAAAGCTTCTTTCACGAAGAGCATGTGTGAGCATCAATGGTTTGCATATTGCAGATTGGTATTATTTGTTGAATGTACCTACATTACAAATGATGCATAAGTTTGAACATTGGTTAACAAATCATTTGATAGAACCGACGTAAAAGTATCATTTTTTCAGCGCCTCGTTGCTAAAAGATTGACGTTTCCAGACTTTATGCAACCCCTTTGATAACAAGTTTTTCATTATTGGAAGGGTATAACTTTAATATGGCGACATACAAAGGAGTTAATAGTTGCTTTTACACACGGAATTAAGGGGGTTCAATAAGAATAAAAAAGTAAATATTGTATTTTACTGACAGTAGTAGTAATAGAGTGGAATATAAATGATTTGACAGTTCATAGCATCTCCTTCTCTGTTTATACAACTGATACCTACTTCTGAGCCTATACAATCCATATGATATCTAACTATTGCCGTTTGGCGATGTAGATCATGAAACTTACCTGAATAAAGTCAAATTCAAGCAAGTCGTCATTAAGAATTTTGTAAAAGGAACCGAGTACCAAGTAGCAGTGCGGTTTCCAAATATGTTATAACTCATATCATATTGAGTGAACTGATAGCTACAGCGTGATTTTTTAGTATTGAAGAACTTCTTATTGTAAACAGAACAATAAAATCTACTTGCCGCCTTTTTGGTTAGCTTGTCCCTCTTTATCAGGCAACATGATATAGTCAGGAGTACTTCAGACAACGTCGCATGCAACCCTTCAGGTAGCTGTCAATTTTATCCGACATACATCGAATCTTCGCGTTATGTTTACTAGGAGGCACCTGATTTTGTTCTAGCTTGGTATATAATCTTTTCTTCCGAAGTGATTTTCAATGAATATGATCAAATAGTGCAAAGTTATGTATAAAGCTGCTCTTTCACATCAAATTAATATGATGTGATGTGCAGTTTATATATCTTAAATCAGAATTTCTCAGAAGTCGCTTTCTGACCACATGTGCTACTGCAGTTATTAAGATCCTGATTACATAAAATGCAATTATCATAAATTAGACGTTTCCGTATGCTAATACTTTTCATAGTAAGTTCGGAATGAAGAATTCTCTATTTATTTGTTTATTTACAGAATTTCAACATCATTCCAAAAAGTTAAAAATATCAATCAAAATTACACACGTCAAGAATTAGGCCAAAGAGAACAAAAAGCATTCATCATTATTCCTGCATCATAGTATGACAGGCTCGAGTGACGATTAGATTATTCTCAGGGTCATTGTATCTTGCAATCGAACATACAACGATATAATTCGTACAGTAAGATATATGCTTTCCGTTTCACCTGCCATAGATGGTATATTTTCATAACGTAGAGATATGTCAATCTATACATCAAAAACAAAAAGACCTAATATTTTCTTGATTGCAATTGTTAGACGGTACACGGAATAAGTGGGTTGGATGACTAAGGCTGCCTATACTGCAAAAAACTATGCCAATTATATATACGGATCAAGTTAAACTGTTATAGCACCATTTTGCAGCTTTTATGAATATTTTATATTCTGGTAACATTCCAAGCCAACATACAGCACCATAACTTAAGACCACTATAACTGAACCTCCCATGAACGCAAAATAACTCGCATTGATGGGGTTAAAGGTATTAACAATGACTCGGTTGTTGAAGAAACCATGCGTAGCTGTAACTCTAGCTACATATATGTTAAGCTTCTGATAGGATGTTCTTCGACAAACCTGCTAGTGTTTGACTGCTTTTTACATTAATGAACCCTGCATCTTTTTTTATATGAAAGTAATACTACTTTTGCATTCATGCTTTTGGTAAGCTCAAAAAGTGAATTCTGTGAAGTAAAAGACGTGTTTTCAAGTGGGGAACAATGGTTGAACCATAGTGACCAGAATTTTTTAACTCCAGCAAGCAACAGCAATGTGAAGATGACATTTTATTGAATTTTCTACAGAACGAAGGTAATGACTACTCTAATGTTGCCGTACCCTTGTAGTTTATTCCGGCTGTGATATATGTTCTGGTCTTTTGCAAATAGGTGCTGAACGATCCGTGCATAATTCTGTCGGATTGACGTAAAGAGGGTATTCTGTATTTGTATTGGTCAGAATCTCTGTTATAGCAGTACTAATACTGGTGTTCGTAGTCGAAGACGTTGGGAGGGGATTCAAAGTGCTGGCGTTGAACTGGGTATGCTCAAAAAGGTTTTGCTGTCTGGTAGAGTCGATGGTCTGTGCTGTAATGGAATTAGTGTTTATCAATGAAGGCTGCTGTTGGATCTCCAACTGACTCAACTGATGATAATGCAACACTGAATGTTCATCAAGAAGAGGGACGAAGGGTAGATATAGCATATTGTGCGGATGTAGCGAAAGATCGTACATCGTTGTAGTATCGTAAGAATTGGTAGTATAAAATGCATGGTCATTTTGGTAGGCATCCACTGGCGATGAAGCGAAAGAGGAAAATTGTTGCGTGCTATTTGCTGTTGCTGCTGGCGGTATGTAGGTATTATTATTCACAATATAGTTAACCTGTGAATGCTGATTGGATAAAAACGAATCAAAAGCACAGTAATTGGGATAGTCTATATCGTTGTGAAGTATTTGCATTTCCATTATTTCATTACAGGGCGCATAGAAGGGCGGAACCTCCATTGTAGCATGAGACGGAAAGCCCGAATTTCTCTCCAAGATTTGACATTGCTGGTAGTTGCTATCCTGTTGCTCTTCAACTCTTTTTTCTTTTCGTTTGTTTTTGGCGCGTCTGTTCTGAAACCACGTTGTTACTATTTTGCGAGGCGTGGAAATTCTATTTGCTATAGCTTGTATCATTTCTTGATTTGGGCTTGAATTCTTCTCATATTCTTTCTCCAATACCCTAGTTTCTTCGGCTGTAAATCTTCGACGTCGTTTTATGGCAGGTAGCCATGCATCTTCTGATGAGGAAAGGTTTTGTATAGGCAGCTGTTGCTGTTTAACAGATTTTTTCTCGTTATCTAGAGCCGACGAGTTAATAGTAGAACTTTTTTTTTTTCTATATGAATCCATTTCATCAGAATACAACTTCCAAAACACAAGGAAATGGTAAGATTAAGTAAAAGCATTTATTCTGATCGCAAATCAAGACAATTGTAATTTATATACGTCTGAATTGAAGTGGTCTCTGTAGAGTATAAAGTATATATAAATAATGGGAAAGTGATAGAATAGTCAGGGTCATTGCTATGCTGTCAAAGAAGGGAAGCAAAAGGCTCAATGATGCATTGGTTGTCCTAAAACATCATATAATTTGATAGATTATTACATCCGGATATCTTAGACGATGTACATATAACAGACGGCTCAAAGAAGTGATTTCTCTTTATCCTCCCTATGCTGGCGAAAATCTTCCTTATTGAATTCAAAAATACGTTTTCGTATATGGTGTAAGACACTCGCCCAAATCCATGAGAAGAACAGTAAGTAAGTTCCCAAAACCAGACCAAGTATGAACAAGCAAAAACATACAAATGCAATCCCAATCCATTTTGGAATCGAGTGAAACCTTATAAGAGCATCCAAACGAAAATAAAGAATATTCGATATCATAATCAAAGTTCGGTTTAGACCTATCACAAGACATACACCTAACAGATAAACTAACCCTAGCAACGCTTCTCCAGCAACGCCTGTTGCAAAATGAACCATATTCAGCCATTCGACAATTTGAAGCATTTCATGGTCGTGCCATGTTTCATCACCGTCCAACTTGGGACCAAACTCTTCACCTAAACCAAGCTCATCCAAAGCTCTGCCTAGATAAGATAGACCGAAGATCAGTCCCACTGTAGACGCTAAACTGAGTAAATGACACATGAGGCAGATACAACGAGCAATACGTAAGAAGCGTCCCGATCGATAGATAGAGTTACATTGGCCACAGATAAAGTCTGCCGTTCCGAATTCTTTGAGGCAAGTGGGGTGAACTCTATGTAGGCAAGGGCAGATCAAGATAAGAGTAGGCTGTGAACGGTGGATTAAGTAAGGTCCAATATCTTGTGCTGTACGTGGTAAGTTTCTGCTTTTACAGATATAACATATACGATTGTGCTTGGGACGACGTCGGTTAGAAGACGAAGAAGAGTTTACATTTACATGATATCGCTGTGGTTCTTCTTGATTGTGATGTTGCTCTTGTTCGGCATTACTTCTTTCTGCTGTTGCCTCAGTGGCTATTATATCGTTTGTGTTCCCTGTAATAGAGAGAGAATGAAGTGAGCTAGCAATTATGAAGCTTTCAGTGTTTAGAGTTTGTTGTGCGTATGGCGGTGGTGAATTTGTAGATAAAGAATGATTACGAGGGAAAGCAGTGCTCATATACAAATCAGAAGCATAAAAAATAAAATTACTGATGTAGCAGGTAAAGAGACTTAGATGGAAGTGAGAAGGAGATTGTCTTAAACGGATAAGGAGACGCTGATCATGAATAAGGGGGTTTTATTCTAATTTTTAATGATTTTCGGTTGCTTTCATTCATTTAATTGCTATAAAGCAGCTGCTCTATAATGAGATGAATTCAAAATGTCCCGATATTTATGTTTAGAGTGTCCATTGAATCAAGTTTGATAGAGTTATTACACATGAGCAACTGGTCTTTGATAAATTCTGGGGCAGAAATTGAAATAATAAGCATAGAGCAAAGAATAACTGCTGCTTTATATTGACGAACAAATATGTTCAAGAGTAATAGAACCATATTAATTTCAAGTCCTTCATTAAAAATCTAAGCTCCATTTAATTATGTTTTGGCTTTTATACAATTACTAAAATCCATCTAAAAACGTCGAAGAAAATTGATGAATGTCAAACGCTAAAATAATGTTGCCTTTATCACGCTAGTATTAGACTTTATTTAAAGTTCAACAAAGAGTGTTTGATATGCCATTACGGTAAGCTGAGCTTCTGTTTACATATTCACAAATTTAAACCACGCAGGAACTTTGAGCGAGTCCAAAAGAGTTGATGGGGATGTAGCATAATCATTATTTCTTAAGTACGCAGTTTCATATAACCAAACTGTGTCAGGTTGTTGCATTGATAACGCATGAAGAAGATGTTGACAAGCTTCTTTTAATTGTACATGAACGCGGTTATGATTCGCTTCATCAAAAAAGAATTTTGTTGCCTCCAAAATCTCCTTCACCAAGCCATGTTTCAAGGGAACATTATAAGCAATTTTTGTCAATGTTTTTATGACCGAAAATTGTGTTTTATGATAGAGTGAGTAGATGGAGTATCCCGTTGAGTTCGTATCCGTCATTGCCGTGCTGACGCCTTTTCGAAGCACTTTTTGGAATTTGGGCCACAAATCCTTGGTAAATTTCTCTGACAAGAAATCGGTGGACAACTCAGATATCTTCTCAACTAATAAAGCTGCGTTCATCACCACATAATTTTGAGGGTCGTCAAAACGGTTCACGATAATAGACCACAATTGATGAACAAATGGATTCAAGTTTTGCGTATTGTCTGACAGTATTGTGACTCCTGCTGTTAAAAGAACTAGTATCTGCGACCTGAGTTGCGGTGAAGAAGCAGTCAGAAAGTGGCTGGCATTCATCATAATCTTCTTGGCCATTTCTTGCTCATGTGACAAGGGACGAGAATCATTCTTTGCATTTTCTTTAAGAACAGGTTTGCTTGTACCTTCCTCTTCCATATCTTCGGGCATATCAATGGGTATATTTTGATCTTTGAGAGACTGTTCAAGTGTCAAATTGTCGTGCAATCCCTTTTGCTGTTTCTCCAGAAAATATTTTCCAATTTCCTCCATGGATTTTACTGCCTTATCTGTATTATCTTCTGTTGTCTTCTGTTTTTCAATAAAAGACCTTACCTCCTGAGACATTCGATACTGTTCCTGTACAGTTTCTACAAAATACGCTGGGCTTTCGTTCGTCTTCCCTTCCTTTGTGGTGGATACAAAATGCCTTTCTAATGCAAGAACAATTTCGTATAAAACACCACACAGTTCAGACGTGAGCCACTCATTGTGAAAGTAAGCTTCTAATACATCAAATATCTCTTCCACTGTATCATCCAGGTATTGAATGCAAGGGTAACCGCCAACATGAATCAATGCTTTCAAGACTAAGGGTAACCTCAAATTGCTGTTGATTACAGAGATGCGCTGAGAAATAGCATTGATGATGTAATCAATATTATGGATTGCAAGCTCTGAGATAGAACCCGTGTCACACAAGGAGGCTATAGACTCTAAAGTGATCAGAGAATAAGTATGTATATAGACATGAGTGGACCCCAAGTAAGAGAATAGAGGATAGAGTATATAAATAAGTTGATCTTCAACAAATGATCGACCAAGAATAAAGGTAGTCAGGTTGACAAGTTTTAGCGTAAGGCAAGTAGTCAAGATATGTTCAGTTTCAATATTTAACTTGTTGGTCATTGGCTTAGTCATTGGCGTTGTCAATGAAGTACTTCCTTGGATGATAAGAGTGGATTGTGCCAATAATTCCATGACATCATTAAAGAGTTGCGTTGCTACTTTTCGTACTTTTTTTGTTTGTACATCGCTGGCACTAATGTCCTCGTTAGCACTTATCCATCCAACAGCTAGCGTAGTATTAAACGTGTCTGGATCATTAAAAGAAGCGCCGGATAATAGTGAGTGAACAATAAAAGCGGCTTGTGGATCATGGCATTCTTTTAAACCATCTGATAAGTAGCGCATGAAATGGCTAATCCAAATAGGCAGATCACAGTATTTACCAATTGTGTTCAATAGCCTAGTAAGCTTGTTGGTTGTAGAATCTTGGATGACATATTTGAAGCGAATTTTAGGGTATAAAGGCGCTGTTGCTGTCGATGTTGGAGTATCACTATGCAATTGAAATTCGACTAGTTTATTTGACTGTTGGCTTTCCTCCATAATGTTCAAGTTATCTTCATCGAATTTCAAGGCTGTCATCCAGCCATCCGAAGCGCGTAATAGCGCCATCGACAGTGTGCTCTCAGCCTCTTCGCGTAGCAGAATGAGTAAACCTGTCACAAGACAAATAGCATTTATTTTTTCTTGTTCACCCCTCTTGATAAGATAACCAGGCAATTTCATCATCCAGGTGTACAGTTCTTCTTTCAAAATGGGTATCATGGTGTTTTCAAAAGAAGGCGCTGTTGAGAGTAAATCCATGTAGAGTTGACAGGTATTGGCAACTTGGTCATAGCCATCATCCATATGTAAAAGGAGCATTTCCATCAACGGTTGTATACAATTATCTAAAGTTCGTGCGCATCCTTTAAGAACATCATAAGAAAATTTGATGAATGCAAATCGCGTATGCCAGTCCGGGTAATAACGAAGCTGTAACGTTTTCTCTAATAATGGTCGTAAATCTTTTCTTGCTTTCGCATACCAAGCTTCACTCCTGACCTGTTGCTTGGTTTTTTGTCCAGTTTTTTCCTTGTTGGCCACCTGCGAAACAGGGAAAATGTTTGCGAAAGATTCGAAATTGATAAGTGTTTGGTTCTTCTCGTCGTTGAATACCGCCGTAATTAATTCACCCAGGATATCTAAAGTACTGCACATAACCTGATGGCTTTCCTTTTCAGGCTTTTGATAAATGATTGCCATAAGTTTCGAACATGTGCCAGGTATTACTACAGAAAGTATGTCAATGTCCTGAATATTATCGAGTAACATTTGGGATAATGTACGCAAAGCGTCTACTCGAAGCTGCAAATCGTGACCGTATTGAGCGGCATTGAGTAAAGCGACAATAGCTTGACTGGCGTACTGCAAAAACACCTCCTCCCCTTCCTCCTTCATCTTTTTTAATAAAACTGCAGATGGACTTTGTTGGAACGAAGTGAGATATCTGCCTTCTTTATATTGAGCTGGTAAAGTGAGTGATAAGCATTGAACAGCAACGTGCTTTACTTCCTCTGATAATCTTGGTGCATAGACTTCTTCTTTCTCAGTTGGACTTGAAGCAGAAGCATTTTGTTTGGCGTAAAAAGGATGGAGGGAGGGATCGATAAAGTATGTGAAAAACGGTATAAGATCCCTCATAAATTTTGGATTATGAAGCAACTTTATCAATGTCCTCGAAAGCACAAAGTGCAAGACGTTCAACCCTGGCAATAGCAGGCTTTCATATTCAAAACGCTTCTCAATGGGTAAAGCATTCAGCAATTTCAGTAAAGGTAAGATGATGTGGTGCGCGTTGACGGTCAGATTGTCTTCTGGGTTTTCAAAGCTAGATAACGTGCTTAGTAGACTGTTCAACAATTCGGCAGCTTGTTTGATAATAGCCCTTGAAAAGAGAGTGGCAGATAGCTGCTCGAGTGAATTGCGGAACTCAATCAACTTCTTTAAGTATTCTTCTTGGATTCTTTCATTAGCATTGTTAAACATGAGGACAGCCCAAAAGAGCGCTTGTTGACGAGTGCATGAAATTGCTCTCTTCTAGCACCGCTTCACTCAGTATTGGCCCTGAAAAAATCTAAGCCACAAATTATGTTTGAACAACTACATAGTATTACGCATAGCAACATAGATATAAGCCATATCCCTACTGTTGCTCTTGATTTCCATAACTACTAATTATACAAGCATCAGAATAGCTTTTAACTTTATTTTGTATGATAAATCAATTATTGATGGTAAAGAAGTATTTAAGCAATGGTGACTTCAACTTCAACTCCGGGTTCAATGGAGATAGAGGTGATTTGCTTAACAATTTCGGAGGGAGAGTGTAAATCGATCAAACGCTTGTGAATTCTCATTTCGAAACGATCGAAAGTTTCGGAACCGTTACCACAAGGAGACTTACGAGTGGTGATACGGAGGGTTTTAGTAGGGAGACGAACGGGACCCTTGACCTTGAGCTGCTTGTCCTTGGCACGTTGGATAAGATCATTGGAAACCTTTTCAAGGTTCTTAACGTTACGGGAGGTCAAGGTGATACGAATACGGTGGATCCTATTTCAAATCTGCTTTAAGCAATCTATTCTAATTTAAAACGGACATCGATCCAACTTACTTGGCTTCGACTTGTTCTTCAAGACCAGGCTTGGCACCAGACTTAGCCTGTTAAGGTGAAACATACAAACAGAATGAATACATATACATTTAAATCAACTTCCTTGATTATAGACCGTTCAATGTGTTTAATATAATACATACAGCGATAGCAGACATTTTATAAATGTGAAAGAGAGAGTTCAATCAACTGCCAAAGTTAGGAAAAATTTTATATTCAAGAAGGAAGTCACCAAGTATATACAGCACTGTTTGTCAACAAAATCAGTAAATGTAAAAGCTCCGCCACTGTCGCTACGCCCTTCGTTGTATCGATAGACCGATCTTGGTAAATTATATTAACAGAAATTGCTCTCAAAAAATTGTGTATAGCAAGCTGGTAACTGGATTGCTAGGTCGAGATAGTATCATGAGGATGCGTAGGCCCTTGCACCTGACCCAGAGAAATATGCCTTTTATTGTTTTCAGTTATTTTAACCACCACCCCCCTCCATAACTGTGTTAACTGGAGGATGATGCAGTTTCCAAAATAATGAAAAGATATGCTTTAGACATCATCTTCTCATTAACTATGAAAGTAACTTGCTCGCCCTGCAGCTTTTCTTTCCAAACTTCAACATAGCTTCAAACCTCTTCATCCTTCAGTCAGCGATGGTGCAGTTGGCATCTTTCGTCCTCTGCTTCATCGTAAACAGCACACCTTATCAGCACTTTATTATCTAGAATTGTTAACAGGCTGACTCCCCTTCTCCGTATAATCAATGAGTGTGACAATATCATTTCGATCCAAATTTGAAAGCCCTCTTTTTTTATTACGCCATGGCCTTCGTCAGTATTTTTCTTTGCTCCCCAATCTTTCATGCTCTTGTTGAAGAGAGTATCACCCTCTATATTCTCAAACCACTATAAGACGGTATATTCAACAAACTCATTTGTTTTAGTCTTAAATCAATTGATTGCTATCGCCTTCCTGGAATATCTTTGAGCAGTTGATTTAGTGTGTAAGACCAAAAGGAAATAAACCCTCTTTTATTCAAAGAAGGCAGTGCTTTTTGATGGTATCAAGGCATTTACCAGTGAAATGGTATTGAAAGTATCCACACAAAGCTCGATTGAAGTAGCCTCCCCTTTATATACGCCAAAGTGCCGTGAGCTAAGAGTATTTTTTGAACGGCATAGCCTACACAATGAGCCAATTAATTATTGTTGGCTAGGGTTATTACTGGAAAGTAGAGGTACTTTGCTTCTAAAAAAAATATTTTGTATGCTTATTTACCTATCCAATTTTTTTTCATAAAACGAAAAATCTACAGAAGAAAACATTGTAAAGGTCAAAGATTTTGTTATAGTTAACGAAAACAAAAAATCTTACTTCGCATCCGATGACGTCTTACTTATGGAAAAAGCAATATTTCATATTATACTTTTATATTGTAGCATTCTGTCTTAATATCATTGAAAGGCCTTTTTTTTTTTTTTTTGTTCTTCTACCAGCATCTGCATCTTGAACTCAAAAGGCGTTTTAGATATTCTTCGTTTGACTATCACAGATCACAGTAGGGTAGGCACAGTACGCTCTATCTTTACTTCTGAGATATGTTTTTGAACAGAAAAAACATTGGGTGAAGAGGTAAAGCTACACTCAAGCAACAAATTGACGTGCTGCAGCAAGAAAGCGCTGTGTTTGTTGTCCCCTTGGTGCCCGCCCAGGCTTAATTAAGCAGATCCCGAACCGCGCCCAAAGTCTTAGCCTACCAATTATAATGATTAGTTTAGCCCCCTCCTCCTCCCCCCCCCCATTTAGATAGTATGTTTTTTGGCCCACCACGGCACCCTGACCGACACTATGCATCGCTCTAATCTCAAAAAATCGAGCTGCCCCGGGCAATTTAGATAACTTTAATATCTCGTGTCCATTGGGCTTTAAAAAAAGTAATAAAAATCCTTGTTTAAAAGTAACTTATGCATTTTACTTGTGTGCTATACTTCAGAGAATTCTTTAAAGCTGAGTTTGATATTATTGCAAGAGGTTCAGGATCAGATGCTAATCGAGAGTAAAGTGCAACTGACTCCACATAGAAGCGTTCAGATGTGATCGAGTTGTTGTTAGTTTCATCCTTCAGTAAGTTTTTTTTTTAAAAAAAAAAAGTAATTGTCGATCTGCTGTTTACGATTATTACAATCCAAAGAACAATGCATCAAAAAGTTGGTTTAAGTTTTAAAGCGCTTCTTTTACTCAGAGTCGTACAAGTAAATGTGATTTACAGGAACATCGGATCCCCAATATTAGCCTTTTTTTTTTTCTTTGTTGACGGGAACAATGAAAGAAGGCTTTCTTCCTATTTTACAACAACAATAAGGGAAGCCGCTAAAACTATGACGGCTACTAAAATGGTCGAGCGTGTCCTGGTGTCTGCTCCCGGAAAAGTTATATTATTTGGTGAGCACTCTGTTGTCTATCAGAAGGTATATAAACTGGCCCATTAATATTAACTCTCCTACTTTTCATGAAAGCTTAATTCTCTAACTTTCCACTATTTGTTCTTGTTGGCAGATGGCTGTGGCAGCATCGTTAGGTCTTCGAACCTACCTCTGTATTGAGAGACGACAAGATAATCTGATCAGACTTTTGCTACCTGACGTTAAGGCTGACAGAACTTGGAAGTTGGATGAGCTTCCTATAGATGTTGATTTTACAAATTGCGGTACGAAGAGAGATCATTCAGTCATCACTGCAACAAAGACTTGTATTAAACCCCACTTTTTTTTTCATCTTATCAACTTCCACTGCAAATAGATACCCGTCATCCTAGTGAAATGCCTGAGAAGCTTCAGTCACGCCTAGTTAAATTAGCAGACGCTGATGCTCAAAACCCAACAACTCAAGCCGTAATGGCTTTTTTGTATCTCCTCGTTATCATACAAATCAAAGCAGCCGGTACGCCTCTCGACCACGGCTTCACTATCATTGTCAGATCATTTCTGCCTGTGGGTGCTGGTTTAGGCAGCTCCGCCAGTTATTCTGTTGTTATTTCTACAGCTTTATTGATTCTATACAATTTGATACCCGTTGATTTTAATTCTAGTTCTGATCGGGAACTTCATCTTGAATTAATCAACAAATACGCATTCAAAGCAGAGGAAGTCATTCATGGTAATCCTAGTGGAGTAGACAATGCTGTAGCAACTTTTGGTGGAGCTAAATCGTTTGTACGTGGCCAAGGATTCTCAACCTTAGAAGGATTCAAATCACTCAATTTACTATTGACTAATACTAACGTGCCTCGATCGACCAGCGCACTGGTAGCTGCTGTAAGTGAAAAGAGAAAGAAGTATCCTGAAATAATAGAACCCATTCTTGAGTCAATGCACAATATCGGTATACGGTGTCGTGATGCGTTCAAAAAGTTACACGATGGAGCTATCACAACAGAAGATTTGATGGTCGAGATAGGGGATCTGGTCGTTTTGAATCATAGTTTATTGGATGGCCTAGGCGTGAGTCATCCTAGTTTGGAAAAAATTCGATCAATTACAGCGCAACATGGACTAAAAACAAAGCTGACAGGTGCTGGTGGCGGCGGTTGTGCAGTAACTTTCATAGGCGATGACATAGTGCAAAGTGTAGTAGATGAAGTTATGTCATTTTTAAAAGATGAAGGTTTTGATTGTTATCAAACTTCTATTGGTGGTATTGGCGCCAATGCTGTTCCCTTGACAAACAATGAATCCAGCCAGTGGCTTCTTGAAACAGATAGGTCTACTTTAGAACAATACATGTAATACATCAATTTCGATACGTTAATAGCAAAAGAGCTTTCTTTTTATGTCTATTCAATAAGCTTGTTTTCATATTGTTTGGACTAGCGAATTTGTCCCCGCACCTGTGGCGTTTTAACGATTTTTTTCCTTCCTTTTTCTTTTTTTTTCTTGCTTCTTCGTAATGTCTCCTTTTTATGCCGAAGAGTTACAAAACATTAGTACTCTGCGTGCATGTATATCAGTCAAACCTGGTTACGATGTTGCAAAAGAACTGAGAGTGAATAACAATGTTCTGACGTTAGGTAATGCTGTTGTTGCCGATTTCTCTTCTGTCAAAGTTACCGTAACTACCGATAATTTGATCGTGGAACAACCCAACACAGCAACTTCTGAAAAGGACAAATCTCAATCTTTGGTGCCCTGGGAAATTAAACTGAATTTAGTTCGCTCAACAGATCCTCAACAGCAACAGATTGAAGTGAGAGAATGGTGGACTGCAAAAGATCTATTAAAACTTGGTAGCCACAGCAATAGTACAAATATTCGAAATGTACAGTTACAGTGCCGCTCCTGTTTCGAACCCTTGGTAAATTCTCAAGCCAACTATACTATCAAAGACTTGCCCTCCGAGCATTGGTACGAGCTTATTGAATGCTGGATTTGTCATGAAGCAAAGGCAGGAGAACATAAATCTCGTATGCAGCCTATTCTTGCCCGACCGAACACTTTACTTGTAGGAACAACCTATTTTTTGTTACATACGGACAATATTTTGAAAGATAGTATAGAGGTCGATTCCACTGTGGCAAACTGTTTGGATGTAAGTAGGAAAAAATGGAGAAAAAAAAATTAAGCACCATATATGAATTTTCCACGTAATGAGAGTCATAATTATAAAAAGTAAACGGATTTTAAGAAGGTCGACGATTCAGTAGAAATAATCGGTTTGATCGATACAAAAATCCAAGATTAAAATTGGCATTCAACAGTTTTTAAAGAGAAAGCAGTGCTCTTTCTGGATAAACTACTACGATGCTAGACAAAGACCCTCTATTACGTGGAATAACATGCAGGAACCATGTACTTAACAATGTATTTTTTCTTTAGTGGAACCGTGGTACTAAGACTAAATGGATTACATTGAACTGTAGAAAATGTAAACATGCATTGGGTGAGGGGCAGTATACCATAGAAAGCAACAACCAGCTCAGTCTTTTAGCTGTAAAACTGTTTAAATACTCTACTTTTCCATTGTTGGAAACCAAAGTATTTCCGCATCAACCATCCTTCATTGATTTCTTTGTTTCTGACTTAGTGAGCACAGCTAGGGTTCACGCTACTCACCGATTTTTGATTCAAGGACGACAAAGTCATCGCATATATGCATTGGTAAGGTTTTAGTGATTTGAACAAACAAATGTATAATCTGACGCGGTTCATTCGTAGATTTGGCTATTCAATTGGGATACCCATATTATACATAATAATGGGTTCGTTGAGGAAAGCGATACTTGTCATAAGCTTCAACGTCAAAGAGTGATAAAGGTTACTTATTTGAATTGTACGAAGGATGAAAATGCTGAATTAGCGCAAAATTATATTTCATTATGGTCTCAGGATAAAACAACAGATCATTTGTTATATCCAGACATATTCTGTGTTGATCTTGTGCATACCTTAAGCTGTTCGACACTCATTCTACCTCCTTTTATGCGAAGAATAGATCATCCAGCTATGATCTTTACTCGAAATTTTTCGATTGGTTTTATTCCAAGAAAGGATGTATGAAAACCCACCACCATTTTTGTATATAATTAATTTGTTTAACGTCTCTGTGTATATTTATAACTGGTATTTCTGTTCTACTTGTTGTTGGCCCAGTCAATTTGTAAAGCAACTTATCTGCGGCGCTAGTTGTATGCTAATCAAAAATTTGCGAGTAAACTGAAACTTTTTGTTCGTAAATGCTAAATAGCCATGTAGCAGCAATTGGCTAATCCCTTATGCTTATTCAATTTTTTTGCACTCCCTCTTGATCTCTTTTTGTACATTAAAATATTAACCACGCTTCCTGGTATATTTTGCATTCATTGATCTAATCACTGCATTTTTTTGCAATATTTTCTACGAAAAGAATGCATTTAGAACCTTGAAGATAAAAAATAAAAGGTTATAAGTAAAGCCTTTAACAACAGTGATCGAGAGTCATCTACTTCATTGATGACCATCCACCATGTGCTTTGCTTTGGTTAAGATCCCACTTGAGTTAAGTTGCACTTCTACCTCACAATCACCTGTCCTATCATATACCAATATCATCCCAGGAATAATTAGTGACTTATTGCTTGAACTTCCTTATACGTTCTAAATATATCCGCACATTCGAAGGACTCACATCATGCCTTCATTCAGCTAATAAGTGTGATTCGTAAATGTATTAATTATGAGTATAACTTTTTTGTATCTTTCACTTACGATTTAAATCAAAGCAAGACGTGATTTCCCCTCTTAAGGGGAAACAAAAAGTTCACGCGCGACCCAAAAAAAAAAAAGAAAAAAAAATGAGAAAGGTTTCTTATCCATTCCAAACCATTCCAAACCGTATACGGTCTAAAAAACCACAAAAGTAAATATTACAGTGAATTTTGAATAGAGCTCTAGCTTTAATCATGGTTTACAATTGAAGAACGCTAAATCTGATGGGCACTCTTTCATAATTGCATTGCTATATTATTATTATGTCCCTTGAAATACTCTTCAAGATCGTTTCACAATGAAATTATGGAAAAATAGTACTAAACAGTATTTAGATTGCTCCTGTAAGATATAGTTAAAAATGAAGTCTGATATGAGTTTATATGAAGACTACTCTCAGATATATCGTTGAAACAAACAAAAAAGAAGACACAACTGTATAATGATAGCTCCAAGAGCATCTTTTTCTCCATTTTGTTGACGAATTTAGAATTTATTAGTTTGAGATACGTTCAATGGAATGAATTAACCATCTATCTTATTCATGATCCTAATTCGGATTTCTTATCAATTGCCAATAGGTAATTGAAAAAAAAAAAACGGATAAAACAGAAAAATTCCTGTATGCACCACTTGCCAACGCTAATAGCGTATAATAATAGGCATCAGAAAATTATAAACTTTCTGTTGGCTTGGCTTCCTGAGTTTTTCTTTCCTTCTTTTTTAGTCTTTTATCAAAGTGCTTTATTCTTAGAGAGTTTGAAAAAACAGAGCCTAGTGTTATAATGTAAAAGAAGTGAGGGTATGAAAATGCAGACAGATGTGAATATAAAAGAATCAGGTCATTTGAAGCGACTTTTGTGTAAGACATGTCCAAAAGATAATAGCTCATCAGATGTAACCTCAATAAGTAATTTACGCGTAGGCGGAAAGTATCGAACTTGCTACTTCCTCCATCCCATCCTTATGGAGTTGGTTAGGCACAGCCAGTGCGCAAATCTAATAAATCTAAGGTTTATAGTAGACTGTGTTGAGTAACGAGACTGTAACAAGGATCATTAATCGTCTTTATTTCGAGTTAACATTTGGATCTCTTTTATATCTTTTGGAATGAACGATTTGTTTTGAGAAAGTGCATGTCTGAGACTTTATGGGTGGTGTGGGGAAAATAGGAAAATACATGTAATTTAATTGGATTATCGCGTATATTTGACCTAGATTATTATTAAAGACATCACACAGTGTATCGTCAGAAATATCCAAGTCTTCATTATGACCAGAGAAGGCGATCAGCAGATCACGGTTCGCAGCTGTTGTATTTGCTTAATATAGATAGACCGTGGTAGAAATGTATTCTCTACCTGGTTGTACGTACTCGAGTATTGTAGTTATTATCTCACCAAACACGTCAGTAGCATGTAAATTACTTTAAATACTGCAAATATTATTTTATTGAATCGAAAACCGCAAGATTAATTGAGTATCTACAAAGGCTGGAAATCAAAAAGCTCATTTCTAGGAATATAGCCAATACATGACTCATCCTATAGAAATTATTTAGGGATAATAATGTAAGGTAACCTGAGTAAACGTACTGTAGAACTATAATAGAAATAGTGATTTTAGAAAATAGTCAGAGACATTCAAAACTAAAGAAATCATTGAAGAAACTTTCAGAGAAGGCTTCCCCCCTGCAGTTTAGCTATAATAAAAACTATATTATATCTAAACCAGTCTAGATTCTACGTTCAAAAGAATCTATCCCATAAATTGGGATGAGGTTCGCTTTAAACTTCTCTATACATATGCATCTACAGTATTATTCGCATTCTACCTCTACGAAGTATATCTTAATTTTTCTGATTATATGCTTTTGAAGCTATTGAACTCTTAATATAACTAGTTGAACATAGATACATCTTTCCTTACTGTTAGAATTATCATGAAGTCAAATATAATAGTCCAACCGTATCAATTTACTTTGAAACATTGAACTAAAAGTTGGTCACTGATAACCTGTGGTGCCACTTTATTACAAGGTCTCTTCTCTATATCTATTTATACTTTACTTCTCCTTAAAAGTAAAAATAATAAATCAGGATGTTTTGAGGGTAGTCCACTAAAGTGCACTTAACGTTGTACAAAAGAGCCATATACTGTGGAAAAATAGGGTGTCTATATCCAGTGATGTCAGCTTCTAACAGTGTTGTGCCACGAAAAAATGTGTATACAAATTAATAAGCTTATGTAACAATGTGGATATATAAAAAGATTAATAATACAAAATAAAGAGCGAGATCGATCTTTTCTCTTTCTTTTGAAAACAGGACCCATAGTAATAATCAAGTAAAGAAGAACCTTGATAGAAAAAGCTGTTTGATTAGACAGTACAAGTAACCGACAACGGCACAAGAAGAGAACGACAGTTGACACCTATAGCCAAAAAAAAAAAAAAGACCATCGACAACAAAAAACTATAGGGTGAGTTTTTTTCTTAAAAAGAATGCCTTCTGGCGGAATCGAACCGCCGACCTTCTGCTTACTAGGCAGACGCTCTGCCAACTGAGCCAAGAAGGCTTGACTGTTATGATGTGATCGTAAATAATTGTTGTGGAAATAATTAGAACTTTTAGCTTCAACTTTATACTTTATACAAATTTTATTGGACAATATATATATTTAATTTAGATAATTTTGAATTACTTTAGGATGAAATGGTATAATATTCTTGGACGATTTATTGAATAAATAATTGGAGACATTATTTTGAAGGTCAGTGGACATTTTTCAATGGATGGTGGCATTACGTTAAAGTACTACGAGACTTATTGAGTATTTTAGTGTGACACAGGTCTTATGAGCAATAGATACAGGGTTGTGGTTTACAAGACTTTATTTATGGACCATATGAATTGAACTACGCGTTAAACTGATCCCAGACACGTTCTTCCGCCACGTAGATAACGGTTGTTGTTGTCAATCGTAATAAAAAATAAATGTTGTCAAATTCAAAGAATTTACAGAAGATAACTTTGACATCTTTCTTTTGATTTCCACCTTCTTCTTGTTATACTTCTTTCATACTTTCTTTCTTCATCCTGATAGCTACTACTCACCATGTACAAAGCCAAAATCTTGCAAAAAATCAAATCGGTGGCAGAAGCCCATAAGAAGAAAGTCAAAGATGAGTCCTTCCGTAAGTAACACATGAGCGCGCTGCCACAAATAGGTTATAGTGGTAATCCTCAATTCATGTTTCGTATGACTAGTAAGCATCGAGTGCAAGGATTGCAAAACACGCGGACATTTCAACAAGGCATACCATGAATGCAAGTTTTACAAAGCAGTTTCTGCGCGTGATGGTAAGTATCATGCTCTCACTGCAAGACAAGTTCATGTTTGCTTAACGGAAATTTAGTTGGAAGTAGCGGCAAGAAACGTAAGCAATCAGCTACAATCAAGGAAGAAAAGAAGCAAGCAAAGAGAAAGAAGAAGCAAACAACTGGAGATGTCAAGTGTATCAGTTGTGGCTTAAAGGGTCATTCTACTTCTCGTTCTCTCGAATGTCCCAATCACATAGCTTCAAAGGAAGAAGTTATCAACTCGACGCTTGGAGAAGGCTCCACTGTATTCACGAGGAAGCTCCCTCTTACGTCTGCTGTGAAGCCTGCGTTTCGCGAACAATTCCAAGAAAAAGTCATCTCTTGCTGCTCTGACATAAGGAGAATAGTATTCTCTAGTCAATTATTCGTTAACTCGTACCTCATTCATTATCAGGAGAATAGAAGGAATGCTAACAAAGGCGACAAGAAAGACACTGATAAAAACAGCAACAAAGGCAGTAAAGAAGCCAACAAAGAAGACAGCAAGAAAGACAGTAAAGAAGCCAACAAAGAAGACAGCAAGAAAGACAGTAAAGAAGCCAA